TTGAAGCGGAATTACCTGAACACATCCAAGAAAAATTCCTCAATCTCCTTAAGTTCCACAAGAAGACTCCTTTGTTTTTGCACGGGACAAGAAATCATGGGGAGCGAAAGAAAAGGATACGGGAGATGAACATGGCTCCTGGGATATACCTAGTACTTGATATACAAACAGTCGCAGACGAAAGCATTGTTCTTCATGAGTTTAACAAGGCAAATATTTATCCCGGCAAGATAAGGCCACAATTTGTTAGATTTGGTATGACCCAGGGGGTACGATATATGACATGGGTGTTAGATGAGATAAGGTGTTTGCCCGATGATCATGTCGATCGTGTGGATTACACTAAGATATACTTTCCTGAACTTGTTGACCAACAGTAAACTTTTTTAAAAGCCATAAGGGCATTGAGTCACATTCCTCACATAGCCAGCTAAATCTGAAGTCATGCACAAGCTATTGGCCCTAGCCGTGATCGTCCAGTTTGTGGCATCAGTTCCAACTGTAGTATTCGACTATAATTGTACCCCAGGTGTTGCCTGTGCCGTTATGGCATCTGCGGTAGGTAAGGGTGTGTTAGGATTGGTGTCTATCAACGAGTAGAAGAACTGATTCAATGAACTTGCTTATTTTAAAGCGATGTCGATGACGATTCTACAAAGTAACTTTGGTTAGGATTTCATGTGAACAATGAGGAGGAGAGAGTGTAACAATAGCGAGTCTTGAGAGCAGATGGTTAGGATGAGAATGAGAAAAGTTGAGTGTCAAAAATCACTGTATATTGCTTCTTACTCTTTGGTCAAGTATGAATGCAGCATTTTTTTTTTAACTGACTTGTGTTGCCTTTTGATCTTCCAATGTTGGCACCCTATCCTTGCTTCATTAGAATTCGAGGTCGCGTCGTTGATGCTTTGTTCCCTACCACTGCCCTGTTGCATGACTTTTTGTATTAAGGGATATGTTGTGCTTTAACTCTACGAAGTACGCATTTGAATGTTGTCTGCTGGGTCTCATATCGCACACACTTGAACTTAGTCCGTGGAAAGTAAATACATGGTCTTCTTCTTGTGTGCACAATTAAACTACAACAATTGTCAGAGTAAGAATGCAACACATGGAGGTAAACGCGATAAACACATATGAGCGTTTGGCATTTTTCTTTATTTTATTTTCTATTTTGAAACCCGATATTAGTGACCAAGGCGTAGTGCGAGTTGCTTGTTGATATTGTTGAATCCTATTACGCGCTACCCTTGCTCTGGCATAATCTTATACGTTACTGGAGTGCCGAAACTATTGCATATCTGTGAGGATACAGCTGGCAAAAGTGGGCGCGAGCAGAGTCGGACCGATTCCTCAATGTCGGCTTTGAGATTCAAAAAAAAAACATTTATGACCATGGCTAGGCCACCCAGATCTTTGTGTGAGCGGGGAGCAAAGACTGTTGTATAGGAACGCATAATATAGAGGCCATTAGCCCCCAGCACCACGCTATAAATATCCGCCCGTAATCCTAAATGTACAAGAAACCAGTTAATATATAATAGCTCTCCAAAAGTAAAACAATCAGGCAGATTAAACAGTTCGTTCTCACTTACCAACAATTAACATTCCAAAAACTCTAACGGATGAGATGTCGATCTTTTGCTTAGCTAGAACGTCAATTGCATCTCTCACCTAACAGGCAAGCCTCTCGAGATCCGACTGAACAACAAGGCCTTGGGCGGTCTTTTGACCTCCGCAGTGAAGAGATGGCATTGATGACTTGGCAACGAGGCACAGATAAAAAAGTCTGGGCGTTGACTACGAAGACCAGGATCCAGATTTTTCGTCGCTTTGAAGGGGGGAAGTCACATCCCTATTACAAAAATAATAACAATTAGAAACAAACTCATATTACATTCCGAGAACCCAAAAACCCTATCTGCTGCTTTGGTCTTACCAGAACACGTTAAGGTGCTTCGCAGGGCAAATAAAGGTTGAGAAAAAAAGGTCAAACTTCTTCTTGATCAACCCAGCCTCATTGTCTTGAGAACTATCCCTCAGTGCAGATGTGCCAAGCATACTGTTCAAAAGGCTCTTGACATCCAAATCGCCATGCCACTGTAGTGTCCATCGACATAAGACATGTTACCGATGTTGAATGCAATATCAAAAACGTCCTGTAATACCTGTGGCTTTACTCTCTGTTGTAGTACGTTTGGCAATATTGCAGACCAGAGAGCACTTCCGAGCTCGGAAAAGAGAGGACTGAGATTGTCACTCTCGCGTATCAGATAGGTATGATTGAGGGCCTACAACAATTGGGAAGAATAGTATGAGCTTTCGGTGCTACGAGAGCCTTGATATCTATATCTCCGATGTTGACTTACAAAGACTCGATGGGGGCATCCAAGTTTGGTAGTGCTGCGACAACTGACTGTCGAAAATCCCATAGGAGTTCGGCTATGTTCACATCATCAAGCACCCACGGGGTTCGCCAGGACGATGGGTAGTCAAGAACACCCTCTCCTGTATTGTAGATGACACCCCAGGGGACCCTTTGCTTGGTTGGTGTTATGGTGGGCGAGCGCGATGGCTGATAACTCTCATCAGTATCTAAAGACTGTGCCTCGTCCTGCTGTCCTTCGTCCTCTTCCCGGTCTTTGTCCGTCACTTCTTCTAGATATTCTGCCGCTGTCAGCCCAGTGTGTCTATCATTCTCTTCAGCAATGGACGCTGATCCAGGAACAAGGAAAAGGTTCTGATAGTCCAAGAGTTCAGCTGCTATCAGATTTACAAAAAAAAATGTTACTATCTCCACGCTACAAAAACATCATTCTTAAAATTGCGTCACTTCCTTACCGTAAGTTGTCTTCATCTTCTTGCTAAAATAGTCAAACGCTCTATCAATTGATTAATGGCGTTCACCTCAAGGCTGATCCGATGCTTTCTCTCGTTCCTCTTTTGAGTCTCTTTCAACTCATTGTCCTCGATTTGCGCCCAAAAAGATTCAGTCGCAGCCCCATGTCGCCATTCGCGGTGTGTCGCTTGTACTCCTGTTTCAGGTTTTCATGTTGGCTGTTTTCTACTATGGGTAAAATGACGTTCGCCCATCGCTTGTGTAAGGTTGACTTATCGGTGCTGAGTGGCGAACAGAATTCGAAATATTTGCAGTGGGTGATATTGGTCGGATCAGTTAGACCGTCGAAATACTCTCATTTATTTATGCTGCTGAACTCCTGCTGCCATCTTTTCGTTGGATGCTTCCTTCTAGATTTATTGTGGCGAGTCGTCATGACGCTTAAAAGCGATTGAGAAGTAGAACTGCGTGAGTATAAAGTAGTTAAATGGACTACATGACAGACGTGTCGAACGTGTTAATTAAATTATCTCAGTGAGGAAGATATTGGGACGGCAACAACTAATTGATCAAACAAACCTTAATGGCAATGGGTCTTCTGGAGGCTCCTTGTGAGCTGTGATCTATCAAGATAACCGGATTCAATGGCGAGGCAGAATGACTCAAATCTTGTCAGCGACGGTTTGTAAATCGAGTGCATACAGCTTAGAGTGTAAAGATGTTTAGATGCGCCAGCCCCATCCCACGCCACTGCTGGAACGCGACATGGGCAGTCACCTTGTGAGCATGCACGACCATCACCAGCTCCTCTTCTGCAGTTTGAAGTGTTCGAAGAGGCGTTGGCTGGAAGACGGAGGCAGACACCTCTAGTTCTTCCCGACCGTCGTGCCATGTTCTCCATTCAAACGCGAACTTGGAAGAAAGTCATTCACGCACTCATACCTTCAGCCATCCGTCTTTGGAGAGGATGGATAGGGGACGCAAGGAAAGGACAAGCAGGCATGTCACATACTTCTGCGCAACAGCGCAAAAATTGCAAACATAATTCATTCATATTTTTTTCAATGTCGATAGACCTTACCTCACTGCAAATATGGATAACAATAGTAAAATCCTCCTTTTCAGAGTCGATGGCACCCATATTCTGGGCGGCGTCTCTAGAGGCACCAGAAGTGCTCCTCTGAAAACCCCACGACATGTCTTCGAGCCAACCTCCCCCAATCTTCTCCAGGATTGCCTCAACTTCAGCATCATCCTCCGCCTTTTCTGTCTCTGCCTCATCATCTCCGTCCAAAAGACCCTATATCTTCCTCTCATGCTGCTCTCACTTCGTCCTGTCGTTCCCTCCAAGAACTGTCAGCGAGGACATCCATCAGGTCCTTGTCGTGGTTGGTACCATGATGAGCATGCAGGTACTGCATCTCTGCTGGCTTGAGAGCCGTTCCTGGAGCTGCTGCAGTTGATGGTACTTTTGATCGGAAAACACACCCTTGGGTCTTGTATTGGCACCCGTCTCTCGTTCGGGATACTTTTTTCACCCGTCGGTCCACGACACCCATCCCATAAGGAGTAGTCGAATTCTGGGTAACAAAACGGTTGGAGATAAAGCCATCCAACCTATCGGCCTCTCTGCCAGTCAGTCCGTCTGTTTTGAGCATCGTTGAGGCTGTCAACATAGTCGTCACCGGATTCGGATGTGGTTCAGCCCCAGTCCTCGGGAAGTTTACAGTTGTACAAGGTACGCGCTGGCTCTACTTTGTAGAGGTTTCGGGATGAGTTGCAAACGTTTCACAGGGTCTGTAATTGTAATGGAGAAACAGTCAGCTCAGCAATTCACAACAGACAAAGAACAAAGAAACAGTTATTCAAGGGGTGGACCGGATTGTTGATAAAATGAAGAGAAAGAAAATGTGCGCGAAGCAGAGGAGAGGGATGGAAAGAAAGGCAAGCTTCGATATTTTATTGCATCCCAGGTGCCTCTTCACAACGGATGAAAAAGTAACGAGAAGGGTGATGGCGAATAGGTAAAGGGATGGAATGAAGGAAGTCGCGGGAAGAAGGACGGGAGAAGGGAGGGAAGCGTGATAGTTAAACAATGCACAATGATGCTATTGTTGTTGTCATGATAGTTCATTTTGAGGCAATTTATTTAACTGCGAGATCAAGGCGTATGGATATGATCACGAGCAGGCAACATTGGTGGTAGTTTGGACTTTGAGCCTGCGCTGCCAAAGGGAGAGCCTAGAGACTTTTGGGTGCGTCCCAGCTGATGCATCAAGACATTCAGGCGTCGCAGGGCCACCTCCAGGACGAGCCGATCCTTGGAATCTTCCTCAACTGACTTTTTTACGGTGGTGGTTTCCTCGTCCTCCACAACGCGCCCTGCTTCCAGAACTCGTTCGTTCGCTTCTTGCTTTTCCTGGGCCAGCGTTTCCATCCAAGCTTGAAGCATGTCGCCCTCAAAGAGATCGTCGTTGAAGACTTGACCAGGTTGCTCTTTGACTGTGGCGCTGATGTCCTCCATATGTGGCATCGAGTCAGGCTGTGAGCGGATGGAACCATTGTCGATGGATGGGGTGGGAGCTGATATTTGCTCCAAAGGCAATAGACCTGGTGGTGGTGGTGGTGGTGGTGGCGGGGTCGATATGGCGGCATGAGGGTCGTCTGGTTGAAATTGACTGTTGGTTGCGTTGAAGCTTGGTACTTCAGCGTCCAGAAAAATCGGATCAGAAGCTCCCCAGTGGCTCTTGGGCTCCAACATAAACCCACAAGTCTTGACCACTGATCCTCTGCGCATGCTATTCCTGTCCTGTCTGACGGATTCAGCTTCCTTCTTGTCACTGCTGTTGCTCACTGCTGCCTCCGTAACCGAGTCAGTGTGAGAGAACTCTTGAACCCAGGTGAGATTCTGTGGTCTTGCGGTGGTTGTTTGGATATCCTGCTGGCGGTACATTTCGTCACATTTAGCTGTGGCAGCATGCTGGTAATGAATCGTCTCGACCTCCATGAGTGCAGCCTCGGCTTCAATCGCCCAAGCGGCCATCGGCCAGGGAGAGTGAAGGGATGCTGCCGCTTGCCGAAAGCTGGATGCGCTTGAAGGGACAGCAAATGCTACTGGACGTGTATCGGCTGACGATGTCGACCCAGACGATAGTGCCGTTTGTTCAGACAACTCGTTCCAAGCAGACTCCATGTTTCTGGACCAATTGGTATCGGGGGAGTTGTGGACGGGTACAGAATCTGGCCCAAGGTCCATCCAAACTTGTTCCCGTTGACACGAGCCTCGTGGCCCCCTGTGGTGGCTCTGTTCAAACGCAGAGTCGGAGTGCTGGTCTTCGAGCCGAGTGGACGCAGCATGAGGGTGGTAATGGTAATGGTCCAATTGGTGGTGAGGGTGAAGTTCGGAAAAGTCGACGATTGGGCCGAGTCCATCGTCTCTGTCGAGACTCCTGAGACAGGCTTCTCGTGTGTAATAGTCCTGGCGCTGATTCAGGTACTCTACGATGTCGGCTTGACCCTCACCTCCCACTGCATGTGAGGTGATGTGTAGGTGAGATCGAGGAAGGGGGCTCCATTGAGTGCTGACTGCTTGTGAAAAGTTCTTGTAATCGTTCTGGTGGTGGTGTGATGCAGAGGGAGATGCAATGTCCTTGCGGGTATAAGAAGAAGGGAAGAGGTGGCTGGTTGACTTTGGCTTTTCCGAGGCTGGGTGTTGTTGTTTCAGGCGCGAGTCGATGTGGAAGTCTGAGAGTTCTTGTTCGTAAAAGTGAGCAAGTGCCTGGAACGGATTTGCGGCGGCGGAGGAGGAGGAGGAGGAGGAGGAGGAGGAGGAAGAGGACGACGACGAAGATGAAGTGGTCTTTCCACCCTGGAACAAGAGGCTAGTCATTGAGGGTATATTGGTGTGATGGGGAGGGTGTAAAGGAGGGAGGAAGTAGGAAGAAGAAGAGAACGAAGAAGAAGAGGAATAAAATAAGAAGATGAAGGAGACAAAAGAAGGCCTTTGAAAGCGAAAAGGTTAAGGAGGCCGATCAACGGCGAATCAGACGCCGAAGTAGACACAGCGGATAATTATTTTGTCCCTGAGTGTTCCGAGACCGATCAGTGAAGAGCCCCACTATGGAGTGAAGTGGTCCCCGGACTTCGGCGAACATGTGCAAATTATTGAATTGGATGCATCATCATATTGATGGTAATAGGAGCGCTCTTGTCTGTTGTTCATTGCTGTCGTTGCATTTCAGCAATATTATGAAGAAGAGACGGAGTGCAAGAGATACGCGATCGAAAATGAATGGGCGACACCATGACAACAGGCTGTGCGTGACCCACAGGAAGAGAGAAACTCAACCAACTGAACGCAAGGAAGCACAACGGCTAATATTCCCTATTCGAGGTTTGATTCGTAACAAGTGCGTCAGCCCTGAAACAGTCCCCCAGAGATAAAAGCGATTCCAGTGTTCCTCTCCTCTTTTTGTTGACATCTCCAACACAACACATTTATCTACAAACCAGGAGCAAGATCATCAACTTGCAATGGCGACACGGATCAGCAACACCGCATCCACAGTCGCATCACTCCTGGTTGCTCAAGCGCAGTCAAGAGCAAGAACCACAATCACAACCACCAGACGCGCCCAACAGACACTCCACTACTCGTCCCTCCGTCGGCCCGCCCGCTCCCTTGGCTCAGCTCGCGGAGGACGCATCACAGCCAGGACAGCAGCACCCTCAAGAGCCGGTGCTATCTCGCACAGCAGTTCACCAGTTGCCTCCGAAGTGGCTGCACCCCTTGCTGGCGCTGCATCGACTTTGGATTCACACCTTTTCAACACCTCACAAACATCCGCTCAGGGTCAGGACGTGAACAATGGAGTTGTACAAGGATTGGACATTGCAGCCACGCCTGCTGTTGTGCCCGATGATCCCTTTGGTGTCTTGCAGCCGTACGACACTGCAGCCAAACTGCTCACACAGCCAGCCCTGATCATGACCCGTCAAGTTGAAATGATGAATGGTAAATAATTCAAGCAATCACAGCACGGTTGCACCACGTTCATACATTCATGGCTTGGCCATGCCCTGAAATAAACTAATCGACTTCTATTTTTGATGCTTCTAGTATTGGTGGGATTTGAGCAAGCCAACAAGTATGCGATTGTCGATCCATCAGGAGAACCGATTGGATACATTGCAGAGGAAGATACGACAATGGTGAAGGCGATGAGCCGACAGGTTCTCAGGACTCACCGTCCCTTCAAGGCTTCGGTTCTGGACCTCGAAGGGAATGAAGTCCTCAAGATTCATCGCCCATTCGCGTTCATCAACTCCAGAATCATGATCTCGACACCGGACGACCGTTTGATCGGCGAAGTTCAGCAAGAGTGGCACCTAGTTCGCCGAAAGTACAACCTTTTCACGATTGAGCAACCCGACCTGCCAACCATTGAAAAGGACGTGTCAACGACCGCTATTTCAAAGGAGCGAGCTGTGGATGGTCAAGGATTGGACAGAGTTCAGTTTGCCCACATCGATGGTGGATTTCTCGCCTTGGACTTTGATATGCAGGATGAGTCAGGACGGCCGATGGCGAGTGTGAACAGGAATTTTGTCGGGTTTGCACGAGAGCTGTTTACGGACAGCGGCCAGTACGCTCTTCGGTTTGATGCTGCGGTTATTCAGGACCTTCAGCAGGAGCAAGGTCTCGGCGCTACGACTGCCACAGCTACAGCAGCATCTTCTTCAGGAACTCCATCCATTGCAGCTGACGGCGGAAAGAATTTGCAGGTAGCCATGGAGATTCAAGCAGCCAAGGACGAGAGTGCCCTCGCTCAATTGGAGAGTCGAGGTGGGTTGACTCTAGATCAAAGAGCAATCATGCTGGCGTGCGCTGTCAGTATCGATTTCGACTACTTTTCTCGTCATTCTGGCAATGGGTACGTAAGCGTCCTTGACTTTCATCTGTTGTAAATTGTTACAGAGGCTTGTGATATGAATTACTAACACAGATGCCAATATTCACAATGCGTCACAGTGGAATTATGCCATTCCCGATGATGATGGGTGGCGGAGGAGGCCCAGCACCGGTCCCAAGTAACAGTTCAGACAATCCCGTTGGCACCGTCATTGGAGCAGGGGCAGGAGCAGGAGCTGGTCAAGTATTGGGGGGTACAGGCGCAGGTGCAGGTGCAGGCGACGTTGCAGGAGGCGCTGCTGGCGGTATGCCCTCGGCCCCAATGCCTTCACCTCCTGCTTCAGGAGGCAATGGTTGGGGAGACGACCCTCCTGCTGGAGGAGCAACGAACGACTGGGGAGAGGAGGTTTGGGCTGAAGATGGCGGCGACTCTGGAGACTCTGGAGACTCTTGGTTTGGCGGTGGTGGGAACGACAGTGGCGGTGGAGGTGGTGGTGAAGGTGGTGGCTTCGACTGGGGCGATTTGCTCTAGAATTAGAATAGCACCACATAGACGGTTACCTATCACAACAGTACACGTGCTATTTTCTATACGTTATTTGAACTGGGTCCTTGCGCAGCAATACCCTCTGGTGTAAGTCTAGATAGCTCAAGGCATGCCGTCCTACTGGGGCGTGAGAGAAAGAGGGCGCATTCCAAACAAAAAGGTGGATCACTGTTCTATCTTTGGAAAATTAGCGGCGTGTCTTTTCGTGCGCACATAAAAAGCGGCCTTGATGGCAATCTAATCCTTCCTCCCGACCTCAATCTCAATCAGCAATCCACTACCACCACAATCACAAACAACAAAAACCATGCCTCGCATTGAAGTATTCTCGGACTTTGACGGAACCATCAGCATGGCCGACACTGGCTGTATTCTGATCGACTCTGGAATGGGCTATGAGAACAGGAAAAAGATGGACGGAAAGATTCTTCGCCACGAAATGTCGTTCCTGTAAGAGTCCAGGCTGTCGCATAGACACTCTAACCTGTAACATATTACTTGTGAGTTTCAATTGATGCCAGTATCCTTCCTCACCGGTTTGCAGGGAAGGACCGTGACATCACTTATTAATTATTATTACATTTCACTGTTCAATGGGCATTTAGTGAAGGCATGGAACTCTGGTGGGGCAGTGTTGACTTGACATACGAGGAAGGATTGGATCTTCTGCGGGACGAGAAGCTTGATCCTGGATTTATTCACTTTTACCAGTACGTCAAATCTCAAGGGATCCCCTTCTCGATTGTCTCCTGTGGTCTCGATATTATCATCAAAGACTTCATGGGATGGCATCTGGGCAAGGACGAGGCCGAAAAGTTGGTGATCTTGTCCAACCATGGCGAAGTCGTCGGTCGCCAATGGAAGGTTACATACTACGACGATAGCCCTCACAGCCACGACAAGGCCGTTTGCATTCGTGACTCCAAGGCGACGTTCAAGATGACTGTTGTCAAGGACCAGAGGGAGCGAGAGGAGGCTGGAGAGACGGCGCTGCAGAAGCTGGAGCACATTGTTGTGTTTTGCGGTGATGGCATCTCTGATCTGAGTGCTGCCCGCGAGGCGGATGTCCTATTCGCCAGGAAAGGAAGGTAACTATTACGTTGGACTGTTGTTCCTCAAGCAAATTGTTAGACATGGCATCTTGGAACCTTGGAACCTTAGAACCTTCGCACCTTGGCACTTTGACACTAAGATGAATCTTCCCTGTTTGTGAATGGTTTAGGGATTTGGAAAAGTATTGCAAGATGCACAAGATCTCGTTCCTTGGGTTCGATACTTTCGATGAGGTCACTGCGGTTGTCCAGGGACTGGAGGAGGGCACGTTGACGATCGACCTTGTTAACGAGCGCCAGAGGGCATCCTGCGAGGCACCATAGTACTGAACGGCATAGTATCAGTGATATTGGATATTGACCGTTGGGGTTGGCAACATCACCCACACATGATTTGATCACAAATAAAAGCCGAATGAGTGAGACAGGACGAATGAAATTGCGTTTGTGAGTTCTCTACCAGTCCCTTCTCTCCTCGGGTCATTCGGGTCATTCGGGTCATTCGAGCCATTTGGCTGAGGAATATGTTTTTGCGACAAAGGTGTCAAGGGGATCGGAGTTGATTTATATGAAGCCTTGAGTGTCATACAATAGACTCTCTCTCTCTTCTCTTCTCTCTCTTTCTCTCTCTTTCATAACCACTTCGCTCTCATTCTCACTTTCCATCCCATCCCCACCCTTCTCTTCGTCCTCTTCGTCCTCTTCGTCCTCTTCGTCCTCTTCCTCCTCTTCCTCACTCGCTCTCTGCTACCCGCTATTTCTTTACCCATCATCCTCTTCTTCTTCTTCGTCTTCTTCTTCTTCGTCGTCTTCTTCTTCTTCGTCGTCGTTGTCATCCTCAAAATCCGTATTACCCCCTCCCTCTTTCGCCTGTCTACTTTCCAGCGTTCTTTGAGCGCTATTTTTACCACTGCAACCTCGTTCTTCGATCCCCCCTTCTTTTCTTTCCCTCTCTCCTCTTTCTCTTCCTGTAACCACAAACCATCGTCATCAGTCCACACCCCTTCCTCCTCCTTGGACCTCCTCTCTCTTCGTCTACAACCTACCACAAAAAGGTATGTATCATGCATTCATCCATGCCCTATCTCCCTCCCTCTGCTTATGCATACCGACCCAATCGTCACACACAGACATAGACAAACAGTTCCACCCCTCAACCGCTCTCTCTCTGTCACACCCCTTCCCGCTTGCCGTCCCGCTCGATCTAATTATTACCTTTGAACCAACCAAAAAAGAGGGAACAGACCTTAAAAGCCTTTCCTTCGATTTCTAAATTGCTTTCTGTATCATCTCTCTTTCTTCCGCTTTCTCACTTTCAACACTCTCCCACTCACTCCCATCCCAATCCACACTAACCTCCGCACTCACTCACTTCCTCACTTCTCCTCAAAGCTGCTGTCCCTCCTGCCTTTGCACTTTATCCTTCAAAACTCTCCTCCACAGCAACTAAAATAACAAAAGTCTTTAACAGACACTCATCATATCCCACCGTTCTCTTCCACAGCTACAATCCCCACAATGCACTCGTCAACAGCATTATCCTCATCGTCCTTGCCTTCGGCCTCAAACTCCCGTCCCCAAAGACCTAACAATAACAACAATAACAGGAAAAGCGGTCTGACCTCCGCTCTGCAGAACCAGAAGCAGAATCAAAACCAAAACCACACCCAGCCTCGCCAGAACAACAGCTACAACAGCAACAGCAACCCCCGTCATACCCAAAGGGCCCCAGAACAAATCAACTCTCGCCATCAGTCGACTCCTCCACAGCAGCGTGGTTACGCCAACAGCAACAACGGCAAGACTAGAGTTGGCACCGCCACCGGCAAGAACGTCTTTGCTGAGACTGCCGACTCTGGTGCTTTGATGCGCTATGTTCTTCAGCAGCAGCAGCAGCAGCAGCAGCGCCAGCAGCGAAACCAGTTCCCTCACCCCAACAACTCAAAGCCCTGCCCTCAGTCCCAGCCCCAGCCCTCTAAGGCTCGCCGAGTCCAGAGGCGTAGGGAGATCGACTCGATGACAGACTCTCTTGCCGGTGTCGACTTTGATCTGGCCTTGAACCAGAGCCCACCCTTGAACCACTCCAGCCCCCCTTCGTCCTCTGACTCTGACGACTCTGAGTCGACCTTGTCTCGCTCCAACCACTTCTCTGGTCCCAAGACCTACCGCCATCTCATCAACAGTCCTCCTCAGCGTCCTTCCTCTGCCCCCACTCCCCAGGCGCACTCTGCGTAAGTGCCCATATCTTTATAATCACTGTGGCGTCGACAAGGAGACGAATTGAAGAAGGCATTGAAAATACGACAGCGAAGATGAATTAGAGATGAAAGGAGGCTCCTCTTTCGCTCTGTTTATCTCTGTCTTTCCATCTCCTCGTTCAGTAGCCTCCTTCCTTTTCTTTTTTTTTGTTTCTTTCGCTCTTTCATCTCCCGAAAAGAAAGCCCAGTCATGCAGGAATCTTCACTAACCTTGTCCCTTTCAATCTTCGGAACATATCAACTGTCCATCTAGCCAGAGAACCGGCGGCTTCTCTCGTGCTAATTTGCCCTTCCAGGTTTACCCTTCTGTGGGGATGAAGCCCCGTTCCGACTCTGCTGACAAGGTTTTGTTGGCTGAAAGGATTCCCGCCGAGAAGAACGGACTCTATGCTGGCCCCACCTTCCACAACTCTCCCGCCCCCACCAGCTTGCCCATCCCTTCCTTTGCTCGCTCCCTCGGCAACAGCCCAGTCGAGCCCTCGGTTGAGAAACTCGCTTCTTCTCCCTTCTTTGGCGAAGCCGCTTCTCCTCAGCTCAACAGCATGCGCCTTTGGTCTCCCCAGCAGTTGACCCCTAACTGGAGCGGACACCACTCAACCCCCATGGGCATGAGCTACAATGTCCCTGATCGAATGGCCACCTCGAGTTTTGTTCCCCACGGCTCTGTCCCTCACGGTTCTGACCAGTTGATGGAGATTAGCCAGAACTTGCGCATGCTCCTGAAGATCCAGAGCCAGTAACTGCCCTTCGTCTTTCTCCTTTTCTTATTTTCCTTTGTACTTTTTTTTTGTGTCCTCTTCTTTCGTCAATTACTTTTATTTGCAGTTTCTCATACCCACTGTGTCTTTCTTAGTCGCGTTTTTTTTTCTTGTTCTTTTTTGTTATCCAGTCCAGGCTTGTTATTTGTTTTACCCGGATTGGATTGTGGTCTTGCCTTTGGGCGAGCTCATTCGCAATCCATCCACCTTTTTTATTATTTTGTTTCCACTTTTAGTCTTCTAGCTAGTGTACCACCAGTTCTTCTTCACCTTCGTTTTCTTCATCTTCTTTCAGCGCCTTTTTATCGTGGGCTAGAAAGCGTCGTTCTCGTTAGCTTGTTGTTTTTCTACTTATCCCATGTACTATTAGACGCCACCCTCATTGTTGTTGTTACACTTGTTTACTTTTCTTGTATTTGTATCGTCCACCTGTATAGCTTCTTTCTCTCGTTTGCTTTCATTTTTTTTTGTTGCAATTCCCTCCTACATGCACCTTCCCCCGTGTCATGAAACAACCCCATTTCTTTTTGAAAAAAAAATCTCAGCAAATTAGCCCTGATAAAAAGGACTTCGACAAAGGAGCAGGGGATGACACACATAGACACACATCCCCGCTACAACCCTAACCATCATCAGCCTACCTCCGCCCTTCTCAACTCGACAGACAGGAACGCCCCATCGATATCGGGCACGCGTGGTCCTTGTTGTCTCCTACAAGAAACGCCATCTTCAACGACATTGTCACACGACGATGAAACAAACAACCCTGACGATACATCTGGCCCTCATCTCGCGTCTCTTGATGCGAGCTGGACCTCCCTCTGCACTCGCCCTCGCATTGCTCTCATGATGCGTCCTTACTTTGCGGTGTGCGCGCCTACGCCTCGAGTGCTCAGGATAGGTCCCAATAGCAATGTCGTCTCTTGACACTCACTGCACAAATGAAATAAAAAAATATGAGCGAGGCATCCTGCCTCCTCTTTGTTTTTTTGTACACTATCGTCTATGGCCGTTTGTGCCTTGGCTCATTGTCATAGATATTCGATTTGGTTAAAGAGGTATTACACGTGACGTGGCCCTTAAATGCATTGAATAGAAGTATTTTGAGGGTACAATCCTTGCTTAATCACGCCTCTTCGCTCTTCATCACCGTGCCAGTAGAACAACAGAACATCGCCCAACGCACCCTCCAACGACGTTACACCTCACTTTCATTGGACTTTGCGTAGGACCATTTCATTCCTCTCCGCCTCCTTATTCTTCCGACTGTAATTTGTCCCACGTCTTCCAGCATCGTGCGTCTCCCATTTCACATCAAAAAAGTAATACCATAATGGTTGGTTGGAACCCCAAGGGGGAATATCGCGTCCAGCGAGGTGCCTCTTTGACAAACAGCTCTACAGGACCCTCCTCTACAGCATCAGGGTCTTCAGGAACGTCGGCTGAATTCTATCAATTCAAATGTAAGAACAGCATACACAGGTTTTCATAGGACAATCTTGAGAAACATTTCCGAACGCAACTAATATTGTCATGTTTGTAGACAACTTTCAACCAGAGTCTGTGGATAAGTCAAGGCCAGGAGGACTTGTTGGAAATGGCGAGACGTTTGAACTAGAGTTTTCAGGAAACGGAGGGTCGTCGTCGAACATCGATCAAGGCCATAACCACAGCGTGCTCAACGGAGGAGGAAATGCTGCAGGAGGAGAGACGTATTCGTGGTCTTCGACAGAACGACAGGGGCGACTCGTTGACTGCCTGTTGATTTTTGATGAAGAGACACAGGTAATCTGGTAGTTACTGTCTGTATTTGAACATGGCGATTTGCGTCTTGCTTGTGTGGACTGAGAAGGTGTTGGCTCACACCCGTCAACTATCATCTTAACGGGGGAATATTCAAAGACGGAGTATGCACGGTGGAGTATGGATGATAGATGATGATTGTAGCAACATGCGACTAACCAAACTGGACCTTGTATTTAATTAGACGTTCACATTGGAAAGGCAACACTCGGCATTCACGTTCATTCAGAACAGGAGGAACAAAGAGTCCAAGGCACAGGTGCTACATTTGCCCAACAGCAATCACGATCCGCATGCAACGGCGTCATCCCCAGCATCGAGCTCTGTAACCAGCACGCCCATCTTGCCAAGTCGACAGGGCAATGGCAGGATAGAGGGAAGAAGTATGGCTCCTGCATCTGGGCCGAGTGCTGCAGCATCTGCACCGTCATTATTGACACCCGCCTCCAACGCTGGAGCTCAGAGGAACGGACATGTGAACAATGGAGGCGATGCAGTAGGAGCCATGCAGGACCAGGAAGACGATGGGTTTAACGACGACGACTTGTTGATGGAAATGGAAAATGCGATCAATAACGTTGGAGATATACAAGGTGACGATGGCGATGATGAGGATGATGATGATGAGGAGATGGAGGAAGTGTTGACACCCGTGATCCTTCCTGCAGCCATGCCTCCTGTACCAACCACCCTTGCGCCGGCACCGTATTCATCTTCAGCGCCGGGCGGGAGAGGAGTCAACAGTAGCAAGCAGGCAAAAAAGCCCATTGTGGACATGCCCAAGACACCAGCAGAGCGGGCGGCAGCGTTTGCTAAGCCAGGAGGAGGGGATGGAGGCCCCCATAGGACCACACCACCTACCAACACTAGTGGCAAAACGTCTCGACCACGCAAGGCATCATCTTCTGGGAGCGAATCGGACTCGGGATCTTCGTCATCTGGATCTGGGTCTGGGTCGAGCTCTGGAAGCTCTTCGGGCAGTTCAAGTTCTGGATCAGGATCGGATTCAGGGTCAGGATCGGATTCAGGGTCGGATTCGGACTCTGGTAACGACTCGCGAAAGCGAGCCAAAAGATCACTGCCTGCTCCCGGAGGTGGTGTTGCGCATCATCCAGGACCGATCGGATTGGGTCTGTCAACACCGGTGGGTGAACCAGGATTCGGTGGTGGAGGAGGAGGTGGTGGTGGCCACATGACAAGTTCTGTCAACAATACACCAAAGTTGCCTGGTGTATCAAGGATATCCAAACCGGGAGGAGGATCGTCGTCAGTTGGGGCCACTCCCAAGTCGGGACTGGTCTTGCCAACGCTTGTGTCCCCCCAAGAGCGGCTATTGAAGCAACAGCAATTACAAGAGCAGCAAAAACAGGCAGCGGTGGCAGCGTCAAGGCAGCGTCAACCGTCGTCTCCTGGAGGAGATATGGAAGCGCAGAGTGAGGACGATGAATTGGTTGACTTTTTAGAAGGCCAGATGATGGTAAGTCATGAATCGAATCCTTTTTTAGCGATACCACTCAGTGTATATGTTTTAGGCATGACGCACTCACTAATTATCCCTTACGTTTTCTTTTGGAATTTATTTTTCTGCAGGAGGTGGACCCATCCTCTTCCGCGGTAAAGCCGAAAGGCCCGATATCGTTGAATGCGTTTACAGAGACGGTGGCAGGCGGTAGAGTTGACCATGATGACGAAGGAGACATCACCAGTAGTGACGATGACGATTGAGCCCCCCCAAAAAACAGCGCGCTTTGCTCATTTTATGCTTGATATTAAAACAAAATGACTGCCTGTATACACCTTATGTACGAATTTTTAAATGAATAGAGATGTTCACGAGAGTGGAGTGTGTGCCCAATTGCAGAAATTGGCGTGGGCGCGGGCATATTGTAAGCATGGGCAGTTGCAGTAGATTTTGTGAGCACAAAGGAAGGGAGTGTGAAATACGCTAATGGCAATGTCCGCCTAGTTGGACTCACATCAGGCGTTGTTGTTCTTTCTCCATTGAGATCTCGGATCAAGCTTCGGGATACGGAAGGAAAACGAACGAACGATTGACCACAAAGAAAAAGAATGGTTCGAGTGACCTTCTATATATACCATGGTCCACGACAATCAAACCGTCTGATATGTCAAGGGAAGCGACAAAGTGATGATGGGGACGTATTCGAGGTGAAAGATAAAATTTATTATTAGAAATTCAGGTACGATCACTGATTAAAATAAAATAGCCTGGGAGATGACCAGAGCGAGGACAAAGACTCCGGAGAGGGAGATCGACTTGACTGACGACGCAGTGCTGGTATTGCTGGTATTGCTGCTGCCCTTTTTATCAGGCTTGGCCTCCTTGGCGGGGGCAGCATTAGGGCAAGCGGCCAGGTTGCACAGGAAGACGCTCGATGTCAGATTGAGTGGCACAGGATTGACGGGTCCACCTCCACCGATGGAGATGGTATCTTGGCCGACGCAGAGGAAGGGGATGTTGTTTGCGGTTCCCTCTTTGACACAGCGCTTTACTTTGTCGTAGCGCAGGCAGGATGTTGTGTTGTCAGGGCGGAAGGTCTCGAGGCAGACGAATGGGGTTACTGTGGTGCTCATTGTGGTATGTGTTTGTTGGTTATTTGTGTACGACTATGGTCGGGTTTATGGAGTCTGGAAAGAGAGAGTAAAGTCGTTGGAAGCTGTTTGAGTCTGGCGGTGGGATAAAAAGAGAAGAAGGGAAGAAGGGAAGAAAGGAACGAAGGAAGGAAGAAAGGAAGGAAGAGAGGAAAAGGAAACAAACGAGGAAAAAGGAATTGAGCCAGTAAGACTACGTCTTATTATTTAAGGCTTTAAGGCCAGACGACCCAATCTGGGGAAGAACATAGTTCCAGGATTGGACATTTGCTCAGGGCAGTTGGACACAATAGTCGTGTAAGGGAAGAAAAGGGCCAATTGCGGCCAGAATAATGGGCTGGATGGTGGGAGGGCAGGGAGGGCAAAAAAAAAAAAAAGCCTGGTGGTTTGGGTTGTGAAGAGCAGTTTACCGTACGGAAGGGGCTACAGATTGCTTATTTTCTGTTGTTGGTTTGGCGCAGAAGGGGACGCACTTGGTTGTTTGTGCCAGGCTCACAAACACAGGTAAAATTAGATCAGGCTGTCGTAGTAAACTCGCCCCCTGTCTCTCCGACCTCCCTTCGGTATCAATGCAATACGTAGTACTGTGGCCGGGGTGGTTCTCTGCGATGAACCGACATCAACAATCTTTTTTATGACTTGAGGAAGCAAAAGGTTTGGTTGGTTAAAGTTTTACGGCGTCAAGTTCCTTGTCTTCTATTTTTGAGCGTTACAGGTTGGTCGTGTGAGCGCATGTGGACACAAATATCCAAAAATGAGAAATAGTTAGAGGATGTATAAATTGCTGCTTTGTCCCGTTGAAGCATGGGGGAAAGGCGTAACGTCAATGCCATTGCGTTCCCGCGAGGAAAGCAACTCTACTTTACCCTCTGTTTGTGCACTGGGCGTAAACCAACACCAATCGGTTATTGAAATGAGGATTCAGGGGAAATGCAACATGGTGGCCTTTTCATTTTCCCGCCTTGTAACTATGAGAAGGGAGCAGCAAATGGGTGCGAGGAAACAGGGAAAAAACACAAGATCGCGAAAGTGTGATTTGGAGGAGAGAAGGATGAAGGAAAGGCAATGTAAAGAAGAATAAGAACAGAACATGAACAATTGGATCCTTTTCGTTCAAAATGGCAAAGGGGACGACGTTGGGCAATGCGCGTAATAAAAAGAGCGGGGAAGAGGGAAGGAAAAGTAGGAGAGACAAGAAGATTACCATGATGGGTTGCAAACGAGGCATCAGAATGAGCAAGCACATCACACGAAACAACCAGGTTGTCCACATATATTGCAGTATCATCTTCTTTGTCGCCACTGGATAAAAGTGACCACGACAGACAAACAAATATAGAAACCGTAGCCATGTTCTTTTTTTTTCGTAAAGACCATCGATGTTGAGGAAAGCAACAGCAAGGGCCTGATGCTGAAGGGCAGTCAGTGGATGGACGGGTGATGAAAGATTATCCGCACTCCTGGGTGTTTGTATGAGGTCTCTTTAATGCTCCCCCTCTTTGTGCATCTTTTAGGATACCAGGTCATCCTAGACCCCTTGAATCATCGTCATCTTTCATAGCAACGATGGCTCATGGATACGGATACTTTCCTATCTGTCCTGGCTGCTCTTCTTTGCCTTTCTCGAAGCCGTGAGGCTTCTTTTTGTTTTTGGTTCGTGGTTGTTGCTGGAATGAGCCTGTACCCCTTGGTTCTCGCGTTTTATATAGCGCCTTGAAGCCCACGACAAGTGCATAGTACAACATGGTATGCCCTTGGCCCATGCCTTGGTCTTGCTGCTTTGCCAATCCTTTTTTCGATTGGCATTTGATGTCCCTGTCCCCTCAACCTTTTCACGTTTTGGTATTTCTCCGTTCTTTTGTAGTTATGTGTTTGCTATGCGTCCGTGAGTGGTGCGAGCAAAGGCAGATCAATGACAGAATACAAAAGGGTCAAAATGAGACTGAGGGTGTGACATTTACCCCACAGATTGAGTGTGACCTTGCGCACGTTTTCAAGTTCGCGTGCGCAAACAAACGAACAAATAAATAAACAACCACAAATACTGATTACTCTTTTCGAGAGCACCATGGGCACACCAGATAATGACCCACTCCTTGGCCCTTGTTCTGTGCATCTTACTTTACCCCTTCGCCCTCCTCTTTCCATGCTCTCCTCTCCTCTTCTTTCCTCTCTCCCTCTCCTGCCATCCTTCTGTCTCCTCGTCTTTCTTTGTTGCCTTCTCTTCTACAATGAAATTTGTTCAGATGTCCCTGAGGTGCCTTCTCACACTCTCATCCCTGAAAAAAAACAAATGCTTTTGAGTGCCCGTCTCCTGGCATATTAGCATCTTGCTCTGTCGACACCGACTGAGTCCTTGTCGCCTATGTGCGACGTCTGTCGGTAATAACAAGTAGCACTGGATTTGACCTTTTTTTTTTGTGGATTCAAGGGTCCATGGACAGACAGGAACATTGTCATTCCCCTCTTGAGCTTCTTATTTGTTCTTTCTCTCACATACGCACACCATCATTGCCGACACGAGTGTCACAGTACTCCACATCTATTGTGTTGTAAGATAATATTGAACTGGATTGGGGAAAAGTGGTAAAGTCTTCAGAAAGCCATACTTGTCCCCCCTTTCTCTCCCCCGCCTCCTCCAGGTCCAAATGTCCATAGTCAACAAGCAACAAATAAACCAATGCACGCAATAAAACCAACAAACTACAGCAGCCCGATGATGTGGATGCCATCCTATTTTCAATTGAGTCTTCTTTTTCAATCTTCTTCTTCCTTTCTTCCTTGTTCTTTCTACAGCTCTCCTGTACCTTCATTCCCCTCCGTTCATATGTCCTTTCACTCAATGATATTAAACCATCATCCCGGCCCTTCTGCTTGTCTTTAATTAGCGTCAACATCAACATCGACATCCACATACCACCCACAAATACACCCAATTTCAAGTATAAAACTATTTTCCAACCCTTCATCTTACATCCATCTTTCTCTCTCTCTCTCTCTCTATCTCTCTCTCTCTCTTTCTCTCTCTCTCTCTCTCTCTCTCTCTCTCTACTGTCCCTCCCTACTTCATCTTGCCTTGAGATTGTCATACCCGATACCTTATACCTCTTACCAATTGCCCCACACGTTTCGTCCTGCATCCAGTCCTCGCTTTGCTTGCTAGCAACTCAAACTTCCGTCACCATACCAATTGCACCTCCACTACTCACATTCTCTTGTTTCCGCATTTCTCTGTCATCCCCTCGTTTGTCCCTCTACAATAATCGACACACCCCATCGAAACAACTGCGAGTCCGTGCGCCCTGTCAAATTCCTGTGTGCTGCTTTTCTCCGAGTGCAACATCTTGGTAATTAACCTTTGAGCAATTCTGCCAATGAAGCAACCAGGACTGTCGCATATGGAGTGTTCTTTCCTTCCGTTTGTTTCTCCACGTCTATGTTCATATTTCTCCATCCCCTCCCTTCCTTTCTCTGCCTTTGCAATACTTGCTGTTTGACATGAACGGACAACTCTTAGTCCTGTCAGGGGATGCAAATTACAGTTTATCTCATGAGTGAGGTTCTGCATGCTCCAACGCAACTACACCTACACCGACCCAAACCAAACTTGACTGTCACCCCCAACATAAACACAAACACCACAGAGATCCATGACCAACTACACATCCCCTCGCGACGCTGCTTGCATAGTCAATCACCTACGGCCACATCACCCTCCCGCCAAACTCCATCGGACTTTTCTTCGTTCTCTTTATTTGACACATCGATTTTACTTTCGCTTTCGCTTTCTTTTTTATTTATTTTGTTACATAATAGTGCCTTTACGCGCATTATTGTGCCTTATTTGCCCTTTCCTAAAGACTCTCCTACTTTCTTTATTCAACCAACTCGTTCCGCCACCTCCACGGAGCAGCTGTCATTTATAGCCATTCGCAATTCAAACCTTCCCTCTCTTATGATCCACCTTTCTGAACCATCCTAGTTCTCCAATCTCTGCTCCCTTTCTCTCGACAACTTTTCTAATTTATCTCCCTACTCCTCTACTCTCCTACTCTGGGCAACCACAGCAGCCGACCAAAAACAAGAACGTATAATGTCTTCCCGACCATCGAACCGCCTCAGTATCGATGTGACAGTAGCGGCATCGGCAAGACGCACATTGCCATCCCCAATGTCGTCAAGTACCACCTCGCCGCCTTGTCCTCTGGAAGAAGATATGATCTCGACAGCAACTCTATCCCACCCTCCAACGTTATGGATTCCATCAGTACCCTATCCATCCAACAGCCATTACTCACAACAGACAGCAATGCAACAGATACAACAACAACAACAACAACAACAGCAGCAGCAGCAGCAGCAGAGGCAACGATACCGGAGCCTGTCGGGCGGCGGAGGACCCTACTCGGCCCAGCAAAGTGGACCTTGGGGAGGCCCTGAACCCAGTATGAATAGACGTCCCAGTCTTCCTGCTAACCACCACCAACACCAGCAAATGAACAACCCATACCCTCAACAAGGATATCACAACTCGCACCAGTCGAGCTACTCTCAACAGCAACAGCAATTAGTGATGAGGGAGCAGCAACAACACCATCATCAGCAGCAACAGCAGCCGCCATTAACTCCTTCTACGCCTTCTTCGAGTGCACCTGTTGTCCGGCACCCATTGTGGAAGTTAGAGTGTGCCTCATGTAAAACGACGCTGTGCGAACAGGCGATGCAGGGTCACCTTGTCGGTGATCCATCCAAAAAGTTGTTTTCCACTAATCTTGCCCTTGGGTATGTCTTTTCCATCTGTTTTCGCCGCATGTGAACAACTGACTTCATGGAGACATAGGACAGCTTGGTTGAAGCACCATGGGCTAATGTATCTTGTATCTTTGTACATTTCAAATGGTAGCGTTCTTGGTCTACCTGATCGCCCCGTGTCGATCATTTGCCCGTGCAAGTTCCATCTCTTTGCTTGTGCCAGCTGGTACGTTGCCGTACTCATGTCAATGCCTAACAGCAGCATATAATATGCAGACTCGCATGCATGAACCAATTCTCATACTGGACGTCATTTCTCGATCTTATTCATTAGTGGAAGTGTGTGCGGGTACAACTTGAGTCAACCGTGCTCAGGATGCGAAACAAACAGAGGAAACGGACACTTTTGGATCTTTTACGCACACGAGATCGTTCCCCACTGGCGTACGATCGGCGACCGCAATATGTTTTGGGACGACCTGCCTACATGGAGCAATAAGGCGACGGATGGCAATGTGGGGCGCTAGTATGTACATTTTTTCCCGCCTTCTTTAATCTCTCGTAATTCTGCTGTCTAAGGACAGCCTCGGAAACCTTTCATAAGCTGCGGAACTGAATAGCCACACCATCCGCACAATCAGTTGCCATGCCTTTCACATCCGATTCCGCTCCTCTTGTCTTCTTGCATTGTGTCGCTATTTCTACTTTTTTTTTCTAGCCTTAATATTCTGTGATTTACTCTCCAGGTGCCTTAACATAATAGACCAACAAACAGAAGCTGCAAAACGGAATGAAAAAAAACTGCGCGCTGTCTGCAGATCGCATAAGTTGAGGTGGTATCATTTTATTTCGCAATGACCCATAAACTGGGTATGGTCATCGGATTGTTATTATCCATCGGCCAGGGAGGATGAGATAAAGGACAAGGTCTTTTTGGAAAGCGTTGTCCGTGTTGGAAATGAGTATGAATCTGAAGTACAGATTACTAAGGCGAAGCAGTTTCTATGTTCGGCAGAGATGGTGGTTATCAATGATGGTAACTCAGTCACTTAAATTGATCGAGAGGAGACTTCTTCCAGTCAGGACTGGCAGGGACATCCCTTTTTCTTATGTCTGTACGGCTTACGCTATCTTCATTAGCAGACCCAAATGGATACCATCCCTCCCGTTCTCCTTATCCTTTCATTTTGTGTGTGTTATCGTCCTTGTTTTATGATTGTTGTCTTTCTTTAGTCACTTGAGTGCTCTCACACTCTTTTTAACAATCCTTGCTCCACTTTGCCTCTTGCTTGGGTATTTGTTGTTACGGCATCTTCCTTGACTCCTTCCAACTGCCCCTTCCTTTGATCTCCCACCCTGTCTATCGTGCCTGTAAGTGTGTATGCTAACTGGCCATTTTCTTCGCAATCCACACAATCCTTTCTTGTATTACGTATCTCTTTCATTCTCTCGTCTTCCTTTCTCTTCATTTCTCTTTTTTATTATTATCGCAGTGCAGTACCAGGATCCACACGCCACGCACACGAAAACAATAGCCATTATGACAACAGCATATACGATAATAGTAACAACGACAATGCCGATTACTCGGAGCAGCATTATATTGGGTATTAAGGACTTGAAAGTAAAGATGGTCAAGCGGGTATGGCCATGGATTAAATCATCTTTGGTATGATATGATTGGTGAACATGACCAAGAAGAGTTGGTGCATAATCAAGGAGGGGCGGGAGGCGAGAAGCCCAAATCTCGCGCGGGCATTGACGCCATTTGACCAGCACAAAATGCAGGAACTATATGTTCGACCAGAGCATGTCAAGTCCAAGGGGGACGCCAAGACCAGGCTGGAGGACTATTGCAGGCTATTCAGGATCCATTAATGCTGGCGTGAATGTGTTACGAATGCGATCCTTGTGATCGTGATGACCAGAGACGTTGACGAGGGACAACACCAAGGTCAAGAAAACAGTGTTGGGTTGTTCAATCTGTGCTAGTCGTTTATTTTTGGTCTGTGGCCTGTTTGAGCGCCATTCGCCTTTTTGGATCGACTCTGTATCTTGCCCTCAGGGTTCTCTCTGGGTAGATGTCTGTCTTTCTTATTATTTCATTAATACTACCATGTAATATTGCTCTTCTCGCTTGCAGACACCCCGTTTGTTCTTACGAAAATAACGCGGGTGTCGTGTGCGATTCGTTAGGTGGAGATCGTCTCCAACGAGGGAGGGTGTGCACGTTTTTGAGAGAGTACACTCTGAATACCAGCGGTAGAGTAGGGGACCCAGATCAGAAAGACAAGAATATCCAGCTGGACATGGAATCGATGGAATTTCCTTTTGGCCAGGCTGCTCTCAGCAATAAGCAATAGTCTTGCCTCTTGAACAACTGGTCCTGTGTGGGTTGCCTTGAGTGCTTGCTCAAACCTCAAAGTTCAATGTCGTGTTCCTTATCTTTTGCTTCTCTGTTTTCGTTTGGTTGTTGGTTGGTGATTGTTAGTAGTTGCTTGACTCGGGGGTAGAATAGGGCTCTGAACCGAGGGGAATTCATTCTCGAAGTCCTTGCTAGATGTGAGAGTGAAATAGAGTTTTTTTCTTTCTTGGATAGTGTTATTTTTATCGCCCACTTGTTCTTATTCATGTTCCCTTGGCTAACAACAGTACCAGCAGCAGCAGCAGCATAAGGAAGGTAAGTTAGCGTCCAGTCAATTTGAAATTTCATTTCCGCTGGTGCAGAATCTTGTTCGTGTCCCTGTCAATTGTGATCCAGGGGTAAGTACACAGCTTATAGCGAGAGAGAAAGAGGGCAAAGTGGAAGAAGAAGAAGAGGAAGAGGAAGAAGAAGCCTGACCCATTGCCTGGACATGGACGTATCAGCATGCACCATTTGCTATAGATACACCAGCTATTCCCTTCCCGCGGTTCAATCGCCTTCCTGTTTGAATACTCCTCCAATACCTGCAATAGACCAGCAGCACACCTTATCCTTTTCCCTCATGTCCTCATTGGTCAACGGCCCATTTGTTTCTTTTTGGCCCTTTGCTCTCAAAAAAATAGAAAAAAAAGTCCCTCTACAGTTGTACTTCATCAGCCGAGTCGCGAACCACCAACGGCCCATCTGATGGTCATCTCGTTTAAAAGGTCAACCACTTCTCCATCTCATCACCTTTTCTTTCTTTCTTCCTTAGTTTTCATCCTCATCCTCGTCCTCTCTTCACACTCACCCACTCAACTCACACATACATACACATTCATATCCCAATATGACTTCCCCCATTGAGATCGTCAACATGTCCCCCCAGGACTACCGCAACCGCAAGGTCGCCCTTATCACTGGTAATACATTAGTTCAGTCAACCTCTAACCTTCGATCTATCCGGGACAAGCAGAAGCAAGCAAAAGCAAGTCAATAGACGGATCAGCGCAAGGAGCCGGTCAATACAGCAGATCGACTCAAGTGGCATCTCGGCAGAAGGAGCGCAGCAACACCCTTTGGCATACCAATACATCCTTCACCTTCACCTTCACACTCACGCTTTTCCTGTCCTCGCAATGGAATTTTCACCATAGGTATCACCGGTCAGGACGGTTCTTACCTCGCTGAGCTCTTGATCGAGAAGGGTTACCAGGTCCACGGTATCATCCGCCGCTCCTCCTCCTTCAACACCGGCAGAATCGAGCATCTGTACAAGGATGCCCACGAGAGTAAGTTATCCTCCATTGAGCTCTTGTTCAACAGCGGTTTCTTACCGTTTGACTACTCTAAATACGACAGGAAGGCAAGAAAACAACACACAGGAAGGGAGATTCTAATTACACGTAGTTGTCTACGCTTTTTCTTTTTGTTATTCGCCCTAATAGACCCCAAGATGCGTCTTCACCACGGTGATTTGACCGACTCCACCTGCTTGGTTCACATCATCTCCAAGGTCCTCCCCACTGAGGTTTACAACTTGGGTGCCCAGTCCCACGTCAAGGTCTCCTTCGATATGTCCGAGTACACAGCTGATGTCGATGCCGTCGGAACCCTCCGTCTCCTCGATGCCATCCGCACCTGCGGCCTTGCCCACCTCGTCCGCTTCTACCAGGTACCTTTTTTTCTCCTATCAAGCTGACACGCTTGCAGTACTTTGTGAAGGCAATACACAACAGCTCCTATCTCCTTGTCCTCATTCACCGATCAGGGCAGACAAGCAAGCCTTCGAAAATGAGAAGTAGCTGTTTATCTCAATCCACAATTCCTAACTAAACGCTACCGCTCTCACCTTTTCCTTCTTCAGGCCTCGACCTCTGAGTTGTACGGAAAGGTTGCCGAGATCCCCCAGAGCGAGACCACCCCCTTCTACCCCCGCTCGCCCTATGGTGTTGCCAAGATGTATGCCTACTGGATCACCATCAACTACCGTGAGGCCTATGACATGTATGCCTGCAACGGCATCTTGTTCAACCACGAGTCTCCTCGCCGTGGTCGCACCTTTGTCACCCGCAAGATCACCTGCGCTGTTGCCGGCATCCACCTCGGCAAGCAGGAGTGCCTCTACCTCGGAAACTTGGACGCCAAGCGTGATTGGGGTCACGCCCGCGACTATGTCGAGGGTATGTGGCGCATGCTCCAGCAGGAGACTGCCGATGACTTTGTCCTCGCCACCGGAGAGATGCACACCGTCCGTGAGTTTGTCGAGAAGTCGTTCAAGGCCACTGGCAAGACCATCCGTTGGGAGGGCTCTGCCGAGGAGGAGGTCGGTATCGATGATGAGGGTGTTGTCCGTGTCCGTGTCGACCCTGCCTACTACCGCCCCACCGAGGTCGAGCTCCTCTTGGGACAGCCTGCCAAGGCCAATGAGAAGCTCGGCTGGAAGCGCAAGGTCACTTTTGACGAGCTCGTTGAGGAGATGGTCAAGTCCGACTTGATTGGTGTTGCTGCCGGCGATGTCTTCAACTAAACTTGTTTGAGTTACTGTTTCTAGAGTCCTTTTTTTCATCCTCCAATAGACGACTATTCATTGTATCATAGTTAGACATACCCTTTACATAAACGATATATTACTCAAAACCCCACCTGTGTGTTATATATGTATGCATGTGCATTCGTTATCATCTCACTCCATCTGTTTGCCCTGCCCCAGAATCACCAGAATTTTGAGCTACACACAAATTGTACAACACTGTCAAATTGCATATTGCATAAGATTTATCAGGTTCAGTCGTCATGTATTTAGACATTGACTGTACTCCCGTCACTCGCTTTCCCTGCGTGCTGTGAAGCACCTAATTTGGATGCCTGTTCCCTGTGTGTGCGTGTGTGAATGAGGGCTGTGGCTGAATGAATGATTTATTTAATGACCAAGTGTGCTTACACGCTCTTGGTCAGTTCAGTATCGGACTTAGACTCTTCCTTCTTGTCCTCTTTCTTATCCTCCTCCTCGTCATCATCATCCAATTGATCGGCATAAACCTCAGGGTTGGCACGGAAACACTCCTGCATGGCCTGGAACTTTTCGACACAGTCATATCCCTTTGGTTCGGAGGTAGAGAACACAAAGCAAGAGAAGGCCTCCTTGAAGGCGTCTCCACAAGGAGGTTGGGCCATACCTCCGAGACAAGGGCAGTCCCAGTTGATCTCGCCTGTCTCTGGGTTGAATGCTGCCGATTGGTCCTGGGGTGCTGAAGAAGAGGAGGAGGATGAAGCAGAGGGAGTGGGATCGGGGGTTGTAGCCGCTGAGGGTTCGAGGAACATGATTGTGTCCTTTCCTTCGTCTCTAGTGTATGACATATTTGCTAGTTGGTCGTTGGGTGGGTTGCTAGGGTATAGACGGGGCGTTCCTAGAAGTGGAAAAAATGCACCACAAGAGTCACGTCAATACCCGGATAAAAAAGAATCGTTTTTGTTGTTGCTGTTTGTTGGTATTGTTGTTGATTCATGATTGTTTTATGATGATCATTCTGTGGATTGAATGTGGTCAGAGAATGTGTGTGTATCCTGGAGTCTAATGTGGTGTCCGTACCAAGAAGTAAAAAGCGGCGCTGCGATCGAACGGAGGGGGAGAGAGTGTGATCCTGATCCTTGAGGAGAGTAAAAGCAAAGGGTTCCAAGAGCACCGCTTCTCGGCCCTTTTTGTATCAACAGAGTCAACGCCGATGGGCCTTGTTGACACTACAATAGGCAGTCACTCGATCACTTTATTATTGGTGGCGCATTCCAGTGGTAGATGGTGTATCTGCCATAACATGGCGACGCTTAAACAGTTCCGGCGACAAGTACAAGAACTGTATGAAGGTGGCCACGGCACCCGATCTCATCGTCCGTAAACTGCTCTGCCTTGGCTCCATCCTGTTTAAGCATCAATATGAGACTGTTTGAAGCCTCAAGTGTCGTTTCATGTTCCATAGATTCCTACGTCTTTCCTGTTGGCGCCCCGAAGAGCGATAAACAAAAAATAAAACAAAAAGCTGCAGGAAAGATTTGGCTAAAGGATTGGGTTTATTTGGGTTTGAACAAAAAGGAAAAAAAGAATTAGGAAAAGATCCTAATGATTTATTCCTGAGCGGCAGTCTCCTTCTTGGGAGCAGCCTTCTTCTCCTCCTCGACGCCGGTGGCACGAGTGTAGATCCACTGGGCACCGTGGGTGGAGACGGGGACGATGACACCCTGGTTGGCGAGCTCACGAATGGCAGCGCGGGCAAGGGAGCCGTTGATGCGGAGACGGTCAACGAGAACGGAAGGCGAAACGAGCTTGTAGGTGGGGACCTCCTTCATCAACTTGTCGTAGGTGGTCTTGTCGAGGATGACGGCGTTGTTGGCCTTGTCCTTAACCTTTCCCTTGGACCACTTCTACTCATATGCAGGGAGCAAAATACAAAAATAATGCAATGTGTGAGTATTCCCAGTTGTGCTTGATAGGGGTCAAATAGGAGTTCCTTGATAGTGCACTCGGCCCAATGGATTGATGGCAAGCGAGGCTTTCGTCGTCTTTTCGTTGTGTTTGTGTGTACGCCTGTCCGACTTTCTATGTCGTTGTCATCTTGTTGTTCTGAATCAAGGAGACAGATTCCATTGCTGTTGCTGATGTGTCTGACTGGTCGTTTTGGATCTAGTGCAGACGGATTCCATTGCAGTTGCGGTTGCTGCTGCTGTTTTTGTTGTTGTTGTTGTTGTTGTTCTTGATGCTGATGTATCTGACTCGTGTAGAACAGATCACTACACTTTGCTCTCCTTGCTACAACTTCATCCTTTTCTCTCTCCTTGCTCGTTACTCCATTGCCGATCGGAATCGAGTTTGAAGATCAAGAGCTCCAATATTTTCGTTGTGTTTTCTTCCACTTCCAGAAAGGAAAATAAAGACATCCCGCGGCGTTGAAACTCCCGCTTGCTTCTTTTTTGTTGTTTCCTTATCCTTCCTGCTGTTGTTGATATTTGCTACTCCTGACTGTTGTTCCGCGAGTTGCTCTGTCAAAGAAGTGTATAGTACCTTCTTCTTGGCTTTGCCACCCGAGGATGACGTAGGCTTAGCAGCAACGTCCTTTTTGGCCTGTTGACAAGGAGAACGCACAAGATATTGAAGAAAGAGGTCAGTACACTGGAGTCAAATGGGCCATTGCGGTAACTGAGGAGGTATTCCCTAACCCATATGGGTTGGTTGTTGTTTCTTGACAGGCAAACGATCCTGTTTTTTTGGTTGTCAGTGTTGATCTTGTTTGTTTGTGCTGGTTGATGAATATGTTGTGTTTCTTAGTAGTTTGATGAAAGAGGTTTCGTTGATCCTGATCAGGGTGTTTGAGCTTCTGATTCAGAGAGACAGTAAGTCAAAGAGAGTTCCTGGATGAGTAAGATCACTACCCCACTCTTCTTCTTTTGTGGAGATGAGTGAGAGGGTGAATCGACGGTGATTGGAGCCACAGACATTGGTGACAATGGCTGATAAGTTGTTGTTGTTGTTGGGATGATGGTGTGTGTCGATATCCTGTGGTTGAATGAGGGTGATCGATCGATGGATGGGCGTTGTTGACATGGTCCTCCTAGTACGATGGATGTATGTCCGATATATCCGATAGATATGTATGCGCACCATATTGAATCTGAGCAAAAGAGGAAGAAACACTTTCGCCTGCAGTCGACCGTCGTCTTTACACATTTCTCCCTTGACACCAAAGCATAAGTCACGAGCACACCGTCAAGTCAGGTGATCGATTAACGTGGGCAATTCTTTTTTTAAACTGTTCGTTCTTCACCTTCCATTGCCCATTGCCTTGCCTCCCCTCCTTTCCTTCCCTTCCGCATCCATCTTCCTTCTCTCCTCCACCACTTCCTCCTCTACGTCCACTCTCATCATCCCCATTCTACCTCCATCCTCCTTCTCTTTCTCCTCCTCTTTCTCTTTCTTTTTCTCCTCCTTCTCTCGTACTCTCACTTACTCTCTCTCTTGCACTCTCTTTCTCTCTCTCTCACCCCTTCCTCCTCGCACTCTCTCCTCTCCTCTACTCCTTCAGCACTATGAACCGGGCTCACTCATACGCTCAGGTGAGGCACTTTTTGTATTATTTCTTGTTTTACACAAGACAAGGACAACCACAACCGCTTTTCCACAGTGTATCCTCTCTACCTGGCTATATCTCTGCCTTGTCTCGGCTCGCATTTTTTTTGTTCCCTGCACCGCAATTTGCGTCTGTTTCTCTGGGCTGTTCTCTCCCTGCCTTGCTCTTGACTTTTTTTTCTTGCGTTGCCTTCACTTTCTTCATTGCGGCAGTGAGCGACCCTTTTGTGGCAGTGAGAACGGGAAGGTGTGGCTAGGGGTGAACAGAATAGCAACAACAACAGCAACTTATCCCACATGCACATCCCACACACCAGCCAGCAAGCAGGCCACATGCATAATAATCAGCCATTGCCAAAGGGAAACAATGGGACGTTGGGAACAGCGGCAAGGAGAGAAGGCGTGTTGATGGTCCACGCCATCGAGTGTTCTGTATAGAGACTTTCTATGTATTCCTTGGCATCTTCGTCAACGACAAGATATGGCAAGATACGATCCCTTCCGGAACAAAGGAATACCCAGAAAAGAACAGAAAAAAAAAAAGAATACAATAGAATAGAGGGAACAACCAACCAACCTAGCCCAGATAACTAACCATAACTCACCTTTGGTTTCTCTCTTCATTGTTATCCATTCCACCTTCTCCCTTTTCTCCAACGAACTCTGCGGTACCCCTTCCAATCCACCCCCTTAATCTCTGGTCCCCCTCTTCCCTTCCCCTTCCTCTGCCTCTTACACCCACTCATTAAAAACACAACAATAGGTTCCTGCCCAGGACTCCAGCAGCAGCAGCAACAGCATAAACGACGACATTATCACCCCCAGCAACAATGGCGGCGGCAGTGGTAGCCCAACTAGCGGGATCAGCAGCAGGAGCAAGGGCAAACAAAACAGCAAAGGATACGCAACCCTCCACAACGACGATGATGACGACGACGACGTCGCCGAGGATAGCGTCATGCTCCGACCTATGACCACAGCCTCCTCCTCAGCCCCCCGTCGGTCAATATACCCCAGTCGCCGCCAGCACCGAGTCAACGACCACGACGACGAAGAGGACGACGACGATTTTGATGATAGTGAGATTTACGACCATCAAGACGATAACGAAATCTCAGTCGCGCCACCAGTACAAGGATCGTCTTCCGCGTCGTCCTCCTCTGCTGCTGGCCCATCGTCAACATCACTTAATACCGCAGGCAACCGGGGATCCTCGTCTTGGTTTGGTTCTAGCTCGAGGGGCATGTCTGGCGCACGGACAACCAACCGGTCGTTCTTGGCCCGATTGACAGGTAGACAGCGACCAGACCGGGATGCCCGCATTATGATCCAAACAACCATGGACGGTGTATTTTCCAACCTCTCTGCCAAACCCCGTGTCGAGAAGCCCATTGAAGAAGAACTCCCTCCAGTACGTTCTCCCTTGACTTCAGTCATGTCTTGTATTATTAATGATTAATTCAAATCAAACTTACCCTACCTCGCTCTCTCCCTCTCCTTCCCTCTTGTTATCAATTGATAATAATAGTCATACAAGTCCGCTGCGTTAGATATTTCGCCTGCATACTATGAGACGACAGTTAACTCCCCAGCTGCTGGCTTCTACATGGATGAGGACGAAGCCCTAGTGGACGGTCTCCCTGTCGGTGGGCTCCTTGGCTTCATGTGGAACATGATAAGTACGTCCATATGCTCGTCTTGTTTGCCAAAGATTGAATGTCGCTTACGAACAGACATCGGGAGAGGAAGATAGTTAATCCTAACAAACAAACATTCCCCATTTTTGCGTTTGTTTACAAAATAGTATCAATGAGTTTCCAGTTTGTGGGATTCTTCTTGACATACCTTCTTCACACCTCACACGCGACCAAGAACGGATCCAAGGCTGGATTGGGCTTTACCTTCATGTCGATGGGCTATCAGATGTTACAAGGCAAATCTCTGACAGAAGATGGCACCTCTCAGGACGAACCTTCGCTCGATGCTGACACTGGTTACATGGGCAACATCCCTCCAGCATCCGAGATAGACCTGCCCCTCCAGTCGACGAGTGAATACTATTGGCTGTCGTGGTTCATGGTCATCTTGGGCGCAGCCATTGTTGCCCAATCCCTGTTTGAGTTTGCAAGGGCCAAGAGGACTCAGATAGTGGTCAATGCTTCCTCCTCCGAAGTATTGGAGGAATCCGTGAGTGCTAGTACTGCGGCAGGCGCGGCTCAGGCGTTTGCTTTGGCAATGTTCACTGCACAGACCAGCCCCCAACCTGTACCTGCATCGGCTTCTACCTCTGGGTCAGGATCAGGATCTACTGCAGGCGCAGCAGCGCCAGAATCTACTTCTGCACCCCCATCGTCTACAGCAGCAGGGGTAGCACCAGGAGAACCAAGTGGATCCAGAACAGTAGTTGTAATGATGCCATAGAATCGAGCAAAGTGTTCAATATATAAGAAAGTAGATGACTCCCTATTCCTCTCATACCAATGTGCGTTGATTGTGTGAATCAATAATTACTGCCGCCTGTATTGTTGATTGTTCTAATGCTCAAAGAATAATAGCACGGTGTTTTCTCCAAGCTCCATGCGACCATTATGCTCCACGCGACAACCTCTTCGTCTCGTCCGGTGTCAGTTTCAGCACCTGTGCCACCACAGGGACCAATTGTTGCTAAAATCACCAGGATCAGGCAAAGGCAAGAAAATGGGGAACGTTAGTGGAATGAATCAATTATGGGTTCAGTTAAGCGTGAGCACCTCAATGATAATGACAATTAACGAAAAGTAAGAAACTTACACGACGTTCCTTGTGCTCCATAAAGTTCAGGAGGACGTTCTTAAGGTACTCGACATTGACATCGTCCTCGGGTTGCTGGAACATGCGACCAAAGTTGGGCGTGCTTGGAGGTGTCGACTGAGGGGACATGGCTCCAGCCCTGCCGCCTCTTGCTCCTGCAGCTGGTGCGGCTCCTCCGACGGTTGGTGTGTGGGGTGGTGGAACAGCAGAGCCGGGGTGTCCAGGTGTCTGGGGAATGGGTCCTCCGGGCGTGAAAGGGCCTGCCTGTGAAGATGGGGATCCAGGGACTTGCTTCTGTAACTTTCTCACTTCCTCCTTGAGCGTCTATTTAACGATTTCAAGGTGCGAAATAATAGCAGTAAAGGTTAGAGAAAGAAAAGCATTTGGGAGCAGTTATAAGTTGGCGATCGCAACGACCTGCCTTGACTTGTTAATTACCTTGTTCATAGTGCGGAGATGTCCTTCCCGCATCTTGGACTCCTCCACATACTTCTCGTGCGAGCTCTTCTCCTGTGCCAAAATCGCCTCGAGATCCTTGAAGTGTTGCTATTGTTCATATCCATCCCAACAGGAGGTAAAATAACGTTAGAACTATGCTCGGCGGAACTTCCAAGTATGTCAATATGTAACAACAAGGTGACCTACAAGTTCGAGCTCAAGGTTGCGTTGGCGTTCCCTCATCTCGTGGAGTTCGGCTTCTGCAGAATCAACCTTGGTCTTTTGCTCCTGTTCAACCACTTTCAGGGTCTTGACCTCTTCCGTTCGTAGAGTCTCAGCGACCTTGATCTTGTCCAGCTCCGCCTCCTTGGAAGCGACAGTATCCTTCAATTTGTCAATCTCGGCACTCAAAGTCTCTCTCGTCTCCTCAACCTCCTGCTGTAGGTTCTCAAGGACACTCCTCTGGCTCTCACTGCGCGTCTTCATGGTCGCCTGGATCTGCTCAAGCTTGGTCTCGAGGTCAATTGCCTTGCGCCGGATACCTTCACACTCTGCGACCTTGGACTCTGCCACTCGCTTGGCATGTGAGGTCTCCTCCTCCAGCATTGACACCCGGTCGCGAGCCTCCTCCAACTGGTGGCGGTACTCGCGCATCTCGTGCTCGACATTCTCGAGCGAGGTCTGGGACGACTCAAACTCGGCCTGCTTCATCTGGAGCTGATCAAAGTACTGATCCTTCTCCTGAATCAGCTTCTCCTTGTCTTGGACCATCTTGGCCTGGACTGCCTGCAGTCGAGACAAATCATTGGTCACTGTCGCCTGCTGCGCCGCTGACTTATTTGCCAACGTCTTGGCCTCCTGTGTCGCCTTGGCCATCGCCACCTTACAGGCCTCCAACTCGTCCACAGCCTCCTGCTTCTCTTTCTCCAACCGCAGGATCTGCTTCCGTGTCGTCTTGAGAAGTGTCATCGACTTTTGCAGCTTCTCATCGTCTTCAGCCTTGGCTTTCCGGGCGAGCTCGAGGTCCTCATCGCGCTGGTGAATAATCGATTTGGCGAGGGCCAAGGCTTCCTTGGTATCCCGATCCTTCATCGTCAAAGTGCTGACTTTGCCCTGGAGCTCTGTCACCAGCTGCTGTCCCTCTGTCTTGGCGATCGACATTTGGCCATTGTCCTCCTCCAACACCCTGAGCAACTTGGTCGCCTCGTCCTTTTGAGCCCTGGCATCCTTGAGTTGTGCCTCCATCTCTGTCTGCTGTTGTTCCAAGATAGCCTTCTCATCCGACAATGACTTGATCTGATCCAGCAATTCAGAGATCTCAGTAGCGGTCGACGATTGAGACTTCTGCAGTTGCGACTGGACCTTGGTCAGCTCCGTCTTGGTCTCGTCCAGGTCCTTGGTGAGCTGGGCGACCTTCTCTTCAGCCTCCTGTGCCTTGGACGCTCCATCCTGAGCACCCTTGGCCACCTGCTCGACCTCTGCAACCTTAGCTAGAGCGATATCCCTCTCCGCAACAGCAGCCTCATGCTTGGTCTGGGACTCCTTCAAGGCAATTTCTTTCTCCTGGCCAATCTTTTCAAAATCTGCACGGGCAGCCTCCAAATCCTTGGTCAACAACTCCTTCTCCTTGGTCAAGGTGTCAACCTGAGCAGCTAAGGCATCCTGGTGGCCCTTCTTGGACTTCTTGGAATCTTCCAATCGTTTCTCGAGAGTTGCAACCTTCTCCTGAACGGAATCACGCTCCTGAGTCAATTCCTGAACCTTGGCAATGGCTTCCTGCTCAGTCTTGCGGACAGTCTCCAGCTCTGCCGTCACCTTCTCAACCTCCTCCTGAACACGAACTTGTTCCTTGGAGTGGGACTCGGACTGCTCCTTGACCTTGGTCTCCAAATCAGTCTTCTTTTGACACAGGGTCTCGAGCTCCTTTTCCACGGCAACGTGTTCCTGGACTTTGGCCTCCAGAGCAATCTTTTCCTTGCGCAATGACTCGAGATCCTTCTCCAAGGCAGCGTGGTTCTTCTCGGCGATCGATTGGGAAGCCTCGAGCTCCTGCTGCTTCTTGACGAGGGCCTCGCGTTCCTGGATCAGGGTCTTGACCTGCTCAGCAGCCTCCTCGTGGCGTTGGCCTCCTGAAGAAGTGGCGTCAGCAGCCTGCTTCTTGGCCTCATCCAATGATTGGGTCAGTTTTTGCTCGTTCTCCTTAGCGACCTGGAGCTCCTTCGATAGGTCTGACTCCTTGACCTTGAGCTCCTCAAGACTCTTGCGCAATGCCTCTGTTGATGTCGAGTGATCCTCGGTAACATGGGCAAGTTGGGCTTCCAGATCCTTGAACGACTGAGACAACTTCTCCTTGTCCTGCTCCAGAGCCTTGACGGTTTCGACAGTCTTCTCCAGCTCTTGGATACGGGCCTGCAAGGTCTCCTGTCTCTTCAGCTCCTCGCTTAACTTGACCTGCTGTTCAGTCAGGGTCTTGTCCTTCTCTTCAATGACCTTCTCCTGCTCTGAGATCTGTTGCTTCAGAGCCTTGATCGTAGACTCTGACTCGGCAGCAGCGGCAGCTTCAGCACTGCCGTCGGTCTTGGTCTCGTCTCCAGAAACGGCTCCAGCAGCAGCAGTTTGAGCCTTCTCCAGGTCGGCCTTCAAGGCAGCGACCAACGCCTCGGCCTCCTGCTTGGCAGCCTTGGTGTGGTTGAGTTCCTGGCGCAACTTCTTTTGAGTATTCTTGGAGGGGACGTGGTTGAGACTGACAATCTCGGCCTCAAGCGTGGTGATCTTGGCCTTCAGTTCCTCCTCGACGGATGTGTCCGCGCCAGCTCCGGCGTCAGTCTCCTTGCTCTTGCTGTTGTGGTTGCCAGTGGTGGAAACAACAGCGACTGCAGCGGCAGCAGCTGTGGCTGTGGCGAGAGCAGCTTCAGCAGCAGACACCTTGGATGCCTGCTCTTCCATCTGCTGCTTAGCCTTGGCGAGATCCTCCTCAATAGCCTGGAACTTGTTGGTGACGTTCCGCTCCTTCTCCTGAACAACCGCCATCTTTGCCAAAATCTCCTCCTTCTCCTGGTTCAGGGCATCAACCTCCTGCTGTTGCTCGTCAATCTCGGTAACCTTGGCTTGAAGTTGTTGCTCCTTCTCGTCCACCTTGGCCTTCCACTCCTGCAGGACCTTCTCGTTCTCCTCCGCCAAAGCCCGGATCTTCTCCTGTGCCGCAGTCGACGATTGGGACAAGGCTTCCTTCTCGGCGGTAAGGGCCTGAACCTTCTCCTGGGCATCGGACACAGAATGAGCCAAGGTCTCCTTCTCGGCAGTCAAATCCTTGATGGTATCCTGGAACTGCTGGACTTCCTTCTCCTTCTCCTCGACCTTGGCTGAGACGGTGGCCAACTCTGCAGACAAGTCCGGTTTCTCGCTCAATTGCTTCTTCAAGTCATCCCGCTCCTTGGTCAAGGTCGCCACAGACTCCTCCTTGATTTGGATCTCCTTGCGTACGGCGTCCAGTTGCTCCTGTATCTTGTAACTTGACTCTTCCGTGGCGTTCATATGCTGAGTGTACTCCTCGACCTTTCGTTCTAGATCTGCCTTTTCCTGACGAACCTTGGCGAGATCTTTCTCGTGGGTCTCCAGGGACTTTTGGTTGTCGAACCGAAGTTGCTCCAGAGCCTTCTCGGAATCCTGGCGCAATGTCAATTCCAAAGTCCGTGCTTCCTTTTGAGCCTCGAGAGCCTTGTGGGTCTCATCTTCCAAGGCTTTCTGAGCCTGCTCGCGTTCCTTTTGGGCCAACTCCATCTCCTTTTGAGCCTCGGCAAGCCGCCCATTGGTCTCCGTTAGGGCAATGTCGAGCTTTTGCAGCTCCTTCACCTGGGCGCGGGCAATCTTGAGCTCCTTCTCCGTCACGGCAGTAGCGTCCTTGATCGTCTTGCCAGCAGCCCGGGCCTCTGCTAATAATCTTTCTGCCTCCTGCTTGGCCTGAAGGGCATCTGCCTCCTTCTTGAGGGCTTCAGCCTCCTTGCTGAGGGCGTCGTCCTTGGCTCGCACAGCCTCAGTTTCACGCTTTATGGAAGCCTCGTATTCCGCCTGCGCCTTCAAAAGCGACTCCTTGGTCTCCTTGGCTTCCTGGGTAGCGGTTGCAAGCTCCTTTTCATGTCGGACCTTCGCCTTCTCGTCCTCCTTGGGTGGTACAGCAGGTGTGGCTGAGTCGGCGGCATCAGTGACGTCAATCAGGCTATCGTTTGTCGGCTTGTCTGTATCCTGCGCTGTTGACTGCTGTTGCTTAGTCTTCTTGCTGGTGTTGGACAAGACATGCTCCTTCTCCTCCATCTCTGCAACCTTCTTCTGCAACTCATCCAGCTTCTCGACCATTTCCTTCTTGACCTTGACTTCCTTGTCCAGATCTAATTGCAGCTGCAAAAGCTTGACCTCAGCCTGTTCCTGCTCCTGTTGGGCCTGCTTCTTCTCCTTCATGACACCGTCGAGTCGAACCATCAGATCTCGGAGAGCCTGGTCCTTCTTCTTTTGCTCCTTGGCTGTCGTCTTTTTGTCCTTCAGAATAGGTGAGCTGGCTCCTGAAGCTGTGGCCGAAGTTGTGGTTGTGTCTGGGACTGACACAGTTGCTGAAAGCGGGTCAGAGAGAGGGTCAGCCGTTGGCTCTGCAGAAGTCGTAGTAATAGTAGAGGCGAGTTCTTTTTCCAAGGTTTCGATCTTGCCCTCGAGCTCTGCAATGCGCTCCTGTTGTTTCTCGACTGACTCCTTTGTTGATGCATCTGCCTCGGGCTGTGCGCTGCGCTTCAGTCGCTCAACCTCCTAATTGAATGATAGTAAGATGCGAAGTTTCAAATTCTGTCAGTCGTCAGTGGCGGCTGCGTTGCGAATAAATGAAATCCGTGGTGGTTTTGTTGTTTGCTATGCGTCGGTTTACCTCTGATTTAGCAGCAAGCTGGTCCTGCAGGTTCTCGATCATGTCTGATTGTGAGGCTTTCTCCAACCGATGTACCTCCTTCATCTTGTTAGCGTCTAGGAGCAATAATTAAGTGGGGCGACATTAGGACATACTGCATGCACAATGGATGATTAAGCCTCTCTGCACGCACCAAAAAATAAATTATCAATAGAATACCTCGCAGTTCCTCGTTCAGTCGCTTGATTTCCTGCATGGAGATCTCACTCTTGTACGCCATGTTGCGAAGATGTGAATCCAGCGCCTCGACATCCGAAAGATCTTCCAGTGGGGTTGACGCCTTCAGAACTGCTTCGATTGCAATCTTTTCCTGCACCAGTTTCTTGAATGCCGTCGCCAGATCTAATTATAAATATCAACGTCATTTCATGTTAGCAAACATGGTCCAGATAAATACATCTTGGTATCAACGAGGGGAATAGTGCCTGAAAGTACAACAGGATACCTGGGAAGCGTGCCTCATAACGCTGTAACCGTTCGAGTTTCTCAATGACGGTCTCGGTCATTTCAATCCCGCCAGGTTCAGCCGCCTTGACAGCCTCCAACTGAGCTGGATCGGGTTTCTCTTGGAGTGGGTCCAGAGTCAGCTGTTTGACCATGGCCATGAGTTTCTTATTTCCTGCAGGATTAGCGGCTGCTGGCGGTGGAGAGGTTGCAAAGCTGATCAGGTCGGCGGATTGGCGTCCTGTTTGGAGAGATCGACGAAACAATGAACTCGAGGAGCTGATCCGCGGTGCCGGAGAAGATGTTGCAGGGGATCCTGGGCGTCCTCCTCCTGCTGAATTGGCGGAGAGTGGGTCCTGTAGGGGATCGTGTTGATGCTGACTGTCACCTGAAGGGCGGTGAGACGGGCTGTTGCCGGCTGAATGGGCGGCTTGGGCTGCTGCAGCCTGCGCGGCCTTGGCAGCTTCGATGCCCTTTTCTTGGATCGAGGTCAAGCTCGTGTTGAGCTTTTCCTTGAACGAGGAGAACATGGCGTATCCTGAGTATCCGTTTGTTTTCTTTGCTGTCTTTTTTCTGTCCTTCTACAAGCATATAAAAAATGGTGGCGGAGGGGTCAGTTTTTCAGACATGTAACACTCTCGCTGTTCTGTTGACGTTGCCAAGTGATCTTTTTTGTTTCTGATGCTGGCCCTGGTGGTAATTGGGAGGGTGTCTGAAAGTACCTAGATGGGGGGTCTGTTGAAGGGACTACTAGGCAGATGGGCGAGGGATCGTTCCTTAGTGGTAAGTTGAGGGAGTGACAGATGGATGGTTCCTGGTGGACATGCAAGGAGGGGTCGGGATGGGGCGGGGCTGAGGGTGAGTGTGTATATGAATAAAGGGATCAGGGTGCAGTCTCTCTATGCAAAACACGGAGGAGAATGAGATGGGGTATGAAAAAGTGATGGCGAAAACACGGGAATAAAAAAGGATGAGGAGGGGTGGATGTGTTGAACAAAAAGGAGTGAGAGAGAGACAGAGAGAGACAAGAAGGAAGTGGTGTAAGAAGTGACGATGAATGGGTGCTGCAAAAACGTGACAATCTGGAAATTAGAGCCAAGGTGCAACAAGCACGGTGTCAATGCCACATGAAAAGCAATTGGATCTACTACAGCCTTTCGCTCACTTGCTCCCCTAGCCTCCTTAATTGCACACTGACACACAGTTATCACTCCTATGATTGATGATAGCGTATCGATTGCTTAGCCCCCATCACGTCGCCCCGTTTGATCAGTACGCGTTTGATCTGTACATGTTTGATCAGCACACGCTATCTTGAATTGGACGTTTGTGATTTTAATCTGTGTACTCTATTCGAAGGGCGGGTGTAGGTGTGTATATGTCCCATGTGTGTGTGAATGAATGTGTTGATCCTGATTGAAGAGGCAACTGAAGCAAAGAGCAGGTTGTCAAAGTCATTATCGTATGTGCTGGTCCTTCGCGTCTTCTCTTGCTCCATATCGCCTCCGTCATGTCAGGTTGTTTTTTGGTAGTGGTCGCAAGTATTTAGTGGTGGTGATGGTGAGGCTTCTGCTCGAAACGGATACCGCCTAAGTTTGCAATTCCCAACAGAGACAAAAAAATGCAGTTAGTCTCCAGAGGAAAGATCTTTCCGATACAAAATCCTTGTGAACAGACCATCCAATGGACTCGTTGATGATCCTATGATGACTTACAGTAGCCGCATGCGTGGTCACCGGGGCGATCCTAGAATGCAAGAATAGGCCGTAAGCATCATACAGGGTTAGTTCAATCGCTCCAAAGTCCTACTCCTACGACAGACAGCAATTGGAAGGTGACCAATCGAAGGTGTACCAAGTTGATCCAAACAGCGGGGTGTCCCAAGGCCCCTCCGCCACCATCGCATCTTGCGCGGCGACCTTCAACCATGCGGACGGGCTCCTCAGCAATCAACTCAATAGCGGCCTTGGGCTGGGGCTATTTTTGTAAGGCAGTCAAGTCGGGTATGATCGAAGACAATGTCCGGAAAAACAATAAAGGAAGGCACGACATAGATGTTAGTTACAAGTCTTTTGCAACGAAAAAAGACTCAATTTTGTGTTGGCTTTAGGAAGCGGGTGATATACGAGCGGTCGTGTGCTGTTGTGGCAAGGCGGAAGCTGTCGTCTGGAAGTACTTAATGGAACTCTGTACGTATATGTCCTGAGCGCTGGAATTGGCCTGTTATTGAACCAGCTGTACAACGTCGGCTGTTGTCCTCGTGGTATATACGTATGATACTCTTTCCTTGCTTCCGGAGAATTTGGTCCGATGAGAGGCAGGTCCGATCCGATGCTGATCTCTGGCTTCTGTTTGTAGATTATTCGTATCCTCCTGAGTGTGAATCTCCTGTTGTTTGTTGACTTGTTGGCGGTTTGACTCTCTTGTTGCTTTACCTGAGCCTCGATGTCGGTGTTCTCGAAGCGAGGGCCCTTGAAGGCATTCTTCTTCTCGATTTGGTTCTCGCTCCAGGTGGTGGCTCTGTTGGCGGACTGCTTGAGGTCGTCGCGGATGTTGTTGGCGACGATGGCGGAAGAGGTGATGGAGCGGGAGGCGATGAGGGAGCGGACGGCAGAGACCGCGGGGGTCTTGATGCACTTGAGGGCGTTCATGTTTGGATGATGTGGAAGACGGAGGAGAGAGTGGAGAGGGTTTGCAGTGGATGATGTGTGTGTGTGATTCTTTGCTCGGAGATCAGAACAACTTCGGCCTTTTGGAGAGAGCTCCTGCCCTATTAAGCGCGTGCAGTTTGCACGTTAAAAATGACTTCACCGGAGTTTATTCACTCGCACATTTTGCTGCATTCCGCATTGGCAGGTTGAAACTGTCCTCATACTTCGCAAGCATCTGATGATCTTGCTTTTTTACTTGTATCTATGGCGATGGCTCACAAGTTGGCATCTCCTATTGCCAGTATTGACTTGAGAAGTGTCTTCTGCCTATTGATACAAACCATGGAAAGAAAAGAAGCACTGGATATATCATTGGCGTCAAGGGATAGATATGACCGCCAAACACGTTCTCGTTTTACTCGTACAAATAAGATTGAGTGCTGTGTGGAGCGGTTACGCTTTGGCTGTAATTTGCCGCCAAAACAGAAGCAGGCACGCGTGTTCGTTGGTGATGCAGGAAGGGGCTCCATCAAGCCTCACGCTTTTCTTTGTTCCCAAAATCGCTTCTTTTTCCTTTTATGCACCTTGCCCACTCCAACGATAACAAACACACCATACGTTCATGCCCTTATATTGCTCAAGAGAGTAGTTCTGTCTGGGTTCATTGGTCATTGGATTGGCATCAGCCATGGGGCAAAAGTGAAAAAGGATTCCAAATTCTGACTTAGGCCAAGAACTCAAAGGGAGCAAAAAAGTAGAAAGGCGACATAGTCTATGTTGAAAGTGCAAGAGAAAAGCGAAGAGTGAAACGTGAAGAGGAAAAAGTTGCTGTCGCTATGAAAGGTGGGGCAACTTCATTGTGCATGATCTGCGGTAACTGCCTTTGGACCAGGTGGATTCTCATCCACTCGACTCAAAGACTCAAGGAGCATGGAGTAGAATAACCATCATGAGAAGAAGCAAGAAAGGTGTGGATGACGATCTCTCCTTTGCTTTAGACACTTTTTTGTTGCTTTTCTCCATTGCCTTTTCCTTCTCTCTTTCCCCACCCATCCTTTGGACCCTTTTTTTTGGTTGGTTTGCACTCCAACAATAGACAAAAGGAATAAACAACACTGCACGCCCCCTGCTGACCGACTGGTGGAGACCAGCCCCTATACCATTGTCACCTCACCTGGCCATCCCATCCAACCCTTTTACTATCGTATGTCGACTGTGTTTGTCCGGCTGTCCCTATCATTGGCATTGTCATCGCGTCTGCCGTGCACCCCTTTTTTCTCTTCGTCCTCTTGGCCTTTTCCCTTCTTTTCTTTGTTCGCCACCTTTTGTTTTCCCTATTTTCTTCCTCCTCCTCTCGACCAACAACCCCTTTGTCATCACATTGTATCCCTTTCTCATTCTCTCACTTCCACGCCTCTTTTTGCTTCTTCCTCTTCTCCCAAACAATAACCACATAACCTCAACTATCCCCAGCCAAGTCAGCGATGAACACAACAAAGCCTTACGACCAACAACAACAAGGAGGATACACCAGACCACGCTCAGCCTCTGTATTGCTCGCGCGCAAATCCAATGGATCGTTAGGAACGAATGGGGCGTATTCGTCATCGTCCACCAACTTGAGTGCACCTGTACCTGCAGGAAAACCTCTTCCCAAGGCACCGGGGATGGCATCGCAACAACCCTACCAACAGCAACAACAACAGCACCAGCAACAGACATATTTCGATCCAAGTAGCGACAACGGACAAGGTGGCGGATACAATGTTGGCAATGGTCAACACAACAGCAGCGGTAACCTTAACAACAACAACAGCAACAACGGCAGCAACTGGAGCAACAATAATAATAACGGTGCTGCTGCACTGTCGGCTCGATCGGGCAGGGTCAATATCCATGCCAGCCAACCATCCAACACTTCGCTAGCCTCGGTCAGTGCCAACAACATCCCCAACAACAATAACAGCAACGTGAGCACTATGGCTTCGCAGGGCCATGTGTCATGGGTACAACCAAAGGCCACCTCTTCTCCGTCGACCTCATTCTCAAGCACGAGTACCTCCAATAACTCACCCTCACCCCCTGGAGTTGCTTACTCAATGCCCGGCACGCTCTTGACCAAGACAAGTCAGCAACATTTGCACCAACAGTCAGCACAGTCGCAAGGACCAAACGTAACAGAGGATGAGGCATCGTCATACTATGCAGCCTTGACAAGACCCATCTCCCCAACCATGATCATGAACTATGTTCCCCCACCAGTTTCCAACTCTGGTGCTACGCCATTAACAACAGCAACGACGCAGGATGGGAGCGGATCGAACGGTGTGGAATCGCCCAGTCAACCTATCATGTCGACACCAGCAACATCATCGTTACGACCGCTGAGTGCAACTGCGGCGCTTTCCTCGTCATTCAATACTTTTGTACCAGGGTCTCAGCCTACAGCTCGACCTGCTGTGTATCAAGGAGCACGAAGTTCATATATGGAGCCTTCAAATCCTCCTCCCATGTCGTCTTCCAACCAAACACCTCAACGAGGTCGTCCACTTTCGATCGGAGGGAGCAGTATCATCTCTGCTATCAGCAGCAGTAGTGCCGAGGATCCTTCTTCCAGCTCGTCTCGGTTTGCTCGTCGGGGTCCATTGGTGATGAGCCATGAGGCCGGCAGCTTTGGAGACCATAACAACGGCTACACCCCCACTGGAACTCGATCGCGACGGGAGAGTGGTGCGTGGAGTGATGCCGAAAGTGGTACTCCGGCCAAGAACCTTTACCGACAATCTTTCCACCAGCAAACACCTCAACAACACTACCAACAGCAACAACTACCTTTCAGTCCAGCGACTCCAAGGACAGACACGTCAAACATGTCCTCTCCTGCGAATACTACTTCATTTGGAATGCAGGTAGAGTGATGATTCTCGCGACCACATGTGGTGTTTCTTTCTAACGAATGGATGGAATTGTGAGGTTGACATATTCACTCTAATACCTGGCTGCCTTTTTCTCGCTTATCCTTAGATCGCGAAGGAAGGATGGTTATGGCGACGAGGCAATCTTCTGGTATGTATTCTGTGCTCGAACTCAAGTCATATATGACTTCAATAATACCATCCTACCTGAACTCTGGCAACACCCAGGTGGCGGCAATGGAGCTCACATTTACATATATTTGAACGAATCATTAGACATGGAAGCGGTGCTATGCAATTGGAAGGTTCCGAGGGGATGCTCATCCAGGAATATTGACGCTCTTTAAGGACAACGAGGTAACCATACAATGGCCATCCCCAATGGAGCATATAACTGTTACGTAAAGCCAATTGGAAAATAGACTTGAACCTAACATCTTCCTTGACCATACATGGCATGTAGCATCTGTTCCCGATAAAGACGATCGATATGGCAGAGTGCTACGAGGTGCAAGTGAAGGCACAGGACACAAAGGGCTCGGGCCGGTTTGAGTTCAAGCTGGTGACCCGCAAAGAAGAAACCTGGTTCGCAACGGATACAATGTCAGAACGCACGGGCTGGATCGATGGCCTCAACTCACTCATGTCCAAGGCTGTAGGCGCGTCGCTCTTGAAACTGGAGGCCAAGCTGAACAACATTAGGCACCGCAACAACTCTCTCGAGTACTCTATCCACACCGACACGACTGGCGGCGGTAGCGGAGGCGACAATAATGCCGCTGCGACGACGGCGGCGTTGGAGGGCCACCTACAATTGGTTCAGCAAGATTTGGCGACGAGGGAACAGCAGCTCTCACAGAGAGAGCAGGAGCTGGAGAGAAAACGGATCGAGTCATTGTTGGTCCAGCTTGAGGCTTGGAGAGCAGCGGCCAAGGTGACGCTGAACCAACATTATGCGGTTCGGGACCAGTTGTTAGAACGTGTGATGAAGACTGCCAGGACGGTACAGGAGCTACTGGAGCGGGCTAGAGTTCATCTGGAGACTGGTTCGGACCAGATCACGGAGATTGTCAACAGTCACCTGGAATGCATCCGGGTCCATGCCGGCGAGTCGTCGTTGAATGCAGTGTCGTACAAGATGCTCAAGTCGATCCTCGTCGGTCTTTCAGTCAACCTGGATACTCGGAGCTCAGAGATGAAGAGGGTACTGTTGGTCTTGGATCAGTTTATTCATGCCAGCAAGTTCTCGAATCCGGGATATGCTTCGAATTCATCGCCTGCTTCGCCGAGGCTTGCTGGGGCGCGCGAGCGACGCATTTCTATAGGCGGGCCTCTTTCCCCCTCTACCGTGAATAGCAACCCACCATCGACTCTCGGAATTGGTGCGTACCTAACGCAGGTTCGTAACAAGTATACAGAGACCCTGGAGCTCCTGGAGGACCATTCCAAGAGGCTGAAGCGGATCCTGGAGCGGGCCGACATCAACAACCCCGAGAGTGCTCGTCGATTCCAAGAGGACGTGAAGGAGATTCTGAAGAGTTTAACTCGACATCCCACATACACCTTTACTCCCTGTTTGCCGGATCAGCCCCTTCCTGGCGCGGCAGATACGTTCTATCGAGAGGATTTGGTGGTCATTCAACAAAAGAACAAAGAGTTGCTGAGGAAGACTCAGGCCTCGACTTCGCCCACTCCTGCTACCAACCCAGCTAGTCCATCGAAACGCCCACAGTTCACGAATCACGGAGAGTCTGACGATGATGATGACAATGACGAGGGGGATGAGCTGTCGCTGAAGAAGGCAGTGATAGTGTCTTCGAGTCTTAAGGAACCAACGACCGGGTTGCCGGCTGAACCTCAATCGACAGGGAAGACGGCAGAGTCGGCACCTTCTCCCATAGTCTCATCGACAGTCGGGTCGAACGGTATTCCAAAGCTCAACCTAGCATTTCCCGCCTCGCTATCCTCATTCCTGCTCTCGGAGGCATTGCCATCATCCTCTCCTAACGCCGCTGCTACTGTGGCTGCTGCCTCATCCGCCGTGCCCACCTTCTCATCGACAGAGCTGACTCAAAAGCTCCGCGACACCATCCTCCCAGAGTTCGACCACCTCACGCTCAAGCAGGAAGAATCTCTCCAGTCTATGACAACTCTTCTCAACCAGGTCTCGTCAACTCTGGTTAAGAAGCTGGTGGAGATCAAGGATGCGACTGCAGGACAGAGGCAGGAGTTTGAGGAGCTCAAGGATGAGATCATTGACGTGATGCAGCTCTCGGCGACAGACCCAAGCGCCCATCAGAGAGATATCTCGACCCTTTCGGAAATCCGGTCGAAACTAGCCGATATCACCTCTCAGCTTACCAAGGTCCAGACGGCACAGCAACAACAACAAAACGTTGGACATGGAGCAGGGGGATTGTACGGCGGCGGAGTTTCGGGATATCGACGTGTTGGTGGCGCCTCTCCATCATCGGGTGCCGGGACTAGCGCCGCCACTGCCACGGGGTTCTCGCTCCTGCAACGATCTGCAAGCACGATGGTCCACAACTCTGTCGCGCATCAGTTTCATCATGCCACTGATAGCGGGTCTCGTCAGCACCTCCAGCGCGCCAATTCGACCTCTTTGCACAACCGTCTCCACATTCCTTCTTCGACCTCGATGATGGCGTCTCTTGGAAGCGGCGGTGGTTTGAGCAGCCTTACAGGCAGTAACAGCAACACTGCGACCAATGGTGGAAGCGGATCCGGTACTCCTGGAACGAAACCTTCCAAGATCGCAGGAATGACGCGTCTGTTTGAAGATAGCGACCCTTGGACTGGTCATCATGCAGCCGCTTCGACTGGCACCCAACTCCTTGGGGAAGGCGGCTACGTTGTCCAAGATCTGGATTATGATTTGGCCTTCAATACCCACCAGAACCAGCAAGTCGCCGCAAAACTGGACCAACTGCTCCTTTTGCTCGAATTTGTCAACACGGCACAGTGTCGGATGATGGCGTATCAGGATCTCGAGTACGATCGGCAACGGAATGGGAGTGGGGCAGGAAATGTGGACGATGGTCGGATGATGGCTGTTCAGGAGCACATGGAACAGATGGACCGCAAGATGAACCTCCAGATGCATCTTCTTCGACGGCTCGCATCTATTCAGGACACGGGCGTCATGTCTTCGGCTGGCGATTCTACGGCCACGACGGCATCTGCAAAGATCAAGCAGATTGATGAGGACGACGGTGATGAGGAGGCGCCGCAAGTTGGTGAGGCGAGGGATTATGAGGGTGCGTTGAAGAACGAAGGTGATTTGGCGGACAGTATCGAGTCCCTTGTCCGAGCAGCCCCACCGGAAAACGAGCTCACCCTCCTTGAAGTCCTAAGCCGATTGGACTTACAGGTCATCCCTTCCGTCAAGGACCAGTCGGAGCGGATACACGAGCTTTCGGACCAGTTATCGGAGATGAAGCGGCAGCTGAACGAACAGCACAAGCGACAGGAGATGCTCCTTCTCCAACAAGCTTCTAATGCTAATGCGACTGTTCGCTCTCGGTCTGTTGCTGGCACTTCCAACATCGGCCGCAGTAACAGCATGGAGAGACCGGTGACTCCATTGCTTCATTCGAGGTCTGCATCCCAGACGCTTGTCCAGCAACAGCAACAACAACAACAACAACAACAACAACAACAACAACAACAACAACAACAACAACAACAACAACAACAACAACAACAACAAACATCCACCAGCGCCTTGTCGTCACCCTTGGAAACTGAGTCGCCTGCTTCGTGGAGGGCTTCCCTTCGGCCCAGTCAGAGCAACGGCAGTAACTCGGCCTCGTTCAGAGACAGGATCCTATCAGCCTCCAATGGATCTCCACTGCTCATTGCCTCATCCTTGGGGCCATTAAATAGCAGTCAAGGCATTCTACAGGATACCACAACAACAACATCAACACCAACAGGAAGTGGTGGAGGAACGCTTGTTACCAAGACTTCGGATCGGATCGCGGAGCTGTTAGATAGGATGGACAACAAGATGGGGCAGGTGATTGACGAACAGTTGGCGAGGTACGAGAGCGGCAACAAGGCGCTCCTGGCTAAAGTGTTTGAGTTGCTTGAAGCTGATGAGGAATCGTCGGAAGGTGGTTCGGAGGCGACCCCCAGGACCATCAGGGCGGCTAACACCTCTTTCGGCAGCGGCCATGCCACGCAAGGAGCGGATCACGATGAGCAACAGATACATATCGATAACAACGCGCTCTTGAAGGATGTTAACAAGTCTTCGGAAGAGATGAATCAGACGCTCGACAAGATCTTAAGAGGTCAAGAGGAACTCTTGAAGATAAACAGCACCCGCCCAGGATCTTCAGTCGGAGATGGAGACAGAGATGCCAACAACTCTAAGGACTCTAGCACGCGCACATGGGCAGATTCGCTGGACCGGATTAAGACTCTTATCCAGCAGGAGGGCGATCGGTCCGAGGCCTCGCTGAGCGACCAGCGGGACGAGATTCTGGACAAGATGAACCAGGTCCTGTCGTCGATCCAGGACTCCCAGACCCAGTTTGGATCGAGGGATGGTCAGGTTAGGGAGGAGTTACAAGAGCTCCGCGATTGGATGGTACGACATTCTAGTCAGCAGACCGAGAATCTTCGAGAGCTCTTCCTTTTTGCCAGTACCGCAACGACTACTATTCAGGAGAGTGGTGGCGCCATCGCTGTAGGATTATCAAGGACCGGCGCTGACGATGACGATGATGGAGACTTTGTAGAGAGAGGGTCGGACAGCAACTTGAAGGTTCGAGTCGGTGACGGTGACGAGGAAGAGTATACCGAAGTTGACATCCTTGAGGATCTGGATAAGCACCATCATCACCAGCCCAACGCTGGAGATGTAACTCATCCTGGTGCCGCCGCCTTTGCATCCGCACTTCCTCCCATTATCATGGCAACCACTTCGACAGAGATCCAAGAACTCAAGGACCAGTTGGAGATGTTTACAAAGGTCCAGATGGCGACGTTTTCTGAGCTGGCCGACAATGTGTCTGGAGTGGAGAAGATGATGCGAGACATGTCCAAGATGATGGGAGTCCGCCGTGGAGGCACGATTCTTAGACGCAAGGAGGCCGACGAAGGTCGGGCTATGCTGGCGATGGAGGTCAAGGAGACGATCCAGGAGGTGATTGGCCGCATGTCGTCAACGGGAGGTCCTATGAGCCCCACGATTGCTGAAGGTTCTGGTTCGCGACGATCATCGGTGGATGGCGGTGTTCTTGCTGCCTTGGAGAACCGAAGACCTACTTCGATCACGACGGCAACGACGACAACGACGACAACGACGCCCCCAGTGTCGGCCAGTGCTGTTGGCGCGCCTAGTCGTGGCGAGAGTGGGTTGTTCAAGTACCTCTACCAGGCAAGGCGGTCGACTTCTTCAACATCCACCGAGAGCGGAACCCCGCCTACGCCAGCCCCTTTACCAACAGCCCCAGCAGTGGTAGCAGCCTCGCCCAGGGTGGACGTGACCGCAACCTCTCGAAAGTCTTTCTCATCTGCGCCTTCAAGCCCCGTTGTGAGAACACCTACGATGACGGTCGGCGATCTCCACAACAACAGCAACAACTGCTTCTACCATGACCATGATAACGGAGGCAGTATGATGACATCCTTGCAGATGCAGATGCAACTCGAGTTGCACCAGAACCAGATCGAGCAGCTCTACAAACGCAAGGCACGTGCCGAGATCGAGGTCGAGGATTTGCAGTCCGAGAAGGCGCGACTGATTGACGAGAAGGTGGCTCTGAGGGAGGAAGTTGAACAGTTGAGAAGGGAGCGACAGGAGCTGTTACTGTTGAATAGTGGTTGTGACGATGCGCATGTGGATGGAGATGGCAAGGAGGTATCGCCTTTGCTGTCGTCGGCATCGTTGTTGGAGAAGATATTGCAGGATCGGGTCAGTCTGTTGCTGCAGGAGACCGCACGTTTGGAGAAGCATAAGCAGCAACTTGAGAGGGAGACGAGATGAATGCACACAACCGCTGCTTTTGTAATAATAAACCGGATGCCTTTTTTGAAGTACTACAGTCGTACCCCTCCTATAGTATACTCTTTTGCTGCAGAGCTCAATATGCTATTCTTTTCTCTCCATCGCCTTTCCCTTTGTTCTGCTTCTCCTACAGCTCTGCGTTAGCACCACTCCCCCGCTTTTTTCACCCCCTCCAGCGTAATTGCATCCCACTTTCTCACTTCCACGCCTATTTCACTGCTGTTCTTTTTCATACCTCCTCGTCCTCTTCATCGTTGTTGTTCTCATCGATCGCTACTGCTTATTTTCTTTCCTTGCAACTCCTCTACTTCGTTTCTCTTCTTTTCTTTACATACATATAACACTCTGACGCCACACCTGCGAGATCTCTCTCTTTTGTATTTCTTCCGAGGGTGTGTGTAACACAGGAGCTGAAAAGTGAATAATCGTTACCTGTTCGATGGGTAAAGGAGAGAATGTATCCTTCCTCTTTGTCTAGTAGAAACGTAACATTCCAATGCAGTGCAATGCATCTCCATATCCGTGAGGTGAAAAGACGGTACGAGATTCGTGCGTGGCCCCTCACAACCCACCAGAGAACACAATAACCTAACAGAATGCATGCCTACACAAACACACTGCTCGCACACTTTCTATCCCCCTGTACTGTGCTGTGCCTCTGTTACAATGTCACATTTATCTCGTTTCTTGTATCTCTTTTTTAATCACTTTTGTGATAGATTCTGCCGCCGCCAATACCAAGCGCGTAGCCAATGGTGGTGAACATGATCATAGGGTTATTCCGTGGAGGTGAAACTAATAATTGTACTATTTTGTATTAAGATGAAAGTTAACGAGTGAGAAAGATGCTGTTTATTCCTTCCCTGTACATGAGCAGCTTCATAAGCCTAAGCATGGACAGGAGCGTGGTTAGGCCATATCGCTAAGTAAAAAGGAAAGGAAGTGCTCTCTAATGAGAATCACACCCTAGAGCGTCACGGAGGCCGCCGCCTCAACGTTGAGTTGGTGTTTGGGACCATAGTGGCCAGCGTATCACTTGGATCCGTTAGGCGTGTCACCTTTGCGGATGGGGGGACGGCCTTGATAAAGTCGAGAAGGCCGGTGTAGGAGGGTATGTTGAGCCGAGATCCACCGAAGTAGCTCAATACTTTTTCCTGACCATCGCCTGGCAAGGCATGGAAAATAATGTCCGTACTTTGTTGGCCCTTGTTGGAGGCCTTGAGGGCATCGGCGAGGGTCTCTGTGCTCTCACAGAAGAGCAACACGTCTTCTCCATCGACACAAAAGATGGTGTACAGCTGGGTGCTGATCGAGAGCTCGATTGATTCTAATTGATACGGTGGGGCATATTCTCGACGATTTGGTCCACTTCTTTTGTCTTCAAGCTTGTGCTTCTTTCTCAGAGTCTCCCAAGTCGCGACATTCCAATTGAAATCGGTTTGAAGTTGCGAGGGCTATTGTTATGCCGAATGCGTCGCCGAAGAATGTGGTGAAAGTTCGTCGGTAGATCAAGAGACAGCTGTCGGAAAACGACCTGTTTGAGCTGCTGAAGTGCGTCATCCGTTATATTCGCGGTGGTTATAAGGACAGTGACGGCGCGCGCTCGTTTGATTCCCTCCTGCTCCAAGATCGATCCGTGTGGTATCTTCTCGATCGTCCTTGTGTTTTTGGCGTGCTCGCTCTGGATAGTCGCGGCTGAGAGTAGACTCCTCAGCTTCATTGCTGTAGCGCACAAAGGGGTTTGTCGTCGTTGCCGTCTGCTTTCTCACGATAAACGCATACATCTCCGAACAGCGCACCAGCTGCATTCTTGATCAAAATGCCACACCTCTAGCCTTGTTCTTGTTCGTCGACCGTCATTCCTCCCGACCTTAGAAATCGATGCGCTGCCGTGACAACCAATCGTTTCTTGAGCTTGACAATACGGCCCAAAGTCTCTGCTCGAACAATGGCTCCTCGATAGATATCCCCGAGAGCCGCTGCCTAGCAGCCATTATTGATAAGAAGGTTCGTGCGGAGCGCCTCGTACTCGGCGACCATGCCTTGGAAGAATCTCCATTCACGGTCCTCCACCCAGTCGTACAAGAATGCAGATCCAAGGCAATTCCAGACTTCATCGATGGTTACGTTATAGAGGTGGAGGAAGAAGAGGGTTCGGACCAACACCTTTCCGTGGGCTTCATCGCTCTCTTCCAGAATCATATGTGTATCGCGTTCTAGGACATCCAAGGTGAGTTCCGGGAAGTGATTGGATGGGGCGAGCGTGCACGGAGACGGTTGCTAAAAAATGTAGAGACGAACAAGCGCATGAACAAGCTCCTGATGTGTACTGACAAAGACGGTGATAGATTAATAGTCGTTGAGAATGTTTGCTACTTTCCTGAAAGTTAGTTCCGTGTTCATGTTGATGTCAAGCAGCGTATTTGGAATAGTGGTTTATTTCTCAAGTCGATATTCGAAAAACTTTTCAAATAAAAGCTTTAGTACTCATGGAAGACCGCCGGTGGCCGATAGTAAGTAAAGAAACGCCATCTTTGGCATCTGCTCGCATAACGGATATTGGCGAGCGTGGTGAAATGGCTCATGGCGTCGTAGAATGCTCCCAGGGATAATGTTGGAGAGCTGAGGAGCATGAAGGAGTAAAGGGTCAGTTGTGCTGCCATAGTCACTCCTGCCGAGTTGTTCCCGAGAGAAAGGTCTGGATCATATGAGTCTTGATCGTGCCGCTCATGAGATCTCCTAGGGTGCGCATCATATCCTGGAACAGGTTGAGACCTTCCTTTGTGTGCCACCCTGTCTTGTCTCCTGCCAGGCGGATTGTAGTCTCAGGTAGCCGCGCAGGCGGATGGCCTTTGGCCTTTCGGGGTTTCTTCCCAGCGATGGTTAAAGATCTTCTGGAATTCGTCAACGTGAAGGAAAAGGAAAAGTGGCGGCTCCGCCAGAAGCCCTAGATCTTGGCGGATGGCGATAAAAAATAAGATCACATTCTAGAGTATTCTTATTTAAGGTCAGAGATGATTGTGGAGAATGGAAAGAGAAAGGAGAATAGAGACGTTGCTCGCGACATTTATTCTTTTCGCTAACTCCATTGCATGGAAAAGGATAGGGAGGAATGGAGAATGGGGCACACCTGTAAAACTGGAAATATCGTAGAGCAAGCTGCAAGACAAGAGCAACCTAGTCAGAGTCCACGCGGGAGTCTTTGTCTTCATCCTCGCACCGACGACGCTTTGTCGCAGGTTCGTCATTTTGATCATCGCTGCCTTGGCCTCCGTCGACCTGGTCCAACTCTCGCTTGATTCCCTTAAGCAAATCCAGTGCCTCCATATGGTTTTGGGGGAAGAGGCCGTGTATGTTGCTCATGTCAATCCTCAGTGAAATGCACTGAGGTTTGTCTCCTTGGGCGGACCGGATTCGCTCGCTTCGTCTGACCTCCAGAAATGTGCCCTCGACGCCTCCAAGCTCGGCCGGATAAGCAATAACAACGCCAAGGTACTGCTTAGGATAGCCGGTACAATACCTCTGAAGCATCGCCTCTTGGAAATGACCTTGGACCTCGCCATCCTTGACCGTAGAAAACGCTTTCTGGGCTTCTATTTTTTTCACTTCGTGCCGCATCTTCAATTGGACGAAAACGGGACAGTAGCCACAGTTGTCAAAACGAAGAACAAACGCAACATCGGGTCCTGACGTCGTCTCAGCAGGTTGGTAAAACGGCGGAACTGGCTTCCCATCCTTGCATGAACCATGGTGGACATGAGCATCCAGAAACGCATCCAGTGACATTGTTTTAACGTCGATCCCCAGGGTGAGGTGGTTGACGAATCCAGCAATTTTGGCCTTGACATCCAGAATGGGGTCGTAGGACTTCACCCCCTTCGAAATCAGACTTGTGTTAGAAAGGATTCTGTCGTGGAAAACGTGTGCCAGGCTAGGCAAAACTGCCTGTTTCCATTGGTGTCCATGCACTGACGGTTTCGATCCCGAACCGGACAACGCACAGATCGCGCTGTGAAATTTTTGGTCATGTTGACGGAAGTAGTTCACGGCAGCGCGCAGTGCAAAGGGTTCATCGAGGACCGTCACCGCGTGTTTGCCGAAATTAAGGATCCTCCCGACAGAAGCTTCCACCAGTATTGCCTCCTCCCTATTGAGAAGTAAAGGGCGCCCGTGCAGGAAGTGCTGCAACACAAAGTCCTGGAGGATGGTTCGTATGTTTTGATAGTTTGAGTACCGCGACTCGAAATTGTGAACTCTGCGAACCATTTGCGATATGTCGAAGGCGATGTTTCCTTTGCCGTAATACTCGGTCTCCGTTGATGACAAAGTATCCTCCGTTTCCTTAATCGCCTGTCTCCAATCGATCTCGTCATTGCTGGGCATGATCATACGCTCTAATTAAATATTGAATAATTCATTAAATATTGATTAACCAGCCAGCACAACTTATGCTTTCACCATCTTCCGCTTCTTCTTTTCCTCTCTTTCCAACTTGTGACAACAATGAACATTCGACCTTGCTTACCGATGGCGGAGACAATGGGTCTAAAACGTCCACGCAAGCGTGCAAAGAGCTCTGGTGTCGATTCGACTGGCACACGAGTGTCGAAGATGATTCTGGCCGTGTCATTGGGTAGCGAGCGACGCACAAGAAGTCGGTAGTTTTGGACCTGTTCGAGCGATTCCCAGCCTTGGAAATCGGTGAATGGCCCAAGCTGCTTTTTATAACCTTTGGGAAGAGGAGCCGAGTCTTCGAGCCATTTCAAATCGAAAATGCTGAGGCCAGTCCCACAAGGTATCACGCAAAACAGGTTCTCATCTTCAGAGATCTGGCTGAACCCGTGAACCAAAGGGGAGAAGATCGGGTGCTTATAGACATCAGGGAGGTCGGCTCCGGCTCGTCGCTCAGTTTCCGAAGGTGTTTGTTGGGAAGGGAAGGTTCCAAATTCCTCTTTGCTGAGATTTTGGGCTTCATCGATTACCAAAAGGATCTTGTAGCCAAAGCGCTGGGAGGGAGTACTGAAGGTGAGGTTCAGAAGGCGTTGGTGAAGACTGGAGAATCGTTCTTGAGTGAAGGCGCTCATGGTCGTGATGCCTACGGAGTGACGGTGGATCTCTTTCGCAATCGATGCGAACAGCGTGGCAAACAGGTCTCCGATACCCATCGTGCGGAAAGCAACTTGCAGCAGCATCCAGTGCTTGCAAGTAAATGCCGTTCCTTCGCGCTCCGCAATGACGAGACAGTGGTGCAAAATTATGACACGAGTAAGAGCAAGAGCCAGAGCCAGGATGTGAACGTGGATGTTGCTTTCTGGATCACGATTTTGGTATCGTGGCTTTTGTTTAACAAAGCCAAGAAAGCTGAGGAGATCACGGGAGCCCAAATCTGTGCTGCTTCCGTTGAAATAGAAGCCCCAGTTCTTGGAGAGCATCTCGATCGTCGTCCTCGTTTTCCCACATCCAGAGACACTGAAGAGCGGTAACAGGGGAATCGCTCGCTCGCGAATCTTTTCCAGTGCTCTATCGGCAGTACTGGGAGGGCGCTGTGTCTCAGCCGATTCTGGTAGGTTTAGAAACAAGAGACTGGGCAGGTTCGTTTCTCCGCCTGCACGGGGACGAACAAAGGGTAGACCGCCCAGTGTTCCTCCTGTTGTCGGAATGTTCGCATCACCTTTAACGAACTGGACGAGGCCTGTGCAATTGATGGAATTAGGTCCGAAGAAGGCGTTCTCAATCTGTACTACAAGTTGTTGCCATTCCTCATCTAATTGAATGCGGAAACACAGTCAGTATTGCTCCACTCTTCGGGTATCGGCACGTAATCATTGGAGCTAAAATTCAATGACAAAACGAATGAGGTACCTGACAGGACAGGTGCTTGGACTATGTCTGCACAATAAGATGAGGATACGCAAGGTAAGTACAATGAACAAATTTTGCCTACAAGTTGTCAATGAAAGAGAGCAAAACGTGTGCGCATTACCTCGAGGGGGTCCCCGGACAAAGATGTACGTGTTGTCATCGGGACTCTTGGGAAAGAGGTCGATGAGGAGTTTCCTCGGATTGTCTAGCTCAGACTTGTCGTCCCCAAGGGCAGCAAATGTGATGGCAGAGTGCAGATTACCGGCCGGGATGAGAACACGCCAGAGGGTAAGATCCTTAGCATCAACTCCGATGAACGTGTCAGGATTCTCGGTCCTGATGCGCACCTTCAGATCATAAACCGTTTCCGAAGGTTCGGGTATGACGGAGAAGGCGTTCGATACGGACTGCCCTTCAACGAGACAGTACGGGATCATATCATTTTTGGCCATGGTATTAGACGTATCAGTGAAAATGAGGTGAAGAAGGCTGGAAAGTAGGGAATATGGGAGGAGGAAAAAAAGGCGAAAAGGATGAAAGAGAGTGTGAGCTTACAAGGGAAAGATAGGATTAAAGGGCGTGGGAACGGTGGCAAAGGCGATGAAGGTCTGGAAATGGTGGTAAATGAAATAGTGAAAAAGAAGAGCGTCCCGCAAGTTGCACAACCGATATATTTTTTCTACATAGTAAGGCGTCGGCGTCTTACTGCTTGCCCTTGGACCCAGAGAATGTCTACATCAGCGTGGTCGTCGCATACCCTACCAAGTGGACTTCCAAGTTACCAGCACTACCAGATTCCACACTTGATGCCAGTGGTATACAGCAAGTAGCAATCAACGTCGGCGATAATAGTTTCGGTGGGATCTCCTCCAAGGATCATGTTGAGTTCATCAACAGACGCAAGGACGCGGGAAAGCGCTGTACTGGGGACGTACAGTATGGACAATATCATGACGATACTTACCACAGACAGTTTTTCGTTGATGACAGCGGTCGCAAGTTTGGGTTATTATTTTACATTTGTTAAGGATCGGCTGAGCGAGGTAGGGGTTTAGGGGTTTTGGGTTTTGGTGCGACGTGAGGGTTTGGGTGTTGTTGCAATGGGTGCTGATGGCAAAGGAAGCGCGCGGAATGTAGATATCGATCGAGTTGTGTGTGTGATAGTGTGATAACTGTGTCAAAGGGTCTGTTGACTTAAGGGTGTCGCAATACATTATTTTCACCACCATTTTGCTGCAAACTTAGACGCGTTCATTCCTTTTCCATTACAAGCCAGCAGCTCCTTTTCCTGTGCATCTACTCCCACCACAACACACACACTGCCCTGCAGCTGATCTAGAACCACTGGAATCAAACCGAAAGGGTAATTCACACCCACAAAACTTGTGGATGTGTCTGCTTATGTGCTTGTCGTTGATCTCCGAGTTTGTATTGTTAAGACTAACCAAAATCATGTTTTGTCCTTTGGTTAGGCTCTAAAGAAAAGGGCGAAGCGTGTGATCTGAACAATACAAAAACCACCACAAGGATATACACGATCACTCAACACATATACCTACGTATCAAGCGCACCATACGCATCGCCGACAGAACCTTCCTCAACATAAAACGGCAAGACCGCAACTTTCAACGGCGAGTCCGAAGAAGACTGTCAATCCTACAACAACAACTACCACTACGGGAACCCGGTCATCATTGTCAAAGAGTCTTGCATCATCCGGTCAAGTCAATAACACGAAACTGATACGACTCAGCTTGCTGACATCTACGATGAACCAGCAACAAAATATATAATAACGGAAGGACCAACTAAACCCCAGCAACCACAACGACAGTGACAGCCTCTACGACTCTCCAGTTATAATGGCAAGGACGACAACAAGCACAAAGAAGAGCGCGGATGCAGGCGAACGCGTCGTCAAGAAACGACGTCTTTCCAAACCGTATAGGCACCCGGACGATATTGTCGACAGCGAAAGTGACAAGGATGAGCCACGGGAAAGAGATCGTCTTGGCGGGTCAGGTGCCACAGTGGGAATTCAAGACAGGACACGCAGAGCCTTGGCGAATGAGGCCACCGAGGTAGCGCGGGATGACGAGGAAACCGATACTGATGACTTTCAAACTCGTCTTGAGCCCGCCCGGTCGATAGTCAGGGGTAGGCGGGACGAGTACGGACAAATTCACGACAGCAGCAACAGCAGCAACAACACCGCTACCACTACTGCCCGTCGTGATTTGACTAAAATGCCTCCTTATCCTGAGCATCTTTTGTCGACTCTGCCGGAAAGACCTGCGCGTCGTCCCTCAGCCCAGACCCGGGGAACGACTAACGCCTCATCAACGCCAAACCCTGCCACACAAGCACCATCGCGCAAGAGGCCCTTGTCGAGGGTGCCTTCGCACATCTCTGATGGCCCAAGGAGGGTCCTAGGTGTGACGGGGACGACGGCACTGAGAAAGCCAAAGGTGGATGAGACGGATGGCGAACGTGGACCACTCCGTCCTTCTCAGTCCCTACCAGAAGAAGGACCTCCACATGAATCGGATGTGCACAAGGCCATGGAGGACCATGGCACGGATCTCTGGAGGGTAAACAATCGTTACATGATGCTTTGCGTTATGGTAAACTCTTAATTGTGTAACTCACCAGAGGGATGATCCCACTCTAATGGCACTATATTTTTATATAGGATTGGTGCAAAAGAATGGCCTACAGTGATAAAGACCGAGTGACGGCGCTAAAGCTCAAGGACTACATCGACCTTGAGGTCATGCCTAAGGACAGGGAGATGATGAGGAAGAGCTGGAGACTGCCAGGTCACCCAGATTTCATCGCCGTTTCGGCCCTGGAGGCCAACATCCGCCCGGTCGTCCGTCTCTGGTATGAACAGTCCTTGGAGGCCGAGCTTGAGACGATCAGAGATGCAAAACTGAAATCCACTCGATCACAACAACCATTGCGACCACCAACACCGAAATCACAGCCACGGCAAGCAAAACCAAAAACAAAACTTCGGCAACCTCAGCTGCAATTACCGCCAATAACCGCCTTCACCTCCACGAACCAGCAACTTGTGATGAGTACGACAGAGGACAAGGAGAATATCGGCAAAGAGGGCAAGGAAGCGAAGGGGAAGAAGGAGATAGGCGAGCAGGAGAAAGGTGGCGCGGCCAAGGACGATGACAGTGACAAAGAAAACAACACTAGCAATAACAGAGATGGCGGAGCCAATATTTCAGGGGACCATACTACATCTGACAGCTCTGAAACCAAAGGCAAGGATCCAACAGGCAAGGACGAAGAGCGCGACGCTGCCGCAAAGAGAATTCCGGTGACGACCTCGAAATTGGTGGCGCCATCGACACCGACTTTGTCAACAGCCTCATCGATACCTGCACCTGCCTCACCGCCTAGCATACCGCCGCCCACATCGCCTTCATCACAACCTCCGGCTGGAAAGAGTCAGATCTTAGCAAAGGACATTCAGCTCCTCAGGATTATGGACCTTGCGTCACCCAGGGTTGATTTTGAGTTAAGCGACAAAGCCATCAAACACCGGCTCAACCCAAGGGTCACCACAGTTGCGGACGTATTGACAGAGTGGACGGTCGGGATTGACGGAGGGCCTTCGATCCGGCAGCTGAACTCTGACTATGGTATGTCCTGGCAACACAATGACGACGAGAAAGAGTACTCTGATCGGGAGGCGATTGTTCTGGAGTTCAAGCGACTGGTGTTCGAGGATGGAGAGACAGATCAGGAAGCGCAGAAGTTGCTGGAGGATGAGCTTACATTGTCATCGAAGGCGGACTTGGCGGCTCGACTGCGAACTTCCAGGAGGGCCAGCCTCACGTCTTTAACGGCGGCATAGTTTGCTTTTTTTTCTCTCAAAGTGTCCGTCACAGCAGAGCAATAATAAACAACAAAGCTGTATCATTGCCCTTTGCTTATCCGCTACTCGACTGTTTATTTATCAACACGCAGACATACAAAAAGATATCGTTTTACAAGAATTTGCCCAGAAACTTGGCAATGGTGACGACGGCCTCCTTACGTTACGGTCCTCAACGGTTGAGACTGATCAATTATGAACTAACAATGCGATCGGTCAGGCTTAACCATCGCCTCAACATGGACACCATCCTTCCTGGCCTGGTCGACAAACTTTTGGATCCAGGGCGACAGCACCTTGACAGAGCCTCAAAAGATCAGAATCTGGGGCAAACCCGCTGAGGTGTGAGCGTTGAAGGGTGTATAGTATGGGACTCACCAGAACCTCGGGTCGTTGCTGGGTGTATGCGTCGACAAAGAAGTCGCCGTCGTCTGGGTTGACGCTGTCAAAGAGCGTTGCCTCGAACTTGTCTATCTAGGGCAAGCAGGGAGAGGAAGAGTAGATTGCGAGGAGGGAGTAATGACTGGCGCAGTTGATGTGCTAGATGGGGACTTGGGGTCGGCGGCTTTATGGACTCCCAGTTCCGACGTGTTGTTCGTTTGGGTTACGCCAATGATCGGGTCCTCGTTGCTGCTTGTGGCGTCGGAATTGTCGATCTGGATTCCAGTCGAAGCAGCCGGTGACCTGAGCGAACGAGCTCTGGGAAAACCGTCATCCTAAGAGTGCAAACACAGTACATACAGTACTACGTCGGTAGGAGAATGGTGGCTGGTGCTGCCTTCGCAGATAAAATTACACCGACCGCCTCCTCGATTGTGATGGGAAGATCCGACGCCGTCGCCTCGCTTAGATTTGTGCTCGCGATCTTTTTGCCTTTCTGCACGGCCAGGTCTGACTGCCTCCCAGCCAAAACAAGTTGGCGTTGCTCTCGTTCGCTTTCCATGACTCGAAATCCTGCAGACATCGGGTTTAACAGAAGTTTTGATATGCGAGCCCAAAATGAGCTCCTTGTAGCCGGTGTAGGCTTGGTCTCGGTTGACATAATAGGGGGTTTCAAACTTTGACATTTGATGGCGTGTAACCAAATGCGTCGTCAAGGAAATCCACGTTTCCTCGAGGGCTGATGTATTTCGAAATACGCCTCGATTTGAAACCTCTAATGATAATGATCGAATAAATGAAAAGAGAGAAAAGCTAGTCTCTCTCTCCACAGAACAACAAAAAAAACGCGAGACAGTGTGGCTGAAGGTCCATCTAGGGGAACAGGCGCTTGCCTGGAAATCACACATTGAGAATCAAAGCCAACATCTACTTCATCTTTCAGGTAGTAAGAAAGGAAGAGAGGAGAGAAACACGTCTCGCAAGAGAGCCTTGGTCGCTATGCAGAGCATAAGCAGACCTCGAACCAAGTTTCCCGACCCAAGGCCCAGACAGGGGAACCTGTTGCAGCAGGCGCTTGCCTGCCCATCGCACATTGGGAATCAAAAACGATGATCCAGCCCGCATCCTTAACATACTCCTCCCTCTTGTTCCCTCTTAAACCCTTATCGGTCATCAAAAAAATGGCCGATTGCTTCCTACATAACTTCAAGAATGTTAAAAGAGCAGGGCGTGGAGAACGGTTCAAAGGTTTAGATGAAAAGAAAGCAGATTGAAAACAAGCAATAGACTTTTAGGAGAGAGCAATGATGAGAAAGAAGCGCTGGTGGGTGAAAGCGAAGGAATGTAAAGAGCAAAAAAGGAATGCAAGAGCACAAGGAAAAGACAGGACAATGGGGCGCGAGAATTACGTCACCGAAGTTAGTTAATCGCCCGCCCTCCTGAAACCCCATGTATTTTGCTTATGCATAAAAAGGGTTTAATAAACCTTGTTAATGCTACTCTCTTGTTTGATGGACTTGACCCCCTTCTGCCTTCCATACCCTCCGGGGCGTGGCCTAGAACTGCGCTTGTCCTGCATCCAGGGATAGTTTCCGTCACTGTCCCGGGGCCGGAGGTAGAGCGGCCGCTGTTGCTCGAGTAAGTGTCCTCGAATGGCATTGCAGATGTTGTGGCCAGCCATGATGTCGTAGTACATGTACTTTTGACACTCTGAACAATACAGTCGGCGGAGATCAACTTTGTCAACGAACTCTCTACAAGTCGGGCATTGACGCCAACGACGATGTAGCCAAGAGTCCGGGCCAGAAAAATAAGGAAGTAAAGAGTAAAAATAATAATAGGAAACACTTGGTTGTGAACAAAGTACGACTGGAAGGACTCATAATCTGATATTGGAGGAAAAACTTCCCAAGACCCACGCCAATAACGATCGGCGATCAATCTATACAACTTTGCTCGAGGCTTCTTAGCGTTCTACTTGTGCTTCTTCAGGATCTCACTGCCATAGAGCGAATCGAGATGGCCCTCCTTTGTTACTCTTGGGAGTGACATCCTGCCTGGTCGAAACGATATTCCTGATCTCCGTCAACTTGAAAGCAAGTCTGTCCAATTCAATCCAGCAGAATATAGCCCTTCTCGGTGTAGGGAGGTAGGTTCAGAGTTGTCGTCCCGGATAATAAGATTAGTTAATCTTTTTAACATCAACCCTAGTCATCAACAATCCCAAAAGCGTCACTACAGGGGTTTTGTTCATGGAGAAGGGCACACAAGCGACACGCGTGTATTATCAACCCCTCCTCCTTTTTATCCTTCGTCTTCTTCCCGTCTTCCCGTCTTCCTTCTTGTCCTTCGTTTTCCCCTAACCTTTTCTGAAAACCTACTCTCCTACTCCAACTTCAACCACTTCTCCGCTCTCTCTAAGAATGGATGCTGCAACAACATCCCCAAAGGCCGCTCCAACCCTGCCGCCAGAATGCATAGAGATGATCCTCCAGTACCTCTGGGACGATCCCTCGACGCTGCATCAGCTTTCGCTCTGCAGTCGAACGCTCTTCAACCTGATCATTCCCATTCTCTACAAAAGTCCCTTCCGCCTCATTGCCGACCACAGGACCTGGTCCGACGCCTCCAAGAGCCTGCGCACTGCGCGTCTTATACGTCTCCTCTACGCCTGCTCGGTCACTCCTTCTTCCTCCCTCAAGGGCGACGCGGATCCGATGTCATCGTCAGAACTACCAGTAACACCGTTGACTGGTGACGTGCTGTTCAAGGGCCCTGCAGATTGGCCAGAACTCCCGTCGCCCTTGACGACGGACTACCTCTTCCATTACACCCATCAAGGACAGATCCCCAAGTTTTTCCGAGCCTTTCAAGTCTTGAGCCCTTCCCGGAGCAGTTACGGATCGGCGCCCCATGCCAGCAAGACCTTGGCCCTGGCCCTGTTTGGCCATTCTCCAGGTCGAATCCAGACCCTGTCGATGACCGCACATCAGTTAGGATGCGTTTTGTTTGATGAGCCCGGGCAGGGGATCTCGTGGAAGGAAGGGGTTGGACTGGGATCGTTGAGGATGTTGCGGCGATTGGAGTTGGATATTACGGCGACTCATACCTCGACATCGTGGCGGAATGCGCGAGGACAGGGCGAGTGGGCTTCAAACCAGAATCCGACGGCCGAGGCCGATTTCCCGTTGATATTTATTCAAGAGCACCAGCGCCTCTTCCGTCAATCGCCTGTCGATCATTTCAGCAACCCTACAACTACCACCGGCAGCAGCAATGAGCCTCTTCCACCACCGGTCCTCCAGGAGCTCGTCATCAGGGGTCCACATGGCGAATGGACGCCGGCACAGCTGTTGTCCAAGATTGAACCTTTGGAGGTGGTGGATCTGTCGGCATGGAATGCGGGTGTGCCAGCGCTGGATCAGATTCCGCAACAGCGACTCAAGTCCTTTAGGACCAATATTGCGAGGCGATTGGAATCAGTTCAGGTGCCTCTGGAGTATCTGAGGCGGTGCTCGCAGTTGGAGGAGATCTGGATGTCGACTCAGGGGGCAAACGCTTTCCGGTGGGCGATCGATCTGAACAGGTCTATTGGTGACTATGTGAGCGAGGCCCGGTTACGGAGACGTCGTGGTCAGGTCACCCATAGTCCTGCTCTTGCAGAGGCACAGGATCAGGGGATGGTCGGTCACGATGTGGTCAACACAACAACGACAGCAGCAGCGGCAGTGCCTCCCTCATCATCTGCCCAGTCTGACGATGCGTCTCTCGCGCTTCTTCCAGTGCCACCATTGACAAAGATCCGACTGTACGGAGGGCCTCGCGACTTGATCCCATCGCTGGAGGATGCTCTGGACGCCTTTCGGGACAACATCGAGGAGCTCTCTGGATTCGAGGACGGATACAGCCGCCGGGAGGAGTACCCTCGAATGCAGATCACCTGGTCGGTCCCGAACCTGTCATACCTCGACCTGCAAGGACGATTCGTCTTCTTTTTCGATCTGCGCTGCCTGCGCCACTGTCCTGGTCTCCGCACCCTCAAGTTACATATCGAGTCCAACATTGCGGCCCCGCATCGTCGCCGTGGGAATGTGGATGTCAACGATGATCAACAGGATGGACAGGATGTTCAGGATGGCGAAGACCCCGTGTGGATGACTGGACGCGACTACTCTGTGATTGCAGAATTGTCGCGGTTGGAGGAACTACAGTTGAGGGGTACGTCCTGGAATATCAACAATGGTACCCTACAGACTTTGGGAGGGTTCTCGCTCGCGACAGCGGACTATGACCATCCAGACCTGGTTATCAACGAGACGGAGTACAGGCCAACGCCGTTGGCTGGTAGTTTGAAGTACTTTGGAATGACGGAAGCGCACCTTCCGAGTCGGGCTGCGTTGGTGCCGTTTGTGGCGACGATGACGAAGTTGAAGGTGATTTCTTTGGGAACCACGTACTCGTTTGCGATTGGGTCCCTCCAGGAGGCTGCTGGGCCTCGTCTTACTGTCGAGTGTACCAATTCCTCCGTTTATTAGATCAGTTGACATAGAATTGTCAACCAATAGAACAATTATTTTACTCCGCACTTGCTATTTTTTTTTGTTTGATTGATTGATTGAATTTTTTTTTTTTGAGGGGGGGTGAATGAACAAGACGCGTCGATCTTTCAACTGGCAACCAATGCATACCAAGTCTGACGAGCACACGCTCACTCCATGCACTTTGCATTTTGTAAAGAAAAAATATTATTTATTAGAAGTAGAATTTTCAAAGGAGAACTGGAACGAAGGAAAATAAACCAACTCGAATGCCAGTAGGGGACACAATAAAAATCGAACCAGCGCGAATCACGGTGGTAGGAAGAAAGTACACGCGCCGGCGCCGAGGGAAAAAAAAGGAGTAGGAAATACAAGGTCGACTCAATGTACAACAAAATACAATGAAGAGAAGCTCTAAGCCCAAGAGGGTAAAAGTCCCTCAAAAAAAATGGAAACACAAGCTCAATACATTAAAAAAAATGTTTAGATTTGACGTCATAGACGACGTGTTTAAGAAAGAGATGGCAGCCACCCTGCACTCCTCAACATTCTTATTTTACATGTAGAAAAGGAAAAAAAAAGACATCGCAATGAGCAAATAATGATATGAATATGAACTGATTTGTCATTCAAAGTACATAAAAAAAAAGGTCAAGCTATGGATATATAATTGTATGTGTAGACGGCAGGGGAAAGGAAATGGAGAAATAGTCGGTAGGAAAATGGTAGTTCAAAAAGAATAAGTGGGTCACCTTCGCACAAGAAGGGGGGCGAATTATTTTTTGTGGTGGTCATGAAAGCATGTGCCACCCACCAAAAAAAAAAAAAAAAAAAAAAAAAAAAAAAGGAAAAAAAAAATGCTACTACAAGAGATTAACAAAAGTAGGTTTGTGAGGTGTAGGGAGGTGACAAAAAAAAGAATTTGACCTACAAAAAAAAAAAGAACTAAACCTACAAAAAAAAGAACTACTACATGGAGAGCTCGAGTTGTTGCCTTCCCAATTCCCCTCCTTCATCGTTCTGACCGGGCTCCTCGTTCAGACGGGAGTCGGTGCGACGATAACGGACGGAGAGGACGTGAACATCAGGCGCGGCGCCGGGCCAGAAAGCCGAAAAAAGCGGACAAACGGGCCAGACGGACCAAAAAAAAAAGAAGATAGACCAAAGAGGGACATCTTCCAAATCGGGGACACAGGACGCTTTCGAGCACGAGGAGACGGGGGTTAGATGACCTTTTGAGACCGATCTACCGTTAGGCGGCGGTGTGTCTGTGATGAGGGATATTAATGTGAGAGGTTGGCAAGTGAGGGGTGGAGGGGTGAAAAGGAGGGTGGAAGAGGACACGGGGTGGGAGACATATCAGAAAGAAGAAGAAAAACGATTGGGTGAGTCGAACTTGTCGTTAAAACAAGCTACTGGCTGAGACGCGTGGTCGTGTACGGGCAAATCATAGAGCAGTACGAAATGAACAAGAGTCTAACCTTGTAAATCGTAGAATCACACCTGTTGCACAGGGGGCCTTGGGGACGCAGGCAAGGCCCAAAAAATAAATCCTCTCGAGCCCACAAAAGATAAAAAAACAGCCAAAAAAAAAAATAGAGAAACAAAGCCGAAAAAATGCTCTACGGAGAGCAGAAATAGGCGAAAGTGTTTTTTTATGGGGGGGGATAGCTTTGTTTGAGGTGGAGGGGGAGTGGGCAAGAGAGACGCGTCAGAGGAGGTACTGCTGCTGCAGAAATAGTGGGTTGTTGGCCGTTTTTTAAATATCAGTTGTTCTGATGCTTGGAGGAAGGTGTGTTGAAAAAATAAAAAAAAAAAAAAAAAAAAAGAAAGGAATAGTTGGGTGCTGAAAGCGACTCAAAAAGGGGAAAGGAAAAGTGGATTATATAAAAAAAAGTGGAACAGTCCAGATCACTCTGGATTGGGGGAGATCAATAACGGTCATCCGATGAGGATGTCAAGGGAAGATGTGGAAGGCATTCCCTGGAGGAACGCCATGAAAGTTGGAGGAGTTTGTGTGCGAGAGAAGGAAGGAAGGAAGGAAGGAAGGAAGGAAGAAGAGAAGAGATGTATAAACTGAATGGATCGATGTGGTAGAGAGAGTGAGAGGAGTAAAGGATGAGCACAGAGAAGAGAGAAAAGGAAAAGAAGGAAAAGGGGCAAGAAGAAATAAATACACGAACGAGCGTGCATGGAATGAGAATTCGTTACGGTGACCGCGTATGTCTGATATGATGACGAGTTAAGGGTGACCACATTCTTGTGCAATAAGAGGTCACTTTTTAAACAGCCATCACCTACAGAGATATTTTAGTTCAGAAACACGGGCCTGTAGAATATTGTCTATTCCATTCAGAATTGACATTATTAGTCCATGAACTAATCAATCTAAAATTGCGCCCCAATTCAAGAACGTAAAACATGAAATAAAACTCACCATAATCATAGCAAGCTAGTCCGCTTGAGCTTCCAATCAAAGTCAACGGGATGGGAGTGGGACCAGAACCCAAGCTGGTTGGTGGTGATTGGGGGGCGACCTGAGGTCGCACGGTTTTCCTGAATAGGGGGGATGGATTGTCGATCGTCCGAGGTCAGTTGGCAGAATCCTGACAGGGCAATGTTGACACTGACATTAGAGTCGCGCGCTCGTTAGGTGTATCCTGCCTTGAAGGAGTCACAGGAGGGATTGATACACTCGACTGCTCCGTGAACCTTGACCGACTTGCCGTTGACAGTTGCGTGCGCCAATCGCATCTCCAGAAAGCAGAACATACAGATATTTGATGTCATGCTCTCATCAACCATCACAACGGCTCCTGCTCGAGCGTGTTGTTCTACTACACGTTTTCCGCCATATTTAAGATGGCTCTTGATCCTCGAGTTGACGCCGATTCCTGCAGTGCCGACAAACAGTGGCATCATGTATGGTGGTCCATGGCGCGTACAAGACGACGGATACGTCAGGCCATCTGGTCCAACGATCGCGATATGATGCTGGTGGCATGACTCGCATGCGCCATCCCTTGAGTCGAATTGACTCGGTTGTATGACGGAGAACTCTAGAGGGGAGCAGGCTGATGCCGAAATTGCAATGGGTTTCAAGAAGATTGAGCATACAGTCAAACCTCCCCTATAGCATATCCTTGGGCTGCAAGTAAAAGTATGCTATAGGAGAGGTTATGCTATTAAGAAGGCGTGCTACACCCATGTAACGTAGTAGGGGGGATTCAGGATCATGGACCCAAACCTTATTTTCCCAAAAAAATATGCAATAGGAGAGGGAATAGCATATGAATATGCTATAGGGGATTATGCTTTAGGGGAGGTTTGACTGCATCAAGTGTTAGGATCTGAACACCCCGTGAACTTTTTTTTTTGTGTAAACATCAAATAATGAACCTTTTTAATTTGACTTGCCAGAAAAATGAACATGCATAAAAAGATCAATGTTTACCTGTCAACACATCGAATCGGTTTTCAAAGATACGAGAGTACTCTATCTTGTGGGGACAGTAGCCGACATCTTGCATAGGCCCCGGTCCGTCCCACTTAATCCGATCTGACTGTCTTTGTCAGCTTTGTTCAGTTCATCTGTGTTGATCGACGTTGCCTCAACCAAATCCTGCATGGCTGGATTGGCGAAAATGAGGATGCTGTTAGGACGCGCTGTATCCTGTGATTCACCGTCACTGTCGTTGTTGGAGCTCCGGTATCGTGAATAAGAGTTGTAAAAGAGCATTTCCTTGCGGGGGTATCGATTTTTTTGTTGGGGAGTGAGAACCGGCCCTCCCAGGCGCCGCACAGGGATCCTCGTCTTCCTCAGCACCTCATAGAGTCCATCCAGCTCGATCTTGTTTAAGTCCTTCATCTGCTCCAACTCATTGTCCATCACTGTCACGGTCTCTTGTAGCTGTAGCAACTTGACCTCATCCGCCATGTTCGTTATCTGTTCGTAGCATTCTTGAATCCGATTTTCCAGAGCATTCTCGCTCAGTACCACCTCTGATTTTCGATGACGGTGTTGCCTGTCTGCCGCTCGTTGTCGACGTTCGTGTATCTCAGGCTCCTTCTTCAGTCCAGTTAACTCTGACACTTGTTTCGTCAACTCCTCCTTGCACGCGCTGGAGTAATTCCAAGTCGTTGCACTTCGTCTTCCAAGTTGATAGATCCATGACGTTCTTTCTTCTTCTTGTGCTCCTCGTATGCGCTGTTGAAAGGGTGTCGGATCTCTCCAGCCCTGAATTCTGACGGTATATTTGTCCACCAGCACAAATCTATTAAAATTTGATGTACGTTGATGTTAAAGAACGGGTAATCGAGAGAGGAAATGTCATGTTCACCAATACCAATACAATCAAAACGCAAACGAAGACCAAAGAATATACCTGTTGTCAAATTCCAACCCATGGCTTCTACAGAGCGTCTGGATCTTGGGAATATAAAAAAAAAAGATCCAAGGACATAACCTGCGTCTTTGTTGACAGAGTTGACGTTGGAGATCAAGGATTCGTTAGGCCGATAGATGTCGTAGTGGTCTGGACCTTGAGCGCAAAGGGTCTCATAGACACCCATCGGACTCATAGACACCCATCGGACTCAGCGGTAAGGCGTGTAGGCTGCCTGTCGAATAGGTGGAGCAGAGTTTCTGGTAAATTCTTGATATCCAGCGGCGCGTAAGAACGAGTTGCAAATGAACGCTAAGGGCCCGACAGTCAGGATGTGCTTGGGGAAGAGGTCCTTGTTACCGATCTTGCATTTCTTGGGTGTATAAGGTCGCAATTGGTTCACGATGTGTACGACGGCATCCAGTTCTTCTCCAGTAAATTTCTCGGGGTCATGGAGTATATCGGCGACCATATCGGTCATCACCTCGCCGGTGATGTAAGGGTCTTCCAGGAGTATCCTCGTCACGACTTGAAGCGGAATCAAGTGACTCGAGGCAGGTCCGTCGATGTCTAACAATTGAGGAAAAGAAATGCTTAATTAGCGTATGGCATATGTACATTACTGCCGCTTCTCGCATGTACATATCACTGAGTCGAACTATTACCTTGACATCTTTGCTGGTTGTCCTGGATAGCCTTACCCTTATCAAGGTGTCACAGCATCATCGTCTGTTGTGATCCTAGATCATTAGCATCATCTAACCATCGCCCCATCTAATCACATGACCACCTAGTCACATCACCACATAACCACATCACCACCTAACCACATCACCACCTAACCACACCACCACCATCCTGGAGCCCATAGCCTAGCACACACACAAGGGAGTGGAAGCGGTATCCAAGTCGAGTGCTGTTGCTCTTGATGGATTTGTGGCATCACAGTCATCGTCATCTTCGTCGTCTTGAAATTGTTTTATCCTGGGGCTCTTTCCTGACTCGGTGTTGTTGTGAGGTCGATTTTGATCATGCAGGTCAATAAGGCCCAGCAGGGCCACGATCCTACTCTCACCACAAGTCTCTGCCTGCAATCTCTCGATTGAATCATTCAGCTGGTCAAACAGGTCTTTGGCCTCAGCAACGGCAGAAGCCTTCTCCTTGGCCTGCTCAATCTTGACATCCCTGTACTGTTGCTCTTTCTGCGGTCGAAGCCAGAGTCTCAACAGATACTGGATTACGCGATCTCTGAGATCCTTGTACAAAGATCCTGTCCACAGCTGAGTAACGTTCGTGGCGTATTCCCTGTACAGAGTATTTGCTGTTAGAAATATACCCTCTGGTGTTCGGACTTCAGGGTTGATGTTGGGAGAAGCTGAAGAGCTGCCGCCGATGGTGTTCTTGACCGAAGGTAGCATCGCTGCGACGCACTTGTCCCATGATGGATGCACTGATCCCGTCTCTCCCGCTTTGGACCCCGCTCCTATCTCTTTTACCCTGGATGAAGATCCCACAGACATGTTCCTGGAGCCCCTACCATATAGGCAAGCCGCAACGTATTCGATAAAATCCTGGTTCAACAGACCGATCCTGTCCACTTGCCGCTCCTTGCTCTGTTGGCCAAGTGCAACCTCTCTAAGGATTCCCTCCGTTATCACCCCAGCCTCTACCACAGCTTGGTCGACAAAGTACGGATCCCGGATGTTGAATGTGACAAGTCTAACAACCGCCTCTCAGTGTGGAGCAACCCATGATAGATTTAATGGTTTAAAAGTTTAAACGATCCATCAAAATGTAAGAATAACGTCACATCAACACAATAGTGCAATAACAATGTCATCCATCAGTACAGTATACAGATACATACCTCTACTGTCATTTTGAACATGACAATGGAGACTTCATCCATGTAATACGAAAGCGCGTCCTGCTTGGAACGCAGAATGCGCTCCATCGTGGGAAGCTGCTCCATCATATCTGGCCGGGTTATCTGCGCCAAAGTCGCCGTTAACTCCCGGACATCGCTCTTTTTTCCGCCAGATTTGTCCCTGCTCGTTCTTGTACTTGCCGATGCCACCGTGTAGCCACCCGGCAACCCCCCATCCTCTCCCCCAAGTTGCGCATCTTCCATCTCAATCTCCTGTAATAGTCCTTCAAGCGATGTCTCAACGTCCTTGCTAGGAGCGCGAGTCCTCAAACTCGCATCGGTCCAGAAGCCGTCGAAGTTCTCATCCACAACCTCCATGAGACTCTCCTTCACAATATCGACGCTATTGTTTTTGACGTTCCTTCTTGTGCGAAACCGTTGTGTGAGGCATGTTCCGCTCATGTCCTCTGGATTGTCGATATTGAACTGCTTGCGCAGAATGTAGACGGTTGCTTCCAGACTCATTCTTGTGTGCTGGCCTTGTCTGTCTCTGTCCGTTTCAATTCGGTCCTGGCTGTTTCCAACACATCCGCACAAGTCTGGTCGCCTGATAGCCGCTTGTTGTTGGCGGTGTCGTACGTTTTCCTGACTAGTCGTTTCAAACGGATACGACCATAGTTTAAAGTTACAAAAAGAATAAGTACCTCAGTTCATAAAAGCATCTCATCCATATCAACAATTCAAGTATTGCGCTACATACCATACTCTATTAAATACGTGGCTGCAATCGTCGCCTTCAATGTGTCGTTTTCCAACACCCGGTTTCTGATCCCTACCTTTGTTTGGCCGGAATTTTACTGAAGAATTACCGGATTGCATATCTCGCAGAGTTAAGTCGATTGAAGAGGACTATGTGGAGGCGAGAAAGATGGTGGCTGTTGTAGGCATTGTTGAGGTGGCAATGTCGAGGGGTTTGTGGTGGTGGTGGTGGTGGACAAGTCAAAAGGATGTACGTCCATCTCAGTGCTGGCGAGGACGGGAGGGGGCGTGACTTCACTGCTCATCATGAGTTCACTGATGGTCGTGGGTGCTGTATCCAACTGCGCTCCTCGACTGGATCGAAGTGCGTAAAAGTCGGAAATTCCGCGGATCCGATCAACTGCATGTAGTACTGTGATTCAGTGCTGAGTGTTGGGCTGAATGAAGGAGAGGGCTTTCTTTCTCGAGGAGAAGAGCACTATCGAGGCGTTGAGGATGGAGCTCAGCCGTCCAAGGTCCTGCTTTCGCAAAAATGTGAGCGCCTGGTTTACGTTATCGTTGGAAATAGGTATCCTGTCTGCAATGTTGACGGTATTCTGTGAAAGATATGCGAGTAGTGGGTCAGGTGTGGTGCAGTCGAGTAGGACCCAAGCAGTTGACAAAAAGCCTTCGTCCAGGGAGCTATTATACAAATAATGGAAGGTCAGGTTAGACGCGTTCACTCCAGTTATGGTCGGTAGGTTCATGAATATTTCGTCGTTTGAGACGATCAGCTCAGGCTAGCTGCACATACTCCCGAACTAGTGCTCGCCATCTTGTTGAAGTCAAGTGGAGTTGGAGGAGGAGTAGTTTAGTGTGTTGGTCCGCGGTGTGGTTGGAAAATGGGTTGACGAATTAAAGAAAGAGGTTTGCTTTTCGCTGGTATCATCTTAAAAAGAATGCCAAGCCACAATGAGCCTTCGCTTAGTTGAATAGGCTTTTTTTGGTTCACTCGTGTTATTCAAAGAATAATAATATAGATCTTGCGTGAAATCCACATTACATGGCATGCTGATGGCCATAAAACTGTCACCGTGGAGTGCCCCTTGTACAGAATCACACAAACTACGACATTGAACCAATACCGTACCCCTTCCTGAGCACGCACGTCGACAGTACACGCACTCACAATCCAAATCTTTTTTTTTTGCTTATGGTGTGTTGGATGGTGCTCCCTCTCCCTCTCGTCCTGTCAAAAAACCCGACCATTCCAACAACTGTCCGCAGAACAAGAAGGAGAACACCAACACGGAACTTGCCCGTCTCCTTCATTTTCACGTTCTTTTTCTCCCTGACTCCCCTCATGTGCCGACCCCCCCCCCCCCCCCCCTTAGTAGCTCCTTCCTTATTATTTTTAAACTTCTCAAGAGAAGTAAGTGGATCAATAAACAAAGAAAAAAAAACAGCAAGAGCACACTTTTATAAGGACATCAAGATGTGTGCTGCATGATGACAGGGATGTGATGTGACGTGTGGGTGCTCTCAATAATCAAGCAGGTGAAAAAAAACAACAAAAAATTCGCACAAGCAAGGAGTTACGGGTGAATTTGCAAAACTCTATCTGACCCAAGCCATCGTAACCTCTTCTCTTGAACGATTCCATTTTGTTTCTCGGTCGTGTCCACATAGCCTTGAAGTTGCTTGTACGAACTGTTATTAACCTCTATTGATAACTTTGCATTCTCCTAATTGCTGTTGTTGGTGTCCTCCCTTTCACTGTTGCTGTAATCAGTCATTCCTTGACCACATTCAGCCCCTTGAATCCCAAGAACCACTCATCGCGCATTTTTAACTGGTGTAGCCCTTGGCCTCCGGCAGCGATACGTGTGATTCAGCAATGCCAATCTTTTAACTCGGAACACGGAACGCGAAAGTTGAACGCGAAAGTTGAACGCGACAAAGAATATCAAAGTCTCCCACGATTTTCATCAGGTGACAGCAAATGCTTTGATCGCATTTGCATCATCTCTTTTCTGCTTTTCTGTGTGTGCTTACTTCACGTTCAACACGAACACAACGGCTTTCTACTACAGACAGAAATAACCCTACATGGCATCAGCAGGATCCCCCAGGAACAGCAGAGAGGGAGACAGGAAAGTCAAGGTGACGCAGGTCGCCTCAAAGCCGATCCCCTTCACAGCCTTTCAAGCTCTCTGGGTGCCTGGCACCACACGGATATGTGCCCTCGGCTCCAACGATTCTGGATTCGGCATCATTCAACTCTACAACCTCACCTCTAACCCCTCATCACTCTCAACCATCAAGAAACCCACCACCGCAACAACACCAGCACCAACAAAACAACAACAACCGCGTTTGGTACTACAATCAGAGACCGAGAAAAAGATTCAATTCAAGTCGGGCACTTTCAGAGCCAGTCCTCGGTCTTCAACCCTTCCCCATTTGTTGACGGGAGACTTCGAGGGTCGTGTTGGGCTTTGGGATCTGTCGCGGGCAGAGGTTCCTTTGTGGATGTTCCGAGCGCATGAAGATGTTGTCAATTGTATGGATGGTGTTGGGTCACGGACGGGAAGACCAGAGTTTGTGACTGGAGGACGGGATGGGACGGTTAAGTTGTGGGATATGCGGCAGGATCATAAAGCTGCTGGATCTGGAGCTGGGACGGCCTTGGAAAAGCCATTGTCGACGATGGCGTCGCTAAAGAAACAAGTCGATGGGCATGATGTCTGGTGTGTCAACATGGGAGTAGGACAAGGAGCCGACGATGAGATGTTGGTCGTGGCAGGATACGATAATGGTGATTTGCGAGTCATGGACCTGCGGGTGGGCCAGGCTGTCTTTGAGACCAACCTTCAGCACGGGATCTGCTCGGTTGAATTGAGTCCGCGTCATCAGGGAACCAGCTCGCGTCCATTTTCGTCATTGGTGGCGACTACTTTGGAGGGATCGATGCACGTCTTTGATCTGGTTGATGGGCAGTTCAAGGCTACGACGAGTACAAGCGCAGGGTCCAATGCAACAGCAATGACGGAAGAAGTAGTGGCAGTTCAGTCGGGAGATGACAGTACGCTTTGGCAAGTTCGACATGTCCCCCAGCGACCTGGCGTCTTTGCCGTCACGGATGGCGGTGGCTACATGCACTTGTAAGTTGTGCCTCTAGTTCGTTTTTGGCGCTGATAGTGCACAGGAAAACACCATAAGTTTGTGCTCACATCTACTTTATTGCCGTTTTTCATCTTAGGTACGAGCATGGAGACGAAAAGACACTGTCAAAGCAACTTGGATCTCACAAGTTGGCTGAACAAGGGATCCTATCGCTCGATTTCAACGAAGAACTGGAGGGTCTCTTTGTTGGATGTGACCTTGACAACACTCTTCGTGTTGGCATGCTTCACCTCTAACTAAGGACGGATCAAATAAAAGCACGCCAACCTTGCATCATCTTTCCAAACATACGTGAAAAAAGCACTTTTTTATTAATAGATATTATCACTTGGAAGCCAATCTCTCGGCGACAAAATCGGTATAGTTTGCAGGTAATGGCATATCCCAGGCAAAAGTAGAGCGACTCGTCTTGAACTCGTACAAGACCTCGCCGCTGTCGTAGGTGGCGCCACTTCCGTGGACGAGTTTGTGTTGAATGCCCCAGAGCTCGCCCATCAAGATAAAATGCATCTGCAGCTCCTGATCCGCAGGACGCTCCTTTTTGCAAGCATGGGTATGTTCGGAATGGTCGTGGTCGAGGTCGCACTTGTGGGGTTCATCTTCTTCAGCTGAAGGCTCAAGGTTATCCTTTTCGGGGACAGGGATGATGGTCCATTTGCCGAATGCGTGGTTGACCACACAGACCGTCGTCTCAGTAGCCGATCCAGTAACTCCTGAAAGTCGCACGAATCCCTTGAGTCGATAGACATCCTCCTTGCTTAGCGTTCCCAGAAACTTTTCAAACGTAGTCAATTTCAGCACCTTTTCCGGATGGCGGGTCTTGGGTCCATAGCACTTGATCTCCATGGTATCGAGTTCGTTCCTGTGATGGATCTTGTCACCGTTTTGGTTGAGTTCGTCCTGGAAGATCTTGTTGTTGGGTCCTGTGGGTCCTTGGAGTTGGAAAAGTTTGGTGTCGAGTCCAAAGATCAGTTCGGGTGAGACGGGTTGGTCGATGTTGACGAGGACCTTGGGGGCGTCAGTGTTGAGATCGTTGACCCGATCAATCACCCTATCCATGTCCCTTTCGCTCACCTATTGTTTTAGAGGAAAGTATTAGCTTTTAGCACACTGAACGCAACTACATCGAAAATAATAGGATTCGCAAATTGGCCAAAGTGAAGTGATGCTTACGCCTTCGTGCTTGGTTAAGAGGACGAGATCGGTGTACTGGGCTTGCAGTTTGGCGGTGTAGGAGTTGTCCGCATATCCCTCAAAGTTCTTGCAGTCGACCACATTCAGGATCGAGTCCAGAACAAATCCTTCGTCTGCCAACTCTCTGATCTGCCACGCAATCGGGCCTATTTTACGACAGCAGGATAACGATGTGTTGTTAACATGAGTTGTTCGGCGGACAGCGTTACAGATGATAAGCAGGCAAGGAGTAAGTTGGTGATGTGTTACCTGGAAAGGCGGATCCACTGGTTTCAATGATGATTCGATCGGGGTTGTACTTTTCCCTCAGCTCCAAAAGTCCCTCCTTCATCTGCCCGACGAGGACACAGCATAGACAGCCATTGGTCATTTCCTGGACATCGATGTTGTTGAGCTTTGCGATCTGTGAGTCGACTATTAGTGTTTCAATTAAAAGGAAGAGATAGCGAGGAAAGATATTAGACGGTGTGTTTCGGGCATTGGGGACGATGTTTCATGTCACTAGTGTAACGTTTTCCTATTTTTCGGTGAAATGCTGCATAAGGAAGTTGCTTGTCCGTGAGGCGGTTCTCATGGAAGGTTGGTTTACCTTTGACATCACCAAATTCGTTCTTGAGGAGACAGAACTTGTAGTCCTTGGGCATCGAGTTCATCAACGACAGAATGATTGTCTATCAAGGACAATTGGGGTTCATGACATAACCTACGGTTAACCTTCCATTTCGAGTTGTGTTATCAAGAGATAAGAAATTTAAAAAAATAATCGAAAGACGAGGAGAGTGCGCTTACGGTCTTGCCGACGCCGACAAAGCCGGTGAAGACGGTGACGGGGACCTTTCCGCCCTTGCTGATGGTGCTTTCTGTTCTTCCTGGCAAGTCCATTGTATATGAATGTACGTAGAATGTAAAAGGTAATGAGGTTTAGAGGAGTGAGAGTGAAAGAGGAAAGAATGAGGCCAACCAACGACGTTCCTGAAAGACAGTTCCCCAACGGATAATGGAATGTGGCTGAAGCAGTTGATGGACTGTCTTTTTTTTGAATAGCCTTGAAAATGTAATGTCTTTCTCACACACTTTCTTCCATTCAAAAACATATGATTGTGCGGTCCCTGGTTCGTCAGTTGTTGCCACTAAACTTGTCCTTCGCACCAACAACACGACAACTGAAAGTCCCTTCTTCTTCTTCATCTTCTTCTTTTTCTTCCCTTTCCACTTCCTCTCGTCTTCTTCTTCACACACACAGGACACCCTTGACACCACACCGTCAAGTCACAACTACCACCACCACACGTGCCTGCTCATTCGCCACTCCTTCTGTAACTCATCGACAATCAAGAACAGCAACACACAACATGGCCACAAAGCGAGTAACCGCGTCCTCCACAAGGTTGTCTTCAAGACTCACCGCAAAGCCTGATGCCTCCAACACCAACATCACAGTCGAGAAAGTCTCCGTCACTTCTTCTGCTACCGTGAAACCCACCAAGTCTGTCAAGCGCATTATCCATGACGACGACGAAGCTGGCGAGGAAGAAGACACCGCCAGTTCTGAAGACAAGGAGGATGGAGACTTTGCCGGTGGAGCTGCCAAGAAAAAAAAGAAGACCCCTACTGCTACTACCAAAACGGCTACTCCTTCTGCGCTGAAGAAGCAAAAGTCAGCACCAAAGGTTCCTATTCGCGCCAACTCGCATACCAACACGACCATGCCCGGCACTCTGGTCCTCCCCAAGACCCCCGACGGTTGTGTCAAAATCACCTCCTGGAACGTCTCCGGCCTAAACTCTTCCCTCAAAAAGGTACTTTTCGGTTTTCTCAGGCAATGGATCTTGACTTCTGTATAGGCGTGAGAATATTTTTGTGTTTTGATGTTAACGCATGTTTGCATCCCTGACACTGAAATAGGGCTTCAAAACGTACATTACGGCAGAGGACGCAGATGTGATCTGCATCCAGGAACACAAGGTGCAACAACCCCTCCTCAATCTTGTCGACCCCAAGGTCTACCCCTTCAACTGGTGGGGGTTTGAAGAAAAGAAGGGTTACGCCGGAGTGGCCATGTTCTGCAAGACCAAGCCTATCGCCGTCACCGCAGGTTTGCCTACACATCCAGACCCTGCTTGCACCAAGGGTCGTATCGTGACACTCGAGTACCCAACCTGTTTCATCCTTGGATGTTACGTCCCCAATGCCGGCCAGGGCCTTGTCCGACTCAAGGAGAGGATGGTGTGGGATAAGGCCATGAAGGCCTGGTTATTGGATCTGAAGTCCAAGGGAAAGCAGATTATCTGGACAGGAGACCTGAATGTCTGTCACTTGCCGATCGATCTGCGGAACCCAACGACCAACACTGCCAGTGCCGGATTCACACCCGAGGAACGAGCTGGATTCTCAGAGATCCTCGAGGAAGTTGAATTGGTCGACACTTTCCGAGAGATCCAGGGGACTGGCGTAGAAGCCGAGGGTCAGTATTCGTACTTTTCGTATCGGTTCCAGTGCCGTGTCAAGGGAATCGGTTGGAGGTTGGATTACTTTGTGACGGATCAGCAGATGTACAAGGAGAGGCTTGTTGAGAGTGTCATCCGGGAGGAGTGCTATGGTGCCAGTGACCACGTTCCCGTCGTCTTGGTCATCAAGGGCGAACTGTAGTCGTAGAGATAGTACACGCGAACAGCATTGGAGAGGAAACAAGACATTTGTAAATATCTATAAAACGGAATAAACCCGCTATATTACGCTTATTGTTTGTTACGTAGACCATGCCCAATCTGCTGGGGCTAGGAAGAAGACATCGCCACTCTCGACGGTCGTGATCTGCTGTAACCGATCCTGCATGTTGAGCATTGTCGGCGTATCGTCCAACTCCTTCGCGTGAAATATGCTGAACCTCTACATTAGTTCGGTATCAAAAGAATAACAATGTTAATGCCTGAGAGACAATAATTAAGGCGATTTTAAAGACGACGGACAAAGTGCGGCGTGTTACCTTTTGGGCATCGAAAGGTTCGTTCTTAGGCACGGCGATCTTGAGCCATTCGACAATCTTGTCCATTGACCGGCCCACAGTCCAAGTCTACAGTAAATCCCATCAAATGTAGGCAAATATAGTACAATTAATAAAGGCACAAAATGGTGGCATGTACTTTGATCATGAGTAAAGAAAGAGGATAGAAGCGGTACCTTGTCAACATAGACAGACTTGTCGTCCAGCTGAGGAAACACAGGTGATCGGATGTATACATATAGCCTTGAACTGATGGATATCTTATCCTCGCCCTAGGTTACATAACCGCGTTACGCTCATGTCAATTGATGTACCTGTCGCAATCAATTCAATCCATTATCGATCACAAAGGCCACTATTACAAAAGGAGAGTTAATTACCATGGCGGTTTTCTTGATTTTCATGACAGTGACGACACGAGAAGCCTTCTTGACCCTTGGTGGAGCTAGTGTTGCAGTTGCGCCAGTCGTAGTAGCTGAAGGTGTTGTAGTGGTTGCAGCGGCTGATTTGGTGGAAGAGGTCCTGGCGGCGATTTTGGCTTTTGCCTCCGCAATGGCTGCCTTAGCCGCTTCCGCCTTCACCTTTGCCTGCATCTGCTTCTCCTCCGGCGTCACCATTGATCCCGTCGTGGCGGTTGTTTTTGTCGCACCAGCAGTAGATCCAGTCAGTTTCCGTGCAATGGTATCCTTGATCTCTTGGCGTCTAGCAGTTTCAGCTTCCACTGCCAGTTTGCGCTCTTCGATCTTGGGGCAGTTGTGGTCAGGCGGGTGACGGTGTGGAAGACAAAAGGTCTGGGAGCAATCGGAACAGGTTTGGACGACTCTGTCGCGGCGGTTACATTTCGGGAGGGCGCAGAGGATGGCGATTGATTGGACTTTTGGGAGGTTGTGGAGGTTGTTGCTGCACCCTGCTTCGATATGTTCCTTCAACTAAATGGTTGTTTCATGACAAAACACAATGTGATGTGCGGTTAATACAAAGTTGTAGTTGCAGTTGAAGCCACTGTGTTCTCTTCGTGGAATATATGAGGATACGTTACGATAGTAGCAGAGTCGTGTTGCTTAGGAGTGAGAATAAGCTGTTCGCAAAGTGGACAGACTTGGACCGAGTTTGCATGTGATTCCATGGACCAGTTGGTGCAGGCATGGTCTGCGGGCAGTCTGTGAGAGGAGCAGAACGTGTGTTGGCAGAAGGTGCATTGGAATGGGAGAAAGTCAAGGGATTGGCATGAACTCGCGTCGCAATGAGCGCCGACTGATGGGAACTCCATTCTGTTTTAGCGAGGGCGTTGGTTGTAATAATGTGTCAAAGGAGGAAGGGGAAGAAAAGGTATTTATGCAATCGTTTATTTTGAAATCCCGCGCGAAAAATTGAAGGGATATGGACACGTCAATTTAATCGCCTTTCTTTCCTACAGGCTGGAGAAGTGTAACCGCAGGGAGGAAGCCCTTCCACATATAAACATGCGGCCTCTCCCCGCGAATATCATAATGATAATACATCACAAGCACCAACTCACCATAGACACCATACGCCGACAATAAGTGCCACCACGCATGCAACTGCAGGTTCCACTTCAAGACAGACTCCTGGCTGACGCCATTAATAAACACACACAAGTTGTAATCCACCAGCCACACCACCACTGCGGCCAGCATGGTCCAGCACGAGAGGTGGATTAGTTTTGAGATATCCAGGTTGGGTCGGATGCGTTGTTGTTGACGGTGAAATCCCCGAAGGAAGTAGAGGCCTGTAAGGACCATGGATGAGTAGGTTGCCTGGAAGGAGACAGACTGGAGCGTTCCAGACGTTGTCGAGAATATGATCGTTGTCATCACTGAGTGTGGGGATTGAATTAAAGTGAGAAGAAAGGAAGAAAGAGAATGAATAGGCGGTATTACCGAAGGAAGTCTAGTGTATTAGCGAGGCACATGAAGCGAAGCAGAAGGATGCTCAGATTTGCTGGAGAGGAGCACATACCTAACCAAACGCCAAGAGCAATGGGGAACCACTGCCCCTGCTTTCCAAACCGAGTCTCGATACAGATAAACATCCCCACAGTAGCCGCATAGAGCATCGGCAACTCATCCAACAGCTGCATCTTGTGCCTCAACGTCCCATGGAACAGCACCGAGCCCACCCCGGTCGCAAAAAATATCTGCATCAACAGGGTCATCCGTCGCTCACGATACGAGGCCAGGTTCATGTATCCGGCAGCGGCGATGGCGGCGATGAGGAAGCTGGAGGTTGTGTTCCAGAACTCAGCGATGTAGTAGCTGACTGTGTAGTTGTTCTCGCACCAGTCAATAGATGCTGTGTTGGGTGACCAGTATCCGAGTTTGTCGAACTTTGGCGATACTGACGTTGGTGCCATCCTTGTTCTTCTTCTTGATCAGTGGGTTACTGGTGCGTGGGTTCGTGTGGCAAGGACAAATTTAGGTTGAATGAAGAGAGAATGAAGAGAGAATAAGAATGAAAAGGAAGGGAAGGGAAGGCCAGTGTGCAACAAGGAAGGGCCGGTTTGTAAAGAAGGGAAAGAAGGGAAAGAAGGGAAAGAAGGGAAAGAAGGTTTTTTTAGGGTTCCAATGAAAAAAGGTGACTGCCAACCTTTGTTGTCTCAGTCGTGGTCGCAAGCATTTATTTATCGGCTGACTTGGCCACTGAAAAACAAGTCGAGCGGGGCGTTCAAAGGATGGCACCCAAGTGGCACGGCGAAGGTCTCTTCAAATCAATCAGTCGCATGGCCACAGCACGAATAATCGCGATCAACTGTCGATCGGTTTCATGTACCTCGCTTTTCAACTTGAACGCAGCACCCCTCTTGGGCTTCTTTTTTCTATTTTTTCCTTTCTCTTGCTACCTCTCCTTCTTCTCTCCTTTATTTACAAAATAAAAAAAAGGGTATAAAAGAGTAGCTAGGTGAATTACTTGGGCGTGAGGCGGGTCATGTCGATAGTCATACCATACATCCCCTCGGTCTCCATCTCCATATTCAGCTTGATCATCTGCGCGCCAGACTGTCCCCCAGGTCCTCGCTGATAAATCTGCTCGCCCAGCATCCGCAGCTGCATCGGCATCTCCGGATTTGCATAGTGATCAATAATAACTGCCTTGTTGACCTTCCGAGCCAAGGAAGACCATTCCGTGCCAGTTGCACCCAATCCTCCACCCATGCGCAGACAATTGGCCGCAGCCTTGCCCATGAACCACCAATTCGGCAATAGGTCCTGTCGTGATTCTGCCTTGACCAAGAACCGTTTGAACCCGGCCTGACTGTGGTTCGCCCCTCCGTACAAACCGTCCTTGTCCTTGAGTCCCTCCATCGTGAAATCGTCGTGCTGGCGCATCCGGAAGCAATCGATCAAGAGCTTGTAGACATCCTCTTCCGGCCGGTCGTGAAGCCAAGTCTTGCTGCTGAGACGGTGGTATGGCTTGTCGATATGCTTTTTTAGTCCATTCGATATGACTTCCTGACCCGGTTCCTTGACAAACAACGGCGACTTTGACGAATTGGTCATGACGGGTGCTCCAGAAGCGTCTTTCCCAAGTTTGATAGGCTCGGCTGTTGGCGTTGTAAACTTGACGTTGCCATTGCTTGATGGAGGTGTCAGTTTGACAGCAGTCGCCGTAGCTTTGGCAATTGGAGTAACAGGCTTGATCGCAGTCGTCACAGGTTTCACTGGTTTTGTAGGGGTGGTCGACTTGGCGGATGAAGTAGTGGTAGCCTTGGTCGTGGTAGAAGCAGCTGCTTTGGCAGGAGCAGGGGTTGCAGTCTTGACAGCAGGAGAAGCTGCTTTGGCAGCAGGAGCAGAAACCTTAGTTGCAGGAGTAGCAGTCTTTGTGGTTGTGGCAGCGGCTACTTTGGCAAGAGGTGTAACTGGTTTAGCGGGAGTAGCAGCAGCGGCAGCGACAGTCGACTTAGGAGGCCGTGAGCGCTTTGGAGGTTTGTCGCCCATGGACCGCATATAGAGAATCTTTGAAGTCGCTGGGGGCGTTGGACCAGGGGGTTCACCGGGACCAGTCTTGACGACGGGCCAGGACTTGCACTCGAACTTGAACCGGTCCAGGTTCTCCTGGAGATCATCATGCAGGTCAAGAGGGTAGTTGGAACTCTTGAGGAGTTCGGTCATTTTCCAGACGCTGTCGCAGTACTCCTTGTGGTGGATCCAATGGGTCTTTTGGCATTTGTGAGTGCAGTAATGAGCAGACTTGCATTGGATGCATCGCCGGAGGACAAGTTCCTTGGTCTGGTCTGCGGTCTTGTGGCACTGCGCGCAACGAGGAGTGAGGTCGACTTCATCGGGTTCTGAATCAGAGTCTGAGCTGAAGTGAGATTCGTCGTCGTTGTCCTCGGAGTAATCGTCATCGTCATCGTCGGTGATGTCGTCGTCAGAATCGAAGCCGTAGTAGATGTCCTGATCGTGGTCAAATCCACAGTCGCAATGGTACTTGTCTGGCATGGTGTGGCGTGGTGGAATTGGTTGATTAATGTAAGGTGAAAGAATGAAGAGAAGTACTGTAGAAGAACGAAGAATCATTTATTTTGGCGCTACTATTTTTGCAAGCCACAGAACTGATAACTGAACTCTTCAGAATCGTCAGATGTTTGAAAGACTGTTGTGCTTCAGTTGACGCAACACCCTGTCAGCCCCTCCTCCTTAGCGGTACGGGTTGATGTTGATGGTCGAGCCATACAAAGCCCCAGTCTCTGTCTGCATCTGCAACTGGATAATCGGCGCACCCGCCTGTCCACCCACACCACGTCCATACACCTGTTCTCCAAACAACCGCATCTGCATCGGCATTTGAGCATTGCCATACCGGTTGATGATCGTCTCCTTATCCGCCTTGTGAAACAACAGCTTCTCAGGCTCTGCCTGTCCAAACGCAATAACAGCCTCCTTCTTTTCAGCACTCCAATCCGCCGGCAACAATCCAGCCTTGCCCTCGACCAAAGACAGGAAGTTCTTGAACCCATTGGTTCCATCGCGTGCACCGCTGTAGAGGGAATCGTTCTCGACCATGTGGTCAAACTTAAAGATGTCGTCCATGCGGAGGCGGTAGATGTCGATCAGGAGCTTCTGGACGTCCTTCTCGCTCCGGTTGTGAAGCCAGGTCCTGTCGTTCAGTCTGTGGAAGGGTTTCTCGATAAGAACCTCCAGGGGTTCTCCCTCGTTGCGGGCGGAAGAAGTAGTGAAGGTGGCGCCGGTGTTGGCGTTGGTGGCGCAAACCTTCTTGTGGATTTTCTAGTGGTCCTTCTGGCAGTCGCGTGAGCAGTAGCGGACTGACTTGCACTTTGAGCACACCTTGAGAGGGGCTCCGACATCCACTGCCGTCTTGCTGCATTTCACGCACTTGTCCGTCATTGCTGAATCGAGGTTTTATTGATTAGTTGGAAGATTGATCTTGGTCGATGTTGTTGGCTGGTGGGCTGTTGGTTGGTGATGGAGGGAGAAAGAGAGTCTTGACTCACACAGAAACACAAAAAAAAGGCGCGCATAGGCCATTTTAACTACAATCATGGATAAATTGAAAAGTCGAATTTTGGCCGCTACCGTTGTGGCTTGAGAATTGGGCAGATATGGGTGTACTTTAAACATAAGCCCTTCTGTAAATAAATAGTATGATGTAAACAGACGTAACTTTCTTTCAACCTTTCAACAAACATCTCTTGAAGCCAGCTTGGCGCACCCGTTCCACTCTCTACTTTCTTCGTACCCATTCCACTCTTCATCTTCTTTTCTGCTCGCCCCTATTCTTATTGCATCTATTCTGTATCATGAATCCACTTGAACTTCTTCATCGCAGCTGTATTTTAGGATATAATACTATACCAACAACGGCAACTCGAACGACTCGAGCGTATGGGGCGACCTCGGCAAGGGATTCGGTTTACCCTCGATCAGTGGTCAGAATGGCAATGCAGGGAGGAGACACGGTTCACAAAAACCGAGTTGAGGAGGATACAGACATTGTTGAAGATCCCAGACATGATGCAAACCTACGGCCACGACATTTTCACAGGGATTGAGGGCCTTTGCATCCTGCTCTATCGTACCACTAGTCCTGTCGTTTATCGCCGGATGCAAAACACTTTTCACCGTGACAGAGGAGCCTTGACAAGGATCTTTTCCTGCATGCTCGAGTGGTTGGACGATCACTGGTCACGGATTCTCGACCGGGATCAGGATCGACTTACACCCAACAGGCTGCAAGCCTTTGTCCACGCGATTGATGTGCGATCGTTGCAAGGACATGGCGGTGACATGACAAGCCTTGATGTATTTGGCTTCATCGATGGCACGTCGCGTCAAGTGTGCAGGCCAACCTATGAGCAGAGGGCCATGTACAGCGGCTATGGTAAGACCCATGTTCTGCGATACCATGTTCTCGTCACTCCTGATGGTATTATCGTTCACGTTAGTCAGCCTCAGGCTGGCACTTGCAACGATGCAACTATCTTTGCCGACTCACCCTTCCCACATGGCTCGAACGATGTGCATGGGCTTCTGATGGACGCCCGCTCAAGATTCTCGGTGACTCGGCTTATGGGGCAGGTGTGCACACGGTTCGCCCATTTGTAACGCGTCCCAGCATGCCTGCTGCCATGCGACGACATAATGCCCGTCTGCACTCAATCCGTTGTACCGTGGAGCAAGCAATCAATAACGTTTCCACCCAATGCCAGCAAGTCACCTGGTACCGATCTCTCAGAATCCTCAACGGGCGAGTAGGACATTACTTTCGGCTTGGGGTCCTTTTTGCAAACATTTATAACATTCTTCATGGTGGGAATGACATATCCATTCAATTTGGTGTTGACCCCCTAAATCTTGAAGAATACCTCAACCCCAATGTATATAGTGATTAACATGTTCCTTGGCTAAAGCATACAATAAAAAAAGTAAGCAGAGTTATTAGAAAAAAGTAATATCATTGTGGTTTGTTGGATATGATGTTGGCAAGGATAATGTTCATTTCAGTCAACTGCTTTATCCAGGATTCCTGTTTTGCTGTTGTCTCCTTCTGCGCATCCACCAATTGTTGGATTGAGTCTCGAAGCGAGTCTCGAAACGAGTCTTCCTGTTTTGCTGTTGTCTCCTTCTGCGCATCCACCAACTGTTGGATTGAGTCTCGAAACGAGTCTCGAAGCTGACCAATGCCTGCGTTGAAGCAGTCTGTCATCTCTTCATTGTATCTGTCGAGCCTCTCCGTGAGCTTCGATACAGCGTCATCCGAGTTGAGCAAAGAGGTAAAGCCACGGCTGGCAGAAGAACGTAAAGGTGATGTCGATGAAGTCGATGTAGACGAAAGGGGACTCAGTGACGATGCTGGAACGGAAGCATCCTCTTCGAACGCATCGTCTGGCGAGCCGGCCGTACTGTTCAATAATCTCTCACTCGGATTGGTACGCATAGACGTAACTGCCACACGTTTTCCGACCAAGTAGTTCGACATGCGCTGATCATCTATCGTTCTTATGGAGCGTCTTGCTTAGTGCCCGTGCCTCCGGTCTAACCAGGATTTCCTTGACCAGCTTTTCCACCTCGCTCAAGTCCTCGGTGGACCCCGTCGAATTATCCAGCCTCTGAGTGAGGCGAATCCATCGCTTGCGCACGCTTTCCTCGGTTGCACTTGCCCAATAGAGGCCTGCGCCCGTGCCCAGCATCTCCTGCTCTCTCGCTCTACATGCTCTGGCCACCTCTTTCCATCTCCTACTCTTGTCGCCGCGGGCGGTGGCCATCAAAGGTTCGAACTCTTGTATAGCACGGAGGAGAATCATGTCCGATACTGTACTGCTATATGGTGCACGATATTTCTGCTTCGCAGTAGACGGATCGCCAGCATGTGGGATATGGCTCGAGGAGGAAGAGGAACCAACTCCGCAATCACAGTCAGCACCATGAGCAGAGCACGCGTTTGCAGCAGGCCGGTGAGTAGCCCAGTCTTCCTCGTCTGTTAAATCCCCCTCATCCGTCTCGTGTGCAATGGGATTGAGATGAATGCTTTCAGGTTGTGAATTCATAGTGTTGAGGTAGAATGAAGATTGCTGAAGGATGTTACAGTTGAACGATGCAACAATGGGAGAGTGATGAAGAACAAGGGCAGGCTCGTGACCGGTCATTTGGGACAAGAGAAGGTCAAGTGGGCGTTTGCTGTTGTATTAGACCATAAACAGTCGACTTTAATGTGCAAGGTCCTCTGTAAGAAAAGCACTCCAACAGATACAAAAATCGTTACTGTTTTCATGCATGAAAGAAAAGGCATAGAAGCGTGAGAAAAAGAGGAGGGTGTGGAGAAATGAGAAGGCAGATTCTAAACGGAGCCAAAGGGGTGGAAGGTATCATACATCCCCTTCCACTCCTCCATCTCCTTCAAGGTATTCTCTAACTTCTTCACCGGACTGTTCTCATTCAACTTGACACCCAGCCCCTGCATCATCCTGCACCAATGCAACAACACAAGATCCGGGTAAGTTAACTTGTCGCCGAAATAATGTCCATTGTTCCCGTTCTTGTTCAACCACCGTTCATGGCATGCCAAGAACTGTGGCAAAGCCTTGGAGAGGAATTCAGAGTTGGGATCGGCGACGGCTTCTTGGATGGGGATCTTGCCCGCGAAACAGTGGGCGTAAATCTCAAAGTAGATGTTGAGGGCGATGGATTTTTGGATGGCGTTTTCTTCGGGCGTTGCACCGAGGAGATCGAACTTTTCTGCAAGGTATTGCTATTGTTGGGAGCAATTACGACAAAGGTACTAACAGAGTTACGACTACAGTGGAAGTGAGAGGGTGGTGAACTGTAACCAAGTATAGTTTGCTGCAATGCATATGTACCTCGATGGCAAGAGATTCGCCGAGCTCAAACTTGGTGCCGTCGGGTTTGGTCTCGATCAACATTGGGATGTGACCAAAGGGATAATCGGCGCGGTGAGCGGCAACGTCTTCAAAAGTGACAATCTCGTTTGTGTACTGAGCTTCCTTCAAGTGAAGAATTGGACGGATGATGCCTATAAGCGTAGAGCAAAAGCGGAAGGTGACATTAGGTATGGGCTATAGCACTCAAGATGAGCAAGGGTTGTGTGCCTCAGATATCTGTCTCCTTGATTGCTTACCAACGCGTCCGTTGCCCGTCAGGTACTTGACTACAAAGGTAGACTGCTGCTTGGTCATTATGTGATGTGTGTTTGTGAGAAAATGTGACGGAAGTGAGAAGAGATGAAAGAAGTGTGTCGATTGCTGTTGTGTGGATGTTATTTTTTCTTTTTTTTGAGGGAACCGTATGTCCTTTTATGCCCAATGTTCGTGGGTGCATTACGAGGGCGAATTTGCCAATCAGGATATACACGGTCCTGTCAATTGACCCATCTTGCCTCTCTCTCTCTCTCTTCTCACTAATTGCCTTGGAGCACAAAAAGGCGGCATGCCAGATGAATGTACGGTACAGTAAACCATGACAGACAAATAGAAAAGGCGGCGTGTGCGGGTGGCCAATGAAGTCACAAGTAATCATACTGCAGGGAAGTACACAGGCAATTACCTTTGACATGTCTCCTCCCCGAACGATACAGTCACGTCGCGTGGAGACGGATAAACGATGACAATAAACATCACGCTCACCTACAGAAACAGAACAGTACAGAAAAGACGAAAGCAAGACGGCTTCTAGCTGGTAAATGTCCAAGGCACCATCACTAACCACTTTATCTGTCTCACTGATCAACCAGAAAAAAGATTCACCAAAAGATTCATTCCTCTCACAGCTGTCTGAGGCAACTGCATCATAACAAGAGTGATGTGAGAGAAAAAAATTGACAGGGGAAGGGGGGTAGCACAGATATGTCAACAAAAGTCAATAATGCGGCATAAGCACATCAGTATCCAGATAGAGTTGTGCCTCTCAATGCTCACGTCTGAATGACTTTTCCCTCCTCCACAAGCGAGCGGAGAGGTACTGAAAAAAAATTGGCGCGTGTTTGTTCATGTGTTATGTGGTGACATGGTCCATGTGAACGGGAGGGTTGATACCCTCTCCCGCTTCTGAATGACGTTGCTTCCTCTTCTTTTGAGTCGAGGATGAAGACGCGGTATCAGGAAAATCAGGAAAGGTGAAGACAGACAGAGTAGACACCGCTGTTGTTGGTGCCGCTGAGCCGATGAATGCGTTCTTGACGATCCGAAGAAAATGGCAGCGCTTGAGGCGTCGACACTGTTGTCGTTGGAGAAGTATGCTTAACAAGTTACCTTCTCATCCGCCAGATCCACTACACACTACCACCTACCAAGTTGAATAAAGAAGGAGTTCTCTGTTATTTTCTTATCCCTTGGAACATATACCTTAGATCCACATTGAGCACCTCACGGTGTGCTTGTTTTTCATACAAAGGAAAAATAGACTATTGAACAAGAACAAAGCGGCATAAACCATGAATGCATCTCAGGAGAGATCGACGTTCAAGAAAACGAAAACATAGATGAAAATCAATGCGAGCAGGCGCAATGTACTTCTCCCACGGTACCTCTTTGTTTTTAAATGGCCCCTCTCCATCCACAGGAAAGCCTAGAGCATCTGCCTTGTCTCCCGTTTTCACCGCCAATTGAAAAGATATAAGACAGAGTGAGGTCCGGCTTAATTAAAATGCCGCTCCCTTGGTGAAGGATCGTCGCACCCTCTCTAAGGTATTCGCTCGTATCTAACTTTGTTCTGTAGGTACTTTACTTTGCTGGAGCAAAAAAAAACTCCATCATGTAAACGAGGTGATGCGCCTTCTAAGTTCCCATCCTCGAATGTCACTCTCATCCTTCTTTACTGTGAGAGTTGAATACAGCAATGCAAGTCTCGCCCACCCTTTTACATCCTTCCCTCAGTTCTCCAAACTACACCGTCTTATGTATGCATGCAAGACGAGAGAGCATTAAAGCGGGTAGGACAAACAAGCCATGATGGACAGATGGGGGGATATTCACTTCAAAGCGAACATAAGAGGGTGGGAAGAAGAAGGGTCCCATGGGTGACGGCGGTGAGTGAATATCTTTTTCGTTCATTCTCTTTTTGCATTCCCTAACCTTTTTTTTCTTGTTTCTTGTTTCTTCAACCTTCGGCCCTCGCTCAGTCTTCTTTTTTCTTCACTCCTCCATCAACTTTATCTTTCTTCACAACTCTAACTTCTAAACTCTTGAGACAGCAAACTCCATCCTTCTCCTCTCCCTTCTATATACCTCCCTCCCCTCCGACGACCCTTCTCCCTCTCCGACAACCCTTCTCCCTCACCTCCCTCGCTCGTTTTTTTCTCGTTCACAACTACCAACCAACCTTCACAATGGCATCAACGACAACAGCAGAATCGACGAACGACATTGTGATCTACGGTCCAGACTGCACCGTCTACAACGACTCCCCCGGAAAAGCACATGTTCTGATCATTGGCGCGGGAATCGCAGGTAGTTATCTTTTCTCCTTCAACAACGACAAAAACCGACCACACCACCGCCAACAGCAGACCTTGAAGAAAATCAGTTTTTCTAATACCTGTGTACCCCTTGCAACCCAATTCTTGCCCTCTCGCTTGTGCTGTTTTTTATTAGGACTTACGCTGGCATTGCTGCTTGACAAGGCTGGTGTCCCCTTTGACATTTTTGAAAAGTCTGCTGATTCCAGAACAGTTGGTGAGTGTTCCAATAGCAAACCAAAAATGAAAAGAGAGCAAACCAAAACAATGGCAATATTTGATATTTTCATCTCCAAAATGTAATTCTAACACTCGCTTGTTTTTGTTTTTAAACCTCTGTGTAAAGGATCGGCGCTGTATCTTGGCCCAGATCTGTTCAGTATCTTCCACCAGCTTGGGATTGCGGACGAGATCATTGAACAGTCGAAGCCATGTCACTCCATCGATGTCTATGGTGAGGATCGAGAGCGACAGTTCAAGATCGACTTTAATCTCCTCCGAGAAATGTAACGTCCTCCTTCGAAAAACAGGGGGTGGGCATGCTCATGTAGCAGCAACACCATATTTCTAACCATCCGCATTCTGCATAACCATTTTTTCTCTCGTTTCAAACAAACAGGGGAGGATATGAAGGCCGGTTGATCCCTCGTACGGTTATCTACAACATCCTCCTGAGCAAGGTACCGCCAGAGAAGCTCCACAAGCCCATGCGCATGCTCTCAATGACCCAAGGCGAGAACGGAGTCCATATCCGCTTTGCCAACGGATCTGATTTCGAGGGAGATATCCTTGTCGGAGCAGATGGCGCCTACAGTGCTGTCCGGCAGAATCTGTATGAAAAGTTGAAGAAGGACAAGACCTTGCCGGCTTTGGATGCCAAAGACCTCCCGTTCAGTTGTGTCTGTCTTGCTGGACACTCTGGTCCGCTTGATCCTGAAAAGTTTACAGAACTGAAGGATCCTCAGTGTCATTTCTATAATACCATCGGCACGGACAAGCCCTACTCGGTAGAGTTTTCAAGACTAAGCTAAATTGGCGGAAAAATATTGACTAATGATTTCGATGCCTAAACAAAAAGACAACTAACGGACCCACTTCCTATCCGTTCCTCTCTTACCAAAAGTGGGCATATTTCACAACCCAGAACAACGTCGCATGTTGGAACGTATTCCTGTACCTCGACAAGGAATCAACTAAGGTCCACAACAACTTCCGCACAACCGATTGGGGCGAGGGTGCTGTTGGATCGATGTGTGACGAGGTGCGAGAATTCCCTATCCCCGGTGGCGATGGGACCTTGACGCTGGCCGATCTCATTGATGGCACACCCAAGACCCAGATGACCAAGGTCATGTTGGAGGAAAAGGTTTTCGATACTTGGTACCATTGCCGAACTGTCTTGATCGGAGACGGTAAGTTGGGCTGTCTGTGAGAATGGGGGACAACGAGAGCCCTGTTGGCTGGCGTAAATAGTAAATGAGGTGTGCATATTTGTTTAATATTACTTTGTTGTGCGGGATAGTCATGAGGTAGTGTACTAATCCGATATGCTCTCCTTCTGTTTTGCGCCTATTCTCAACTTGTTCGTTTTCATTATCATGGTTTTCCATTAGCTGTTCACAAGGTAACTGATTGCTGCTCCATGCCATTGACCAGACAGTCCAGACAGAGTTTCTTTCTACTCTAGCATACTAACCCATTTCAATCGACTTTCATTCTAAATATTAGATCCATCCAGCAGGTGGCCAGGTACGAATCAAAACTCCTTCCTCTGTACCCATCACCATCGCCAGACGATGATCACCTTGTCTCACAATTTTTGAAACCAACTGGCATGTTGTTTTACACTTGTTCCTGAATTGATTCACTGGCCACTGACGAGCTTAATTTTTTTCCAACGGTTCTACTAGGGAGCACTCCTTGGATTCCACGATGCGATCGCGTTGGCCAACTGGATCAATGTCCTGCCTTCGAAGCGGGTCAAGCACACCGAGTACATCTTCAAGGAGTACAAGAAGGAGCGTTATCCCTTTGCCAAGGCTGCCTATAATCATGGCCGCAACATGTCCAACGTCTCCGAAAAGGTACACCTCTTCACCTTTCATTGTTTTCTGATTTGTTACTTATTGCTAATCTAACCTCTTTTTTCTACGTCATCCGTCCATACATCATACACACAATAGGCCTTGAAGGCGACGATAACGAGATATATCTCCAAGAACATGCCCCACTGGCTCTGGGTGCTGTTCCTCAAAAAGACCTCTGCGCAAAGGCCCCAGGCGTCCTTCTTACCCTACGTTGAAGACAGTGGAACCGTCAAAGCGGCTTACCAACACAGTTATGTCAAGACGGCCAAGATGATAAAGGACCAGGCTGCTGCCAGAGAGGCCGCGGAAGCCGCTGCTAACGAAGCTCCTCCTGCTGCTTCTGCTTAGAAAGAGGAGATTGTTTGGGAATGTGAGGTCGATTGTGGGGATTGAACAACATTCTTTACAATAAATAAACGATAATCCTCTGCACACTTTTCCCTCCCGATCCGTGGGCGTAGAGAGAGCAGAGATGACCATGTGTTCATGTCTGTTTACAAACAAATGCAGCCGACAGACACAAGGAGAAAGGAGAAGCTGACAAAAACACAACGGTAAGTTAAAAAAGAAAAGAGGAACCCTTTCCATTTTGCTCACTTTTCACACTCGAAATGCAGCGGAGTACTTGTGCAATGGTATAACCCATGTTCTGTATTACAGAACACAAACCCTGGGAGCTGGTTTAGTATTGTTCTTATTGTCCTTGATGTTGCTCTTGTTCTTGCTGTTTGCATGTCGGAAGACAAGAGAAGGGAAAAGAAATGAAGCTAGACCCCTCTCGTCTTCTTTGATTGCTCTCTTTCCTTGTTCCACCTCCTCTTCTTACATCTCTTTTACATTCCTCATTCCTTCTCGACACTTACTTTGAGCGACATCCTTTCTTCTCATCATGACGACTCATTCGACAACCACCCCTGGCGACACTGCCTCGCCTCAACAAGGAACAACTACCAACAGCGATAAACCCCGTGTCATCATCATTGGTGCCGGTATTGCAGGTAAATTAACACCACAGGGATGGGCAGCAAGGGGATCCTTCATCCTCCTGAGCCGTGTGTCAATTTTCTTTTGTTTGCTATTTATGTTGTGCGCTGTGGGACCCAAATCCACTGACCCTTCTCTTTTTTCTTCGTGTTCTTCCTACGTAGGATTGACGTTGGGAGGATTGCTCCACAAGGCTGGTGTCCACTTTGACATCTTTGAAAAGGCCCCCGTTGCCCGAACCGTTGGTCCGTCTCCTTTTGTTACGGCATGTCCTTTCAATACACTTCGCTCCTATTTTAAAAACGTAAGCAAGACACTCACTCCGCATTTATTTCTCTACTTGTAGGCTCGGCACTATTTTTGGGGCCAGATCTGTATGGATACATGAAGCAGGCAGGAATTTACGAGGACTTTGTCGCACGGTCAAAGCCTTGCAACAGTATCGAGAACTTTGGCGAGGACCGCAAGCAAGAGTTTGTTGTTGACTTTACACCTTACAGCGAGATGTAAGTCATCCCAACATCCCAGCAGTGTCAAATTGGAACTCTCTCTCCCTTCCTCTTCAACATATGAATCGACGACACGAGAGGGACGGCCTGACAAAAACTCAAAATTTAACGTCAAACTCTTTTTTATACAATGTGGGCATTAGGGGTGGATGCGAGGGCAGGATCATTGGTAGGACACAACTATACGAGATCCTGTTGAACGCCATCCCATCCGAAAGATGCCACATGGGAATGAAGGTGGTTTCGATGACCCAAGAGAAGGACAAGCCCGCCACGGTGACATTCGCAGATGGATCGGTCCACACCGCCGACATAATTGTCGGAGCTGACGGGGCTTACAGTACAGTCCGTCAGACACTGTATGAGGATTTGAAGGCTCAGAACAAATTGCCGGCGTCGGATGCGGTGGATCTGCCATTCAGTGTTGTTTGTGTAGCCGGGTATACTTCTCCCGTGGATTCTGAAAAGTTCCCGATGCTCAAGGATGAGCAGTCGCGGTTCTGGAATGTCCTCTCTCGCGACAAGCCCTACTCTGTAAGTATCTTTGTGCATCCACTGAGGGTAGCGATATGTCAACAATGAGAAAGCACTAACAGTAACCGCCTTACGATCTCTCTTCTTCATCTCATGCTCCATAACACTAATAGTGGATGACGATCACGACGCCCAACAATGTGATGTGTTGGTCGGTGATGCACTACCTCCGCAAGGGAACCACATCAACAACGGACAAGAACCTGCGTCGTCTCGGGTGGGGCGAAGAAGCTGCCGAGGCCATGGCCAATGACTTCCGCGATTTTCCGATCCCCGGTGGAAATGGCACCCTAACCGTGGCAGACTTGATTGATGCGACGCCCAAGAACCAGATGACCAAGGTCATGTTGGAGGAGAAGATCTTTGATACCTGGCATCATGGCCGTGCTGTCCTCATGGGCGATGGTAAAGAACGCGTAGGAAGCGGTAGTTGTATGATTTGCTAGTAGATGTGAAGGTGTGGCGAAAACGGGACTAACCGCATTATATTTCTTTCTGAACGTTTTGCTCTGGTATCTAGCTTGTCACAAGGTAACGACACGATGCATGACAGGACGACTGTGCTTGATGTATCGCAGAAACGAATGCACATCCACTAACGCTATCCTTACTACGCCTCATCATTCCATCTATATACAATAGGTCCATCCTGCTGGTGGCCAGGTAAGAGCCGAAAAGAATAGAGAATATAGGTCCTGCTCTCTTCTCTTTTTCCTCCTCTCAATCTCACACTCAATCTGATTGATGCTCATTCCCGCTCTGTCCATGAAAAGAGAGCAAAGTCGTTCATTCTCTTCTACTTTCACTAACGGAACGACACAACGAAACAATCGATCGAATCTCATTCATAACCTTCCCTCCCCTATGTTCTTTTTATCTGAAACAAAAAAGGGCGCACTGTTAGGATTCCACGACGCGATCGCACTGGCCAACTGGATCAACGTCCTGCCTGCGACTCCCACAGTCGAAGAACTGGAGACCATCTTCCGGGAATACAGGCGTGAACGACACTCCTATGCGCTTGCGGCCTTTGATCACGCCAGGAATATGTCCAATCTCTCCGACAAGGTACTGTACACAATGCTAAACACAAACAAACAAACAACAAGGACAACAGGATGCGGGAGATTTTTTTGCGAAAAGAGAGAGAGGGGTGGAACTCAAACCACAACCAACATCAGACCATCTCTCTTTTTTTTTTCTTGGTTTGCATGCTTGTTTGCTTGTCATCTCGCTTCCGTAATGTTACACGATGCGACCAAAAATATCAGTGGCGGGGATGAGGAGGAAAAACACAAAGGCTCTCGTTCTCCATTGTGCGAAATGAACTAGTGTTTTTGTGCGCTGACCCGGAGACCCTGACTCTGTGCCCTGTTCGTGCCTTTATTATCCTGCCCCCGGCCGCAAACCTGCAATACCCTGCATATCCACTGATTTTCTCTTTTCCTCTTCTTATTCCATGCACGATACAACAGGACCTGAAAGCCGCAATCTCGCGCTTCGTGATTAAGCACATCCCCAACTGGCTCTGGCGTATGTCACTCGCAAAAATTAGCGCAAACAGACCTCAGGTTAGTTTCTTGCCCCTGGTCAAGGACATTGGAACCGTCAAGTCTGCCCACCAACCCTCGCTCCACAAGACCCAAAAGATTCTCCGAGAGAAGGAGGCTGCGAAGGTCAAGGCTGCAGCACCCGTTGTTTAGACAAAAAAAAATGATCACAACATCTAACGCACAGTTGGTTCATTGCTGACAAACGAGAAACCGAAAGACGTAATAAAATAATACAGGAACTTTTTGAATGCATTTGCGCATTGACGGCGGTTTTTTGTATTGTGGAAAAGAAAAATATTTCGAAGCTGTCAAAGGCGGATGGGCAGAATGAGAAGTAGGGATGAACGGAACTGATAGAAGGACCAAGAAAAAAAGGGGCATGGCATGAGCATGGGCTAGCGATGCGATGGAGGGGTTTGTGTAAAAATAACCCGACGCGGACGTTATCACTTGAACCCGTCCACAGAAGTCCCTCCCTTTGTTTGTGTATGCATCCATCCCCATCTTCCCGTCCCCTTTGTCCGTTTTTGTTTCGTTTTTGCAATCGAAAGTGGAGAGTTGTGCCCTTTGACCTCTGCGCCCTTATTTTTTGGGACATCCAATCCCTCCTTCACTTTTCATTTCATAACAGAACCTAAGTGAAAGAACGGAAAAGCCTTCTAATGCCCGGTGTCAGCCCTGACCCACCGCCTAAAAACAGGTTTCGGATTGCGGTGGCATGTCCCTGAGTTCTCTCCTCGAGTACTTTGCTCTCGTTTTACGCTCCTTCATTTTTCGGCAGTAAAAACTTCTACTTCTAATCGATCGAGTGTATCGTCCTTCAAATGCAAACAGGTAATAACAAAGAATAGAGTCTTTCTCTTGTTGCTCATAAAAATCGCATAAAAAAGAAAGAAAGAAATAATGAGAAACAGACAGGGAGAGTGTTTTTTTTTGGGACATGCAGCCAGATCGGTTGCTCACTGCTATTCGTTGTTTTGCTTGCTTGTTTGTTTATGTCGGGTTTTTTTTTGTTGTACAGTACTGTATGTGTTGCAAGTGTTGTTCAATGTTTTCCTTCGTGCTCTCAACGTCAGAAGAAAAAAACAAACGAAATGCATACTTTCAACCCAACCCATCTAACCCATCTAACCCATCTAGCCCATCCAATCCAATCCAATCCAATCCACCCATTCATCCGCTTCTGTCGTGCTTCTCTCTGTCTGCACCTGTCTCTAATTCTTCCGCTCTGTTTTTGTCTTGGACCTTGGATTTAGAATGAAAAAGTGACCCTTGGATGGAAGGAAGCATACATTGCACATGCACAACTTTACCTCACAGGCGCGCATTATTACAATGCATGCCTGTTTTTACCCCTCGGTGGGTACCTGTTTGTTCTTTGTTTTAGCACCCATTGTCAATTGTGTCGATTTCATTTCAGCATTGGATCTCGCTCTCTTTTTCTCATTCATTCTTGTAAGAATGAGAGCGTGTATGAGAGTAGCAAGAGTCCACTTCGCGCGCAGACATGGATCGGTACCTCTCTGTTTCTGGCTGGATTAGAAAAGAAACAATAACGAACACCACTCCTCCTCCCCTTCCCTTCCTCTCCGTTTACTGTACCCCTTTGTCCCTTGTTCTCCATCGTTGTGCTCATATTGTGTACTCTCTCACTTCCATGTCCCTGTCTCTCTCTCTCTCTCTCTACTCTCTACTCTCCTCTCGTCCCTCCTCTTCTCTTTTTTCTGAACTAATTTGCGAATCGCTCTCAGGTAGGTTTGGATGGGATGGTTGTACACAAGATACAACAACAGGCAACAACAGTAACAACAGTAACAAGCAACAACAGCAATAAGCAACAACAACAACGACATCCAAGGAAAGACACATACAACGGCGCATTACTTTATACACCATGAGTTTGTGACAGGAAGGAGTGAGAGAGAGGACTGAATGAGCGATGGGTAATACACACCCGGACGGAGTTTTTTTTTGTCTCGACAACAAACACTACCCATCCCATGTCCCATTATCGATAATTGTCCGCCCAATGGTATGCATGCGGTACCCATTCAATGGCACAAGAATACTCCTTTGTATGTGTTTTTGTTGCTATGTGTGAACACAGAAAAGTGATGACCATGTCCATCAACTCTTTTTTTACTTCCTTCTCTCTCTCTTTCCTTTCTCTTCTCTCATCACCTTCCCTTGCTTCCATCCTTCATCTCGTCACCCATCCCTATTCCTTTTTATTCATTCATCTTTCTTTTTTCTACTAAGCCTTGGTACGCAAACCTCGTTCCGCCACACTCACATACCAACACCCCTATCCTCTTATTATTTTATTCCGACGCCCAATTCTCACCTTCATTCCTTCCTTTCATTGATTTCCCTTTTTCCTCCTTCCCTTCTCTCCCTTCCTTTACTTTACGCTTTACGTCGACGTTTATACTAAACACAAAGAAGAAAACAAAACAACAAGAGCGAAGCACCAAAAAGTTTGACGAAAAACAACGGCAGCACAACCAGCTTCATCTAGCTTCTCTGTTCACTCCTCTCTATCTCTCTTCACTCTTATATCTCTCTTCACTCTTCTCACTCACCATCCACCTACCACGCTCTCGTCTTAAACACACGTCTCCTCTAACTACCTTCCTTCACCCTTCCTTACTTCCATCACGCCTCACATTGCCTCCATATCTCACACGTGCGCCATAAGATAAGCCGACACCAAACACAAGCTACATCCGATAGCACCACTTAACACCCCAAAAAAAAACTACACTATGGTCGATCCGCCACCTTCGATAATTATTGTGGGCGCAGGTCTGGGAGGCCTCGCTCTTGCGGCTCTTCTGGAACACATCGATGTAACCTATGTTATCCTCGAGCGACTAACCGAGGCCAAAACCAATGGTAATTACCGCTCTGGATAGATAACTACGACAGCCCTATTTCGTCTAATCGATTCTTTATCCGCCCACCCAATATGCACTCCTCATTCAGCGCCCTTTTGTAGTATTTTTTTATTTGTTTTCGCGACATGACACGACACGCTACGCCCCTCCACGTTCACGTTCACGCCACGTTTCGCCTTGCAAAAGTCGTGATATCAATGATACGGGACACCACTTGCCTACGATCGCACTTGTCTCATCACAAATTGTTCAATTGATCAATTATATTGCAATAATTCAGGAACACCCTCAATCATGTTTGGTCAAGCAAACAAGCAATCAACAACGAAGGCAAAACGTCTTCAATTGCTTTGTCTCTCTGAACTCCTTAATAACCATATCGCTCTCCTTCTTCCTTCCCTTCTTCCCTTCCCTCACTCACTTACCTCCCCCTGACAATCAACGAAACGAAACGATGTACTCTTCATTGGATACACCATTCAAAAATAATTTATCCTTTCAACATGAACATACAACATACAACATACAACATACAACATACAACATATACACAACACTCAACATACGATAGGAGTGGCATTATTCCTGTCGCCCGCGGCCGCAAACCTGCTCCGCCAACTGGGCATCTACGACGAAGTCAAGCAGAAATCCAAAACCTGCAACTCCATTGACCTCTTCTCAGAAAAGCGCAAACCCCTTTTTGTCCTCGACTTTGCCGACTTTGCGACCATGTAATGATTTTCCTTCTGGCTTCTATCGCTTGTTATCGCATTTGTTGGGAAAAGATCTTGTGTTTTCCTGTTTTCCCGATTAATACGGGTCCATGTTTCGCGTTCTATTTTTTTTTTCAGTGCATCACTGTGGGCTTTGGTTAAAATGCAATAACAAAAAGGAAAGCGCGTGATTTGGTACTCATCCTCCGCCATCCATCGCTCTTTCGCCCACCCACGTTGTTAACCTTACTTTCCCCATGTGTCCAATTCCAATAAATTAGGAGTGGCGCAGAGGGCTTCATTATCCCCCGGAGTTCACTCTACGAAATCCTTCTAGAACTCATCCCTCCAGCAAAGATCCTCCGCGGGAAACGCGTCCTCTCCTTCGTGCAAGGCGAAGGAGGCGTGCAAGTCAAATGTGCCGACGGCTCCGTACACGAGTCTGATATTCTGGTCGGAGCCGATGGAGCCCATAGTGCGGTGCGACAGAATCTTTATGAGCGGTTGAAGAAGGAGGGGAAGTTGTCAGTGGCGGATCAGAAGCCGGCTACGTTCGATTGTGTCAATTTGACAGCGCAGACGTACCCGTTGGATCCGGTGCAGTTCCCAGAGTTGAGTGAGCCTGGGTGTCGTTATAATAACGTTGTTGCCCAGAACAAACCCTACTCTGTAAGTTTTCTCATCATCCTACACTCCATCTAAATGGTGATTTTTTCAAGTTGTCGCAATCACGACTAACGCCAACCCTTTCATTCTACCATACTCACTAACAATAGTGGATGACGTTCACAGGAAAGGACAATATAGTCTGCTGGAGTGTAACGCAATACCTCAACAAGGAAACCTCGGAGCTCAACGACAGTTTCCGAAGCACAGACTGGGGCTCGGGACTCGCAGAGGCCATGTGTCGAGAGGTGCAGCATTTCCCGATTCCCGGCGGGAATGGTAAACTGACGCTTGCAGATCTGATCGTCAACACCCCGCGCGATCAGATTGCAAAGGTGACGTTGGAGGAGAAGGTGTTTGAGAGCTGGTACGGTGGGCGAACCGTCCTTCTCGGCAATGGTACGCAGTTTTGTTATTGTTTTTGTTTTTGTTGGTTTGTCTGTAGGGTTAGGCCTTGTGTGTGCATGTGCGGCTACGTGATCATTTATTTGCATATCCTAATATCTCTTTTCTGTTTCCCTCTTTCGACTTGAACGCTTCTTTTGACAATACAGCTGTCCACAAGGTAAAAACACACAAAAAGCAATGCTCGTACATATCCCCAACCAACCTCAACCACGTCATTCTAACTCACTCTCGCATCAAAACTCTAACCATAATAGTTCCACCCAGCAGGAGGAGAAGGCGCGCTATGCTCGTTATACGACGCAGTCTCACTAGCCAACTGGATCAACGTCCTCGAGACCAACACCATCGCCGGCCTTGATGTCATCTTTAAGGAATACGTAGACGAACGTCTGCCCCCCGCCCGCGCAGCTCTCGTCCAGTCCCGTAACATGGCTAGCATGTACTCTCGGGTAAGTGTTCTTGCCCTTCTCGGAACTGTATTTCAGCAACCTGTCGTCCATTTTTCCTTACATATTCTCTAATTACATTTACTAACCTGCACGCCACCACACCTAACCTCATAAACTTTTCATGATAGACGTTCAAAGCATCGATGGCCCGCTTCGTATCGCGCAATATGCCGGACTTTTTGTGGAAGACAAGACTCGCAAAAGCAGCCGCAGACCGCTCACAGGCCGCATTCCTCCCTCTCGTCCAAGACTCTGGCACTGTCCCCCCACTCTTCCAACCCTCCCTACACAGAACCCTAGCCATCCTCGAGGCCCAGGCGGCTGCCAGGAAGGCGAAAGAGGACGCTAATGCGACATCGACGACGACGAGCACCACATCCTCGGATTCCTCAGGAATCTCAGAAGTGTCTGGGACTACGACGGCGACGACGCTGCCGGCGTATACGCAGCAGACACATGCGGATGGTCAGCGCCAGCAGCACCGGAGTCCGGGGGTGTCTTCGTCATCGGCATCGTCGATCCATAACCTCCCACCAGCACCCTTTGCGCCAACGCTGTCATCCTCTTCCACTTCCTCTTTATCCGCACATGTCCATACTCCTCAACATCATCAGCGTAATTACTCTGCCTCTTTTTCTGGTGCACAACAGCCATTATCCTTAATGGTAGCTTCTCCCTATGGAGCATCAACAACAGCCAGAGCTGTTCCATTGTGAAGAAGAACAAAACGTTTCACTATCGCTAGCATAATATACATATCATATCTTTCCCGACATACTTCCAACCCCCTTATAACCTAATAAACACGCCCCCCTCTTACCATCTCTCCACCAATGAAGAAATAAAGCGAAATATCATGTTACAAAAAATAAAATAAAATAAAGAATGAGCTACAGTAAATATATGTAAATTAAATGCGAGTGGTTGTTGTTGTTGTAGTATCAATGGTGCCATTATGCGTAGCCTTCCAGGTCTTTTTGACCAGACTCAAGATTCCAGCAACAGAGGCCGAAGAGGCTGAGCCCTCATTGTCCGCTGAGGCCCCGGCGGAGGCATCGTCCTGACTGACGTGTTGGTCAAGTTTCAACTTTAGTTTCGCCATCTGGTAGATCTGCTCCTCGACCGTGTTCCGCGCAATCAACTTGTAAACGTGCACCTCTCTTGTCTGTCCGACACCTATTTTTTTGTCGTAATGGTTTGCAACATAGTCAGGTACAGCGCAACATGTGTCAAGGGTAACGAAAAAAAGGAAGGAGGAGCAAAGACAAGTAAGAAAACTTACGATGGGCGCGATCCTCGGCTTGCTTGTCGTTGTGGGGGTTATGGTCCATATCGTACATAATGACGACATTGGCACCAGTCAAGTTGATACCGAATCCTCCAGCCTTGGTCGATAGCAAAAAGATCTTGTAGCTCTCATCGTCGTTGAAGGAATCAATCGTCGGCTGACGCTCGTCCAACTTGGACTGGCCATCCATCCGCAGGTATTTGTAACCCATCGTTTTCATGATCGGCTCCAGAATATCCAGCACCATCGTGAACTGCGAAAAGAGCAACACCCTCGAGTTTTCCTCCTGAATTAGCCTGGGGAGCAACCTTTGCAACTCCTGTACTTTAGCCGCCTCCATCCATGGTTCTCCTGGCAACGCAAATTTGTTCACGCTCTGCATCACCACAATGGGAACAAGCAAATATTAGAAATCAGTTCACTATAAGCAGCCCGCCCCAACAAGTGTCACACCAATGAGATAAAGAAATCGAGGAGTTTACCTTGTACTGTCGGCAGAGGCGGTGGAGCTCAAAGTCAGTCATGACGGACATGTCTTCCTCGATGTAGTCAACGTTGGAGTCGCAAAATTCAAGCTCCCGAGTGATGACTTTGGCCATTTCCTTAAGCTTGGCATCCTTGTATCGCTGCCTGAACAACATCGGGTGATCTGCTGCCTTCCTCATATGCATCAGCACGTTCGCAAACTCGGACGACGCCGGTTTTTTCGCGGCCCCCGCCACCTTCTTGGGAGCCGACATGACCCTGGCCCCCTCAGTCACATCCAGTTCCCCATCTGAGGGCTCATCCAAAACAGCCTGGAATACACTGGATTTCATGATCTGGTCATAGAGTTCTCTCTGGCCCTGTCCAAGATCACAATAAACGACATGCTCAATCTTCCCCGGGAGATCCTTGAGCACATGAATCTTTTTCCTCCTCAGCACAAACGGCGCAAGCAAATGGCGGGCACGGATAATACGCTCCTTAGACAGCAGCGTACTCTTCTCCGAACCGACACCGGCCTTGACCTTGAACATAGTCCTTAAGGCCTCCTCGTGCTGCGCAAAAAACTTGGGCATGATAAAGATCAGCAGCGACAGCAACTCCTGGAGATTGTTCTGCAGAGGCGTTCCTGTGAGCAACAACCGAAAGGGCGACTTGATCGACATCAATTGCTTGTATCGTGCGCTGGTGCAGTTCTTGACCATGTGACCCTCGTCCAAAACGATGCCCTTGAAATTGCGCCGGTTGAGGAACTTGCGATCGTCGTTGGCCGTCGCGATAGTGTAGGTGGTGACAATGACGTGGTAGGTTGAGTCCTGGTCGAGTTCGTATCGAAGCTCCTCCCGCTCCGCCTGACTTCCGTAGTAGCATCTGACATCTAGATCGGGGCAGAACTTTTCAAACTCGCGCTGCCAGTTGGAGAGTGTCGATGTAGGGACCACAATCAAGAACGGACCGTCCTCCCCATTCTCAAACAAGTGCGCCAGGAACGCAATAACCTGTGCCGTCTTTCCCAGGCCCATCTATCACGTACAAACAGGGACATTTGTTAATATCAACCATGGCCGGGTCAATGCAGGTATAGTTACTATTTGTTCCAAAAGCAAGCCTGATTGACACTCACCTCGTCTGCAAGGATTCCCGAGAGTTTTTTGCGCCAGAGGAGAGCAAGCCAGTTGATTCCCAACAGCTGGTATCCCTTGAGCTGGAATCCATGCGCCATGTTGCCGGGCTGTTTGCGGATGAAATGTCTCATGGCCTCCTTGCCTTCCTTGGTCGCCGAAGCCTTGTCCACATCGACGTCCACAAGCTCCATTCCTGGTTCGTCCCCCTCATCTTCATCAGTCGCCTTGTCTGCATTGTCGACCTTCACGCTGTTGCTGTTTGATCCTGACTCGAACAGCTTGCCGTTTTCGCCACCGCACCAGACGTTTAAGGTTTTGACCAAGTCCTCACGCACCTGATCAACAGACTTTAGCATCGTGTCGACCGCACGAATGGCATCGGTGGTTGTTAGATAGCTGGTGACAATCTTCTCGCCAATCTTTCGCTTGCGAAGAGACACGCAGAGGTTGTCAAAGGTGTCGAAAGGCCGCAGGGCAACGACACTGTTCGCTTGAGTCTTGGAACATCCGGTCAGCTCCTGCAACTCCGCCCTAGTCGCCTCGTTGAAGAACGCAAGTGCACGCTCCTCCTTCCGATACTGTTCCTGGTAGTTGTTGCGTCCGCCGTCCTCGTCATAAGAATCTTCGGCTGAATCGGACATCTCTTCACTCTTGGGTGATCTGGACTGTTTCCTGACAGGAGCAGGGGCGGACTTGACTGGCAAAGGGACGGCTTTGAACGAGGATGGCTTGTGCGCCAGCCGGTCGAGTCGGTTTTGTTGAGAGTGTTGGCCGGAATGTGATGAACGTTGAGCCGAATGTTGACCACTCGATCCTTCCAAGTCAAACAGCCTGTGGAATTTGCTGGCGAGGATGCCATCAGCCAGGGCGTATTCGCCGTCAGCCTTGTCGAGGGCTGACTTTAAGTCATCAAAATCTGCCTCTGCGTACTTGTCCTGCAGCTTTGCCAGCGCCTCGTCCAGAGTGCTTGCTACCTCCACGTCATCGTCGTCGTCAGACAGAATATCAATGGGCTTGGATGACTTAGCGGCAGGCGAATGCGAGTCCGAGTCCGAGTCGAGAAGAGCACGCTTGACCAGTCGTCGCCGTTGAGGAACGTGTTCATCTGGGGTAGCAGTCGAAGCCCTATCTAGGTCGCCCTTCTTTACAAGCCGTCTCCGGGGTTTGACCTCTACAACATCGTCCTCGTCGCTGCTGACAATTTGTCGCTTGATGGGCTTGCTTTGACCGTTGCTGTCGTTGCTCCCGTCGGTATAGCCGTGACGACCTCCATTAATGGCGACATTGTTGTCCTCGTCGCTATCGCTATCGCTCAGTCCTGGGCTGCTGAGATCCTGGTCGCTCAGGAGATCCGATGGGGATGGTGAAGGATCGGCGTCTTGGCCTGTGTAACGGAAGGATCCGATCAATTTTTTGAAAGGAAGGGTTGATTGACTGGCGTGCGTGCTGGACTGTGAGCCAGAAAGCGCGCTGTTGGTCCTTCCGGTCGATGTCATGGGGCGATCTGAGGCAGGCCTGGGCGATGCTTGGCGGGCAGGTGAATAGGTCGAGAGCTTATTGACGCCCTTGCGAAGATCTATGTCGCTTTCGCTGTCACTGTCGAGTTCGATATCGGACGTTCCGGGAATGATGTGAGGAGCACTTTTGGTAGGCGCGCGTTCCTTGCTGATGCTCCTACTGCTACTGTTGCTATTGCTGTTACTGTTGCTGTTGCTGCTGGTCGTGGCGGGGCTAGGGCGAGAGGCGGCGGTCAGGGGAGCCTTGCTTCCAGCTGCTGCAACCTCCTGAGCCTTCTTGAAGCGGAACTCCTGTAAACGTTGCAACGCACTCATTTCTATTGTCTCTTTTCTCCTTGTGTAGGCGTATGTGCGTGAATCTAGTATGGGTGGAGTGATGTTGGTTTGTGATGATGTTAACGCTGTTGTTATTATTTTTCTTATTGTGTATGATTGGCTGTTTCACCTGTACGCGCCACTAAACAAGGTTGTGTTGTGAATCTTTGTTTCTCGAGTTGTTGTTGGTGGTGCTCGCTGTACCTTTTTTGTTGTTGAGTTGCAAAGGTATAATATATAAGGAGGGGATGACTCAATGGAGGAGGAAGGGGAATCGATGACGAGTGGAGAGGAAAAGAAAAGAGAAGACAGAAAAGAAATGGACGAGAATAAGCAAATGCTGTTGTTTGTTTGTGTGGACTTTTATTTTGCGTGGACTTTTTTTTTTTTTTTTTTCTTTGAGCGGACCACAAAGAAAGAAGGTGGCCAAGGGTCAGAGGGTGTGGCTGAGCACCGTCATAACTCGTTCTCCTTCTCTGTCACTTCTCTTTCTCACTCACTCCACTCACTCAAGCCTACAAGGACAAGGACTCATACAATGGACGAAACAGTTGCCATGAACCACCTCGCCTCAACCTCATTCCCCATGGTCCACGGCAAGGACGAAAGCGAGGACCTTGCATCGTAATATAACGTTCTTACTCTTTCCAACCACATTTCACATTTCACAACGCCACTGTTTATGAAGCCAAGCCGAACTCATCATCTTTCCATCTCTCTTTCTTCTTCACTCTTCTACTTATCGCTTCTGTCTGTCTCCTACTACAGCAAGATTCTTGAACTCCAGGAAGGGCTTCGAGGTAAGTTCAATGCAACAGCAACTGCACTGTTCTCTCAATGTATCTCACGAAAACAAGATACCCCTCCAACTCACACCACGTCTTATCCTTGCCATTGATAGACTTTATGAAGCGCGTGGCGACAGTGCACGAGGAGCACGACAAGAAGCGGGACGAGAACGTGATGCTTCAGCAGTACATCGCCAACCTCATGAACTCAAATGCCGTCCGCGGAGATGCTGGCGCCAAGTAGAGAGAACAGGAGGCACCCATCGATTTGATTCCCTCACCTTACTGGCAGGACCCGTGTCGCACTTTGCCATTCAATCATTGCGACCATTTGATACCCCCACCTCCCCTATGGCCCATCAGAAACAAGGAGGATTTTTGTTCTTTTTTACTTTGGGATACAACATGTACAACTCAGGATGACAGGAAGCCTTGTGCAATTCTCGGGACAATGGGATACCTAAAGGAACAACCGCCGCGAAAGGTGTGAACTTGGGTGTCAATTAACCCGGGAGTAAAAAGTAGCTGGTTCTCATAACCGCATAGAATAGAATGTTCCAAGAGGCACCAAACTAAGAACCAGCACCAATTGCTTTCAATACACTCCTGTCCTATATTTTCTATCCACCCAATGCACTCATTCAATTGTTCATATGAAAAAGTGCGAAAATGGGAGAGAGCTAAGCCACACGTTCGTTTCCAACGGATCCGATCCCGTCTTTCTCGTGAATCATCAGCCCTACTCATTCCATCACATACCCCTACTTTCAACTTTCACGCCCCTTCTTTTCTCTCCTTCCTCTCTCCCTCCCCACTCTTCCTCTTTAACTTTCATAATGCAAGCCGCCGCCGCCAACACCTTGCGCATCGCCTCGCGTCGCCACTTCTCCAGCTCTGCCGTGGCGCGTGCTGAGGAGTCTGCTCCTGTCGTTGTTAACTACAAGCGCCCCGTCGGTGGATTCCGTGGAGGGTAATAATCTCGGACTCACACACACATCAGTAACAACTCACTTTACCCCTTCTCAGGCTAAGCTATTAGCAAGAACTTGGGACAAGAGATCGCACACAGGACCTATGTCAAGCACGAATCGGAATTCAGGAACGACTGATTTATGTCTTGATTCGTACGAGACGGATCTGTGAGGACGTGCCGCCGGGACCGTTTCAGGAACAGGAAGGCAGAGGAAATATACTGTGCCTTTTGAACACACACAAGGCCGTGGAAGTGAACTTCCTGGCGACTTGCTTGTGCACTTCCTATAACACCTGCTTCTTTCCTCATTCTGGGCACACCGCAACTGGACAACATATAACTCACAAAAGGAGGCGATCGATTGAGCACTTGTTCGTCAATACCAGGAACAAGGGCTGAGAATCATAGAAATGCGCCACTTCAGGCGCGGCAGACATCAATTGAGATCACAGAAGACCTTACTCTACTCAATACTACAAAGGCCAATGAGCACGCACTCGCGACTCGCAATCGCTACAGGATGTTACAGACGAGTACCTAACGGTTTGACCTATCCACGTCCCTTTTTGACACGAAATAGTATTCTCGGATTCTTGATTGGCGCCACTGCTGCCGGCGGTGCTGGTTACTACTACCTCTTGGAGGAATACCAGACTGCCTCCAACTTGTTGTTGAACAGCGTCGAGGACTTGCAGGCCTCCACCAACAAGGTATCTTTCTCTCTTTCATACGCATACGGGACTTTCAATCAAAGGCAGGTCAAGTGTCTTCAGGATCACCGTTTTTTAACAACGATATATTCTTATGTTGCCACGGAACCTTTCAAATAGGTCCGCGATTACGCCAAGAAGATCGAGTCGGTCGAGGCCGAGTTGAAGACCTTGAGGAGCAAGACTGCAACCGTAGAACAGTTGAGCGAGCTCAAGTCGGAGGTCAAGAAGGTCTACGATGGCTTGAACATTGAGCACCTCGAGCTCAAGTCCCACGTCTGGGGCCTCGAGATGGATCTCCAGAAGATCCAGCAGCAGTCCAAGGCCGTTTAAATTCCAGAATGTACTCTTACAATTGAACCATACGATACTGCACAACACGACAACATACACCCACTCACCTCTACGATATCTTCAACCAACACCATCACCACCATCATTAACCACTTTACATAAAAGGGGAAGGACGTTCCTTCTGTTTCTGAACATTCACCATTTCATTGTCGCCTGATTGTTACCTTCCTCCTTTTCGTGTCTATCGTTGCTGTAAACATATGTCTACTGTGTTGCTGTCGATGTATCAGACCGATGCCTCTGGCCCTCTGCGCACCAAAAGTTAAGGGGTGGATTGACTCAACCATGAGAAAAAAAAACGAACGAAGAGAAAGAGCCCCCTACTTTTCTTCTCTTTACTCCTTCTCGGCCCACTTCTCCTGAACTCTCACGCGTCAACGAACTCATTCATGACCTCTTCGCAAGGACACCAGGACCAGGAGAGATCACCATCTCGGCCCTGCGATGGCAATGGCAAGAAGTCTCCAACAACAACTACAACTGATCCTTCGGATTCCGCATTCGACCTGACCTTCCTCCCTATACGAAAAATATTCACCCTAATCTTTATCCACGACCTCCAACACAACCAGGTACCCCTATATTCCAACAACGTGCAAGCGACCCCCACAAACAAACGTGAAATGCAATTTATCTCTAATCAACTCAACATTTACTCTCCAAACAGCTCCTCCTCGGAAAGAAACAACGCGGTCCGTTATTGGGGCAATGGAACGGATTTGGTGGCAAAGTCGAAAAGGGTCTTGAAACGATCACAGAATCGGCAGTACGCGAGCTTGCAGAGGAGGCGTTTTTGGAGGCGCCTTTATTCCCAATTGGGTCCATTCAGTGGGTTGTTGAGTCAAATCCCGAGAGTGTTGACAGGGAGGCTGCGTATCGAGATGTTATGATCGTTTACAAGGCGCATTCTTTACAAGCCTCTGCTCCTCATCCTTCACCCGCGCCCACTTCTGATTCTGTGCAACTTCAACAAACGCCACCACAGAACAGCATGGCCGAATCCACCCCCCAAAGGATAACAGAATTCCAAGCAAGCGACGAGATGGCCCCAGGATGGTGGGACATCGATGGGCTCCCCTGGGAGGACATGCGGATCAACCACAAGGCCTGGTACCCGTTCATGTTGGCCGATCGACCCTTCCGGGGCGTTTACTGGTATGAGACGCGGACGAGTGTTGAAGAAGGTGCTTTGAATGCGCAGCGGGAGACTGTCAAGGAGATTTGGGTTGAGGACCTTCCAAGGCGATGTGTTCAGTTTGGCAATCGGTCCCTTGTCGGTTCTGGGAAGAGTAGTGAAGAAGGAGGGGAAGGGGAGAGGTTGGAGATATATGCGCGGCAGTTGGGATTGGGGGGAAGATGTTACTTGGCAGAGGGTCATGATCACAGAGGGGGGAAGAAGGAGAAGGAGGAGTTGGCTTGGCCAGAACCGACAGTCAACAAGTCACTAGACGATGTCTGGCTCCGGAATGATATTGCTCAAGCAGAGCAGACATGGCTCAACACCTGCTTTCCTTGAGGCTCCCAGGATTCACCATTAAACAAGCAAGTAAACAAGCATCAATATCGAAACAACCAAAGCAAGGAGTATTTTTGTATATGAAACAACATGTGGTATGTTGCTTTATTCTGTATGTGAGTAATGGATGCATGAACAGTCTATGCTACATGAAGATTTTTTGATATTTTGGATGTGGGAATGCCTAAAGGGCAAAATGTTACAAAAGAGAAAGGGGGTGAACACTGAACACTCGCCTTTTTATAAAATAATACAATGGGGAAGGAAGATTTACTTTCCACCGCCGTTGAAGACCAAGAGGTTGGCCTCACCACGGAGACGGCCCTTGACGGCGTTCTTGGTGGCAGTCGACTGGAGGGTGGTGTAGACCTGGGCAGCGTTCTTGGCCTTACCAGAGCCAATGTACAAAGCGGCGACACCGACAACGTGGGGGGTGGCCATCGAGGTTCCGGAGATGGTGTTGCGGGCAGTCTTGGATCCAATCCAGGCAGAGGTGATCTGGACACCGGGGCCAAAGATCTTGACGCACTTGCCGAAGGACGAGAAGGAGGCAATGTTATCGTTGATATCCGATGCACCGACGGTCAGGGCCTGGGGGGCACCGGAGGGGGAACCAGAGCAGGCGTTGACGTTCTCGTCGTTACCGGCGGCGACAATGACGGGGATGTTGGCACGGTAAAGGCGGCCGACGGCATCGTTCAAGGCGCGGGAGGCACCACCACCAAGAGACATGTTGACGACGGCCTTCTTGCCCTTGTTGACGCTGACGATCCAGTCAAGAGCTGCGACAATTCCAGAGGTGGAACCAGAGCCCTGACGGTTGAGAACCTTGACACCGACGAGGTTGACCTTCTTGGCAACACCGTACGAGTTTCCTCCGATGGTACCTGCGACGTGGGTACCGTGACCGTTCTCATCGGTGTTGGGCGAGCCCTGGATAAAGTTGTTGCCCATCTTGGCACGGCCGCCAAAGTCGGCATGGGCGGTGTTAATACCGGTATCGACAACGTAGGCGGTCACACCAGCTCCAGCAGTGTTGGCATACTTGTACGAGGTACCCTGGGCGACACGACCGCGCTGGGAGACACGGGGGAGACCCCAGGAGGGGGGCGACTGCTGGGTGCCGACGATGGAAACGATCGAGTCCTGCTCGATGTAATCGACCTCGTCGAGCTTGAGGAGCTCATCAAGGGCAGCACGGTCACCCTCGACGGTGAAACCGGGGATGTTCTTGAAGCGGCGGCCGATCTTGGGGGCCTTAGGGGCCTTGCCGTCACGGCTGCGGCCGTTCTGGATGCGGCGCGAGAGCTGGTTGAATTTGGGCTCGAACGAATTGACAGCGTTGGAGTCCTTGAGAACGACGATGTACTTTTCAGGGATGGAGTTAGCCTTGTTGTGGCTGTTGGAGATGAAAGTGCCGGCGTCAGCAGTCGAGCCGAAGGCCAAGACGGCGACAACGAGGAGGGAAAGGTACTTCATTTTTGTTGGTTTAAGCTTGTAAGAGGAAGGAGGGGAGGTAAGGCTTCAAAGGAGAAGAGTTGGATGTTGTGGCTATGTGAGTAAGGTGTCGATGGGTTGAGTTGCTGTAAAAGCTGGAAGTGGGAGTTGAGAAGGTTGCAAGTGAGGAGAGAGGCGAAGAAGGGTCTGAGGAAACAAAAACAACCGGCGGGAATCCCTGCCTTTTATATAAAAAGCAACCAAAAGAATTGAGGTCGGTTCTTCTAATGGTTCACTCTGCCGCGCCGTTTTTTTTGGCATGAGCACAAAAAAGAATAAGGTATGGCGACAAAACAGTACCCGGAATAGAAAGAGAATTGTCCATATGTATTCTATTTTACAATGCTGTTGTCACCTTCAATAAGTAAAACAGGGCATGATGGACATGATACCCAGTTTGAAGAGAGAAGGAAGAGTCCTTCCTCTACTCATTGTCTTTCCTCTATCCCTCTATTCCTCTGTCCATCCAATGCATTGGCAATGTGTTCTCATTACCAAATATACATACTCATTTCCCATTCCCGACACTCGCCCCAGTTCGATCTCTTATTCACCAACATCTCATTTCCAGGGACGTACATGTCCTTGCCTTGTTTTTGTAATTGTATTGCTGCGTACTCGCCTCATCTCAATATCTATGCCCTGTTTTATAATAAAGGAATATAATTTCGTTCTTTTCCTTGCTTTCCAGGAATCAACAAACAACGGTTTGACCAAGGGTGAACAGTTCAATCCCTGGTAAACAAATTCTAATAATTAGGGCGTCATGCGGACAGCCAATCATGCAACCAGGAAAAGGCAAAGCTTAACGAATGGCCCAGCCACATCCACCCTTGTGTTTGTCTTCGATTGACACTAAGAAAATAAACAAATCGACCCTGCCTGAACTCAACGCTTCTCCCCTACTCACGCCGTGTTCTTTCAAAGGGAAAGACATGGTGAAGCAAGGGCTCAATTCTTTGTCTTTGCTTGTGTTGGATAGTAGTCGAAAATTTAAGTAAGAACTGTGGGCGATTAACACTCTTTTGGTTCTTGGTATTGTGATACCCCTATGTTGTAAGTAAGGTGTGTGTACAGTTCTGCACTGTACATATTCGACGAAATTTCATTTGAGAGCGAAAATTAATTTTTTTTCCTCGATCTCTCTCTGTCGCTTCTTCTCTTCTACCCCTACCCTTCTCTCGCTCCCTGGTAATCCAGACACTCACATTCGCATGACCTAGATTTCCGCACAGTTCGCCATGGAGAAATTCACATACTGTCGACTACCACAAAAAAGAGTACCTGTCTGGCAACCACATAACCGCAAACAAATAATCTCTCCATTTTACCCCTGAACGCTCTCATAGTGCAATCGCATACAGGTAATAAGCCGTTAGCTTATAGGAACATAAAAATCAACATTGCGGCCCCTGCCCTGGAGGGAAGGAAGGAGAGGGATCGTGTCATCTTGTCTGCAGGCGGGAAAGCAGACAATACCGTTCGCACATACTCAAGCACCGCCTATACTGGGAGAGTTTGGCCGTTCGCTCCAGGTAGCAATTTCGTTCAATTAGCATTCTTGCGCAATCGTACCTTAGTCGGCACTAGTCCGATATCCATTTCTTCTCTCCCTCTCTCGCTCGCTTACCATCGGGAAAACCCCACCATTCCTTCATCCCTCCCTCCCTCCCCGCATTTCTCTCCAAGGGTCGACCCCATCTGTTAACTAAAGACAAGACGAGTGTGTCCGACACGGCGTCATTCCCTCCCTCTCCATCCCTCTATCCCTTCTTCAATCCCACGTCTTTCATGTCAACGAAATTAATCTAACACCTTACGATTCATTTTTCTTTGTGAAAGCTCCACACTGATACAGTTTCATACACTCATGGTGCATTGCTCCCACGCTCTCCCCCTATTTTTTCTCTAATTGACAACCGAACAGGGCTCTAATGGTTTCTCTTTCTTACATTTGCAACTGTACATCCCTCCTCTCGCCGTGAATGTCCTATGCATCGAAAGTTAAAGTGAAATACAGAGGGAGAGAGAGAAGAGCGATGCTCAATTGCTGTCGTTGTCAGCTTTATCAATAAAAGACTACAAACGACCAATCCTTAACCGCAATCAGGGCCAGGGTCAAGGTCAGGCCACATCTTTCTTCGACTTCATGAAACTAGAACTGCCAAAAATAGTTGTTTCCCACCATTCTTCTGACTCCATTTCTCGTGCCTGTCTCTTCCTCCACTATGACAGTGCACACAGATCCACGTTTCACTCAGGCGCGTCTAGTCTTGGGCTGTTTTGGTGGATCGTGAACAGAGGAAATGTTTATCGGTGTGACATTATTCCTGCAGGTACATTACGAGTACGCGACCTAATAACTCCAATATCGGCAACTCTTCCGCTCCTTTCTCACAAAAAGAGTACCTTGTTTTATTTTTGAATCGCCGGCTTGGCTACTTCTCTCACAAAATGAGTGTGCATCAAGAGGGTCTCATGCTCTCTTACACGATTTTGATGATCACCCCTCGAACCCATCTCCATCTCCATCCCCAGCCCCGCCTCATCTCTGCTACCATCCGGGATTACCCTAAAGGGAGAAAAAGTACACCACTAACCGTACTTTTTTACGCAACCCTCAATCAATCTTAGTCCTATCGCTCATCTACAATCGGTACCCCCTAATTTCCCAAGTACTGCACACATACATCACCACCCCCAAGTTTTCGCTACTTGGTACAGTACTTCGCTTGAATCAAAGCGTGTTTACAATTACCCTCTCATTCTCTTCTTCTTTGGTTTTTCGGCAACCCCATCAGTCCCACCCTTTATGCAACAACAACTACAATGATATATCGCTATCCTCTCCTCCTTCTTGTTCAAGTCCTGTAGACTAACGTTTCTCTTGCAGGACCCTGACCGATCAACCACCGTTGTTCATCCCTGTACGCGTTTCGTGGGGTGTTCGGTCTACGGGAGTACAGGGGTACCCCAACGACCGAGTGAAAGAAAAAGGGCGCAAACGCGTTAAAAATATTCTGACCTGTGCTTTTTTTTTTTTTTTTTGATAAAGCCTCTCCCCGATGTAATTGAATCCGCGACCGCTTAGGATCATTGTGCAAAAGAAAAACAAAGCATGGGTGCTCCTGTATCGCTCTCCCTCCTGATGAACACTTGATCCATCTGGAAACTGACACCTCCCTTGGATAATTAATTCCTCCTCTCCGTGAGGTGTTTTATTCACCCATGGCGCCATGGATAAGCATGGGTGGTTATGAGGGGCAAGAAGTTCATAGTGTGCGCAGGAACCAAGGGTTGTGAGATAGGAACGAAAGAAAGTGCTGGATGATCGTTTCCCTTTTTACTCTGCGATCACTTATAGAGCCATTCCAGCCGTTGCTCGACCCGCCCCAGCTATCTCATATACTCAACAACGCTTGCGCATGGTCCTCGGTGGAGTGGCAGATGGGTTGCAATGTAAGTAATAGACTCCTCCTCCTCGCCTTGTGGGATAGTCATCTTCTCGTTCTCGAGCCACCTTCTAAAGCGAAATGTAGGCCGGTATACTGCCTTCTGCTTCACAGCCAAGTTATAGTAGGCAGGTTTCGATGGGGTCACGAGCGAATCCGTTGCTGGAGCTTGGATGGATGTGAGGGTGGAGGCTGATGCGGGCACTGGATCCAGAGTTGCTGACCCCTGGCTGGCGAGACTAGTCGATTCCTGGTTGATGGTGATTATTCCGTCCATGCTGGACCCCTCCTCGGCCTTCTCCTTGCCATTGTAAGTCTCGGTCAAGCCATTGGGTAGGTGCACGAACGCGCCAACAACAGATGCCTGCCCTCCATCCAAAGTCAAAATCTTCATCCTATCCACGTCCTTTCCAGGCCAAAGTTCCTTGATATCTTGCTCGCCCTTGATCACGCCCCGGATCTCCTGAAGGAAGTAGTCAACTCCAGCAACGGTTGTAGTCAGACTTGGGGGCATACCCTCCTCGGCCAGTCTTTTGCGCCTAGCGTCCTGTCTCTCGCGCAACTTGAAAGTCATAATCTGGACCAGGAACCCGTCCGTTCGTATTGATCCTTGCGAGATGCAGCCGCTACGGTGATAATCCTTTGGCTTTGTCTCCTCAACCAACTACAAATGGTTCCGAATCTGATCCAAGGAGAGCAGCTTGATGGCACCGCGATGACCAGCCTTGCGCTTTTGACAGTTCGAGAGCCCAACAGGATCAATCTCGGAGATAAAGTTCTTGATGATAACCCCAGGCTCACTTCCTCTGATCCAGTTCTCGAGATCCCTAATAGATGTGGGGACTGTGCTGTCTTCGTCAGAGAGGGTCAGCTCGACCAGTCTCTGCTTTAACAAAGGTCGCTTCCAAAAGAAACGGGCCAGCTCTAGCTCCGAAAATGTCACAAACGGTTGCTGCAAGGAGGTGATGGGAGAGAGCTGCCAGCAGCAGGGTATCAGCTCGTTGAGGGCGATATAGTTTTCCGCAGCTGAGATGTTTTCCTGAATCCGGATATCGATATGGTCCTCTGGTCGTCCCTTGTCCTTCAAAGCCTTGACCCATTTTAAAAAAGTTAAGAAGCGTTAGCTATATAATTTGTAGGAAAGAATTTCAACCCCTTCTTGTTAATAGCCCTTGTATCCTTGCGAACAAAACGTGGGTGCCATTTTTATATATCCTCTTCAGTCCCATCGAGAGTTGTCCAGCGACGAACCGCATCAGAGAGCTCGCCGTGAACAGCATTATTTTGTTGAGCTCGTTTCGTTTTCTATAGATGTCGGAGCCCTACCAAGAAGTCGATGAATGTGTTGACGGTTTTTCCGAATTTCGAGTTCTTCACTGGAAGGTTCCTTGTGTACAAGTAGGTCAGGAAAGACAGAAGGAAATGAACGTGTTTGTTACCCTTCCCTTCTGTGTCCAAGTCGTTTGGATCCCCCTGACTATAGTCGACGTCGTCGTCACCACACTGTTGACCTTGGGCTCAACCCTCCCACATAGATAATCCAGAGTGTCTCGCTTGTCCGTCGTTACCGCATTCTACCGTGGCTTCAGTGATTCGCCAAGGAGCTCCTTGATGTCGAACATGAGAAGATGAAAATTACGCGAGCAATAGCGACTTCCACCCCGCCGCCTGTCCAGAGGAGGTTCCGAGACCACGCCCTGTTTACACCTCAGAAGTGGAGGTTTCGTGCTAATTTTCAGGACGATTGAGTTGCAGTTTATCATGAAATCGGCAATAGTTGTTATTCTTCGTCAATAAAACATTGTGGAGCATGATTTCTTCGCTGCTGCATATCCTATCTCCGCTCAATCCTGCAGGCATTTCAAGTGATCTACCAAGGTACATGTCGCCCGCAATGATTTAGGTATCTCCGTTAATCTACATGGGGCCATCCGGAAGGCGCAACGATTCCTCACTTTGGTGACGAAATTTACGCGCCCATTGTTCTTCATGTGACTGTCAAATATCACGCGCTTGTCATCTCCCTACACTCCGTCAAATAAACTCCCATTGCCTCTCCTCGCAATCTTCGCTTTCTCCTACCTCGCTTTCTCCTACCTCGCTTTCTCCTACCTCGCTTTCTTACCTCGCTCTTTCAAATATATACATATTATTATCTCCATCACCCTACGCTCGCTCGCCATCCGACTCTTCCTCGATCTCTTTCTCCTCTATCTCTTCCTTGACTCCGTCCACGTAATCCCTTCAGAGAGGTAAATATCATTCATAACTTAAAAAAATCGTATGGGATCATTGTGACGCGGGGCATTGACTCATGCGAAGGGTCAAGCAATGAGGACAATGCTCTTCCGCCGGGTTGGTCGGGGAGCCTGAGGACGCCCTGATTAAGTACCCTTTCCAGTCTTGGTTACTCGTGCCATTGCCGCTTGCATATTCGGAACCCTGGTTGACCTTGGGTGAGATGGATGCACAAGCGGTAAAGCTACTGGTCTGGGGACGTCATCCCTGGCTTCAATGTTCCTAGAACAGATTCGTGTTGTGACGCGGGGCATTGGCTCATGCGAAGGGTCAAGCAATGAGGACAATGCTCTTCCGCCGGGTTGGTCGGGGAGCCTGAGGACGCCCTGATTAAGTACCCTTTCCAGTCTTGGTTATTCGTGCCATTTCCGCTTGCATATTCGGAACCCTGGTTGACCTTAGGTGAGATGGATGCACAAGCGGTAAAGCTACTGGTCTGGGGACGTCATCCCTGGCTTCAACACGTTCTGACGATGCAGTTTTTTTTTTCTTTTTTTTTTTTTTTTTCATTCACCGTGCCAGCTTTACAATAAAAAGATGGCTACCGTCTATTGTCACAGATTACATTATATGGTACTGAATTATTTTTTTTTTGAGAAAACTATGTCTAGCACAATGAGTCGGTCTCAACGTGAGCTCTACATCGAGCAGCGCTCGTTTGGACAGTATGATGCTATCGATTTCTTTGATTTCTGTGCTTTCTCTTCGGACAAAATGCCTGAAGCCGTCTTTCAATGGAAATCGATCATCCTACCTTATGTCCAACAAAAAGATCCAGCCCAGCACAAGCGTCTTCTCGTGTCATGGGAAGAATCAAAGCAAACCCGACAGAAATATTGGGACACGAAACAGAAGGAGGAGAAACGGGATGCGCAACTCGTAAGTACATCAGATGTTGACAAGATTAAGAAACGAGTATTTTTTTTAGTTCTAACTACGGTTTATTTATCTTTTAGGATGATCATATTGATCACATTCGCAATGACGCGATAGAACAAACACAACACGTTTCCGCTTCTATCACACGGGATGTTGGCAAGCGACTCCAAGGTACAGCTGTTCCTTCCTAAATTTTCTATCTATTGTTGACTACTGCATTCATTTCTCATTTTAATTATTTCTTTCCCGAAATTAGGCTCCATTGCTACCGTGCAGGAGAACAGGATGTCCGAGGCCTCACCCCCGACATGTGTACCGAGAGGGAAGGCATCCCTGGAAACTCATCTCTCGGATCTTGAAGTGTGCCCACCTTATAACAACACATCAACAACGTCCCCCATCTCGCCGCCACATACCTCAACAGTCACCGGACAAGGAAGCTCGACTCTAGAGACGTCTCCCGCTACATCGTCATCCTCAACATCAGCACCATCGACCTCATATGAGGAGTCCGCGGATCCTTCAGAGTCAGAGCAGCTGTTGGATTGTGATCGTGAGGAGCTATTACGCAGTGTTGAAGAGTCCAGTCGTCATCTGTGCGACTGGAAAGTCGATGACGCATGCTTGGCATGCCTCTTCACGAACTACAGACGATCTTGCATCAACGCGCTTGTCGCTCGTGAGATCATAAAAACGGATATTGCCGATCTCATGGCCGTCATCGGCGTTTTTGCCCCAACCTTGCCAACGACACGCATGCTCGAGGTCTTTTCACAACGGCAATTGGAAAAGGCCCTCGGGCCAAAGCCAGAGTTGCCAGAGATCGATATTGACGATGCCAAGATCATGAAGGCTGTCAGGGTAAGTTCAGATAGAATCGTGGGTAACGCTAGGATCTTTATATGCAAGGCCCTTACAGTGACTTTTTTCCTTTGGATAGTTGTATCTGAACGACAGGGGTGATGAGGCTGAGATGCCATCGATGGCTGGAAACAAGAAACTGAGAATCATGCTAGAGACCCTGTAAGTAGATGTGGCATAAATAAACATGTTTAGGAGTCAAGGTTGTGTTCTTAACGGAAAAAAAAATAATAATTGTTTTATTAGATTGGAATATCTGCCTCTAGATGAAGACAGGACAATATCCGAATGCACCTTCACAGTCAAGTACGTCGCTTCCATCATTCAAGCATATATGGATGGCGACGGGATTACCTGCGACTTGTAAGTTCCTTATGCATGTGGATGCTGAAAAAATACAGGTTTTCCCAATGTCAATCTAACTTTTTGTGGTCATAGTCCAAACACAAACTCCACTACACAGAAGCAGCAGAACCTTCGAGCCGATCGACCAGACATACGGGCCATGCTGTCGGGACGGGAGGTACTCTGGGGAGAGATTACTGGCCCTACGCAGACGGGTAACAAGGCCAAGAATCTCTGGGATACATTCAAATTGGTGAGATTTGGCAAATCTTTTATTGCCGACGGAAACGACCATGCGCCACTTGTTCAAGTTATCGGCAGCCATGGAACGTATATGAGGGTGTTCATTAAAGTGAGAGGCGTGATGGTGCTGGAGCAGGTTGGAACATTTACCGTTCCAACCTCCAAGGCAATGGTTCCCTCCCTTGTAGCGACGTTGCCCACATTGGAGTTGTTGAAGGTAACAAGTCGAAAACGAGCGTATTTGATATTTATTCTGAGAGATCTATATTGACTTTTTCTTCCTTCTTTCTAAACACAGGTACATATGAGAAACAGGAGCAACCGAGCAACAAATGACCTGAAGCGGTCGTGGGGACATCAAGACGTCCAGGGCGCGAAGAAGCTATTATTTCCAGACACAACACGGCGCGATAAACAGTGACACCACGTGTGATGGACACATCTCATACATCACAATAATGTGCACGGTCTTTTTTTTTTCTTTTTTTTTTTTTTTTTCTGGTCGCTCAATTAAACATCAGAATGATATGGTACATGCAGTGGACAGAGACCTGAACTATTTAAATAAGTAAAAAAAACAATACGGGTAGTGGTGCCTCTCGTTTTTTCTGCACCCCGTATGTGTTGTCACAATGTCAAACTAGAGTCAAGCTCGACAGAGTCCTCGTTCCCCGCTGATTTTGCCAAGCTCGCTCCCTTGGTTGTGGTTTCGCTAAATAGTAGATAGGGACAGTGAGAATCTCGTTAATCCATTCATGCGCATCACCAATTAGATGACGAGACATTTCGCTACACTAAGATAGTCATAGTTACTCCCGCCGTCTACCCGCGCTTGGTTGAATTCCTTCACCTCAGCACCTATTCCTTGGGCCGAATCCTTTTTCCGAAGTTACAGATCTATTTTGCCAGCTTCTCTTATTACATTATTCTATCAATTTCTTTCAACTACAAGCCGCTCACATCATTCACATTGTGCTATTAGGCCCCGACAAAGTACGTTATACACATCAATTGATGATCTTGTCCTGTAGGAGGTTGTCTTCCGCTTCACTGTTGCATAAGAAGGGTTGTTGGAGTGAAATATAAATGAACTAGCATGAACCTGCATTGATAACCAAAGGAGTGAGCATAGCAAAGGGATGTGGGTTGAAGGGGAAGGAAGGCAGTGTACTTGACTGGCAGTGAAGGCGCGGGAAGAACAACGACACGAAGAAAAAAAGAAACGAGACTCGACACGTCAAACTTACTTTGACTGTTGATGCGACACGTATATCAATCAGTCTGCCGTGCCTCCCTCTTGGGTTTCATCCCTCCGTCTTTCACCCTCACAATCGTCTCCTCGCTTTTGACACTCGCACACGCGCACCATCGTTAATAGACAAATATTGTTAGAGAATCACGTAAAGTCTTAATGCACTTAATATCGGCTTCGTTTTTACGCATCTCAATTACAATTTTAAAGGAGCTCGTACCATGCCGCAACGGTATCGAAGTGATTGAAACTGAAATGGTGAAAACTGCATTGTCGTAGGGCGTCGTCGCAAATTGACCATCGACAAAAAAACAAAAAAACGCCGTTACAGACCATACACATGTTGCTCTCGAGACAAATATTAACGTTGATGAAAAACGAGACGTTTGGGATGGACAGAGTATCGGACAGTAGTGCATTTTTGAAAGAGACAAAGTGAAAGGGGCGGTTTGACTATTTCATCGTGGTCGTTCAGTTGGATAGCGAAGCTGGTCTTTGATTTTTTTTAAACCCATGGGTGGACTATTCATCGCAGCTCTCTTACATATACTTGAAATGAGCATCAAATGCAGAGCAAACCAAAGAGTTCAGCCTGTCTATCGCTCTGTTTTCTTATCACCACATTTAAAAGACAATGACCTTGAATCGTGGACGCTGTCGTCCTGAATTAAACAAGAACATGTATCCAAATGGCTATTGAAAACCGTGCGACAGACCAACAATCTTCCTACCCCAATAAGAAACCAGCAGCTGACTAGCTCCTCGCCTCCCCAAAATGAAATGCGCACACGCTCATGTCCATTTGATATTGCAGCATGGGTACGCGGTGTTGTTGATCTGTATCAGCTCGCTTGACCTTGTTCGCAACCCTCATCATCTCACATATCGATAGTCATTTGCACAATGGTCTGTGATCTATTATGATCACAACGTATAAGTTAGGTCAGTGCAACACACCTTCAAGGTCGAACTAATCAGACAACCACATCCATGAACGTTCTTCATGGTTCTACAAATTGTCAAAAGTTGTTCCTTCGATTTTGATCTTGCTCTAGGGTCGTGCTCTTAATACAATGTACGCGAACGCACAAGAACACTTTGCCAGCGGGCAACATCAAGAATTGCTCGTCCAAGCATACTCATTGAGTGTCATTGAAAGGTTTAACAACCATCCTTCAACAGCGATTGCTCTAGAGTACGAGGACTACCTAGCCAAGCGTGGCGTTGATAGGTTAAAGAAGCAGCTGGTCGTGGACCGTGGCATACTTAACAGCGAATACATGAAGTGCAAGGGTCTACCACCGGAGACTGACATGCGAGACAAAGTGCTGGAGATCCTCACGAAACTGTAAGTATTGCTGCTGGCATCAAAGAACGTGGACGAACACACCAAAAAAAATCTGAATATAGGACCTATTCTGTCGACAACAAAGAATGATCAAGAGTTTCAAAAGAAGCATGTTGGAGCAGCTTGAAGGACTGACCTTTATTGAGTCCTTACTTGATGACGCTGCAGTCTTGAGAGCTATGCGGGTATGCTAAATGGTCCTCGTATCGCTATAGCTATGGACGAGAGGAACGAATTCAGCGAAGCTTTGCGTGGATTGGATAGTCAATTACGGAATATATTTGAGGCATTGTAAGTCTTTATGTAACGACGAGGCTCTATTGGTTTGTCTCCATGTTGGTACTCGAAAGCAATTGGAGTTCAGCTTTTGTCACCTGCCCTTAATCCTATTCCTCTTTCACCTATGATTCTTCTACGTAGGTTGGAGCAGGCACCAATGTAGCAGGATATATTCATATCTGAAGCGACCTTTGTGATGAACTACCTAGCATCTATTCTTCATGGAACTCTGAAGTCGAATACTCGATTCTCTCGACACTTGTGAGTAGATCTCGCGATGTTGCCCAGTATGCGACGACATATTCTCGTATATTCACTTCAATATTCATTTTTTCTCCTTTATGCTCTATATTTTAGCCGGAACACGCCCTCCAAAGTACAGAATCACCAAGGTCTCAAGCCCAATAGGCCAGATATTGTTGTCAAAGTGCGAGACTGCGAGGTTTTGTGCGGAGAAATCATTGGGTAGACTCAGGAAAACTTCGCAAGGTTCGGCAAGGCTTTCCTAGACGATGGGTATGAGGTCGCTCCAATTCTCCAAGTAGTGTATCCCAATGGCACACAGATGCGACTTACTGTGCAGGCGAGAGTTATATTCCTCTTGTAGGAAGTTGGATCGCTCGTGGTTCCCACCGTGGTCTCAATGATCCCTGCGCTCCTTGCCGCCCTCCTTACACTCTTCGCTGCTTAGGTACGTTTATTTCAACTTCGGAGATCATCCATATCGTGTATTCGTGTATTTTATTCAGTTAATAACTCTAGGCTTGTTATATGGTGTAGGTCGATTTGAAAAATTGCCTTGGGGAACCCAATTATCGCAAGCGCGCATGGTGCTACAATGATACCACGAATGCAAAAAAAGCGACTAATCGTATTTTATATGGATTCTCTCTTTCTTCCAATCTCAAGAACAATACACAGCAACAACATGCAGTTGCCTGGAAATAAAATTGCGCACATTTGCTGCTGGAGTGCTGTCACCTTTATCATGGATGGTATTGATTTCACAAGTCAAAAAACAGTTGGATTTGTTGAAGATAGGCCTGCTGTTCTCATCTCCTTTTTTGTTTGACGAAGAAACCTGTTACCAGGGTGGGCCACAAAAGAATCTTCCTGTCACCAAAAAATAAAGAGCAGCTTTCTTTCTCGTTACTTAACTTCAGGCTGGATTCCACACGTTGAGATATGCTTTCTACTTTTATAAAGGTAGTCCCGACTAAAGCTGTTGGTGAGCATGATCATATTCTTCAGCTAGAAGCGGCGGAGAGTGATCTGGGCGACAAAGTGTTGCAAAGAGTGAAGGAGGGGAATGAAAGAGGGAGTTGTGCAGTAGTTGTCTTTTTGAAAGTCAAGAGCAAAAAGGGAGGAAGGAAGGAAAGAAAGATGAAGAGGAAACGATGGGAGGGCAGGGGCATTTCAATATATAATTTTTCTGGGATGGGTGACGAAGTATCAAGGGACCCCCCTGAAAAGGCCCTTCAACAAAAATGATCGAACGACTTGAGGGACAAGCAAAGGTTTCCATGTTCTTCATTGTTTTCTTCCCTCCATGAGCAACAATCAGTCTCATATCAACACTCGGTCTTTGATCACCAACGCAAATATACTTTCATCAAACGCATTCATTCACCACAAACTCAAGAACAACGTCAGCATGCAGTTGGCAATTGAACAGAGCAAAGCCATCTTGTTTTTTTGAGGTAACAAAGGATATCCCATCATGTATATTATTGAAAAGTATAAAAAGTATAGGTAAAGACTGAAAAAAAAAAACTAAAGGATGGGAATAAAGAACTGAGGGTATACAACAAGTGGTGGTACAATAATAATATCAACTTTACAGCAAAAAAGAACAAAACAGAAGAAACACTTCATTTCTCTTCAAAGCAAAAGAACGACTTTAGGGACGAATCGTGCTCTGGTGCTGGTGTTGTTGTTGTTGCTGTTGTTGACTGTGCTTCTGGTGCAATTGCTGGTGAAGTCCAAACTGCTGCAGTGGCTGTTGTTGGTGGTGAGGGTGACCGCCACTGATGGACCTCAACATGTTGGTATCCACCAGCGTCGTCTCCTGCTCCTCATCATCATCCGTAGGGAAGGACAGGTTCGCAGCCGACCGGCTGTTGTTCAACTGAAACTTGCTTGTTGCTGATGCTACGACGCCATCACTGGGGACTCCGCGGAAGATCTGGGTCGAGGTGGGGAACGTCTCGTAACTGGATCCGACAGCAGCGGCAGAGCGGTAGTTCTGCTGCGAGGGCTGTTGCCTTGACTGGTGCTGGTGTTGTGGCTGTTGTTGCTGCTGGTGCTGCTGTTGCTGGTGCTGTCCGGTGGAGTACTGGGTAGGACCGCGACGGCCATACTGACGCTGGCTCTGGTCATCTGCATCCTCCTCATCGTCCTCACGGTCGCCAGGCTGATGACGTCCGAATCCGACACCAGGGACCTCCTGCAAGGGCTGCTCCCACGACATGTCGTCATCGGGGAACGAGGGCTGCATCTGATGCTGCAACATCTCAAGCTCAGTCTTGATGCCGCGGAGAATGATCCGGTCCTGACCATGGTCAGCCTCGGCGCGGGTCATGCCCATCAGCTTGAGCTGATCGACCTCGTTGAATTGCTGCATCATCTTGATCTCCATGCCCATCTGCAAGTCCTGGCGCATCGACGCAATCTCCTGGAGGGAATGGGTCCAGAGGGCCTTGTAGTGCTCCTTGTAGTTGTTGGCAAAAGTAATGTCGTTCATCAACTTGCTGTTGTTCGACTCGAGCTCGGCAATCGTCTGGTGCAACGAGTTGACGCTGGTCATGTTGATGTGGGCAGGGTGCTCCTGGCGGTACTGGTTGAACTCGGCCTCCATCAACTGGTTCTGTCTCTGGAGAGCACGGAATCGATCCTGCAACAAGAAAAAGTCCTGGGCGCTGGGAGTGCTTCCGGCCATGGGGGCGCGGGAACCATTGTTGAAGCTGCTGTTGGGACCACCGTTCGACGAGGTCTGAAGAACAAAGGGCTGATCGGGGTGCTGGAAGGAACCCTGGGCGTATCCGTGGCGATCAAGGACCTTCTGGAAGTTGGTCTGCTGGCGCTGGAGTGCTTCCTCGGCTCTCAACAGCTTGCGCTCACGGAACTCCAAAGCAATCAGCTGTTTCTGGACCTGGTAGTCCAACGCCTTGAGGTCCTTCATCTTCTGCTTGGCCTGCTGTGCGCTCATGTCCTCCGACAACCCATCAACCATCGATCTGTCGATCGAATCCAAGGTAGTGTTGGGGCGACCGTTCGATTTTTCTGCCTGCAAGGTCTGTTGGAGAGAGTGGGGGAGGCTGGAGATGGGCGACCGACGGAGGAGATCGTACTCGACTTGGCGGTTTAGCTCAGCCTGCTTGGCCAACTGCTGCTTCAGAATAGTCTGGAAATCCATAGAAGGCTCAGTCTTGCCAGAAGGGCTGGCAGGCTTGCCGTAAGGGTGGTGATGATGAGGGTGGCTGTTCTGGTGAGCCTGGGAGAGGTGGCGCACCTGGGAGAGACGGACAGAAGTGGGGCGCTGGCTCGTCCTTCCGGTGCCGGTGGGGGTCTCCATACGGTCGCTCTCACTGTAACCCTCGGCAAAGCGAGAGATGGCGGAAGGCACCTCCTGCTGCTGCTGCTGCTGTTGCTGCGTTTGCTGCTGTTGACGCTGTGCACGCTGTGCACGCTCATCATCCTGCTCAGGCGAGACGACTTCGTAATTACTGCCACGGGGTTGGAATCCGTACTGAGGCTCGGGTCCGCTGCTCGCCATGTCTTCCGAGAAGACGCGAGAGTGGCGGTTATGAAGCTCCATCGAGTGAACGGGTGTCGTCGACAGAATTTCGCTCTGCTGGCTATCAAAGTACTCGCCAAGGTCCTCCAGAGAGCACGAGAACTGAATCTCACCAACAGGGCTGTTGCTATCCTCCAACACGACAACGCAGCTCGACTCGATCTGCTGAACACGACCTTCAGAGGTAGGGGCGGAGGTTTCGTCCAGGATATCGATCAAGTGGATCTGGCCAGACGCGTGCAACACATTCTGACGAGTCTCAGGGTGTTGGCACCAGACCTCGACCACCAAGGGCGTCTTCAGCTGGTTGCGAAGGGCCTCGGGAGTCTGGCAGAGCTGGAAGGTGCGACGTGCATCGGGCAAGGCGGTCGGCACCAGGCGGGAGACATTGACTGGAGGCTGAGTGGACTTTGGTCCAAAGGGGCGGTAGTTGTAGCGGAGCGAGACGTTGTTCAAGTGACGTGAGAGGGACTTGAACGAGCTCAGCTCGATCGCAAACTTGTAGTCATGGCGACGGGGGGACCGCGAAGAGTGGGACGAGTTGACCTTTCGGGAGGTGTCAACCTCAATGGCTGCGGGGCGAGTGGCCCTCCTGGATGCGGCACCTTGGGAAGAGCGGCGGATGGCAGGAGTGCTTGGAACCGAGAGGGTGTTCAAGTCACGGGTGACATGCATGGCGACTTGAACAAAGGCAACGTCGGAGGGAGACTGCTTGGATCCAGACTCGTCAGAGGCAATGGCGGGCTGGAAGGGGTAGAACTGAGGGCTGGCGTGGAATAGGTTGGCGGTTCCGTGCAGCAGAATGACAGCCAGAGGGATAGTGGCGATACCAATCAGGTTCTGGTCATGGCAGAGATGGAGCACAAGCTGCTCGCCATCTCTAAAATGCTGGTACATCGACTCCATCGACGACTTCAGTCTCAGCGCAATCTCCTCGATGGGTGCTCCTGACTCGGCGGTGCTGCTCAAGAACTGGGTGGCGACATCGTTGCCCAAAAAGCTGTAGTAGAGGTAGAGGCCCTGGTGAACCGAAGCTGTGCTCTTGTTCTGAGTCGATGCATAGCGCTCCACAAGACGATCAATGTTGCGGGTGGTCTGGATAGTGATGGTAAAGATAAAAAAGTCTCTGCCAAGTCCCAGTTGGAGGAAGCCCTTATCGTTCACTTCTGTAGGGATCATTGCCTCGCCAATATCCACAGGGATGTCCATCTGCATGGCCTCATCCGCATCGAATTCGGGGACCTGGGCATCGAGCTCGTCATCCTCGTCGTCGTCTCGGGTGTGGTAAAACGACTTGTCGCCGGCGGAGGGCACCTGTCGGTCCTGATCCTCACTTTCGTACTGCTCCTCGTCCTCCTCCTCAAGACCCTGGAGGGGATGAAGGTTAGACTTGCTGTAGCGAGCAGTGTGCTGTTCGGCGTGGTCAAGGTCCTCGGATCCAGAGGAGGACTCGATGCTGGTGAGGAGGGTGTCGATGGTAGGGGTGATCTCGGAGATGCCATCGTCAATTGAAAAGGCAATCTTGAGCTCAGGCTGGAGTCCACGGAAACCGGCGGTGTTTGAGCCGGTCAGGGGTTTCCAGCGCTCCTCTGTGGAATCGGGTTCAAAGGCGGAGGAGAGGTCAAGGATGATGTGACCGAGGGACTCTTCCTCGTTTGTCTTTTGGTTGACTGCAAAGCAGTTGAGTTTGAGCGAGGCATGCTCAATCCGGAGAATATCGAGGACCTCTGCGTCGAGGTCCCAGGCGAGCTCGGTGTCCCAGATGGGGTAAGGGGTCTGCTCGACGGGGTCGGTGCTGAGGACTTCGGGGTATGAATGCGAATTGGTCTCTGGGTTCTCGATGAAGAGCGCGTCATTGAATTGGCATTGGACGAGGAGCTGGCAATCGGGATCTCGGAGAAAGTAGCGACCTATCAGATCAACACAAGTGATCAAAAAGGAAAAGAATTCAAGGTAGCGCGATGATTGGTTAGTGATTAGGTAGTGAGAGACAAAAGAGTAAAGACGCGTTCTCGTGTTGGTGTTTGGATAGTGATATATTCTAGGATAGAGTGACGAAATGATGGGAGAGAATGTGTTGTGAAGCATGTTTGCTCGAAAATGAACAAACCCTGGAAGGGGTAGTGTGGAGAGAGCAAAGAGGAATAGAACAGAATGGAATGCCCAGGTACCCAAAAACAATGTGTTCATTTTACGACACGCCGTGTCGTGGGGATATTTTTGTACTCATTTTGAAGGTGGTGGTTTTTCTGCCCGTTGTATCAATGGATGTTGTGCGACAAAGAGATGTAGAAAGTTAGAAGTGCGCTCATCCTTTTCTCTTTTTCCCGCAGAACAAGGGGTGTTACTGCCCTACTGCTCCTCCGCGGCTTTTGTTTATCCTCTTGATTATGTTCTTCCATCGGGTAGAAACGTGCACTGAGATGAAATCGAACCCTATGCTGTCCATCTCCTTCTCTCCTTCTTCTCGCACCGCGCTGCACTGCGCCGTCCCTCAAGTGTCCCCACCAGGTGCTCAGAGAGAGCGAGAGATATTGAGTGTTCTCGGGATCTGTAATCGGGTGCAGTAATAATGGGCGGTGTCACACCTTTTTCTCAATTGCGATATGAGATAAAAATAAGGGCTGTTGTCAGGCAGAGGAAGGAGAGAGGGAAAGAGAGAGAGAAGGAGAGAGAGAAGGAGAGAGAGAAAGAGAGCGAGGGAGCAAGGGAGGAAGGAGAAGGAGAAGGAGACGGACCCAGAACCAAAATATGAAGGAGAAGGAGCGCCAGGAAGATGGTAAAAGAAAGGAAAGGGCAAAAAGAAGGTTGATTCTGTTTGTGGGAAGAGGTGTTTTTTCTCTTTTCTTGTGGGATAGATGAACCGTTAATAATTTTGTGTGGATGTCGCGTTTAGCGTCCATTGGTGGGTTTGTGTGTTTCTTTTTTTTCAAGTGTCCAGAGGGCAGGGGGAATGTGCGCAGAAGTGAGTAAACAAGATAAAACACCATAACAGACATATATAACCAAAACAATCGGGAAGTGGTAAAGGGTCGGGTGTGTACGTTTTCGCCGAGGAGGACGTGCAAAGTGTTGTTTCTCCTCGAATTGGTTTTACAAGAACTCACCTTCAACAATTGTGACCAGAATGGTATATCTTGGCGTAGGGCTGTTCATCTTCGCGTGTTATTGGGCCGGGGAACGGATTGGCGAGTAAGCGGTGGATGGGACAGGCAAGAAACCTCTCGGTAAAAAAGGAACGGGTGAGAAAAAAAAAGGTGTGAAAAAGAAGATTGTTGTCCGCAAATAGATAGATCTGCTTGTGGTGAAGGGAAAGGTGGAGGGAAGGAAGGGTAAGAGTTGAGGTCAATTGAGAGTGAGAGAGAGAGAGAGAGAGAAAGGGAAGTGGTGTGTGTTACGAGATAGAAGGAAACAGTAAGGGAATATGGTGAAAGAGTGGAAGGGTGTGTTGGAGAGTGTCGTGGAGAGGTGTGGGAAGTGAGAATAGAAGGGGTGTGGGTATTGAAGAAGAGAAGGAATAGATTAGTGATTAGATTAGAGTATGGGTAACAGTGTGTGTATAAGTGTATGTGTAGATTTACAGAAAAAGGCAAGCAACAACGAGGATGTAGAAAAGGGTAAAAGGCAATAATAATAATAACAACAAAGAAAAAAGGATGTAGTGATGATGAAAAAGAAAAGAAAGGTGTGGATGGAGAACAAGAAAAAAGAAAAGAAAAAGGGGTGGAAAGGTTGGATCAGACGATGAGGGGAAAGAGGAAGAAGGGTAAACAGGAGAATTGGCGTGAAAGGGATTGGGTAGGGTAAAGAGACAAGAAAAGAGAACAAAGAAAAACAACATAATATATGTGGGCCATGGGTAGCGGCAATGGTACCCATGGTACCTTAGGCCAATGCCATGCTGTTCAATGGTCTCTCGTGCAATCTTTATCTGTATTTCACTGTCTCCTTCTGTCGATTTTTTCACGACCAGGCAAGGCAGCCCAGAAGCAAAAAAACTTATTAAAAGAAACGGGAGGAATATCATGCTCAGGCGCCCATCTTTTCTTTCTCTCTATCTCGCACTTCCTCGCGAAACCTTTCTTGTCTTTCCTCTTGGCACTCCTTCATGACTTTGCTATCTCGACTCTTTTCGAGGTGTGGATCCATACCCATATAATTAACCATCGCTGAGGCTATCGAACAACAAAATACACTGTGTGGAAAACAAAACAAAAACAACAAGGAAAAATCTTCAGGCACAACATCGCATTCACAATGGCCAGATCCTAACCCAATCCAACCCAATCTGGGAAGGAAGCATTGGGCAACCAGCAGCATTACAAAGAAAAAAGAAAACGAAAGAAAAGGACCCCGATACCATGACCTCCACGTGGTGTGAGTGAACAGCCTCTTTTTCCTGATACCCAGCATGACTCTCCTGCCCAATGGGTCATCATGGTCTTTGTTTTGTTTTTTCCTCTCCCGTTTTTCTCTTCTTTCGGATTGCTTTTTCAAGGGGACAAAGAGAACCTTTTCTTTCGTTCTGATCGGACAAAAGAGCGATTCGCGTATGCGTGTATGCGTTATGTGTATGCGTGTGGAAGGGGATGTGGGAGAGTGAGGGGAGTTGGACAGCGGACCACTGAGAGGCGATGAAAAAAAACAAACAAAGCAGCAAAAGCAAAGGGCGAGATAGAGACATGCATGTAAACCATGCCATTTTGCCCGCAACCCCTCCTTTACCATCTGCGCGCAGGAAAGAGAAAATTGTCGGACAATCTTTCTTGCCCATGCAAAGAATATAAAAAGGGAGAGGAACCACGATGATGATCGATAACCATGCCATTGTTGACCCGCAAGGTTTGGGAGGAGTCCAATGGTTGTTGAATTTAAAAAAATGATGGGTGCGGGAAAGGCGATGTGTGTTTTTTTTATGGCGACAAGGGTATCCAAGGAAACCCCAGGGTTGATCTGAGGAGAAGCACAGGCAGGGGTTTGGAGTGTGTCGGAAAGAATGTCATGAGAACAAGAAGACGACAGATGTGGTTGAGGAAAGGATGGCGTGCGTCGTTGAGTAGAGAGGGGGTGGATGTGCAGATGTCGGCGCCTTTGGGGGCGGGACAAGGAGAGAGATATAATAGAAACGCAGGGGTCTTGGCAGGTGAAGTGATGTAGGGGGAAGAGGAGAGGCGAGCGAGCAAGGTATGAGACGACGGGATGGAGAGTGAAAAATGACTGAGAATGGGGCAGCCGAGATCACATCGAGTCACTTGGCCCATGGGCCCAATGGTCACGATGACAGACTGGGAAGGCAAGTGAGAAAAAAACAGACTCGAACGGGATGGTGATAGGGATGGTGATGGGTGGAGGAAGGAAGTTATAAAGATGGGAGGACGGGAAGGATGAAAAGGAGGAAAGGGAGTAGAGGGCGATTCTTACCGTAATCAACTGTGATGGCTTTTAATCCGTGACCAACAAGAAAAAAAGGGTGAGGTCGTCGGGAAGAAAAGGCACAAAGAGGGTGGAGAGTGGGACGGGAAGAGAGACGATGGGACTGGGTGAATGGGAAGGTGCGTGTGTATGCTGGGATGGACGGGACAAGGGACAGGGTGCTGGTAAAAAATATATAAAAGGGAGCGAGGGATTCGTTTTTTGCCGCTTCTTTTTTTTTTCTTTCGTTTTCTTTTATGGTCGTTGAATTGTTGACAGATCAATGGGTCGTTACTTGATGTCGAGAGAGTGATTGTCGTTACAGAGGGTGAATGGGTTGAGTGAGTGTATGTTGGAGTTGTTGTTGCTGTTATCCTGTAGTAGGCTGGGCTGGGTCGTTAAGTCGAGTGTGAATGAATGATGGGGAGAGAAAGAGAGAAGAGAGGTGTGTATATAAGAGGATGTCGTTAAGAAAGGAAGGAATCGTTAAAGAGGGGGAGGGGAATGGGGGAATGGGGATGGAGGGGAGGGGAAAGAGGGATGGTCGTTAAAGTGTGAAAGAAGAAAGAGGGATGATGAATGAAAACAGAGTAAGAAAAAAATAATAATAAACAAAAAAGGTCGTCGGGGAAGCGAGCGAGGGGGGCAACTCAAGTGAAGCCAGAGGCAAGGGCAGGCAGAGACAGAGACAGTAGGACCTATTCAGTTGTTTGAAGTAGTGGCAAGAAATATATTAATTGCTGTTATTAATAACCCACTTGGCAGCTGCCAGCTGCTCGCTGCTGTTCGCATGCAGGTGAATCGTTGCATGAAAACGAAAGTGAAAAAAGGATGATTATGATGAGCTGGCACTTGCTCGGAAGGGTGAAGTGCGCCCATCCAACGGACATGGTGGTGTGTACCTCTCTTGTTCACAAACAAAGCGCACAGTCGACAAAATAAAATTAATAACTGACCGTTGCCCTATCACCATCACCTATCACTCATCACTGTGACAATTAGATTGCATCAAGACATTTGACAATCGCCACCACCATCAACTATGAATGAACACCTTTCATGAAGGGATAGCTTCTTCTTCACCCTTCTTCGCATTCCTTTCTAGTTGTTGTTGTTGCTATCTAAACAACCACTCTGTGGTTGTTGTTCTTGTTGTCGCTGCAGTTGTTTTTGTCTTTTTTTTTTTTTTTTTTTTTTTTCACTCTCAATCAGGGCTCTTGTCATTTGTTTGGCCTCAGAGTAATAACCAACCTTTCTGCTCTCATCCAAACCCATCACATCCATATCATCCAACCCATCCTCCTTCTCTTTCCCCACTTTCACCCCCTCCTGACCGACCCCCTTTCCACCCAACTCTGGAACTGACTATCGCATCATCCCCCGTTGTTGCAGGCCCAAACAACAACACCAATAACAAAAAATATTCAGCGAGGATGACCGCACCTCCGACACCAAAACACACAAACACACAAAAAACTACGCCGGATGGCTAAGGTACATCAGCCAGTGAGAGAGAAAGAAGGAGAGATCGCATAAAAAAGAAACCATGGCTCTCATATACTTCTTTTTCTCTCTCTGATCTTCCTCCATAAAAAAAGTATGGACACACATCTCCGACTGACCAAAACCCTCTCACACTTCTCCTTCCTCCGTATTGCCCTTCTTCCTCTTTTGTGGGCGTTCGTGTCTTGTGCCAGAGCGAGCATAGAACAACGGATTCCCTTTTCCTCCTTGCTTGGTCATCCAATCCTCTCCGTCTATTATTTCAACCCTCCTTCCTCGTCACGCTCCTGTTTTGCAACATAACAACAATAGTAACCTCTGACGGTCTTCAAACAGTCGCCATTTTGGCTTCGTATATGTGTTCATCCGTAATGTGAGTGTGTGTGTGTGTGTATGGTCAGATGGAACTCTTGAACTTGAGAGCCATACACCTCGCCTCCTGAATATGAGAATAAATAGTTGTACCATATGGGGGGATGTTGTAACAAAGAAGGTAAGGGTCGCAGCCAGGGGAGCAATTAAAAAAAGGGAGCAGGGTGTGAGGGGTTGTGAATCAAATTTGGCAACAATGCGTTTGACAATGACAGTTGTTATAGACAGGGGAAAGGAAGAGGCAGAAAGTGGTGTCGGAGGGGCATGCAAGGGGGTGTATGTATATGTGTCCTGTTACATTTTTCGGAATAAAACAAGTGTAGAAGGTAAAGCAGGCCCATTGCCCTTTTTTACTCGTTACTTCCTCGGGTTTGTTCCATGCATCCCGTCCCATCCTATAAAAACGCTAATGCCTGCATCCATGCATAACCATGACAAACTCCAAAGTAAAAATTTTGGGCGAAATGCTTAATGACAATGGCGCCACCGATCTTTTGTTCAGCTTCCCTATCCTCCCTTCTTCCCCTCGATCTCTCGAACACAAAATCACCCCTGCCCCTGTCCTCCATCCTAAAACCCCAAACAAAAAGGCGTGCCGCGTGAACATGTCGCCACTTCTTTTTCGCTATCTCTTTTTTTTTTCATTGCTTTGCAATGCCTCCTCTCGCGTTTTGTATCAGAAGGAGATGCGCGATTCAAAAGTGAACACAGTGATGGTGGTTTTGCGACAAGGACGAGGTGGAGGGGTCCGAGAGGGAAAATCTAATTAATGACCATGGAGACTTGATCACCTTTTGCTTAACCCCCAACACCAAAACCCACTTTCGTTGCCCTGAAGAAAGTGTGAGGTGTTCGAGTCCCCCTTTCTCTTCCGTTGGATCAAGTCTCTTTTTCTCGACATTCTCCTAATGTCCAAGAGCCCCCCTCCTCCTATCCTGTAGGGAGGTTCAGTCGTTATGTAGATGATACTTTGTAAGGGTGCTAGATCCTTCATGCATGTTGTCCCCTGTCCTGTCCCCTATCCCCTGCGTTTGCAGCTCTGTGTTGCTCTCTTTCTCTGTTAGAGCGAACCACACCACTTTTCTCCTATCTATACCCGGCTATAATATCTTGACAATTGACAAAAAACAAAATGACAGAGGACCCACCTGCAAAAAAAAATTGTACAAGATTAGATGGCGGAAGAAAGAAATGTTGTCTGTTGGTTGTGGATGAAAAAAAAAGTATGAAAAAGTGACTACGAATTACTCAAATACAAACAAAATGTGCTGGAGAAAAGTAAAGTAGTGAGAGAATGAAAAAAAGGGTTAGAGAAAAAAAAAAGTAAGGAAGCAGTGAGAGGAAAACAGAAAAGGCTAATGGTTAAAGAAAAAGGAAAGAGAAAGAGAGGGAGCAAAAAAAGAAACTCGCGCACTCCCAGAAAATATACTTGAAAAATGGGCATCGCCTTTGCATTCGATGTGGTTGTTGTTTGTTGTTTATTGTCCCTGTCCTTGAGTTCTTGTGCCGTGCCTTGCCAAGACCATGATGGATGATGGCTCAAATTTTCTGTTGTTTGTTTGAGCGGGACTGAACAGCGCTAGTCGTGGTCATCATGGCGGAAACAAGGTACAATGCTATAACCCTTTCTCTGCATTCTGTAACACATTCTCCGAGTTTACAATTGCTATTGCAATTGAGAAAAGCAAGGAGGTAGAGGAGTGATTTTTGCCTTGTTTTTCAGGAACAAGGCAAACAGCAATAAGCGTCGAAACTCACTCCTGCTTTCCCATCCCCATACTCCATACTGCGGTAGATCCCCCTCCCTCATCAGTCTATCACCCACAAAAAAAGTGCTCGATCCTCTCTTTTGCCCAAACCATGCCCATCCGAATTATGTCATCCGAAGGCATCAACAACAACAACAATAACAACAAAAAATAAGGTTCACATTCGATCGCACTCAACTTTTTTCACTTTGTGGCGTAGAATATCAATAATATTCACATGCTGTGATCGTTCATTTCTCTTGTGCCGATGCCCTTTTGCCCCCACCCACAACTACCACGCTACATTTTTTTTAAAACTTCATTGCTTTGCACCTGAATAAAAAGGTTAACTTGTTGGCCTGTGGGTTGATCAAAGTGAAAGACTCCTCCATCCACACCCGTGCACATATGCAAAGTGACATCGTCTCGATCCCTGTTTTGTTTCGCCGCATTCTTCTCCTATCCTTCCCCGGTGCTTCTGTCCTGGTCGTACCTGACATGTTTTGTGGGGGTGGGGGGTGAAGGCCGACCATTCTCATATTCATGTGTCAAAAAAACAACTCCCACTGTAAGAACACGCCGAGGTTGTTATGTTTGTTTCCATGTGGGAAGGTGTTGTTCACTTCACCACGTTCCACGTGCCGAAGGAAGTCTCTCTCGTGCTACAGGATCCAAGAAAGATATTAGATCAAGACAGGTGCCACCAACACGTCTCATACGCAGATCACAGATCATTGAATGAAAATCGGTACCTGAGACCAATACACGTTCTTCTACTTGATCAATCAATAAATACAAACAATAAAATGTTACCAAAAACTATGATACATCTATTCATTGCTACATGTTTACGTTGACTCTAGACCTTAGGACTTTGTTCTGTCGAGCACACTCAGCTTCTCGAACGACGAGATCGTCGCCTCTTCCAGCGAAGCCATCTTCTCAAGATGTATCCAAAGCGTCCCCAGTCCCTAGTCGGCTGTGAAGAACGCGTGCTTCTCTTCTGCTCCGTGACCGTTACCGTGACCTCCTGCACGATCATCTTTTCCTGGTTGTCTCGGAGAGTGTTCCTGTCGTCTCTGTTATTGCTGTTGTTGCTGTTGTCGCTGTTGTTGCTGTTGTCGCTGTTGTTGCTATTGTCGACGCTGTTGATGCTGCTGCTCTAGTTGCAGAGAGAATGGTCACATCGACAAAATCCAAGATGACTGGCTAAGGGAACATCCACGCCGCCGAATCACCATCACTCTCCCTTTCAACACTCTCCTCCATTGCACTATGGCCATCCGTACTAATTGAAAGAATGAAATCAAAAGAACTCATCTTCTGCTAGACTTCCTCCTCCTCCTCTTCGACCGGCATGCCCATCCCACCAAAGCACCCTCAAAGCCGTTAATTTCGTCCGCATCTATCGACGGCGCTGAGAAAACCAGGTCAGACATCGTCTCCATCGCTGAATTTGAGTTACTGATGCTGCTGCCCTCCCCCTCTCCGGACCCAGCGGCGTTGGCGAAAGAAATTCGGTCCAATAAAAAGTCCTCATCAGCGGGCGCTGGCGTAATATCTCCCGAGTGCTTGAAGAAACCGACGGCAGATCGCCGACTTGTCTAGTCAGGTTGAACTTTCTTTGAGGTGTCTTCGTTCACAATGCGTCAAATGACGTACCTGTTATTAGCAAGATACAACGTTACAAGTTGTTGATGAAAGAAGGGAACAGAATGAAAGAGAAACGAAATGAGAAACAAAAGGAAGCAAAAGGCAGCGGAGTAATAAGGAATCTAGCATACATGACACCAACCCCTCTAACAAAAAAATGAATGAACAAACATCGGCAAGTCAAACTACGTCTTTATAAACAGTAAGTTTTCGGCTTATTCAAATGAGAAAAATGCGATGCCATGTTCTATTGTTTGTTGTAGTTTTGTTGCATGTTCGTTACTAATAAAATAAAAAATTCGTTACTCATTGCCACGTCCGTTCCACCTCCACCTCTACGCCTCTCAACCAAGAATCTAACCCTCGCGCTCTGCGTTCATGAGCCGCTTCCTCCGATCATACTCCTGGAACGACGACACATCCCGTCCAAACACCCAAGTCATGAACCAATACATCGGGATAATCATCTTGTTCCTCATCGACACACTCATTGTCAAATACGAACTCCTCCAGAACACCCATGCCAATGTACCGGACTCCTTGGCGTTCTCGTTGATCTTTGTCATGTCCACCACGGCCTCCCAGTTGCCAATATAGGCCATCGATCCCAAATTCTTGAACGAGAAGGGAGCGGTGACATCGGCGAACGATTTCTCGGGTTGTTTGGCCAGTTTGTTGAGGGCCTTGCGGAGGTAGATTGCTTGTTGGTTTGCAACCTGCGCTGTTTGTGGCAACTCGTGGTCTATTTTGTCATAGTAGAGTAAAAGAGAAAAGGTTAGCGATTGTTTAGGATAGTGTTGAAGCACATCCAGAAGAAGAGAAAGAAAAGACGACATACCTTTTATGGTAGCGCAGTCGCCGAGGGCATAGACGTTAGGAATGACCTTGCCCTCGTTATCAAGAACGCGGAGGTAAGGATCTGTCATGATCCTCTTAGACTTTGACTTCAAGACCCTGTTCTCCAACGAAGCCGTCATAGGATTCTCAGTCAGACCAGTCGACCAGACCAAACATCCAAAGGGGATCTGCTTGCCATCCTTCAACACCAACTTACCATCCTCGACCCGCTCCACCACGGTTCCCGTCCGGACCTCAATCCCCGACCGCTTGAACTTTGTCATACAGTACTCGGACAGCGACTTGTCAAAGCTGGCCAGGATCGTAGGCGCGACGTCGTAGACAGCCAGCGTGACATGGTTCATTAATCCAGGAAAGAGTCTTGAACAATCCTCACGGATGAAATCATGCAACTCGGACGAGAATTCAACTCCTGTGGGTCCACCACCGACGACAGCGAAATGCAAGAGCCCGTTCCTTTCCTCGTCTGAGCGCGACATCTCAGCACGCTCAAAGCACTCCAAAACTCTGGAACGGATTTTGCGAGCATCCGAGACTTCTTTCAAGAAGAAGGCATGTTCCTTGACACCGGGGATATTGAACGTGTTGGAGTACGAGCCGACAGCAATGATGAGGTGATCATAGTGGAGAGAGAGTTGGTTCTTTTGGTTGCTGGTGATTTGTTGTAGAGTATGGGTGACAGGGTCGGTGACGTGGGTTGCGGGGACGGTGGAGAGGTTGAGGGTGCAGTCGACTTTGGACTTTTCGAAATTGACGGTGTCGCACCAGGCCTGGTGGTACTCCACGTTTCTTGTGTATCCTCTGACGGGCTCTGTGATGCATCTGAACTCCAGAGTACCGACAGATGTGCTTGCCAGGAGTGGCGTGAACAAGAAATGGTTACTATTGGAGGGAGAGTGCAAGGAACGAGAAAGGGGGTCAGGGAACTGGTGTTTGTGTTGGTTTAGATAGTATTTGAGCCCCGACTATGTTCGACGTCAAGAAGTGAAATGGTAGTCAAGCTGCGCAAGTATCAAACTAGGACTTTCCGAGCAGGTCGGGGGTAATAAATAGATAGATAGACAATACGAAGCCCTCTTTGTTCCGTAGAAAACACATAAACAGGTTGACAAGAATGGTGCAATGGTGCAATACTGTAAAACAAACGTCATGCACCACGTTGTTTCTCTTTTCTCTCTCTTTGACCCCGCAATAAATGAGGTTACTAATACAAAGCGTAGTACAAGCACGTTGTTAAAAGAGGACTTACCGAGGGGAGACGGCTACGACCTGATAGGCATTCTTGTCCATGTCCCTCAGCAACTTAAACCCGCCCCATCCCGATCCCAGGATCATCACTCGGCCTATTATCATCATTCATCATCCAAGCGTCATAATATTGTAATATTAGTATTTGCATTGGATACTAACACACTGCACAAATGTACTTATCACTCCCTCGCTTCCCACAATGCCCCTTATTTTCTTCCTCATGTTGTTGTTGGTTACCTTGAGTTTTCCCAACTGAGCGGATACCACGCTGTTGCTGCTGCTGATAGGGGTTCAAGAAATGAGACGTAGAGGAAGTTGACCAGGATCCTCCTGTGAGCGACAAGGGTGTTGTTGTCATCATTGGTCTCTTTGCTGCTGTTGTAGAGAGGTACTTCCTGGCGACTGATCGACCTGCTAATGACGAGGAAGAAGTGCAGAGTCCTCGAAGCGAGGAAGGGTCTATGGGTGCATCGGATGAAAGGTAGAGGGAGAGGAAGACAAGGGAGAAGTGTGAGTTAGTTGTTGTTCTTTGTGGAGAACGAAGATCGTAAAAAGTAAAAGAGTAAGGAGAGACAGTGTTGGGGTTATGTGTACTTACGGCAGAGTGCCGACATGACTTTTTTGTTGTGTGTGAGAGTGTGAACAAAAGAAAGAGAGGAAGGGAGAGGATAAGTTGTCCGTAAGATAATAATAGCAAAGGATGCGATGTGGATGTGAATTGATGATGCGGAAAAGAAAGGAACGAAGAGAAAAGTAAGGACAGATCAGACTCCCTTTTATATGCCCTTTAATGTCCCCAATTTGTGTCCGTGCACGGCATTGATCCCTTTGTCAATGGCTTTGTCTATCAGTCGATCCCTCATTTGTGTCTTGTCTTGCACTCATATCTGCAGTCCCTATCGTGTGAGTGCAACCCCAGTCCACCGAGTTGACATTTTTTTTATATCAAACACTCTTTCTTTTCTCACTTTCCGAATCGGATGGACAATCATCAAATAAAAAGACGCAAGGTTACGTGAATCGACCTCAACAAAGGCTACACAAACACACAAACAGGCCATTCCTTTCCTTCTCTTTGATCTTCTGTGTGCTGCGCGTGCGCAAGTGTGTATGAGAACAAAAGGACGAGTGAAAGAATGAATGAGCCAGTAGCAAAAAAAGATCGGAAATTATTTTTGAATTTCCGCGCTTCCTCTTCCCTCCGCACTCCTGTCCTTTTCTTCACAGACGCACCCCCTTTCGGAAGACATGTCCATGCAAGCGGCTACAGGCAACGTCACCTTGTTCGGAAACCGTTCCTATCGGCCCTTTTGCTTTCCGCTATACGTCTTTGCTGTTTTGTCATCGACTCAAAAACCAACAGTTGCTTTTTTTTTTTTTTTCTTTTTCCAAGTACCCTTGCATGCCCACATCAGCTCACCCTCTCACGATTCCCTCCTCTCCGCCCTCTTTGTTTACTCTCTCCCATCTCTCCCATTCTCCAAGACGCGCCTCTGTTTACGAGCATTAACCAACATTTTTGCTTAATCGTTTTAGAGTTGAGTCTTTCCAGCCCATCCATGTAACCAAAACCCTCACTCCCCTATCTCTTGACCCCTCCCTCCCATGGCGAATTCAGCCCACCTGACCCTTTTCTTTGTTAACTGTGCCCAACAAATCTACCCTTGTTCAATTGTGTACGCGGGCAGGAAATAAAAACTATTACGACAGAGCCGATCTCCCCTTTGTCTTCGCGTATCATATCTTTGACGAGAGACCAAGGATCTAATCAGGCCATTGGCAATTTGTTCGGTAGGAGAGTTGGATACTCACTCTGGGGCATCCCAACAAGTGTCTAATTGTGGGGGGAGGACCGTATGCTATTATCGTATGGCTTGCTGCGGCATAACATACATCTCACAAACAGCTCGCCTCGCCCTCCCACCGTAATCCAAAAGCTCACCGTGTTTGCTTCGTATGTGTGTTGTTGTTTTTTTTCCTCGATCTCCACGCTATTTTCTCACACCCCAGGATCTCGAATCAGCTGACCATGCCCCATCAAAGAGACTTCTCTCAGTACATGTGGAAGGAGGGATCAAAACGATAGCAAGATTGCAAGAACTAGCTGGATTGCGTGTCGTAGGGAATTCCAGGCAAGGAATGAACGCTGGCCTAAGCATGATGAAAACCTTGTATTTGAAAATGAGTAACTAATAAAAGACATGACTCTCAGAGTCGACTAATATGGCGCTTCATCTCTGGGCGCCTTGGGGAAGATGAAGACACAGAATCGCGCTTCTCTCGATCATTCTCCATCTCGCTATCGCCACTCTGGTTACTATCCCCGCTTTGGTTATCCCAACTATCCGACGCGGTTGTCATCGTAAACGATGACGACGAAGTAGACGCACCAGACATAGTCGCCTGTGCAGTCGGTTGTGGATGATGCTGTGGCTGATGGTGATGGTGTTGGTGTTGCTGGGCTCGGTTGTGCGAATGTTGCTGGGCTCGGTTGTGCGAATGTTGCTGGACACGAGCAAGTCGCTCCTGCAACCATGCAGAGTGCGCCACCTGTCCTGCCATTCCTCCACTTGTACTTCCTCCAGCTCCAGTACGCCCGCCACCGCGTCCACTACCGGCAGCTCCGCTCCTCCTAGGCGTAGAAGACCCCGACCGAGAAGACACACCCTTGGCCATAGCGGCCATAACAACAGTATCAGACAGTTCACGCGCAGCGACCGCAGGACTCTCTCTGAACAGTCCATAATACTGGGCCGCAAACTCCACCACTGCTCGTCCAAGCTTCATCCCTACTTCTCTGGCCTGCTCCTTCTCGACCAGTCTCAGGATCTTGGGCAACTCCAATTGAATCGCGTCCATAGTACCGCCATTGGCAAGTTCTGAAATCGTACGGTCGCGGCTCCCGTGGCGCTGGATAGTGTACCCTCCAAAGAAGTAAACACACTCCTGGCAGGGTGCCTGGAAGTCCGGGCTTGGAACTGCGTTCAACTCCTGAGCCTGAAACATCCCTCCCAGTGACTCTGTCTTCCCACCACGGATCAACTTTGAGAATGGTAGAGCTTCTTGTGGAAATGTCGCAGAGTCAGCGATTCCTGAAGTCGAGGGCGAGGAGGATGAGGTGACCTTGTTGATGAGTGATTGGATACTGGACTCCTTTGTCAGACGGGCACCATAAGTATTGAGGAGGTCGTCGTCCATGTTCAGGACGGTTCCGTTCAGCAAGTATCCGATTTCGATGAGGTTGGTGGCGTGCGCATGACCTTTTTCACAATGACGGAGAAATAAGAAAGGTGGGGTGACAATTATGCGGTTATGCGACGAGTGAGTGGTCAGGGCGCCTTTTTTTCTGTGCAACAAGGCATAAAGGGGCATAAAAAGAGTCTCGACTCAAGTATTTTGTTCACACGTTACCATGAATGTCGAGCAAAAGTCCTCGTCCAGGTGTAGGCGCTTGTGGAGGCATCCAATGTTTTTGCAGTCGAGAGTTTCTTTGCTCGCGCTCCTGCTCCTGGTGCAAACTGACAGAGACGTTTGTCTTTTGGAGCGCCATCTTTTGGACGTGGTCGATCAACTCGTGATACTCGTGCCAGGCTGCCTCTGCATGGGGGTCTCCTTCGGCAATGGCGTTCTCGCCTCCGGTAATGTTCCTGTTCACATCGACAAACCGACGTGGGATACGAAACACGACCACATGAGGGTAGTTCTGGCCCTGTTGGCCAAAATGGCGCCTAGTCGAATCTTGCTGTTGTTGGTGTAATGCTGACGAAGCTGTGGGAGTAGGTGTACGTGTCGGGGTGGACGAAGGTGTGAGAGAGGTCCAAGTGGGGTAAGGATAGTCCGAGTCGTCATCGCCCCACGGACCTTGCTGCTCACAACGGGCAGGGATATCGTTGGTCCCGTGGTCAGCTGTCATTGTCGCTGTTGCCGAAGAAGAAGCCGCTTTGCTAGAAGGTCCGCCTCCGACAAAAGTGCCATCAGTTGTGGGGACAATGGCGCCACCGGGTCCAGAATTCACGCCGCCGCCGCTGATGGTGCTCCCGCTGGTCAGACAGGAGATGGCGTTGGCCAGGTTCAGAGCAATTGAATGGGTGTTGAGGTCCTTTTTAAAATTCCCGCCCTTGGTCTGGTCCCTCGGAGCCATCCATGGCATTGTTTCCTCGTTACTGTTCAGATTTGAAGCGATCGCAGCACCCGTTGCGGGATCGGACTGTGAAGTAGAAGGGTAGAGAGGTTCAGCAAAGGACGAGATCTCGATCGGGTCGGTGGTCGTGGCCAGGTCGGGGATTCGCCTGAAACGATGGGTCTTCTTGCGGGTGAGGACTTCGCCTGGCAGAGCGGACCCTCCGTGTCCTGCAGTGATCACCAGGGGAAGGTTGCCTGGGTAGTAGAGGACATATTGAAATACGATTGGTTCCGGGAACGACGGCTGCTGTTGTTGATGTTGTTGGAAGGTATGGTGAGAAGAAGAAGAGGAAGAAGAGGCGGGAGATTGTGCCTGTTGAGGAGAAGGAGAAAGGGGTCGGGAAGAAAGGGACGAAACAGGAGACATTGTCGGCGAAGGAGGAGCTACAAAGTCGTCGTTGGTATCGTCTGAGGTACTTTGATGTGGCAGTTGTAGTGTGAGTTGGGTATGAGGACGATTGGTTGAGAATCGTGATGGGTCAGATGACAATGGCCCTTGGGGATTAGGTCGTCCTGTTGAAGGAAGACTTTCAGGCGGATTGTCAGAGCGGGAAGGGCACAAAAGGGTGTCTTTGTGTGCTGCTAGTGAATGAGAGAGAGAAGTTGGAAGTGGAGAGGAAGGAGAAGAAGGAAGGGAATCGGCTGATTCAAAAGTGGAAGAAGAAGTAGAAGAAGAGGGCTCCTTGTCGTCATCGGGCGCGCATCCGATGAGCCCCGTTGAGGAAGACGAGGAATCGACTGTTGCTGGAGAGGCTCTGTTACACTTCACAATCGTAATGGAAGTACAGACTGCCGTTGCTGCAAGTGTCAGGGTGAAGACGATTGTTGTCCATGGTATGAATCGTCGCTGTCGCTGTTGTCGAGTGGAGGTAGCGGTAGTTACAGTGGAAGAGGGCAATGGTTGCTGCTGGCGAGTGTTGTTGTTTGTCATGAGATCACTTTTCTTTCTCCTCACTCCTTGTTTTTTTCTATTTGCCGATCGCGTTGTCGTCGTTTCAAGGAGGGTGGGTCAACAAAAAAAGGGGTGCGTGTGTGCATGGACGGGGTATAAGTATGCAAGTGTGAGTATGCCCAGGACAGGTCTAGGAAGGACAGGGCGTAGGTAGGGTCTAGGGTGAATAAGAAGGAGTAGGGGTGGAGCCGAATTGGCGAAGAAGGATAAGGAGGTGAGTGCGGGGAAGTGTGAAGACAAGAGCAGGACAAAGAACAAGAACGAACAGAGAAAACGTTGATGGTGGCAACTCCATGGGCTCCCTACCTAGAGGCCAATTGACCTGCGACTTCGCAGCTTAACAACACACATGTACATGTACATGTTGCACACCCACCATACATCGCACAGGGCCACAGGGCTAGACACCTGTGTGATACATTCCTTCCGCAAAGAACAAAGAAAAACAACACAACGAAACACAAACCTCCTCGCTCCCCAACCGTCGCCATGCATATAGTCCTTGCATTGTGTTACTTCTTTGTTATATTTATTCGTCATTGACTTCATGGAAGATTCTTCATTGAATACATCGAAGATTCTTCATTGACTAAAATATAGGATTGCTATTCATAAAGAGGAAGAGGCCTAGGTGGAAACGACTGAAACCAGCGTGCACCTTCTTAGTGCTTGGGCTTGGACTAAGGCCTGCCATGTGGGGGCCTGCGGTGGGGGGGTCTGCGGTGGGGAGGTCTGCGGTGGGGAGGTCTGCGGTGGGGAGGTCTGCGGTGGGGAGGTCTGCGGTGGGGGGGTCTGCGGTAGGGGGGTCTGCCGTAGGGTGGATTGCCGTGGGGGGGCCCGGTTTGTTCAGGAGCAGCAGCCAAGTACTTCTCCTCGGCATCGTCCTCAAGAGCGCGAGGCTTCAAGGGATCAGACCCCTTTCCGTATGGGCCGTGTGGGGGCCAGTGTGGGGGCCAGTGTGGGGGCCTGGGGTGGGGGTAGCGTGGGGGGTAGCGTGGGGGCCAGTGTGGGGGCCTGGGGTGGGGGTAGTATGGGGGCCAGTGTGGGGGCCTGGGGTAGGGGTAATGTGGGGGCCGCCTGGGGTAGGGGTAATCGGCGGGATCGGCGGAATCGGCGGAATCAGCGGAATCGGCGGAATCAGCGGAATCGGCGGAGTCGGCGGGATCGGCGGAACCGGCGAGGGCGTCGACAGGTTCGACGGCGAGGGCGTCGACAGGTTCGACGGCGCGAGCCTCAAGCGAGGAGGCGGATGGCTCGACGACGGGGACGGAGAAGGTGGATTGGAGGAGGGTCAAGCTGACCAGAAGAGACAGGACAATGGACGAGGATGAGAACTTCATGTTTGTTGTGTTGAAAAGAGTTGAGATAGTGGCAAGGGAGTAGAGAGAGAAGAATTGACTGAGGAACAAGAAAAAACACGAGCGAGGGTGCCTCCTTTTATACCTCGATTGGCCGAAAATTAGTTCGACTATGGATAAAGAAGAAGGAGTCCAGGCTGGTCGTGGCGGTGGGAAGGGTTAGTAAAAAGTGGCAGGACCTATATCTACGCACTCGGGATAGGATGGATAGTTTTGCAGGCTGTCTCAAACAGTGAATAGCAGTCGATGGTGTGTCCGCAAGAGGCCAACAGTAAGAACATGCCAATTCCAATTCATGCCTACGCCTTGTTCCATTGAAGATGAATAGGCAGTTGTGGTCAACTGGACATGAACAATTCACATCGGGCTCATATGCGAAACGTTGTTTGCTGGTTTTTTTTCTTTTTTTGTATTTTACACAAAGAACGCGACTGAACAGCATGCACGACAGCTGAGCAATGGATTCCTCATTTACGCCAACCTGTCGTCTTTTTTCTCTCAGTGAATGCAATCTCTTGACTCTATCTACTCAACACTCTTTGTTTCTGCGACCACTTTCCTATCGTCGCTCCTTGACGGCCTTCTTAGAACAAAAGAAAAGAGTAAGACAGACAAGGGTCAACTTGTTGGTTATTCATAACAACGAAAGTCAATTGGTTGACTAGACACGGCTATGCATGTCTCTTGTTTGCCCTCTCATCAAAGGCTATGCAAAATGCGTACAGAGACGTACCTATGGCATTTAAAAATATACAGTGGGTTCACATGTGAAGTCAATGGTATAGATGCAAGCAGACAGCCATACCATTGAATACGAGTGAGTTTACTGCATCTGCGGGCATCCGCTGGGGCTCCTTCCACTTCATTTGTAACGGGGTATAGATGCAATAAAATAAAATAAAAATAAAATGAAAAGGTTCAAAGTATGATCCGTGCGAAAAATAAACGGCACTCGTTTATGCAATGACAAAAGGGGCATGCAGTAAATGAACGCGTACGAGGAAAACAAAGAGAAAAAAATAGACGAAGTACAGCCCATTCAGGGTCGAAAAGTCACTAATTAATGCAGGGACCTGACAGCGTTTCTACTTTTTTTTTGAAAGTTAAAAATAAACTGTCGATGGTTGTCAACGATACAGTGCGCAAAACCCTACGCTCTTTCATTTCTTTACCAAGAGATAAGAGAGGGGAGGAGAGGGAGGGGGAGAAAATGTCATTGGCCTGGCATTTTGAGAACAGGAAAGCGCGCGTACATGGCAACAGTCAGTAGAAACAACACCAACAATAGCACACGCCAACAATAGCACACACCAACAATAGCATACAACAAACAACACACAACGCACCAACTCACAACGCACCAACTCACAACGCACCAACACACAAGTACAGCCACTTATCATGGACCCAGAGCCACAGGAGTCCATCGAGAGCTGCAGGAATAAGTCTAGGCCTGAACTGAGACATATCTACTCCGATGGTTCGATGGTGTATAAGGGGGAGAAGACGTGCGCCATAGCCTTTGCGGTCGTTGAGGAGGAGTAGACGGGGGATTCGGAAAGCGGAACTAATGGGATTGATCGCAGGTTTCATCGCAACACAACAGGACCTAGACCTCTATATCCGACTCGACAACCAAACGGTGGTGAAACAGTTCAGAGAGGTCATTGTCAATCGAAAACGAGTGTCGGTAAGAGAAAACCCGAGGTGCGATTACGCGCGGTGACCGCGCAGTCGAGTGAGTCAAGGGCCACAGTGGAAACGAATGGAACAGAAAGGCGGATATAGCAGCAATGAAGACGCAAGCATAAGGCGGAGCGGCATAGAAGGTGGACAGAACCGCCCAAGACGACATCAAACACTCTGCGACGATGGCAGGCGTGATCCTCGATTAGGACACGAGATAGGTGCTCAAGATACAGACCACCAGACGCTGGCACCAAGAGTGAGGGCACTCAGTAGGACCAAGAGATCGATTCAAGACTATGTGGGCACAGACTGGCTTGGCACCCTTTCAAACATACACAGCAACAAACTAGTCAACAACTTTTTCAATTCACAGCAGGACTCACGCCTACGCAGTCATAGGACAAAGAAGGTCCACGGAATGTTGCCTACCATGGACGTCTTACGCGCCAGGCGTCCAGATCTGTACAAGGACGACTTATGCCGAGTGTTTAGTCTAGAGACGGAGGATAACGAGCACATCTGGACGTGTTCCAAGAGCAGGAAGATGCAGGAGGAGCTGTGGGAGGATGCCATCGACCAAGTCGATGGATGGGAAGAGATCGCCACAGGACTGTTCAACAAACAGCGACAGAAGCAGCTCAAGCCAGGAAAAAGTCACCCCCCGAGACTATATGGAAGATACCAAGAACCAGCAAGCTCCGCAAGGCGCTGTGGCAGGCGATCAAGCGGCCAGGCGAGGAATAGGTGGAGGAACCGGAACGACACACCCCGAGCGCGTGGACAGTCAGCCACATCTACCGAGGTCTAGTGCCGAAAGCCCTAGCTACGCAGTGGAGCAAGGTGTTCAAGGACGCAGCAGAGAGCATTACCCTGAACGTGGGCCGTCTCTTTTGTCGATATGTCGAGAAGGAAGCCAGGGGGCAGTTATGGAAGCCATGCGGCGAGAGGACCATCAGGTGGGAGGAGGAGAACAGCACCACCAACAGCATGGGGGGAAACTCCGAGAGGACGAGTGCTTTGCGGACGAGCCGTAGCAGAACATAGAGAACAGCGGTGCCCAGGCGAGCAGAGCGATACTCGGATGGCTGGCCGAGCAGTCATCGACACCCTGCTGGGTTTGAGGCGCATGGATATTATGGAAAGGAGAGGCAGCATGGTCATCAAGGAGTTGGAGGAAGAGCACACCTAGATCTCTTGAACGCGTCCCACAAAGCAACAAGGGTCGTCTGGACTTACTTACTGACGAGAAACACTTGGACTCCACTTTTAATTGGATAAAATTGATGTGTCGTCACGGACGGGCATCTTTACCTTAAAATAACACCAGTCAGGAGAGATGGAAGGCCACATTCAAGAAGACAAGCAAAGCGGTGTTATCAGTCTGGCCACCATCGGTCTCATGCGCTGGTCATTTGCGTTGTCTAAGAAAGAGGAGGAGGGCTAGTTGACAGCACCGCGCTGCAAAAGCAGCTGCCGTTGATAAGGACTGAGGTCGATACAACCGGTCAGCTTGATTCCCGTGGCTACAAGGACAGGAAGGGCATGGTTCCAAACCAGTTGCACTGACGAATCTTGCAACCCCTTTTGCAGACGTCGTGCTGATACTGAACCACCATCTCAACCAACAAAAAATTCCAACGTTTGGGGCCTCCAGGTAACACTCTGAACGCTTTCAATAAAGTCCCGAACCACTACAGCACCTCTCAATATCTTGACCTTCGATGCAGCCCTCCACAGATGCACCGATCTGCCAAGGCCCGTTGAGATCCATTGGCCGCAATGAGAAATCGCAAAGCAGTCGATATTACTATCTTGGACCAAACTGCATTGTAGCTGCTCGTCCCAAATGTGCATCGTTTGCCAATAAATATTTTTGATGCTTCTGTCCAGAATCCAAACGGGAGGGGGCCTTTGGCATGACACGAAATGCAGGGCATTGGAAGGCTGAGCGATCGACACACACCATCGGCCTCGATCGTTCATAAGCATCCTATACGATCCGCTGTCCACTCTTCAGTTCCGAGCGGTCCCATATTCGCCGCCCGTAGACATTTTGACAAAGATACTAAGCAGGAGACGCGGCCCGTGTGCCCAGTAAGAACCCGATCCAAATTGCCTGAATGAGCATCCCATAATGCAATTTTTTGTCACCATTGCCCGCGGCAATCCAACCGCCACAAGGTGAGAACACTACAGCATTCACAGGCGCCGCATGGTCTTGGATAGCAAACTCGATCATCTCCGCCTCAACCTCCCAGACTTTCACGTCATTACATTCTCCTGCTGCAGCGACTCGGAGACCGTCTGGTGAATGCGCGACACATTTGCCTTCTCGAGCTCCGCCTGTAACAACATGATCGAGGATACCCGTGCTTGCCCCGTATTGTCGAATAGAGCCATCGTCGCTCTTTGTGAAGATAAATTGACCATCTGGAGAGTAGATGACGCTTTTGACAGTACTGGAAAATTCAGAAGTATCAAGTCCTTCGCCAGTGGATTCCATCTGTCAAAGTCGCACAGTAAGGTCGAGGGTATTATCTAAGCCCCAGTTTGAAGGAACACCTAGCAAAACACGGATTTGTCGACATCTCTGTTATTTCCGAGATCAGGCCAGATGGGAGCCCGTCAGCAATGAGTGTATCGTCGGAAGTCATATACTCTCATCGTCATCCATCGGAAGAAAATTCACGATTTTGAGATGTTTCGAGAAGTAGCCAACCAAAATGGGCAAGAGAAGGTCCATCCCTATGCAGGCACCATCACTAATTACTTTCTCTACCAATCGACCCTCCCTTACCTCCAGTCGACCCTCCTTTAGACCACGATACCATTCGCTCCAGAAATGCTGCTCTAGCGGACATCAATAGGATCCTGATCGAAATGGACAAAACCTCTGGCCTTGACAAATCCCTAGAATTGCACCGGCTATTTGCAGACGGCAATTAGGCAGCAGTCTTTTTTAATTGACGGACTATCACATGTGGCTTGCCAGGATCATTAAAAGGATCCTGTCTTCGCCATATTGTTTTCTTTTCCGTTTCTACTTTCCCGATATCTTTCAGAACACTTTGACAACCTCAACGACATTCACTTCCTCCCCCACCACCCCCCAAAATAACAACAACCACGCCCTCTTTAATCTAGGTCAACGAGCCGCCTTTGATAGAATCGTGGATGCTATCGAAGGCCGCCCTACCTCTAAAAATATCTTCTTCATCGACGGCCTAGCTGGAACCGAGAGTCGTTTCTCTACAACGTCTTAATCGCTCACGTTCTTGGTCACTGCAGAACAATCATCACCATCGCCTCCTCAGGAATAGCCGCATGAAAGCTGCACCGCTCACTCCATTTTCGATCCCCCTCAAAGTCTCCGAAACAACTACTGGAACGAGGCTCCAATGTCTCATCGCTATACCTTTGAGACCGTTGACAGACGTTTTGAAATTTATCTCATGGCAGTTGACATAACTTTCGGAGGCAAGGTAGTCATCTTTGGAGGAGACTTTCGCCAAGTCACCCTAGTCGTCCAGCGTGCCTCCCAGAGGTAAATCGAGGATGCAAGCCTTAGATTCTCGAAGCTTTGGTGCCACGTCGAATCCCTACGGCTCGCAGAGAATATGAGAGTCGCTCAAGACCCGCAAAATGAGGAGTTCATCCAGTTTCTTCTTTCGCGTCGGTGAGGGACGAGCCTACTGTCACTTCCGGGCAACATAACGATTACATCGAAATCCCATGTGGAATGTGTCGGATCTCCTCCGCGGCATCACCCCCTTGAGCATGTTGACTGAATGGTCCGCGGTCTTCCGGACCCCAATGTCCATCGCCAAGACAGTCCTTCACAAGTTTGTTGGCTACCTGGAGGCGCAGGCCTCGGAGCTGATCTGGAAACCTCGGTGCTCCGCGACGATCGCGTGGGAGCAGACCCAGGGCATCTCTGCCAAGGACAAGACATCCAAGTACACAGGCCCCCGAGGTGACTGGAGTCAAGGATACGGTTACATCACGCATGATGGTTTCTGTCCGTGTGGCGCTTCGCTAGCCACACATTGTGAAGGAAGGTGCCCTGGGGCGACCAAGGACCCACGCGCTGCTGACGAGCGTTTGTTGGAGAGTTTGTTAGGAAGGAGGAGGTTGTCAATGATGGAGAGGATGGGAAGAATCCCCTTCATTCGTATCTAGTTTTATTTTCTTCCGTTTAAGCTGTGAAGAGCAGCGACAATTGTTGCGCAGAGCCAGGTTCTGGACCGGACTGCGACTGGTGGATGGTGCACTGAAGAGTTTGGTCTGTAGTTCCCTTTTACTTCCAAATAACTTCTCTATGCTGTTTGTCAGAGAAATAAAATTGTGTACGAAAAAAAAAAAAAAAACATCGAAATCCCCACCTAGTTCCTCCTCCAGCCCATCCCGCCCAACACCAACAACGGCCCCAAAAAGCAGCTCATCCGCACAACCCACCCTGGTCTTGACACCGCAGCGCCTACACCCCAAGTTATGGCTGACCGTGTCCTCCTAACTTGCCTCAACACCCAAGTCGACCGAATGAACGCTTTAGCAACATAAACGATGTCAGGCGCGTCTGTCATCTACAACCTCGTGAACTGTATCTCAGACGAGGACTCTGCCGAAGCTTGCCATTATAACCTAGAGTTTCTCAACACTCGTTCGCCCAATGGTTTGCCTCCCTACATGCTTGAACTCAAGGTCGGACAACCCATCATCCTTCTTCGAAACATTCATCCTGCACAAGGTCTGTGCTACGGCACCCGCCTTATCATTCGACACTTAGGACGCACACTGATTGGCCCCGAGATCATGATTTGGCGTTAAACATGGACACATCATCCTCATCCCTCGCGTTCCTCTAGCCAACGCCGACGATGACCTCGCCTTTCCAATCAAGTTCTACAGGACGCAGTTCCCCATCAGGCCCCGCCTTTGCGATGACCATCCAAAAGGCTCAGTGACAGACCCTTCAGCAAGTTGGACTCTACCTCCCTCCCCCCCCCAAACCCATCTTTGGCCGCGGTCAATTGTATGTCGCTCTCTCGCGCTGCATAACTCCACGAAACCTGAAAATTCTCATTGAGAATGGTGAAATAAGAGGCAGACATTTTGACAAAAAAAAACCAAAAAAAAACATATACTAAAAAAAAGTTGATTCTGTAAATCACGTGATGATGCGACCCGAATGTGGTGGCTTCGTCGACCACCCCCTTAAGTCGAGTCTCCTAACCCAAAAGAGAGCCTGTCTGGCAGAAAGCAGACACCACAACAGACAAAGACAGACAATGGTAGGATGGTAGGATAGGACGAGCGTGATGGATATCAAATATAAACCTTTTCTTCCCTCTTTCGTGCAGCATAGCTGGTTCACCAGTGTTTTCTTTTGTCGCCAGCAATAACAACAACAACAACAGCGACAACAGCAGTAACACAACAATCAGCAGAGACAAAACTTTCAACAGCGATACACCAAATCTACTCCCTTTTCATTTCACCACCACTCTAATCAACCATAACAGCGACTACAACACAATAAGAGACACCCACAACGACTAACAACGCGACAACATGACAAACCCAGTCATCGACGAAGTAACCCAAGCTCTTGGAGACGACACTAGGGCCCTTAGAAGGGAGGAAGACCCAGTTAGCGCCTTCCCATCTCCCGGCAACTCTCCCTCCGCTCTCCCTTCGAACCCGGGGTTTCTATCTCGTGCCAGTACTGAGAGGGTGTGTACACATATCGAATACAAGAATACAAGGGGCAATTGTGCATGAGCTTGGTCCGTTGCACATATTTATTTCGGAGGTGTCCAACCGGGTTTGCAGTGCGTAAAGGAATATCCAGTACGACCGTCCCTCAGCTAATGAGATTGCCATCCTAATTCCAGGAGATGACACAGCAGGGACATTATTATCCAAGGCAGGGATGGGTACTTGAGGAGTATCAATGAAATTCATCCTGTGTATGATCCATTACAATACATACTTTTGCATCCCCGAGGAGATGATTGCTGGAAATACAATACGCATCTCTTGATACCGAAAAACCAAGCTCCGCCAGCATATCCATTACAAGACGAAGCGGTCGATCCAGGAGAAGCGGTCAATCTTGACCAAGTCCATGTCCAAACAGGAGATCCACAGGATAACGACTCGGAGGAGACTTATCTCGAAGCCAAGGAGGATTCCGACCATGAAGCCGAGGAGGTGGAGGCGTGGACAACTCTGTCATGGTGCATGCTTACTACGCTTATCGCCTCCAAGTACGTCCCGTCATTAACACCGATTCGACCAACTCCTTCCTCCCCTCGACCGCGACTTGGGCGTCGAAACCTTCTCCCACAACCGTCGCCAACGAGACCCCCCGGTCATTGCCGATACTCCTTCTCCAATCGCATCACCTGTACGTAAAACCACGCCGTCTTTTTTTTCTGTTGTCGTTGCTAGCCAGGCAATGACAAGACGCATGTAAAAGCGATGAGCAATCCTACTAACGGCCATTATACTTGTTACAATTGCTCTATTTAAGTCGCTATCGCCTGGGGCACGATAATGGAATGAAACGCCTCGGGAGATTCTCTTCACCATAACTGCCAAGGTAAATATTCATATCAAAATGCTGTCGCTTATTATTTAATGTCGTATCTATCATGCATGCAATGTTTGACGAACAAAAGGATTCTAACGACGAACCATTCTTAATCACTTTTTTCATAGGCCGAGGAGCGCGATGATGTCTCCTTCTTGAAAGTTCCCGAAACCATGTTTGCCGATGGATCTACCGTCATCGTTGCCCAGGCTCAAGCGTAGCTGTGTGGAATCGACAAAGGCATCTCTACCTTGGAGACACCACTTTGTAAGTCGCCCGCCCTTGTCATCGCCAAGGTCGCTGCTACTGCTACTACATCTACTTCCACCAGTGTTGGCACGAACTTGCCCATGGCAGGAGAATACCTTTAGGATGAATCGGATGGCCTCATCGAAGCAAAGGTCGCAGAAGGAAGCACTAACCTTCCCTCCGGAGATGGAGCGAGCACTTTGGTAACGAAGTATGGCGTGCCGTACATCACCCCCAACAAAGGAGTCTGCAGGAGCAGGAGCAATTGGAGCGGCCGATCCCAACGGCATCACCGTAAACGCCAACGCCAACGACACAGGACAGAAGTGCGGCAACACTCCGATTCCCCAGCAGCATGCCATCCAGGGGTTCATTGTAACGTAGCGGCAGGTACGAAGCCTCCGTCGCCACCTGAACGAGTAGATGCAGAACCAACAGCAGCGTCTCCATAAATTCGACCGGATCATCCAGCGCTCTGGCAAGGGAATCAACGTGAACGGTATTCATGAGGGGCGCAAGGAAGTTGACAACGAGTTCTGCCAGGAGTCGAAAGTACTACAGAAGCAGATCGACATCCTCAAGAACCAGCTATAGCAGGACCAGAAGACCCTGGGCGCAACCGGAGTTACCCGGAGATGATCAAGGAGCAGAGGACAAGGAGGTCTTCCATGCTGACACATCGGGCGATCGTGGCAGCGGAGCAGCCGCCGGAGACGATGACCAAGCAGGTGTAGGTCGAAGCGTACCAACAATTCGGACAACAGCAGGCAGGGATGCATATCGTCAACAACTCCAACGCAGCCGCTAGAAGCATTGGAGTGACGGGCACCATCGTCTTGGCTCATCAGGAAGACCGATCTCAACAGCAGCAGTACCAACAGGAGCAGGACACGATGCAGACGCAGAATCTTGCGCTCCAGAAACCTTCACAGCAGCAACAGCATCAGCACCAGCATCAACACCAGCGGTTCCCAATGGAGCAAATCAAGGATGCGTTCCATCAGCCCTTGGCCCTCGTGCATTTGAAGACTCAAGATTGGAGCCAGGACCCAGCCTCGCCTACAGCACCTCCCGTCTTGCCCGACCTGACCCTTGGCGCCAGCTCGCCCTCCAGCCGTTGATCTCTGCCACAACAGACTCACCTTTCCCCGCCCCATCAGGCGTGGCCGCCCAGCCTCAAGCAGTGCACCTTTTGCGAAACGTTTTCGACCTCTTGTTTCTTTTGAAGGTCTTCTGTTGTTCCCCAACACTTTCTTTGATTCTCACACCATTTTTCTATCTCTTTCTTATTCTTCTTCATTATCATCAGCCAAACCATTTATTTCAGTTCTCTTTATATGTCTTTACAGCCATCTATACTGGTTAATATAATCTTATTTCCTTTCCTCACATCCACATACTTTCACTTTCCTTCATTCATTAATGTTGCTCTTGCTTCTCTACCTTCAATTCAGTTTAATCAAACAAAAACGTTGGGAGCATCTTTCTCTCTTGAAAATCATATTGCATGAAACTCTCGAGAAGGAAGATTGAGCAAAGCAATAACCTGTCCGCTCAAAGTTTCGTTTGACATTCGATCCTTCGAACTACATACGGTATGCGACAATGGCAACTGAGACAAGCTGGATGGGGAGGGAGGGAGGTGGGGGGGGGAATAAGTAACCGCTCGACCCTCCCTCTCCCTGTAGTTTCTCTTACAAAACATATCATCGCGCTTTCATCCCTTCCTTGTCTGATAATTGTATTTTTCCTTTTTTTTTTTTTTTTTTTGTTTTTTTTTGGTTTGCGCTTGTTCATCCTCATCCATTCACCCCGTCCTCTTCGGTTGTCATATTTCCCCTTTCCTTTTCGAATTGAGTTCTTCGTTGTCACATTTACTGCCGAAGCTTTGATATTATTCATTGGGCCGCCACGTCTGTTCTTCCATGTCCTTTTAATCGTTTCCAAAGTAATTATAAATCTAGAGGGAAGGAAGGGGGAAGGGGGGACTGACTAGTCGGGGTCACTCAATCTCTTGGTTTTGATTACCCACATCCCTATTATTTCATTTCGATATATCTTGCTGGTTTGATGCACTTTTTCTTTTTACGTGGTTGAATTGGGGGAGGGGGGAAAGAGCAGATAGGAAAGAAGAGTTGGTAGGGTTAAAAAAGTCAATGCGAACAAGGACAAGTGATAAAAAAAAAAAAAAAAAAAAAAAAAAAAAGAGGAAAGAAGGTGTTGTGAATGGTGCAGCTTCTCCTTTGTTTATTTGTTTGTGTTATTCTCATTTGTCAAGTCTCTCATGGCTTGGTCCTAGGAGAGAAATGAGCAAGAATGAGAGGAAGAAAAAAACAACCTCAAGCTGATAGACAGAAGAAAAAAAAAAAGTACCGCTGCAAGAGAGAATGGATGAGATATGGATCTCGATTTGTTTCTTTCCTGCTTTAGTGGCGAAAGAGAGAGACGCCTGTTTACCCTACCCTCTCATCCTTTGTTCTAACTCTTTTTCATGCCGGCAAGTATCTCGTGAACAAAAAAGAAAAAAAAACGGCATCATTCTCCTCGTCATCATCATGCAGGGAACAAGAGTTGGAGAGGGAAAGAAGGGGAATGAAAAAAGGCGAGAAAGGGAACAAAGCCCAACGCTTTTCTTGTTTCTCCCATGCACTTGGGAAGGTTGGTATGGGGAAAGGGGGAGGGAATGGAAAGGATGGTATGCACAAGGCAAGGAGGTAAACACAAACAAACAATAGGAGAGGTCCAAAGGGAAACCCGTCAATTCACTAAGAGAGAAATCATATGCACGACTGACCAACAAGCGAATTGGCATAGCCGTCGAGTTTTCTGTACCTCATTCACAACTGCAAACACAAAAAGACAAACAATAGAATCAGCGATGCTAACGGTCGATATGAGCCATATGGAAGAGGAAAACAACGGTGAGCAAACTCGGATGAATATCCATCTCCTCTTCTTCTTCCTCGTCCTCCTCCTCGTCCTCCTCCTCGGGGGACGGCCTATATATGAACATTCATCGTCGATGGAAAAAAGAAACTGAGAAGAGAGAGGAGTTGTTAGTTGAGTTTATGCTTGATGTAAGATCTTTTTTTATGGGTGCAGTTCCATTGTTCCAAAACCGCAGCGCTCACTTGCTTCGATCGTTTGCTGACTGGAGAGAGGTTTTGCGGGCATGATACATTATGGAGCCACGTTGATCCTAGTCTTCACCTCGTCAGCCTTTTCAACCTTCAAATTTGACTCGAAAAGTAAGAAAGACAGGGAGAGTTCCCTTTTCTTTATCCAATCCAGCAGACGTATAGGTGTCATATCCGTCTGTCTGTCCGTCTATCTGTCTGTCTTCTGTCTGTCTGTCTGTCTGTCTGTCTGCCTGTCGGAATCGGGATCGGAACATTCATCATCAATAACACAACAACAAACTATAGAGACTGGGTGGATACACGCACATCCATCCAATCCTTGCTCTCTCTCTCTCTGGTCTCTTTTGCTAATTCGGCGTAGCCCTTTTGTCATTCATTCAATATTATTCTGCCTTGCCTTGCTTTGCATTGTGATTGCACGAACCCTCTTCTCCTCTCCTTCTCCTTACCTTCCCCTACTCGATGTCTCCATCACTTGTCACAATTGGACTTGCCAAGTACCTTTCGCCTTTTTTTGCCACCGTCTAGAACCCCCCTTTCACTCTCTCCCTTCCAACCCTTTCAACCCTTTCGACCCTTGCGCATTGTGTAAGTGCCTCACCAATTGTCTCCCTCTCCTCTCCCTCTCTCTCTCTCTTTTGTGTTCAGGCGTAATCTTTTCTTAGCGTTTTGGTTTCTCCTGTCGGTTCTGGTGTACAGTTGTAGTAATGTTGTAGTAAATGGTAGTAGAAGTGGTGTGTCGGGTCACATTTCTGCCAGATTGATTTCATAGGGCGGCGGCTCTTTTCTCTCCCATTTCTTCTTTGGTCTCTGGCTCTCTTTGACTGAATGAGGCCCTGACCTGACCTTTTGGCTGGGCTTGGGGCTGGGCTTGCTGAGTTTGTAGAGAGACAGACAATTCAAAAACAACGAGGCAGAGGTGAAGTGAAGTGAGCCAAGCAACATAAGAAAAGAGAGTTCAAGAGTACAGAGTTCATAGACTAAGAGAGTAATGCATTATCATTGAAGACAGCCAGAGAGATAGATAGAAGGAGAGTGAGCCCTGTTCGGTGGGTAGGGAGTTTTGTGTTTATTTTCTTTTTGTTCTCTTTGGGCTGGCCCCCCCACCTTTTGTATAAGGTGTACTGTACCCAAGTTCCCTTGTCTAGCCTTTCCTTGCGCCCTCTCTACTCTTGCATTTTCTAGTTTTCATTCCCGCCCATTTTAATTGTCTACATATATTACAGGAGATCGTTTCTTCATGCATTCACAATGGAAAGAATGACAAGCGAGTTGTATGAATGGATGAATGAATGAATGTCAATGCTGATTACAACAACAATAAAGAGTTTAATTTACCCTTCGTCCTTGAGTCGTCCTTCCTTCCTACCCCTTCCTCCCCGCTCGTTTTTTCCTTTTTGTTTCTTCGTCTTCTTCTTCTTCTTCTTCCCCTTCTCCACGCAAGGTTAGCCTTTGATTGCTTTGAGTCCCTTCCCCTTTTTCCCACTTCCCGCCTGAATATGCGAATGTGCCATAGTCTAATTGAATAACAATTCATTTCGCTCGGGATATTTTTTTTTTCTTCTTTTGATCAGTCAGTCTTTGTCTTTGAGTCTCTTTTTCCTTTCTCATTTTATCTTCTCTTCATCTTTCATCTCTTCATCCTTCATCTTTTCTCTTCCATCCTCCTTCTCGTCTTCTCCGCTCCACCTCACTCCTCCCTTCAACCTCCATTCCTACTCCCTCCTCCTCCTTTAAACTGGCGCCTTCCAGACTCCTCGACACAGCCAATATGGATTCGCACCCGTGCTACCCCTCTCCCTACTCTCACCACCCTCACAACTCACAGCAACAGCATCACCATCCAACGCCACCATATTACTCTTCTTCCTTCTCAACCTCATACAACCACCACCCCTCTTTCCTGCCGTCCCTGAGCCACAAGGCCTTTTCTTCTCGACGTGGTCTTGCTCAAGACCATCTCCACTTTCAGCACCACCATCTCAACCATAATAATAACCACCACATTCACCACCACCAACAACAGATGCCCCTGGTTATCAACACGAAATTAGATCCAGCAACGCAACACAGCAACAACTATATGCAATACAACAACAATAGCGTTTCAGCTCCTCTTCCTCCTGCTTCCACCACTTCAAATAACAATCTGAACTCGAACTCAAAGGAACAGCAACAGACAACAGCACAGCTTGCTGACTTTGCAGCCCACATGGTCTGCTACCTCCTCTTTGGCCACAAGGGTTCTCCCTCCTCCTCCTCCGCCAGCAGGAATACCTGTACTCCTCCCGCCTCAATCCCCGCCTCGCCTTCCCATCCCAATGGATATAGCAGACACCATCATCCAACTTCACTGTCGTGTCCATGTGAGATCTGTACTTTGACAGACTCTTCTTCTTATCGCTCTATCCACGCAGCTTCCACTGGGAGCGGATCACCATTGTTATCATCGGGATCAGCACCATCAACCTCTTGGAACACACAGCACAACCATCCTTACGACCATCCTCAACAGAGTAGCTCCAGCACCAGGACTCATCGGAGAATTCTGTCAGAGTCGGATATCGTCCAGCCAAGGCCAATGTTTCGCAAGTTCTGCCTCGATGTCCTCTCTGCCACCTTGCTGTCGCCTTCGGTCATCCTCCTCTCACTCAAGTACATTCAGCAACTGATGGTCAATCTCAAGGAAAACAACAAGACACCCTCCACCGGAGAAGGCTCCGAGTTCCGGCTCTTTACTGGAGCCCTGATCCTCGCCAACAAGTTCCTCGATGACAACACCTTCACCAATAGGACCTGGGCCAACATCACCGGGATCACCGTCAAAGAAGTCAACTACATCGAACTTCAGTTCCTTCAGGGCATCGGATTCAGGCTCTTCACCCGCTCCTACGACTACTCAGAGTGGCTCGCCAGTCTCACCCACTTTACGGGTAATTACATGCCTTCCCAGTACCTTGTCGCCTTTCAACAACAGACAGTCGCTGCGCTCTCCCCCATCTCCCCCTTGGATCCCACTACTTCATCAGAGACAGTCATGCCTACCCCCGAAACTGTCGCTGGAGATTTGACATTGTCTACACCGCCACCTATTATGCAGCTGCAGCAGCAAGATCGCAGATCAGCCTACGGATCGGCATGTGTCGGTCGTTCTACTAGCCAAAGACAAGGTCAAGGGATCGATCAAAGCAGTTATCGCTCGGAGACTCCGATATCACTGTCCGCCGGAGGAGGAGCAGCAGCAGGTCAACCAGCCGGAGCAGGACAAACAGCAGGACCTGTCGGAGCAGCAACCGGATCGATCCTCCCCCAATACACAAACTCGGCAAAACAGGTTCAGCACAGACATTCGTCTGGATACCACCTCCAGAGAGTGGCTCCCGCAGACCTTACGACAGCCATCACCACCACTCATCCTCACTCAACTACCACTTCGGCGACACCCTCTTCTTCATTTTCGTTCTACCAGACCCAACCACATCTCGCCATGGATATCAGGCAACAACAGCAGCCCTCTACATATATGGGGTCGTATCAGGGATCATCCGCCCCATCGTCCTCAACCTGGTCGTCGCCTTCTGCGAGTAGCACTCCCTATTCTTACCAACAACAGCAGCACCAGTCCCGGTATCTGGAGGCGCCTTCTCACCCTGCTCCTCGCAAACGGTCTGCTACGATTGCATTTGACGAGATCATGGATCAATCACCCGGTTACGAATCGTCTGGCTCCGGAGCGGCTTCACAGTTGAACCTCCCCACTTCGACACCAGTCTCGGGACCCTCTCACAAGCGAGTCTCTTCCAGCTCGTCGATGGTCCATATGATGGGAGAGCTCTCTACAGGCGCACCGACTATGTTCCAGGCAGGATACTCTCCCGTCCAGCAGACTTCCCGGGTCTCTAACCGTCACCAACAGCATTTGACCCAGGCTACAGCCACGGTTCCTTCGCAGCGTGTCAGTACCGGGACTATGCCAGCACCTTACCGTGGTCAGCATCATCGCAATGCTTCGGGAAGTCATTGCATTGACATTTCGGGATACTCGTCGATTGCTCGTGAGCCTGCCCATATTGGCGCTGTTCCATCTCAAGCTGGAAAGATGTACCCGTTGGATCAGGAGAAAGACCGCCAGTCGTTCTATCGTTCCTCACCTTCGTACTATCTCCCCAGCCAACAACAGCACCATCGTCATTCGGCAGCTATGGGAGGTCACTACGAATACTCGGCAGCAGCAGCCGCGGCGGCGGCTAGGACCCCACCCTACTTCTCTTCGCCCTCGCGAGAGTATCACTACCAGCACCAACAACAACAGCACCATCGCTCATCAGGCAACTTTTATGTGCCAGAGTACCGGGATGTCGAGATGCGAGGTTTGTCAGCTGCAGCAGGTGGTAGTGCAGTATCGTCGCCATACTACGAAATTGATCCCCGATTCTGGGCTCCTTTGGACAACTTGTCGTTGTACGCCATGTCGACCCAGGCTGCCAAACGTGTCTTTGCCCAGAGCAAGGCCCTCGCCGCCTCGACCAACGGTCTCTCCGCCTACTATCCCACCACTCCCGCATAGGCTCACTTTTCTTTTCCTTTTTCGTTTTCTATTGCTGTATTATTATTATTCTTCTCTCTTGTTTTTCGTCTGGCTTTTCTTTTCATTTCATTAGCGTTTCTTTCCCTTGCATCTCTCTCACTCTTTCCTGTACACCATTCTTCCAATACAACAAAAAACCACCAATTCTCCACGTACACTTGTAGCATAACTGTTTTTCATCGTTGTCTGAGCGACACCCTTCCTTTTTTTTTTCTTTTTTTTTTTCTTTCTCTTTTTCTTTTCTTTGTTCATTTTTTTTCTTTTTTTTTTTTTTCAAAAGTACTTTCATAGCAAGCAAAATGACTTGAATAACACAACATCCAAACAGGTACTAAACACGATATGGCTTCTCGCTTGCCATGATGTCGTTATGCTATTGAAAAATGAGTTTTTTTGGACTATGGGTCTGAGAAGGAGTAATGCAAAACTGCTGTGTAACGTGCTACAGAAAAGTTGCGCGATTGCAACGCCGATTCCTTTTTTGCTGTAGGTTCGCTTTCTCATTTATCAGCTCGTGGTTTGTCGAGTCGTGCGCGTGTGCGTGCTTGTCCATCGTTTCAGAAGAGGGAGAAGAGGAAGGAGCAGGAGGTGTAGATCTCGTAGAAGACGAGGGGCGGCAGACCAACAACCAGGGCTGTCAACACGCCCACAGGTGCCAACACACAACTCATGAACGCCAGACACGACATCTATATCCACAAGTTTTCCGCAGAAGAAAGCACCAAAAAAAGATTGTGAGAAGGAAGAAAAAAGTCATTCAGTAATTACACACCTTTCACGCCAGGCATATCATTTTTTTATTTCCATCGTTATCGTCTACCAACCAAACCAACCTGGATGAGAAGAAGTACAAAACCAGTAACGATAAAGCACCCAGCACATACCATCCCCACAACCACAACCACGCACCATACCGGCAACGCCCCTACGACCAAACACCCCCACATCCCCAATCTTTCAACTCCTTCGGGTGGCTGGGAAAGGTAGCGGTGGTGGAATGTGGGGGCGGGGTTGTGGGTGTAGGTTTTGGGGAAGGTTGTAGAATGAGAAGGGGAGGTGGTTGAAGTGTAGGTTGAAGGGTGGGAGGTGGTGGTTGAGGAGGCTGAAGTTGATTGGGTAGATGTGGACTTGCGGTGGTTGCTAGTGTTGTTGGTGGTGTTCTTGTTCTTGATTTTGTTCTTTGAGAACATCTTCAGTTTTGGGGACATCTGAGAGGGTCAGGGATGTTGGTTTTTTGTAGGATAGGATGGTGAGGAAAAGGAGTGAGAGAAGAAGTTGGTGCTGTCGTAAATAAAGAAAGCAAGGAAAGAAACAAGTGAAGTTGTGTTCCAAGTATGATGTGCACTGATGGAAACCGCTTGGCAACTTGGCATCCAACATGAGAAAGATAGATAGACGTGTCATTCTTCCCTCATTGATCAAACGCGACGCGTTGACGCGATCTTTTTTTTTTTTTTTTTTTTTTTTGGATGCAATTACTTACACAACCGCGCTCGCTTCAGTGTTCTTCGGTTTCCCACAAGGCACCATCTACATCGTGCGAAACTCTCAAAAGTAACCACCAGTCCAAGATATGTTGCTATTTCTATCAGGTTTAGTACAGAAGGTGACTAACACCAAAAACTCAAATGATTTTTGCAGTCAAAAAACTAAGGTGCCCCTTGTTAGGGGGAGCCAGGGGTTCCAGCGTCATGGATAGTACAAGGTACTCTTTTTTTTTTTTTTTTTTTTTCCTTTTGCACTTCCTCCTTCCCTATCCTTGCCCCTCAGTCTTTCTTTCTGCAGCGGTTTTCATTCGCGATTCACTCTCTTGTTTGTCTTTTGTAAGGAAAGAAGCTGTCGGTAAGAAGAGAAAGGCCAAAATGACTTTGATGTTGTGATGTTCTGATGTTCTGTTGTCTTTGGTATTCCTTGTTTGACCCTTGCTATGTGAGGTGAGACATGGAGCTATGCACAATAATCTATCATTTTCACCGTGAGTGAAAAATCAAGCACTGGTGCAACAAGGAAGAGAGATGGTGTCAGAAGGAAGGATAGGAACACAGAAAGTGAGGGTGCAAAGGGGGGTTTTTTTTGGGTGTGTGTGTACCCCCATTTATCTTCGCCCCTCAATTCATCTTCCTGGCGATGTTTGGATATAAGGTTGGCGGGTCCTTGCCGTTGCAATATTATGATTTGGAGGGCCCCATCTGGGTGCGGCGGTGAGGGATTCGAGGTGGATGAAATGCGTTGGTGGGGGTTCCCGGATTAGGTGACATTGGCGGATTTGAAGGTCGGGAGGGATATGAATGGTGATGGGTCCGACAAGCCCTTCCCGCACCCCTTTGGACGGAAAGGAAGCATCGGTCGAAACGACATTCTACAGGGTCAACCTCGACACACGTCGGGCCGCAAACGTGACCATCAACCCCTCCCCCCCCCCCCCCCCCCTGACACCCATCCAGAACCCACGGTTCCAAACTGGGCAACCGCGAATCGATCTACAAGTTTCCGAATGTTTAAGAGTACGAAGGCGATTATGGTCGGGTGGGATAAGAAGCAAGGTATTGCGATAGCTCAGAGTCAGTTTATGAGGACGTTGGTTGCGAGTATGGCGTACAGGCGGTTTTCTAAGGTGGAGTATCAATATGGGGATATGCTTGTTGAAGTTACTGCTACCGCTTATGAGCCGCTGCTTTGAGGGAGGAAAGGAGGAGGACTGGTGAGTGTTTTCTATTAGTTGCAGCTTTGCAACTATATCTTTCTTTTTCATTGACTTTGAGATACATGTCTTATGGAAGTGTGCTTTTATTTGGTAGCTCTACACTTTATGTGGGTAAAGATGAAGAAAAAAAAATGAAAAATGGAGGCAAAGAGTAAGTTGGAGAGTCAAGGGAAGTCTAGAGAAGTTGAGAAGTGACGATCCCCGGCTTAGAAGCCCTTGACGGTGAGCCACTGGCGGACATCATCCATGACGAGACCCTTGAGGATGACCTGGTTGCTGCGTTCGTTCACACGGACCTCTGCGTTTGGGTAAGTCACCAACAAATCTGTCTTCAACGCCTATTATTTCAATTGAACCGAGACATAGAACAAGGGGAAACAGTTAATCAGTTCTCAATCTTTTCTCAATAAGACCTCCTCCTTTCGTGAATAAATAAAATCGATGCTTACAGTGGCGTTGCCCTGGATCTTGCGGATGACAGTGAGGGGGCGGGTGCCGGCGTTCTTGAACTCGGAGTAGACGGGGAGCTGGCCGGCCTTGGTGCGTTCTACAAAGTATGTCCTTGGCAATGAGGTCGTCTTTGTTGCTGATACTGCTGGTGCTGCTGCTGATGTGGATGTGGCGGTTGTGCTTGCCGCGGCTATATTGTTGAGAGGTTCCGGTATGAGAAAAATGGCGTTAGTTCCTGGGTAGGGTGTGCTATAGGATGTGATGTTGGTTCCTGGTTCCGTTTCGCTTTTGTGGCGTTCTGTTGGGGTGTAGTTTTGAAACGGAAAGCCATGATTTCCTCCTTGTGCTCTGGGTCTAATCAAGTCGCCAATGTTCTGTTGGACGGACTCTTGACTCCTAACAACATCATACTCCCGAGACGACGGATACACCTGTCGTGTTGCCTCAATGCCTGCCTACACGAGTGGTGACCTGTGCTCCTGCTCTCCCGATACTAAAACGGTCCTGGTTCAGTGCACGGAAGTCCCTTGATATCCTTTGTATAGTCCTTCGTCTGTCTTCTTGTGTTACCATCGAGTGAGGCAGCGGATGTAGAGAAGGTGCGGATGGTGCGGGCGACGAGTTGTCTTGATGCGGCGAACATGGTTGTTTGTGTGATTGTTGTTGATGTAAAGTGAATGAGATGCGTTGATCAGTGTCCGAAGGTGTTGTTATTCAGAAGGAACAGGTGTGTGACTGTGATATCTTTGGGCACATACGAACTGACATTTGATGTGTAGCCAATCAATGGTGCCCCAGGCCGCTTTTTGGCTTTACTTGAGGTCAAGGAGCGCGCACGGCGCTTTTTTTTATTCGGTGCCTTGAACAGAGGAAGCAGGAAGAGGAGACATGGCAAAGAAGGAGCGAAGGGGGGCCATTGAGAACCGACACACAGATGACTTGTGGTCATAAAGAAAGAGGAGAAAGGACAGAGCTGGGTTCTGTGTTTGTTGTTTGTTTGTTGTCTTTGACGCTTGTGTGCGATGCCTGTCCGTGTGTATAGGCGCCATGGTCTATGGAAATTTAACTCTCCGTGCGTATTCACTCTCTGTCCTTCGCCTCGTGTCTTGTTCCCTTTCTCCTGCCCCTTTATCTTCCTCTCTCTTCTTTCTTTCTTCTCTTCCTTCTTCTCTTTCTTCACTCCAACTTTTCCTCATACTACCCCTGCTCACTTCCTCATCCCTTCACGCACATTCGCAGACAGAAACAAAGACACAAAAGTCCTCTTCTTCCTTTAGTCAATGCATCCACCGAAACTCGTCCTCAACCATCACCAGGTCTTCTCTCGCCATTAAGCGCCTTCTTTCTTTCGTATCCTTTCCTTTCACATTCGACACTCTTTGCCACCACACCTCACTCCATACTAAGAAAGCAATAAGAAGAACCAAAAGATGGACTTTGACTTCCCGCTGATCCCATTGCTGCCATTGCCCATCACCCTCGTCCCCGCCTCAACATTCGCAGCCCTCGAGAACAGTCATCACGGCCCGCAGTTCCAGCCCGGTTTCGTCTCCTCCGTCTCCATCGGCATCTCCTCCAGGAACACCAATGGCAATAGCAACAACAGCTATGTCAACAACTCGGCAAGCTCATCCTTCTCCTCGTCGTCCATCACCAGCAGCAGTTATGACCACCCAAGCAACTACCCTGGTTACGCCACCAACGGCAGTAACACAAGTGCTTCGTCACACCTGTCGGATCAGGAGCGCCTTGGAGCTATCGTTGATGCTCTTGGAGAAGCCTCTGCCAAGGTAACCCTTTTGTTGCAGTTGATGATAATATACACCCACGCAGCCGGCGCGATTGTGCGCTGTTAATGGCTGGCGAAAGAAGCAATGGCTGGTGTCCTACAAACTTGTCATTTACCTCGTGTTAAATTCAAAAACAACGAAACGAAGAAAAAAACCCCCACGAGATGTATACTCACACTCCTTTTTTTTACCTTTCTACCCTATGACAATGTTACATATTAGGCTCAAGAGTTGCCGACTTCGATTACACAGCGATTGAGGCTGGCAAAGAACCCAACACAGCGTGTGTACATCCTGAGGACAGGACTCGACAGTGGCGAGGACCAATGGCTGGACCAACTCGAGATCGGATCGCCTCTGATGCAAGAGTCTATCCGCAAGAGCATCGTCGACAGGAACGGATCCATGTCATCATCAGCATCTGGAAACAACAATTACAGCAATGGAACCTATAGGAGGACCAGCAGCAACCCCGATCTGTCGCCCCTGTCGTCTAGTCCGACTTTGTCGTCTCAACAGGAAGAGGAGTCTTCGCAGAGAAGGAGTCCGAGGACCCGGAGCGAGGAGAAGGGAGTCTATGTCGCAGGAATGCTAAAAATGGGCGAAAAAAAGCTATTCATCGTGGTAAGCTATGCAACCCTCCACATGCGTGTCGCACTTTTCGTATTTTTGTCATTAGTGTTTGTCTTTTCTCTTTGTTCCGACAGACCTACATGCATTTTTCTGCAGCATGGCATTTGGACAGAGCATGAGAGAGGAGGTTTTCCCGTTACCCTCAATTTTGTTACCATACCATCCCGCAATGCAATTCGCACATGCTGCATGCCATGCGTGCAACTTTCTCTTCTTTTTCCAGGGAAAGAAAGGGGGAAGGAAAAAAAAGGGACACCCTTGGGACATGACAAGAAAGAAAAGGTCGGGGAATAAATGCAACGAAAGATGAAGGAAAGAAGGGACAGAGAACAAATCGAAGGAGCATGAGAAGAAGAAATCAATCAGCAAGAGGAAAGGGAGTTGGCAAGGAAAGAAGGAAGGGGCAAAGAATATGAGATGGTGTTGAAGATGGGAGCGGGATGGAAGCAAGGCTATGATATCGCAAATTGCATGATCCAATGCTCACTCTTATTTTCCTAAACCCAATAGGACAAATCGGGAACATTGCATGAGCAGGAAGTTTGTTGTGTGCTAGACTTTTATGTCGACAAGTCCTGCCAGCGTCGCGGATTCGGCAAACTACTCTTTGACTACATGCTCAAGGTATGTTTCATCATGTGGTTTCTTTTTCCCTGGTTGCCTTTTGCTTTTTTTTATGGGTGCTCTCATCCATTGCGGACCCTTTATTGGATGGGATCAGATCCACTAACTGGCTAAAAAAAACCACTCTTTTTTATACCACTACACTTTTTTTACCATCCATAGGTGGAGGATATTGACCCTTGTCAGATCGCATACGACCGTCCAAGCCCCAAATTATACCAGTTCCTGAACAAGCACTTCCAGCTGGAACGGCATCTCCCACAACCAAACCAATTTGCGGTATTTGAGGGCTTCAATCTGCTCGATGTCGGGGAGACCATCAAGGTTGATGACGATACCTTCCTCGCTACTTCTGGAAGGAGTTCTCTGACGGGGACGAATCAGCAATCGCAATCGTCTGTCCAACAGCAGCAACAACAAGAACATTCTCAACAGCAGCAAGAACGACAGGAACGGCGACAGCAGCAGCATCAGGCGAATACCACTACTTCTTATATACCCAGCCATGCTTACCCTGCTACTTCCAAAGCGCTGCAGTCGTCTGTTGTCTTTGGCTGTGGATACGCACAAGATCATCAACCGTATAGTACTACAACCGCAGACGCAACACAACCACCGCCGCCACAGAAACAACAAGAGCAACAACAAAAACCAAACAGGAGGATATCTTCAGCGTTCACGTCGTCCATCAACCTGTCCAGTCCTTCAACGCCGCCCTCACACCACTCGTCGGCGTCAAATCATCAGGGATCCGTCAATGGTACTGGCAGGATATCTCGGCTCCTGGCCTCGTCCATCGTTTTTACCGACCCTACTGGCGGCAACGCTTGAACTGACGTCCATCCGTCGCTGTTTGGTTATGTTTTTTTTTTCTTCTTGCGTTGTTGTTTCCTATTTATCATAGCAGTTAGCGCGTTTTGTTCCCTTCCTTTGCATAGAATAACAAGTCCTTTAATATATATATCAACACTCAATTCTCTTTTTTGCAATGCTATTGTGTTGTTTGTTTTTCTAATATTTTATTTTTAATGAAAGGCGACAAATGACATGATTAGGTTGGAGGAATAGTAGAGTAGTAAAGAATGGTGGTACAAGGAAGGGGATGTGTAAGGAGAATAATTACAAGGGGTGGATATTGTGATGAGGTGTGTGGAGCGGTCGTTCTACAGCTGCTGCTGATTTGAATCTAGTTCTGATGGAGGTTGTGAGAGTGGGAGTGGCGGGGTAGGACGTGTTGGCGTGGACGAGACGGTAGGGACCCTGACCTCTTCCAAAGAGGAAGACTCTTGATCCTGTCCTGGTTCTGGATCCGCAACAGCGGCAGTAGACGAGAGAAGTGGTACTGGCGGTGGTGGCAGTGGTAGTGGTGATTCCGTCTGTCCTTGTTCCTGCAAATGCTCCTGGTGCGTTCCCAACACCTCCGTGGCGTCAACGTTACTATTACTGTTGCTGATATCGCCATAAGTCGGTAGATTAGGTCCATATTCATCGTCCTGTCGATGGTACATGGGCGGGGGCTCGAATTCCGGAAGCACAACCGTCAGGCCTACTCTTGTGGACGCCGATATGACTGCTCCTCCGATTCCGGTGGTAGCGGTGGGAGGAGGGGGACGAGGGAGCATGATCATCATCATTGGGTTGTTGTCGCCATTGTTGGTGTTGGCGTTATTAGTTTGACCCCATCGCCAGCGGGGCTGGGGGTTGCGGCCGTGAGGGTGGTAGTGGATTGAGGAGTCGTCCTGGCTGTCGGTTTCTGTCTCTATGCTCTCTCCTGCCCGGGAGTCTCCTCTCCTCCGTCCTGTTCGATTGTGTTGATGGTCGAGTTCGAGGGAGGAGAGGCGGTTTAGGGAGAAGGAGGAGGAGTGCATGGCTCTTGATCCGTCCACTCTTCGACTTGTGGTGCGTCGCCGACCGAAACATGGGCCACAGAGGAGGAAGGAGTGCCATTTTGGAGGTCTCTTCTTGGTTGATGAGTTTGAAATAAAAGAGGAGCCAGAGTTGTTGAGCGGTTGAAGGGGAGGAGGTGGTGGCATCGACTCGGCGCCCAATTCTTCCTGCCCGTCTTCGTGTTGATAGCCTATGTTCCTGCTGCTCCTGCTATGGCTCCGACTATGATCGCCACGTCCATGAGAGGAAGAAGTCCTCCTCCTACGATGCTCCTGGTGCGGCTGCAAATGGTCGCTCCGGGACTGCCTCCTCCGCTTATACCTCCAGAACCCAACCCCCAACCCAACGCCCAAAGCCAGCGTACAAAGCCCAATCAACAGTCCTTGTAACAGATACTCTCGTGCAGAGTACTTTGGTGTTGAGGATCCACCATCAATTCCTCCTTTCTTCCCACCGGACGAAGACGAGGATCCATTCGGATCCACACAGATCCCATACCCTTGATCAGCTCCTCCGTTGGCGCTGGTGCTGACGCCGGGGACGGAAGAATTGAAGAGCTGACAGGAAAAGGGGGGGACACAATCCATATCTGGTCCACAGGTCTTTAGGAAACAAGCCCCGATCGCAAAATACTCCCAGGGTCCCTCACAATCGTCGTCGCTTCCTCCACTGTCATCCGTCATGGATTCCTCCACACACGATGCCGTATACTTTGGCGTGCTCGATCCTGATGATTTTGAAGATAATCCGCTGTAGAGGGAATAGAAGGTACCATCAAGACAATAAGTCTGATCGATACGCCCCGAGTACTGGAACGGCAGTGGTGGATAGTTCTGTGGGTTACAAAGCTGGTTCTGACACAGGATCGGCACACTCGCACTCCCGCCGTCGTTATCGTTATCGCCGTCACCATCATCCCCATCGCCGCTGGAGGAAGTGGTGGGGGAGGAGGAGCAGGTGGGGGAAGAGAGAGAATCGCAGAGGTATCGGAGGGGAACACATTGAGTGTTTTTGAAACAAGTCATGCCTGATGTGTTATTGGGGCCGTAGCAGGCTTGGCATTGCTCTGGGATTATGAGTGTTGGGGTTGGGGTTGGGAGTAGAGTGGAGGAGGTTTTTGTTGCGTGTTGTTTTGTGGAAAGAGGTAGCGTGAGTGAGTCGGTCGTTGCTGTTGCTGCGTTGACGAAGGAGGGTGAGGTGGAGAGGAGGAGAAGAGAGAGGAAGAGGAAGAGGAGGAGGGAGAGGAGAGGAAGTGACGAGGCATGAGTCCTTCGATGTCGTTGGGTGAGGAGGACCATGCCATTAGACAGTCTGTGTTGTAGGCGTTGTATGTTCATGGGGGTGGCATTATGTGATTAAGAGGAGTGTAGTTGATGGTGAATGCAAACAAAAAAAGATAAAGAGGAAGAAGAAGAAAGGGAAAGAGAGGTGCTTGAACAAACAAAGGGTCAAAGTGGTCCATAAAAAGAAGCCATTCGCACTCCATGTATGCGGACAACCAATCGATCACATCATAAAAAGGGTCTTTGTTCTTCCCCTCGGTGTCACGACTGTGCACCTTTCTCTTCCTTGCCTTTCGTTCCTTCGAGACTCTTCTTTTTTTGCCTTTGCACCTGCTCCACCTTCCCCTCCTTTTTTATATATTCTTCTCCTTGGTTCAATGGGGCAGGATCAACAGGTAATTGAACCATTCGCCAATTCCCCTTTTTTCATACGTTCAACAACACATCCGCACATGGACAGTTGGGCATACGATGTTTATTTGTTTAACAAACAAGGGATTTCAATTCACCCGACAACCGGTCCGCATATCCCTTCCATGTCTCCTCTCCAACTCACTGCACTCAGCAATTGAATTTCCCCGTCTATCGAATGGCAACGCAGGGTAAAGGCAGGGGTGAGGGGGGGGGCTCACTGAACAACAACTGGAAGGCAATTAAGTCAAAATAACAGGCTCGCAGCCTGTTCATTACCGACGTTTATTCTTTTTTTTTTTCTTCATGCTATATTTAACTAATGCCCTTCATTTTTACGACGAGGCATCGTCAGCGTCGCGACGACCATAGGGCCCTCCAGGATAGTACGTCCCACTTCCGGGACGACTGCTGCCAGGGGTCCGGGACAACCCTCTCTTCGCATTCTCCTCCACCGCCTCGGCCTCAGCTTCCACTTCCACTTTGCGAATTGAGACGTTTGGAGCGATCACGACTCCTGCCTCGGCTACGGGTTCTTGCGTCTTGGTATCGAGACGGCGGTAGTGAGGCGGCAGGGAGAGGGTGGGACTGAGGAGCGATTGGCGACGGATGAGGTTGACGGGGATCGGGATGCCGGTTGCTGGATGGAGGATGATTGTTGACAGGCACAGGAGAGTTATGATGAGAGTGAGGAAGTAGGTTGTCTGGGGACAAAGGAATTGAGAGATTGTTCGAACCATTTTTGGAGGTGGTGTGGGGCTGTGTTTTCGTATGGCTATTGGCAGAAGAAGAAGAGAGAGAGAGAGAGAGAGAGAGAGTGAAAGAGTAGTGAGTAGAGGGACTGGAGTTGAAAAACGAGAGGGAAAACCGTTCGTATTTAAGCAAATTGCAGTTATCGGCGAACCCCGAACAAGCTCATCATCTCTGTACCCATACCCCTATCTCCCAAGCTAACCCCCCCTCCCCCCCCCTTGTGCGCTCAAGCAGTGACAGAAATGAAGAAACCAGACCCTTTTGGAGTTGACAGGTAGCCAAGCAAACAGGACAAGACACCTGATATTCAATACAAAACAGATGCAAGGGGCAAGGTGCTCAAAAGGGGGCGACGGCAAGAAATCAACAAAATAGGGATAGCGGAGATGCTCAATTGGCACAGACCAGCAGAACAGGGACACAACACAAACAAGATGAAAATGGGAGGGAGGGGTGAAAGGGAAACAAAGGAAGGGAGCCATGCAGAGGTGACAGGACTCCAGTTGTGATCGAGAAGAAAAGAGAACTGTGCAAACAAGATCGGACCCATCTAATATTCTTCATCCCTAACATCTACTACTTTTTACGTCGTCGCGTTTCATTGCATAGCGTAGATGGAATACATGCAGGTGCGCATTCGTACACCGCATCTCGAGTTAAACCAAGAGTCCAGATCCGATCCCCGGTGTTGCGACAATTGTTCGTTGAACGTTGCCCTCGGGTCCATGACTGCGTGCCTAGAAGGATAAAGAGAAGCTCTAAAAATAAAAAAACGTGTGCCTGGAAATGCAGGAAAAGTCGAGAGCGAAGATTATGAAACCAATTGGATGTCCCTGACAATGCTGTGGTCCGAGTGTTTTGCTCTCTTTCTTATGCACAACTTCACCACACTTATCCGCACAAAGAGAGTGTGGTCACAGCAGATGAGCCTCGAATGGTCTATTCAAGGAGTACCCTAGGCACGCTGATAGATGAAAGAAAGGCGCTGACTATCCTAGCGACTAGCGAAGAAGAGATGACAAATAGATTGAGCGCGCTCAGAGTCGTAGGCTTACGATAGGTCGCATCATGATTTGCATGGACCGTGCAGAAAGCAGAGAGAATAACTATTATGCGGGCACGTGAAAAGCTTGAGAGATCATGACTGACTGGCTGCAGAGGATGGTTGTTGTATTTTCTCTTCTCTTCTCTTCCCCTCCTCCACCGACACCCATTCCGTCACAACCACAACCACCAACTCACTCCTACCATGGGCAAGACAACTTTAGAGATCTCTTCCACCCAACTGCCATTCGAAGGATCCGTTAAGATGGAGGGCTCGGGCCGAATGTATTTCGAAAGTCTGGTCGGGAAGTGGACTCTCTCCAACTACACCGACACGCCTGGTCCATTCACACCTCACGAAATCATGTTCCTGTTGCATTTCCTCCAGGAAGGATCCATGTCACAAAGTCTGCCGGCGATGAAGTTGTATGCGGCGGTGCTCCACAAGGAGTATGACTGGTTGCAGTCCTATACGCGGCCCTGGGAGTTAATGGAGTCGGTCGAGGCAACGGCCGCGGGATACGAGAAGGAACAGTTCCAGGCCTGCTTGCGGATCGCTTTCTTGCAATCTGGAGTTATCGAGGCGTTCATATCTCCGAAGGATTGTGACGTTGTTGTCAAACACAAGCTGTTGACGCCAGAGCCAAAACCAACGCTGGAGTCTCTGTCAACGAAGGAGGCTTTGCGCATAAGACACCAACTCTATGGGATTTACTGAGCTGTGAACTAATGGTCAGTTGCTCTGACCCGGTCCGACCTGAGCGCTCCTGGTATGAGTTCACACGAATTATCGAATAAAACAACCCCGCATTTTGTCTTGTTATGACTGAGAGGTTGATATAATTATGCGATCGTCATAACGAAGGACATGGTGGAGCAAGGGCATCGTTGTTAGGTATCCATTACTCCAAAAGACTTTTTACTTCGTGAGCGGGACCAGATCGTGGATAGTTTGAATGTTGCGTGTGTACGAACTGGGGGGGGGATTGATGGTGACAAGGGTCAGAAAGTCTACTGTTGGGCATGGAGGAGGAGGAGGAGGAGGAGGAGGTTATGCGGTGGCGCCTAGTTTGAATGGACACAGAGGCGGTAGTTTCGAAAGTGGAAGAGTTGGCAGAGCTGAGAGAGATAACTGTGAGCACTGAGACTGTTGAGGGGGGTGCGTACTCCTTCAAGTAAGGTCATTCTTGCGTTGGTTCTCTACCGTCTTGGCTTGAACACAGTCGATTCGCCATGGCACGAGGCTATTTGCATTGGTTGGAGCTACCAAAGCGATCGTTATTATTTTTTCTCTTCTTTGGGATCCATCCTTGCAACCACCGACCGATTCGCCCAGAAAAAGAGAGTAAAGTTGTCGTGGTTTTTGTTGGCTGCTGGTAATGTGGTAAAATAGCGCACGTCCCTTTACTGCCAGCAAAATATGAAGAAAGGTGTCCACAGTTCCTTCCTTTCATCTCATTTTTTTTTCTTTCTTCAGCGACCATTTTTTTTTCGCCCTTCTTCGCTCCCTCCTCCAACTCACCACACTACAGCCTTTCATCTTCTTCTATTCACTCATCTCGCCGGCCGTCGCCAAGGTCTCGAAAGGTACACCAACACCCCCTCCATCCACATTTTGAACACTTGTTCTTGTTCCTGAAATGATTGCTTTTGTTTTGAAACAGTTAAAAATGGCCTGCACATCACATCAGTCTCTCCATGTGCCTAAAAACAAACCCATCGCACCCCTCCCTATTGTTTCCAACCCTCCACAGACTAATTGACGCCGACAGGGTAGACCTACCAACCTTCCACTTCACCACTCCATAGACTTCGCGAAACTATGTTTTAATCCGTCCCCCCCGTCCCCTCGCTTACGTCTTTGCGTCGGTCCCGGTCCCAGCCTCGCCCTTTCCGCAAGTCTCTCCCTTCTGATATGCTCACTGTTCGACTAATCATCATCGTCTGGAGGACCTGTCAGACTGTACGTTGAAGGGAGAAATAATAGACGTAATTGATGAGGGGGGGGGGGGGTTGAGACGTGAAAAGGATGGATGGAAAAAAGAATCTAGCGCAAGTGAGAGACTCTCAACTCTTACTATTACATCCGTTCTACTTATAACCAGGGACATTATCGCCCCCTTTCTCCTCTGGGATGAGATACTGCAGGATCCCCCCCCCCCCCTCCTCCTCCTCCTCCTCCTTCCCCCGCCACGGGGTCAGCACGTCCTCCTGTGGTCCTGTTCGCGATCTGGAACCCACAGAGAGACTATGAGGAGCGAGAGTGAGGTAGGGAGGGTAAGATGGTCTTGCTGTTATCTGGATTTCATCGTGTCGGCGTGTGGTGAGTATTGTCAAGAACTGATTTCATTGATCCTTGGTCTTTTCTTTCAACATACCTTTCATCACTAACTAGTTGAACGGAGAGATAGGGAATCGTCAGAGAAAAAAAAAAAAAAAAAAAAAAAAAAAAAAACGACAGTTTTCTCCTGTCTTTGGAAGTCTGGGTTTGTTTAAACCAGGGGTTGAATTGACTATCGTGGAGGTGAGAGTGGTTTTTGCGTCAAACAAAAGGGGGAAAGAAAGAAAAAGAAAAAAAAACACTATTAATTGAACAAGTGAAAGAAATAAGAGGAAGACACAATGATTTTTTATTCAACTGGCATTGAACCAGTGTATCAAAAGGCGAATGTGAAAAAAAATGAAACGTCTTTTTTCTAGATGTCAGAAATCTCTAGGATCTACAAATTGACAAAAGTAAAAAAAGAACTGCCAAACATTCTACTCGCCACGAATGGTCTGAACGAGGAGGTAAAAGTTGAGTCCCAAAAGGACAATACTAATAAGTCCTGCAATGCCTATCAACCACCAAGCATTGGCAAAGTTATGCAACAATAGCTGGGGCTGCTGCTGCTGTTGACCAGCATCGGTGCCAACAAATGGCTTTCCAACCATGGTCGACGAAGGCGACAAGACTCCAGTTCCCACTCCATTATTCGACTGCACATGGTACTCCTCGTCAGGCGAAGCGGGGGCATTGCCGCCGTCCTCGGTCAAGGACTCCTTGATATCCTTGCCGAATCCGCGCCCGTAGCTCATATCGCCAGGCTTGTCCGAGTTGTCCTGAACAGGGATGGTCATGCATCGGCCCATACTAGTAAAGACCACCAATGGGATCACCGCAAAAGGAAGCTGGACACTCAATGCGACCTGACTGGCCAACAGCAGACTTGACAGTCCCTCCTGACCCTTGATCAACACAATCGCGAGCGCAGGGATGATCGCCAAGCAACGCGTCATCAACCGACGGACCCAGGGCTTCAAATACGAAGTACCCAAGAAACCCTCCATGATGATCTGTCCTGCCAAAGTAGCCGTCAAGGTCGAAGACTGTCCAGCCATCAACAACGCCACCGCAAAGAGATATCCTGCAGCACGACCAAGGTATTCTCCAAGAAGTTCAAAAGCCGAAAAGAAATCCGCCAGGCCCGTGTTGTCGACGTCGGGGTACTTGTACTTGAACGTCGCAGCGGCAACAATCAGAATTGCAGAGTTGACATACAGCGCAAAGGTCAACGCCACAGTTGAATCCCAGAATGTGTATCGCAGAATTGAACGAATGGTCGAGTGCTTCAACGAAACCGAGCCCTTGTCCTCGTCGACCATGACCTGTCTCTGGTCGACCGTCATCAGATCCGAGGTCGACGACATCGATGCCTGGCTGCTCGCCAACTCTGTCAACGTGCGGCTGGTCCTGAGCTTGACAATGCTCGAATGCAGGTACAGGTTGTGAGGCATGACGGTGGCTCCAATGATTCCGATCGACAAGAACAAGGCCTCAGTCTCAGTCAGGATCTTGGTATCTGGCAAGAATCCTCTCAGCACGTCCTTGGCAACAGGCTCCGAGTAGACAATCAAAGCCGTGAAGCAGATGCCGACGGACGAGACCAAGATGATGACCAACGCCTCAAAGATTCTGCGCGACTTGACCGACTGGTCGTCTCGAAAGGCAAGCAGGATGATCAGGACGTCCGCCGCAGTGATGACAACGCCCCAGGCGAGGGGGATCTTGAACAGTAGGTTGAGGGCGATCGCACTTCCAATGACTTCTGCCAAGTCGCATGCAATAATCGCCAGCTCCGCCAACACATACAGCACCCAGTTGACATACTTGGGCGTGAACTTTCTACAGGCCTGCGCCAAATCTATGTATCAGCCAGGGCGTAAAAGAGGAAAAGTGTGAGTAAGGGCGTGGGATAAAACTATCTAGACACTTGGCTGGAGGTTTTTTTATTCTCGTTCCGACTCTTCCCATCTTTAGTCCCTCTTTATTTTCGTACCTGAACAGGAACAACATTGTTCAGCCCAGCATGTACCATCCTCCTCATTCGCCCACGTATCTTTTCTCTCCTGTCTGCCTATGGTCGCCTATCCATTGCACTCCTGTTTACTTCCTGCTACTTCCTGTTCCTGTCGCTGAATCACCCATGTCCCTTGCGACCATCACCTTGGCCACAACCAAACCCAACAAGAATTAATTCAACCCTCAAACATCACGCATATATTTCGCCTTCAGTGAAACGAAACGAGACGAACGACACACACACACACAAAACACAATAACCTGTCCCACAATGAGCTATTGTGCCACAAGAGTAAGAAAAGAGATACGTACCCAGACCAGAGACAACTCCCAATTTGACAGCGAGACCCTGGAGGACAACGGCCATCAGGTTCGACATGAGAATGACAAAGAGCAGCATGTATCCGTAGCTGGATCCTCCAGCCAGATCTGTCGCCCAGTTGCCTGGATCCATGTATCCGACACTCACAACTATTTATTTAGATTGTTAGATGGAATTGATCATAATTGTTAGTATGGTTTGGCATTTGTGTGCGTGTCAAGTTCATTCCTCTTTTTTTTGTTCAATTGCACCAGATCCGATATCTCCCTTTTTCTTTTCTGAAGATCATCAGCGATGTATCGAGGGTCCAGATGGAGGTGCAGTCCTCATGCAGACGTAAAATGTCAGAGCTGCGGCCCAGGACGTTGAACTTGGTCTTCTTTCTCCGCTCTTTGACTGAATAACCATCACCCGTTATCCAATTGTTTGTTTTGTTTGTTGAGCAAGGTGAGTGTCCTTCATGCTGTCGTTTCTGAACAAGTGAAGTATATTGACGTTTGAGTGAGGGCCTTCAGGGTGTCGTGTGTGGGTGTGAATTGGTTGGAACATGTGGAATGTTTAAATTAAGTGCGAATGAAAAAAAAAGTGACAAACGACAAATAAAATGAGAGCGGGACGAATAGGAGAGAACCCTATTGGAATCTCAAGTCCCACCCAATTGCCACACACGCACTCCCCCAGGGAGGTGAGGAAGTAGAAGCTTGGGAGGAGTGAAGGTGGAAAAGGTAGAGAATGACGAGGGAGTGAAGGCGAAAGTGGGTGGATAGAGGAATGACGAGTGTTGGATGGAAGAATGGATTGTGAATGCATGGGAATAAGAAGAAAAGGAGGTGCACAGATAACAAACAAAGGGAAAACGACTGTGGTGGGAAGTTGTCAGAATTGAGTCAACAAGCACATAAGACTTACTGTAGCCAGGACCGACAAAGCCAAGGAAGCGTTTGAAGGAAGTGCAGAAGCTTTGGAAGCGAGTCTGCTTGGGGTGGTGCTGATCCCTGTCGGCGGTTGCGGAGGCAGCGGCAAAGGTACCAAAGCCCAGGGGGTTGGTGTTGACCTGGGTGTTCAGGGGTCTGGTCTGGTTGTGGGCAATGTCATGGGGACTGTTGCTGGAGGTTGATGAGTTTGTCCTTTGGTGCATCTGTGGAGTGGGGGTAACGTTGGAAGTGGTGTGATGGGGAAGAGAAGAAGGATGATCCCCATTGGTTCTGCGCTGTTGGTCAAGGTCAGATCGAGACCAGGGCCAGGCGAAACGAGACCACAATGACGTCGATTGGTTGGTGTCCGTCTGGTGCAGGTGTTGCTGCTGCTCCTCTTGATCGAGTGCCTTCTCCTTTCCAAGAGCGCCCTCCCCGAAGGCGGAGGGGGAGGAAGAGGGGTCTTGGGGACCACCTCCCCAGTGGTCTGGTCTCTTTTGGCCCGAGAGAGAAGTAACAGAGGAGGGCCTAGGCGAGACCAGGGAGGCCTGAAGGTCCCCTGTTGCTGAGGGTTCGTTCGAGGAGGTCCCTCCACTGGTGATGATACCGTTGGATCCAATCAAGGCCCGATCCTGTTCAACCGATTCATGCGAGGACTTGACGCCTGCGCGGGACTGGGGAGGGATCTGCTCAAAGGGCAGCTTGGCCCTGGGGCCATGCATGTCCAGCTGATCGTCTGGGGAAGGCAGGTTCATTGTGAATGCGAGAGAGCAAAGTTAATGAAGGGGGAGTGTTGGAGGTGGTGGTAGTTGAAGGTAGTTGGTGGTGGGTAGAGGAGAATAAGAGGAATAAGAAGAGAAGAAGAAGAAGAAGAAGAAGAAGAAGAAGAAGAAGAGCAATAAGGAGACGGACAAGGGTCTGCTTGAAAGAGAAGAAGAAGAGGAGAGAAGAGGAAGGATGAAGTGTAGAAATGAATAATGGGAAAGTGCGGGGATCTGACAGAGAGCAAAAATAGGGCCCTGGTCGAGGCCATTCAGACAGACAGACTAAGGTTATTACAAGGGAGAAGAGCGAGGAGATGAGGCAATTCATTCATTCATACTTCTCGCTCGTACATATCGAGTTGTTTGTTTGTCCACCCTATTGGTGTTGGGTACAGAGTTGGGGTGGTCTTCTTGGTCGGCTGTGGCCGCGTTCACACTCTCCTTTGCGCTGTCTCTTGTCTTGTCGCCTTCTCTTGTCGCTTGTCGCTTGTCTCTTGTCGCTTGTCTCTTGTCTCTTGTCTCTTGTCTCTTGTCTCTTGTCTCTTGTCTCTTGTCTCTTTTCTCGGCGAGGATTATTATATCTTTCTGTCTCCTCTTCCATTGCCTTCACAACAGTAGTCAGTAGATATCAATACTGTCTTCTTTCTCCTCCCGTCGATTCCCCTTCCGGTTCCGTCCTCTTCCTAGACCCAAAACAAAAAAGAAGCGGCCCTTGCATTTCATTTCGCATTTCCGTACTAATACCCAACATCTACAACCCGAAAGGTTATGCAACTTACACTTCTCGTCATCATCCCCTCTCTCTTTGTCGCACTGGATTGGTGCCCCTTGACTGCCCACGCCCAATGAGAAAGAAATACAAAAACAGCCTATACACTTCCTCCACCTGCACCCTCTCCGCACAATTACGACCTTGACTAATGTCCAATTGGTTGCCGTCGAGAAGGTGACAGCGCCTTAATACGCCATCGCCGCCCCCTCTCTCATCTATTTTCCCCAGAAATACATGTGCGCCTACGCAGTCCCAGCCAATCCGCCCCCTTTCTCAAAGACAATTCGCGAAAACGAAAGAACAAAAAATGGCCGAGAATAATAATAACAATACGTTTTTTTTTTTTTTTTTTTTGGTCAGTTCTTCCTCATTGACTATGATGCATATTAGATCACCCCTGGGTGCGCAACCACTCTCCTCTTCCTTTCCGCGACAAACACGCCTCTCTTCTATTCCACCCTTCCACAACTTCCCTATCATCTTTTACTTCTTCTGAAGTGAATATCCACAAGAGAGACGGAGAGGGAAACAAACATTTTAGGACCTGCAGAGGCGATCAGTGTGTCCTGCAGGAAAGCCAAGATAGGGGAGGGAAGGAGGCATAGAGGACGTCAAGGAAGACGAAAAAAAGGAAAAGGGCCCAGAACATCTCGCTTTCATCTCCCTCGTGGCCCCAATATGATACAATCTTAGTCAGTGGACGGTGCATAATGGGAACGTTCATTTGTCCGTTTATGATAAGGGTGTGCTAAAAGGAGAAGGCTTTTTGTCGCTTCGTTACCGAGAATTGCGTAAATTTGAACAAGTGGGTCTGTCCAGAGTCTCCATAGTCCAGACAATGAGAGTGGCTTGGTCATTTTATGATTTAGCCAACACGTGCAAGGAACAATGGGAAGAAGAAATGCATACAAAGTCTCCATGGATTTAATATGCCCATGTCTAGACTTGCTAGTGAAAAAGAAGCTTGAAACTTAGGGTGGGTGAAGAAACAAAAGAACAAAGAGATGAGAGCAACGCTGAGGAGGAGGAAAAGCCCTGATGGATAGAGGAGGAAGAACAAGGGTCCATCATCAATCAATTGAAGCCCCGCTGATGCTGATGCTGATGCTGAAGGTAAATTAGAATCCTGGCACCGCCAGTTGGACTTATCTGATTCAAAAAACAGGGATCAACGGTCGGTTATTACTCTATGGTTGTAGACTACGATTGCCATGGCAGGATGACAATGATGACAACAAGAAGGTCCATGCTGCAGATTGTATGTGAGGATATGAATAGCTTGAACATGTCATGTTCACGCCGGGTGTCAGATTGCGCCTAGGGTTGTTATTCCCCGGGTCAGAGACACAACAGACAGCAGTCAAGAAGAGAGACGCCTTGCTCTGGCGCTGCCTCGATTGACGAATTGGGGTGGAGGGACAACAGACATGTCCGCGTTCTCTATGGGCCTAAGAATAGATTATTCGCTTCGTTGACATACTTTTTTTCTTTTTTCTTTCTGAATCTTCGTTGAACGAACCTTAAAGCAGAAGAGAAGGGCGAGAGCACGCCTACGATACGATACGATACGATTCGGTATGAGAAAAAGAAGGAAAAGAGCCAGGCAGCAAACAAACGAGAACAGACAGGTACTGTACCCCTAGGGAGGTAATTTACACATTTTACGCCAACAACAACATTATTGTTCTATTTCGCTGTGTTTAGTGTTTTGATTGGAAGAAGAATAACAAGGGGAGCGAACGTGCTTTGCCTTTTATTTCAGAGGCGTACCTGGAAAACAACCATGAGACAGATGGATGGGAGGAATGAAGAGATACTTCCTCCCTTTGCGCGTTTCCCTCCTCTCTTCCCTTCTTCTCCTTCTTCTCCTTCCTCCACACCATCCCCCCTGGTTCCTTCCTGGCTCCACACCCTCTCCCTCTTTTGTTTACGACCCCTCACGCTCCACGCGCTCTCTCTCTCTCTCCCTCTCCTTTTTCAACTATTTCGTCATCCCCGGTCCAGATCACAACAACTCCTAGTTCAACGGCCATTCATTCATTCTCTCCCAGCCCTCATCGGAATCTCATTCACCTTACATACACTCACACCTTTCCATCTCTCCCCAACTTTGTTCTTCTTCCTAACCTCCTATTGCCTTCGTTGTTTGAAAGTGAACAAGAGAAGCAATAGCTCCCGCCATCATGTCCCACCGCAACAACCACCACAACAACAATAACCAGGACGACTATGTCGACGTTGATGACTACGACAGCGCCTCGGGATACGCTCTCCAACAACGCATGACTCCTCAACAACAGCGTCAGGAGGAACGCCGTCGCAACGCCGAGGCCAATGGTGCCGCTGCGGCCGCCGCTGGCTCCGGCGCCTCGCCTTGGTTGAACAAACAAAAGAAAAAGTCGAGCAAATGGAAGACCATTGCCTGGTCTGTCCTTGTCATCCTTATCCTCGCTGTTGCCGGTGTTCTTGCTTGGTATTTTGCTGTTTACAAGAAGAACAACGCCAATGGTGGATCCAACAACAGCAGCAACAACGGCAACACTGTTAACAGCGGTACTCCCGCTGCCGGCCCTACTGGTAAGCATTTTCGCTACTATTCATTCTTCTTGGCCATAACTCCTCTTCGCCACTTCCCTTATTGCTTTGATGATCCATTCTCTCCTCCCCCTTTGTGTTTTCGCGCCTCGTTATGTTATTATCTTTTTCATGAGAGATATGTGAGCAAGTACCATTGAATATTGACAAAAGGCACAACCATCACGACCAACCAACCAACTAACCGGCGTACAAGTGAGAGCAAAGGAAGCAGGAATAGCAACCCAGGGTTGGAACGACACTGTCCTGTCTGTAGCCCGACTCTCTCGTCTCTCCTCCTTCGAAACACAAGGTTCATTATTATGAGCAGCGCATATGGCTCTGATGAAATTCGTGGTTTTAACCTACACACACACAGAATAACATATGGGCGTCCACCAACAAAAAACCCCCAATTATCATGCAAAAGCCAACAGCCCTGCATCTTATTTACTCTCACTCTCGCGTACACCCTGGCACCTTCCGTCTCTTCATCGCGCCCATTTGTTGTTTTTTCCGTCTCTTTTTCCATGTGGGACAAAGACACTCACACATGCAACATCCTTATTTCGTAACTGGTGTGTTCTATGAATAGTCGTTGGACCCAACGGCACAGTCTTGCCCAACACCAACTACCCCCTCAAGAAGGTTTTCTACGGCATGGCCTACGTGCCTCTCGGTGCCCAGCTCCCCGGCTGTTACAACACCCAACAGAGTGTCGATGACGAGCTCGCCCTCCTTGTCCAAACCACCGCCCGTGTCCGTCTCTACGGAACTGATTGCAAGGTCCTCGAATACGTCCTCAACTCGATCGTGCGCAAGAAGCTCGACCTCAAGGTCGTCGTCGGTATCTGGATCGACAAGGACAACACGACCTACACCCGCCAGATGGGTGATTTCTTCAAGGTCATGGAGACAAACTCCTGGGACAACCTTCTTGGCGTCTCGGTCGGAAACGAGGTCCTCTTTGACAAATACCAGTCCGAAGCGTTCCTTATAGCCGCCATTGCCGAGGTCAAGGCCAAAGTCGTCGCCCTGGGCCACAAGGATCTCCCTGTCTTCTCGTCGGATCTCGAAAGCTCCAACACCTACCCTCTGACCAGCAACGAAGACAGGGCTGGCGTCAACCTCCACCCTTTCTTCTCCGGCATCCCTATCGAACAGGCCGCCGATTGGTACTGGAAGTACTTGAAGGAGATCGTCACGCCAAAGGTCAACGCTAACAGGACGACCCCCATCGACATCTGGATCACCGAAGTGGGCTGGCCCACCTTCCCCGCCTCCGCCGCCCAACAGGGATCCGTCCCCTCCATCCCCAACCTTCAAACCTTCCTTGATACTTGGTTGTGCGAGGCCAACAAGAACGGCATGCCCTATTATTACTTTGAGTTCTTTGATGCCCCTTGGAAGATCTGGCCCGGCTCTGCTGTTGAGGGCTTCTGGGGCTTGATGACCATTGATAAGAAGCTCAAGGTCAAGCTGCCTGACTGTCTGATTTAACTAATGGATGTGACAACATGTGGGATTCTGTATATCCACCATTTCATCATTTTTTTCTTCTTTTACTCATCATACAAAAATATCATAATTTCAATATTCATACAAACTTGCTTGCAATGTCGCTGACATTGATATCGATTCTACAACGGTGCAACTGAGGAACATGCAAACGTCAAACTGCAAAAAAAAAAAAAAAAGGCATTTAGCACGATGGTAGGGTGGAGAAATACGACGGTAGGGCGAGCACTGTTGATGTAGCGGACCTCAGAGGGACGAGTGGTTGGTTGTGGGTTAATCAAACAAATCTGGCGCAGAACTTAAAAATGAGCGTTGTTTTCCTTACACACTCTACACTTCCTTCTACCCTTTGCCTTTCTTTCATTTCATCCGTCCAATTCGGTCATCCAGTTCCTGTGCGAGTGAGTCAATCAGCACCCCCCCCCCGATTTCGACAAGCAGGATTCGAGTGTGGGATCCGAAAACAGGAACACCAGAGGCTGACTGGGTCATTCTCCGTGTTGATGCCACCAATGATCAAAGCAAAACGGTGAGTGAGACGGCTAATCAATATAACGCGAGAGGTTCCGTGGTATTCTCCTCAGTTTGCGGTTGAATTAGTATCGGACTCACCCCGACTTCGTCTTTTTCGATCCCCGAGCCCAACAGACCTTCGCCAACCTCTGAAAGAAGTGTGTTTATCAGACAGGCTACAGTCAATGGACTACTCACCGGATGGCCAGCAACTCGTACTCGGTACTTATGCCTCCTCGGTCTATGCACTAGGATCTTCAGTCGGACAAACTTGGTATCAAATTGGAGGGACATGACTAACGAAGTTGACTGCGTCGCCTACTCTCCTTGTGGCAAATGGATCCCCTTTGGGCAGTCACGACAAGACAGCGCGTCTCTGGTCAGGCGAGGTTGACAGTTGGTCCCTGTGTTGCTGTTGTCAGTGGATGTTCAGAGGCCGTTGCAAGCGTTGCGTGGAATCCGTTTGTTGTAGCAAAAAGGGAGTTATGATAATAAAGTAGTGAGGGAAAAGTGTAGAAAAGGATGTGTCAAGGAGGTGAGCGGGACAGAAACGTATCCTCTTTATTTTGGAATCTGTCTATCTTAAATAACCCTCTTAGCACGTGAGTAAACATGCACCTACTGCGACTAGCAGATGCTAAACATCTCACACATGTTGTGCACGTACACAACACCGGTGGTGTCGATGGAGAGTGTGGTATATTCAAGGGTGCTGTTGAGGTTGTTGGTCCAACGCTGCGCTCTTGATGGATCGTGGTCACAAGGAGGCGATGTATCACGATGAGGAAGAAATAAGCCCAGGAGAAGGAGGGAATGGAAGAACATCCCGAACATAAATTTCGCGCACCATGTCTTTTCATTCTTCTTTGCTTCGGACGGACGTAGCCATTCGAGACTTTTGTAGTCATGTTCAAAACCTCCTCTTGTCTGGGGCAGGTACTCTGGTGTACAATAAAAAAATGAAGCAGTACTGTACAGTACCTAGGTCACTCCTTAGACTCCAAACACGAGGATCCATCATTAATACCGCGCTGCACGAGCGACTGTCGATTAATAGGGGGCTGAGTCCCTTTGTACCAATAATCATAGCTCCAGAAGAAGAGAGAACTGCAGGCCCAGCGCTCCTAACGAGTTGTGCGGACCAGATCCCCCCCGACTCGTTGCAGACTCCACGTTCGAACGGGCCCATGCCTGCATCCCAGTCGCAACCTCCTAGGTCTCCAATTAATATCGACAACCTCCCCAGAGAATTCGCGAAATCGCAAAGGGAGGGACTACTCCTAAACGTCCTATTCGATGTACCGCGCCAGAGCCAGACTGCATGGCCGTATCCAGTCGTTATGCTGAAAACTCAAAGCAACCCTCTATGTGGTCATGCCTTAAAGTGTGCACTAGTGAGAAGAAAAGTCCATATTCTGGTGACTCGATGTAATCAGCAAAGCCGTCTGGCGAATAGCATACTGTCCGGACCCAGTTATTGTCCTCATCTTGTAAGCACAAGAGACGCGCCAAGTAAACCACCTTCCAGACTCGAACGGTGTCCACCCTTGCTTGCCGGTACAATCCTAAAGCCACCCGGCAGAGAAAGACGCGCTTCTGACCCAATCCTTGTGGCCTCTAAGGACGTGTGTCCTGGCTCTCCTGAACTCGCATCCCCATAATCGTAGTGTTGTACCGTCGCTCTCGGTGACCATCCAGTCGCCACGCGGAGAAAACCTTACACTGTTTACTTTTTCGGTATGCCCAGTGAGGACAAAGTGGTCGAACCCAATCTCGTCCAACCCAGACCCTGACGTCGCTACTGCTTCCTGCCGCTGGCAACTCCAAAGCCATTGGACGAATAGCGCGATACAGTCGACCTGGTTGATACCACAGGAAAACAGATATTTGCCAGGTTTCACCAATGGATGCATTTTTGTTTACTGAATCTCGTCATCGTCGCTTCCGGAGAGAAGAACGTTGGCCATCAAGCGAGTATGTTACACTTGAGATAGGATCCGAGGAACCCTAACATATCGAGCATGGTCCCCCCCTTCCCCAACAGAAGTCAAACTCCCAAAACCGTACGGTCTTATCCCGACTGCTCGAGGCTAGCCGTGAAATCACTTAGAGCGAATACGGCGCCGGGCCGCAGGATCGGAATGGCCCCTGCAGAGATAGAGACAAGAGCACTAGCTTGTGCGTTCCCACAACTTTACAGTCTTTCCCTTTGCTTTCGTTTTTTTTTGGATGAGGGTTGCACAGAGATAAGGGTGGGAGGAGAGAAGGGGAGGGATCGAGCATGGCTCAGATTGATATCCCATGGTACACCTGTGTCTCTCCGACCATCGAAGTACCGGTAGTTGCCCATAGTTACTCTACATTGAATGCACGGGTTTTTTTCCAAGGGTACGCGTTTTCATCGATGGGAACCCTGTCTCAAATAAGGTGAGTCTGATAAAGGGGTTGACCAGTGAATTTGCAAAGACAAACCAACACAACGGTCAATTGATCATCCTACCTTCGAATAGTTTCGTCGAGGTAACAAAAGGAACCAGATGAACTCTTCCTAGCAGACTTTTCTTTTCTCAAAGACGAACAGCCTCCATGACCCTATGAGCGACAGGAAGAGCTTACCATTGAATAAAAGGCCCCACAAACAACATCTTTTCAAGTAGTATGTGGAGAGAGCAACCCTAGACGAAGAAGAAGAAAAAAGCAAGCAAGCAAGCACGTTTTCCCCGCAAATCATAGTATGGGCATCCCTTTGCTAAAAAGCAACATTGACGTTACAGGGGGTGTAGGTCAAACTATGCCAATACACACTTGGGTGGATTGTTGATCCAACACCAAATTCTCGGTGTAAGAAACAACTTTGAATAACGTAAAAGTGCCATAGAACCATGGACCCTGTTGTTAGGTGACCCGCTGCTTGTAAAAAGTGTACAAAATCCAATTCGAAGAAGAGAAGGAAGCTCAGCGACATGGTAAATGGTATCAAGCCTACTTTACTTTACTTTCTTTTCATTCATTATTCAAGTCATCTACACGGAATCTCTTTACAAACACGAGAAACAATCAAGTAGAGAAGAGTGAGGCGAAAAGTCTTTTGGTATTGTTGTTTATTATTGAGTTTCGTGTGCTTTTATTTGCAAGAAAAATGAATGGTTGTCGACTGACTGTATGGTGGAGGTGCATTACTCGTTGTTTTTGTGATCTTATTAGGGTTGCCGTGCTACCGTAGGGTTTAGTAGTGGATATACTCGGCACCAGGGATAACGTCTGTCTCCTCATTATCACCCTCATCGTCATCTCCATCGTCATGGCCGGCACCATCGTTGTTGGAGTTGGTTGGAGGAACGGAAGAGAGACTGACATGAGAAGCGGTATCTTGATCATCGACATCACCAGAGTCGTCGCTGTCGTCACCATTATCGTCACCGCCGCCACCATGGTCACCAGAGTCGTCGCCATCGCCAGCGCCAGGGTTCTGACTGGCGCCACCAGTGCCTCCGAGTTCATCACCACCAGAGTCATCGCCATCGCCATTGCCAGCGCCAGGGTTCTGACTGGCACCACCAGTGCCTCCGAGTTCATCACCACCAGAGTCACCGCCATCGCCATTGCCAGCGCCAGGGTTCTGACTGGCACCACCAGTGCCTCCGAGTCCGTCACCACCAGAGTCATCGCCATCGCCATTGCCAGCGCCAGGGTTCTGACTGGCACCACCAGTGCCTCCGAGTTCATCACCACCAGAGTCACCGCCATCGCCATTGCCAGCGCCAGGGTTCTGACTGGCACCACCAGTGCCTCCGAGTCCGTCACCACCAGAGTCATCGCCATCGCCATTGCCAGCGCCAGGGTTCTGACTGGCACCACCAGTGCCTCCGAGTTCATCACCACCAGAGTCATCGCCACTTCCAGCACCAGGGTTCTGACTGGCGCCACCAGTACCTCCGAGTCCATCACCACCAGAGCCATCGCCACCGCCATTACCAGCGCCAGGGTTCTGACTGGCACCACCAGTACCTCCGAGTCCATCACCACCAGAGTCATCGCCACCGCCATTACCAGCGCCAGGGTTCTGACTGGCACCACCAGTACCTCCGAGTTCATCACCACCAGAGTCATCGCCATCGCCATTGCCAGCGCCAGGGTTCTGACTGGCACCACCAGTGCCTCCGAGTCCATCACCACTAGAGTCATCGCCACCGCCATTACCAGCGCCAGGGTTCTGACTGGCACCACCAGTACCTCCGAGTTCATCACCACCAGAGTCATCGCCATCGCCATTGCCAGCGCCAGGGTTCTGACTGGCACCACCAGTGCCTCCGAGTCCATCACCACTAGAGTCATCGCCACCGCCATTACCAGCGCCAGGGTTCTGACTGGCACCACCAGTGCCTCCGAGTTCATCACCACCAGAGTCATCGCCACCGCCATTGCCAGCGCCAGGGTTCTGACTGGCACCACCAGTGCCTCCGAGTTCATCACCACCAGAGTCGTCGCCACTTCCAGCACCAGGGTTCTGACTGGCACCACCAGTGCCTCCGAGTCCATCACCACCAGAGTCATCGCCACTTCCAGCACCAGGGTTCTGACTGGCGCCACCAGTACCTTTGGGCTTTCCATCAGGACCGAGTTCGCCGGGACCACCGCCACCACCAGGATTACCAGTACCATTGGGCTTTCCGCCAGGACCGGGTTCGTCGGAACCACCGCCATTACCAGCGTTACCAGTGTCTTTGGGCTTTCCGCCAGGGCCGAGTTCACCGGAACCACCACCACCGCCAGCATTACCAGTACCTTTGGGCTTTCCATCAGGGCCGAGTTCGTCGGAACCACCGCCATTGCCAGCATTACCAGTACCTTTGGGCTTTCCATCAGGGCCGAGTTCGCCGGAACCACCGCCATTGCCGGCGTTACCAGTGTCTTTGGGCTTTCCATCAGGGCCGAGTTCGTCGGAACCACCGCCATTGCCAGCATTACCAGTGTCTTTGGGCTTTCCGCCAGGACCGGGTTCGCCGGAACCACCGCCATTACCAGCATTACCAGTGTCTTTGGGCTTTCCGCCAGGGCCGAGTTCACCGGAACCACCACCACCGCCAGCATTACCAGTACCTTTGGGCTTTCCATCAGGGCCGAGTTCGTCGGAACCACCGCCATTGCCAGCATTACCAGTACCTTTGGGCTTTCCATCAGGGCCGAGTTCGTCGGAACCACCGCCATTGCCGGCGTTACCAGTGTCTTTGGGCTTTCCGCCAGGACCGGGTTCGCCGGAACCACCGCCATTACCAGCATTACCAGTGTCTTTGGGCTTTCCATCAGGGCCGAGTTCGCCGGAACCACCGCCATTGCCGGCGTTACCAGTGTCTTTGGGCTTTCCATCAGGGCCGAGTTCGTCGGAACCACCGCCATTGCCAGCATTACCAGTGTCTTTGGGCTTTCCGCCAGGACCGGGTTCGCCGGAACCACCGCCATTACCAGCATTACCAGTGTCTTTGGGCTTTCCGCCAGGGCCGAGTTCGTCGGAACCACCGCCACCGCCACCAGACTCTGCTCCGCCAGTACCAGGACCCTTGGGAGTAGGGTTAGGTTTGGTGGGGATACCACCGCCACCAGGAGTCAGACCACCGTTTCCGGCACCACTACCACCGTTGCCGCTTCCATTTTCACCTTGCTCACCGGGACCACCGGGAGTAATACCAGGTCTTCCGCCGCTGTCGCTTGTGCCGGGGGTAGGAGGTTTGGTGGAAGGAGGAGGGCGTTTGTCGGGATCGCCTCCTGGAGGGTGGGGGGTTCCTGGAAGCTCAATGGTGCCACCACCGTTGCCTTTACCATTTCCAGGGGTCAGGATAGGGTTGGGTTTCGCGGTGCCCGAGCCAGGCTTTCCAGGAGTAGTAGGAGGGTGAAGTTTGCCTGCGCCATCGCTGGGGGTGTGGACTGTGCCTGGAGGTTTAGTTGTTGGAGGAGGAGGGTGCTTATCAGGATCGCCACCAGTACCACCACCCGGTTTGCCTGGAGTAGTGATCGGTCTGCCGGGTGGGTTCAATGGAGGTTTGGTGGAACCGCCAGAGCCACCGTTGTTTCCGCCGGTGGCTGGTGGTTTGGCAGCACCACCGCTACCGGCGTTGGTAGGGGGTTTATAGTCGGGGTCGCCGCCGCGTGGTGGGGGTGGTGGTTCGATGGAGACGATTCCTGCGAGGATATCGTCGCGTGAGATTGAGGGGTGCGAGGCGGGGACAGGGAGGGAGTGTGTTGAGGATTGGAGGATGGCCACACTGACCACTAGGGAGAGGATCAGTGAGGATGCTGTGATTCGCATATTTGAGAGGTGGGGTTGGAGTGTGCTTGTTCCAATGAGTGAGTGAAGGAGCGAGAGTAAAAAGAGAAAGTATGTGTATGTGTATGTGTATGTGCAGGATGGAAGGATGAGGTAGGGTGTAAGGCGCTGGTTCGTGTGAAGAGAGGGGATTGAGAGGGAGGGGTATAGAGGGTTGGGTATGTATGTGTGGAATAAAAATGAGGTGGAGTGAGTCTTGAAAGGGTGACTAGAAGGAGAATGGAATTCGAGTAATGAACAAAAAGAAGAGAAGAAAATAAGAAAGCATAGACAAGAGGCTGCCTTGGTTCTGTGAATTACAATCCCTGCCTCCTGCTCCCCAAGTGGGCAACCATTCCGTCCGACCGACAGACCCACCGACCAACCACAGCCAGCAAGTACGCAGTGCAAAGGTAAAAGCCAAAAGGCAAGGACCCATTCCTTTGTTTTTTCTTTCTCTTCTGTAAACTTTAGGAGATGAACAGGAACAACATTAAAAAAGGTTTCGTTCTCCCGAGTCTGACAGGGGAATGAGAGAGAGGCAAACGGCGCTAAAAAGTGAGCCATGCCCATGCTTGGCAGTTGGTTGTGCATGTCGATATTTTTCACACTCCTTTCCGTTCCCTGCTCCTGTGCCTGGATTACGTGCGTGCGTGTGTGCGTGATTTTCTGACTCTTTCTCTCAGACAAACGAAAAAGGGCTCACATGCAGGCAGGATAATAATCCAATATCTTGTTTCTTCCCGTTCCTTGTCGACTCTTTATTATTTGCAAGCAACAATTGCTTGTTCGCTTTGTTTCTTGTTTATCAAGATGTTGGGAACGTGGGGATGGAAAATAAGGCGTTGTTTGAGAGATTAGGTTGTTCATGGCGGGTGGTCGTTATGGTTGGTACCAAGGGTAATTGACGCCAGTCAAGCTGTTTGATTGCGCGACACTTGTGTGTGGGGAAGAAGTGCTGAACAGACTGAAAAGCAAAGGGCAGCAGAAAGAATCCGGCCATGGGATTGGGCTCATAAATAAATAAACAACAAAAACAAAAACAAGGAACTGATGCACCTTTTCTAAATGTGCACTGCCAAATATCTCCTCATTCGTCTTACTCTCTCTCCTTTGTCTTCTCTGTCTTTCTCACAGCTTTTCTTCTGCCTTTTCCACGAAACTGTTTTACTCTCAAACGAAATCTTCGATCCGCCCTTGTCCCTTGATATGAAGTGATTTTACAACGGTTTATTTTCGAGACAAAGAAAGAAAAAAGCGAAACGAGTCTGGTAGAAAATTGCATGAAAATAGCGGCGCGCATGCCTGGAGTCGAAGTAATAGGGAGAGGAAAGGTGAACACAATCGATGATGAAAACGCTTAAGTTTTGGGCTGTTGCATTTTTTTATTCTTTTTTTTATTGTTGTTGCGCTCTTGGAAATCGTCAAAAGGCAACAAGTAAACAAACTATCCGCCGTAGCATGCACGAAAGACGAACGAAATTACAAATCGAGTCCCCAGGCCATGTGCACTGCCTCCTAGTCTCAAGGCAATTAACGATCCCGTCAGCAGAAATAACAATGAAAATCAACGGATGGAGAACCCGGTGTCAAAGGGGGAAATGAAACAGAAGCGAAAGTAGAGTGGACAGCGCGGTAGGTCGGAATAAAGAGACTCGATCCTAACCTATATAATCCATCCCCTCGCCCTAGGATCAAGTCACGAACAAAGAGCGGAGAAGAAGCACAACAACCCAAGTCCAGTCGTTTTTATTCTTGGCCCGTGCTTGTCATTGCAATAAGCAGATGTAAGGAATGCAGCGAAGACCCAACGGCCAGTAGTAAAAAGCGAGGGATAAGACAGAGGAATGAAACATTCAAAGTGTTACATGTGTTTTTGTATCTTTCGGAAAGAATGCATTTTTCCTCTATTTCCTGCACAAACGTGACATTTCAATGCAGTGCAATGCATCTCCGTGTCTGTAAGGTGAAAAGATGGTACGACATTTGTGCATGCTCCTGATCTCCTGACAGCCCACCAGAAAACACAATGACCTAACAGAATGCATGCCCACACAAACACGTTACTCACACACTTTCTATCTCCCTGTATAGTACTGCAATTTCACCTATATCTCCCTTCCTGGTTTGTTGTGCCTTTTCTTCGTCCCTCTTGTGATAGACTCTATCGCCGCCAATGCCAATCGCGTAGCTAACGATGGCGAACATGATCATCGCGTTATCGCTTGGGGGTGAGACTAATAGAATTGACCAGATCAGCTGGACAGCGCAGAGACCGAGGTGAGAAAGAGAAGGAGGGAGAGAGCGATGGAATTGAGAAGGAGGGAGAGAGCGATGGAGTAGAGAACGAACGTGTTTTGCAGTGGGGAAGACTTGTAAACGGCAAAAAGATGGTGGCAAGTTGAACGAGGTTCCAAGACAATGGGCGCTATAATCACGTCACGGATGCGAGTAATCAAAAACCCTCCCGGTCCTCAACTCGACCAATGCATTTGCTAATACACATTCTAGTTTATGAAAAAAGGTGTAGACTATGCACCCTTGTTGGCAGGACAGGGATCGATCCTATCCGTAGGGGCCTCCCTCTTAAGAGCTCGATCGTCCGCAGGGCTTGTCGGGTTGCTGTCCTCCTCCATCCACGGGTAGTGTCCATCTTCATCAACAGGCTGAAGATAAAGTGGGTGTTGTTGATGCAGGAAGTAGTTCTGGACCAAATTGTACATATCGAAGGCCGCCATGAGATCGCGCTGCATGTAAGTCGTCCATACGATTTCAACTATAAGAAAATTAAAAAATGGGTAATTTCACTCAATGTTACTAATGTTGCTTGAAAACCCATAGTTGCAGCAACACACAATCTATTCGCCAACTTACCAACTACACGAAGTACTGGCGAAATTATGTATGAAGGCAGGCCAACTCGCTTTTAGTTGTAAAGTGTCCTAGTCCAATGCCGATAATGACATTGTTCTTGGAGTCTCGTCGTTGGCCAAGGGTTCCATTGATCATTGCGAGCAAGCGAATTGCCATCAATCTGGACTCTTCATCGCGGGCTTTCCTGCCGTTCCATTGGTTCTTTTTCAAGATCACATTAGAATAGAATGCCAAAAGAACGAGCTCGACATCCTCCAGCTGGTGGACGTACCCCATGATACTGCCATTTGGTCCATGTCGAGCTGGTAGGTCATTTTCGGTAGAGAAGATGGTTTGGTCGTCCTTGACAGGTTTGTCCTTCCTCTGGTTTATCCACCGTTGCAGTTCCACTCCATTCTTGGAGAGAGAAGGAATCTTGCTGTTGTGGATGGCTATCAAGAGTGGCTCAAGAAATTGAGCGCGCTCCTTGTGATGAAATAAAGGGTTAGTTTTTACTTGACGAATAATTCGCTATAAATTAGTGTGCTCAATAAACGGGTCAACGACCACCTTCTTTCTCGTCTTCAGTTTTCCTTCATAAGTTTGACTCTTGTTCTTCGTGATGTTGTCGCCTTGACCGTTCGAGTCATCCCAACATCCGGCTCATCCAACTCATCTTGCTCCAGTGCTGCCGCACTATCACCGCCATCGACCACATCCTGGTTGCTGACACGAGGACATATTTTGTGGAGTAGATACCGATCACTGGTGTCGATGGCTCCAGAGGATATTTTCTCGACGAATTAACCGACAGCTCGCTAGCATAGTCGTATCGTATTGGAGGCGATATGGACAACCTGGTTAAGGCAAGTCTTGATCCTTGGCAAAAATTTGGAGGCTTCTTTATGGTCGAACTCCTTGGCAAGGACTGCGTTGGCGTTGAAGGTACCAGTATCAAAAGTACGTATGGGGCGTCCCTTCTGCGCAGATCGCACGAGTTGATTCTTGTCCATTTCATCAGCAAGTAGGGAAGGTCTTGATGGTGCCTTATGCTTACGCTTCTTTTGCTTCTTTTGCGACTTCCGGTCCCTATTTTTGCTTGAGCTGCTGTTATTATTGCTGTTACTGGTGCTGTTATTGGTACTGTTATTGGTGCTGTTATTCGTGCTGTTGTTGGTGCTGTTGGTGCTGTTGTTGGTGCTGTTGGTGCTATTGGCGTTGCTGCTAGTGTTGCTGCTGGTGCTGGCGTCATTACATGCAAGAGACGGAAGGGCAAGTTTCCAAGGTTTCCACTTGTATTGGGGTCATAGTCTCTGGGGGGTTCTTGCTGCAACTTTCTGATCGTGTTTTTGATGGCGTGCCGAGAGAGATATGGGTACTTCTTCTCAAACTTGTGACGATAATGTGGGCGTTGTGTCCATGCTGACGAACAATGGTATTATTGGATGTTGCATAGCGTATGCGACAGTAGAAGCTTTATGCTAGTGTATGTGATATAAAAAGTGAAATTCTAGCATATGTGACAGAAAATGGTTATTCGAGTAGTGTAGGTGATAGAAAAGTGTAAGATTATTCTACTCGGCAAAAATCCCATCTCCTCATCAAGTTTTTTGGAGCCCATTGTCGAATGAGTTCCTTGTGCCGATTTTCAACGTATTATTATTGGTGGATTTTTACCCCTCCTGAGCTTTTTGCTTTCATCCATCTCTCTCTCGACCATCCTCTCCTACACACACTCAGTTGTCGCCGCTCCTCTCATTGACTCCTCTCACTAACATTCAGTAGCCTGCTAGCGACACAGTGACAAGTCAAACAAGAACGGCTGGATTCAGGAACCTGGAAAACACTAATCAAATCAACCCACAACAGACAAACACATGCAAACAACGACAGAGATGGTGAAGATGCAGGTGACAACGAGACGTCGTTTGAATACACGACCAGTCTCCCCTCCCTCTTCCTCGTTCTCTTCCTCATCTTCTCCCTCTCCCTCTTCTCCCTTGTCGCCATCCTCAGCCTTGACCTTGACCCCTGTCATCACCTAGCCATCGACGACTCAGCGATCGACCTTCTTCAAGTGGGACCGTCCCTCAAGACGCAGAAAGGGTCTAATGTGAACAAGAGTATGCAAAAGAGCTTAAGTTACAGAGGCGCCTGTCAGGATCAACCGCTTGCATAAGATTTGAATATAACGGCCACATTCGATTTTTGTACAATGCCCCTCGCTTTAAAACAACGTTGCAAAGCGACGCTGATTTCTTCTTCACCCTTCTTGACCTCCTTCCTTCCCTTCTTACGTTTGATTGCCACTTTCGACTCTTCTCTAATGCCCACTTCGACTGCAGACCTTTACCGTCGACAGGAATCAGCAACTAACAACAGCCGCTATAGCAACAAAGACCTTTAACAGTCGCAATCAACAGGATCCCCTACTTTAACAAGAGACAAACACACAACAACCAGCATAAAAAGCACGATGGGCAAAAACACAGTCGCCAAGAGACGCTGCCTCGATGAGGGCGTCGTCTCCCCTCCTTCTTCGGTCTCACTCGAGCCTTCGTCTTCTTCTTCTTTTTCGTCTTCGACTCCATCACCCTCGTCCTCCCCATCACCAACCTACAAGATCATTAGCTCTCCCGTCACCCGTGCCACAAGTGGACCAAACGTGGAGTTGGTCGATACAACGCCGACGACACAGATACCAACAATGACTCCACGGACATGGACAGTGACAGTGAGGGATACGAGTCCGATGTCAGTTCGAGTTCGTGCGAGTCGGGGACAGGCAAGCGAGCTCGCGAAGGAGAGAGTGATGACGACCAAGACACAGACGATGAGCGCTCAGCCTCGCCTACGACTTTGGTGCTGGCGGACTTTGACGCTTGCGACTTGAAGACACCTGTCTACTCGACTGCTCAGACCCCTGGAGCTGCGATCAGGATGTTAAATAATGTCGCCCTCGGAGGCGGATCGCTCGTCTCGCCTGCATCACCCGCCTGTTCAATTGATCTTGAGCCATTCCGCATGCTCTCCAACTACAAGGGATACAAGAAGGCACTCTACCATATCTCGGAGATGGCTACGTTCGAGGAGGACATGGAATATGTGAAGCATAACGAACCACTCGACAAGTTTTTGGCTCGTGTGGAGAAGAGGGCTGCTTGTGAGACAGACCCTGAGGACGAGGACATCAATAGCGGACCTGCTTTTGCTGCGACTCGCGCAGTTGCTTACCCCGAGTCCGAGTCTGAGGACGAGCACAGTGTTAGAAACCGAGGTGATTTGGCTTCCAAGGTGTTTGTTACTGCTATTGTTACTGCCAATTACCACAAGCAGAGACAGGACTACGGGGATGGAAATACCACTCCCAAGGCATTTGGTGCTGGCAGGGTCCCGGATCAGGAGTTAAGCGTGGATGCTGATGACTTTGAGCACTACAACAACAACAACAACAACAACAACAACAGCTATGATGACTCGCTCAGTGGTCAGGATCTCAGCAACGATGACAACAGAGACTGGGGATTTTACAGCGACAACAGTCAGGAAACTGTTCGCGGCTACGGCTCAGGAGACGACGAAGACGAGCAGGATCTCGACTACGACCACGAGGATTCATTTGGGCGCAACTACAAGGCCGCTGATAGCGCTAACGACTCAGGTCACAGCTACGAGGATGAAGATGGCGACCACGAAGATGGATACGCAGATCACCGGAACGACGACAAGGATTCCTTTGAACATTACGATGAGGCTCCTGACGGCGCCACTGCCTCGGGACTCCACTACGAGGACGAAGACGATTATTTCAATTACAAGGATGACAAGGACTTTGACGCTACTAACGCCTCTTCTGCTGATGTGACGTGGGTTGCCTCGCCTGGAACTGCTTCTCCTCACATTGCGGTCAAGAGTTTGGTCTAAGGATCATCGCCCGCACCCTGCCTCACTTGCTCATCTCTGAATCCTCCCCTCTCCACTCTATCCATTGTGTTTATTGGTCGATTTGACTAAACTTCAAGTTTCGGCCCGGCCTGCATTACTAACCCTTCCTTATGTACTGTATAAATGCTTGCGTCTTGCTTTGTTTCTTTTCCGGCCACGAAAAAAATAATAAAAAATACCACATTGGAACAGACAAAAGAGGACTTTGAACAACACATTGGATTGAGCAGATGTATTATTACAGTTATCTAAAAAAACCCATTGGGGCTAGCCACAAGAAAAGAATGGCCCTAGACGACGATCCGCCGCTCAAAACGCGCATAATTGATCCCAGTCGCAGGATTGGTATACGTCCCCCGTTCTTCCAACCCCTTCACCCTTCCCTCATACCCATCCTCAGGATCCACCACAAACCCACGGCACTTCTCCCGATAAAATTTCCTCAACCCTGGGTTGTTCCCCCTACAATCCAACCTCAAATACACCTTCCCCTGCTTCGGAATCAATTCCTCCGTAAACTTCAAGACTTTGGGGACAATCCCCTTTCCCTGGAAGGCCTTTTCGACCACCAACCGATGGACATACAACGCATCCTTCCACCCGTCCTCTCCCAACAGCGGGGACCAAAGCATGTGGTCAAAGGGGTCTTCGGAATTGAGTGCAAAGATTGCGGCGATTGTCGAGGAGGGTTGGTGGATGACGACGAAGGAGGTCTGGGAGGCGATTGCGGAGGAGATGTGGGCGCGGGCGTCGGGTTTGCGGAATGTTCCTGGGATCCATTGGGAGAGGTTTTGGGATTCCATCCATTCTGCGGCTCGTTCTAGGATGTTTATGTATTCCTCTATTTCCTCAGGGTTTGTCTATGAGAGAGGATAAAATGGGGAATTGGGGGGGGGGGGGGGGGGGAGTTAGATTCGATGCTGTAGTTTGGGATTGCCTGAAGGAGGGGAGAAGTGTTAGAGTGATCGAGTTCCTTTCCAATGCTGAATGAGGGCGAGTGATGAAGACTTACATTCCTGATGAGGAATTCGTCCTGATGAGGTGAAGTCGCCGTTGCTGTAGTCATGCCCGGTAGTAAGTAGTAGTAGTTGGTTTCTGAAGAGTTCCTTGGAGTCGCTTGTTTGTTTGGTTGGAAAGAGAAGCAAAAGAGAAAGTCGTCCGACCAGTGTAAAATAGGGCGGAGAAATAAAGCGCAGTGACTCATTCAATGCTCAACTTCTGTCCCTGAGAACTGCACCTGTTGACCTATCCCGCTGGTATGGACGTCCATGACTCCCAATGCTTATCTGTTTTCTCACGCTCCCAACCAGGGGGAGTTATTCCGCCATTTGTTCATCCGTTTGCTTGATCTGAAAAAGACTCCATATATCCATAAGATCCATCGTCTATGTTCAATTGCGTTGACGTTTAATCCTTTGTGCAAAAAAAGACAAAAAAAAAAAAAACTTAGAGGGGAACGACCTGGCGCTCAAACCTCGCAAACTCCATCCCCAGATCCGGGTTCCAAACCGTCTCCAACTCCTCCAGCCCGCCCTTCCCCACCCCGCGACACCTCGTCCTATAAAACTTCCGTAACCGCTCATTCCCCGCTAAACAATCCAACCTCAAGAAATGTCGACCCGATTCTTGAACTTTTCCTTCAACAAACTCGACGATTTTAGGGGTCAGCCCAACGCCTTGGTAGGGGGTCTTGAGGACAAGGCGGTGGAGGTATAGGGCGTCTTTCCAGTCGTGGCCGCGGGTGAGTAGATACTCTTTCCAGAGGAGTTCGTCAAAGGAGTCGTCGTAGTTTGTGACAAACAATCCTGCGATCTCCGTTTTAGCTTCCCCTACTCCTGTTCCTTTTCCTGAAGAAGGTGAGTGATAGTCGATGGTGAAGTATTGGTTGTTGGCGATTCCGGTAAGCATGCTGGCGCGGGAGGCGGGGTTCCTGAACATCCCTAGAGGCCATTGCTTGATATTGTTGGAATGGAGCCATTCTGCAGCCTCTTCTAGGATATCGATGAATTCGTCCACTTCCTCCGGGCGAGTCTAAATGGATTGAATTGGGTTGACAAGGGGAAAGAGTGAAGAGAAAGGAAGAGGTGAACGAGTTAGAAAATGAGGGAAGGAAGGGAGTGTGTTGGTTATGGTTGTGCCAATGCAGCTTCAGAGGGAACTATTCTGCTTGTGGAACCATGGGTAAAACCAGGTTCCTCGAGTCGGCAGGGAAAGAGAGAGACCACTGTTTCATTGACAATAGAGGCACTAGGCAAAAGTGATGGACGGACAGAGGACTTACATTGCGGATGGTAAAGTCTTGAAGCTGCATGAGAAAGAGGAGGCCCTGAATGATCAGGCAACGAACGACGCGGGTGATGAGAAATGTCGAAGGTTGATGGAAGAAGGAAAAACTCGGTCGTTGTCATGGGAAGACTTGACGTTGACCAGTATTAGCGCAGCACTCAGCGTAATTGGAATGCCCTTAATGAATTATCCTACCTAAGCTGTTGAGGTTCGACCCCCAATAGGCCCCAGGGGTGTTACACACTTGTCCCACATCGCAGAAAGGCAAAGCTTCGTCCTCTTTCCTCGCTCTTAATGTCCACTTTGTTCTTGCATGGCTGTAGAGCGCCACTCATTTCCTAGGACACAACTACACACCTACAGCACCCTCATACGGTCAACAAACATATGTGCAGTTGGCATGTGCGTACTATATCTTGTCTCTACTCTCATGTCTTTGCATTCCCATTCTCCTCACTCACTTTATTCACGCACTCACATCTAACTTCCCACAAGCGTGACCCTTCCTCCACATAAACCTGCTCCATCCCATGGATTCTCATTCCTTACTCCTCTCCCTTCCACTCCTATTTCTGAGTCCCAATCAAGCTTCTCTCACCCACTCACACATTTCGCACTAGTTTTGGGCATAGTCCGTGGAAATGTGCGACGGAGTGCGAGCTCGGTGTTCGGAAAGAGGAAAATAAGAAAGTGAGAAACGGGGGAAGGAGGGAGAGGGCAGCCTAAAAACAGTGAGTAAAAAAACCCAGCCAGGGGCATCCGTGGAACTCATTGTCGGGGAACGAGAACAGAAGAGTCAAAATAAGTGGGTATTTTTTCATCCAGTCGTTTTTGTGGGTGAGGATTTGAAGTTAAGTTAACTTTGCAACTTCTTTTGGGCTGTTAGAGATGGTCATGCAAACCAAATACAGGTTCTGCGACAAGCAGAAAAATGGACTTTTCTCGTTTTCTCTTTTGGCGGTTGGCAGTTGTCGGTTGGAGGGTGAGAGTTGAAAAGGGAGGCCACTGAGTGGATGGAAAGGGAGATGATGAAGAAAAATATTACTAAACGCGCAAAAGGGTAAACAATGACAAGTGCCAAATGACATGAACTCTAGATGGAAAAGATACAATATCTGGTAGTTTCGTGGTGACACCAAGATCCAGACCAGTGTGTGGGCTCGAAAGTCATGAGGACAAGCATAGGATTGGTGCTAAAAGGGGGCACCCTTGGAGGAGAGGGCAAAAGAGGAAAGGAAGGTTGTTTTGTGTTTTCTGGGGTTGACACAATGGCCACAGGTTGAGGTGTCGTGAGTGAAGGAAGAATGGGAGGTGGGTTTAGGTTAGAGGGAGAGTGTGATGTCTATGAAACCGGACCTACCGCAGGTCATCATCTGTTGGTCTCTGGGGTAAGAAGGATCGTGTGAGTGTGTGTGATGGGTCAAGACGAAAAAGGAAAGACGAAGGGCTAGAACTATGAGTGGAGAAAAGAAGACGGACGGAGAAAAAAAAGGAAAGGGGGGAGATGACTATCAGAAGAGAGGTACAATTCAATTGACCCCGGAATAGATGGAGACTTCTTTCCTTCTCTCTTTTTCTCTCTGATTGTTCAATGGTATTCATTGGACACGTTGCTTTTATTATACGTTGCTTTTGCTGTGAGTAGTCGTGACTATAGTTTGCAAGCCAAAGGCGAGCCCAATTCACCTTCAACCTTTTCATATCCAGCAATGAATGATTGAGTGGATGAGTGCTAGTTCCGTGCATATAAACAAAAACAAAAATAACATGTACTGTAGTCTACCCTAGGAAAAAGAAGAGTTGGGGGGAAGAGGAATTGGTTGGTTGAGAGCATAGATCGTAAGCAATATATCATAAAACCCAAACAAAATAGAAAATCAAATGGAAAACGGCAGATCGTTCCGAGGGGGAGGGAGGGGAGGTGATTGTGAAAAGAAACGATTCTGACAGGCTAGACTCTAGATCAAACGAAGAATGAACAAGGAAGACAAATGGGAAGATATGAAGAGGGAAAGAGGCAAAGAAGGGAAGAGGAGAGGAGGGTAAACTGTCGCTTTTCGCTATTGAACGAAACTAGTTGTTATCTTGCATGAACGAAGGCCACTATCAATGCAGGGAGAGGTGGCTGACTCCCTATTCTTTTCCCGTTGCGTGGTTATGTTGGCTCATTTGTTGGTCCGAGATAACGAGATATAAATTAAATGGAGGAAAGGACGGGAGGAAAGATCCAAAGGGAAAGGAAAGAAAGGAGGAGGAGATGTGCTCATCTCGTTGCCGAATGTTAGCGGATCTAGCCGAAAACCAAAAGTACATTGTTTTCGTTGCACATGCACAATCGAAGGAGACAAGGTTGGGATAATCGCATAAACATGCGTTGGTATGAGGGGAAGAAGAAAGGTAAGGAGACTAAGCAAAGGGGAGAATCAAGAAAAAGGAGGAGAGAGGGCGGCGCGGGTTGGATGGATGAAAATGGTGGGTTGTGGGGGATGAGGATAGGGGTGATGAAGGGTGGTTTTGATTGTAAATGAGCACGTTTGGATTGGAGGAGGGAATGATGGCAAGGAATCAATAGAAGAATGAATGGTGATGAATGGATCACTTTAAGTTTCAATAATAACTGATCAGTTTAGTCAGGCACCATCACTTATTAGTATTAGTAGTACTGCCCTAGAGTACACGAGTGCCACCTGTCTATGAGGTGTACCAGATATCATATCTGATACGTCCCTCTCGGCTGTCCAATTGCCTACCCTCTTGCTAAATGTTAGCTTAAGTTAGACTACAACCTCCATCCATCCATCAATCCATCCATCACCGTTTTTTTTGCGAGTGCACTGCCTCACGCCCGAATTGTTATCCGTGTGCATTATTTGTCCTGATTTCCTTCTTTGCTTGCATGCAGCAACAGCACAGAGAAAACAAAATCAAAAGGAAAAGGAAAGATAGCCGAGAGCGCTTTTCTTGGCATCTTTTCCTCATCAGGACCATCGAACCACTAGTTGCCCGTCCTTTTTTTTCTTTCTTTGTGTTTTGTGTTTGTATGTCGGTTAGTCCCGCATTGGAGCAACAAGGCCGCCCTCTTCCTCTTTCTCCTGTGTGTGTCTCGCGTGTGGGACAAACACACGTCGTCGATTGCTTTGTTTTGTTTTTAAAAAAAACTGCATGTACGCCCACGATTTAAAGTTCTTATCGATCTCAAGATCACTTTTCTCGACTCCTATGCCCTATCCCACATCGTGGTCAATGTTTGCCAAGCGACAAATAATGACCACGGAGCTCGCCCCTCTTTCCTTTTTCTGCCTGCCATTTGGGTTATTTATTGTTGTTGTTTTGCATATTTTTTGTTAGTGGTCGTGAGGCAGTGCATATCATCTTCTGTTCCCACTCCTCCATAAGGAACATCCACAACACCCCTTCGATTGTCGTACAATCAAAACCCGAGTGGGACAGGGGCAGGGGAAGTACACGCAATGAAAGCAGAGTCACGAACTTATTGTGCAATGAGGATGAGAAAAAAGGGAGCAAGATTGTGAAGAGTGAGAGGATGGAGGAGACAGACTGACAGACAGACCAGACAGAGTGTGAACGAAGTGTGTGTGTATGTGATGGATGATCGATCCTCGTCACCAATCATACACCATCTCCGTTCTTTTTTGTTTGTTTTTCTTCTTTTCATCCACTGCGCCCAAAATGATGCACCGCTACCCTTTCCCTCCCCTTCTTTCTTGTCTTCAATGCCGGCCTAGTTTTAGCTTGAAGAAGAGTAAAGTGGGCGCCAAAAAGAAAAAAACTATAATCCAACTCAACAGTCGACAGAAGGTCTAAGGGAAGGATGCATAAGGATGCGTTATCCAATGTTTGATCATGTCCCATCATCTCCTCCCAACGAGGCTCTTCTCCTCGTCTCATTCAATTTCCTTCTAGTCTGTCCTTCGATCGTTTGTCTCTGTCCTTCATCGCGAAGTATCCAAACCTCTTTATTTTCTTTCTTGTGCAACAACCATCCTGTCAGGCAACCCCTTTCCTTCCTTCTCATTCAGTGTGCGATCCTTTTCCACATCCATCTGCATAGTCTATCCCGATCTTGCAAGTTCAACCATTGCACCAAGAAGAACTATAAAAGGGATCCCATCCCCCTTCGTTTTATTTTCTCCTCATCGACTCTGATCAATCATCTCCTCTCTCCTATCTCCTCGCCTCTCTCCTACCTCAACGCCTCTCCCCCTTCTCCCACCTCCACCTCTCCTTCAAAAAGAAATAACAATGGGTTTCCGCTGGAACTCTCCTTTGGCCCAGGTGCTCGCCGTGGGTCTCATCTGCTTCTGCTGCCCCGGCATGTACAATGCCCTAAACTCTCTCGGTGCCGGTGGTCAGGTCGACTCCAAGATCGGTCAGAACGCCAACGTTGCCCTGAACACTTGTTTTGCCCTCTTTGGACTCCTCGCCGGAGCCATCCACAACAAAATCGGACCCAAGTGGACTATTTTCATTGGTTGCAGTACCTACTGCCTCTACGCCGGATCTTTCCTCTCCTACAACCACCACAAGACTGGCTGGTTCTCTATCATCGCTGGTGCCCTCCTCGGTGTCGGCGCTGCCATGCTCTGGACCGCCCAAGGTGCGATCATGATGGCCTACCCCAGTGAGCAGGAGAAGGGACGTTACATTGGATACTTCTGGGCCACTTTCAACGCCGGAGGAGTCGTTGGATCCATCATCCCTCTTGTCATCAACTTCAAGTCAACCTCGACCGGTCCCCTCGCCGACTCGATTTACATTGCCTTCATGTGCATCATGGCCCTCGGCACTTTCATCGGTCTCACCCTCGCTGCCCCTAGCAAGATCGTACGTAACAACGGTGACAAGATCAGGATCCAAGAGTTCCCCACCTGGACTGGCGAGGTCATTGCTACCTTGAAGCTCTTCCTTGATTGGCGCATGGTCGTCCTGATCCCCATGTTCTTGTCGTCCAACTGGTTCTACGCCTACCAGTTCGCCACCGTCCAGGGGTGGTTCTCGATCCGCACCCAGTCGCTCAACAATATCCTCTACTGGGGTGCTCAGATTGTCGGTTCCTATGGTTTCGGTCGCGTCCTCGATTTCCAGGGCGTCCCTCGTCGCACTCGTGGTCTCTGGGGTCTTGCGATCATCTCTGTTTTCTTCATCATCACTTGGGTAGGTGGTATCTTCTTCCAAAAGACCTACACCATCAACGATCCCGCAGGCAACCACGACTTCTCCGAGGGTAGCATTTATATCGGACCATTGTTCTTGTACATCTTCTACGGATTGGGCGATGCTGCCTGGCAGACATACTGCTACTGGTTGATGGGTGCCCTCTCCAACGATGTCACCGTCCTCTCGCGTTACTCTGGCTTCTACAAGTGCATCCAGTCGTCTGGTGGTGCCATCTCCTGGAGGATCAACGCCCTCAAGGTTCCCTTCATGACCGAGTTGATCATCTGCTTTGCCCTTTTGGGCGCTTCCATCCCCGGGGCGTTCGTCCTCGCCAACCGTCTTGAGGAGCACTCCGAGGAGGCCGTCCACATCGAGCATCACGAGTCCAAGTTGGACGAAAAGCACGAGATCCAGGCTTAAGTCTCCTTCAGGATGCGATGCGCCAAGTAGCCTGCAACAACAGCCTAAGCGACGGACGATGATGGGAAAAGCGGCGTAGAAGCGTAGTAGCAGTAGTAGTTAGCATTCCTTCCACCCCCTATTTTCAAACCTATTTCGACAGACCTTTATTCTTTTGTGTCCTCCTTACCTATTTAGTTATTAGTTCCTTATTTTATCTCTTAATACACATCAAAAGCTGTCCTCTAACCTGCGACTTCCTTGCTGTTTGTTTTCAACTTGCAGACTACTGCATCTGCCCTCTTGCCTCTTATTCAGCATTCGCCCTTTTGTCCTTTGTATTCTTGTTATAGTTTATGTTCAAAACTTGATTTGCGTTTTGTTCAGCTCCAATCTGCCGTTTTGTTTGTTCAATACGACGAGGACTCCAGTACTTACCCCAACCCCCCTTCACAGCAACGAGATGATCTTTCCCCCATTATCAAGGTCTTACAACTTCTTTCTTACTCTCTCCTCCACATAAAACAAAAAGGAGATTTATGTGTGTGGTATAGTGCATTGTCAAAGAAACGTTGTTTTGGTTTATTCATGTCCAAATGGATCGCAGAAACACACAACACACAACACACAAGATAACGATACACAACCTGGTTCTCTCACTGACGATCCATCTCATGCAGATGTCTGTATCGCACAACTCGGCGATGAGGGTTGTATGAGAGAATGTTCCTTACCAAGAGAACGAGAGGACAAGAAGTGAGAGAGCTGAAGGAGGTGTATTCGTGTGTGAGGTAGAGAAGTGGGTGGGTGAAGGATGAGTAACGGACTCTCCACCTTTTTCTCCCTCATTCCCTCTTTTTCTCCCTCATTCCCTCTTTTTCTTGAGTAATGTAGTGAATTGAATGAAGGATGAATATAGATGAGGGCGAGATGAACTTTAGATACTGCATCTTGCATCTTAAGTTAACTTTAAAGAGCTCCATGAACCCAAGTAGCCCTTTTGCGACAGGGTATGTTTCATCTATCCAACCCCATCATCCAGTGATGATGATCGGAACTCCAATCCTTCCCTTTCATCAATCCCTCAAACCTCAGTGGACCCCCCTTCCCTTCCCTTGGTCTCATTTACTCTCAGCACTAAATGATACCCTTTTCCTTCTCGTTTAGACTACTGAACTAGAGTCCCACCCTCTCCACCCCGGGGCGAGATCCCCTTTTAGTGATGAAGTCAGAGTACTATCATCCCAAGTCGGATTCCCCTGGGATTATAAAAAGGGGGTCGCATCTCCCTCACTTTCTTCTCTTTTCTTCTTCTTGTTCCCCATCTCATCTGATCAATCACATCCACAACAACCTCCCCTTTCTTCCTCCTACTTCCTCCTCTTCCTCCTCTTCCTCTTCTATTCTCTTCATCCCCTCCATACTCTCTTCTTTTTCTTCTTCCTACCCACCATTCTCACCCACCCCTACCCTAACTCACACTCTTACACAAACACATCACAATGGGTTTCCGCTGGACCTCGCCATTGGCTCAGGTGATTGCCGTCGGCTTCATCTGCTTCTGCTGCCCTGGAATGTTCAACGCCCTCAACTCCCTCGGAGGCGGTGGTCAACTCGACTCCAAGGTCGGCCAGAACGCAAACGTCGCTCTTTATACCTGCTTCGCCATCTTTGGTCTCCTCGCCGGTGCCATCCACAACAAGCTCGGACCCAAGTGGACCATCTTCATCGGCTGTGCCGCCTACGTCCTCTACGCCGGTTCCCTCCTCTGCTATAACCATACCCAGAACGGTGCCTTCACCATTGCGGCCGGTGGTATCCTTGGTGTGGGAGCTGGTATGCTCTGGACTGCCCAGGGAGCCATTATGATGGCTTACCCCCGTGAGCACGACAAGGGCAAGTTTATTGGATACTTCTGGGCCATCTTCAATGCAGGTGCTGTTCTTGGATCCGTCATCGCCTTTGCGATCAACTATAACGTCGTCGAGGCCCAGTCGCTCGGAGATTCCACCTACATTGTCTTCATCTCACTCATGGCCGTCGGAACCCTCATTGCCCTCTCGCTCTGCCCCCCTACCATGGTCACCCACTCCAACGGCGACAAGATCCAGATCCAAGCCTTCCCCACCTGGACTGGCGAGGTCATTGCTGTCATGAAGCTCTTCCTTGATTGGCGCATGATCGTCCTCATCCCCATGTTCCTCTCCTCCAACTGGTTCTACTCCTACCAGTTCTCGACCGTCAACGGCGCCTACTTCTCCACCCGCACCCAGTCCCTTAACAACATCCTCTACTGGGGTTCGCAGATCATGGGCTCCTGGACCTTTGCCCGTGTCCTCGACTACCAGGGCGTCAACCGCAAGACCCGCTCGTTCTGGGGATTGGCCATCATCACCTGCTGCTTCGTCGCCACCTGGATCGGAGGCATCTTCTTCCAGAGGGGTTACAAGATCACCGACCCCAAGGGTAACCACGACTTCAAGGAAGGTGCTTCCTACGTCGGTCCCCTTTTCCTCTACATTTTCTACGGTCTTAACGATGCTGCCTGGCAGACATACTGCTACTGGTTGATGGGTGCCCTCTCCAACGATGTTACCGTCCTCTCGCGTTACGCCGGTTTCTACAAGTGCATCCAGTCCTCCGGCGCTGCTATCTCGTGGAGAATCAACGCTGTGGGTACCCCTTTCATGACCGAGTTGATCATCTGCTTTGCCCTCTTGGTCGCATCTATCCCCGGCGCCATCTTGTTGACGACTAGGATCCAGGACCATTCGGATGAGCCTGCTGCCGTTACTGAGGGACATGACTTCAAGGAGGGCAAGCATGAGTTCGATGCCTAAATCCTTCTCCACCGCTTCTATCCCTTTCATTCATCACACTCAACCCTCATACTTTGCACATATACCTTCAATGTACTTTTCAATATTAAAATTAGTTTATCGACATTCTCTCTCTCTCTCTCTCTCTCTCTCTCTCTCTACACCTGGACTCGCTTCTGCCTTTTTGTCAATGCGCTTCTTTTTCAATGTCCTTTCGCTATTCAATTTCGGGCCATTTTTATCTTTTGGTTGGCCGCGTTTTTGGTTTTCCGTCACACATGGATTGTGTGTCGCATGGGTGCACAAGTTGCAGGGCACAGGTGGGCTCATATTTTGTCAACTTTAGTCTGGTCGTTAGGTGTGTGTTTGTGTTTGATAAGCACCCTTCTTGAGAGCGTTCATCCCAGGAAAATCAAAACGATCAAAATAGAAAATGCTAGGGGGGGGAGTAGGAAAATGCGCAGGAGTAAGGGCAAAGGAAAATCGAGGTGAGGTACAAAATCCCTTATCTTTTGTTTCGTCAACAAACAATAACAACACAATTGACAAAGGAACAAGTTGAGGAGTAAAACAACGTCAATTCACACGCTTCAACCCTTGCATTTTGTTCCCGCCATTGACACATGTTTGCATACATTACAAGTCTGGTTGTCTGTTCCAATGCTTTAATAAGTTTTGGAGGGTTATATCCCCCTCCCATTTTTTTTGTGGCCGTGAAAGGAACAAGTAAGACGCAAGCATTTATATAGTACATGAGAAAGGAAGGGTTAGTAGTACAGGCCAGGCCGAAACTTGAAGATTAGTCGAATCGATCAATTCGTCCTCGTAATGGAGTCCCGAGGCATGGGCGCCGTCAGCGACCTCGTCATAATGTTCAAAGGAATCCTTGTCGTCGTTCCGGTGATCTGCGTATCCATCTTCGTGGTCGCCATCTTCATCCTCGTAGCTGTGACCTAAGTCGTTAGCGCTATCAGCGGCCTTGTAGTTGCGCCCAAATGAATCCTCGTGGTCGTAGTCGAGATCCTGCTCGTCTTCGTCGTCTCCTGAGCCGTAGCCGCGAACAGTTTCCTGACAGCTGTCGCTGTAAAATCCCCAGTCTCTGTTGTCATCGTCGCGAGTCATCATAGCTGTTGTTGTTGTTGTTGTTGTTGTTGTTGTTGTTGTTGTTGTTGTTGTTGTTGTAGTGCTCAAAGTCATCAGCATCCACGCTTAACTCCTGATCCGAGACCCTGCCTGCACCAAATGCCTTGGGGGTGGTATTTCCATCCTCGTAGTCTTGTCTCTGCTTGTGGTACTTGGCAGCAGCAATAGTAGTAACAAACACCTTGGAAGCCAAATCACCTCGGTTTCTAACACTGTGCTCGTCCTCAGACTCGGACTCGGGGTAAGCAACTGCGCGAGTCGCAGCAAAAGCAGGTCCGCTATTGATGTCCTCGTCCTCAGGGTCTGTCTCACAAGCAGCCCTCTTCTCCATACGAGCCAAAAACTTGTCGAGTGGTTCGTTATGCTTCACATATTCCATGTCCTCCTCGAACGTAGCCATCTCCGAGATATGGTAGAGTGCCTTCTTGTATCCCTTGTAGTTGGAGAGCATGCGGAATGGCTCAAGATCAATTGAACAGGCGGGTGATACAGGCGAGACGAGCGATCCGCCTCCGAGGGCGACATTGTTTAACATCCTGATCGCAGTTCCAGGGGTCTGAGCAGTCGAGTAGACAGGTGTCTTCAAGTCGCAAGCGTCAAAGTCCGCAAGCACAAAGTCGTAGGCGAGGCTGAGCGCTCATCGTCTGTGTCTTGGTCGTCATCACTCTCTCCTTCGCGAGCTCGCTTGCCTGTCCCCGAATCGCACGAACTCGAACTGACATCGGACTCGTATCCCTCACTGTCACTGTCCATGTCCGTGGAGTCGTTGTTGGTATCTGTGTCGTCGGCGTTGTATCGACCAACCCCACGTTTGGTCCACTTGTGGCACGGGTGACGGGAGAGCTAATGATCTTGTAGGTTGGTGATGGGGAGGACGAGGGTGATGGAGTCGAAGACGAGGAAGAAGAAGAAGACGAAGGCTCGAGTGAGACCGAAGAAGGAGGGGAGACGACGCCCTCATCGAGGCAGCGTCTCTTGGCGACTGTGTTCTTGCCCATCGTGCTTTTTATGCTGGTTGTGTTTGTCTCTTGTTAAAAGTAGGGGATCCTGCTGAGTGCGACTGCTAAAGGTCTTTGTTGCTATAGCGGCTGTTGTTAGTTGCTGATTCCTGTCGACGGTAAAGGTCTGCAGTCGAAGTGGGCATTAGAGAAGAGTCGAAAGTGGCAATCAAACGTAAGAAGGGAAGGAAGGAGGTCAAGAAGGGTGAAGAAGAAATCAGCGTCGCTTTGCAACGTTGTTTTAAAGCGAGGGGCATTGTACAAAAATCGAATGTGGCCGTTATATTCAAATCTTATGCAAGCGGTTGATCCTGACAGGCGCCTCTGTAACTTAAGCTCTTTTGCATACTCTTGTTCACATTAGACCCTTTCTGCGTCTTGAGGGACGGTCCCACTTGAAGAAGGTCGATCGCTGAGTCGTCGATGGCTAGGTGATGACAGGGGTCAAGGTCAAGGCTGAGGATGGCGACAAGGGAGAAGAGGGAGAGGGAGAAGATGAGGAAGAGAACGAGGAAGAGGGAGGGGAGACTGGTCGTGTATTCAAACGACGTCTCGTTGTCACCTGCATCTTCACCATCTCTGTCGTTGTTTGCATGTGTTTGTCTGTTGTGGGTTGATTTGATTAGTGTTTTCCAGGTTCCTGAATCCAGCCGTTCTTGTTTGACTTGTCACTGTGTCGCTAGCAGGCTACTGAATGTTAGTGAGAGGAGTCAATGAGAGGAGCGGCGACAACTGAGTGTGTGTAGGAGAGGATGGTCGAGAGAGAGAGAGATGGATGAAAGCAAAAAGCCAATAATAATACGTTGAAAATCGGCACAAGGAACTCATTCGACACAATCAGTTTATTCCCCGGCATTTTCGCTCTGCATGGCTCTCATTAACGCCTTTGACTTGAAGGTAGGCGCTGTGTAGCAAGGCTATTGTTTCTTGAAGGTACTGAAACGATTACATCGCCATAAGCGTCAATGAGTATACCACTTCCAAGAAATACCCGACTTGTCGAGAGTTCGTTGGCCAAGTCGACCCATGTTAACAGAGAAAGAATGCGCGGGTTGGTGGCGGTGAATAAGATTGGTGGCGTCAGAGAGAACTATGGTATGTAAAAGAGAAAAAAGAGAAATAAAGTACAGAGTTGCAAGGGAAAAAAGAGCGGAGATCAATGAGAACAACAACGACAAAGAGAGCGAGGGGATACAATTACTGTGAAAGAGGAAAGGGGGTGGTGGTGGTGCTAACGCAAAAGGCTGCGAGAAAAAAAGTATGACGACTCTGAGCGTGGTAGTGACATTTATTTCCTGGCCATTTAGGAACTGATTGTGATGGCTACCCTTTCATCACCCTTACCCACTCCCTTACCACCGTTCCCACGCCCTCTTAACCCCTTCCTTCTTTCCTTTTTCAACTTACACCTTCTTTCATCCTTTTCGCTTTTTTACTTTCACCCTCAACGTCTCCATATCCTTTACTTTCCTGCCTTCCCAACCTCATATCCACTGATACTTCGCAGTACCATGGCCGACGACCTTACCCTGTTCTGTCTTGTTGATGGGGAATCCACATTGAACGCCTTCTCTGTCGAGATTGACCCCAGTAAGACAGTCGATGGCCTCAAGGATCGCATCAGGGCCAAGACTCCTGACACGTTCACTGGAGTTGATGCCAAGGATCTTATCCTCTGGAAAGTCTCAATCAAAGATGACGACGACGGCGACGACGACGTTACCATTGTGCTCGACTCTGTGCCTGGGTCTGAGAAGAAGAAACTCAGAGCGACAAGAGAACTCTCCGATGTCTTTAAAGAAACGCCACCCAAGAAAACGATCCACATCATCGTCGAGCGCCCTCCTCAAGGTAATGCACACGCGTTTTGCTCTCCGTTGATAATTTGTAGGCAAATTTGTTCATTGTACTTACCTCATCTACGTACCCTTATCGCATTGTACTGACATAGTGCAAGCACCTATTTTTTCAAACGAATCTCGTCCTGGTACACCGCCGTCAGGTATGTCAATCGTACTGTCATTGAATTGTAGCCCAATAGAAAGTTTATTATCCTTCGTGGATGTTATTCAACGAAGGAACATTGAATCTGCTAATTGAAGCCCAGCATCTGCTGATCACGTACCGATGCTCGAACTGTGCTTCCATTCAAATAGATGAGAAATGGCAAGAACTTGTTGTGCAGATTGAGGACACCTTCTTTGCGCCTGATTCGAACAATTACACAAGCCTCGTCCAGTTTGTTAAAGGTGGTGCGAACGTTCCGACAACAGGAGGATCACTCGGCGGCCTACCCTTTGTTCTTCCCCGTGCAGACAGGGAAACGAACAACCCCAGTCTCTTGTTCCTAAACCTACCAGAATCTCCCGGGACACAGGATCCTCCCAGTACTGCTGATAGGGCGCTCGAGAAGCTTCGTGGACGAGCAATTCCCGTGTTACCGCTCTTTGGCGTTTCTGGGTGTGGGAAAACGAGGACTGCAATCGAGATGCTCTGCATGAACTGGGGCTTCTATTTCAATGGAAGAAGCACGGATTGGGGTTCTGAAGATCTTGTTAGCTTTCTTCGATTGGTCCAACAAAGGAAACGATACCGACATTGTGACATGGAAAGCAACACCCATGTTCACATCCTGGCGTTAGCTCTTGTTCTCAGCCGTCTTGCCATTTTACAACACTGTCTCGATATCGCGGAGCGCGAACGAACAACATTTACGTGCAAACACTGGATGCTATTACAAGTTTGCTTCCGCACGTTGGGTTTCGAGGACCTGTTTGACTCGCTGTTCACGTTGTTTGCGGATACGATCTACCTTCAGTCCATCGACATTACTCTTATGAGCAGCTTTGTTCGAGTCCGTTTCTCTAAACTCCGCCTACGCCTTCTGGACCTGACCTTCAACACGCCCTCCCAGGGCACCAACTACAAAATCCTTCTAGTGGTCGACGAGGCGCAAAATCTTGGCAAGATGGACTTTGGGAAGTTTCTCTCTCAACAAGTATATCCGAAATCTGAGGGGCAAGTCGCCGCTGCCTCAGGTAACGACTCTATGCGACCGATCCTCTCCCCCTTGGTTCACGGGTTCTACCAGATCGCTCGCGACAATGGACACTTTTCCATAGTACCTTGTGGGACTGGCCTCAGCGTTTTCAATATGAATTGGCTCGAAGACTCGGCTCCTGGTCCTAAAGGTTACAGCAAGCTGCTTGGACCATTTACCGATTTCCAAGGCTGGGAGTCGCTCGAACAAGTCCAACACTACCGAGATCTTGTGCGTCGTTCGCTGCCCAATGCCGAAGCCAGAATCGTCTTCGACACTCGTGTGCCGGTCGAATCGATACCAGAGCTCTTTGCACGCTTGCGTGGACGTTTTAGACCCATTGTCTCCGCTATCGGTAAGCAAGGCCGAATGTTCATTGTTGTCACAAGTTGGAAAGAGAGGAAAAGAAGAAGCGGAAGATGGTGAAAGCATAAGTTGTGCTGGCTGGTTAATCAATATTTAATGAATTATTCAATATTTAATTAGAGCGTATGATCATGCCCAGCAATGACGAGATCGATTGGAGACAGGCGATTAAGGAAACGGAGGATACTTTGTCATCAACGGAGACCGAGTATTACGGCAAAGGAAACATCGCCTTCGACATATCGCAAATGGTTCGCAGAGTTCACAATTTCGAGTCGCGGTACGCAAACTATCAAAACATACGAACCATCCTCCAGGGCTTTGTGTTGCAGCACTTCCTGCACGGGCGCCCTTTACTTCTCAATAGGGAGGAGGCAATACTGGTGGAAGCTTCTGTCGGGAGGATCCTTAATTTCGGCAAACACGCGGTGACGGTCCTCGATGAACCCTTTGCACTGCTTGCTGCCGTGAACTACTTCCGTCGACATGACCCGAAATTTCACAGTGCGATCTGTACGTTGCTCGGTTCGGGATCAAATGCGTCAGTGCATGGACACCAATGGGAAAAGGCAGTGTTGCCTAGCCTGGCACACGTTTTCCACGACAAAATCCTATCCTACACAGGTCTGGTTCCGGAGGGGACGAAGTCGTACGATCCCATTCTGGATGGCAAGGCTGAAATTGCTGGATATGACAGCCACATCACCCTTGGGATCGACGTTAAAACTATGTCACTGGATGCGTTTCTGGAGGCTCATGTCCGCAACGGTTCACGCAAGGATGGGAAGCCAGTTCCGCCGTTTTACCAACCTGCTGAAACGCCGTCAGGACCCGACGTTGCATTTGTTCTTCATCTCGACAACCATGGCTACTGTCCCGTTTTCGTCCAATTGAAGATGCGACACAAGATGACAAAACTAGAAACTCAGATTGCGTTTTCAACGGTCAAAGCTGGCGCGGTCCAGGGCCATCTTCAAGAGGCGATGCTTCAGAGGTATTGTACCGGTTATCCTAAGCGGTTACTTGGCATTGTTATTGCTTATCCGGCCGAGCTTGCAGGCGTTGAGGGCTCATTTCCGGAGGTCAGACGAAGCGAGCGAATCCGGTCCACCGAAGGAGACACACCCCAGTGCATTTCGCTGAGGATTGACAAGAACAACATACACGACCTCTTCCCCCAAAACCATATGCAGGCACTGGATTTGCTTAAGGGAATCAAGCGACAATTGGACCAGACTGACATGGGCCAAGGCAGCGATGATCAAAAGGACGAGCCTGTGACAAAGCATCGTCGGTACGAGGATGAAAACGAAGACTCCCGCGTGGACTCTGATTAGGTTGCTCTTGTCTTGAAGCTTGCTCTACGATATTTTCGGTTTCACAGATGTACCCCATTCCTCGTTCCTCCCTATTATTTTCCATGCAAACGAGTTGGCGAAAAAAATAAATGTCGCAGCACCGATCTCTAACGTACATCCATCAACAGAACGAGCTCCCTGCCATCATATTCAATTGGCGAGAGACCATTCTCATTTATGACCTTGTTTGTACATACAGGATCCAACAAAGTAGCAGCTGTACCGGCAAGAAATGGTTTGCGCAGACCAGTCGACAGCGCTGACCCCTCATCAACCCTCGCCCCTGCGCATCCATCGCTGTTGAGTAATCAGTTGGGTAACATACCAATTAATATAGCCGCTGCTTATACTCACGTCATTTAATCCGCTGATCAAGAAAGAAAGACACGTAAATTTGGTCGTCTTGGTGTAAATGCCATGGCCAAAGCGTTACACCTGCGGGGATTGGAATGGCCAAAAAAAAAAAAAAAGCATGCTTCCAATGGGTCAACCAATGGTCAGTATGCCAACACTATAATATTGCGAGAAAGGGATATCACCCTCTCAAAGCAATCCACCCTGAGCTCCCCTTTGAGCAGATAGCATTTTCCACTGCTCAGTTCGAAATGAGTGAAAGCAGCAATATGTTCGCGCTGGTAGTTGCAGACGTATGCAAGCGCTTCGTTTTCCTCGAGCCAATGAAAGATAAATTAGCAGCTACTATTGTACCGATATTGTTCAAACCATTTTGTTCTGTTGGCTTCCCCAAGATCATTTAGGGCGACAATGGTTCTGTATTTGTGAATGGGATCATTCATCACTTGGTGTCCATCATGAACGTTGACCAACCCATTACTCCATATCACCCTCGAGCCAATAGCGTTGCTGAACGGCATGTTTGAGCGTTCAAAGACTTATTGAAGAGGGACATCGAGGGCGGATCAACTCTCTGGGATATTCATCTCCCAATGACTCAATTGCAACTCAACACTCGTGTTGCACATCTACACAGTTCAACCCCTTTTTCACTCTTCTTTGAAGGTCCATTTTCAGGCATCACTGATTTTTCATCTGCAGAGTCTGGCATTCTCACAGATGAGCAATTAGAAGAACGACTGAAGTACTTGACAGAACTGGTATTCCCAGCGGTGTCTGAAAAAAGTGCCCAAACCCAAAAAGACATGATCGCGAAGTTTAACAGAACCCATCGCCTTGTCAAGTTCCCGTCAGGTTCTCTTGTGATGGTCACAAACCACCCGCGGCTCATATGTTCATCGAGATGCCATGAACCGAGTATGAGCTCGTAACTATGCTCCAGAACAAATGAAGCTCGTCACCCAGGCTATCGACTCTGAGACCGATCAGGACGCAGGACGATCATCATGAGATCGAGAAGGTCCTCATCCATCGAGACGCTGAGGTGGAGTCTTACATTGTCAAGTGGGAAGGCTATGACGAACAGCATAACTCCGAGATCCCCTTTAGGAACTTCGATTCTCAAGCGACTGTGACGGCATGTTACGATCGCATCAGCGATTTCAATCCTCATGTCATCAAGAAAAAGATGCAAAAGGTTGAAAGATTAAAACGACTCCTTGACAAAAAAGCAATTGAAAAAATAATGAATGCCTTCAAGCAACCGCAGGGATACTAGGTCACTGAAGGACAGACTGCGACGGGGTTTTAAGCCCTCACGTATCCCTGAAGCACCTGAACCCCTCCTTAAGGGAGAACAAACTAAGGTTTTTGCACGCATAGTTCCTTATGAACGTTTTCCTTAGACGACCACCAGGGGTTTCCCGTTTTTTCTCCCATTCACTGAAAAGAGTTCTCTTATTACTAGAGCACTTCCTTCACTTTTTTCATCCTTTTTCCACGCTCTTGACCCTGCTTAGGCACATAAAAGCTGCTCAGGTACTAGGAGGGAATAAACAACATGCTTCTCACTCATTAACACTCATCATAAAACAACATATTACGATTATTAGTCTCACCCTCATGCGATAACCCGATGATCATCTTCGCCACTATTAGCTACGCGCTTGGCATTGGCGGCGATAGACTATCACAAAAGGGACAAAGAAAAGGTACAAGAAACCAGGAAGGGAGACATAGGTGAAATTGCAACAGAGGTGCAGCACTGTACAGGGAGATAGAAAGTGTGCGGACAACGTGTTTGTGAGGACATGCGTTCTATTAGGTCATTGTGTTTTCTAGTGGGCTATCAGGATAGCAGGAGCATGCACAAATGTTATACCTTTCGGACGCGGAGGTGCATTGCATTGCATTGAAATGTCATGTTTGTGCAGGAAAAGGAGGAAGGATACATTCAGATAGGAACTGATTGATTATTTTGCCACCACACTCTTTAGCCTTTCTTTTGCTACCTTACCCTCCACCCGATTCCTTTTTAATCCTCCAGCGCCTTTGGCTCTGTTCGGCTCTATTTTCGTTCCCACGCCCTTTTAATCCCTTCCTTTTTTTTTTAAGCCCACCCTTTCTTTCATACTTTTCGCTTTTTTTCCTCACTCAACCCTCGCCTTCTCTACATCCCGTACCTTCCAGCCTTCTCCACCTCATGTTCACTGATACTTCACAGCGCCATGGCCGACAACCCTCCGACACTGCAATGTCTCGTGGATGGAGAGGGTACCTCCAACGCGCTTCTTGTCGAGATTCCCTCAAGCGACACAGTCCCTATCAAGACTAAGGAGACTAACGATCCCGTTGTGCCCGCCAACAAGCACAAGCCCATCGTCTTGAACGAGATTGACTCCACAACAGAAATTGACCCAACAGACGATATTTCCAATGTCTTTCCAATGTCTTTCCGAAGGCACCACCCAAGGAAACGATCTACGACATCATTCAGCGCCTTCTTCGAAGTAATGCACACGCGTTTTGCTCTCCTTCATTGACAACTTGTTGACATTGTACTAACCTCATCTACATATACGTATTCTATTGTACTGACATAGCCCGTGCACCTGTCCTTACCCGAGACTCCACTCCTCCTCTCTCTGCGTCAAAGCAGGCAAGAGAAACTTGTAAGTGGGTGGAATATCCTTTCAAATGTGCGCTCCCATTGCGGATATGAATTTGCTGCCAATGCCTTGCGCTCATTGTTAGTCAACACGTTTTTAGAACGACTCGAGAAGGATGTCTTCCATGCAGACACTTCGATTTCACGCTTCCTTCGTTCGTTCGTGAAGGGCGACCTTTCCATCCCTGATGCAAATTGGTGTGTTAAGGGTCTACCAAAATCTTGGTTCGGTCGAGGTCTTACCGTGAGGCTACAATCCGGCCTGCTCTGGACCTTTTGCACCCGAAGCGACCACATCGGACGACAAAGGCACCCCCCTCAGAGGCAGCCCTAAAAACGATCATGGAATACCAAACAACGATCTCATCACCTTCTTCGGCGTGAGTGGCTGCGGAAAGACGCGAGCTGTCGTGGAAATGCTTGCGCAGAACTGGGGGTTCTATCTGAATGGCAGTCGGGCGGATAAAGGTTCAAGGGATGTCGCCACTTTGTTCGAATCAGCACTGGATATGCCGACACGATATTTCTCCTCCGACAAGGTGCAGAATGGCCTCAACATTATGGCGATTACAGGCTGCCTTCTTATATCACGCCTTATGGTCCTACGATACTGCCTGAGTTTCGGTCGCCGTGATACATTTACCTGTGATCGGTGGATGTTACTCCAAGTTTGTCCGGGAGTCTTTGACGCCACTGTGCCGGATGTCTTTAACGTCGTTTTCAACGCTATACTACACGCCTGCCACAATCAGATGCCATGTATTCCTTTCGCCAGCTTAGAGCATCTATTGCAGGATCGATTTCATCAGGTTCAAGACCAGCTCTCCTCGTTCACCTCCGATTCTCCTACAAACAAGCTTCTCGTCGTCCTTAACTCAGCGCAGGCCCTGAGCGATTATGGGAGGGATTGTTTCGTGTCGCACGCGGACCCCAGTGATCTGAGATCGCTCCTTTCTCCTATCATTCATGGGCTCAGGAGCATTTCGGGAAACTTGAGAGACTACTGTGTGGTGACTTGTGGCGCAGGCATTGGTGCAGACGAACTCGAAGCCTTGGCGACCTCTGGTGGGATTGGAGGCAACCTGGATCAAATCGATCGCCGAATCGTCGACTTTCCATGTTGGGAAACGGAGGACCAAGTTTCTATGTACATCAACGATCTCGGAGAAGCGATGAGCGAGGACGACAGGGTAATGCTTCATACCTTGATACCGGAGACAGCTATCCAGGAGTTGTTTTACAAGCTTCGAGACCGGCTCCATCCAATTATCTTGAGTGTCTCGACCGCACATAACTATTCTCCTCCATCACTCTCATTCATTCTTTCATTCAAACGCTCACTCACTCTCTCTCTGCTCATTACACACATTTCGCTTTCTTTCTGCAACACAGACAAGACACGCCTCGTTGGGGTTTCTATTTCAACGCTGCTGCGAACGACTTGGGATCGGTCGACATTACCGCCCTCATGTCCGACATTGGGACGCGTCTACAGCCGGATCGGAAGGCTAATAACCGCCTAGCGAGGACCATCACATACCTGCTCTTGCTGTCTCGGCTCAAGATTCTTCAGCACTGTTTGACAATCTCGGGAAGCCACCAGACCTTTACCAGTGCCAGGTGGACCATCCTTCAGACTTGTTCCCACGTCTTCTTCAACGACATTTTTGCACAGCTATTTGAGTGTCTTTTGCCGATTTTCGCTCAGTATCAAACCCCCTTGACAGAGTCCGTTCTTGTGGCGGCTGTCCAAAGAGGGTTCCAAGCGACAAGAGACCTACTTGAGGAGCACGGAAAAAAGGGTGGCCTTCCCTAATTCAGCGAAAGTGGCAAACTACTGGTCGTCCATGACGAGGCGCAGATCCTTGGCGATAGGTGGAACGGCCACTTCAGCTCGATGTCTCCAGGAGAACCCGACCGGCCGCCGCTGTCTCCTATCCTGTGGGGTTTTCGAAACATCTCAGAAATCAATCTGACGCTCATGACATCTGGCACTGGACTCGGCATTTACACGCTGAATTGGGCGAGAAGCTCTGGATCGTTCAACAAGTCGACCAGATCTCTTACTGGCAAGAATGGGTTCGAAATACATGGAGTTTCCTGGCTCGACTGGACATGAATCTATTGAGGCCTATATGGCTGGACTGCGGTGTCTATTGTCGACAGAGGGTTCGAGACAAGCGTTGGATAGACTTTTTTGCCACCGGAGGTGATCCAAGCGATAACGAAAGGCTTGTCGGCCAGTTTCACCCAGCCGTGACAGCCGATTGTTAGCCATGGCGTCAGCAACAAAGGGGAGAATTATGCTCGATACTATGCAGTCGCAGATCACTACAATTAAAGGTGACCTGAACCATCCCAGTTCGCAAAGCTTAAAGTGTTCCACTATAGAGAATTTAAGGGTTATTTTGGGTTGGAAATGGTGGCGTATTAAAGCATATCAAGCTCAACTACTTCTGTATGTTCATCTCCTTCGTTTCTAACACTCCATGAAGACTATGGAATCGTGGGTCCAACAGTCGGATAGGGCTCAGGCGCACGGATACGCATGGGAGTTGATGATGATGAGCGTCTTTACCGAGGTTTTCGAGGCTCGTACTTTCTCGTACTAGCCACACGAACTCTTGATTACCTCTCAGTGTGCGAAACTCGCTGGCAATGCGGTGATTATTGGTCTGGATGAGCAGGCACTTCAGCGCGGGATCTTTCACGAACACATCTCGATAGAGGGCTTCATGGACGCCCATGTCAACACCAACTCATTGCGACAAGGCCAGCCTGTCCCTCCGTTCTTGCTGGAGGGAATTCTTGTCAAAAAGGAGATCCTTGAGCGATATGGTATCATCATCTGGGTTGTCAGGGGGGAAGAAGAAGTGTTTGCCCGAGATAGCAGGAATGAGTTCCTGGGCCTCGTCAGTGTCGAGGATATCATCGTCGAAGGATCCACATCGTACTGGCGTGAGGCTATCAAACGTAGACTCAGCGCACTGGTACGCTATCCCGAGCGATTGCCAATGAGCGGGAATATTTGTTCGGATATCAAAAGGATGCTCAACAAAGTCGCCAAGGACCCAACCAACCAAGTACGCGGATACCGTCGAACTCAAGCACGTCCTCAAGCAGATTGTTGTTTATCGAGCCTCACTGGGACTACCATGGAGCATGCGAGGAGAGGAGCCGATCCTGGTCGAGAGCGCTCTCGGCCGTCTCTGCATTACTTATGGCAAGGCAGCAGCTGGGAAGATGATCAGCACGGTTATTGACGAGCCATTCGTATTCCAGGCCGCCTACAACTTCATCTGGGAAGAGGACGATGAGTTCTACAAACACTTCACGGAGCAGTACAAAGACTTAGAGGATCCACGATCTGATTGGGAGATCTTTGAGCATCACGTGCCCTATGACCTGATCTATGCCTTTCACAAGAAACAGCTCAAGCAAGAACTGTTCTCGATCCCCAATGCTGCCAAGCACCGGCCTATGAAGAAACTCAAGACCTTTGTCCCACAGTTCGAGCCTGTCTCCTGTCCCAGGTGTTTTTTTTTCGAGCACCCAGCAACGATCGTCGGATGGGACGATTATAAGTCGGGATATGTAAGCATGGAGACCTTCACCATGGGTGATTTTTTTGAGGTGAACTACAAGCATGGCTCGAGAAGAGGCGATTCCATGGTATCACCCTTTTACTATCCAGAGCCGCCTCCGTCAGGTCCGGATATCGTCTTTGTGCTGCGAATCGATGATCAGCTCTACCCTGTGTTTGTCCATAACAAACCCCTTGGCGATATCTTTCCAGGAGACGTGGAGAAAGCTCGACTGGCAGCATACGAGACCAGGCTCAAGGCTTATCTACCGAAATTGGCCACGTACTGCCCTGGTGGAAAGTACCTGAGCCTGATCTACGACCACCCTGCGATTATCAAGACGCCGCGCGAGGGCTGGAATAGTGGCGATGTTTGGGATTTAGAGTCTTAGATTAGAACGGATCATAACCAAGTCTTCAAGGATGGCGACATGCCATTGATGCAGCTTATGATGATTGATGGGAGCAATATGCGGGATTTTGTGCCTGATGGAGTGATGGACTTGCTCGATAGTGTAAAAGGCCTCAAGCGAGTACATGAGGTCTGGTAGAGTGGGCCAAAAAATATATATCAAAAGTCGACAAAGCAGCTGAAGTAACGTTCTTCTAAATAAATGAGACACTGCAGCAAATTCTGTTTTTGCATAAATCACATTTGAACCTCGAAACCCCCCTCCCCCCCCCCTCCCATTTGTCGTTGTTCATCATCTCAGGATAAGTAGCCACTGTCCTAGATGAGCCATTCGTCAGAAAGTTTATGGAGATCTACAATATCACCATAGATTCATGCTGCAATGATGGTTGCATGAAGTTGAGTCGAGCCTTTTGGAATGAGAGAAGGAAGGAGGAGTCATGTACAGGTCCAACTGAAGAAAATAATTATATATCGCTTGGAAAAGCACCTGCACCTAAGTGGGTCGCCACACCCCATTTGCAATACTCTCAAGTGCTGTTGTTCAGCGTGCAATATTTAATATGGTTAGGGATTTTTTTTCCTAGTGTCCAAGATGAAATACAAAAAGCAAAGAAAGAACAGCGCTAAAAACACAAGAAGAAAGGATTAGTGGTACACGGTAGGCCAATGGATAACGAAGAATAAAATATTCACGACAAAAGAACAGCAGGTTATACCAATGCTACTGCGTTTCTATGTTTGGTACAGCCGAGTTTATTGAGTTGATATTAGCAAAATATACAAATGGGAAGAGCCAGCATCCAAAGAAAAGAAAAGAAAAGAAGAGAAAAGAAAAGAAGAGAAAAGAAAAGAACAGAGAAAGGGAAACCGAGAGCAGAAAGACGCGAGAAACAAGACAGGACACTCAGGAGATCTTGCCGAAAGGAATACCGAACGGGGAAGCATAGACTGAAAACCAAACCTGGGAGACCACTACCCTTCTTGTAACGCGATACCGCAACCGAGAGAGACGACCTTATCATTATTCTCATCCGCATCATCCCTGTTCAGCTCCATGCACATACTAGACCCATCGAATATTTCCATCGCGGTATCAACAGATTCGAGAACCAACCAAGATCCCAACTTGGCACGAGCTGGATATCCGAGTACCAAGTGCACGCCTTGTCGTCCGAGTGGTGATTCCCTTGAAAATGTGCATAGGAGCTCTTGGCGTAGTAGCAATGATGTGATCCTGATCCTCTCTTGTAGTCATCTGGCTGCAATGTTAGTATAGTGGTGGATGGCGGGTCTGTGGATTTCGATTGATGTTCATACCGCAATAGTCCGATGCTGATCGTTCGTTGCCATTTTTTTGTGTTTGTCTGCTTGGTCAAGAGGAGGTCGTCGACTTTAAAGGCGCTTGAGACCTATCATCGACATCGAATGCTCGTCACCGCTACTGATGCCCTCTTCATAGTCTGTTCCTGCACCTGCCTCCCTGGGGTATGCCGACGTGTACGAGCAGGCGTCCGAGAAGTACTCGTCCTCACCGTTGGACATGACCGTCTCATCATCATCATCCTCGTAGTCCATATCCGTCCTCTCTTCATCATCATCGCTGTCATCGCCGCCATGTTGTCGTCCTGGCCGAGCCCACTTGAAAAATTTCGTCTTTGGCGACCGAAAGCCTTGCTGCTGCTGCTGCTGCTGCTCAGTCGCATACGGCCCAACAAAAAGAGAGTCGTACTCTGGCGCACTGTAATCCATCGTCGACAACACAGGGTACTCCGCTTCTAAAAACGAGTCGTCAGTGCCATCCTCGTCAATATCGCCGTCATCGTCGGGGCTGCTGTGTCGACCGGGTCGGGCAATGGGGCGCACCCACTTGAAGTACTTGGACGACGAGTTACTGCTGCGGCGCAATTCGATTGGGTAATAGTATTCTGGCCATCCGGCTGGAGAGTTGATAGAGGAAGAAGAGCATGTCATCGAGGAGAGGTCATAGTGTGAGGAAGGGGTGGAAAGGAAGGGTGAGAAGGAGGAGGCGCCGAGCTCTATGCGCATGTTTGGGTAGAAGTCGTTGTTATCGTTGTCCAAGTATTGTGAAGAAGCCATTGTTGTGGATATGTTGTCCGCTCTTGTTCTTGGGCGCTGTTGTTGTAGTTATTGTAGTTGGTGTGGCTCTATGTTGGTGAGCTGTTCAGGTGCGATAGCTCAAACGAGACGGATGGCTGATTAAGTAGAGAGTAAAGCGAGGAGACTGGGTCTTGTTGTTGTTGTTCGTAGTACGCTTTATTTGTTCGGAAGAAAAGGATGTATCAAAGAGGAAGAAATGGATGTATCAAAGACGGAGAAAAGAATGTATCAAAGAGGTAAGTGGGAGAGTGGAATGGGGGAAGGTTGAAGAGAGAGGTGAGCAAGAAAAAGGCGCACTTTATCAAATACCTTTTCCTTTAGATCACGAGATCACGAGATCGATGACGTAAAGGTTTTCCAATTTGGTGCAAGCTCTTATACTACACACCTACACACACCATGACCCGCCTTCAGTCGCGTTGGTCTCTTTCCCTTTCACTCAACCAACAATGTCGCCAGAGCCAGAAACGACGGCCATCGCGCCACCAACAGAACCAGCACCAGCACTAGAGCCAACCACTGCCATGGACATTACCCCTGCCGTAGCCACGACTATAATTGCACCTGCCACGAATGCACCGGCATCAACCACAACAACAATTGCCACGCCAACTGTACCTATCATCGACCGCGAGAAGGTACAATGACATTGCATTCGTGTACTCTTTAAACAGGCGATCTGTTCAAAGTTTGCATGACACGAGTTACTAACAACCTGCGTCCTTTTTTTACTGTTGTCTTTCTGAATAGTTGTGTCCCTTCTTGCTAAAGATGTTCTACAAACAGGGCGAGCACCACAGGTACGAACAACTATGCTGATCTCATATCATTTGGCTTTACCCAGCCAACTCAAGCAAAACAACAAAGAAAACAACCCACTAACCCATTCCCTCTTTCCCTTCCCCGTCTCTTGCCCCTAATCAATAGAGTGGACCAATACAAACCAACATCCCTGCCCCCTAAATCCTCAGAACTCCAACTCTACACATGGAAGAACGCCACCATGGGCGAGATTGCTACGCTAGTCCAACAGGCTATCCCCGACCTCCTCCTCGATAACCCCGGTGCCGCAGAAACAGGAGGCGAATTGCATTTCCGACATATTTATTTGGATATGACGAGAGGCCTTTATGTCGGGAGGGATATTGGGACAGTGTTGCTTGTTGATACTTTGGTCCCGGAGGATGTTGTCGAAGCTTCAGCAGGAACGGGAGCAGCGGAAGTGGGAGATGTGAAGATGGATATTGAGGGGGAGGAGGGGGAGAAGGGAGAAGGAGCAGGACCAGGAGATGGGCTGTTCACGAAGGATATTCGCAAGAGCAAGGATTCTGCCGCCGCTGCGGCTTCTGCTCTTGTAACAGCCATCACAGCAGCAACAGCACAAGCAACAGCGACGGCGGCTGCTGGAAAGAAATCGACAGCATTGGAAAAGACATTGAGCTCGATCCGGTTTGTGATCGGTGACTATCTTGACATTTCGATTGTCGATAGGAGTGCAGTAAGACCTGCACCTGCAGGTGCTGGTGCAGGACGAGAACATGCCCTGTTTACGGGACGTCAGGGACGGAATCAAGGAGGAGGAGGAGGTGGTGGTGGTGGACCAATTAGGAGAGGTGGAGATGATAGACGACGGGATCGACGTCGTAGGGATGGAAGATTAGGCGGTGGTGGTGGCGGTGGTGGAGGAGGAGGAATGATGGCGGATCGGTTTGCGGGACGACTTGGGTTGAAGGAGCCTTTGGAGCGAAATGGACATGGTGGTCATGGAGGCGGACGGAGGGGGTTGGCGGATAGTGAGGCAAGCTGGAAGGGTCGTGGCCGTGGCCGATAAATCAGTCGATCTTGTTTCTTTTTTATTCCTTCTTTTTGTTCATTTTGCAATTTTCTTACTCGTCATAAACATAATTGTCTAAAAAAACTTGCACCGGTTTTTGTAATGATTAAGTTATGTATGTTATTATGTTTTTAGGGGGGAAGAAGGATATTATTTTAAGAACAAGCTATCTAGTTAAACGGCGCGCGCAGCCCGTTCCTCGTCCGAGATATCAAACCGAGCATACCCCTCAGAGTTCCTTCCCAACCCTCCAACAACCCTCCCTCCATTCCCACCATTATACTTCTGTCCACCATTGCCATGCATCGTACGGTGGCTGCCATAGACGCTATCCTTATCCTCATCATTCGAGTGACCGTACCCCATGTCGTCCTCCAATGTCGCCGGGCTCGGGCTCACAGACTGCAACCCGCGGACTGGTGTAGCGCCTCCGAGACGAGGGGATAGGGATAATCCACCCATCGCCGCGTGGTCGGCCTCCTTTGTAAGATTGGGACTGGTATAGGAGTGATTGAACTGCTGGGTGGCCGAGTGGTTACCAAACTCGTTAAACTTGTACGGGTCGGGCACGACGTACTCTGAAGACTCACGGCCGGAATCCAAGAGCTGGTGTTGCGATTGGGAATACCCGTGGGTTAGACGGGGGCCGGGGATGATGTTTGAAGAGTGCGCGGAAGATAAGGAGTTTGGGTCGGAGATGGTGAAGCCTTTTGAGGCGTGGTTGGAGAGGTGGAGGTTGTAGTGCATGCTTGGGCGGTCCTCCCCGGTCGGGCTCTTGGATCCGGTTTGGCTGCGGTTACCGTTGTGGGAGGAGGAAGGGAGGTTGTCCATGGGATAGACAGTGACGTTCTTGCTATGGGACTTTCCGCCGTCAGCGCCGGCGCCGGAGGTGGAGTTGTTACCCTTGGAGTCGACGGTAGATCCGCTTGGCTGACGGATGGAAAGGGTGCGGAAGCAGGCGGCGTAGAAGAAGACGAACGAGAAGCGGAAGATGGTCAACTCTGTGATATACGCGGCGCGGGACTTCATGTTCAACCCCAGGAGGGAGATGATACGGGAGAGGAACATGAGGATGAAGAAGGAGATCATGGCGAGGTTGAGGACGGTGATCTTGACGAGAGCCGTACGGGTGGTCTGGGAGACGGCGACGCCTTTGAGGGACTTGAAGAAGGTGATGGCGTAGTAGAAAATAAGACAAGCCTGAAGGAGGATAACCGCGGGGGTAAGATAGGAGAAGCCACGTTCGCCAATGATACGGATGATCGGAACCGAAGGGATCAACCATCCAAGGCCATCCATGAAGGATGAAAAGACGGGGATGAAGATGCTGAAGTAGGAGTAGTACGAGAAAAACTTGTTGGTCTTCTTGCGATTGATCCGGTAGATCAACTTACTCCACATGATCATCTGGAGCCCCAGGGAGATGAACGGAAACAGCAACGAGACGTAGTAGAGGGCATTCCTCCAAGGGACCGTAACCTTATAGGGCGCAAAGGCAATCGAAAGCGGCAAATAAAAGCATCCAGGGATAAGAATCATATACCTCCGGAAATGCTGACTATCGTGCTTGTCAGCCTTGATGATAAACACCATCACCCAGATCCCATACGCGAACACAATCCCCGTCAAGACGTCCAACCCGCGAATCAGAATATTAAACCCAACTGATCGCCACATATGGTTCCAAGGCCCCTGGTCCTGCTCAACAGTCGCCAGGAGGGTGTGTCCATTGGCAGAGAGGAGGGCGGCCATGGAGAGGACGGAGTCGGACCCGGCGTAGGAGATGTTGAGGTGGGCCTTGTTATTCCAGTAATTGGCGTTAGCCAGTTGGTTGAAGGGGGATCCGAAATCCTCCATACTGGCGGCGTCGCCGTCCATGATCACGGCGCCGACCTTGGGGAGGGCGAGGGTCTTGAGACGGTCGTTGAGGGTTGGTAATCTGTCAAAGATCTAATCATGTTTGTGTGCCCGATGGTATTTCGATGGAGGTAAAAATGGAGTTTATGTGGTTAGAATATGTATATTGTAGGGGTTTCACATCGATGGGCTGCCAGGTAGGCGAGGGATGGAAATGAAGGTGTCCAATTAAGACTGGCACCGTCTGCTCATGGGTGGAGAAACTAAGCCTTTAAGAACGAGAGCGATATGACGCGGTGCACGCTTGAAGAGATGCTCACTCTTTCGTATGAGCCATTGTGTGTAGTGAACAAATGGTGAGTAAGAAACTAAAAAAAGCTACTTGTTGAAGAAACCCCCTGCTAACTTCGTGTTCAAGCCACCAAACGCCACTCCTTCCCCAGCCTCTTATTCATCAACAGCGCTTAATCATGAAAGACAAGGAGCTGCGTAACTCTCTTTTCTCAAAGCAAAGTGCTCACTATTTTTTTATGTTTGCCTTCCATTGTTGTCTGTCGCCAATCCATACACGCCCGGCTCTCATAGAGAAGGCAAGTGGAGAATGAAAAAAAAGTTTGGTCATTCTAGGGGGTGGTTAGAGTAATAGTGTTCAGCACTAGAGTCTAGACTCCCCTCTTCCTTCCTTCCTTCTCTGTTCTGTTATTGCTCTTTTCTTCTTCCCTCTTTCAGTTAAGATCTGCGTGGGGGGTCAGGTTGCACCGTTATGTGTATACATGAGCAGAATGAGAATCCATAGTGAAATCGGGGGTGTGTGAAGGAGGGAGAAAATTTTGTTGTTTGTGCAACGATGGAGCAGGGACTGGAAAGGATGAAATGGCAAATTGAGTCCTGCATTATTTTAATTTGAGCTTCCCTCTTTTCTTCTTCATCTTCTCAACTTCCAGCCCAGCCAACAGAGGGGAGAGGAAAAGAAAGTGTGTAGAGGGAGGAGAGGGGATGACATGAGCAATGTGTGACAAAAAGAGATTGGATAAGGAAGAGAATGGTAAACAAAACAGAGGATAACGACGAAGACAAACAGCTGCATGCTGGCAGGGACTAGATGCATGATGCATGGAGAGGTACATTTGAATTCGGGATAGACAAAGAGAGAGCGAAGTGAGAGAGAGAGAGACAGTGGAGAGAAAAGGAGGGAGACTCGACAAATAAATCACTTGATGAAGCGAGGTGCATGTATGTTTGTAACAAAAACGGGTGAAATATACCCGTAGGAATAGCAAAAGAGGCACCAAGAAATAAAATGAAACAACTCGTGCAAGAAGGTAGCTTAGCAACCACCAAAGACATCAAGAAACAGGGAACTTACATCGTCAAAGGTAGCGCAGTTGTCGAGCCAGTCATAACGAAGGACAATAATGGAATCGACGATGGGATTGGCAGGATCGACAGCATTGAGGATAAGCTGACCACTAGGCCCGACAACCGGGTTGACCTGGATGGTACAGTCGGGCATCACAACTCCCATCATCAGAAGACCCGAGAGCGTGTAATGTTCAGTCTCACCCTGGAAAGGGTCCCACGACCTGAAATTGACGGGTTCCATCGTCGCATTGACTCGGATCGCCAGAGCTGCATCTGCACCGGGTATAGTGTTATGTTTGAAAAAGTACGAGGTGTCTGAGCTGAGACAGGTAAAGGCGAGGAAAGCGAGGAGAATGAACTGTGAGAGGGATGAGGGTGCAGATCGTATGCTCGTTAAGGAGACCGGTCTCCGGTAGTATTGTTGTTGCTGTCCCGTCATGTTTGATGGGAGGATGGTGTTGAAAGTCGCACCTGGCTCAAGTGAAAGCTTTTGTTGGTCGGTTGGTTGAATGAGAAACAGACCCAACGGTTTGCTCGTAGGTGTCAGTGCTGGCTGAGAAAATTATGAGGAATCGAGTAGTGTCGTGTAGGGTGAGTGTGGTTTGTGGTTGTCCGGTTGGAATGAGGTTGAAGGGCGTGAGTCGTTCAAAGGAGGAGAGGGTATGAGAGGGGCAATTGGAAAAGGAGTTATAATTGATTGGCCCCTGACTGGATCAGCGAAAGAAGGGAGGAAGAGTAAAGGAAGGAGTTGAGGTCGAGGATGAAGATGGAGATGTTGTATGTTGGCGATGAAGAGGGTGCGAGGCCAACGGTTGTTGTTGTTGATTGTATTGACAGACGAAAAAGATGAAGAGGAGGGAACTCTGCTGTGAAGGAAAGAGTAGGAGGGATTAAAGGATGGTTGAAGGTGAAAAGTGGGACATGAACAAAAATAAAGAATAATTAAAGTAGTGAAAAGAAAGAAAAAAAGGCCAAGTGAAATGGTGGATGGGCGTGAACAACGAAGGAGATAAGAAGACAGAAGTTAAAAAAAAAAAAAAAGAAGGAAGAAGGGAAGAAAAGGAAGAAAAGGAAGAAAAGGGTTCTAGAGGAAAAGGAAAGTGAATGAGAATGAGAATGAGGGAATGTATGATGGGTGATGGTTGGGGACAGTTGAAGGAGAGAAAGAGAGTGAGAGAGAGACAGCGAGTCGCACAACGGTCGCTTACCGTGTAACAGAGTAACGCACTGTCAGATATATAGAAATTTAAATTATCAAACGGGTGAGACAGACCTATCACCATATTTTGTTCTTGTTGCTGTTGTTGTTGTTGTTGATGTTGCTGTAGTTGTTGTTGTTGTTGTTGTTGTTGTTGTTGTTGTTGTTGTTGTTGTTGAATGTCTATCGGTCCGTCGGTGTTTGTCAAACCATCAGCAACTCAACTCAACTCTCGCTTCTTCGCACATCTTCTTCCCTGTCTTCTTGCTCTTCCAGAAATGAGTAAGCGAATGAATGTGAACAGAGACAATTCAATTCATCCCCTTCCCTCTGTTTATTTTTGACCTTGGTTCAACTCAATACCAAAAGCGACGGGGCATCAAACATCATCCACAGTCGCCTTGTCGCTTCGGTGTGAAATGAACATAAAAAAACAAGGGCGCACCCTCCACTCTTGCTTTGCTTGCTTTTTCTTGTTGTTGTCGTTATCATCAGCAAAGGAGTTTTAAAAGACAGACAACCACCGCTTTATCATCACCAAGTCGGGCAAAGAAAACAACACGCTTACGACCTACACACTTTACTTCACCTCTTCGTGAACAAACATAGTCTACTTCCTCCCAGGGAAAAAAGTTTCAACGACAGTCGACCCAAAGGAGCCTTTGATACTTGAGCGAGAGAAACAACACAACTCAACAACCCGCTGTCGCTGGGTGCAAAACGTTCTCAATTAACCAATATGGCAGCCTTACTCTCGATTCTTCCATCCCCATTTGACGCCAAATCGGTTGCCCCATCCGTCCTTCGCGAACACGCACGCACGAGAGCGCCATTAAAACATGGGATGAATGAAGACGAAGAAAAAAAGAAGGCGAGGAGAGAAGGGTGTGAGCATTTTAGTGGGATAGATTCAACCATCCACCCACCTTTAGGTTATTTTGCTGTTGTTTTCAACCATCTCTGTGTGAGTTAAGGCTGGTTAGTGTCTATTCCTCGCTCGCACGACCGGTGCATTTTTTGTATTTCAAGTTTCCATCCGTTTGGGTTTGGGTTGGGGTGTGCTATTTTTTCGTGGGCCACGTTTATGATGACTGACCTGACTGGACCCAGTGAAGAAGGATAGGGGCAGACTCACACCCATGCTTTCAGGGGAAGATTGCGATGAGAGAAGAGGCTAAAAAGGGCACATTGGCGATATTTGTCCCTCCTTCTTGATCTACTGCTTTTCTTTCCCTCCACTTCTCGCTGCATCCGTCACCATTCATCCCTGTCCGCCTTAGTTTTCTTCTCAGTGGAATTCCCCTTCCCCTTTCTTTTTCTCGCCATTGTTTGCTTTGTTGGCTTTGTTGGTTGTGCCTGCCCGCCGGCATTGAACTCTATGAATACCTTTAGAAAAATCTAGGGTGCCAAAAAAGCGACAACGATGTCCGTCCGTCCGTCTGTTTGTCTGTTTACACCACATGATGTTGTCAGCAATTATGACCATCTATGAAACCACATCAGAATTTGTCGCTTTTTGTCTGTCGAACCTTCATTCACCCACCTTGAGCACAAACAACGGAGATGAAATGAACAAACGGACGGGTGTTCGCTTTATCCGCTTGTTTTTTTGCTTGTCGCCTTTCACCCCTTGTTTTTTTTCTGGTTTTTTTATGGTTGGTACGTAGGTTAGGAAGGGTTAAAGCTTCGGGCGCCATGTCATCTTACCTTTTGGTTTATTTCTCCTTTGGCTTTGTGCTCGGATGAACACTCACCAGGGAAAAATGGATTTCTCCACAACACAAACTCAACCGTGCGAGATTGCGAATGAAAAGAATGAATGGTCCAAGATCTTGCCCAAACATGGACAGCAGTTTCTCCTTTTTCTTCTTTCCAGATGAACAAACGAGTATCTCCAATTATTTCTTTCTCGAGATGTCTCCCCCTTGTTTTCTATTTTCTATTGTTTTCCGTCCAACGTGTTTGTTTACTCCTTGCCCATCCATCCAACGTCGCTCTCCATTTGTTTTTATCGTGATACGTGATACGTAATGTAGTCAATTTCGTCCAATATGTTTGTTAAAAAAAAAGCATGAAGGCCACCCCGCCCCATGCATTGGAAATTGAAGTGTTTATTAGCCGACCTCTCTCATCTCGACCCGCTCTTGGTATCGGGATACTAAAACTCGGAGAATACTACGCTAACTAGGTCAAGCTCACCGCAATCGTACAAGTTTTAATCATGTCATTTGAACTGTCTTTTACATGCATGCCCCAGACATTAAAACATGCACGGTGGCGAGTTCGTGGTCGTAAATACAGTCATGCATAATGAAAGACAAAGGAGGGTACTAATGGAGAGGTACATCGTCAAAAACATCGGGTCGCGGTGAAAGAGATTGAAGTGTGGTACCTGAACAAATGTACCCACTCTCTCTCTTTCAATCCTGATTGTCGACCTTACTCAGCCCTTCGCCTTTCACCTGTTGGCTCAAGTAGATAGGGCGTCACTTTGGTAACTCTTTGGGGATTAGTGGAGTCTTACTTTCCAGGGAGATGGAGCGTTTGATATCTGTGAGTACGAATACGATCTTCAAAGTATCCACTTTTTTTTTTCACCCTCACCATTCTTTGTTTTTCAGTTCCCTCACCTTTCTTTGTTTTTCAGTTCCCTCTTCTATTTCTTCGTTGTCGCTCCTTTTTGTGAGATCGATGATGATGGTGGTAGTGGTGGTGTTCTAGTGCCGGGTCCTTGGATTGGAGTTTTTTTGTGAGCAGGACACGGGATAGATAGAAGCCTCTCTTCTAAAATGAACGGAGTGAGCATCCCCTACAATATTATTTTCATTACCGGTTTTGTGCATGGCATCGTCCCACGTTTCTTAATGCCCCAACTCATATGGCATTAGCAAAATGGGTTGTGTTGAAAGGTGTAGCGAAGGAATAGACAAAAGAAGGAAGGATAAATGTTCCACGGTTCCTGGCTGGTGGTGTTGATCTTATGTACGTACTTCCCATGCGAAACAAAAAGTTCTCTCTCACAAGAGGGTGAGTATAATGATGAAGATAGTGATGACAGTGACAGAAAAGAACCATCGGGGAATCTATGCGATCTGGAACAAGAAAAGAGAAACGGATAGACATTGTTTTCATTCCACATCAAGTCAGCCAGTTATCTAGTTATGTTGTGCTGAGAAGGACTCCCTCCGATGGCTCACGACTTTGTTCCGTTACGAGACTGGGGATCGACTAAATAACGATTCGGAAGGAAATAGGAGCCAAGGGAAGTGTAAAAAGCAAGTGAACATTCCAGTGAAGGAGGAAGAGAGGATGAAAGTGGGATTGAGTTGGTTAGCTCGGTTCTGTTTTTCATTTCTGATGATTCATGAGTGACGAGTCCCGATGTTTCGATCCCCAGTGTCACCATCGAATTCCCATCCATTTTGATTTCTTTGTACAACGGACATCCTTTCTTCGACCCAACGTTGCTGAATCAGCGCACAATAGGGTAAACAAATGCTCACTCGCTCCCACTTTCCGTCCTTTTCCCGCCTCTCATGTCGTCTTCCGTCAATCAATTCATCCACTGCATACAGTACCATGAGCGTCTATAATAGCTGCAAAATCAAGACTAGTGATGCATCCTGTCGGCGTCCACCCTCCATGTTCATATTATTATTTCCTTCTATCTCATCCTCTCATTCAAGCAAGAATCTATTCTTTGCAGTTAATTTTGTGCTTGGTAGTGTTGACACTCATCCTGCTGGCGTACCTTAAAACGCAAAAATGCATTTGAGTTCAGATCCTCTCTCTTCTCCCCTTTCCACTCAATTGCAAAGAAAAAACAAGAGAGAGCATCGAGATCTCACCTCATGAGTGTTCTTTTCCTTCATTTTTTACACATGGGGGTGTGAGTCCGCTGGTGTCCTTTTCGTCCTTCCTTTTCCTTCTTCCTTTCCGTTTCCTTTGTTCTTTCTTCCGTCCCAACTTCCCTCCTTCCTTTATTCCTCCTTCTTTCCTTCCTTCACACTTCGCCCATCCTCCCCCCTTTTTTGGTCCTTTGGCGACCTGTCCTCTCCTTTCGCCACTCCTCAGACCCTTCCTCCCTGCTTCCGTCCCTCTCTCCTTTTCTCGGCACCCTCACTCACAACCTCCGACTCACCATTCCCCCTTCCTTCCCCTCTCCTTCACTTCTCCAACAGTCGCTCCTCCTCAACAAGGACACCAACCACTCATCACTTCCTTCCTCTTACCACCCTCACCACCTCATACCTTTGCACCCTCCTCTCCCTTTCCACCACTCCTCCCTCACATCCTTCCCTTCCTCCTCCTCCTCCTCCGACAACAAGAACAACAACAATGACAACACCACAACCAACAGGGCTTCGCAAGTTCCTGAAATACGACACCCTGGACCTATCTCGCATAGTATCGTCCAATATTGTCGATGCCCGCACTTTGTTAATCATCCGTGCGATTGTGGCATTGCATCTTGTGGCCGTGTTTATTGCGACGCTCTATGTCTCTGCGAGGGATGAGGTCTTTTATATGGTCCCGACTACTTTCACCAACCTCAGTAACATGGGTCTCACTGCTTACTATTTGGTAACGATACTTGCAGCAAAGTTGTCAACCAACGATTGATAGCTGATTGGAGACATCATTTTTTTCAGGCACACACAATCAGTTCAAAACAAAGGATCAACGACCCTGACACCACACCCCTACTACACCCTCTCAATCCAAACCCATGATCAATAGACGGCAGCATACCACTCACACAATTACGTGAGAACCAAAACCCTCTCCTCACTTACAAACCAGCACTGGTTCCTCACCTCAGCCCTCTCACTCCTCTACGCCTCCGTCGTCGTCTTCCACATCGTCGTCCCCGCCATTTACTGGGGCATGCTCTTTGACCCCAACAACACCATGGACACCCTCAACAAATACGTCGACTTCTCTCATCATGGTGCAGACCTTGCCTGTATTTTGATCGAGATAGTGTTTAATCGGATGGAGTTGCCCTGGATCGCTATCTTGGGTCCTCTGTTGATGATTATCTTGTATATGCTCCTTGCTTGGGTATACTTTGCAGCGTAAGTTAGATCTGGTTTTTCATTTTGGTGCTCTGATGGGTTGAAGTTTCTTGTCTTGCCTGCCTTTGTACCACATCGGATGCTTAAAAACAAATCATGCTGACATTAACAGTTAACTTCCATCCCCTTCCCTCCCCTCTCTCGCTCATCATCCTTTTTCCTCCCAATGTGAACAAACTAGTCGTGGAGAATGGCTGTACGGGTTCTTGGACTGGTCCAAGGGTCCTGTCGCGGCCGGATGGTACATTGGTCTCCTCGCCGTCTTTGCCCTTCTCTTCGTCCTTCAGAAATACATCCACCAGGGTCGTGATTCAGCCTTGAAGGGTCGTCGCGCCGTCGTTGCTGCCCAGGACGGAACTGGCGCCTTCGAGAAGAACCAGCAACAAAACAATGCTGCTGTGGCTGATGAGGAGGCTAGTCTTGCTGGTAATGGACACGTCCACGATGTGAAGGCTGTAGGGGGAGGAGATAAGACCGAACTGGAGGATATTCCTCTGGAGGATACCAAGATGGAGGTCCCTGAGGTGACAATTGCGGTCTCTAAGCAGGAGCTCGACGCCTAAGCCACCCTGCCACTTTGTCTCTTTGCTTCCAAACACACGTTCGTAGTTTTTTCGTTACACCTATCTATCCTTAATTTACCTTGGATCCTACCATATCCCTAATGTACTACACTTTGTCCTCATCGACAGCCTTTGGCCAAGATGGGCTGTTCATTTTTCCTGCGACACATACATAAATGCGCATTGGTCCATTGGTAGAAAATAGTTTGGAGTTGTTTCTTCCTCTTCAGCCTGCACAAGCACCAGTTATCCATTTTTTCTTTTCCTCCTTTCTGCCTCTTGCCATCTCAAGTGACATGAGGGCATATGATGGCGGAAGGAGGAGAGAATGGGCTCGCATATATTTTTTCCATGATTTATTTCTGTGAGCTTTCCAAGCCAACCCGCTCGCTTGCTTGCTTGTCCAGACATGAAGAGGTGTTTTGGGAGGGGGATGCGAGTGAAAGGTGTGTAAGAGGAATGAAAAAAAAAAATACACCTTTTGGGCCACTACAAGTTTCAGTCGTCGTTCTGACGTGAGAGGAAGAGTAAAAGGGGTAGTCATGTTCTGTAGATGGCTCTTCCTCTTCCCAAGGCTGGGTGCATGATTTTTGTTGTTCTTCGACTCTGTCGCCTCACATAGCCATTTTTCTACCATTACCCTGCCTCCTTCCCTTCCTAACTTCGTTTCTCGCCCTCTGGACAGGAATGGCTAGAAGCTAAAAAAAGGAGCAACAGCGGTAATGTGTGGCACTAGCCAGGAATCTCCGAGGTCTGGTATGGGATTGTGTATGTGGGTCAGGAACACATACGCCACTAGTGCATTCCTTTCGGTGTATTTGAATGGCAGTCAGCCTTGCCCACAGCCGCCTGTCATCATCATGCTCGAGGGAAAGAGGGCGCGGCTTGATTCTGCACAGCGCCCAACCCATTTCTGCCAGTGGAGGAAGATAGAAATCCCCCATGCCTGGGTTGGTTGTAAAAGTAAAAATAACAGGCGAATGGCTGATCGGTGTTCTACCACCGTTTTACTTTTCCCCAAGTCATCCCCCATGCTTGTCATCCATATGCCTTGGTCATTGCCAAGGAGAAGGAAGGTGGTTTGGAGTACCCAACCAAGCCACGACGTAATTGAACCTCTGTCTGTCTCTCTGTGTCTCTGTGAGGAAGTGATCTTCCCCAGGAGTCTATTTATGAAATTTTACTTGAGACTTTCTTTTTTGATTGATGAGTGCTCTCACCGAGTGAAGTGATATGAACCTTAATCCGACACCTCGCCATCATTGTTGTTCCTGGTTTGGTTACTTCCTTGTTCCCCTGGCACTCCTTCTCTTTCGTATTTCTTTCCACTCTTTCTCTCCTTTTCATCTTCTTTACTCTCCACTCCTCCCACAACCCTCGCACCTTTCGCTCTCTTCTCACCCTCACTCACACATACCCTAATCCCCTTCTCCCCCTTCACACAACCACACACACAAAGACAAACATGAAGTTCACAACAACCGTCGCCGTCATCGCCCTCGGAGCCACCGCCATCTCTTCGGCCCAAGCTGCCCTCTCGCCCCAATGCACAACCTACCTCGGCGCCCTCGGCGCCCCCACCAACCCCCTCGCCAAATGCAGAGTCTACACCACCCTCGGCTTCCCCGCCCTCACCCACGCCAACGACCACGATACCCCCAAGCTCCAGAAGGCCATTGCGGATTACTGTGCCACCCCTGCCTGCACCTCCGACCAGTATGCTGGTGTCTATAAGGATATTAACACCAACTGTGCTGCTGATATGGTTGCTGCCAACCAGGCTGACCTTGGCACTGACATGTACATGTGGTAAGTATCTTTTCTTGCTGTTTTTGAAAGGAAGGGTGGAGGCTATAGTTGTTGCTTGGCTATTCCTTCTTTCTTCGTTTCTGTCCCTTTCGCCTTTTTTTTACCCCCTGGTTGAATGAACCAGGCGTTTTCTCGCCTTGCTTTTGTTTACCATTGTTGTTGTTGCTCTCACTTCACTGACTCCACTTGTCCCAAACACAACGAGAAAAGGCAATAAGAAAACAATACGGCTCATTTGGTCGCACAAATGTCCGTTTTCCGTTTGTGAAATTTAATATTAATATAAACCTCATTTCACGCCACTCTTTCTAACAGGTACATGTCCCCCCCACAACGCGAGGCGATCTGTTTGCAGAGCAGCAAGAACACGACCTGCGTGATCGACTCGATTAACGAGATGATTGCCCGTGCCCAGTTCCCCAACGCCAACCCTAACGAGGACGACCTCTACGGATACCTTCAATACGTCACCCCCATGCTCTCCGCCAAGGACACCAACGCCACCGCCTTCTGCACTACTTGCAACCAGCAGGTCGCCAACATCTTCTCCAATTATTATACCAAGACCCCCTCCCCTTACCTTCTGAACTTTGATCAGAAGTTGACCAGTGACAAGTATAAGGATGACCTGTCGTTCCAGTACAAGAGCTCTTGCCAGGTTACCTTGGGAGCTAGCTTCAAGCCTGTTGACAGCAACACGACTGCTGCTTCGAACGGTACTAGCAGCGGCAAGAATGATAAGGGCAATGCTGGTCAGGCTGCTGCTGTCATGTCGATGGGCGGTGTTGCTGCTGCCGTTGCTGCCGTTGCCGGTGTCCTCGCCATGTTCTAAGCCGTAGAATAGATAGATATTAGAAGTGTTGCATCTGCAACCGTTGGCTTAGTTTTGAAGCAGGTTCTTTTTTGTATTATATGCCAACGTGTGAGGCAGCGTGTCCCTTTCCAATAATATTAACATCAAAACATCAATCAATTGCCCCATGATACCATGTCGTTGTCATTGTGAGTGTTTTTTTCTATCCACCAGTCAACGCCAATTCCTCACGTGAAGGAAGACATTGGCCATGCTCTTCTTGCATTCAGCAAAAGTTGCGCCCACACCTTCTTCATTTTTCTTCGCGAGCGGTTTCTTATTCCTTTTCTCACTTCTCTCTTCCATCAAACATAAAACCCATTTCATTTACACAACAACTACAACACATTATATACGATGCGCCTGACAACCGTTTCGCTCACCCTCACGTTGGCCTTTGCCTTCCTCGCCTCGGCAGCACCCGCACCCCAGGAGGAGAGTAAGGACAATAACAACAAGAAACATCAGCAATAATAGCAAAGACCTCAATCCTTTTCTCAACGAAATACTATCCCACCGACCCGCCCAGCACACTCAGCACAGTCTATTTTTACACTCACACATCCGCACCGTAACAACCACCGACATACATGCATCACCGCTACTACGCCCCGCAAACTTCCCTTTCTTCCGCGCTTCCTTCTCTTGCCTTTCTTGCCTTTCTTGCAATGCCTACAACCACAGGACATCAACACTTCACAGACAACCACAAAAGCAGGAGTAAAAAAAAAAAAAGAGGATGCAGAGAAGGAAGCCATGCGCTACTGTTTTTTAAACGTGGCTACGACAACAACCACTTTATAGGCTGTACAGACTGACGGATGGACAGCGCAGTGACCCACCACCCCACCCACCTCACACGGGATACACATTTTTTATCCTGCTCACAAGGGCCCACCATACCACCCACCCACCCACCTACTTATTTCTCACAGGAAGAGCGATTAGCGGATTGATACGCTATTCGTACACCCGACAATATACCATGCGAATTGTTCTTTGCGCCCACCACGTACAGCACACACACACCTTCTCTTAATCCATTATCCGATGCTTGTTCCATATTTGTGCGTCCAATTCAAAACACATAAAAACATCCCTTCACACCGACTATTCACAACGGTTAACCGTCCTATCAACAAAGTCACTAACCGTTCCTTCCTTTCCCCCCACCTTCCCCCTGCATAAAAAAAAAAATAGCCGCAGAACAAGAAGCATGCATCAATAAATGCCTGAAGACAGAGGAAAACTGTCTACTGGAATCGATCAGCATGTCCCAATGTGTGATCGATTTCGATACATGCCACCAGATCTGCTTCCCTGAGCAACATCTCACTGGTGGACCCGGACCCGCTACATTACCTGCCGCACCTGGAACTGGAGCGCCTGGAACTGGAGCACCTGGAACTGGAGCACCAGGAAATGAAAATGGAAATGGACCAAAGAAGCATAAGGATGTGACGGACTTGGACGTGACGGATAACGATGGCGATGATAATGATGAGGATGATTATGAGGGTGACCAGGACGATAATGAGCTTGGAATGGCGGTTGGTGCTGATGTTGGTGGTGGAGAGACGAAAGCGTTGCATGGAAAGGGCAAGGGTAATGGACGCTCGGGAGTCAAGGCTGCGGCGAAGGAGGCTGAGGCGTTGACGTTGACGCCGGAGGAGATTAACCGGATGCAGCAGGCTTATGAGGATGTGTATGATGAGAGTATCATTAGTGCGCCTGCTGGTGGAGAGGATGATGCCGAGTTTGATGACGATCCTTCTGACTACTAGTTGGTGTTTTTGGAGATGCCGGGTTCGGACGACTCGGGCGACTGAGGCGTTCAGGATGAGACTTTCGGCCTGACGGATGAGTAAGCGGCAATCAACGACACCCATCAACGTCAACAACCAAAAGTATTGAATAAATAATTCGTGGCAGTTGGAGGCGTGTTGACCAAATTCTTCAACTCGCCCCTTTCAAAGAACCCACCATTCGTCATTGTATAATTCTAAAAAAATGCCAGTCTTATTATGTACGAAAAAAAAAATGATGCCTCTACCACTTCCCCTTCTATGCAATGATAAAACACGGATTACACAACACGGATCTTGTACTCGTTCAACTGCTGGTCCGTCAACGCCGAGGGACTCCCAACGACCAAATCACGACCCGAAGCCGACTTCGGGAACGCGATCACGTCCCGAATCGAGGGGGTCTCGCACAAGATGGCCATCAGTCTATCGAATCCTAGGGCGAGCCCTCCGTGTGGGGGGCATCCGAAGGAGAGTGCATCGATTAAGTGTGCAAATCTTGAGCTTTCTTGTTCTGACATCTATTGTGTTTCGAGTGTGTGTAGGAGTAGTAGTAAGTTAATAAGGTTGGAACATAGGCGTCGCTGCCAGCCAGATCTGTTCTTGGTTAAAGAGTTCATAGTAATAAAAAAAAGTTTACCTTGAGGACGTGGTCAAAGACATAAGTCTGCAATTTGGGTGAATGGATACGGATAGACCCACCTCCAATCTCGACACCATTCAACACCAAATCATAATGCTGTCCGCGGACCTTCTCAGGCGCAGTTTGCAAGAGGTGCAAGTCGTCGGGGTGGGGGGCGGTGAAGGGGTGGTGGGTAGCTTGGAAACGGACGCCACGGGATTGTTGATCGGTCGAGAGGATTTGTTCGGGTGGGGAGAAGAGCGGGAAGCCTTCTACCCAGAGGAAGTTGTACTGTGATGCTGGGATCTCCATCAAGCCTAGGGAGGATGAGGACGTAATAGGAGGGAGAATAGGTGTTTAGGGTTCAATTGTGAAGACTCTTCGGAAAAAGACAGAAAACGAGGGTTGTGAGTGATGGGGGGGGGGGGGGGTTACCTTTGGACTTGAGGACGTTGGCGAGTTCGAGGCGGACTTTGCCTAGTTCCGTTTGACCACCCTAAATCAACACGACAACCAGAATCATACACACATTAACCTCCTAGATTCATAATATATTTAAGTATCTCCAGCCCTCAGAAGATGAAGAAAAACGTTCTTGCTACTCACGGAGAGGAAGGCAGGTCGCTTGTTCAAAATGATGGTGTCCCCGATCTGAATGCCGACTTTAGAATTCACAGCAGGTACATCCACAAGTCCCTGGATCTCATGCGTATATGGCAGCTTTTGCATCCATGTGTCGATATTCTTTTCCGTGACCTTGACCACTGGTAACATCTAGTATACAAATATACCACAATAACCATAAAGTTAATGTCATGACCTAGTATTACTGGGACAAAATGAGGTTTGAGCATAACACGCGTGACAAATAGAGGAGGGGGGAAGGCTTACCTTATTGTCAAGCTGAGCGAGTTTCTTGAGCTCGGATCCCGACAACTTCATATCTGCCTTCAAAACAATACCCTCGACAATATTATCTCCCGTAATATCCGTAACATGTTGAATCTCCAGACCGAATCGAGTGTCGGGTTTGTCGGACCCATACTTGGACATGGCGACTTGGTAGTTCATCCGAGGGAACTCCTTTCCGTCAAAGAGTTCGACAGATTTGAGTTTTCTCCATACTGAGCGGACGAGGCCTTCAACTAGGTTCTGGATGTCCCGGGCTGACCCAAATGATACTTCCAGATCGATCTAGTATGAAAGGAAGGGAAGAAGGGGGAAAAAGAACGCTCAGTCAGATATGAACTATTTCAAACAGATAACGTGCTGATGGCAGAATGATTGATGTACCTGTGTGAACTCGGGTTGGCGATCTGCGCGGAGATCCTCGTCTCTGAAGCACTTTGCGATCTGGAAGTATCTGTCCATTCCACTTGCCATAAGAAGTTGCTTGTACTATTGGGCATTGTCAATTCCAAGACGTGAGTGAGTAATGATATTGATATCTGGAATCCCAAATGCATCCCTAATGCCACAACGATCCAAATGACATCCTGCATACCTGCTGTGGACTCTGGGGGAGGGCGTAGAAGGACCCAGCGTTCCTGGTGGGTACCACAAACTCTCGTGCGCCCTCTGGTGTTGACTTGAACAGCATCGGCGTTTCCACTTCCACAAAGTCTACAGTCGCACAAAAAAGTCGGTGTAATTAATTAGTGAAGATGTCGATCGAAATGCCATTTCTGGTTGACGTTGTGTGTGCAGTGTGATGTCGTTTGTTCGCCGTGAGTGCGCGTACCGTTCTGGACGAGGTAGTCGCGGATCGTCCATGCTGCCAATGAGCGGTTACGCAAGTTCTTTTGAAGTGTCTCCCGACGAAGGTCCAAGCATCTATACTTCAGCCTCACTTCCTCATTGACCTATCCAAGATAACATCAAATCCCGAGCTGAGAGTTAGAAATCGATCCATATCTTCAAATCGTGGAAGGTTTGTAGCAGTTCCTGACGAATGAAGCGTACCAATTCCTGGTTGGTAGGCAAGAAGGGCAAGGGCTTATGAGTCTTATTCAAGATCCGGACAGTGGACAACTCAATCTCAATTTCTCCTGTAGCCATTTGGCGGTTAATCGTATTAGCCTCGCGTGCCACGACCTTGCCCTCGACCCAGATCACACTCTCGGCCGTCAAATCCTGAAGAATCTGTCGTGCTGCTGTTGTCGATGCGTTGTTGCTGGAGCCTTTCAGGACGAGTTGGATTGTTCCTGAAGAATCTCTTAATGGGAGGAAGATCAGTTCGTCCGAGAACTTTCTATGCGAAGTCGTAAATGCGGAGGTGAGGGACGAACGTTAGTTTCGCGGGTGGTGGTTATGTGGTGTCTTTTAATTGATGAGCGAGCGTGACGCGTTGGTGGTTGTATAGGAGGGATGGTGGTACCTGATGTTTTGTGCCCATCCTGTCAAGACGACATGCTCTCCGACGTTGGTCTGGTTCAACTGTCCACACTTGTGCGTTCGTGAAGGGAAGTCGCCTACATTCAATTGAAAGTATGAAGAAAATATTGATATGTGAGCGATCTGTTGATCAATTACAACGAACGGATCTGTGTAGAGAAGCTCCTCACACTCCCTTCCTAGAGTCCCTACCAAATGTGACTCCCTCCAAAAGTTCAGCTTGCAGATCAGTCGTAGCCGCTGTCGCAAGTTTGCTCGACGTTGAAAAGCCGTTCTTTGCGGCAAGGAAAGAAGGGGACTGCAAGAAGACACCGCCGCGCGAGGCGATCAGTGCTCGGGGTAAGGAATGGACTGGAAGTAGAAGCGGACTCTTGTGTGTCGCTGTTTGGGTGACAAGTCTCCTGATGGCATTCGGTGCCTGTGTTGACCTGATCGCATGCATCTGTTTGAGCTTGTTATATATGAGGTAGTGGAATGAATGTAAGAGAAGAAAGGAAAAAAGGGAGTTCACGGCATGCCCAAAAGAAGGTTGTAAGAGTTCCTCCTAGGGGCGTGCATCCGGAAGAAACAGTGACTGTTTCTGTGATTTTGATTGGCTGGTGATAAAGATACTCAACCTGATAGACACGCGTCTTTTTTGGCCAGTCTTGTTCCTGAATCTTAGCCGTTACTACCGCGTTCTAGGTTGGCAAGGCTTCGTCTTTCCCCTCCTGGGTCGTTCCTCTCATCATCATTCTCATCATGGTAGTGATCAGTTTGACAGGAGTCAGGGCATATGGGGAGATCGAGTATTGGCTGTCGGTCTTGAAGGTTTTCACCATCATGATGTTTATCGTCTGCGGTATCCTCGTCGACACCGGTGCTATCAGTGGTCTCACTTATGGTTCGAAGTCTCGGTCCTATGGCGGGACGCCTTTCATTGGTGGGTTCTTGCCTTTGTTGAGACCTTTGACCCAGTCAGTTACGCCTATTGTGTTCTTTGCCCTCTTTGTGTTTGTAGAACTACGCGTAATATACGGTGGGAATTACAATAACCTAGAACCGAAGAGAACACGGACTTCCCAACATACTGCTTTCTTGTCATAAAGAAAATGCTTACCATTCCCCAACTTCTCATGCTACCTTTTATTTTAGTCAATCTAAAAGAGCAATACTGGTCATACAATACAATCAAAGCAACACAAGCAAGAAGGAGACGAGTAAAGAGAATAAACTATTTCCGTGCATGCAGAAAACCCAGTTTGTTGATTTTTTTTCCTGCTGGATCTAAGGGAGAGAATACTTTCGTTGATTGTATAAATAGAACTGGAAGGACTTTGACTGGGTCGAGGTTTCCTCCTATTTCGACGCGCGTGAATAAGACCTAGCGCGCTAGAGTGAGTACTAGGAAAGACGAGAAAGAATAAGTGCTGGCCCTTCTCGGGCTTTAGACATGGCTTCAAACTGTTGCTATGTTGAGGGAAACACCGAGAAGACAAATATCAACCACGAGCATCAACACACAAAAAAAAAAGCCAAGGAGAGAGGAAAAAAGAAATAAAGGGGAATATCAAAGTTTGCTCTACCTGGCAGTCGTGAGACATTCAACCCCGTAATCAAGTTTACTTGTTTGGTGACAAGACTCTCGCTCGTTCCCCCATTGATTGTCGGTGTTGTTTGTATGTTTGAGCGAACATCCCAATGTAAATCCTTCCCCATTTTTTTTTCGAGTTTTCTTTCATGTATCTGTCACCTTATCCTGCCGGGTTGGAGGACTAGACTGGAATAGGTAGAAGGGGAGATGACTCTTGATAACCCAGGTGGATCTGACTTGCACAATTGTCCATCCTCTCTCCCTTTCCTCGAAATTTTTTATATGGCGTTGTGCTTTGTAAAATAACAACTGAAAAAAATAGAGAGAAGGGAAAATATAGTCTCATCTACATGTGCATGCACTTCGATAGGGATGGACAACTCGCATCATAGATCTAGGTGTTGTTGCTACTGTTCTTTAAACGCAAGGAGACACCTTGCCACTCATCTAGATTGACGAAGCTTTTTGTTTCCAGTGAAACAAAAGTGGTGTGGGAAGAAAAAGGGGGGCGGCATTTTTCTTGTATTGTGTTAAGTCCATCCCAGGTTCTCTCCTTCGGCAAAGAGAGACCAAAACACATCCGACTGTTTGGTGCTGAGGGCCTCTTTTTTCTGATCAGTCCAACGTTTGGGGAGAGGGATGGAAACGGTAGCTTCGTTTGAGAGAACACGAGTTACAATTCCACAACGACTGTGTGAAGAGGAAAAGGGAACGAAAACTAACTCGAAAGACGTTCATTGTGCAAAATAAATAAGCTTTCGTTTAATGATGTCGATGAGCAGGATTATGAGATGGAATTGGATTAACATGGAGGAAGGAAAAGGCTTGCTGACAGAGAGAGGAAGGGACGCAGGCTGCAGAGTAACGACCAAAAAACTATACGCTCCATCCTCCCTTTGACTTCTCTTTCGCCTCTGTACCCTATTGGTGCCTCCGTGTGATAGATGCAAGGCACAATGTCTAGTGTGAAGCTGTCCGTGTTTTTCTCTTGGCCCTTCAATCAGGTTACCGACCGCTTCTTCTTCATTCTTGTCGTTGTTCAGCTCACAAGTCGGCATACAATGTTCCCAACTAACCCTTCCTTATTGCATATCCAAGGCACTCCTCCCTTATTGAAAGACTCAGTTCTAGGCTTCTGCAGAACTTGAGGATATATATACATGTGTCGATTACCGGTTTTTTCTTTGACTGGTTTGCTGAAGAAAACCGCAATTTCCACCGCAATTTCATTTTCAACAAAGCTGGTTTTCTATCCTCTCTTTATTATTTTCTTTTTCACTCGCTCTCGTTCTCTTTGTAGTTGGGAAGATGAAGGAGGCAAAAGATGTGGATATGGCTCCCCAAATAACAGTTTCATCCAAGTTCGCGGCAACCGCTTATTCCCTTCTGCAAAGGCACAAACAAAAAGCTTAAGGAAAAAAACATGGGGCGGGGCGGGTCAGACCTGTTTCCACAACAGTTATTTGCCCTCTCTCCGAAAAGTGGTTTCCAACAAACTGCCATTGTCATTGAGTTGACCTTGACCCAAAAAAGCAGTATTGGGGCTAAACTGCCATTGCCATGGAGGGCGAAAGCGGTTTTCAAACTTCTATTTCCTCATATAAGAGATACAACAAAGCTGGTTCAGGCTTGGTTGAACACAAGTTCATCCGTCGCTCTTATATTCTCCTCACTTCTTTCTTTTCTTTCCTTTCATCTTCATCGACAACAACAAAAACAAAAAAGCTGAAATTATTCCACCATCACCACAACTACACCCAACGACATCGCATAAGCAAATCATATACACGACAAGATCTAGCGCCAACTTCATTATCGTAATACCGCCAAGCAAGTCAAACAATCTCATCGCTCCTAACAAAACCTCAACAAGTTCGCCGCCGCTTCTACTGCCTCTACCGCCGATACCACTAGCACAACAGCCATGTCAGGAACCAGCCCAGCCACTACCACATCCGCACAAAAGTCATCATCATTGTCGCGCCCCACGCGCCGAACGATTTCCAAACAGTCTCACTCTTCCTCTCAGCCGTGATTTTCACAAACGCCCTCCTCGCGGTCTTCGCCCCCGCAGCAATCACAACAGACACAGCCCCCACGATCGGCCGCTCGGACGACGACAACAACTCTGCCTCAGTCTATGGATGCCCATCACCAGAGGCCCGCCAAGCCCATTGCCAGAATATGATGGATTCTGCGGGATATTGTGGAGAGTACCCCTGGCGCTCTTGCTTCTGCACCCTTTCGTCTCAGTAGTACTTGTACTCTAGAACTACCACAAAATCTTCCTGCTTAATAATTTCCAACCCACCAGCCTCTTAATCGTAATTAAAACGCGCAGAAAACACAACTATACGCATATGAAAAACATACACTCACGGGCCATTTATTACACGCCAATCCTTCTCGGACGACTTTTTACACAGCTAAGAGGAGGACTTGGTAACAGCGGCCTTCTTAACCTTCTTCTCCACAACCTCATCTTTAGCCCCACCGTCCTCACCAGCTTCCTCCGTCTCATGGCGCTTCTTGGACTTGCTCTCACCATCCTCCATCTCAACATCCTCAGCATGAGCACCAACAGCGGCACCAAGACTAGGAGTGTTGACGGTGCTGGCACCCATACCGATGACTCCAACGACACCTTCTTCAGCACCTTCCAACCGCTGGTTACGTTTCTGGAGGGCAGCTTCGACAATGATCTGGTTGGGGTGTTTCTCCAGGGTGCGGGTGGGTTCCTTTCCGAAGGTTGCGAGGAAGGCAGTTGATTTTTCTTGCAGGGTACCGTCTTGGATTGATTCGCGGATAAGGATGAAGAACTGGGAGTACTGGTACATGTTGTGTCTACATATCACGGGAAAAAATGGCCAAATAAGACCTCGTTAATAGCCATGCCGCACGAAAAATTACCCCTCTCAGGAGCAGAGCCAAGAAGGCGCTTTATCAAGAGGACACTCCACGTACCCCATGAGCAAGACGGTAGCCAACATCTCGTGCGTCTTCAAGAGGTGGTTGATGTAGGCACGGGTATGTTTGTTGTCCTTGCAGGCGTAGCATCTACAGCCCTCGAGGATCGGTACAAACTTGTCGCCGTGCTCGTCATCCCAGAGGTTGATGCTTCTCTGAGTCTTGCTGTTGCTCTTGTCCTGACCTGCGGGGCGGGTTCCGTAGTAGTACAGTGAGGCCATGCCATCCTCGGCTAATTGGAATGGGTATGAGGTGTCGAACAGATCGATGCCCATCGCCACCGCTTCCAGCACATCCTCTAATAAAATTTGAATGTGGATATCCATGTCAGTTTACAGAACAGTATCGAAGCGAATGCGGCATCCCAAGAAAATGACGCGCTCTTACCAGGGGCATGAAGTCCATAGATCAGTCTAGGCTTGTCAGCAGGCAAGTGATCCAAAGAGGTCTGGACATGCTTCAACCTCGCATCCTTGTCCAACGCGCTCAGAGAGAGTGTGTCGATCACAAATCCGTCCACACCCTCCTTCTTGGCCGTCTCCTGTGCACTCCAGATCCTCGACTCTTCCAAATGCGCTCCTCCCACAGCCGCAAACAACCCAACATCAGTCCAAGGCTCTGTAGGAATAGGCTCAATATAGATCTCCTCATCTTTCTCCTTAGAGGTCTCTGCTCCTTGTTCCTGGTCCTGTTCCTGTTCCTGTTCCTGTTCCTGCTGTTCACCTGCAGCCTTGGCAGCCGCCGTAGCATGCCGCCTCTTCTCCTTCCTCTCCCTCCTCCGCTTCTTCTCCTCCTCCGCCCTCCGATCCCCAATCGTACCATCCTGTCCAGCCCTCTCCAACAAGATCTGATCCAACCATTTCAGCGATCTCTCCAAACTCTTCCTAACTCGCTTCTCATTAGGAGCAGTCGTCTCTGCAATAGTGTCCGCCAGAGCCACAACCACATCCGGACGGTAATGACGAACCGTCTTGAGGTAATCGTCCAGGGTCAATTGACGGATTCCTTTGGGTGTCGAGAGGACCACGTGGTTATCCGTGTTGGAGGCCAGTTTCCTGGTTGGTGGGGTTGTAGGGTGGCGGAAATTCTCTGCTGCGTAGGAATAGTCCCGGAGGTCGCAGAAGGTGATAAGGTCCTGGAGGCGCAGGTATTCTGAGAGCGTGAATTTGGAGCCGGTGAATTGAGGAATCGGGGAGGTTTCGGGCCACTTTGAGAATGAACCTGGCTGATCCGTTTGCCTAATTTTTGATTCAAACGAAAAAAAAAAAAAAAAAAAACCATATCAGTGATCTTTTTTGCCAACTAACAAAACAGTGCTAATTGATTAATTTTAGCTGATCAATTGATCACATATGATAGGGTTCCCTTCGACTTACAAGATCTGCTCGAGGGACACGTTGACGCCTCCAAAGCTCTGTTGACGCAGGTTGTCCGGTGTGAGATGAGGCACAGCTCCTTTCAGGGAGTACATCAGACACCCGGGGGTCTCGATCGTCCTCTTGACATGCTGCTGATCAGTTCCTGCAGTGGTCGACTGAGAAAGGGCGAGCGTTCCACAGCGCGCCGATTCTCCTGCTCTTGTGGACTTGGTTGAGGTCTGTTTGATTTGGAACTTCAGTGGCGAAGTCATGATGCTGCCGATTCGTTGGAGAAGTAAGGGTGTGGTGTGTGTGTGTGTTTGCACATGAACCTTTTTTTTTTTTTTTTTTTTTTTTTTTCCTTCTGAACGTTATGTGGCTTGGAATTTGATGCAAGCCTTTCATTTCCCTCAACAGCTCAACGTTTGTGCGATCTGAAGGTCAATTTTTATTCTACGCGCTTGTGTTGACGCGATATATCAAAAAGTCCAGTTTGAACATGGCAATACCCCACACTCCTCCAAAAGAAATCATCTAGTTTCAATTGCTAAAGGAAAGATACTGTCGCACCAACATACTTCTCTCAAATTTACAACTCCTTCTTGGCTGATCCAGCAGTGCGTTGGAGTCGACGGGTTTGAACGGCCGAAAGGACATAGCGACCCGAGATAAAGGCAACGACGGAGAGACCGCCGAGGGCCTGGAGAACAGGGAACAAGGTGACGTGGGTCCAGTAGCTGTAGAACACAAACTCAATTCCTGCAATCGATCCGAAGAAGACAATGGCGTTGATGAGATCGAAGGGCTTTGAGGTTATGGCCTGGAAGGGCTCGAACTTGATGTCCAACTTGCTCCACTATTCATGTTTTTCGAAGAACATATCACCAAGCGTTAATGTTCATCTTGCAAGCAATTAGAAGGTCAAAATCACAAAGTCACAACCACTGCGCGCGAAAAGTGACACTTACGAAGAAGAAGAGGACGGCAAAGGGGGTGAGGACGAGGAATGTGAAAAGTCCCGAGATGGCAGTGTTGATCAGCTTTTGATCGGGGCGGAACTGGTGGTGGATCTCGGGCTGAGCCTGGTAGTGAAGGCGGGCGGGGCGAGTGGTGGGGTTGGAGGGGCCCTTGACCTCAATGTTGCCAAGGGTATACTTGTAAGGCTCCTCGATCTTGGGTCCACCGACCAAGAAAGTCATTGCGTACTTGCGTGTTCCATACTTGAATTTGGCGTCAGCCTTGTTGAAGTTCTATGATGACAAGAATTCAGTTTGGATCACAACAACGGTCAGTCAGGGGGGTGATCCTTGTCCGAGAAGGAATTGTCCATGGTGTGAGTCGATAATAGATTGGTCCTTACGAGGTCGAAGCGGCCCTTTCCTGAAGACTTGACCGAGGCAGCGACCATGATCTCGTCCTGGAACTCATCCTGACTCTGGAAGACGACCATAGCCTGGTGAGGCTTTTCCTTGTTGTCGATCTTGAATGAGAATTTGAACACGTCTGTTGAGTCGGCTGTAAGGTCCTGGACAGCATTTGGGTATTCCAACCTATTGTTAACCACGAATATGTTCAATTGAGTTAATGTGGATTCAATTGGTGTAATCGGTGAATGTTTGTACAATTGCCGTTGGATATCTGTTGGATCAAAGACGCGTCGTTTGAATCCTGTATAAAAGTCCTGTCTCCTGCTGACTCGCGTTTGTTCTGTTACGCGTGAACAAAAAAGCTGATGAAGTGCGCATTGTCGCCTGCCCTGAATGACCAAGTTGCCTGTAAAAGCTGACGCTTGAGCAGAGAAGAGGGAGGCCTTACTTGTGCTCGGCCTTCTTGTTGCCTCCAGGAGCGGCGATAATGAGGTTGATGTCCTGGACCTTCCATGACTCTGCGATGGCTGTGGAGAGCGAGGCCAGGAGTGTGACCAGCAGTAGGGACTTGAACTTTGCCATGATGTCGAGGGGATGAAGAGTGAAGAAGGCTGGAGGAGGGAAGGAGGAAGGAGAGGGTACAAAAAATGGTGTGAGGGAAGGGAGGATAAAAGGATGTGAACAAAGAAGGATGCACGGGCGAGAAAGTGTGAACGATGATGGGGTCTCTGTCTGTCTGTCTGTCTGTCGTGGTAGCAGCCAGTCAGAAACGGACAGGGGGGACAATCAATCAAAGCGTTGGCTTAAATGGTATGGTTAAGGGCGATTTAACCGTTGGCATCTTCATCACCGACAAATTATCGCAAAGGCTGCATTGAGACGGACTCAATAATTGTTCCTGACTTGAACAGGAGGTCAACTTCGTTCGACATCTCTCTTGACCTCCTTGTTCCTTTCTACCTCAACCGCCCTCATTCACAACCGCCATGCAGACAAGGAGAAAAACTCTCGCCCTCGCAGTCTCGACTGCAACGACACCAAAGCCGATTCTCACTTCAGTGTTCAAGCACACAAAGTCAAGGTAGTCTATGCGTTCAGCTGCGCTGTCAAGCGTCGTTTCAATCTTTAACATCTTGTCAATGGATCATTAACGCCACCAATCCGCTCATTTTCAGGGCAATTGCTCGTTCGGTTGTCACTGTAAGTCAATTGCATGACTATCGCTTCGATTGAAGGGGAACTTATTCGTTGCTCTAACGATAACCTACTTTTATTCATTGCTCCTACAGAAAGCTGCTGTTGTCGAGACCATCCAGACCAAGGTCGCCAAAGCCCAGGTGGGTTTTGTAAACCTGGAATATTTTTATTTGACCATGCACCACTTCCATGTGTACCTCGCGCCCCTGTCTACTCCCCAACTCACGCCTATATTCATTCTCATTCTTCACACTTACTCAGAGCTCAATCATTGTCGTCAAAAATGATACCCGCGGAAGTACACAGACAACAACGGTCAAGGCTCGCTCTCGAAAGTTAACGGCTCGTTCTTCACCAGACATCGAGATGACTGTCAATAGTATGGCAGTCGCTTCCATCAACACGTCGAAAGTCAAGGTGACCAAGGCCAAAGAAACCAAGCCTAAAGCCCCCGAAGAGAACCCATGGGCAAAGAGACCACTTCACGTACCTGAATATGCTCGAGAAGCGCTGGAGTATCTGTGCAAAGTCGACCCCGCCCTTGCGCCTCTCATTGCCAAGTATCCTTACACCATCTACACTGACCACGACACCAACTACTTTCGGTAAACAAAGGTGTCTTGTTCTTGCTCCTTTTGCGATTGACAACCCATGAAACGTCATCCTCTTGCTCACATACTTTCATTGTGCTGCTCCATTGTAGAGTACTGTCGCGCACCATTGTTGGACAGCAGGTGCACTGGAAGGCCGCGCGGGCAATCATTTTCAAGTTTGTCTCTTATTACATCCCCGATGTCACCCTGGACTCCCTCGATAGTGGTGACAAGCGATTCCCTACTCCTGAGCAACTCTTGGCGACCTCCATGGACCAATTGCGTAACTGTGGACTCTCTGAACGCAAAGCCTCCTACATCCAAGACCTTGCGCGTCATTTCGTCGAGGGCAAGATCACATTTGCAAGCGACAAGGCTACGCTTCAGGCTCTCACAGATGATGAGCTGGCAGCCCAGTTGCTTTGTGTTCGAGGGATTGGACCATGGACGGTTGACATGTTCATGATGAACACGCTCGAGCGTTTGGATGTCTTGCCGACGTTGGACTTGGGAATTCGTAAGGGTATGGAGAAGCACTTCAGGAGGGATTACAAGAACGGAGTTTGGGGCACGATTGTTGAGAGCTTGGAGGACGGCATGGCCAAGAAGGGTGGAGCCAAGGGCAAGGGGAGTGCGAAGAAGGGTGAGATGAGCTGTGGTGATATGGAAAGGATGGCCGAGATCTGGCGCCCGTATCGAAGCATTGCTTCTTGGTATATGTGGCGAAACGCCGACGAGTCCCACGCCATCACCGCACCTATAATTTGAAGCAAATAAACAAGGAGGCATTTCTTCCTTTGATCGCATTTGCTACGACTCAAAACATATAAAAGAGAGGAGGTCGTTCGCTGGTTTAGCGCGCTTGCCTGACCCTTTGCCCCAAACACACCTGCACCTTTTCCCTCCCCTTCAGGCCGCGGAATTGCACCCACCATTGCACCCACCAGGACACTGCAAGCAGAGGACAGGAGTGCCAATCAAACCCAAACAAACACTTATACCCTTCACCACACAACACATAACATCGACAATGTCTTTAGCCGGCTACTTCTTTGGAAACGTCGACAAGTCCGGCAAGGTCGAGGACTTGCCAGAGGTAAAGCCCCATGAAACGCATGGATCAACGCCACCTCTATTGTGTACATGTTAGTTGAATCTCTATTTTTTTTTTTGTTTGGGTTGTCGATTAATCAACAATTACCTTATTGCACCAGGAATTCCGTGAAGCTTTGGAGAGTCTGGAGAACAATGAGCAACTTACACAGCTCTTCTCGGCAAAGACCCTGGGAGTCGACGAGAACGAGGTCAGGACACAGCCAGGTGCAGCAGGCGATGACGATGACGATGAGGACGAGGACGAAGATGGCGAGGTCAACATCTCAACGATCAAGTCAACTTTTGAGCACGACAAGGACGCAGTCGACTTTTCGGAAATCAACGACCTGGCTGTCGATAACACCGAACAGGAGATGTTCAGTCAACGGTACTTGCAGAAGGGTCTCAGTGCCGTCAGAGCTACAGCAACAACAGCCATGAGGAGTGGTAGTCAAGGAGGTCGGACAAAGTCAAGACTGGATTCTATGGACGAGGACTATGACGCTGAGGATTCTGAAGGAGAGTCCAAAGCAGGTGTTTTCAAGACCGGTATGCCAGCATTGCCTTCGGCGTCACAGCAGTCTGCACTCACTCTTTTGCAGCGCCAGCAGCTGTACCTTCAGGAAGAGCAGAGCAAACAGCAGCAGCAGACAGGTGGCGTAGGATCGTCCAAACCTCCGTTGCCCTCATCATCATTACCTGGACTGCCAGGGGCTAGTGCCGCTGCGCCAGTAACACCCACCGCAGTTGAACCAGTCGACGTACGGAAACTGTATCCTGCTTTTGAAGAAAAAAAGATCCTCAAATTCTCGGAGCTCTTCAACACCAAGCGCCCCAAGCGGTTCCCACACTCGCGCGCCAAGCCAGGTTTGTTCATACTGCAGCTTTGCCTTTTTACACAGGCGATTAATCACATGTAGCTGTGGACGATATACTGATCCCATTTACTTGTATACATTTGTTTTCATAGCTGGGTTCCCAACAACGTCAAAATTCAGCCATAACCTTGACCATAAAAAGGTGTTTGAGCTCCCAGAAGATCCTTCGGCGGTCAATGAGCGGTATCTGGAATATTACGACAGTTCAGAGGTTAGTTATCAGGACTGCAACCATGTGCGTGAATACGTCCTTAGAAGTCCACTGTTTTCTAACGACTTTTGTTACTATTTTGAAACAGGAATCATTGGACAAGGAGTGGCTTAATAGTCTTCAGTGGAAGGTCCCTGACGCGAAGGACTTTTACTCGGTACAGCTCGATTCATGGGAAGATCGCATTGTCTGGGACGACTCTGTTGTTCCTACACAAGACGTGGCAATGGATGGGTAAGTAACCATGACATGTGAGCAACTACCGTAATCGATCCCTGTTCACTGTTCTTAACCTAGAAACTACATCTTGCTATATGTAGAAGTGATGCGGCGATGGTCAAGCCAACACTCAAGGATACAACAGAGCTGTTTGCGTCCAGGAATTACGATCTTGACGGTGGCGACTGGGAAGATTCGATTATTTGGGACGACAACAAGCCATACAAGTCCTTCAGTCACATCAGCCTGAACATGAATGACGTGAACGTGCTGTTTGACCTTACCTCAATGGACAATAAGGCCATGGGAGACGGATTCAGAGGTATGGCATTGCCTTGGTTCAAGACGCGGTGTCAGGGTGTAACTATGAAAAGGCGAAGCACACTAACACTAGCGTTCCATTATCAATTACGAATAGTGAAACGCGGAAGGAAGGTTCAATTCCCAGCATACCGCGTAGTTACCAACGTCAACGACCCCTCGGAGGCAGAGACTCACAGGAAACTGGGGATCGACCGCTTCAACGTGTCCAACGATCGGTTCTACGAGGCGCACAAGGAGGGTCGGTTTCACAGAGTTCGTCAGACATTTGGTCAGCTGGTGGTCCAGCATGCTTTGCCATCTGTCAAGCTGATGAAGCCTTGGTACAAGAACAAATTGACAAAGGCAGAGCTCCGCTCCTTCCATCGACCCTCATTGCAAATCCCGCTCAACGTCGATATCACATTCTCTCGAGTCAAGGGCAGCAAGAAGAAGAATAAGAAGAGGAAGGAACTGGGAGAAGTCATGAGGAGCTCCAAGGACCTGACACTGCGCGACCACACCAACTTCGTTCTGCTCGAGTACTCAGAGGAACACCCCGCCATTGTTCAAAACGTAGGAATGGGAAGCATCCTGATCAACTACTATCGCAAGGAGTCAGTCGAGGACACTCATATGCCTACGAACGAGATTGGCGAGTCCTTTGTCCTGGATGTTACCGACACTACACCATTCCTCAACTTTGGTAACGTCGAGCCAGGCCAGACGATGAGCGCACTTTACAACAACATGATCAGGGCACCAGTCTTTGAGCAGCCACCTCGGTCCACGGATTTTATTGTCATCAGGACCACGTACAAGAACGAAACCAAATACTACATTCGCCACATCCCACACCTCTACGTTGTCGGTCAAACATACCCCGTGCAGGACGTCCCAGGACCACACTCGCGCAAGATCACCACAATGATCAAGAACCGCCTCCAAATCTCGTCCTTCCGTTTCATGCGCAAGGATCCTCAAGGTCGACTCAAATTCACCAAGCTCTGCAAGGCGTACCCCGAGTACAGCGAGATCCAGATACGCCAGAGGTTGAAGGAGTTTGCAGAGTACCAGCGCAAGGGCAACAACACAGGATACTGGAAATTGAAGGGAGGCGCACCGTTGCCCAGCGAAGAGGAGATCAGGAAGATGGTCACGCCAGAGATGGTCTGTCTCTACGAGAGTATGTTGGTCGGACAGCGACATTTGTTGGACGCAGGTTACGGCAAGGCTGCAGAGGGAGATGAGGACAATGCGAACGAGGATACCGAGGCGAGCATGGATATCGAGGAGCAGCTGGCACCCTGGATCACGACTCGCAACTTTATCAACGCAACTCAGGGCAAGGCCATGTTGAAGCTTTGGGGGGCTGGAGATCCTACTGGTCGCGGAGAAGGATTCAGTTTTGTCCGTATCAGTATGAAGGATATTTTCCTGAGAGAAGGAGAGTCTCTTGAGGAGAGACTGGCTCAGATCGAATTGCTTCCCAAGAGCACACATCGTTACAACGTCGCTGAGCAGCAGCTGGTTTACAAGGAGGAGATCACGCGTATTTGGAATGCACAACGGGCTGCACTCAGCAAGATTGAGGAGATTGACGGCGGCGATGATGAGATTGCAGGAGATTCTGACAACGACAATGATGAGGATGAGAACTATGATCGGCAGAGGCGCGAGTTGTCGACGATTGACCGGAACCGCGTTTCGCCATCCCCATCATTGTTCGGCCGTTACCGTGACCATAGTGAACGCGAGCGGGATCGCGCCAACGACATGGATGATGACAATGTCTCCGTTGCAGGCAGTGTCAGCTCTCGGACGAGCGCCAACTTTGGGTCCCGGAACAAGCATCTGATCATCAAACGACTCGTTCGCCAACCCAACGGCAAGACTGTTTGGAAAGAGGAAACTATCCGTGATCCTGCTGTCATGAACACCTATATCCGTCATCGTCAGGAGATCGAAGAGAGCGCTATCAATATGGAGGCCCTGGAACCAACTGATGATGAGGCCAAAAACCAGAGGATGAAGAAACGCATCATGGAGGAGCTTGCTAGGTTGAACCGGAACCAGGAGCGTCGCATGGCCCGTGCTGCAGCCAAGGCTGGCTCTGCTGCACCCGAGCTCCCTGTCAACCCTGCCACCGCCGCCCTCAAGAAGAAGAAAGTTGTGGTAAGTCTGCATAGCACAACTACGTGTTGTTTTTTAGGTGCTCTTTTTGATCCCTGCACAACTGTCTCACAAAGCATTTACGCCTGTAATTCTTACGATAATAGCGTCAGTGCAGTAACTGTGGAGCTCTTGGACACATGAAGACGAACAAGAAGTGCCCCAAGTACGTCGATCCTTCAGGAGCATTGCCCAACCTTGGTGTGACAGGAACCGCGTATGTGACATCAGGAGGAGCGGCTAGCATGATGTCGCCCCCACACGCGTCTCTCCGCGCAGGATCGATCCCTCCAGGAACACCGAGCTCGTTGGCAAATTCTAGAGCTGGCCCAGAGTTTTTCAGGCAAGGATCACCCCAGTCTGCTGCAGCTGGCAGCAACAAGATCTCATTCCCCAAGGCTGTGATCGACCGTGTCGCTGATTTGGAGAAGGAGCGCGAAAAGGAAGAAAAGGACGCCCTCGTTGTCCGACTACCCTCCAAGATGCTCCGTAAGTATTTTTGAATTGAATTTATCGTCTATTTGTTCCTGCGGGGATGTGCGTTTGCAAAGCAAATTGCTGACATGCATTTCATTCTGATAATTGCAATTAGAAACGCCGCCAAAGCGCAAGCGCAGCGAGTCGGCTAGTCAGCAGAACAACGACATGGAGGACTTTTATGACTACCTGCACCCTCCAGCAAAATCGTACGGTCGCCGCAAGAAGGCCGACGTGGAGCTGGCCAACATTATCGAGTCTGTGCTAGCGACTCTTCTTTCGATGCAAGAAGCGAACGCGTTCATTGCACCAGTATCGCCCAAGATTGCACCAGGCTATGATATTGTGATCAGGCAACCAAGAGACCTGTCAGGAATGCGGGACGCCAACAAGAATCACTATGCGTACAGGACAGTGGATGCATTCTTAACGGACCTCAAGATTATGGTCAACAATTCATGGATCTACAACGGCGAAAAATCGGCCTGGACACAGGCGGCGTTAGTGCTTCTTCAGAAGGCTGAGGGGATCTTGCAGCCGCAGATGGAGACGATCCGGCAGTTGGAGACAGAGATATTGGAGTCGGACTTGAAGGCGAACATCTATGTCGGAGCAGGCACACCTGGATCAGCAGCCACGCCTAGCATGGTTGGTGGAGCACCACCACCTGTTACCATGGCCAACCTTCACCCTGGTGGCTATGGAGCGTACAACGGCACGATGTTCCCAGGATTCGGCAACGTGTTTAATGGGTTTACAGTTCCACCTCCTCGTAACCCAATGGGTGTCGGAACCGCAGGATTTGCCCCGTACACTGGCCCCACCTCCTCGTCGGCTCTTCCTTTGACTAGCCAAGGTCAACCTGAGAACGAGACAGGTGAAGTCCGGGTCAAGTCTGAGACTATGGAGTGGGAGTGAGTGAGCTCTGGTGGTACTGGGAAGATGGAAGAAAATTGTATATAATAATATTAAACTTGGACTGTGTGCAAAGAGTTTCATGTGCGTGGCTCTAATAGGGAAAGATGCTATGCTTGATGACCATAGCATGCTAAAAGCGTCGGAAAAAAGTACCAATTGAAGGTTCAATTGCCTAGACAGGGGTCAAAGAGATCTCTTGGATGGCTGCAAAACGACACAAACTGGCGGCAAACCATGTTGAAGGCTGAGGCTGCAACTGTACTCTGAGAGAAGACCCTGACGATGTGGTCTGGACCAACACCCTTTTTGCGCTTTCTATTTGGAGCATAAATACCCCATCACTATCGACTCTTCTTCCCTCAGCTACGCCTCCTCCTTTTTCTCTTTTTCTTCCTCCTCTTCCTCTCCTTCTTAACACCTTACCTTTCCTCATCACGACCTTGCATTCACTCACCCCACTTTCTTCTTTCACACCGTGAACCTCATTACCTTACACGCTCATTCATCCTCTTTCAAACACGTTCTCAGCACACCATGTCAAGTGAGTGAAACAAAAAACATACACGCGTCAAGTCCCTGTGTGCACTTTACAGTTCTCACGAAACTAACGTATCTCCAATTGACGCCTTACTTCATAGCACACCCCACACAAGAAGCAATGGACAGACACGACCCCCTCCCGCTCATACCAAACGCCTGCCACCAAGCCATCAACATCCTCGAGATCCTCGAACGCATCCTCTTCCTCGTCCCACCAGCTCAGCTCCTGTCCCTCCGTTTCGTCTCGCATCACTGGGACCGAGCCACCTACCGCCCACTATGGCAGTACCCCGATTTCACTAAGCGTGGGATGGTTAAGATCACACCTCGACTAGTTGAGCACGGACATATTGTTCAGGAGCTGGACTTCTACAAGGCTTCGTTGTTCAGTGAGAACCCCCTCGAGGATGTCGAGACATTGAAGAGGTGGTGTCCAAACGTCCGGTCGTTAAGGATGCGGTATGGGTGTCTGACTTTTGCGGGCGTGCAGCATTTGATCCAGTTTTATGGATCGAAGGCTGCTGGACCGTGGACGGCCAAACCGGGGGAGGGAGGTCAATTGCATAGTCTGAGTCTAGATATGTCCAAAACTGAGTATCAGCCTTCGGGGATGGAGTGGTTGACGGATTTGGGGAAGGGGCTGAAGCGGTTGGAGTTGAGGATTAATCGGAAGCGGGGGGGGAGCACTCGTCAACGGACGTCGTTCTTGCAGTTTGAGCCTTTACTCGAGGCTTGTCAGGGGCTCCGGGAGTTGGATATCATCCCGACCCCACATTTCTTGCCGTCGTCGGATGAGAAGTTTCGTTTGCTGACACAGGGACAACAGCAGAATAATTTCCAAACCCTCCATGCCCAGTTGATTGATACGATTCATGGAGCTGCTCCCAAGTTCAGGACATCGGATAGTTTGAAGTACTTTGAGATGTACAAGCCTCCGCTGAGACGATTGCATTTGGCGAGAGTCTGGTTCTCGGATATGGATTTGGAGGTGCTGGCGAGGGCTTGTCCAGAGATTGACGATTTGAGGTTGACGAATATGAGGATGGACCTGAATGTGGATGAGTGGAACGTCCAGTCGGTTGATACGCCTTTGGAGTGGGAAGACCGTGCCAAGGACGAGCTGTCGATCGAGGTAGTTTTGAAGTGTTGGCCCGGGATGCGGACCTTGAGGTTGGACGGGAACGTGGTCAGGATGTTCTCTGCTGCGACTAGGCGTACTAGCTCTGCCACCTTTGTTGTCCCAACATCATCGTCGTCGACTTCTCAGACAGGATCCGAGGCTAAGGCAACAGCAGAAGCTGAAAGAGCGACAATAGCCAAGGCGGACTCGGATATGACAGCATCGGCAGCCAAGGTTACCCCTGCCAGTGCAGGCCTTCTCCCCAAGGGCTCCTACAAGCTCGCCTCCCTGTGCCTCTACCAGACATCGTTACTCGAGGGCGACTTGGTGACACTGGTGGATCTGATGGAGCCTACACTGACGTACTTGAACGTCGATGGGAATCCGAAACTGACCGACCAGTCTATTCGCCATGTCTTGATGACCTGCTCCAACCTTCGGGACTTTTCGGCCTCAGAACTCAACCTGACGATGGGTGTCTTTGAGGACTATGACCCTCATACGATGGAGATGCAGCGGGTCAGTGAAAAGATCCAGGCGTTCAACTTGGAAGGCGAGTCTTCCGAGGCGGCACCGGTGCCTTTGACAAAAGAAGGTGCTGTCGAGCCTGTCACCAAGAGACCGTGGGCGTGTATTAAAACGCTTCGTTCGCTAGACTTTTCTTGGAGGGTTATAGATGGTCGACCTGCGTATGTGGATAGCACTCATTCGTCCACCGTCATCGTTAACGAAAATCGTCTCCCGCCTTATCGTCACCATACACACCTCCACCGGCAGCAACAACAACCTTACAACGCACAAGGATCATCAGCGTCAGTAGAGGCGGCAGAGTCGACGTCTGTCGGCATGTTCCGTACCCCCTGGCACATTGAATCTCTCTACGAGCGTCTCCGCGCACTGGAGCGTCTTGAAGTCCTGCAACTCGAAGGGTGGGCGATCCCCTGGCGTGCCGCTGACATTGAAGCCTTCCTGGGTCACAGCCCCGAACCCGAGTTGGTCTCCAAGGAGAACCAGTTTCAGGAGGACAAGATTAGCTACCTGCCCTGGGAGCGGTACAAGGGTATGGGACGTTGGAAGGAAGCTGTCAGTTTGGAGGAGTATGTTGATGCGGATTTTGCGTATGTTACCTCGCAGAGTATGATTGTGAAGGAGAAGTTGAGGTTCAAGGGGCCAAGCAAGGATGGGTCTTCGTGGATGGCTTCGCCGGGCGTGGGTGGACTTCGAGTTGAGAAGGGAGACATTCTGCCGTATCCGAGGTCCAGGATGGGTCGATTGAAGTTGCTAAACATCATGTGCAAGCGGCCTGTCTTTCTGAAGAACCCGATTGGTGAGGCTTCACCGTTTGTCCTGTACCCGACACTTCCCCCTTCAAGAGCGAACAAGAGTAGGACTGGTAGGGCAGGTGAGGAGTCTGAAGTCGAGGAGTCTTCAAGCGCCTTTACACCAAGCGCAGTCTTGACTCCAGTATTACCAGTCTGTACCGTCACCGAAGGCGCGGCGCCACCCCCACCTCCACCTCCCCCACCACGTAGCGGATTCGTGCCCCGTCACACACCTGGCACTGCCGCCAACAACTCATCCGCCACCACCACCGGTGCCCTTCCTACATCAACTTTATCAGCACCATCCTCACGCCCCATACCAATCTCGCCTCCACCACGCAAAGACCCCAGTTCCACCAAGATCCTAGCCCACGGTGTCGTGGCATCATTCATGAAGGCATGTCCACAACTCGAACGCGTCCTAATCGCCACCGAGATGTCCACCCCGACCAACTTCCCTCTCACAGATTTCACAGTCCAGCTTGGGTGTTCAGAAGAGTCAGAGGCGATGGTGGTGGGAATTGATGAAGGATCGAAGGGGAAGGTGGCGATTTTGAATGACCCTGCGGTAGTTACTTTGCGTGTATCGCCTCGGCGTGTTCTTTGTACGAGGAGGGTTTACCCCGAGCTCACGTCCCTTCGTCGATACTAGATTAGACGTAAAGAACGTTGGATTCTAACAAAGCGAATGGGTCCCCCCATTATGTCACGTATCATGGACCCGATTTTCCTATTCTCAATGAACACCCCTCCTCCCTTCCCTTTCTTGCCTTAGCCGCGAACGGATGACACTTGCCACACACACACACACACACACACGTGAACAAAAACCTTGTTCCGAACGCCCCTTCTTCCTACCCATTGCCGAGAAACCGTTGAAAGGTACGCATTATCAATAGATTACATTGGGGATAGCAAGCGGTGTTGAGATTATTTATGAAAACTAAAATGCGAAGAACAAATGCCAGAAACAGGAGAAAAGCTAATGTAAAGAAGAAAAAAAAAGAACATCTACGTAAAGACAAAGAGATCGCGTCCCTCCTGCTTACACATACTATTCGCGCGCTCAGTGCCCACAATCCTCTGGAGTTTCAACAAATCATATTTCGTAAACAGCGCAGTACACGACATGGCCCTGTCCTCAAACCCTGTAGCAGCCGCATGTTTCGACCTCGACTTTTCATTCCCTGCTGCCGCAGGCAACGCGAGGAGATTCAACATCTCGGGGTAGAATTGTGGGTGGTCGGGGAGGCCATAAAAGGCAAGATGGAAGGTGCCTCTGATATTGTACCGTCTAAAGAAGTGGAAACGCTCGGTGTAGAGGAGGAAGGAGACCTCTCCGTGGAAGAAACTGGAACGGGCACGGGAAACGTTGGCGTTGGAGGTGTATTCGCAGATGGCGGCAAAGGAGTACTTGTTCTCGGAGAAATAGTTCCTCAAGCGGACAAAGTCAAAGTACGAGGGGATGTAGATCATGGTATGAGTCTGTGTCACAGCCGACCGACGCAACTGAGGTAACGTCTGAGTGATGAAATACTGGAAGCGGGCTTCGTCCGCCTGGGCGAGGGTGCGTGTTTCGATGCGGTTAAAGTTTTGTTGGACGAGGGGAACGACGTCGACGATGGATCCGTCGAGGTAAGGTTGGGTGATTTTGACTTTACCGGCGACGTTGCGGGAGAACTTTTTGAAGAAGGAGTTGATTTCGGGGGTGATGAAGTTGGAGACCATGAGGGTTTGGCGAACGTATTTGGACCGGCCGTCGAGGCACCAGTTGCGGACGCGGGAGAAGTCGCACCCGTGGGGGTCCTTGGGGATCATGTTCATGTGTTCAAACACCGTCTAAACATTGTAGGTAAACAGAGTAAAATTAGCATTCATGAGACAAATAAAAGTATCATACAAAAACACAACAAGAGCCTTGCGTTACCTCCAAGTGGTCCCAGTTCTGCATGAGCATATCGTCGGTCTGGTCAACAATGACAACCTCAATAGATGAGAGGAAATCGACATCCCGCTTCTTGTCGCCCTCAGCTCCAATGACGGTCTTGAGACCCAGGGGCGAGGCAAGGATCAAGTCGGCAGAGTAGAAATCAGAGTACAGCTTCAGCGTCTTGCGTGTGAACTTGATGCCCACACGGAAGTGATCGTCGATGTTGCCCCTGAACGTCTCCAAAAAGTCAGCTAAGAAATATTGAACGCAATAAAATGTAGAAGAATTAGTACCAACGCAAGAGGTAATCGAGTTCCAACTGAGCACAATGAACACGCTGTGAATAACGTACCTGGACGGTCGGCATCCCTGGGATCAACTTCCTCGTCCTCAGCTCCAAACTCATCAAAGAACCGCTTCTTGTTGTCCTGCTGCGTCGATCCACTAAGCTTGATCAAAGACTCGACAACGTCAACAACAGTGTTCTTGAACGGCAAAATAATTAACACCTTGGGACGAGTGAATCCTTGATCCCTGAATTCAGGAACAATTGCCGACGCCTCAGGGTTCTGTTGGTGGCGCTGGAGCTTTCCAGAGTTCTTTAAGATACGGTCGCGGGTCTTGAGGACGTGGTTGAGGGCGTGCAGAGTGTAGAGGTTGCGGATCTCCTTAGCGTTCTGGAGAGTGCGGTTGGTGAAAAGGATGTCCTTGTATTCCGTCATGGGCTCGACCAGTGCCTGCTGCAGGGGTGTAAAGATCTTTGATGACGATGACTTTCCTGCTGCTTCCTGAACGGATTCGTTGACTTCTGGCCAGTGAGAATGGATACGCTGCTTGATCTTGAGCGATTCCAGATCCATTTGCTTGTTCTTCTTGGCCTTTTCGTCCTTGCGCTGCTGTCCTTCCACATTGTCGGTGTCAAACTTTTCTACGCGCTGAAGAATGGGATCCTCGTACGAGACGCTCTTCCACTTGTTGCCTGCCAACTCCACAACCGCCACCTTGGGTGCCAACAGTGGTGTCACCATATCACTGAAGTGGCGATCGAACTTGTCATCTATGAAACACAAAAAAGTATATGTATCCGTTAGCGATCATGTATCAAGGGTCGTTCACACCAACAGCACTTCTGAACGCAGCAACAGCGGAGATACATACTTGACTTTTTGTAAACTTCCTCCTCGTCAGAATCGTCAGATACGTCGTCCTCCTCTTGCTGCTCTGCGAGTTCCTCGGCCTCCTCCTCGTCGGCGTTTTCCTCGGCCTCACCGGCCTCTTCACCTTCCATGTCCTCACCCTGAAGATCCTCGTCACCATCTTCACCATCGAGCGCCTGCAGGTATCCTTTGCCATGCTTCTTGATCAACGCCTTTCTCTCAGCCTCCGTGAGTGTGACAACTATAACAAAGACAAGGCGCAGTTAGTATTACCTTCTTCCAAAGCACACAGAAGATGATTCCCCCAAAGGTCAAATTTCAAAGTCAAAAAAAAGTACCTTCTTCCTCAACTTCAGCATCCTCATCATCCTCAACATCCTCAAGACCCTCCTCCTCAAGCTTGCGCTTCTTCCACTCATCCTGACGCTTCGAGCTCTTCTTCAAGATCCCCAACAGTTTGTTGAACTTTGATGGGCGGTCCAGTTTATATTCGTCCTCTTCCACTTCATCGTCCGAAGCCATCTCACGGTCTCTCTTCAATGCTGACTGATAATCCAGATCCGACTCCTTGACCACCTTGCGGAACGAACTATTCAGATCGTACCATATATCAGTTAGCAACAAAGCCAAACCTATTCACACCAACAAGATCCATCTGCAAAAACGATCAATCACTTACGCAACGCGGTCAGACTCGTCCTCCTCAAAGTCCTGGGGAACCAACTCTCCATACTCCTCCATCATGTCACGCTCCTTGCGACTCAGTTGTCCAAACTTCTTGGGTGCTTTAGTCTCTGCTGCTGAGGGGTTGGAGGTACCACGTCCAGAGACTCTTCCGGATGACTTTTTGGAATCTTTACTACTGCCACCCTTGCCACTGCTCCTTCCTCCTCTGCCTCCACCTCCTCCGCCTCCGCGCTTGCCTCCTCTTGCCATGGTTCTAGGCTGTTGTATGTAGGTTGTTGTTGGTGTTGTTGATAGGGTGGTTCAATTGAAGTGCCCGGTGGATATATGAGCTCAGACTCGCAGTTTGTAGTCTTGGGTATTTCGTTTGAGTAGCTTGGCGATGGAATGAATGAATGAAGGTTGTGCCTGTATTGTACTCAAGTGTGCATGGACAACGTAAAAAAAAAAAAGAAAAAAAGCAAGGGTCTTGTTTTTGTTTATTAGTGAATTTAATTTCGTGACTGCTGATAATCCAAATGGTTTTAACACCTTTTTTTTTGTAACGGCACCTCACTCACAACGAACCTTGTACTCCACCATACCATTCACTCCTCCATGGAAGACAAGAAGAAGGCCACCGCCATCGCCAACGATCCCAGGAAGGTCTTTGGCCGCAGTCCCGACCAGCGTACGACCTTTAGCTCATACTCCGTGTCAATTGGCCTATTTCTGTTGCTCACTTCAACTTTTCACATCAACCTCATACACCAAACCCTCTTCTCTCCCCTCTCAATAATAGACATCCTGAACGTGGTCAGAGAGTCCTGCCAAGAAGCTTTCAACCTCCCCTCTTTCGAAACAACCCTCCAAACCATCAAATCCCACTTCTTTGACCGGAACTATGATGCAGTCTTCCAGAACCCCGAACATTTACCCGTCTACAGTGCACGATATGCTCCTAGTCGCGCGCTCTGCTATTACCATTTGTTTATGGCACATCCGATCCTGATGAAGACTCTTGAGGGGCCTTCGACGATTTTATGTATTGGTTCGGGCGCTGGGAGTGAATTGGTGGGTATTTCGGCGGCGATGGTGCATGCCAATCCTGTGGTTAAGGTTAAGAAGGTCAAGAAGGTGTCGACCAAGGCCGGAAAGGGAGAGGCGGAGGAGATGGCCAAGGATACCAAGGATACCAAGGACACCAATGGCGCTGAAGAGACCACTACTACGCTCGGGATGGAGAACCTTGCCGTTTCAGTAGAGTCAACACAGGATCCATCATCACCTACAGAAGCGTCAGAAATTACTCCAGTACCAACAACAACAAAAACGAAGGCTAAGAAGCCAAAAGTCAATAAGCACCAGGTCACAATCGTTATGCAAGACTACGTCAACTGGTCGCCGATCTTGGAACCCATGGAGGCCGTGGTCCGATCAAGGATGGTCCTGGGCCCTGAACGCCTGCAGTGTGAGACCGAGGTCGGCAATGTGCTGGATCTGTCCGAGGGGCTGTTGGAAAGAGTGGCCAAAGCGGATCTGATCACGTTCATGTTTGTGTTGAACGAGCTGTTCCAGGACAAGAAGCGGACCATGCTCTTGGTCGCTAAGATCGTCGCCGCCATGCCCTCTGGCGCCCATATGCTCGTAAGTTGACAGGGTAGTCGCTAGTTCATCTACTTCTCGAGATCTGCTTCATCTTTCTCTTCCGCGGTACTAATCTTGACATGTTGTTGTTATCTCAATGTCCGTCAATAGGTGGTGGATAGTGCAGGATCGTTCTCGAACTTGAAAGTGGGAGAGCGGACATACATGGTGTACATGCTACTGGACCACCTCAAGAGTCTCGAGGTTGTGTACCAGGACGATTCCACCTGGTACCGGTGTCCGCCCAGTCTCACCTACCCTCTCAAACTCGAGAACATGCGCCACTTTGTCCGTATCTACAAGAAGCTCTAAGATTTCTTCCTTCGTTTCCTCCGAATGTAATAATATTATTGTTCAAAGAAAGAAAAAACGCGGGGAGGAGTGATAGTTCAAAGGATGATGATGATGTCCCATGATGATTATTTTTGGGACTAGGCGAATAGGGGAAAGGCGCGATCTCGAACTTTGATCCTCGACGTGTTTCTCTGATGCACTGTCCCTTAGCGCCACATGCAGGTGTGGGGTAGAAGAACGAACGAAGAACGTTGGAGATAACCCAAACACAGGAAACCCTCTGTTTCTTCCTCTCTTGCTCTCCCTCTCTTGCTCTCCCTCTCTTGCTCTCCCTCACTCCCCAACAGTTGTGATCTTTCTGATAAAGGTGCATAATCCACCTTTCGAATTGTTTTTTTTGTGAGCACCAACAATTTTCTTGTCCCTCCTTGCAGCTGGACAGGTCTTTTGGAGCCATACTACACACACACACACCACAACACATGTCGCTTTTACTACGCGTCCGTCTTTCACAGGTTGCATACCATGATCCGGTAAAGTTTATTGCGCTAGCTTCTGTCTGTTGACCGTTACTTCCACACACACACACACACACACACACACACACACACACGCACCACCATCACTCATTCTATGCCGACACGATTTTCTTGCTTCCCTGTGACATGCACTCTACGAGTAAACCCATGATGGCTGGTTCGTTCTATGCCGAAGCCGCCGCGTAGGAGTTTATCCACTATCTTTATTGCTTCTATCAAGATCTGCACATGCGGCCTAGCTAGTACATCATCTAGTAACTCTTCCTCTAGATACTCGAGGATATGGCGCTATACCGTTAAGACACTACTGTTGTTGTTGTTGTTGAGCAAACCGGCTCGCCCATCCGTCCATCATTGACTACCATCACGCTGACACCCTTACCCATCGCCCGCGCGAGACATCCCTTTCTTTTGGCGATGGTGGTGGATGTTTTGATGAGGGATGAAGGTGCAGGAAGAAGAAAACAACAATACTTTAAGCAAGCTCAATATTTTCGAACGAGTATAAAACCATCCTCTTCCGTACCTCAATCCTTCTTCATCTCACCATCAAACCAACCAACTCAACCTCTCCCAAGCTCGCCTTCAAGCAAACCCAACTCACAAGCCAAGATGAACCCTACCCAGTCCAAGACCGTCTCCGTCCCTGTCAAGGCCACCCCCATCCCTACCTTTGTCCTCATGGGCTACGACTTTGTCTCTTACCATTTTGCCTAAAAGCCTCCTTCCTATACAGTCTGCTTCTTGGTCGGCCATGCTCTCCATCTTCGGTTTTCTTGGTCCATTTCTCCGTGCCTTCTCACAAGAACCTAGAAGGGGAATGCCCTCTTTTTATCCAGTCCTTTCAGAACAGAACATGATTTCTCGTGTCCCTGAAGTCGTCCCTCCTGTACAAATAAAATAATAGGCGTCCAATATAATTACCGGTCAAGTTTCTCTTTGTTGTATGTGAGGTGTGACTCCTCCCTTGTGGTTCTTGGGGTATTTATTGCTCTGATATCGAGTCTATTGCGATACCAAATCCCGTCTTAAGTTGGCTGTAAGTTGTCTCTGCATAAGTTGTTTGTTGAGGCGAGAGAGGATAACGATTAAGATTGAAAAAAAAAGTGTGTATATCCTCGGCGTATGTTTATTTCTTTGCCTCCTCCTTGGCCTCCTCTTCTTCCATGGCGTCCTGATGTGTGATGACTCTGAGGACCGTCTTTTTACTGGATTCCTGCATCTCGCCTGCAATCAATAGCTCGTCTAGGATGAAATATGCACGATGAAAGTTGAAAATCAGATCCAGTTCGCATACCTGTTTGTTTTTGTTGTTAGAAAAGGAAGAAGTGGTGGTTAGTAAAACAAGTTAGATTGAATTTTCGTTTGATGTTGCGTGGCGACAAACGACATGGCTTGTTCGTAAAAGGGGGAGAGGGCTAACTTACGTTTCCAAAGTACCGGTCGAGGACTTCGACGTAGCGATGAATGATCTCGAGAGTCAACAACTCATTGTCGTTAGGGTCGATTCCTGTGATAAAGAACAAACTCGCGTATCTATTCCCGATCAAACAAGAAACGGATATTGGTGTGAGCTTTGCATGAAAGCGACTAGGCCCGGGAATTCTCATGACAAGCAAAACTGGGTTTCTGTTCCTGTAGGTACCTTCGATAGATGACCTTGGTGTCTAAACAAAATCGACCCGTAATAATATCGAAAAAATAATCGCGATTAGTTTGTTGACATTCCTCGTCCATCTCGACTAAGCATTCCCTCCCCGTCTCTTCGCTCCAAATTGTGTTCCTGAGGCATTGCAACATACCTTTGTATTCTAGAAAGTTGCACATTTTGGTCCGCCTTGAAAGAACGAGCTGGGTGACATCCTTGATGATCTTTGTCTTTTCTTTAGGGCTCATTGTTGTGAACCACTTTGCGAGGCGTGTCTTGCCCTGTCGACTGACAAGTAGTACGAAATTGATCTAAATAACAGTTCAGCAAAGGTGATGGTGATGCAACGGTCAGGGGTTGGTGATATTTAGAGACTGGAAAAATTCCTAATGTGTCCGTCCTGTTCTGAAGGCTGTAGAGCGTTGTATTGGTCTTTTCTGTCTGGTAGTTGATGTCTTGGATATGTATAGTCTCTGGGTGCTCCCTATATTGACGCCCTGAGTTGTGAGATGCGAGAGGACTGAAACTCTCGGCCCATGCAACCATGCTGCCATCCTCTTGACTCGGATAGTTTCAAGGTAATGGCCACTCACTCAAGCATAGTTTTCCTGCTTCACCAAGGAGTCCCTGGATGAGAGTGTTGATTGGCAACACAGGCATGCTGAACTGGCACATGGCGCTTCTCTTGTTGATGTTCCTGAAACTATTTTGAGTTCCAGCCATCCTCCTCGTCCATGGTAGTTTTCTTGTCTGTCGGATAAAGTGTCATCTCGCGAACACTGAAGGCAGTTGATGTGAAGGTGTCTTCCTGTAACGTGAAAGTAAATGTTCTTACAGGCATGTGTGGGTGTGTGGCGAGTTTGTTGATGGAAAAAGAAGAAGGGAAACAGAAAAAAAGGTGAGCAGCGCGATAAGCGAACCTGTCTTGCAACCGACCCCTGTGAACGGTAACCTGTTCGCCCGTAATCTCTGTGACGTGGAAATGAGCCTCGCTCGGCGCAATTTTTGTGAAGGTGTGTGAGCTCGAGTACACGAAAAAGGCACAGAGGTTGCCAGCACGGATGCGGCTTTCGCCAGGGCAGAGAGTGTGAAAGGGTGCCTGGCGATAATATATGTATCGAACGGTCACGAGGCAGCAAGTGGTTGTTAGCAGCTTACAGGAGGCAGGCACCGTTGATTCACGCCCGACTGACTCGTGGAATGACACCCGTGTTGTTTGTATTTGCCGACATATAGCATCATATTTTGGTGGCGTGTGATGTGATTCGTTCAGATTCGATTTTAACTCTTTTCATTTCTTTTCTCTCTTTCTCTTGTTCTCCCCTTCTTTCCCTTCCTTCGCTTCACCAACACTCGCCTCACTCCTACTTCGTCTTCACACCAACACACTCTACGCAACAACTCTACTCGAAACCTCCTCACCTCATACAAACACTCTGCACTCCACCCTCACACAAACAAACTCACAAACAACAGACGCCACCACTTTTCTTTACCCTTTGCTGACACACACACACCACTCGCTCTCTTTTCATCTATGTGGTCAGCCAAAGACAAGAAGCAGCGACCACCAACTCCCCGCTGGGACCCGTCCATCATCGTCTCGCCCACAACCTCTCTCCTGCACCAGCGTCGAACCAACCCAAAGGCCGGTCGACCCCACCCTCTCTTCAGTCAGAACCTATTGACAGAGAGCAACTACAGCGACCCACCTTATCAGCAACAGCACGACTACCTTCAGACCTCACCTTCACTTACCTCTTCCTTCGCCACAGGACACTTCGCTGACGTGCAGCAGAACCCCACTTCAACCTCGCAGCTGCAACAGACTATTTCAACGACGGTCAACCCTCGCCACGTGAGCTCCGCTACCCAGCCTGACCACACAGTGCACGACGGCTCCTTGTTCGCGATGCACTCTTCCTTGCCACAGGTGTCCTTTGCCAAGCCTAACCCGAGAACTCGCGAGCCGACACCACTAAGCTCGGTGATCTCGCCTTCGTCCTCGTCCACCCTCGCTTCGTCTCAGTGGGACTCGCAGAATGTGTCGCCATGGCCTCATCGGTCTCACTCCGATCCGTCTGATCAGTCCGCCGCAGAGGGTCATGTTACCGACGAATCAGATTCACACATGGACGTTGGATCAAGCTCGTCAAGCTCTGCTGCTCCTCGGGTCGTACACCCTGTCGTCACAGGCGGGAAATGCCCCCGACATCAATACAGTGGCAAGAACTTGGCCCTCATCAGACCATCGCGTCTGTCTTTTGTCAAGACCGCAGGCTCATCTGACGATCAGTCCTCGTCCAGCCCACAGATACCTGTCTCTAAAATCCCAACGCCCCTTAGTCGTAAAAGAACTGCATATCCTGGATCGACATCGTCATCTTCGTCGAGTACCACCCCCTCGTCTGTGACACTCAGCCCCCTCTCGGATGAGCCGCGGACGGAAATGGATCTGCTGGTCCGTCAGTACAACATCGATATCGAACGTCAACTCAGAGATATCATGAACGTGAAACTGCCGAGACTCTTCATGAACTGCGACGCGCTTGTTCACTCGATGACCAAGACCCTGCGACCGATATCTGCGGCTTTGGGGCATATCCACGACTTTGGTCAACTCCCTGCTCGCGAGTTCCAGCAGCCTAAGCCTGACGACGCATACATGGGCGTTATCAAGGAGGAGGAAGAAGCCACCCAGTGTGACGAGCCTAATGTGCACGATGGCCGCGACCAGGAACGCACCACACCTCCGACCAAGGCTCATGTCAAGCAACTCTCAGAGTCGCCCCCTTTCGCGACGACTGCTTATGACGAGTCGGACTCCAAGATTTCGCCTCAACAATCAGATGCCAGCCGCGATTCATCTTCAGGCGAGCGTTCAGAAGCTGGACGGAAGCGCAAGCGAGATCAGGTATTGACCAGTGAGCGTTCAGGGTCCACTAGCGACAACACTCCGCTCCTGCCTGAGAGTACATACGACGACGAGCATGCTGCTCCAGGAGGTGGGGCCATTGCAAGACCAGGACTTGGTCCTGTCTCCCAGACGCAGAGCCCTCCGCGCCCACCGGTCGACAAGAAGGGACCGTTGTCGATGCCGTCACATGCAGGCGATATAAACCCCCAAGCAACGACAATCAAGGCAAACAGAGAGCTCACGGGATGCATGAACTCGTTTATGGACTGCTGCATTCAGCTGCAGCTCTATCTCCAACAGCCGGTCCAAACAGCCTCTCTGGTTGGACGTAACGACGTGTTCGACTCTCCGCCATATAATGTCTTGACACCGGTGCACCACTCGAGCCGATCCGACACGCTTGGTCTTGCTAATCCTCTGGGCATCCAGCATCCGTCTGTGCAGATGAAACTGAAAGGTAACCTACTACACGACGCGTTTGATGTTTTTTGTTGGCTCTGGTTCCGAACTTTATAATCGATGTCAGTGCTGACTTCAATTTTTTTGTTCATGTTGTTTCGTTAGAGGAGGTACAAAAGGCGATCAAAGGAGGGAACGACATTCTCATTGCGATCGAACAATATCATTCCGATCGAGTCGACCTACTGGACAGAATGGACGCTCACCGATTGAAAGATACCGCGAGCAAAATCCGTGCTGATGGCCGTGCATTATCCGATGAGGGAACCTGTCTGACGATCGATGGCCGGGAGCGAGACGGCGCCAGGCAGAGTGTCTTGACGCAGTTGCAGGAGTATTTGGAGCAACTGGACCAGCGCCACTCAAATCAACTCCGCTATGGTACAATGAAGCTACAGTCTAGCTGCGCGACGCTTCACCAGATGCTCCAATCTGTGTTTGGCTAAACACACGTTCCTCCGTCTATCTCCTGTAAGGGACATTTGGTGTAACTCGGGCTTTGCGCTCAGACACCTTTATCTCTTTTTCTCTTTTGCTAATTTTGCTTTTCCCACGATGTGCTGTTCAATGTTGCTTGACGTGCCTACAAACTCTTTTCGCTCTCGTCTATTTTCCTGCGCTCTTCCACACCTATACCTCGCAACTATCGCAACTCATTTACCCTTCCCTTGTTTCGACTAGTCTTTGCAAGCACCTTGTTCTTGTTTTACCCATGCGATTACCCTTATTAAACTCCCCATTTTTTCAATGCGACTACCCCGCTTTCTGTATTGTGACCATCATGTAAGGATTTTTTTTTAAGGTGCGTTTTTTATTATTGCAATAGATAAAAGTTTGCTAAGTGGGTATTGAAGCTGGTTACATCCAAGTAGATAAAGATGAGAAGAAAACCAACAATAAAAAAAGACAGGATCGCCCCTGTCTTGTTGGACAGTTTGTTTTGTTCCTGAAAGTACAAATACTTGTTTGATAAATTTACTTCTTCTCCTCAATGGCCTCAGACTTCTGCTCAATGTCGTAGTCGATACGGGGGGCAGTGGGGATCTTGGAAGCCTCCCAGGCCTTGAAGATGGGAACATCCGAGTTGAAGATCTGGTCCATCTCTTCCAGGGTGCGGCCCTTGGTCTCGGGGAACATGAAGAAGATGTGGATGGTCATGGCGACACAGAAGCCACCAAAGATGAAGTAGGTGCGGTACTGGATCGACTCGAGAAGTGGGGGGACAGCGTAGGCGAGAGCAAAGTTGAAGGCCCAGTTGGAGGCGGTGGCGAGGGAGACGGCCTTGGAACGGATGCGGAGGGGGAAGATCTCAGCGGGGTAGGTCCAGGAAACGGGACCCCAGGAGATGGCGAAGGAGCAGACGAAGAGGTAGGAGCAGGCGATGACGGCGTGGGAGGCAGAGTCGTTGTCCTGGATGGCCCAGTTGGTGGTTGCGTTGCCGTCGGTTGCGAGGGGAGATCCGTACTTGCCCATGAGACCACCGATGAGGAAGAGCCAGAGAGCCATGAAGGTGGAGCCGATGAGGAGAACGGGACGACGACCCCAGCGGTCGATGAAGAGGATGGCGGGGATGGTCATGAGGACGTTGAGGACGTACTGGATGGAAGAGGCTTGGAGGTTGGCATTCTGACCGGTGATTCCGGCACCCTGGAAGATGAAGACGATGTAGTACATGGCGACGTTCATACCAGTCAACTGAGACCAGGACTGGAGGGTAATTCCGAGGAAAACACGGCGGGAGTTGGGGGCCTGGAAGAGTTCAGAGTACGAGCGGGCGGCGAGGGTGCGGTCAAAGGTGATGGCATCCTGGATCTCCTTGAACTCAGCCTGGACTTCGGGGTGGTTCTTGTCACCGTTGGCGCGGAGGTTGGCAAGGACCTCGAGAGCTTCCTCTGCACGGCCCTGATCAGCCAACCAACGGGGAGAGTAAGGGAAGATGGAAATTCCAGCAAGGAGGATGATACCGGGGACGACCTGGATACCCCAGGGGATACGGAAGGCGGCATCGGATTCAATGAAGGAGCAACCGTACTGGATGAAGTATTGGATCAAGATACCCCAGGTGATGGCCCACTGCTGGAGGGAGACGATACGACCACGGATGTTCTTGGGGGCAATCTCGGACTGGTAGACGGGAACCATCATGGAAGCCAAACCGACAGCGACACCGTTGATGATACGGCCGACAATGAGCATAGAAGTGCTCTGGGCAGCGCACTGGATGATGGATCCGACAATCCAGATGGTCGCGGCGAGCATGATGGTGCGCTTACGAGAGATCTTGTCACCGAGGGGACCGGCGAGGAGAGCACCAAAGAAGGAACCGGCGGCCATGGCGGCGACGATACCACCCTGGAGGGAGGACGAGGGGTAGTTGAAGTATTTCTGGTAACGTTCAGTACCGACGACTCCAGACATGGACGAGATATCGAAACCAAAGAGCATACTATAAGCATGGGAAAAAAAGGAGGGGTTGGAAGGTTAGGAAAAAAATCGATCGATCGATCATACATTGTAGAGGATAGATTTCATTTCTTCAGCAGACAGTAGCAGGGATGAAAATGTAAAAGGTTGCTTACCCGCCCATGGTGGCGAAACCGCCCAAGAAATAGACGTTGTTCAAAAGGGAGTACTTGGACATGGTTGAAGTGTTCAAGGACGAGAAGGGATGGTGGGGAGTATTAAATTAAGAGTGGTAGTAGAGAAAATATACAGAAGGAAGGGGGGGGAGTGAAAGAGAAATGTACAAAGCGAAGAGGAAGTAGAGGAAGAGGAAGGTAGGTGGTAGAGGAGATGGCTGTAGAGAACAGTGAAGAGCAAGAAAAGAGTTGCGGGGAAACGCCGTCTTTTATAGAAAAGTCGGTTCAAGAAAAGAAGATGGGCGAGTGTGAAGAAGGTTGGTGTTTTCTCTTTTGGGATCCGTGGAGAGGTAAGCGAAAAGGAAGGGAAAGAGAGCAGTGGAGAGAGTATTGCACCAAAAGGGGAATGAGGCTAAAAAAGGAGTGACATGGACATGTCAAAGGGGCGAAGGAAAGGAGAGAAAGAGGGTCAGATACCAATGACAGAATACTTCATTTTTTTCTAATTCAAACAAGCATGAATGAATAACTAAATGAATAAATACTACCTCCCTCCACACGCATAAAGAAAGGAAACGACAAAAGGGACAACCGTTTCCATGCACACTTGCGCTGGAACTAACCTTGACATGCAAAATGAGGGAGGAGGAAAGTGTATTCAAGTTGGGTGAACTCAAACTGCTCTTTTTTTATTTGATTAGGGTTTTCTAGTGGCATTGACATCTCACTCGAATCAATTCAATTGCAAAAGTATTCATTCTTCAGGGTTTCATTTTACACAGGTTTTCATCTTGTTTCTGTGGGGGGAGGGGAGGTGGGGGGGAAAAAGGAATGTTCAACCGAGCACGGTAAAATATTATCCACGGCAGGGTCTCCTTCAGCTCCTCATTTGAACCATCCGGGTCAAATTGACCCTTTATTTTCAGGTGCGTAGTTCTCCCTTTGAAGAAAAGGAGGAGAATGAACCCTGAACTGGTTACCTCTTGCTTCTCACAAAGTAAGAACAAGCTGTACACCTGAATGCTTGTTCTTTCTTGTGCGGAGAAAAGAAAAAAAAAAAGGACGGATGAGTTTCTTTCCCCTGTTGGACTAGTGCCGATTGCAATCATCAGGGTCCAACTGCACCCAAGACCATTGTTCTTCCTCTTTCCCCAACGAATGAACGATAGGGGCAGCCTCTCCCTCATTTGTCCCTTGAGATTGTCAACCCATTTGCATTGCCAATGGTACATTTTTCGGTCAGGCCAGTTAGCTGTTGTTGTTTTGTTTTGTCCGTGGACCTGGGTCAAGTTAGAGTTTGAGAGAGTGAAAGCTAATCTACACGCCACTAACACGTTATCAGTAAACATAAACAAAGATTAAATAGCAGTCCCACTTCGTCTGCTTCTCGGCGAAGCACACCAACACACAGGCAAAGGAGAGGAGAGGGAAAGAGAAGAGGCAAAAGGCTGGTGTGTTGTTCTTGCTTATCTCACAAAGATGAACACAAACACAAACACAAACACAAACACAAACACAAACACAAACACAAAAATCCAATTTGGTTTTCTATGCTGCTACTCCCCCTCAATGTAGATATCACTTGTAGGTACTTACGCATGTGGAGGAAGAAGAAAACAAAACTTTGAATAAAGGAGAGAGGCATTGTGGAGGAGGATCTTTTGGGGATTTTGAAGCGCGACATGATGGCGCGGAGAGATAGCTTTGTTTTTCTTTATTGACGTTGTTCTTTTTCGTGAATGTATGTGTGGGGAGGACGTGCTTGTATCTTTGGCAAATGCTCAGAACAAGAAAAAAGAACCATCGCTAACTTTGCATGAAAGACCCTTGCCTTCATTCCAGGTTGTCAAACCATGCATCTTCCTTTTCCTTGCTTCTCTCACAAGTTTTTGCGAGTCCGATCTATACACGTTCTCGAGCCCTTATTGATCACAACCAAAGAAACGAAAAACATCCTTATCAAGTCTCATTCAGAGCGTATTTCTCCACGCAATCTCTAAACCCTTCTCCCCTCCTTCCTTCCTTCTACCCCAACCATGTACTGTTACAAGTACCGAAATGAACGTTTTCTAATTGGGCATATTTAAGGGGGGGATGACCATCCAAGAAGCCCTGGGTCAACAAATTGGGCAATCGTTATCTTCTTAGCGCTAGTTAGCCAAGCCAAGAGGACTTCTCATTGGGTCGATTCACCACATTACGTGCACGCGGCCGTGGAACATCCCAATGTAACCAACGAGATCTCCTCCCCTCTACAATTATTACTTCTTCGCCCCTACTGTGGAGAGACGTGTGGGGCGATGGTTTGCACAAAGAAAAAAAAAAAAAAAAAGAAATGTCCGATGTGGGAGACAAATCATAAATCAACCAGCCGAGGAGACTTTATTCCGATGATTATCCGTCACTGAGAGCGACTTGAGCTGCTGGCTCCTTTTCTTTCTTGATTCCCAACTAATGCATATTTGCCAAATCCCTCCTAGGAAAGAAAAGGAAAGGATGGTGCTGAAATAGGTTTATCTTTTGTTGACAAACAACAGCAAAAGGTTCTTTCTTATCCTGGTTAATATTGTTTGTTTGTTAACTGTTTTGGGCCGTGATGATGGTCATGGCATGAATTGCGCTCTAGAACGAAAAGAAGAGACAGGTTGATCATGTCCAAATGACTATGCATCCTCCTCTTCCTGTCTCTCCTCCCTTTCATTTTTTGTCTCAATCAGATAGTTGGAGATAACCATTTCCAACGAGTAAACAAAGCATGTCAACAAAATCGACAACACTCTAATGCTCCCTTGTGGGCATGGACGATATACCCTCTCACCCTCTTTTCTCAATCCTTAGTGAGGGCTAGCAACATTTTGTCAATCGTTTCAAGGGAACACAAAAAATTCAACTTTATTTTGTCTTGTGTTGTGTCCATTTCCACAAGCCCGATAGCATGTAACCCGCTCGCACTACCTTTTCTTTTGTTTGTCGTATCTTGTGTTTTTTTGTTTATGTTGTTGTTGTGGTGGTTTTAGAAGGGATTAGGAAAATACGCACTCTGATTTCTGTTGACGCCCTCTACAACAATCAGTTGTTATCTTTTCTTATTGACAGTTCTTGAAGCACTGCCCCTCGCTGGCTGTTTGTTGGAGAAACACTGACAGTTACTAACAGCACTACTCGGCAAACAAAAAGAACTTCAACCCCAACCCCCAACCCACGGACACATCCCTCCACTTTCACTCTCTGACCTTGAAAAGATTAAATGTAAGACTTTTTGATATTATAGAGGTTATGGTCGCTTGGTTTGTGTCACCGTGTGGGTGGAGATGTCCAATCAAAAAGGTCTATCGTGCGCTGATTGGCTGAAACGATCTTGTCGACTAGAAAATAGAGTTCGCCGACACTCGCAATCGAGTTACAATATAAAAAAATATTATTTAGTATTCTTGTTTTATTATGTCCTGTAAGCTGACAGGAGGAGAGAGGAGTGTGGACAACAACAACAGATACAAACAAGGCAGGGACAGGGATGAGTACGTCAAAATAAGGCCACGGACACACACACACACACACACACACACACAACAGCGGAAAGTAAACAAACATTTCTAGGTAGTGATAACGATAAGCCCTTTATTCTCTAACAACACACGCACACATTTTTGCTTCCAAACAATTCCCCTTCAACCAATTGCTGGAAACCAGAAAGGAGATGAAGAAGTGTTCTTGTTGGGGTAAAGAAACAAGAGATGAAGAACTAAAAACAACGCCAGAAGCAATTGGTTCTAGGTTCAGCTACAACGATGAGAGGAGGTTGAAAGGCGGGGTGAGACGATGGTGAGGTGAGGTGAATACTTGTTACAATTCATATCTGGGGCTAAAACTTGGACACTAGCAATGGATGTACCTGACTGTTGTGTTGCGTTATTTCAAGCAGCGATACACTTTGCAAGTATCAATGGCATCGACTCTTGACCAGTGACATTGCAGCTCCATGCGACAAAAGACAATGAAGAGACTCTGGGTTCCTTTTGTTCCGTGTACAGTATCGGTACGTTTTTTTTATTTCGTATCCGCTCTCTCGCTTTCGCCCTCTTATTCTCCTCATGCCACTAACTCGTTAGTATGCGAGGTCTTTCTTTCGGGGGTTCATTTCTTTTTTTCTCTCCTTAGTTCAGTCAGACGACTGAACCAGAAGACAAGAGCATGTTCTTCTTCTCTTGTGCCCCCGCAACCATATTTGGGTCTTGCTGAGTAACAAAACAAAAAAGCATGTTAGTTTTATTTTGCATGCCGGTGCCTGGATGCTCCAAAATGCACCGAAAAATAAGGATGTACCTCTCGGAACTTCCTTCTTCAGACACAAGTGTATGTGAGTTGACGGCCTCCATGTGTTTTATTTTTTTTATTTTCCCAGCTGGACTCCAATGTTGACCTTGACCGAGCATGAATATTGCTTTGTATCCTTCGTTGCATAATACAGCAAAGAGCAAAAGGCGAGTAAGGCGAGAATTTCACAGAGAGAAGTGAAAGCATGACCTGACCTGCTTTTTAGTCTAACCTGGAGCTGCATGTACACTACGAAACCAACTCACCACTGCCGAGCATTGTAAATGGACAAGAAAAAATACGCCTCTCCTCTTGTATTGAAAGAAGGAGGGAGTGAAAACAAGCGGAAAAAGAAATATGCATGCTTGTGCTTGTATGGTCCGCTTTCTTGGCCATCACAAACTACCCACCGATCAACACAAATACAAACAAATAGCAAAAAAAAAGCAACAGAAAACAAGCTTCACCAAGGACGAGGTCAAGTGATCGAAGACGGTTGAGGGAGTGATGATCGAAAATGGCGTTGTAGCTTTTGAATAGAGTATCATCCACTCCATCCGCCAGCTATTCAACCAGTCAACCATGTTTTTGAACCACAAAAACTCTTTCGGCTCAAGGAAACCAGGCTTTTGAATGGATGTTACTCCATCTGCCAGCCAGTCAACCAATAAACCAGTTCGTCAACCAAAGAGCCACCCATCTTCGAACTCCAGCAAGATGATTGTTAAGCCAAGGGCGGGTGGCTTTTTGAATTATGGCTTAACCCCTTTTTCGGCACGGCAGGCTAATTCATCCATGATTTGTCAATGAGAAAATCAAACAATGTCAAGGTGACCTAGCATTAGGAGGTGTCCTAGAAAATCGGTTCTAGGAATGACCATTCGTGCGAAATCCACCCCCCCACCATTTTTCTTGATAGTAAACAACATCGACAACAAAAAACCGACGAGAAGGATAGAAAGCTAAAGGGATTAAATGTGGGTAGAGATAGAGAAAAACAACCAAAGTTTCAAGCAAAACAAAACAGGTTCTGTGCCGCCAAATCACTAACCCCCCCCCCTCTCTCTCTCTTTTCCTTCGATTGTGCCCTGTATCTCAGGCACGTAAGAGAGTTCTCTCCCCCAGCCTCTTTTTTTCTCCTTTTGGTCAATTGGAACGAACGAAGAGGTAGAGAGATAAGAGTGCATACTCAGCCCGAGGTAGATCCTTCTCTGTTTGGCTGACACAGTGGACCAGTGAATGAAGAGTAGGGTTTATCTTTTTGTTGAACCGACTCGTTACCCCCCAATTTTTTGACTTATCTCATGGGAGAAAATACAAACGAACAAAATGACTACTGCTCACTAGATAGTGAGAAAACGAGGGAATGGGATAAGGGACAAGAGTGGGTGGGAAACAAGGACGAGGGAATGGGCCCATACGCCCAAACTGTCGGTCTCAGGTACTTTAAAAAAAACCCATACGCGGAATGGACATAAAAAGAAAAAAAAGATAGAACGAGGGCCAGGGGTGAAGATGAAGTGTGAGAAGGAAGGGGTAGGTATTCAAGGGCAAGTATTCGCATAATCTCGCTCGTCTTGTTCCTAAGGTCGGACTCGAGCCCAATTTTGGTTCAACTCCTCTCTCTCTTCACTGTTGTCGTTGTTCAAACTGTCCCATTACTGTGGTTGCACAAGATGCTCGTGAAGAATTAAGAGGAAGAAGAGATAACGAACAAAGTCTGAGTGAAGGTGATGTTGAATGTCAACAATAAAAAATAAGTAGCCCTGAAATCTTGTATCCGTGAACAAATGAGAGACAGACTCAGATTGTTTTTCTTTGAAGAAGTGTAAGAGGGGACGGACCTGCAAACAGAGTTTTCCAATCGTTGTTCCCATCACGAAGCTAGGCTGGTTGGCTCATAAATTGATTTGATTTATTGTTGTTGTTGTTATTGTTGTTGTTGTTGTTGTTGTTGTTGATTATCCATTATCGTATCGTGCGCAATGTACACAAGTACTGCACAATTATGACACTCCATGTTATCATCTCTCTTGGACAGATATGGTTTTAGCCGAATTGCCTTCCCAAAATGAATGAAGATGCAGAACATAGACACAACTGCTTGATAAGAGAAAGAGAGTTGGCTGCACTGTGTAAATGGAAGGAGTGTTGAGGGGAATGTTTGAGTGGAAAAGTAATGAATGTTGACGAAGTAGAACTGAACTCTTTTTTTTTCGATAGTCCAAGGGTGAAGTGGATGAAGGTTTGTGGCCAGCAAGGGAATAACCGAACATACGCAGGGAAAAATCACCGAACCGGCTCCCTTCTGACAGCCCATCCCCTCTCTCTCTTTCTCTATTACTATTGATCGTTTGTTGATTGAACTTTCAGTGGCAGGGGACCGAGGTGGATCAATTGCATGGAAAAGAAAGAGAAGTGATAGTCCTAGTGTGTACTGTGCTGTGTTCAGTGACCGTTCCAATCACCCATCCTCTCTTGTCCCCTCTTAGAACGTGGGTTGTCCATCTCCATCCTTTTTGACTCGGCTCGCCAAACCTGCCACCACGGTAGCTTATTACACTTAAAGAAAAACAAATAAACAAAGCCTGATCGGCCTCGTTCTTTCATTCCTTCCTATAACCCAAAAAGTTGTACAAACCATGTAACAAACCTATTTTTTTTTGTTGATGATACGAGAAAGATGTAGGTGGAGGAGAGGGGGAGGATGGAGATAGGATGGTGCTCGTGTCCGGGGACAGGATTCAGGGCAGAGGTTGAGTGCGTGGGGGGGGTGGTTTGTTTACGTTCTTTGTTTTTTGTTTGTTTTTTTGTGCAACCATTTGGCATTTCTGTCTTGCCAAAATGACAACAAACAACAAACGCAAACGCAAACAAAGAAAAAAAACATAACCATGGATGTCAAAGAGAAGGGAGAGGATGAAGAAAAAAAACAACGAGTGAACAAAAGGAGGGTTGGCCCTCTACTTTTATTCATCTCGCTCAAGGCTTGAAGATAAGACCCAAGGGGGGGTGGAGGTGTTATCTTGCCCATGATAGCATTTCAAAAAATCACCTCCGCTTCATTCTCCACTTGCTCTAGCGTTATCATTTATTTTCTGCACTACTTTTTTTTCGTCTTTTCTTGGACAATTGCCGTCTGTCCCTTCTTTACCTGCCTCGATTGCGCTCTCTTGGTGCCTCCTTATCCTCGTTATCATTGCGTCTTGGATTTTTTTCTCTATGAATAATGTGTTTGTGTCGCTGACATCGAAAATGATAGCTACTTCTTCCACTTCAGCCATAATAACAAACAAAATGGATGCTGATATGGCTCTCGACATGTTACTTCCTCCCATTTCAAGGGCCATTCAGGCACAAACGTGAGCGATGATAACGCTGACGATATGAGATATGAGGATTGAGGAGTATGAAAAGGAACTGTCAATGAGACTAAGATACGTTTCTTGCACCTCACTAATTATGGATGATACATCCAACATGTGGACACATTTCAGAGGTGGATAGCGAGTCCGTAGACAATATTCATCACCTCGTCGACTACCTTAGCAGGCTACCGTGCTCTGCTTGACCATTGAATGACTGGCACTAAGAGTTCCCTAATGGGTGCCCACCGAAAGATGGCTCGGTGACCTTGATCAGGGCACTCTCTACTTTTCACCTCTCGATATTCCTCTCCAGGCAAATAGTCTTACATAGAATGAACATGAGCCTTCCTCTCTTCTTCCCTTCTCACTCAGGAGTGCTTTTTTCCAACTGCCTTAGTCGATTGAATGGCTCCTTAAATGAAAGCAACCTCTGTTATTCTCAAACAGAAAAATAAAAAACGATAAAAACGATGCCTCTTTTGTGAGAGTACAGTACGTCAAAACTTACATAGTTCGTTTTCTACGCCTCACTACTGGTGCAGCTGCAATAAAAAATAGAAACAAAAAAAAAAAAAAAAAGTCTAGAATGAGAAATGGGGAGTAGTGAGCGAGGCGAGAGCTGAAGCGGATTGGGATTGATCCGCCAAGGAGGACACACTACCGGTACTGTAAATGTGCCGGTACAGTAACAGTAACTGTACCCTACACATCTCCCAACAATTCCCCCGTCCCGTTTTCGACTCTTCCTTCTTTCTAGTGTTCTGTCACACCAATCAAATAACTAGAATCCCGTAGATGACAGGGGTGGGATGAGAGTACGACCGATAACATACAAAACCCGGCTAAAGAAGAGTAGAGAGAGAGATAGGGAGTGGCGGTGAACATTAGTGAGAAGGGTGGTAGTGTGTAGGAAAACATGGTAGAAATGGGTAGGCAGTTATCTTCGCGCCTGAGCTTATCATTTTGCAAAATTATTTATTTGCTCCGCTCTTTCTTTGTCTTATCGTCTAGGTAGGAATTATCTTTGACGTCCATTTTCTATGATAAGGCACAGTGACCGTGAAAGCAAGTGCAAGGAGGAAAGAGAGAGAGGGAGAGAGAGACAGAGAGAGAAAAGCATCCCTCCTGCTCAATTCCTTTCTTTGTGCATCCTATCTACTTGCTCTTATGGTCAACTTTTGTCCTTCCCGTGTATTAGAGGGAGAAGGAAGAGATGGAGGAAAAAGGAGAAAAGCACCAAAACAAGAATGCACCAAGAGGGTGTCATCACCTCAAGCAAGATAGGTGAGAGTAGAGAGTATGGGGAATAGAAAAAGGTCCAGAACATGAAAAAAGAGGAGAAGACAAAGGAGTACATGCAGACCATGGTTCTAATCCAATCAGTCAGTCCCCAACACCTTCTCCTCCTCTTCTTCTTCCTCCGCCTCTTCTCTTTTCTTCCTATTCCAACAGAGTCCTTCCCCAAGCCAGGACAGAACAGATACACAGGAGGAGGAGAAGGAGACAGGCGAGTATGAGAGCTAGTGTTTTTTGTTTATAGTCCATCTGGCGCCTCATGATGGTAATTACGGTTCACCGTCATGCACTCCAATGATGAGCGCAAGACGACAACAACAAAGACGAGGAGGAACATGCTCGTGAAAATGATACTTGCAAATAATTAACTTTTTATCCGTCTGCTCGACGATCGAAACCAACCAAACAGAACAGCCATCTCTCTGTTTTGTTTTGTTTCCTTCTCGCACCTCAAAGCAAGGAAAAGCAGAGTGAGCAGACTGACAGGCAGAAGCTCTCTCTCTCTCTCTCTCTCTCTCTAACTCTCTTTGTCTTTCGTCTCCAAACCGTTGCGAGTGGAGTTCTCCCCAATACATCTATCCGACAATATATCTATCTGACTACTAAACCATAACCCCTCTCCACAACATTGCTCCACACCAGACGAACAGAGCATACAAACAAACAAAGACAGAAGCACGGAACAGAATGCCCTTGTGTTTATCGTAATCATCATCACTCATAAGAAACATTTATTTTAGAATAGATAATAACAAGTGTGGGTAGACAAAAGCCCATCGTTCTATATTGCCGTCCCACACCATATGCTCCTTTTCTATCACCCCGCAACGAACCAGGCGATCCAATCATCGCGGGCAAAAAAAAAAAAGAACGACGTTCGGTTAAATGTGTATTCCTCGCTGGACTACTATGACATGTAAGATCCAGCTCATTTTTTTTTGGGGGGGTTGGGAGAATGGTTTCATGAATCCTGAGATTTAAACGGTCTCCTTCTCCGAGAGCACGGTGGCGAACGAGAAAGGCTGGAAAGCATAACCAGTACCCTAATATATGACAAAACGCCACACGAAAAAAAAAAAAAAAAAAAAAAAAAAAAAACATATTAGCTCTCTGACACCATTACAACAAGCAGCAAACCCGATGAAAGATAAAAAAAATGGCACTTACGATGTAGAACTTGCTGTTGAACTCAACCCAGTGGAGACGGAGGGCGTGCAAGAAGGCAGAGAGACCCTCCATGCCGACGAGAATGAAGATAGACAAGAAGAACCAGACGGAGAACATCGCAACCGTCATAATCGCGCCAAGGGTTCCCGTGAATCCCCAGGCGACGCCCAAGGTCATGCCCCACAGAACCTCCGACAGCTGCGCGTGAGCAAGAGACAGGGCCCAAAGACGCAAGTACGAAGCCGTGTTGGAGATACAACTCAGGCAGAAATCGATCGTGTGAATAACCTGGTGGATAAACTCCTCCGAGAACTCAAACTCCTCCTCGCCCTCAACCTCCTCAGCAACAACAGCTCCAGCGGCCTCCTCCGAGCGGGTACTGTCAGTACTGACACGGACATTGTGCTCCGAGGGCTGATGGTAACCCATGGCGCGGGCCTTGCCGTGCTCCCACTTGAGATAGTATGGCTTAACAAACAACATCCAGGGAATGCAGATGAATGCGATCAGCACCAACAATCCTTGCACAAACGCCTAATTGGAAAGGAAGAAAACAAAAGAGATGTTGTTAGAACATGTGTGGTGTTGTGGACGGCTTTCCGTTGTAATGTATTCTCGAGATAGTTTACCTGTCCAGGGTAGAGACGATCCTCGTCGGCGACAGATCCAGGGCTGAGGAACATATAAATCATAGTGTTAAGCAAACTGGGGGGAGAGTTGCGGACGGCATGACCAGCAGCATCGGTCTCGAACCAGTTTACAGTCCACTTGTAGAGGATCATCAGCGTCAAGTATCCGAACAAAGACTGCATAAAGATCATCTGAGGAATGAAACCTGCAATGATATCAATGGGCTTGCGGTAGAACTTGGCGTTGTAGTAGACCATGCAGATACCGAACGACATGTGGATGACTCCCAGAATGACCGACATCTTCATCTTGTACGAGTTGGTGAAGAGGAGGTAGTTGTCGGTTCCGTGCCAAGCGTAATCGATACCGAAGGGATAAGTATGGCCGTTGGGCTCAGCGACAATCACAGTCTTGCCAGGGTAGTCGTCAGGGACATGGAAGTCCCACCCAGACTGGAAGAAGGGCATGGCGCGAGAGAAGATATCGTTGTACATCATTCCTGTAAAGAGTGAGAAAGCTCCCATGAGAAGAACAATGTAACGACCGCCAAAGACCATTTGGAACATCTATCAGCATTAAGCAAGATACAGACGGTACGTAAATGCAACGCGTTAGATACATCAGGCAAAACTCGGCGACAATAGCTGAACAAGTTACGATGTATCTGTGCTTACCTCTCCGTCGACTTGAGCAAGCTTGCGCTCGTTCATGCAGAGATAAATTCCGACGAGAAGAACAATAATACCGTGACCGACATCACCGAACATGACGGCGAAGAGGAAGGGGAACGAAATAATAGTAAAGAGACCGGGGTTGACCTCACGGTACTTGGCCATACCATAAGCATCGACAATGCCCTGGAATCCAACAGTGAACTTGTTAGTTTTGTGGAAGGTTGGGGGCTCCTTGTGGGTCTTGAGCTCGTTTAAGATCGAGGGCACCATGGAGCCAGAGCGCTCAGTCACACCGCGGAGAGCAGTCTGGATGGTATTGATCTCGTTGGTAGGGCACCAACCCTCAGCGATTAGGCACTTGCGGTTAATGTCGTAGTTGAAATGGTTCATGGTGTGGTAGGTCGCCTTTTCCTTCTTGACAATAATCATCCATGCGACCAAGTTCTCCGAGATGCGCATCAACTCCTGGCGACGGGTCTGGGTGGTGTTGACCAAGACAGAGTTGAACTCTTCGATGTGGCGGACAACATCGAAAAGGGCCTCACGACGACGTTCGTGGGACGAGTCAATGGGGTAGAGGGTTGCGCCAAGAGACTCTGCAATCTTCTTGATCTTGGCCAAGATCTCGCGACCATGGGCAAAGATAATGAAGACGTTTTTCTCGACAACAACATCAGTCGTAGGATCGATGACGGGCTCGTCGATCTCGGCAGTGTTCATGTACAAGTTGCCGCGGAGGGATCTCCAAAGGATGCGTTCAAAGGTCTGCATCTTGCTACGGGGAATGACACCTGTGACATTGCCGAGCTGTAGACCAGCACCCTGAGCCTCCTGCGAAGGGCCAGACTCCAAGTCGTCCAAAAGAGGGGCGCTGGGCTCATCGAACGAGTTGCGGATCTCAGTCTGGTGCGACGCAGCCTAGAGAGAATTGTATGACAATACAGTAATCCTTGTCAGTTAACTGTTATTTGAACGCGTCGCGATTTTCATCATAGTAAAACTACGCAGAAGACATGATTACCTCATGGAAAAAGTCAGATGTCTCACGAAGGACGTGCTTGAGCTCAGTCAGCTCCAAGTAACGACGCTGCATGGTTTCGTGCGAGTTGTTCATCTGGAGAAGACGGTTTTCGTGCTCGGAGAGGCGCTCCTCGAGATCGTCGAGTTCCTGACGCGAACGGGCGCGCGAGCTGTACGCATTGGAGAGGTTCGTACGGACAGGGATTTCTGCCTTTTCAATCTGCGTGGTGAAGAAACCTGTGAGGTAAAGGAGATAGAGGGGCAAAAGGGAAATGGCACACGGTATCAGCTGACTATATTCAGGCACAAACAAAAGTGCGCGTGTTCATGCGTGCGCCCTTTGCAAGACACTGGTGTCAAAGCAAGTACCACATTGAGCAGAAGGGATTTGGAAACTTACGAAGCTGTCTTTCCATTTCATCGAAGCGTCTAATCTCGCCAACGAAGGCACGCTGGAAGGCATTGACGTCTGGGTTGAGCTACATATCAAAGACCACACGACACACACAAAAAAAAGGGGATGCAACGGCAGTCAGGGTGTTAGCAAGAAAAAAAAAAAAGGGTAGGCTTTGTGCTTTTGCTCACATAAGCACTCTCTCATAGTCATAAAATCACCTAGTTCCTTACATCGCGAAACTGAACAAGTCCTAATTCTCCCAGCTCGGAGACGGTGGGTTGGGCGACCTCAGCTGGGATGTACAGCTGGATCAGCGACATTTCTTCCGAACGGAAGAAGGTGGACTCGGCCATGGCTACGAGTTGGTGACGTTCAGTCGTCTTTTGTTGTAAAAGTTGGTAGAGTGGAGGGTTGTTGCTTGTTGCTTGTTGCCTGTTGCTGGTGCGTGAGTGATCCTTCCTGACGGGTGAGAGTTGTTTGGGAGAGTGAAGAGGGTAAGTTCACTAATGGTGTGAGGAAGGGGGAAAAGGAGAGCGGGGAGGGTGGGAGGAGTGAAGGACAGGTGTCATGAGGTTCAAATGGTCAACTTTGGCATGCCCAGGACAATGAGCGTCAAAATGACGTCACCGAAGAAATTAGGGGGTACACTGGTAGGTCATCTATCGACTTACTTTTGCCTTGTGTCACAAATGTTCTTGACAGCCACGCGGAGAACTTGAGTTCAGCTCTCACACACACAAGCAAGGAGAGCAAGAGAACTCATGCGTCGTTGGCTGACATTCGCAGCACGAGCACATCAGACACTGAAAACACGATTCAACAACTACAACAACACGCACCTGTCATCCTACTTCGAAAACACCTCTCTGCCTGCATCACGACACTACTCTGTTCGGACGGAATTATTATCACCGTTCACGATAGAGACTTCTAGGACCAACCGGCACTTTTACAGCTCCCTCAGCAGAACTATGGATCCAGGCGTGATAGCTGTCATTGGCACCACCGGTGTCGGGAAGTCCAACCTATCGATCCAGCTTTCCAAGGAACTCGACGGAGAGGTCATCAATGGAGACGCCCTCCAGGTATTTAGCCCTTTGACGACAACAGCAATAAAAGGGCTGCAGGCAAAGAAACACATGGGAAGAGGGTCCAAGCTCATTTATTTTTTTGCCTGACGGCATTTTTCTTGATTTGCTCCGCAAAATAGGTCTATCAGGGAATGGATATCATCACCAACAAGATGCCCATGGACGAACGCGAAGGTGTTGTGCACCACCTTATGGACTTTTTGCCCATGGACCAGGAATACTCTGTATTGGACTTCAAAGCCGACGCCCTAGGTCTGGTACGCGTCACTTATCGAGTCTATCAATCGTTGAACATTTACTAATCAAATCAGTCGTATCTGATCATTACCTCAGACTGTTGATCAATTGTTTCATCACTTATCTGATAGATTGAAAAGATCCATGAACGGAAGCATATGCCGGTCGTAGTCGGAGGAACACACTACTACATCCAATCCCTCCTTTGGCGCGACACTTTGCTGGACACGAAAAAGAATGTCGGGGCACTATCAGAAACGCAACAACAGAAAGAATCGTACACAAACGAAAAGTTTTTACGCGACTCAGATACTGCGACGTTGTACAAGAAGCTGCAGGAGGTCGATCCGATCATGGCTAACAAGTGGCATGAGAACGACCGGCGGAAAATCACTCGCTCACTACAGGTACGGCCTTGGATGTCTACTTGACTGGATCTGCTGTGAAGCAAAGATTCCGTTGAGACTGCATGCTAATTACATGAGTCTGCCTCTGTACGGTGGATATACCTCTTAGGTTTTCTTTGAGACAGGCGAATGTCAGAGCGATCTGATCAAGAAGCAGCATGCTCTGCCAGGCAGTGAAAGACTTCGGTAAGGACCCGACATTGCCTATCGCAGTAGAAGGTACAATGGAACTCGGGATCACCATTCGCTAACCTCTCAAGTGGACATGCCTTCTGTAGAATGCCAACATGCATATTCTGGGTTTATTCCGCTCCAGATGTACTAAATGCTCGTCTAGACGCAAGAGTTGATACAATGGTCAAGGTACAAGCGATATTCGTGCGGATAAAACTCATGATGAACTGAGTAATATCGACCGAGTCGAAGGTGTATCTAACCTGCCGTACTTAATCACTTCTGCTTGATAGGGTGGTCTTTTCGAAGAGATTCAAGGAATGAGAAAGAGCGTAGGACCAAACACGGACTATGAGCGCGGAATCTGGCAGGCAATTGGTATGCAAATGGATCAGCAGTATCATTGGCTACTTTGCATGATACGGAGATGATACTTCACAGTTGCTAACGGTTGCGGATAACCACTTTCATTTACTATAGGCTACAAAGAGTTTGACCCATACTTTACTGCAGTCGAGGAGGCGATCAAGGATAATCAACCAACAGGTAAGACTAGACAATTTCAAAACGAAATGAATAAACCCGTGCCAACGACCCTCACTGACTACAATTGCCTGACCTTTTGTCACTTTGTAGACACAGAAGAGCTGGAAAAGCTGAAATCAGAGTGCACAGAGACGATGAAGACGAGGACAAGGCAATACGCAAAGCGGCAAGTTCTTTGGATCCGCAACAAGCTGCTCCCACTCTGCCGCGAGAAGGAGGTCAAGATCTATCTCCTAGACGCTACCTGTAAGTTGCGCTGACCTGCTCTTTATGTATTGCTGCCATAGGGTGGCTTGAATGTGAAGTATAGCTTTAGCTCAAACACCGACCTTTTGTTCTACTTACGTTGACATAGCGCTGGACACATGGAAGGAAAACGTTGGCAATGTCGCCGTCAAAATCGCCAAAAGTACGAACGTGGATCATTTGCTTGCACGCTCAGACGAATGGATATTGATCAAGTTGAGCGATGTTGACATCCTGCGATTTTTCTGTTATGACTTGATAGATTTCTTTGCAGGCGAAAGTCTTCCGGACGCCGAGGGTTTGAACCAATATGCCAAAGAAATGCTCGCCGCCCAGCGAGATCTTGAGTAAGGATTTGCATCTCGTTCCCACAGCTCCTCTTGAAATTGTTCATTCGTCCGGGAAAGGCAGACTGATACCATTCTTGATTTCATATCTTCTGTGATACAAACAAATAGTGCGGTGTCGGCATTAGAATCGTGGGAAAAGAAAGAGTGCGACATCTGCACAAGCATGCAAAGAATCATGCACGAAAAGTATGCTCAACCAGCGGGTTCTACCACTACCACCTTAACAGAAGAACAACAACTCCCAGCACCAATAATCATCCATGGCCCGACGAGCTGGGAACAACACTTGCGGTCCAAGATGCACCGCAAGATGAGGACCAATAAAGCCGAGATGGAACGGGATGGTGCTAATTGGTGGTATTTCAAGGCGCAGGAGTACAAGAAGCGGAAACGGGAGGGGACGCTGAACCAGGAGGTTGAGGTCGTTGGTAGGGTGTTGGATGGTGATGATGATGGTGTAAGGGGGCAGCCGGAGTCGAAAGTACGGCGGACGGATGTGGATGGTGATGATGGTGGTGATAAGAAGGATGAGAAGGCATTGTAGGTGTGTCTTCGTCTGAGAACACTTGTCTCTATCGTCAGTTCTTCATGGCAAGCATCAAATAAAACGCTAATCACAAAATTCAGTAATTTTCACGATTAAGAATGCGTTTATTATTGGTGGCGCGATGAGGCCTTGGCCGCAACGATGGCTCCGCCAGACTGAACAAGACTCTCATCCACAGCACCCATCCACTTAGTCCAATCAATACCCTTCAGCCTCCAGCTATGCAAACATACAAAACTCGCCACCGGACACAGAGTATGCCATGTCATGTCTTTATCCTCATCTGGCGGATCCGAAGGTATGGCACCCTTGCTTCGGGAAACAGTTCCTGGGTGTAGGTGACACAAGAGTGGAGACAATTTTTGAACCCATCCATGTCTTCTGGTAGAACTGGTAGGTTGTAGAGCGGGCGGACATTGTTGTTGCTGCTGGTGCCGACGCTGCGTTTCTTGAGACTCCTTCTTGCGGCCATGGTGGTAGCGTGTTGATGGGGGTCTTGCTTGTCCGAAAAGGCGAGTTTGTGGTGGTGGTATGGGGACGAAGAAGAGGATGTTGATACGTGAGGTGAGAGGAGGTGGAGTGGCGGTGCACCGAGGACGAGGTTGGTGAGAGCAGAGTCTATGATGGGGGAAGAGAATGGGAGGGGAGGATGCAGAGTAGTGCTATTGATAGGATGAGAAAAGAGAAAGAAAAGAGAAAGAAAAGTGAGGGCGAAGAAGTAAAAAGTGCATTGGTAGTAAACACCGGAGAATGATTTTTTATTAGTGATGGATGGGACCAGTTAATTGCCATTGGTTCGTCCTGCATGGCGATGCGTATGAACAGCAAGCACCCTTTTTCTTTACATACAAATAGACAGACAAGTGATATTCGTTTTAAAGCTAGTGAACGGCCTTTTCTGCAAGGGATGGACCTCTCCACTCTTTCACAACAGAGTCGTACATAATCAAACGCTAGCTTCTCCGCTCACAAACAAAGCAACTCGCTGTTCACGACAGAAAGTAAGAATGTTATTGTTACACAAAACTACATGGATGCTACACGAAAAGAAGAACTAATACGATCACTGCGTCAGCTTTTCTTGGTCATAGGTGGTCTTTAACTGACCGCAGGCGCCCATGACATCGAGTCCTCGTGGCCAGCGGATCGTGGTAGGAACTCCCAAGTTCTCGATGATACGCGAGAAGCCGACGATGTGATCTCGAGGCGAGCTAACATACTGGCTGCCGGGCCAAGGGTTGAAAGGGATCAAGTTGACGTGTGAGGGAATGTCTTGGAGCAAGTCTGCAAGGGCTCGTGCCTCTTGGAAGCTGTCGTTGACATCCTTCAGCATGACATATCTATATGGGCGCGGAGGGTATGAGAACAATGGAGGCCGAAGAAGTTAGCTGTTACATTCCTTACAAGGGCAGTTATCACATGGTATTGTCGTATACGAAGAAACCAATTTTTCGTGGGTTACATACTCAAAGGTGATTCGCTGACTGTCGCGATTGCAGCTCTCCATCTTTTTAGCATAATCCGCGCATGCTTCCATGAGGACCTTGATAGGGAATGTTCTACAGTAATAGCCAGAACGTGAATATGGTCAGTACAAGCGCACTCCATTCTTTCATGCCAGTCGTGAGCAGAGTCAGTGCATGTGACGATCCAACCAACATACTTGTTGATGGGGACGATCTCGTCGCGAAGGTTGTCGTTGGTGGCATGAAGCGAGATGGCAAGACTGACCCCTCCGAGCTCAGCCAACTTTGCAAGTCCAGGCGCCACTCCAGAGGTTGAGACTGTAATCTTGCTCTTGGGCATTCCGATCCCGTCCTTGTCTGTCAAGATTTCAATAGCCTGCTTGACATTCCTAATGATCGAAAACGAAAGAAGCGACGTGCGATGAGATACCTCTGTTCTCCGAGATACATCTAAATGTGATAACGAAGATCGGGACATATCCATACCTCCAGTTGTACAACGGCTCGCCTTGACCCATAAACACAATGTTGCTGACATTCCGCTGAGCATTCTTGACAAGAGGGAGATCGCCATAGTCCTTGGCTGGGATCATGTACTGGCTGACGATCTCGCCTGCAGTCAGGTTCCTGAGCAACTTTTGGGTTCCTGTGTGACAGAATGTGCATGCCAAGGAGCATCCAACTTGACTGCTGATGCACTGTGTTCCTCTTGGACCGTTCATCGGGATGAAGACGGACTCGACCATTGCCTTAGGGTCCTTGAATCCAACAAGCAACTTCCTTGTCCCGTCTGTTGGCGACACATGATCCGACTAGAAGTAGGTGAATTGGCAAACATGTTGGTTAAATAAGATCCATTTGGTCTAATCAAAGTGTCTGCATATTGTACGTTCATGAGGGACATACCACGACACGGCCATAGTTGATAGTATAGTTTTCATTCAGCTCATCTTTGATCGACTTTGGGATATTGAGCATGTCATCGATGCTGGTCACTCCTCGTTGATAAAGGAATCTCCAGATCTGTCCAGCGGTGTATGACTTCACTCCGGAAATCGACTTGAGTTCCTCCTTCAACTGATCGAGGGAAAGTCCGATGAGGTTCTTCTTGTCCCAGTCCCGGACTGGCGGTGCAGAGTTGGAGAGGTGTGCTGTGTCCAGATGAGGGTTGACGGTTACGGGCTTATTCCTGTGACTGGTCGAGTCAAAAGTCCGAGGTCTCCGAGGAGAAGAGCTGTTGTTGTTTTCTGAGCGGAAGGAAGAATAGGCGGCGATATGGGATTTGAGGAATGCGGATGGTTTCCAATGGGAAGTAACTCTACTCTTAGAGTGAGTGATCAGGTGGTATGTTCCTGAGGAGGTGCATTGCCTCCAGAGTGAATGAGTCGCCATTTCCTTTGTCCGAGAAGTGAAGAAGGAAGAACAACAAGTGTGGCCACCAACCAACAGCGGACAATAGAAAAAAAAATGAACAGCAGTCACTCATTTAGCTCTAAGCCACATCGGACACTGGTCCAAGTGAGCGAGTGATATGAATAGAGAGAGACAGCCTAGCCCTTTTGTTCCTCTTCTTCACCCTCCATCTCTCTCTCTCTCATCAGGACATCATACACTCGTTATCGATCTCTCTTTGTTTCTTCTTTCTTCGTCTGTAAACGAAGCAAACCTCCAATCGTGCGTCTCTCCTCTCTCTTTCACCCTCACCGTCACCCCCATCACTTGTTTTTCTACCTCCCTTTGTCTTCTTTGTCTGACATTCCCTCGTCTTCTCTTTCACTTTATCTCTTTTCGATAAAGCTCACGCAAATACAGACAGACAGACAGACAGACAACCGGGCTCGCCTTTCTACACGTCTACATCCCGATCTCACCCAACCTTGGACTGACCCTCGACCCTCCTCCTCCTCCTCCTCCTTAACTCTTGCGCCTGCCTGCCACCCAACAACCTCAACACACGCACACATCCTTTCTGCCTTTTACGGACAAAACATTGAATTGATATTATTATCCCTTCATTTTTGTACGTGAATTCCATCCCTTTTATTCCCTTCCTTCCTGTCTCTTCACTTTCCACTTCATCCTTTCATTCACTCGTTCAATGGCGAATCCTACTCAGTCAGACCCTGCCGCTGATCAGGCAGCAGCAGCCCTCTACGCCGAGCAATACCATCAATACACCCAACAAGTTCAAGCATATCAGACTTGGTGAGTACAACTCTTTGTTCTCTCCCTATCCTTTTTGTTTTCACCATATGCCTTTGCTGTTTCATGCGTGTCCTGCGTCCTACGTCCTGCGTTTGTCGTACTCTTTGAACAAAAGGGCCCCATTCAACAGAAGATAGCGCATGGTTCACGGATTACGTATGTGAAGTACTAATGGAGCAATTGACCTCCCTTTTTTTCACCCTTAGGTTGGCTGCAAACCCTGGATATCAACCACCAGGAACCGCCGCGCCCGCTCCATCTACTGCCGCGCCCGATTACTCTGCGTACTATCAACAATACGGTACCCAGCCCGCTGCAGTTGCACACACACAGGCTCAGCACCAACAAGCACTCTCCTCAGAAGAATACGCCCAGCAATACGCCGCTTATTACGCTCCGTATAACGCTACTCAAGCCAATTCATCTGCCCCACCTTCCACTGGAGCCCCCGCACCAGCAGCCGCTCCCTACAACGGACACGCAGCCTATCAAGACTACTACGCACAGCAAGGCCATCAACCTTACTCATACCCACCTTCTGCTGCTCCCGGTGCCCAGGCTCATCAACACCAGTACCCTGGTTACCAGACCTCTGCTCCAGGGACTCAGCAAGCGCCAGCTGCTCCCTCCGCACTAACCGCTTACCCTTATTCTTCTCACCAGCAGCAGCCCCCCTCGGCTTATTCTTCTTCCTATAGCAACCAAGGACCTCCAGGACAGAACGGCAATTACTCAAAGCCATACAACGCACAGGCGAATTCATCTCATTCGGGTTACCAGCCGGGGTATCAGGGCAAGCAGCATTGGAACGGCAAGCCTAACAACCACCAGCCGTTTGACAACCAAGCCTTTCAAAAGCAGAAGCATTTAGAGGCAGAACAACGTCAGAAGCGAGCTCGCGAGGAACAGGATAAAGTTCACATTCAACAAAAACTCCACACCACCACTCTCAACGACGACGGTTACTCAGGACAGTAAGTACCTATACATCCTTCTACTGTGTTGCGGCGTCGATTGACTATTAGCCTTGCCGTTCGTTCTGAGGCGTGGAGACGAACATCAGCTAACCGCCATCGTTTATCTTTTGGTATCACAGGAACGGAACCGACATGTCGAAACTTGCACACGAGAGTAAGTGAGCGTAACATGCACTGGACTGGTGCATTTTGTCATACTTTGCTTCCTTTTTGCTGAAGCAACTCATAATTTAACCACTATTTCCTTTGCCACTTTTCGTCGCTGTATTTAGAACCCGCGTATCTGTCGGTAAAGTCCAAAAAAACAAAGCCATTAACCACGAACGCCTTAGAGACCAAGGAGTCATCAGGAGTTGCAAGCAACAGCGAGGGTTGGCCTCAGTCGCTGAAGGATTATGTTCAACGTGTCTTTGAGACCATCGCCGACGAGGAGCGCGACGTCGCACAGAAAGATTTGAGAGACATGGTATCAAAGCACCATTCCGATGGCACACTGTGGAACATCGAGTGGGAAAAGATGACCGTCCCAAAGTAAGTTCTTTGTCCGATCGATGGTGTGCAGGTCGTATGAAGTTCATGTGCACTATTCTAATTGACCCTATGCTCTCGGTGTTTATTATCACTTTTTAGCAAGTACAAGACCAAGAAGGACAAGGAGAAAGAGAGGGCTTCGTAAGTACAAGGCGCTATCGTTTTATTCACTCATCGGATCAAAGACATACTCTTGACTTGACACTGATATGCTATCTGCTTTCCTGTTTCAATCGTACAGACGCAAGATGAGCGATTCGCCTGAGCCAAAGACTGCAGGAGAGGAGGAGACGAGACGTCGCGAAAAGCGCCAGCGACGCTTCGAGGATACCATGAGCGACATTGTGCCCAAGAAATCCAAACCTGTGTATACCGCCCCTGTTTTCAACTCTGATGTGATTGACTGGGATGAATGCACGATCGTCGGTACAAGCACCCAGCTTGAGAAGAACTACCTGCGCTTAACTTCGGTAGGTGTCTGCTGGATATGACCACTTGTGTTCAACGGCGATGTTAAGCGTGTTTACATTCGCAACCTAACACCTCATACTAACCATGCTGTTCTTTCAAAATGCAATCATCTAGGCACCTGACCCTTCGACTGTTCGCCCTGTTCGTGTTCTTCAAAAGACCTTGGACCTTTTGAAGGAGAAGTGGCGTAAAGATCAGAACTACGCCTACATCTGCGACCAGTTCAAGAGTGTGCGTCAGGATCTCACTGTAAGTTTACCTTTGAACCGATGCGCTTGTTGTTTGATGTTCACGACGAAAGGGGAACCAATATCGTGCATTGACTAACGATGTTTGCTATTTTTCATGCCAATAGGTTCAACGTATCAAGAGCGAGTTTACGGTTACGGTCTACGAAATTCACGCGAGAATCGCACTTGAAAAGGGCGATCTCGGCGAGTACAACCAGTGCCAGACCCAGCTCAAGCAGCTCTACGAGTACAACTTGCAGGGGCACGTAATGGAATTTACAGCCTACCGCATCCTGTACCTCCTCCACACCCGCAACCCTTCTGGTGAGTTCAAGTTTGTGGCCAACTTCTGTCTCTGGTTTTCTTTGTTTGCCTTTTCGATCGACTTGTTGCATGTACTCATCGCTATAATTACTTTTCTCGACATCTTAGATATCATTGCCATGTTGGCATCATTGACACCAGCTCAGAAGCATGATCCAGCTGTCAAGCACGCATTGAAGGTTCGTACGGCGTTGGCGTCGTCGAACTACCATGCGCTCTTCAAGCTGTACATTAGCGCTCCCAACATGGGCGGATATCTGATGGACCAGTTCGTTGAACGTGAGCGGGTCGAAGCCATGAAGAAGATATGCAAGGCGTAAGTATTTGTTTCTGACTGTGACTAATTGCGATGCCTTTCTTGCTCTTATCGATTCGAAGATTAATGTATCTGTATTCACCAACATCTCGTTTCTTTGCATTCTGCCACTCGTATAGATATCGTCCACACATTGAGGCTTCGTTTTTGAGGTCTACATTGGGATTTATTGATGACTTGGAATGCATGGGATTCTTGAAGGCAATTGGAGTGGTCTCGTGTTTGAATCAGGACAGTGGACCAGGCAAGAAGCGATACCAGTTTATGGATACAAAAGCGGCGCTCCCTTACGTGTTGGAGGCAGGAAAGAAGTATCAGACGGTTGACATCAAAGGACAAATCTAAAGGACATCCATCCACCCCCCTCCAGGCGTCTCACACATACCATTGCACACCACACACACGAACGTTGCATACAGTTACCAGTTACTTTTTATTCTTTTCTAGCTTGCTCTTTGTGTTTTTATTTTTTCTCTTTCATTCTATCCATTAGCATCACATTGTACCTATCCTGTTATTATTATCAGTCTTCCTCTTTCGTTTTGCTTTCGTCTTGTTTTCTTTCATACTTTTACTATCGTCAAAACTACCCTTCTTTGTTGTGCTTTGAGAGTTCATCTCGTTTCTTCGCGATACGACCTAGTCCCTCAAGTAAACTCAGGAGCCGGTATTTTCTTTTCTCCACCACAAACCTATTCTTCCTCTCTGTGTTGTAATCCTGAGGGATTGCTGTGTTTACAGTTTATTTGTCAAATAAACATGTCTTTCTACCAATGGATGCAGTGGATGTGATAATGATGTATTTGTTTACTTTGTACAGACGTAAGATGAGTAATTAAAAAAAGGTCTACAAGTTTGTGTTGCTTCCCACTCTGGAAAGCAGTCGAGTTTGGGGGGGGGTTATCCGTTGTTTTAGACGATCTGGTCCATCTCGAGGTCGTTATCCTTATCTCCAACACGGACATAGTCGCCCTTGCCCTTGGTCTTGCCACCAGAAACAGTCGAGGAAGTGCCACCGCCCAATTGACGGGTCCAATGAGCACGCATCATGGCCGCGCGCTCCGCCAACCTTTCCTCTCTCAACCGCTCCCGCTTCTCCTTCTCTGTCGGGTCCTCGACCACAGGTTTCTTCCACCGCTTCAGCATCAGACTCGAAAGCACTACACTCACGCTCGAGGCTGCCATCATTAACCCGGCCAGCATCGGGTGGATATGGTATCCCCAGGGAAGGAGGACTCCCATGGCCAGGGGGACGCCCAGGATGTTGTAGATGGAGGCCCAAGCGAAATTGTAGCGGATCCGGCGGTAAATGGTTCGGCAGAGGTCGATTGCTGCGACAACGTCTGTGAGATCGGAGCGCATGAGGACCATATCTGCGGCCTCCATGGCGATATCTGTACCGGATACCAAAGCGATGCCAAGGTCAGATTGAGCCAGAGCGGGGGAATCGTTGATACCATCGCCGATCATGGCGACGACGTGGCCGTCTTCTTCTTGGAGCCGTTGGACGAGGGCGGTTTTTCCGGCAGGCGAGACGCCAGCGTGGACGTTTTGTGAGGTGATTCCACATTCGGATGCAATGACTTGGGCCACGAGGGGTTGGTCGCCGGTGACCATTGCGACTTGGATGCCCATTTGTTGTAAGCGGGCGATGGTGCGGGCGGATTCGGGCTTGATGGTGTCTGAAAGCGAGATCCAGCCGATGAAATGAGAGTTGAGGGCGACGAGGATTGTGGTGCGGCCCAGACGTTCTTGGGAGTGTTGGTCCTGGGTAAGGGTGTCGGTGGGCAGGGAGATTTGGCGGTCGGTGAGCCAAGATTTGTTGCCGATTGTGACGCGGTAGGAGAAGGGGGAGGAGGGGAGGGCGACGGTGCATTCGATGCCTTGGCCGGTGCTGGCCGAGAATTCGGATACGGTGGCCGCAAAGTTCGAGGAGGAGAGTTGCTCTTTGGCGTAAGAGGCGATGGCGCGGCCGAGGGGGTGTTCGGACGAGGATTCTGCGGCGCCGACGATTGTGAAGAGGTCCTTGTCCGTCAGGGATTCCAATGATGCTGCGCTTGAAGAGGAGGAGGAACCACTGGTGTTGTTGGTCGAAGCAGCAGCAGGTGCAGGGGTTTGAAGACTCCAGCTGGCGACGGTGAGTTTTCCAACGGTAAGGGTACCCGTCTTATCAAACAAAACCTTTGTGATCTTTTGCGCTTGCTCCAACGCAGTTCCGCTCTTGATCAGGATTCCATGCTGAGCGCCAACGCCCGTACCAACCATGACCGCAGTAGGAGTCGCAAGGCCGAGAGCACAAGGACAGGCGACAACAATGACCGAGATACACAACTTGAGACAGGCGACGAGCTTTGAGGGCTCCTTGATGAACATGCCAGGCAACTTGTCGGCCAAAAGAGTATGTGAGAGGATCATCCAGACGACGAATGTCAAAAGGGCGGCAAAGATGACAGTGGGGACAAAGTAGCCTGCAATCATGTCGGCGTAGGCTTGGATGGGTGCCTTGGAAGTCTGAGCGTCCTCGACGAGTTGGACAATCTGAGCCAGGGCAGTTTCTGACCCGACACGGACGGCTTCCATATCAAAGGTACCGAGTCCATTGACAGTTCCACCAATGACCAAGGAGTCGACAGTCTTGTTAATAGGGATGGCTTCACCGGTGACCATACTCTCGTCGACAGTGGATTGACCCGAGACGACGACTCCGTCGGTAGGGATCTTGTCACCGGGGACGACTTTGATGAGATCGCCTTTCTGGATCAACTCGGATGCGATCTGTTTCTCAGAGAGACGTTCTCCAGTGACCGGGTCAAGGACGTAGATAGTGCAAGTTGGAGGAGTGAGTCGCATGAGTTTCGAGAGAGCAACTGAGGTCTTGCCCTTGGCCATGTTCTCGAGGTACCGTCCAAAGGTGACAAAGGTAATCAACATGCTCGACGTGTCAAAGAATACTGTCGCCTTGGGATGGTCCGACGAGAAGAGGGTATAAAGCATCGAGAAGACCGAAAACGTAAATGCCGACAAGGTGCCCAAACAAACCAGCACATCCATAGTGGCCACACCGTGCTTCAACGACTTGTAAGCACTCACAATAAACCTTCTCCCAATCCCAAACTGCACGGGAATGGTCAACACCAGCGCCACCAAATCGCCCAACACAATCCCCAACCCTACAGGCGTCGCATAGAACTCCCTCCCCCACGCAAACATCGGAAAGATCATCGACACCAAAAAGACCGGGAACGCAAACGCCACGCTAACCCTCAACGCCCGCCTCCATTCCGTAATCTCTTTGGTTCGTCCCAGCGATTCAATCTGCGCGTTCTGAGACCGCTCAGGAGCCAAAAGGGCATCGAATCCCAGATCCTCAACCCGTTCGACGATATTGCGGACCCCCAGGAGTTGATCATCGTACTCGATTTTGGCGGTTTGGAGGGTTAAGCTGACGGCGACGGAGAGAATGCCGGGCAGTTTACGGAGCTCGGTCTCGATGGCGTTGACGCAGCTGGCGCAGGTCATCCCAAAGATCTGCAGGTCCACCGTGCTCACCATCTCATCATCATCCTCATCCTCGCCCTCACTCTCCTGAGGGACAATTCCACCTCCACAATGTCCACCGCTATTGCTTCCACGGTTACGGTTGCGACGGCGACGACGGGTATGGTTGGACTGAATCGGTGCAGACTCGAATCCAATCTCCTCAATCAAGTCAGCAACGGCCTGAGGGGACGTCTGGCCCTCGACATACTCAATCGTCGCACGCTCGGCCAGAAGTGCAACCTTGATGGATACAAGTCCGGGAGTGCCCTTGAGGGATCGTTCGATGGATGCTACACAGGACGCGCAGGTCATACCTTGAACCGAGAGTTGTGCCGTCCGCACCTTCTGGCGTGTCGAGGGTATCTCGATGGTTGTAAATGTTGCGGAAGATGCGGGTGTGACTGACTTTGAAGAGGGATTTGTTGTGGTCGCCTGTTTTACATCTCCGCTCTTCTCGCATGCAGCAAAAGAAGGAGGGAGGGAGCTGAGATCGAAGGGGACATCAAACCCACAATCTTCAATAGCCTCCACGACCTGGGCCACAGAAACAACAGAGGCATCAAAGTCAACAGTAGCCTGGTGCTGCTTGAGGGAGACGAGGATGTTGTCGATCCCTGGCATGGCCGAGACAACGGAGGTGATGGCGTTAACGCAGGACATGCATGTCATCCCGACCACTGGGAGGGCGATTGTTTGTTTTGTTGAAGAGGGGGTATAAGTGTTGGTGGTGTCTTCTTCGAGGAAGGAAGAGGGGTCGTCTGCGAGGAGACGTTGGCGGTCTTCTGCAACCATTGCTGTGAAGAGTTCTGAGGGGTGAGTAATAAGAGGTGAGGAGGTATGAGTATGGGTAGGAGGATTTTGTCGACTGGGATAGTAGAGTATGAAAGAAAAGGATGAGAAGTGTTAGTTTATATGAAGTGCTAAGCGAGTGATCGACACTTAGTCACCAGGCTGTACAAAAGAAGAAAGAAGCAAACATACCAGCTACCCAAGGAAAGAAGCTTAGTTCAACAAAAGGCTGCTACAACTGAGGCGTAGCGTGGGTATGTACTGCGTGTATGTGTTGGTGAAAGTAAGTAAGCGCGCTGGTGTGAATGAATTGTCGCCTCCCAACGGTCCTTCTTAAGCTATGAGAAGAGAATGAATGGCAATGCGGTGTGTGGTAGAAGAAGGAAGTGATGCTCAGAAATGTGCACACTTAATCAAGGGACGGAAAGCGAGAGTGAGGAGATGGAAGAGAAGGAAAGGTGAGAGAAGGAAGGGTGAGAGGAGGAAAGAAGGGCGGGTGAGAGGAGGAGAGAAGGTGGAGAAAGATACTAATATGAAAAGAGAAAGGCAGCTGGTCCATAGAAAAAGAAATGGCCAACGACCAAAGCGTTTCAAGGGGTCTGGGTACTTTGTATGAGTGTGTGTGGGCGTATGTTTACCGTTTTCAGCCTTTCTGTGTATGTGATTTCAACCCCTTCTCACCCGTTGGAAAGGCCTTCTTCTTCCCTCTTGCTTATTTACCCTCATACCTATCCATCGCATCACCATCCATCTTCTTCTCTATCACACACACACACACATACCCCTGTCCTACCCACGCTTCTTGTTATCTGTGCAAATGTTGTCTCTCTCTTTTCTTTTACATCTTCGTCATGTCCATATCCTCCATCGTAGTCCATATTGTCCATGTTGCCCTCTTCCCGTCTCCTCTCACTTGTCCACTCCACTCCTCCAGTTAATTTCATTTCCCACAGCGCAGTCAAACACCATTTGCGCCCCTTTCTCTCCCGTACGACCGGGTCCCTCTCTCATTTTCTTCACCACCCGGATACCCCTTTTCTTCTTGGAAGCGAAGGATCTGATAAATTGTTTTGGGTCTCTTTTTCTCTCGTTGGTCTGTGGCCAATCAGAGGCCATCGGTCACGATCTGATAACTTTCTTGTAAGACTCATACCACTTTTTTTTACTCTCTTCTGGCTCTTGTCCCTGTGCTTGTGTCTGTTAGCTGTTTTTTTTTTCCCTCTTTGTCCTTTTTTCATATTCCGCCACAGAGGTGCATCCCCAAAGAGGAAGAAAGGCACAACACCCCAACTCTTTCCACCTCTGTTTTGTTCGTGTGAATCTTCTGTTGACACTCAAGCCACCCGACCTAGACCCTACTTCTCGCTCTTTTTTTTTTTTTTTTTTTTTTGTGTGTCGCCACGCTTTCTTGCGCCCGGGTGCATTTTTTAGTACCTACGTCAGAACGATCGATAAAGAAGGAAGGGTCAGATTTGTTTCCGATGGATCCTCCCTCTCTCCTCTCAAAAGCCTGGACATTGTCTGCCTCATACCCTTCCTACTAAGGTTTGTTTTTCCCCTTCCCAGTCTGCATATCCTTTTTTCCTATTCTTTTTTTTTTTCGTACACAATTTTATTTCTTTAACAAACAGCATAGAGAAGTCATTTGGAAGTAAAAGGGGACTACAGACCAAACTCTTCAATACACCCACTGGTTGCAGTCCGGTCCGGAACCTGGCTCTGCACAACAATTATCGCTACTCTTCACAGCTTAAACGGAAGAAAATAAAACTAGATACGAATGAACGGGATTCTTCCCATCCTCTCCATCATTGACAACCTCCTCCTTCCTAACAAACTCTCCAACAACCGCTCGTCAGTAGCGCATGGGTCCTTGGTCGCCCCAGGGCACCTCCTTCATCATGTGTGGCTAGCGAAGCGCCACACGGGCAGAAACCATCACGGGTGATGTAACCGTATCCTTACTCCAGTCACCTCGGAGGCCTGTGTACTTGGATGTCTTGTCTTTGGCAGAGATGCCCTGAATCTGTTCCCATGCGATCGTCTCGGAGCACCGAGGTCTCTAGATCAGCTCCGAGGCCAGCGTCTCCAGGTAGCCAACAAACATGTGCAGGACCGTCTTGGCGATGGACATTGGGGTCCGGAAGACCGAGGACCATTCAGTCAACATGCTCGTAGGAGTGATGCCGCAGAGGAGATCCGACACGTTCCACGTCGGGTTCTCGTCGCGATCGGGAGCAGGACTACCGCTGTGCGCGGCTCGAGCTCCACCGATCGAGGAGAATCCTCGTACATGATCCGCATCTGAAAGGGGCCACTAGTGTATGGGTACAGGCCTTGGTACCTGATGACCCCTGTCCACCGCGCGTTTGTGTTCCCGTTTCGTGGTTGCATTGTAGCTGTTTGTCGCTTGCACACTCCACTCGTCAATCTTCCCTATGGCCCCCTTCTAGATCTAAGTGGTGGTCTTAGCCGCCAAGGAGCATGTCCTCCTTCTCGAGCTCGCATCGTCGGCACACGCATGTTGGGTACAGGTTGGGCTTGCGAGCCTGCATGGAGTTCAGAGTGGGCAGCATTCCATGCAGCTTTTGATGTGATGTGTGCTTTGATGGGAGTTCTTGCTGTTGCTGTAAAAGATGAAGACTGCGTACCTGTCGTGGCCTTCTGTCCGTCACGTCCCAACTTTTTTTTACTAGTTCTCGTTCTCTTTTAACTCTGTAGTATTCGCATTCTTCATCCTTTATGGTCCATTCTTGCATTCTCATTGCAACCCCCCCCCCCCCCCCCTAGTATCTATCTCTCTTTATTTATCTGTCCATCCGTCCATCTTGTTTTCCTTTAGGTCAGTTGGACGAGCAGCATCTCAGCATCTATTGCCGCGTCTAATAGATGCAAAAAGCCTCCAAGTTGCAGATGGATTTGGTTGGATGGGCAACGAGCGAATAGGGAACGAGGTATCGGCCATCCTTCCTTGGGATTGGTTCACCGTCATTCCTCTCTGTTTTTCTTCATTTTCGTTCCTGAGGTCTCCCCTTTGATCTCAATGGTCCCCTTTGTTGTCTTCATGTCTATTCGTATATATATCTTGCAGGAGACTTCATTGCAAATGCATGCGCATCCTCGTTCATGTTTGCGTTTTTTAAGTAAAGCGGAACAAGGCATCGATATATCCAGGCGTAGGAGAGTGGACAAACACAATGGGCGCAATCAAATATGTAAAAGGCTAAACACAGGTACAGTAGACAAAACAAAACAGTGAGTTTGGATAGGCTAACTTTGTTTGTGGGCAGCTCGCTATTTGATGAGATCATCTGCATGTGCTTAAGGTAGCTACTGCTGTTGGCCGGGCTATTTTTTGTCCATGGTCCGTCCATCCAAAATATTCGCATCTCTCTCCCTTGTCCTCGGTGAAAATGTTGCGCCCTCATATGTCTTGCAAGGTATGTTGTATGATGCCTGACTGTGTTTTCCCCTGTCGGTTTTGTACTTACTTTGTTCCGTAGTCTTGCTCATCTCCCATAGTACACGCTAGCGACAAATTGGAATAGTGATAGCAACTTAACCCAGCATCATCCACCACAGACCAGACCAGCCCACAGACAGGCCATGGCGGACATAGCCGAACATACACGGACTCCGCGCGAAGATCCATTGCTCCGACTCTTTCCATTGATAAAAGAAGGTATCAAAAGAGACGATAGTAAAACACAAAAAGACCATCGCATCGCATCGATCAGCAATGCAATGGGCGTTAGCAGCATCAATGACGATGATAGATGCTCTCCCAGTTACCCCTTTCTTTTTCCTTCGTGTTCCTTCTTGGTGCTGTGTGGCCCTGCCTTGGCTCGGATGGGGCAACAAGGGCAAGGCCGTTGTTCTCTTTAGGCGCGCAACAAAAATTGTAGAAGGAAGCGGCTGTTTAAAAGGACGCAAGAAAATGAGCTCGCTCACTTGTTTTTATTTCAAAAAGTACCAACAACCTTCAGCCAAGACAAGAAAAAAATTGCCCTCTCATCCCTCCAACCTTCTTGATTCTCTCACTCGATCATCTCACAACATCTCCTTCCCTCCTCACACAACACGACAACAGAATGCAGCCCTCGTCGTCAAAGTCATCATCGACACCGCTCCTCGATCCCTCCTCCACCAACAACACACAAGGTGGTTCCCGTTACACTGTCCCAAAACAACCACAACAACCACATTACTCAACCATGCGAAAGAAACCAGACCGGAATGACTGCATGTCTGTGCGACAGGCCAGTGCAACGCTTGGCATCGTCGTCCTCCTCCTGACAGCCACTTCCCTCTGGTTCAGCACCCTCGACGACTCTAACGGAGGCCGTCGGCGCCGGTCCCCCTCTTCCACTATCAAAGATCCCACGACCCCCCCAGACTCGCTGCCCTCAGACCCCTTTGCCCAGTATATCTACCAGGAGGAGCTTCAACTCAACTACGACTATGATAGCACTGCCGGCGTCATCAACCCCTCCCGCTTTGCCACACTCCGCGAAGACGAACAACAAGAACAGAACAAGAACAACAAGAACCACAGGACGATTGTTGTGGGGGATGTCCATGGGAGTCTTTTGGGGTTTGAGCGGTTCCTGAAAAAGATCGAGCACAACCCTAAATGGGACACCCTCGTCATGGCAGGTGACATTGTTGCCAAGGGGCCTCAGTCGCTCAAGGCTATCGACCGTCTAATTGAGCTCCGGGCCAAGTGTGTCCGTGGCAACCACGACGATGTCGTCATCCGCTGGAGAGGGTTCCTCGACAGTGTCGATGTTGCCATCCTGGAAGAGTACGAGGCCTCGCCTGCGTTTGTCGATGTGATGGAGGCGGAGGCGGAGACTGAGGCTGGGGCGCAGGCAATAGAGTCCATGGATGCATTCTTCCTCGAGCGGGGCATCACGATACCCTCGGATCTCGACCGCAAGTCCGAACACTACCAGATTGCTCGCGCCATGACCAAGCACCAATACAACTACCTCCGCCAATGCCCCCTCATTCTCACCATCCCTAGAGAGATCTCTGTCAACCACATTCCAGTCCATGTGGTTCATGCCGGCATTGAGCCGAAACGAGACATCCTCCACCAGCGACCCTGGGTCCTCATCAACATCCGCAACCTCCTCCCCGATGGAACCCCCTCCCGTAAGAAGTCTAAGGGCCGTGGATGGGCACGGGAGTTCAACGAGCTGCATAATCGACGCTCCCCGTCCAAGCGCGATTTCTTGGTTGTCTATGGGCATGATGCAGGGCGGAACTTGAATGTCATGCCATGGTCGATTGGATTGGACACAGGCTGTGTCTATGGTCGTGAGCTCACCGGCTATGTTGTCGAGACGGGGCTTATCTTATCCTCCCCTTGTCCCCGTGTTTGAAGAAGAGCGAGTTTTCCACATGTCTTCTCTGAACACGTCGACTAGCATTTTTGTCCCCTATTCGCTGTAGTTTTCCCATATCCCATGAAGTTAGTTGTTTCTCTTTTGGTCATGCAGCACCAAGTGATAACCTTACCAGCTTTCCTTCTCCCTTCCTTCTACTCCCTCCTCCACCTTCTCCCTCCTCTTTCATTTTGCATATTGCCCCTCTGGCCCCTTCCATCCCATCTACCTTTTTTTCAATACGATACCATATTTCGTACATTTCGTACAATTCCTGTGTACCAAACACCACCTAATTTCCTCCCTCCCCCTTCCACAGACACAAACAACTTTTTGTTTAGCTTTCGTTCTTCCCTACCACTTGTTCACATTGTTCTCGCCCTCTCCCTCCTCCTCTCTCCACACTTTTGCATTTTCTCTCATATTTCATTTAGCCAGAAGGCAGACGATGAAAACAAATAAAAACCAAAATCCTGCTCTATTTACATCGATCAAACTATGAAAGGAGCAAAATGAAAAGGTGGAAGGAAAAAATGAGAAATCGTAAGCCTAGTAACGAATCAACAAAACGAGGCTCCTCTTTCTCTTCTAACGGCTGGTCCTTTCGTTGGTCCTTGACTTTGCTCTTTTTGTTTCGCTCCTGTCTTGTGTGTTTGTTGCAACCCAGCAAACGCAACACAACACAACACAACACGGATGTTATTTTAAGACTTGGGCCTGAAAAAAAAGAGAGTAACGGACAAACAAGTAACAACTTGCCAATCAACGATGTTCATATACAGAAAACCACCTATCTTGAGAGAGTAGAGCTACTATGAGCGACGTACATGGATCGACAGGCCTTTCTGATTTAGGAGACTTGTGTAGATGTGTACAGGTCATGCTGGTCGACCTACTATCTACTTTGCAAGAGCCCAAGAGGAGATCGAGTCCAAAGCGCACAACGATAGAATGTCTAGATATTCAATTGGGAAACATAGCCATAACCCCCTCACACAAGCCCACATACATAAGCTATTGGCCTCCTTTTTTTTTTTTTTTTTTTCTCTCTGAGGTGTGTTTTCGGGTTTTCGCCCTTGGCCGTTTTTCTTTTTTGCTCTGTTTACATCCTTCTCTTCTTCCTCTGACGTTGTTGGTTCTGATTCAGTAATACCAGAGAAGGAGTGGGGAAAAATAAAAGCTGGTGTATGTATGTATGTACCTTTTGGAGGAAGGTGCGCATGTAAAGCTTAGAATACTAACGAAAACCTAGAACCTGAAAGAGCCAGAGCTAGAACAGCCATCGATCGAAAAAGAGGGCCACAGAAGGAAACTCTCCGAAGAAGGTAACATACATATTGCTAAACCAATGAACCTGTTGGCTCTCTATTCCTCTCTGTCTTCTCTCATTGGAATTTTGAGTAGATATGTGGTCACGAGTGGGTGACCAAAGCGAAAATAAAAAAGCTCATTATTGGCTACTTGTTATCGAAAGGGGGTGGTAACCCGTTTTTTTTTTGCATTTGGCCGTTTTGGATTATTTTTTTTCTTGCTGTTCCTGTGAGCTTACTGGTACATGCTTCGGCAAGTTCTTTGCCGCCATATTCGTCCAGAGGTTAAACACCAAGGTGGGGAGTAAGAGGGAGGACCTTTGGCTGTTCGCTTGGCTGTTCGCTTGGCTGTTCGCAATGTTCTATGCGTCCTATTTTTTTTTCTGTCTCCGCCTATCTTTTTGCTGACTGAGCCCTGCATCATAGTCGTGTTCAGTGCACATGTTCACAAGGAGGGTACAAGGGAAGTAAAATTGGGCCTTTGAGTGTTGGTGTTCGTGTTCTTGTCCGTGTTTGCTTGGCTGACCAGTAGTAGTGATGCCGGAAGCGTGAAATACTAATACCAAGGTGCCTTCCAAGTGGGTTCACCCTCTATGCTTTTTTTTTTTTTTTTTTTTTTTTTGTGCGCGACCCCCAGTTGATCTATTGGACAGAAAAAAGGAACTTCCACCGGACACCGGGCACTGGATCGGGACTAAACAAAAAAAAACAAAGAAAAAAAAAAAAAACTGGTTGCAAGGCCGGATCGAGTGGGTAACTACCAACTGGTTAGAAATCCTTCTAGCTCTTCTCAGAGGCCCAGTCCTGGTCCTTGAAGAAAAAAAAGTTTGGCTGCTTTAGAGTTTGACAAGGTTGTGATCAAACCATTTGATCCAGGCACTAATACGAAGCATCAGCCAGTAAGCAGCTCGCTTGCAATTTTGAGTTGACGTTTGTCTCTGTACAGTACCAGCGCTTGTACCGTTTATAGGTTTTGTACCGCCAATGCCTTGTCCAATGAGAACAGGCGCCATTGTTGAGAAGAGGACACGGATGAACGACGAAAAAGATTCCAGGCCCCGATCCCCTCCTTCGTCCCTCCCGCTTTTTCTAAATTTTTAACTTCAGCTATCTTTCTCGGAGTGGTTTTTTGGCTCTGCGTGCCCTGCATATGGGACAACTTTGTCAAAAGTCGCCATAATTTGACATAGGAGACAGGGCTCAGTAATGAGAGAGAGAGAGAGAGAGAGACAGGGAGAGAGCGGAAAGGAAGAAGAAACGAGGGTGGAGCGTACGTTTATTTCCTTGAAGAGAACAAGAGAAGGATGACGAAAGCAGCAGTAAGAGTGAGGAGAAGAATGGAAAGGTGGGCGGATAATCTACTATCTGCTGCCAGTGCTAGCTGCATGTGGGTATGGCATCATCTTGTAGGCCCTCCGATAATCTCTATTTTGTAGTCCTGTCCTGTCCTTCTCCGTCTTTGTCTCCGGTGTCGCCATTCCCACCGTTAAGTGACATGGATTCATTCCGTCCCACATCCCACGTCCCACGCGTTGTTGCATAATGTAGTATATTCACACACACACACACCCCTCCCTCCCGTTACCTTGTCTGGGGCATCTCCATACAATTTTTTCACAGGCGTCCTTATCTAGTCCGTGGGTAAATATATGGAGGGGATGAACAAGAAGGAAGAACAACATTTGTTGAGAATTACGCCTTTTGTTTGTTTTGTTGGTGTTGCTACTTGGGGAGGGTGGGAAAAGAAGGGATGGGGATGGGAGGGGATAGAAAGTCAGAGGTGTTGGGTTGGACAGAAGTAGAGGTGAAGTGCCTGTGTGCCTGAAATGACATTACCGAGGGCAACGTTTGATTTATTGCCACATGCACAAAAAAGTAAAAAAAAAAAAAAAAAAGGAGAGGGGACTGGACAAAAATAAACGACGTGCGAGAAAGGTCTGTCTTCGCCAAGGAGGGTTCGGTTAACCAGCCCAGAACGCTCAAGGAACGCATGATAAGATTTTGAAATGAATTCAGAACGACCAGTTTCTTATTTCGATCGCAGGGATAACAGCGGAAAGTACATGTGAACAAAAGATAGTGAGAGTTGTCCAAAAACAGAGTTTTCGTCCAATGGTCCTTTTCCCTTCTTACCAGTTTGCTCAGTTCAGCAATAAAAGAAGGTACCCCTCATCGCATACGATACAGTGCCACAGGTACAGACGCTTGACCATAAACGAACCAAAAGAAGCAGAAAGAAGAAGGAATCAAAGTCCTAGCCTTTTGCCTTTTTGGCCGTTTAGCCCGACAAGGAAAAGGCGATGGTTGCACAAGAGTCCAGCCATTAGTTGAGGACGCTCATTGGCTACCAACGCGCATGGGTGTCACGCGAAAGAGGGAAGTTTCAGCAAGAAAGAGAGCTTTTGGATTTTAGGATGGACGACTGTTGGTGAGAGGCGAGGCAAGAGAGAAAGAGCACTAAGACAAGACAGAGAAAGAGAGCACTGGCGAGAGATTAGGACAGGGAGAGATGTGGCCAGAACGGGTCATATCGTACGTTGTACCTGTTATTGTATCCTGCATCACCCGCATGTGTCGTCCATTTGTTTTCCCTTGAGCGTCCACCTGTCTGGTCGTCCTTGATTATTTCAGACGTCTTACTCACTCATGCACACACTCTCGTAGAAAACTTTGGCCAAAAGTCAAGAGGAAAAATTAAAGCTAGAACAAGGGAGGGGGCCAGAACAACCCTTTTGTTTTCTTTGTGAGAACCGTCCATCCCCTTGCTCATCCATCCATCCTTCGACGTCCTTTTGTTGTACCACGGCTTACAGGAAATGATTGGCCAGATGGCCGTCGTGTTTTGTTGCAGGTTAGAAAGACGAACAAAGAAGAGACGAGAGGGAAAGCAGCATGATCAACAAAACAAAACAAAAAACGGCAGAAAACGGCGGAACTGTGAGAGAAATCTAGGAAGACATCGACCTTGTCTGCAATGCGAGCGAAGGGCGTACAGAAAAATTGGGCAAAAGAAAGCGACAAACACCAAAACAACCATCCAAACACGAACGTATCCGAGAAAGTTTAGCGGACACAAACAACAACTTTTTAAGCAAACAAAAAAACAATACAAACAAAGAGAAATGAGGTTTTACCAAGGGTTGTTAGAGTCAGGCCAGTGAACACTGAACACAGACACAGAAAAAGGAAAGAACCTCGCCCATTGCGTTGTTTTGTTGTGTTGTTGGACAGCGATGGTTGCCATATGCGAAGAAACAGACGACAAATAGAGACATTCAAGATATGGTCGGAGGAGCGAGCGCGCGGGCGGATGGACTGGGACTTTCAAGTGAATGGGATGATGGTGCACACACACACACTCTCTCTCTCTCTCTCGCATTCACATTCACGCACACGCACCATACCAAGATTTGCTCAGTTATCAGTATGTAAGGAGGGATCAAGAGTTAAGAGACATCGCATAAATAAACAAATGTTTGGTCAACGGTGCGGCACAGGTTTGCCGACATAACAAGTGAATAGACAGCCTTTTTTTTCTCTCACTGCGTTATTTTTTTTTTCATTCATGCATTGAAAAGAACGAAGGGATATCGTAGTACGATGAAGGAAAATAAGCTGCTTCGCTTTTTTCTGTTCCTGGGCTTACTGCTAGCCACATATGTGGGACACAAAAAAAGGGCCTTCTCATTCTCTCTCCTATTCAACGGCAGGCCTATGGGTCGAATCGACCCCTTTCCCCTTGGGACAGAAGCAGCGATGGGAGAGGGACTATGCGGTGTGGTTTTTACTTTTTTCACATCGCTCTCTCTTTGCATCGATTCACCCCCAATCCTTGGCTCGCGCCTCATTCTTTCTCGTACCTGACTTTTCGTTCATTTCTCTCGCCATTCCTTTTCTTCTCCCTGAGAAATAGTAGCAGAAAACCAGCTCAATAACCACCATCTTCTCGTTCCTTCTGCTTTGCTTATCTCTGAGTGTTCAATTTTCAACTTTGGTTGTACTTTCTAACCGTCGCTTACCGCTTTCACTCCAAGAACCTTGTTGAACAAAACCCAAGAAAAAAAACGAAACAAGGATGAATGCGTCGCCCTTGGCCCTACCCGACTTTAATAAACGCTCATACGAGGAGAATAGGTACAAAGAAGAAGGGCTAGCGCGAAAGGCAATCAAAACTATCCGAGCTTCTACTCTGATTTGTCCCGAGACCGAGAGGTATGAGGGAGTAGTTTATCTAAATTGTTTGTTTGTCTTATTTTTATTATGCTTGAGGTGGAAAATGAATACATTGGATAATGTACCATTCTGCAGAGCAGGGCAGGTTAATAGGGGTAGGACAATAGGACAGTGGCAGTGGCAATGGCAATGGCAATGAGATGAACGTTCCCCTCCCTCTTCCTTCCTTTGTGTGTCTCTTCAATTGTCGTTCTCGTTTGCCTCACTGGCTGGCCGATATGCCTGTTAGTCTACGTCCAAGTCTCCTTCCCTCACCCTACAGTTAGGCCACTAATAGACCGTAGTGAGATAGACGATAGAAGAACGAGAAGCAACAAGAAAACAAGAAGATGTAAAGAGGGGGGTCGAGCCAGCCTGGAGGCATAAGGGCCAAATGGTCTGTTTTTCTGACCTTTATCGATCCAATGAGCAACTCTCGTCCATCGATCGGTATTATATTGTTTTCTATTCAATCAAAGCCTAATTCTATTCAATAGAGTCCTACCTCTTAACAATTCTAATTCTATTATCGCAGAGCGACAACTGGATCAAGTGCCACGGGGATACTTCTCGACGCAGCAACCAACCAACGTCCGTTATGTCCCTCATTTTTCATTCTCCTCGTTCGGCAATCCCCCCTGCACTCCTCGACCTCGACTCCCACTCCTCTCACTATATCTACGCTCTCACACTCCTTCGCTACTAACCTCCCTTCAACCCCGTCTAGGTTATAAAACCCGGCATCATCCCCCAACTTTTCCGTTTCTTCTCTCGACTTTGTTCAGCTCTACAAATCCATACCCACCCTTCACTTCCTCTCTCCTTCTCTCTCCTTCTCTCTCCTTCTCTCTCCTTCTCTCTCCTCTCCTTCCCCTTCCTTCCCCTACCTTCCCCTTCCTTCCGAGCCCCTTTTGCTCCTCCTTTTCTTGCTCCTCTCTCCTATACCCTACCTCTCCTTTACTCTCCAACCCAAACACACATAAACACACAACATGACGAAGAACGAAATCGACGGCTCGGAAAAGTACGATGTCGATCTGATGCAGGATGTGCCCCAGACCCACCTCGCCCCTGAGCAGGAGGGTTTGAAGCGTGATCTTCGTCTTCGCCACATGATCATGATTGCTGTTTCGGGAACCATCGGTACCGGTCTCTTCTTGACCTCCGGAAACACCATCGCCACCGCCGGACCTGGTGGTGCTTGTAAGTTTCACTTTTGTTTGCTGCCAACTCGAATAATTATTGCGTGCGTGCTCTTGTGTGCACTTCGTCCACGGTCTCATGGGAAAATATCATCTTTGTCAGACCATAACAGCTAACCCTCCTCCGCGCTCTCTCTCTCTCTTCCCTTGTCCTCTCTCTACCTCAACCTACCAAAACAAACAGTGCTCGCATACGTCTTGATCGGTCTCTGGTTGGTCTTTGTCTGCCAGGCTATCGGTGAGGTTGCCACCCTTCTCCCCCTCCCCGGTGCATTCAACGCCTGGGGTGCCCGTGTCTTTGACGAGGCCCTTTCCTTCCAGATGACTGTAAGTCCATCCGCAGCTACTTTTTATCCTTTTGAAAACTACGCGTGAATCTCGCGTCGAACCACTCCTTCCATGTCTCAAAACTAAACTCGTTGATTTTTCTTTTCCTTTTTCTCGTTTCCGCCACTTTAACGTACAAATATAGTGGATGTACTTCATCAACTGGGCTTTGACCATTCCCGCAGAGTTGGCTGCCGCCGCTGTCATTGTCGAGTTCTGGATTGGCAAGGATTCGTCTTTCCCTTCCTGGGTCGTTCCTCTCATCATCATTCTCATCATGATTGTGATCAACGTTACTGGAGTGAAAGCATATGGTGAGATCGAATACTGGCTGTCCATCTTGAAGGTTTTTACCATCTTGATGTTCATCGTCTGCGGTATCCTCGTCGACGCCGGTGCTATCGGTGGTGTCACTTATGGTTTGAAGTCCTGGTCGCACGGCGATGCTCCTTTCGTCGGTGGCTTCCTTGCCTTTGTCAAGGTCCTTGTCTCTGTCGGTTACGCCTATGGTGGTTCCGAGATGACCGGTGTTACCGCTGCCGAGTCCCGCAACCCCCACAAGCACGTTCCTAAGGCCGTCAACACTGTCTTGATCCGCATTGCTGGTTTCTACATCTCGTCCGTCTTCTTGCTCGGAGCCATCGTCAACTACGATGATCCCGCCCTCCAGAACTCTGAAAAGTCTGCTGCCAAGGCCCCCTTCACTCTCGTCTTTGTCAAGGCCGGAATCAACGCTGCTGCCAATTACATGAACGCCGTCGTCTTCACCTCCATCTTCTCGGCCATCAACTCTGACTTCTACGTCGCCACCCGCATGTTGCTGTCACTCGCCCGTAACGGCTGGGCCCACAAGTCGATCGGTTACACCAACTCTCGCGGTGTCCCCATGGTCGCTCTTGCCATTGTCACCTCGTGCTCGTGCTTGTCCTTGGTCACCATCTTCGTCGGATCCGGTGTCGTCTTCAGCTGGTTCGTCTCCATCATCGGTTCCATCATTTTCCAGTCCTGGATCTTGATTCTTCTCATCCACTTCCGTTTCCGTTACTGCTGGAAGGCACAAGGTCGCGCCGTCAATGACCTCCCCTACGTCTCCTGGGGCTACCCTTACGGCAACATCATTGCCACCTTCATCGGTATCTGCTGCATCATTGGAACTTGCTACCTGTCTGTCATTGACCCTCCTGTTAACCCCGGTGATGGTGCCACTGAGGAGGCTATCAAGGCGTTCAAGGCTGCTCGTGACGGATATGCCCAGGGTCTCTTGGGTGCCTGGTTCCCCTGGGTCCTGTCTGCCATCCTCTTCTTCTCCTACAAGTACACCCGTGGCACCAAGTTGGTCAAGGCCGAGGAGGCCGATCTCGACACTGGTCGCTTCATTCCCTCCGAGTCTGACAAAGAGGACTTGGAGGTCAAGGGTCCCATCTGGAAGCGTGCCCTCAAGTTCATCATCTAAAATAAGCGCCTGTACCGTACTTAGACCTTTTTTTTTTTGTAGTTGTACACCTTCAAAAAATACTTAATAATACACACTTCAAAAACAACACGATCCGCGTTCTTTTTTCTCTTTTGGGAGAATGTTGGCAATATTAATGGAAGCATAAAAATACGAAAAACGGTCGTCAGTTTTTTGTTCTTCCTTTCTTTCTCCCTCCTCTTTCTTTTGTTCTCCATCCAGCAACCAACCCTCAACACTTGACCCTGTCTCTTTCTCGCAAAGACGCGGCCGGCGTCTTTCGCCTCCTCTTTTACGCACGCTCACCCTTACATTCACGCTCACCCTCTCATCCTTCGCCACTCTTGGCCATGTGTATCGCAGTACTTTTCCTCTGCTCTTATGATCCTCTTGGATCTGATCTCTCTCTCTCTTTCTCTCCTTTCGAACTCCACATGCATCTGTCCTCTCATCCATCCTCATACTACAACCATATGAAAACACCACTCAGACTCGCCGCGCCAGCCCGACACTCGTAAACGTCCGCCATTATTTCCAGAGGCCAGCAAACGATCATGCCCCATCATCCCACCGATGAAAAGTGTGGAAGGCTAACAAGGTGCGCGACGAGTAAGATATCAGTTGACCAACACGACCACAAAGTTGTTCGTGGATGCGACTCCTCAAGCATATGCACTCAATTGATCGAGTTACCGTCTTTTCTATTTTTCCTTCTCCTTCTTAACATGGCAAGGAAGGCAGCTTTGTGGGTGGCCCGAGCAACGACACCGCAGGGAGTCCAAGCAGCTGCACAGCGGAAGGAGGTAGGAATGACTCAACTTCAGGAACAGGGTGCAAGCCAGAAGACAGACCACGACCGAACCAACAGGACGAGCTATCTGCCTCGCAGCAGGCGAAGCCAGCAACTCATGAGGAAAACCATGGTCGCATCCCCGAGATGACTCCTAACGTAATCGATGCGTGTGGGCATGATGACGATGACGGCCTTATTGGTACCGTGCGCGTCTAATCACATCCAGAGTACTGTCCAGGTACTTCTTTGTACCTGTAAATAATAAGGGTTTATTACTAAGATCGCCAGTCATCTTGACTTAGTCGAAACACGAATACCTGTTCCATGCGATGCGGTGTCACCTGTAGACACAAGATAAAAAGAAAGAGAGCACGCTGCGTTTATATCCACATCTAATGTAGATGAATGCAGTCGACTTCTTCTGCGGCCTTGCCTAGTTTACCACATATACAATCCTGGGAGTGTCTTGGATGTGCGCGGAGTTGTTTTTGTCGCGTCAAGTGTGTGCGCGCAGAGGTAAGTACCATGTGCACATGTGATGGTGTGACTGCCTTTTCCACTTTGCTCGCGCGTTCGGACGAATTCGCTAGACTGGCCTGAATAAAAAGGGTTCCTTTTTACTCGTCGGCCAGGACCTACAAGGACCTTGACCTTGACCTTGACCTTGACCTTGACCAGGACAAGGTCAAAACTCTCCAAGCAAGGGCGAAGACGAGGAACAAGACAACGGACAAGAGTCGCCCTGCTTTTTTGCGCGATCACGCGTGTTTCTCTTCTCTCCTTTGTTGGCCTTCTCATCGCCTTTCCCTCCTTCCTTGGCCCTTCTTCTTTCTCACTTTAACACAACCCTATCATCACCTACTCCTTCCCTTCTATTTTTGGCATGTTACCGAAACGGCGGCGAGGAAGAGCTTCGATACTCACGTTACGGGGATGGCAGGACGATTTCGATGGAGACAAGGAGCAGATCCGATTTCTCAACCCCAGATCTACAAGGGCGTTTCGAAAGCGATGATCACGGCGGGGATTTGTGTGCCTCATATCTAGATCGACCTTTCGATAATGACGAAGAGCGACCTTTCCACGGAGGCGACGGGGTACGAAAAGGTGTTTTTTTATTCCACCACTCTGACTGTGATAAGAATGCTTTGGGAGCCTATATTCAGTCACATCAAATCGGAGGGATAACGCGAAAAGAACACGAAGCTACTAGGAGACGCGACAATATATTTTTTTTCCGGAGCTTACCTTTTTTAAAGATGGTTTTTTTTTTTTTTTTTTTTGAGATCCTCAAAAACCTTTCCCGAATTGAATGAGCTGTTTTGACGGTGGCGATCGAGTTAGTGAGAAAAAAAAACATGTTAGCAAAGTCTCTCAAGCAAAACACGAACCCAGACATGAACCATTGTAAATATGAGAAGGCACATTATTTTTTACCTCGGCCAACATAATGTCGCTTTCACAGTTCCAGTACATCCGATACCATGGCCTTTTTTTCCCCCCTCCCATCCCGTTTCAGCAATGCAATTGTAACCGTCGCATTTATTGGGCGAGGAGCGTGAAATGGCCAAACAAGCACCAACCCATCAATGCCCATTACATCTCTTTACCACGCAATTGATCCCATACCTCCAAAAAAAAATAAAAAAAACGATAAAAGAGATCATGTACTTGCACTGATCCCTGCTCTACCCCGCCTTGCCACTAAACCTGAATTGCTCCCCACATGCGTATGTATCGTCATTGGTCCAACTTGAAGTTTTAAGCAAAAAAAAGTACGGTGAATGCTGTTTTAATAATGAATGCGTGTTTGTTTGTCTATTCCTGAAATAGTACCGATATATGTATGTAGGAGGTCGTGTACTGTCCATGAACTCAAAGCTCGGCAAGGAAGCTGTCGTATCCCTGGAGTCCGTTCTGAAGAATCTGCTTTTCGCCCTGAACACAGAGTCCTCCATAGTAAAGTGGTCCAGACAACTTTGCCTATTGAAATCAAACAAAAAAAAATGTTCGAGTCAGTCCTTGCCAAGATCATCTTATATAGAAAAGGGTACATCTACAGAATACATCTCCATGGATATATTTCATCAATAAAAAGAGATGCATGTTTGTTTTTGTTTTGTTGGTCAGGCAAGTGGATGAATGACGATTTACCTTCTTGAGAGACGCCAAGTCCTGCTCGGCTGTGGTCTTGTCAGTGACGCCAAAGGCATCGGCACGGATACGGATAAGGGTCAGAATAGCTTCCAGAACAGCCTTGCGGGTCTTCTTGCTTTTCTCGTCGCGAGGACCCAACTCGGGCTTGGGGACCTTCTCGTGTCCTTCTTCCTCGTCGTCATCGTCCTCCATCTCTTCATCCTCGTCACCGCGCTCCTCCTGCTCGCGACGCATAAAGATATCGTTGAAGTATTCCATGGCGGCTTCCATGTCCTCCTGAACCTTAGCAAACTGGTCCTTCTCCATGAACAGGATGTTGAGGAGCATAAGCAGGCGGTCATCGATCGAGCCGTCGTGCATCATGTACATGATGTCTCTAGGGAAATCCTCCTCCTCTTCTTCCTCCTCACCCTCCATCTCCTCGTCATCCTCATCCTCAGCCTCACCCTCAGCAGCCTTCTTCTTGGGGGCCTTGGGCGCACAGCAATCGTCACCCTCAGCATGTTCGTGTCCATGTCCGTGCTCATGATCGTGGTCGTGATCATGGTCTCCTCCACCGCAGCATCCACCCTCCTCCTCCTCATCTTCCTCAGCGCCGATAAAGGTATCCTCATTCTCCAAGAACCAGGCTGTCCTCTCCTCAATCAACTTCTCATCCTTAAGGATCTTCTGAGCAGCCTGACGAACCATATCCAGCTGAATAGTGACAGTGTCATGGGGGTTGCCCTCGACTGCGAATCCGTACTTGCTCAGGAGAATCTTGTTGGGGTAAGGACCATAGTGACGGGTGATCTCTTCGCCCTTCTTGACCTCGTCGTCCAGGATAATGTCGCAGGTGTCGTTGATCTCCTCGTCATCGTCTTCCTCTGCATCCTCGTCCTCCCACTCCTCACCATCTTCCTCCATGCCCTCCCCAGCCTTCTTTCCCTTGGCAGCAGCAGCCTTCTTGTCGGCAGCTGGGGCCGAGTCGTCTCCAGCCAAGTCAGGGACCTCGTCGTCGTCAGATTCGTCCTCGTTCTCCTCATCGTCCTCGTCATCAGAGCCGTCTTCCATGTGCTCACAAGCCAAAGCGCCGCAGATCTCGCAGACTTCCTCGTGAGTCAAGTAATCCGCATTAGGCATAGGGTTGTGGTTCACACTATTCATGTCCCAGAAAAATGGCAAGTAGGCAATGTGTTAGCAAATAAATCAAGCAAAGACAAACCAAGCTAGCGCACAATGTTGAAGCAAAAACTTACAAGTCGGCAAAGGGAACCAAAGCGGTGACATGGAAGTTATCGACATCCATGCCTCTGGATGAGACAATCTCCATCATGGCCCTGAATGCTTCCAACGTAAAGAACTTGGCCTTAATCTCTGCGGTAAAGACATCCGAGTTCTTTTCGATAAATGGCACCACAATCGACTCGAAATCCTCCTGCATATCCTTCTATTCAACACGGAGACAATAATGAGATTTTTTTTCGTTAGTATCAGCTCTTGAACGGATCTGTCTTTTTGTTACACCATCAATTGATTGAAAGGTGACTTACAATGTCAGCCTCGATATCGTTGTAGGCCTCGCACATCTTCATCATCTCACGAGACTCTTTGGACAAGGCAGTGGCCATTTGAGGAGGACGCTTGGTCAAGAGAGCCAAGTAAGGCGCCCAGGGAGACTGAGCACCACGCGAGAGCTCGTACATGCATCCAATGGTCAATGCGGTATCGCCCTCAATCTCGTCATCCTCCAGCAAGTTGGCAATTCCTGTCGTCTGGACCGACAACACAATTGCCTTGGGAACCTGGATCGCTATTTGTTTTCAAATTTGGTATTTTTCGTCCGTTAGTTGTGCTATTTTCTCGACTTGTAAAAAAAAAAAGTGCCGTTCCTTGTCAATTTGCTTTTGGGATGGGAGGGCACCCCCCCCTCCCCTCCTCCTCCCCTAGCTGCCAATAGATTCTTTTCTCCCTGAATACCTTCATAACCGGGTTCGAGGAGCTTCTTTGCAAAGACGCCGAGACCGTATTTGGCGGGAGTCTCTTTGATCTCGATAGCGGCTTTGTCCCAGACGATTTCGTTCTCTTCAGCCCAGGCGAGGAAGGCGGTCAGTTCCTTTGACGACATTGTGTATGTTGATTGTGGTGATGTGAAGAAAGGGAATGAGGGAGGGAGGGGAGGGATGAGCGTGAAGTGTTTAAGTGAAGGAGATTTTTTTTTCTTCTGTTGTGGCAGTCACCCAGTAGAATGAAAAACGTGTTCTGGACGCCACCAATCGAAAATCAGGAGGATTGAATCTAGGCGGGACCTCAAATCCATGACCAAGAGAGCTACCGGCAGGTCTACATTATCCACGCACAAACACGATAACCATGAAGCACTCTCTCACACAATCAGCCTTTCGTTTCGGCCCCACTTCACACATAACATACCGTTCCATCCCAAAGCACGATTGCTTGTGGGTTTTTATTAATGCTATGACTATGAATAAAGGGTGAAGAAGGGAGAAGAGAGAAAAGAAGGGTCCTTCTAGGCTAGGACACTCCATGTGTGAAGATCTCACTTGGAGCCCACAAGTCTCCTCACCCTTTTCGCATGTCTAGCTTCACTCCCTCCTCCTTTCATGTTCTACTGCTTCACATTTATATCTGCCAGTCCCTCTCCCTCCCATGTCAAGCCAAGAAAAAAAAAAAAAAGCAAACCAAAAAGCCTTGAAAGTTTCTCCCTTTTCACCCATATGCACCCCTCACCGCCAGTTAGGCAAACCAAAAATTCATGCATGAACACCCCATATCAAATCAAATCGAAAAGCAAACAAGGGATACGATAAGGACACGGACAAGGGATGGACAGGGGGGAGGTTATGAAGGTGCATGTGGAACTGATTTATTCATGCGGGAGTGCAGCTGAAAATGTGGATGTGGATGTGGACGTGGATGCCCCACGTCTGACTTATGGGTAAGCTCCGTCGGAGTTTTCCTGTTTGCCCTCAAAATGGATTCTAAAAGAGGGAATCAAAAGAAGGGGGCGAAGAGAGAAAGAAGGAGATCTGTGAGAAAGAAAAAGTGAGACAGAAGAATCATAAAAAAAGGACAACTGTGTCAATGCATAGGACATAGGAGCAGAACGCGTTTCATCCATTTCGGAAGAATGTTGCCAGCCAGTTCAATATCATGATGGACTGAGTAAGGCGAGATAGAAAGAATGATCGATAGGAAATTGTGATACGCCAATTTGAGAAGGCTAGAACTCCTAGGTAGGAGGAGGACAACGGGAGGCGGAGAGAGACGACAGGAGGAAGAGAATGGTTAGAAAACATGTAAGGATGGCAGCATCATGGAAAATGGATGGAAAAGGGGTCAGGATGAGAAGAGGCATGTCAAATCATTGGGAAAATATGGTCAAAAGACAAAAGGGAAGAGAAAAGGAAAATAGGAGAATAGTGTTGGGTAGCGAAGGAAACTGGCCGAGTCCGTATGGCATGAAGTGGGGAGATTACTTGGAACTGCATGAATGCATTGTTACTACTCAAGACAAGACAAAAGAGAAAGGAAAGAAGGGGCCGACAAGGCTGGCCAAAAAATTCAGGTATTGCCACTATGAGTTATTACTAAAAGGTGCTATCCGTCTCCAATCTCATGTCTGGTCTGTATTGTTCTTCGCCACTCCCACGTCGGAACCATGGCCCATCCATCCAATTGCTCTTCTCCCATCACTCGCACCCCCTCGCTCTCACAACTTTGTATCATCCCATGGCCATGGAATGTAAAGTTGGTGATGATGATGGTTGCCCGATCAAAGACGTAAACAATAGAGCAAAGAAGCAACAACAATAGCAACTAAACACTCACAAACACAAAACAATTGCGCTCGGCTCATCGTTCCATATCCATTTCTCGCCGCACCATGGGAGAGGGAGGTGGTGTTTTTTTTGTGTTTGTCACGGTCTGTTATTATGTCACGCCTTGCCTTTTTTTTTTGAGTATCGGGCGATTATGCCAACTAAAAGCAAAGAAAGGAAAAAGAAGGGGCGAAAAAAAAAAAGAGAGGGAAAAAAAAGAGGGACGGAGGGGAGGAAGGAGAAGGAGAGAACAATGCACACGAAACAAATGGGAAGAGAATAAAGGAGGGAAAAGACAAGAGGGAAAAAACAAAGAGAGAGAAGGGGTTCATGAGAAGGAGAGAAGGAGAGAGAAAGGAAGGAGCAGTGAAGGGATGACCGACATCCACTCTCTCATATAAAGGCACGACATGCCCGCTTGATTTCCTCTAGTTTATTTTTTTCCTTCTGTTATTTCGCTTCTCTCATCATCGCACAATCAACAAAATAACATTTCAACGAAAGCAATATTTATCCCCGCGTCTGCATAAACCGCCATTCAGCCACCCATACATTCTTACTTCATAGTCCATACACCCCGATCGCATAACATAACATTGCATAAATAACGCATCACGCACACATATTCCATACCTCCATACCTCCATACCATACCATACATCTGCCATGACGGTCAAAGGATGGTTCAACAACAACAACTCCACTCCCGCCTTCAACAAAAACAATAAAAAGCACCAACAACAGCAGCACCCACCCATCACAACAATCACAGCACCCTTACCACCATTCTCTACACCTCCACCCCCATACTCGCACGCCCTCTCTCCTTCCCTTCCTTCCTCCTCTTCTTCAGCTTCTTGTAATATTTCCTCTCCATCTTCTCCACTCGCCTCAACAGCTCCAACTCTCTCGCCTTCTTTTCAAATCAACAAAAAATCTCCACTCAGGCACACTATCATGCAACAACCACAACAGCAACCAAAGCAACAGCACCACACATACTCATCCACGTCGAGGAACAACGGCGATTCAAATCCTTCTTCTTGTTCAGCTTCTCGCGCCTCACCTTCACCTTCACCCGCACCGATCGACGACAGCCTCTTCATCCGCATGACAGTGAACCCCCGCAAATCCGTCCCCCGCCCCCCAACAGAGTTCCGTATCCGCCCCTCCACTCCTCCTTCATCCCCTCACATCAAGAACTCTACAGCAACTTACAGCAATAGCAGCAGCTTCAGTAACCTGGAGAAGGCCCTCCCTGCGCCACCAAAACGCGCCACCAAGACCAAGACAACAGCAGCCGCCCTCCTAAAGTTCAAAGACCTCAAGACCCGTCTCCGCACCCACTCCTTCTCATCCTCGACATTCTCCTTCCCCACCCCCTCGACTTCCCCCTCCTCCCCCCAACACTCCTCCGTCCTCCCCCTCGCCCCTTCCTCCTCAACAGTCTCGACAACCCCAGAATCGATCGCCCAAGAGTACGCACGAACAATCAAAACCCTCTGGAAGATGATCGAAGATGAAGAACAAGCCTACCGACTCGTCGAGGCCAGTCATTCTCTCTCCGGTTCCATCCCCACCATTGCCGATATCTCGCTTGGTACAGGAAGAGTAGTGGTGAATAGGCCGCCGTATGTGGGAACGGCGTTGAGACGGCCCTCGTTGCCGTTGTTGATGACCGTCCCGCCCATCCAAGAGGAGGAAGAAACTTCTCCCTCGACAACAACATCGCCAACAAGGTCACCGTTTAGTCCTCGCCCCTCTTCAGGCCCTAGACGTCGTAACCACGCCGTCGCTCTCGCAGCCCTCAACACAACCCCCCTCCTCCACACCAAGCCCACCACCTTGGTATGCTCCTCAACGAACGAGATGGACCATACGGTCGCAGATCTGGACCTCAGCCCTGTCGGCCTCAGCGATGCCAGTGAAGAAGAATACTCTAGCGAGAACGATTCGGAGGCAGAGGAAGAACGTGTAGTTGTTCACATCGCTCAAAAGGTTTCCATGTACCGAGGTCGGTCCTTCTGCTGGAGCCAGCCCGCTTAAACTAAACTAGACTTTTTAGTATGATCCATCCATCTCCTCCTCCTCTTCCCCGTTCTCCTTTCATGTACAAACACACACACACACACACACACACACACACACACACTCCTAGCATTGTAACGATACCAACTTATGAATAAGAAGTGCAGAGCATGCCTTCATTGTACAGATAACAATAATAAAAAAAAAAAGGGCCGCGAACGATAAGCATTTTGCTTTTTTTTTTGTACGAACAAAAAAAAATCTGAACATTGGTATTATTTTGTACAACGGATTTGGAAAAGAAAAAGAAAACAACAAACAAATACAAAAAAAAAAACCAAGAATATTAACGCTTGCGAGAAGGGTGAGGATGGAGGTGAGTCGAGTACCCAAAGACCTGCTCCATAAACTGCTGGAATGTCCACTTCTCAACCTTGTGGCGTCTCGCAATCTGTTCAATCGACAACGCTCTCTGTTTGAACGGGTGGACACTGTGCGCTCCATGGTGAAGCAACGCTGCCGAGAAGGACGATACTGCTGTTGAGGATACCGCATTCGAAGACGATGTTGCCGTCAAGGCAGGGACCGGCAACGATTGGGAGACCACTTGTCCTGACTGCATCTGCTGTTGTGGCTGCTGCTGTTGTTGCTGCTGTTGCTGCTGCTGTTGTTGCATAGCAGCCTGGAGTTGCAGAGACGAGTTGCTCGTCAGGCTAGCCCCCGCTCCAATACCATGACCCGCGGCCACCATCGAAGCCGCAGTGGCACCAGCTCCATTGCCACCGTTGGCATAGGCCCCATTCGCGCCAGGACCGGATCCTCCTCCACTTCCCGACTGACTGCCATTACTACCATGCGTGCTTCCAGAGTTGCTGACCAGCGACGATGCTGAGGCTCCATTCGGTCCGTTGCCAACATTGGGTCCCAGAAGGGCTGCCGATGTGGCCGTGGCGGTTGCCGCCAAGGTCGCCATAATCCCACCCGTGCTGCCAATACCTGCTCCAAGTCCTGTACCACCCGTGAGACTTGACCCACTGCCGCCACCACCGCCCAAGGGGCTCGATCCTCCAGCGCTACTTCCAGGCGGAACCCCCAAGTTCGACTGATGGTACTGGTGTCCTTGCATGGCCGAGCTGATGCCCCCAGAATTCGACCCACTTCCTTGCGTATGATAGATACTCGATCGATGGTGCAACCCTCCAGCTCCAGTCAGGCCTCCTCCTCCAATTCCTCCATTGCCTATATTAATACTGTTCCCGCTCGCATTCGAAGTCGAGAACCCTGCAGAAGGAGGTGTAGGGGGCAAGGGAGGAGGGGCAGTCGCCAGTCTGGCGGCATGGATTGCAGTCTGACGAACCAATCGTCCCAACTGCGACATGGGGACAACCATACTATCGACCAGAGGTCCAAAGACTGGCAGGTTCATGTCTCGAATCACCTCGACCGAGACCAGGTTTGCACCCGAGCGAGAAGATGGGCTCTGGGTGATGCCCTCCTCGTCCACTGAGAGCTCCCGGACAGGTGACAGTACAATAATGACGTTTCCGAAATCGCCCCCGATAGTGTTGCGGTCGTACGCCCGTGAGTGCTCAGACCACACAATGTGCACATGGTCGTTTCCAACATGGCGTTTCTATATTAGAGAAAATGAGTAGATGACAATCAATATTAGTTATTGTGATACAATTAAACCCTCCCCCCCCCCCCCATTAATGAAAAAAATGACCCTTTCAAGTACCTTCTTGACTTGGCGGGCGTCATCGGGGTCAGTTGGCATCCTGACGACTTCGTGGAAGAGAACTTCGAGTGTCGAAGAGCTGTAGTACATGGCCGTGCGACCATTGGACCCATTGCGCTCAAGTCCGCCCATATATCCTGAATGCTCAGCCAACTCCACCTCCCATCCGAGATCCTGGACAAAGCGATTGTAGGCTGCACTGCCCTTGGAGTTGTGCAAGATCGCTTGCTCGCCCTCCTGTCCTGCGGCCACATAAAGCACCGCAATTTTGAATGTCTCGCGTCTAATGGTAATAGAAAGAAAAAAAAGTGAAATATGAGAAGATGTTCCTTTTCGAACCAGAAATGGAAATCTGCCATTTCAGCACAGCAAGCTTACCCGGACTTCTTGTCCAGACTTTTCAGGTCCCTCTCAAGCGAGGCAGAGGGATTCAAGAGGACAAAGTTGTGTTCTTGGAATCGGTCAAAGCACAGCAGTCCCAAGTGGCTCAAAAGCAGGCGGCTATGTTGGTAGCTATCCAAGGGTCGCTCGGCTTCTGGGGGCAACGCCAATTGGAACGCCTTGGCCATGCTGAATGCATCCTCCCTACGCCTGGTCGCCTCTGTCCCTGCTGCTTCTCGCTGTTGTTGAGAAGGGAAACCGTCTTTCAGCGACCCAGGCAGAGTTGATCCATCTGCCTCCAGTACTCCCCGATCCTCACGTCGCATCGCCTCTGCATGAATCTCGTCCAGGTTGTCATGTTTGATTCTTCTGTTGGAGTTTTGCTTCGCCTGCTCATACAGCGCGGCGTGACTGGCGTCCCTCTCAAAGATCTTTGGCGTGGGTCCATCTGCGTCCTCCGAACCGTTCCAGTTGGAGTTGACGACTAATGACATAAGAGTGTTGGATCCATGGTACTCTTCCACAGCGTCGTCCTCCTGAATCAAACTCGATCGAAGCTCCACCAGTTTGTCGTACCAGGCACGGGATTGAGGATCAGAGATCCGGGTATAATAGCTCTCCTCCTGAACATGTCGATCCAGCTCAAAATCGATCGTCGTGCGCCTGTTGAGTCCGTTGTGTCCTAGTCCATGACCGCCGACTTGAGCAGGCGTTCTGGGCTCAGTTGACAACGCCATCCCATTGTTGAGTTGGTTCAGAGGGGTCTTGCCGTCGAAAAGACAATCCGAATGTTGCTGTCCTACATAGCGCAGTAGTTGGTCCAGTCGATCGCCTTCTGTTTTCGGAGCAAAGCTGTCCCAGATTAACGCTTCAATTCCTGGAACGGGCGAGGCCGGAACGGTGGTCCCTGCCGGCGTAGGTACTGCTGGCGGAGTGGCGACACGGGGCTCGTCAAAGCTTTCATCATCTCGAATCTGGATACCCTCGCGCCAAACCAGCTGATTCGCCATCTCTGCCTTGCGTCGGCGGCTTGAAGTCGATCCGAACCGCTCGCTCACTCTTGAGCCTGTTCTCTGGACCGAGCGAGGTCGGGTGTCTTCCATCTCCAGAAACTCGCGGTAAAAGATCTCTGAATCCCAGGCATATCGACCAGTTTCATCCCGAAGCACAACTCGTGTCCTGTACGTCCCCTGTCGTGCACACGGAACCTCCTCGACGGTAATCAAGATCGATTCGTTCAGCGCAAAGATCCGTTGGTGGTCGTCTGCTCCGGTGACTTTGGGCGAGCTACCATTCATGCTGCCACTGACGCCATCGTTGGAAGGATCCATGCCCAACGTGACAAGTGCTCGGTCCGACCCTCTGCATGCTGGCGCGTTGTTGAAGAAGTGGACCAGATGTATAAGCGTCGCCTCGGCAGCCTCTTTGATCGTCTGCTGCTCAATCTCGATGTCGACAACAGGGCCTGTGCTGATCATGATGCGATGATGCTGGTGAATCGATTTGCCGGTGTGTCTGAAACTGGGTCCTCGCTTCCTGCTAGTACGGAACTGTTGATATTTTTGTTGTTGGGCTTGATGCTGCTGCTGTTGTTGTTGTTTTGCTGCCTGAAGTGCTCGCTTCCTCTCATTCTCTCCAGTTGCATCTGGTGCCAACAGTAATCCGACCTCAATAAGTTCAAAGACCCATTTCGAAAGCTCAGTCTCCGAAAAGATGCTGGCTGGGATCACCATCAGCCATTCCACAACACAGCGATAGAATGACGCAATCATAGTCCCTCTCCGCGCATCGCCCTGGAACAGCTTCAAATGTTCCTGCAGGGCGCTCAGCAGGTGTGACAGAACCATTTCAAGAACAATCTAATCACGCCAAAAGGAAAAAAAAATTGTCAGAATCACCTTTGGTGGGAGGCTATAGCTTCATTCAACAACGGCAAACATTTTTGTAGTCAACATACCCATCCATTGTCCTCGTGGTCCTGATACATCCCCGCAAGAGTGGTAATCGCCTCTATGGCACTTTGAACGATGCTTGCTTCAGTCCAGTAGAGATGATCCAGAACCAACAAGAGCAGTTCGCTCTCTGCTCCAATGTCACAGGTGGCCAGACTAGAGCACCACTCGTTGACGACTAACATGCCGGAGAGCTGGATCAGCATGCTGTGTGTATCCCAAAACTTTCCCAATGGCTTAACATAGGCCTCGGCCGAGGTCAAGTCGAGGACCAGTCGCGTGAAGGTGAGTTTGTACGACAAGAGATCGCTTCCCGAGAGTGGGTTTTGGTGAGAGATGCCTGATGCTGCTGGACTGTTTGGGCGGTGTTCAAAGTCGTAGAAGAGCATACTGACGGAGCACAGGATGGCGATCGCTTGCTTGCGTATAAAGTGGTTGACGCCGTCCCGCAAATGTCCATCCTTGAGCAACATCTGTCGAATCGCGTTCAAAAACGGTAGGACAAGGGTATGGCTGCCAGGCAGAGATAGTGTGAACAACCGGCTGCTGTTGGCGAGAATGGAATGTCCAATCATGGAGTCTTCAATCAATAATCCCTATGAACAGTCGTATGCAAAATTCGGATCAGCGGTCAATTGAGGGTCTCAAAAGGCTTCGCCATTAACACCAACGTCAAGCATATCATGAGATTTTACCTGGATGACGCTTTCGTAGAAAAGTCGATAGTATTCTGGATCAAAGTCTTGGTCGAATCGACGACTCATCATGCGACAAAGGCCGCCATAGATAGCTGGCAGCCCTAATCCGCCATCGCTTGAGCTTTTGGCGGCTTCAAAGAACCAAGGCGCGAAATCGTAGAGTGGTGGAATGGTGGTGGCGTTCAAAGGCTGACTGTTCCTGATTTGGTTCAACAAGTCCCAAATGTCGATCAGACACAGCATCACCTCTGTCTTCACCAGCGGAATCTAATATTATGCATGTGTTATATTGATTAATCAGGCCTGTTCCAGACATGATGCATGCACATCTTATCATCAGAGTACAAAAAATCACAGATCTGAAACAACTGATATATGTACCTGAATAGAATTGGGGTTACCAATGGAGCAGACAATGTTCTTCCAAACCGAAAGGATGTTTTCAGCTGACCGACCCTTCATTGAAATGTTGACAAATTCTGGCGACGCAAAAATGCCATACTGCGATGAAAGTCGCTCCACGATGGGGTCCAAGTGCAGACTGTCCGGTCCATGGAACGAGAGCGATGATGCACGAGACAACTATCCATTTAAATCGAGATGCAGTTAGCATAGGTTTTCAGAACAGCATCGAACCAAAGCTGAGGGTGTGAAATCAAGGTACCTTCTCGTCGTTGCCCTCTGTGGCCTCAGCAAGTGCCGAAATATGTGATCCGATGTAGTCAGAAGGCTCATCATCGTCAAGTTCTCCAACATCGATCCTCAAGTTGGAATGGTGTTCTCGCGCCGGGTCCCGACCCGGAAGGAAGCCTATGTGTCCCAGCAACGAAGGGTTATACACATTCGTTCCGGCCAAGTTCGAGTTTGAGCCGGTCTGCTTCGCCGGATCATAATGCACGCTATTGGCGCGTCGGGACCGCTCTCCTGCCAATGGGTATGTCTGATGAGGATAATTAATTCCTTGGGTCGACAGCAGCTCTCCACCAATCGAGTGGCGCATTGGAGACTCTGCTTTGGAGGTGAGGTAGCGAGAATGCCGAAATTTTTCAGACATCTTTCGTCCATGCCGTGAGGTTGATGGCTGAGAGGGCCGTGATACAGGTGCATCCAAGTCGACTTGAAAGACTTCATGACCGAGAACATGAGTCAAACGAGTTGACCAACGCTGTGGAAGAACATAAACGAGGAGTTAGAAACATCAGCCTTTAGGTTGCTACTGAGCGTTCGCATTCCATTTTAGCTCAAGTTTAACTTACGATCCATTGGGCAATCACTTGTGGCCATCGCAGACAATCGACCATTGTCTTTCTCAACGCAATCCATTGGGAGTCGGACACGCTCGGGCATCTCGAATAGGCGCAAAGAACCGTCTATATGTCGCAGTCGATTGAAGGATAAATAAGACGATGTTCTCCACTTGTTTCATAACAATGAAGAATCATTATCTATATATATATATAAATAAAAAACTCATAATTACCTCAACAACGTTGGAAGCCAGTTCGTCGGCAAAAGAAGCAGGCATAGGTGAAGTGAGTCGGTCCTGGAGATTCATGACGCGACGGAGAATCTGCAAAAGGCTGCTTAATAGAACTTCCCAACTCCTGGTATCCATCTCAATCTGACCGCGCGCCATGATCGCCCTGAAGAGGCCAAGGATGTCCTTGTACTGATGATAAAGCGCCTCCATGTCCAACTTGGTCTGATTTCCAATCGATCCCAAAGCCTCCGAGGATGAGTTGGAGCCGTGGTCGTAGAAAGTAAAAGCGGTTTCGGCAAAGACATTGGTCAGGAGCTGGAAGTAGCGTTGCAAGAAGGAGTTGGCGTTTGAGTAAGGCTCTGACTGAGATCCAGGCTGAGGTCCTGGTTGGTCGCCGAGAGAAGCCAAGGAGGATGTCGAGGGTCCATGTGTTCTGTTGGATGAGCTTCGGAGGAACACTGGGCGCTCCTCCTCATTGCTGAGACACCACACTCCGACAATATGGACCGCGCCACGGACAATGTCCTTGTACTGTGGGTGACTCGGTGGCAGAGAGAGTCCTTGGCGAACAATTTCGTGCATTATCTCCCGATTGACCTCTGACGAGTAGACGATGGACTTGAGGATGGGTGTTGCGGGTGAAGTATGGGTCTGGGGCGAGTTGATCTCGTTGCTGTCCAGACAGTACTGGATCACAAAACCGATAATAGTCCTCAGAATTGTGGGTGGACAAGTCTTGTATCCGAAATCTAAAGCCAACACAAAACATAGATGAGCCTCGGTCAGACAAGATTTCTTACGCCACCAAACTGTATGACACATTTGATAATATGCACATGGAGTAACCTTTGGGTTCGTCGCGAAGCAGTTGGAGGCTACGGGCGCACTCTGGGAAAACCTTGACGAGGTAGTATTTCTTGATGATATCGAACATGAACCTCGCTGCCGCCATTCCCGCATCAATTCCAAACCCCACTGCAATCCCGTCGCCAATTTCGCCGTCGGCCTGGATGGGGTGGTGCGAGTTGATCGACTCAAGTTCTCCTGCTGGCGGGGTCGAACCGGCGGCAACGTAAGCCATGCGGACAATATTCGCCAAAAAGATTTGGAACAGCCGGATACTATCCTGAAAAGTAGGGGGTGCAGGGTTGGGGCAAATAGGAGGTCCATCCGCTAATGTAACATTGGATGTCATGATGATTGACGGTTAATTTCGCGCGAAATTACCATGCACACAAACACAAACACAAACAAAAAACAACTGAATCGCGTGAGATGCTTACAAAGCATGAGCTCTTGGTTCAGGTTCACATGGACCATATCCAGGTATTGAGAGACATGTTTGGCGCTTCTGCGTCCGGTGCTTCCGTTACTCATTGGCGGTAGCCTTGTCTGTGACGAGCTCGCGTGATCGATAGATAGGTCTTCGCCGTCATACATGAACAGGTCGAGGGAGATGGCGTTTGAGAACAGGTACATTGCCTCTGGGTATTCGACAGTCTGGTCATTGACCCAGAGAAGCAGGAGGCGGAATCCAAATATGCGAATCCTGGGGTGGTTCTTGTGACCCAGCACCTGTGCAAGCATATTTGCTGATGCGGGATGGATGACATGTAACAGAGGAGATCGCAGGTTAGCCATCGGAGGAAAGGCAAAACAAAAACAAAAATGTGAGGGGGTGAGGTCTCCCCTTGTGGGTGAACATGTTGTGTGTAATGGCTGTTGTTGTGACACGGGAGAAACTTACCGATGGCGCGTCTGTGCCAACCATTCTTCATCCTGTCGGGCAGGTAGAGGAAGATCAGGCGGAGCAGGAGCAATGTTTTTTGGATGGCGAGGACTTCCTTGCTCTGGAGGGCATTGTTGCGGTCAGGCTTCTGCTTAAACTTCTCGATCTGGTGCCAGAACGAGTCGTGGGTGACAGCAAAGACCTGATCGGCATGTTCCTGAAAGAACTTTGCCTGATCAAACTCGAACGTAACATCTATCAGTCAGTGTACATGGATAAGATATGACATGATCAGACCCTCAATCCTTCCCCACTCTAATCACAGATCGCCAATTAACATCAAAGCGGTTTCAGTCCTCCATACCTAAAAATGCCCAGAGCGATGCCGCACGCGCTTTGGCCTTTGCTTTCTCATCCATAAACACTTTAGCCTTCTTGAGCGCCTTCTCGATCGAGGACGATCCACCAACGATGCTGCCCTTCCCAGTGAGCTCCTTGTGGTGGCCTCCCTCGTGGGCGTCCCGCAATTGACTGCCTGTCGACCCTGTCCCAAAGTGCGAGGCAAGTCCAGTGTGGAAGGCAGTGGCAGTGTGCGGCGGTGTGTCGAACGATCCATAGCCAGACTCTTCAGGGACATGGCTGATATGCGCAGGAAGCGTCTTTCTCGTCCGACCTGAAGACCGTGGTGAGCTGAAGGAGGCGATTTTGCTGAAATTACTCTCAAACGTCGATGTGTGGTGGCCAGACCCTCCCGAAGGCCCTACCGAGGACAGGCGTTCCTGACTGGCAGAGTACAGTCCCTCGTTTGTCGCGTGCAGTGATCCTGGGCTGACATAAGAAGACCCAGAGATAGAGTAAGGGAAGGTCTTGTAACTGTCCGGAGTCGAGGGCAGGTCGACAGCAGTCGATTTGCGCCTGGACGAGAGCAGGGGCGAAAAGGCCTGACTGAAGCGAGCTGCCGCGGTTGTTGCAAGGCTTGATGTGGACGAGGAGGAAGAGGCGTGAGTTGGTGCCAAGGGTGGACCAAGAGGAGAGTAGGTTGAATAAGTGTTATTATGATTAGGGTAGGTTGGAGTTGAATGTGAGTGGGTATTGAGGTGCGAAATATTAGGATTGGTGTGTCCGTTGTTGTTGTTGTTGTTGTTGTTGTTGCCATTATTGCTGTTGCTATAATTGTAATTGTTGTTGCTGTTGCTACTGGCGATATTATTGTAGTTGGCATAGCCATTGGAGTGGCTGGTCGTGGTGATAGTGGAACTGCTGCTGCTGGTGGGGATGGAGACAGTGCTGCTGTTGAGGTTTGTTGTTGTGTGGGTGGTATGGGCTGAGCTGGCGGTGGAGTGGGTGGTGAGGATGGTGCTGATAGTGTTGAATGAGTCGGACGAGGGCAAGTAGCCCGTGGAGGAAGCGACGGCGACGGCGTGCGACGACTGGGACTCGGGCTGGAAATGGGACCGCGAGGAGAAGGGGTCGGTGACTATGGCGTTGGGGTCGGCGGGGTCGAGGATGGGCGAGAGCGAGTCGAGTTCCTGGCTGGGACGCAAGGGCCGGACATGGTCAAAGTCGTCAAAGGGATGCGGGCTGGACATGCCGTCGGGGTCCATTGCTGGAGAAGAGGGGTGGGGGAGATACTCGCTCGCTCGAGAACCGTTAGGGTCAAGAACAGCTTGCTTGTGGATGCTGTGGTTTAGGCTGTCTTGGTGTTGTTGCTGTTATGAATAGGGATGTGTGTGGGTGTATGGGTGTAGATGTGAAAGTGGTGGAATGGATGTATGAGTGGGGTGTGAAAAAGGAGGTTTCGTAGGTAGTACGTGTCGTGAGACTCTGTTCGTTGTACTCGTGTCGACAGAAAGAGAGAATAGGAAGAAGAATAAAAAGAAGAGGACGTTGAAGGGGAAGGTGTGATGAAAGGACAGAGTGGGGGATGGGATAATAGATGAAGAAAGGGACAACAACAAGAACAACAAGCACCGTACTGTACAAACGCTGGAAGGAAAAAAAGGATGCAACACCCACAGAATCCAACGAGGGGAAAAATGAAGTCCTTGCTTGCAAGTCACAGCAGTTTTGGTCGTGTTGCATAGGTCTGGCTATCAGTATTGAAAAGACTCCAGACACCATGACATTTTGGCCTCGTCCTTGTCTACTATTACCCGGACGTTGTTTGCCTGCCGATCAGGCTGTAAGGTGTTCATGGTGTGAGAATTGGCGAGGATGCGCCACTGCTCAATGGATCAGACATCTCGAGCAAACTATCTTGCCTGTCTGTTTGTCTACTGTGCAATTGTAGATATTGATAGAGAGGGACATGGTTTTACTTTTCGACCACCATCCCCACGTGACTTGCACCACCCTCGGTTCCTCTGCCCGCCTACCAGTTTCTTTTTTGCTGTTTTGTCTCTGTCGCCTCTCCTCTCCTTCCCTCTCTTTTCCTTCTTTCCCTTCAGTCGACATCCATCCCATTCACTCACTCACTAACGCACGAACGCTTTCACACCCACACTCTCACCCTCACTTTACGTATACACTCACGCCTTCATCCATTCCCCTTTCCCTTTTCCTCTTTCATCATCACCTACCTCCCCCTCTCCTTCAACTTCAACACCAACCCTCATCCTTCACTCACAACACTTCTCCTTGACTTCCCTCTGCCTTTCACCTGCCCCCCTCCTGACATTTCCCTTTTCTCTTTATTCACGTTAATCCACGCTCAACCGTCGCATTGGCCACACAAACAGCCGACATCATTAAACACACATCCCTCAGCCTTTCTCGCCACCCACTCTCTTCTTTGACGCCATGGTCTACGCAGAGGCCTTCTTGGTAAAGAACCCTTTCAAATCGTACTCTTTCTCCAACGCATTCAACGGACCAACAACATCGCAACCACTTCGCCAAAAGCAACTCAACCACCCCCTGACGAACCTATCGTCCACCAACAACCCCAGATTCATTGCTTTTCCTTCCTTTTCTCTTTTTCGACGTTCCGATATACTCTCCAACCATTCCGACGCCACAATACCCCCCCACACAACTTTTATCACACTTTTCGACCACAACGACGGAAGACAACGTTTCAATTGACCACTGTCGTTCTCTTTCCTTTCATATTGTAATCGCTCAATATATATATAGACCGAGCGACCACAGGATGGTCTGGATGCAGTCCAATCGCGCCTTAGAAAGGGCAGGTTGCTTCATGAACAACTTGCCAACTATTACAAAGAGCGGTAGGTTGACCGACCCTGATAACTGGTCATTCTAATTCGCCCGAGACTCTTTGTGAAGAAAAAAACAAGTGTTTCACGTCTGTGATACGGAAAAGAAAAAAAAAGAAAAGGGCATTATGGATTCAAGGACAAGAAACAACTGGAGTGGAGCAGGTTCCCAGAGCCAGGATACAATTTGACAGGCAGACAGAGCATGGGGCGTGTGTGTGTTGGGTTCCAATTCCTATTCTGCCGCTGCTTCTGCTGCAACTCGAACTAATCAACTATGGCTCTCGTTATTTTCTGTTCTCATCATTTCATTGCAATCTTGTTTGCTCGCGTTGCACAACGTATCTTAGTGCACACATCGAGGACATGTACGCCAAAAGCATCACCAAAGCATTCCAGAAACACTTTGTTACCGATCCTCAGGCACTTGGGTATGTTTGTCCGTCCGTCATTGTCTTAAAATGGATTTGATTACTATTGTGCATTGAAAGTGGTTATGAAATGTATTGGAAATCTCGAGCCATCTTTGCCACCGACGACAATGCTTATGCCATCTTTTTTCTTTTGATTGTCTCCTCTGATCGATTTTTTTTTCTTGACTCAGCACATTTACCGCTCCTTGGGAAAAGCTGAACACCGAAACAGTAGAGCTCGCAACTCGCCATGGTCAATACTCCTTGAGGATTTCTAACGAGATTGAGCGGCCGATGAGAGACTTTGCCAAAAACAATCCCGAGTGGCAAAACATTGCCCTGGTAAGACCCTCTTCTCCATGCCCATGCCCCAAGTTTGACTCGTTTATTTCCGCTTTTCGCGGAAAGAGAGATGCACGCACTATTTCGGATCTGGGTTAGCGTCATCGGCCCCTGGCATACATTATATTCGGACTTGAGTGATGTGGTCTGTCATTAACTTTAATTCTTTGGAATCTTTTCCTGCTTTATTTAAATGCAAATGTATTAGGCAGAGACAAACTGCAATCGGATCGCAAAAGAGTATGACGAGAAGCAGCTCAAGGTCACAAAGTACACCAAGGCTGTGGAGAAGGTCTCGGGAAAGAAGGCCGAAGTAGCAGGTATAACGAACAAACAGCTACAGCTACAAAACAAAAAATGCTCTTTATTCTCTTGTGTTCTTTCCCTCGTGTTCTTCTTTCCCTCACATTTCCATCCATAACAACGGACAAGCCAACCCATGTCAAACGCAAAAGAGTTGTCCGCGCCATGATTTTCCCTCCTTTTTTTTATATTTTTCGTCAACAGAAAACTATTTTAACACTATGGATTTTGTGTGATATTTTCTTTTATGTCTTGTGAGCATTTTGGTTGGGTCTTCACTTGACAAAACGAAATGAGCATTTCAACCCCTTGTTTACATATCTTATCATACGCTCTCTGCTCTGACCGCCTCGATTTTCGCTCTGTTCTGCTTTCTTTGTTCCTGAACGGAAAAAAAACAACTTAATTAGAACAAAAGCTGATGGAATACACGAAACAACTCGAAAACACAAGGACCGCGTGGCGACTTGAAGGCCCTGTCATCTTGCATGTAAGTGAACGACCATGATTATCTCCTGTGTTTGGCATGTAGATAAAAAATAAGGATTGTGCGCTTCAACTTATACAAACACACTCCTCTTCTACTTAGAAATACCAAAACCTCGATCAGAGCCGCCTCGATCATATGAAGCAGATGCTAGCTGTTTTCGAGGCGTTACAAACAGAGACGGCGCTTCAGATCGCAGAGGTACATACACTTGTCAGGACACGCACATTTAATTTTTCAAACAACATATCATCCGACTCACAAATGAATCTTTCTTGGTTTTGGCGATGCGTAGTTATCGGGCCGCACTTCCTCGTCAGCAGCGGAATTCGACTCTCTCATGGATATGGAACTCTTTGCATCCGAACTGTCGATCAACTTGAACGGTATGCAATTGAAAACAGGTCGTCATTGTTCAAGGATGTTCGTAAGAAGGAAGGACGACTCGCTCTTGATCTTAGCTGACCTATCCTCTTGATACTCCACTTTAGCTCTCGAGCCACATGATGGCGCGTCCATCGTGTCTGGGATCTCTCATCCAAGCAACGGCGACAGTACGTATCTGATCATCGTGCTTTTTTTGCTATGTGATCCATCAATGAGGATCGTCGACGCAGCGCACTAACAAGCCCTAAAACACTTCCTCTTATTTTATAACAGCAGTTGGAAGTCTGGACGGTCGGAAATCCAATGGAGCTCACAAGCGGGCCATGACAGGAAGCAGTCAGTTGAGCAACATTTCGTATTCGACAGAACGCTCAGCTGCGCAGTCCAAGGCGGGAAGCGTGGATCAGGCGAGACCTGTGGAAACCCTGGACCATGCCCGCTCAGCGTCCAGTGTACTAGGAAGCGCGATCGACGTTGTAAGTGCATTTCAGGAACAATGTTATATATTTGGTGGCGTTTGCTGGAACGATCAGCAACCAGAGCCTAATGGCCCTCAACAATATCATTCAATTCAATAGCCAACGAACCACGTGGATGCGGACGGATTCTCTATTCCTCCTCCGGACCATGGACCATGGTCGGATGCCGGCGGCGCAAGCAGCGTGTACGACGACGAGCGGTCAGAGACTAGCAGGTATGACCGTCTTCCTTGTGTGGTGTTTGTTTTTGTTATGTACCGGCAGTGAGGCTAATATATTTTTTAATTTGTGACCTCGGTGACTGTAGCTTTTCACAGGCACCCAACAAGATGCAGATGGAGATCAAGAAGGACACTGTGACAGAGAGCAACGATGAAGCACGCGCCGCATTAGAGAGGGTCACATCGACCCTGAAGCAGTCAAAGACTGTCAGCCGAAGACATCCAGGAAGGAGAGAGTACGTACACGATCATCGACATTCACAACTTATCTACTATGATTACCAAACGAACAAAATGTTTACGCCATTTTGATTTTTCATTCTACTTTCATAGGGTCAGGAGCATGTATCAATCGGAGGACACCTCGTCAGCCTACAACTCGTACCATTCGTCACCTCTCTCTACCGCATTCACTCCCGACTCGTCTCGTGAAACGTTGGCCACCCCGCCGGCCATGAACTCCCCAGGATCGAGGGCATTCTTCAACACATCCGCTTCGCACCTGCAGACTTCAACTCTCACGCCTGGGACGACCCGCGCGAGCACATTGGGACTGCCCTCTTCCTCTAGCCCCGTTCAGCCACAGTTTAGCCACTCCCTCCCACCTACCCCAGCCTTGATTGTTGCTAATGGCTCTGGATCCTCGTCAGGACTGCCACCAATTGCGGTTTTGGGAAGTGGCCAGCCTCTTGCTACTGAACCCGAGTCGATTGGCTCAAGCATCAATGGATCTTCTGTCCCTACTTCACCCATTAGTCCCACTCATTCGGGTGCTCTGCTGGGTGCAGGACAACCGCAAAAGTGGGTTGTATCTGTGATTGAGAAGATCCATGTCCATGCACAGTCTGGTGAGGTGACCAAGATGATGGTGACAGGAGAAGTCATCTTGAACCTGGAGGGTACCGAGGTGGATCCAGAAGGATCGGTCAAGAAGGCTCTCTTGCGACTAGATCAGCTGCAGAGCCTTGACAAGCATGTGCCCAACCCAGCCTATCTTTCTCCCAAGGAAGGAGTCGAAGGAGCATACTGGGTTAATCTCGAGGCGCTCTCACAGGGGATGCAGCAGAATGGTGTCGGTCAGGGCCATGGCCAAGTTGTGCTCAAGTACCAGGTCAAGACGACGGAAGAGGATGCCAGGCAGAGGATGGTTCCGTTGATGGTTCAGCCTGCGTGGAAGTGTGAGGCCCATCAGACGTCGCTCCTGATCAACTACAAGGCCAATGCCCAGTGCAAGCTGTCTCGAACACAGCAGGAGGGCGGTGTCCAATTGAGCGAAGTATCGTTCCTGGTGCCAGTCGCGGGTGATGTAACGAATGTGCAGTCGAGGCCGACGGGAGTGTGGAACAGTGAGTCGAACAAGATGTTTTGGGACGTGGACAATGTGACGATGAGCAGCAGCGCGCCCGAGCCGCACAAGCTGTTGGCACGGTTTGAGATGAACCCTACTGGGGGAGCAAGTCAACCGAGTGCGGCAGCAGTCAAGTTTAGAGTGCAGGGTAATCTGCTGTCGGATCTTGTAGTATCATTGGAAAAAGAAAAGGAGACGACGGCTGCAGAAGGAGAATTGGAGGAGGCGGTGGTGGAGGAAGAGGAGCGCGTTGCGTTTGGATCAGTCAGACTGCAGGTTCAGTCGGGTCGGTACCTTGCGACAGCATAGCGACAACGACGCCCTATACATACCATCTAGGACCCCTTTCTTAGACTTAAAAAAAGAACCACGCCAGTCTATTTAATATCACACCTGAGTGTTTCGAAGTGTATGGTGCCAAAGTCGAGGTTTTCCTAGCAACGTTTTCGTAGGCGTTGGCGTCTTTTCATTCGGTGCAATTCACAGTCACAGTTCACAAGGAAGGTGAGCTGAGCAATGTGAAGAGACCCTTTTGTTCGGCAGCTTCTCCTCTTCCATCTTTACTTGCACAAAGGAAGCCACACGGGATCCCCCTCTTTTCTTCTTTCATCTCCGCCCTTTATAACTTCCCTTCACTTGGTTGCATTTCACCTCTTCTCTTTTCTCACACCCTCCTCCTCCCATCACTACACCTGACTGCAACCTCATCTTTACGCCTTGGCACGCACCCATACACACTCTCTCGCCAGGATAATACGACCCTCAGGAAACGACCCCTATACACTCAATCCACAACACGGACAAGGATGGCCCGTCTAGCAGTCTATGGCGCCATCAGCACCATCCTCGCAGGAGGTGTCATCGCAAGCGCGTTTGCCCACCGGAGCAACTTTTACTCCGCCTGTATCTACCTCTACAAGTCAAACGCCTGCATGATGGTAACAACTGCAATGACACACTCCCGCACACACGAACGCACCCACAGTCTCTCATCTCTTATCGGTCAAACACTACCTCAGCCATGCGGACTCAACTAATACTCAGGACTCGGGACTTGGGCAGAGACGCCTTGTCTTATTCATCACAGCTGGCATCATTGGAGCTCATAGACCTGCTGTGAAACAACCCCATGAAGACGACAATGACTTGCGACAACAGCAAAAGCATATACATGCACAATGCTAGGAACCATTTTGGCCTGGCAACCCCCGACTATGATGACGAGCAAAGGAGATAAGAGAGGCAGACGAGAAATTGGGACAATGGGCTGTAGGTCGATACTTGGCATTTTCCCAATTATCCATTGCCCCAGGTACTGACAACCCACACCACCCACGTTTCTGCTGCTTACTCCGATTGTAGATCCTTCTGAACCTCGGTCTGTTCTTGACAATAATCGCAGGCCAGTTGGTATTAATGATTTTCTTTGGTAAACTCAGGGCACTGGAGGTGGAGGTTAGTAACGCTGAAATTTGATTTTGTTGTTGATATCGTTTTTTGCTTCGCTCGGGAATGTTGGGGAATTGGTCTGTTTACTCACCCTCCCCACCCCACATGTGTAATGCGTTTGTTTTTCTTGATCGTTGGTTAAACATAGCATCTCTACGAGCGGGCATGGTATGCGGTCACAGAGACGTGTTTGGCAATGACAATATTCAAGGACGAGTTCGATACCCGGTTCGTCGTCATGTTCACGTTGCTACTCTTCCTCAAGGTTTTCCATTGGCTCTGCCAGGATCGTGTTGATTCCGTAAGTTGCTGCGCTTTTTCATGCTAGCTGAGCAATGTGTGGGTATCTGTAGCAAAAAGGGAGAGGAGATCAATTCAACATCCTCTAACGCATTATTACCAATGACATGGTTATAGATGGAACAATCACCCGAGATCCCATTATCTTTTCATGCCAGGATGGTGACCATCATGACTATTCTCGTGAGCCTTGACATTCTTTTGGTCCTCCACGCCATTGATCTTGTCGCAGTCAGGGGTCCCAACATGATGATTATGTTTGGCTTTGAGGTGAGTTTTTTTGACAGTGTTGCACTTTGAGTGGCTATTGTGCACACAAATGATATAATGGATCTAACAACCACTTGCGTTCTACAACTTGCAATGGAATAGTACACGTTGTTGGCGACGAGCTTGATGGCAGCTTTCGGAAAATACGTTTTGCACACAATCGACATGAGACGCGAGGATCCATGGGAGAACAAGTCGATGCTGTTGTTTTATCTGGATCTCGTTGCCGACTTTATCAAGCTGGTCACCTACCTCATGTTCTTTATGGTGATCCTTGTCAGCTACGGACTCCCCCTGCACATCATTCGCGATGTCTACATGACCATGCGCTCCTTCCTCCAAAAGTGCAAGGATCTGATCCAGTACCGCAAGGCAACTAGGAACATGAATGAACGTTACCCCGATGCCTCACGCGCAGAATTGGCAGCACTCAGCGATCCTATTTGTATCATTTGCCGTGAGGAGATGGTTGGTCAGCATGGACACACGCTTTCAGGTGCTGGAGGTGACGGCGCACACGCTGCAGCTGCAGGAGGAGGAACAGGCGCACGCCCCGCAGGATCCAACACCAACGTTCCTAAGAAGCTGCCCTGTGGACACATTTTCCACTTTCATTGTCTTAAGAGTTGGTTGGAGCGTCAGCAGAGCTGTCCCACCTGGTAAGGGTCAATGCATGACCATTTCTCGTTTTAGCCTGTATTGACATACCACACAGTTAACACTGACATGTTGCTGTATTATAAATTAGCCGGCGCCTTGTTCTGGATCCACCTACACCAGCGCCCACGCCCACGCCTGTAGCCCCCGGAGACCAAGCAGCAGGCAATGCGGCACCAGGAGCAGCAGGAGCGCCAGCCCCGGCACCGGCTCCTGGTCAGGCACTAGGAGGAGCTCCTGGATTCGGTCACTTTGGAAACAATGCACAACCAGGACCAGTCCACCCTCCTCACCAGGGTATGGGATATCCTTTGTTTGCACCTCAGGGTCACTACCCCTTGGCTGGCTGGCATCCTCATGCTGTTGGCGGTGCTTTCCCTGGGGCTATTCCGCCAGAAGCAGGTCAAACCACAGCTGCTGGAACTGGTACTGCAGCAGGAGCTGGAGCTGGCACTGGCACGCCTGGAGCAATGCCGACGACTCAACCTGGCTTTATTCCTAGCTACACCATCGCTAATGTCGCCCACCCGATCCCTGGATTCATCCCCTTGTTTCCCGTCGGACACGCAGCAACCCCAATTTCAGGATTACAGGCACAGGGAGGATCGGAGGCGGCTGGTACGCCTACACCTTTCCTCGGAAGGGCCACAGCGGACCAAATTCCGTTGACATCACTGGATGCTCTTTCAGAGGACCAGCTCAAGTACTTGGAGGAGAACACGCGACGTGGTCTTCAAGAGCGCCTTCGGGTGCTTCAGGCGGTGGAGTCTCAGATTGCGGAATCTGTCAGTGTTCTGAACCGCGTTCTGTGCGCATTGCCACCGGCGGGGACACCCTTCCGGAGCGAGACGGCTGACCCACCAAGCCCGACGATGCCAACGACCTCGAACTCTTTTTCGACACCTTCTGCAGGACCGAACGGGACAGCGACGAATCGGTTCTTTGGAACGGTTGTTGGACCTGCGTTAAACACCAGCTCGCCAGTTGGCTTGCAACCTTTTGCGCGCGGCGTCTCTAACGGGGGCGTTAATGGTGGTGTCAATGGCTCTGCTGTCAATGGCTCTGTCAATGGCCCTGTCAATGGTAGCTCCAACGCAGATGCGAGTGTGCCATTGGCGACTGAGGCAAAGACGACGGTCGCGGTCAGTCAGCCTCAGGAAGTTTCTCCTCCTACGTCGGCATCCCCATCGCCGATTCCTTCTTCAGTAGCAACAGCCGCTTTGAACGGTGGCCATGAGGTGGAGGGTGAGGTGGAGGGTGAGACCTCAGAGAGTACAACTACAATAACAATGACAGCAGCTACGACGGCAGCAGACAATAGCAAGGGCAAGGGACGGAAATCTGACGCAGATCTGGAGCAGGATCTGGTGGCGGAGAGTCAGCAGCTTTACCATGAGGAAGAAACAGCTAATGGTGGGGATTTGACGAACGGCAATGATGACGAAGACTCCGAGGTATCTCCTGAGGAGATGGTGAGGAGACAGTGGGCCAAGTTTGACTTGTCGTCGTCAGAGTAAAAAATAAACTCACCCTTTACTTTTTTTTGTTCACGTGAGATCATGAAGAGATAATGTCTGGCAAAATGAAATATCGCGACCTTCACAATTGTTGCACTACCATTATTGAATGCTAACGGCAAGAATGACGGGCTGCAATGATAGCGGATCCCTATGTCGGATAAACCAAATGGCAATGGGTAGAAAAAGAGCAGCACACTTTTTTTTCGGTAACCACTCTCGACATTTTTCATACACACATGCACGAGAGAGGAGAGGGAGGGAAGAGAAAATAATAAGGGGAAATGTAGAGCCAGGAAAGAGAAAACGACGCTGACATATCCAGTGGCCACCTACCTTGGGCACACCTGCAATATTAACCGGTGCCCACATGGTCATCTTTTCTTGCAATTACCACCCGGAAGTATATGAGGATAGAAAAAGACAAAACTTGTGGTATACCCGGAGTCGAGAGACGCGATGGAGAATAGTCCACGACACCTTTACAAAGTCCATCCAGTTTGTGAAGAAGAATGAAACAAGGAAAAAAAAAAAAGGGAATCCCGGTTTATTGTATGGAAAGAGTGGGAGAATTGAACAAAACGAGCCCATTACCAAGAAAACTGCTCGCGTGTTGTTCAAGAGAAGATAAAAGGAGGGACGAGAAAGGGGCGGGTTGATTTTCGCGTTTAGGGCTCATGCAGCCCAAGCCACTCCCGTAGGATGCTCCTTCGCGGCAAAAATAAACGCTGGCGCATGGGTGGTCCAAAGATCAACGAGTTGAGACGATGCAACAAAGGGTGAAGGAACAATTGTTTAAACTTCGCGCCAAGTAGAGTTTGTGGTGCGAAAGATGTAGGTATTGCTTGGGCGTGTGCATCAAGAAGCAGGATAGGACTCCTCATCATCAGCTGGCAATGAAGTTAAAGTGTCCGGGAGGCAAGAATACCCGTCAAGACACAACCTTGTCAACACCAGAGAATGCGCCAGGCATAATATTGAAGCACGTCCGATGACTCTTTTATACCCGGGATCAAGTTTTTTTTTTTTTTGCAAGTATGTATCCATGTGGGCGCCACCTGTTTCACAAGACAAGGCAAGGCAATGCAATGCAAAGTGGAGAGGAGTCGTCGTCATAGGCGTCGCGCTAAGACCATGTACTTTCGTGCCTTGAAAAAAAGACACCAGATGTGTGTTGAAAAAAGAATCTAATTTTATCACCAGAGTATCCTTGAGTGCTCTCACAATTCTTCTTTTACCGGTGTCTCTCTTGCCCTTTTTAACCTACAGTACTTCTCACTCACTACTTCCCTTCTCTGCCCCCCTCTGCTTCTTCTCTCTTTCTTCTCTTACCCATGCTGCATTCCCTCCTGCCTGTTGTTGCCACCATCCCTCTTCCTTCTATTCATCTCCAGAAACGATAAGATACTATACTCGATTCACTCTCACTTCATCCAGAGTCCGTTTTTCCCTTTCTCTCTCTCTCCTACCCAATCTCACACCTTCCTTCCTCCCTCGTTCATCGTTACTCATTCAAAGTAACACCAAAACGGGAAAACTGCCTGCACTCACTTTTCCACACACATTCGACCTTCAACACATATACCCACAGGCACCTTCCTATATTGAAGGATGGGACAAGCAAACTCGTCGCTTGGCCAGGGCGTCGACTGGATACGGAACCAAGGCTCAGCACTCTCAACACAGCAGTCAGGACGACCAACACGCCGTCGCCAGCGAGGAGGAGGAGGCAGAGAAGGTCACAGACGACGAAGACGTGAGGGTCCACAACGAGACGTTGAAGCTCAGAACGGACAAGGCCATACCGACGACGACGATGACGACGACAACAGCGACTATGACTCCTTGGACGACACTGATGAAGAGAGGGACGAGAGAGACGAGAACGGCAACAACGACGATGATAGTCTGTTGGAAGAAGAGGAAGGCGAGGCTGTCGCCGGGAAGAGCGCCTATGACCGGCATCCGCTTTACTTTGGACCGGCCTTTCATCCTGTGACGGAACAAAGCCCTGCGCAAATGCAGCTCCAACGTCAGATTGAGCAGCAATTGGAACAGCAGCAGCGGCAAGAGTACTGGCAGCAGCAGTATCGGCAGCAACAGCATCAACAGCAGCAACAGATACACCAACAACAGCCTCAGCTCTCGCCATTGTCGAGCGTCGGTGGACAGCAACTATCATTGAACGACTTTATTTTACCCTCCGCAGTCTCTGGCATGGGAGGCATTAATCCAGGAGAGGCAGGAGCCCATGGAGGTGGAGGTACAGGAGCAGGGACCGGAATTAGGTCTCCCACCAACAATGTATACCCTTCACAACAGACTTCGCCCATGCTGACAACCGAGATGGTTCAAGATCAGTTGTACAGGAACAGTAATCTGTACAACCTTATTTCGGGACTCAATGTGAACCCGCTGCTGACTGAGGTTCAACGAGCGGGAACCTTGGATCTTTCGGTTCTGGAACAGGAGCTGGATGATGTTGAAGGTGGTTGGATGGACATTGAGGAGGGGGATGAGAATAACCAGGACAGGGACGACGATGACACCGATATCGACCATGGTTACGAGGGCGTTGTTCGCGAAATGGTTAGTAAACCTCTGGACAATTAATTGACGGGAATGTATGAAAGGCAGAGATCTATCGGCATCAGAAAAATAACATATTCGCGTCTCATCATTTCTAATAGCAACCAACAAAGCGCTCACCCACAGCTCTGGCATGCAACATCAACTTGAAGAAGAGCACACTTCGCCTGGTCAAGAACCTTACAGTCTCAAACGACCCCTCAATTCCAGCACCCTCTCATCTGCGACCCAACTATCGACTCGATTTCTCCTTTGACAGCCTGACCCCTTGCGACGTGAAATTATTCTGGGTCGTCAAGGAAATCGAAGAGGACGGCGACCTGGGCTTCCGTCTCAGACGGCTCCACCACCTACCACAACCTACGACTTACCATTTCCCTGCAGGGATGAATCAGCGCTTTATTTCACCCTTGCTGCCACTTTATACCATGTCCCTGCCCGAACTGACGATGCAGGGGCTTCCTTCGACGTCGATGCGGATGTTTCAGAAACGACAGCAGCGGCAGTGGCAGCAACTCAATAGCTCTGTGGGCAAGGAGGGGGTGGAGGGTCAGGAGTTTGAGGGTGAGGGTGATGATGAAACAGGAGGTGGTCGTAAAAGCAAGTCCAAGAAGAAGGGCAAGAAGAATGACAAGGGTGGCGGAGGGTCGTATGACAACTACTACAACAATAGCAAAGGGAGACCGGATGAGGATGGATACAAGGCCATCATGGAGGACCAGTACTATCCCTTGGTCATTCTCATCGAGGCCACCAAAGAATACAACCCTGCCGGTAAGAACTCTGCTTACAGTTGCATTGTTGATACTGCACGACATTTGGTCGAACAAGTAATTGACAATTATTTTTATGCCGTTTTGGAAACATAGCTCCAGTGCGCAGTCTGCCAACACCAGCAGCAGACTCTCCAGGACTATACCTAGTCGACAACCAGGCAATCTCAACATTTGCATGCTTCAACATCAGCTCAGAGGGCGGGTTCGAGATCAAGGTGATGAAACAAAAAGTCTGGATCAACTCGACAAACTACCTCATCCAGGAAATCTATGGATTCACTGATTCTGTCACCACGCCTGCGCCCAAGGCTCCTGAACCCGCTGCCCTGAAAAAGTCGGCCACAGCGGCGGCAGGAGGATCTAAATCGAAGGCTAGGGTGAAAGCGTATGCGGATCCGTTGGCGGCGGCGTCAACGTCTGACCCGTCCAAGAGGTTGAGTCGTGCGGATTCGATTGTCAGTAGGGTGCATGAGTTGACCAAGGAGCGGCCCAAGCGGAAGAAGAGTACACTGGCAAAGTCCAAGAAGGAAGCCGCGGAGGGCAAGGACAAGGGGAAAGACGAGAAGAATGATGATCGTCGGCTGTCGAGAGTGAGCGCAGTTATGAGTTTGGATATTGCGAATCCAGAACGTGTCGCCAGGCGGACGTCCGTATCAACACGGAAGAGGATGTCGAACGACTCTGTAGAATCCCGAGCGACTTCTGCAATTGGTGGCGCTATGTCCCAGACTGGAGACGACTATGAACTTGCCGAAGCAGAAACCAGGAAAAGTGACAGCGGTCAGGAAGACATGGAAGATGACGAAGGCGAGGAGGAGGAAGAGGAGGAGGAGGAACCTAATCTGGTCCTACTTGACGCCCCCGAATGTGTCATCTGTCTGTCGGATGTCAAGGATACGATCGTTCTACCCTGTCGACATTTCTGCATCTGTAGCGAATGCGGGGATGTCCTCCGTCGTCGCGCGCCTCAACGATGCCCTATCTGCCGACAAGGTAAAAAAAATCTCGCCCTTTTTTTTATTTTGTTCATGCGTGTTTGTTTGTGGCAGCAAACGAAACTAATGCGTTTATCCATTGTTGTTGTTGTTGCTGCTGCTGTTTAGTATTCCAAGCGTTGCTTCATATCGCATCAACGCCATCACGAAAACCGGAATTCGCAATGGTTCATTCACCGGCTTCGACACCGGCCTCAAACTCGGTCGTCAATGGAGCTCATCAACTACCACGTCTGTAAACATATCTGAAATAAACATAGATGCAAATTATGCTCGACTTCGTCTATATATGTTGGAAAAAAAATTGGCCCATTTCTAACGTTGACAATCATCATTTGAGTTGAACCCCCCCCCCCAATCGCGACGTTCCTTAATAGCAAAGATAATGAGTATATGTTTTATTCCAAGACGGGTTCATCCATCGGATCCCTCCCCCCTTGTTGTCCTCCTCATCCTCCGAAATGAATGCGTCCGATCCAGCCTTCTTCTTCCCACTGCCACGCCTCTGTATCCGACAGACTCGATGACTTCAAAGGATCCGACTACTCAAGCATACCCTGCGATTCCTGATCTTTCCAAGCCTGAGGATGAATGAAGACTTCGTCGATGGGCACCGCGTTTGCTTGAGCCCAACCTCCGATTTATTCTGCTCGAGACCCCCGCCTGTTTCGGGTAATCACAGCTACCCGGAAGCCCCTCGAAAAGGGCCGTAACTCCCAGTAGCTCCAAACAAGCTCTCTCCCCCGCTGACATGCTTTCCTGCAAAAAAAACTTCCATTGCTCAAGAGTGGATCTATCCTGCGCAGATGACAGCCAAAAAAAAAATAAAAAATAAAAAAAACTCGTTTGACCTGAGGCTTTTTCCACCTCCAATCCCTCTCGGGAAAATGTACCGCCGCACGTTTTCCCCCAATGGTGTGACTCGGTCGTCTTGGATGAGGCAAATGCCCAAAGCCCAAACGGAATTCGCATATCCCCTGCAGCGATCCCTTTGTTCCACACGAAGAAAACATTCCAAATGTGAAAGTCTCCTGTATCGTGGATGCTGCACCTGCATTATCATTTGAAAAAAAAAAGAGGCCCGTGCCCGGCAGCATTTCGATACATCAGAAGCAGCAAAAAAAAAAACTTGTAGTAACTCTGCCTCTTACAAAAGAATAACCAACTTGCACCAAAGTTGGTGACTTGAATATTCGAAGAGAACCGCCCCCCTCTTTTTCTTGCAACCAGAGGCTGAAAGCAGAATAGCGTTCGTTTTTTTTTTTTATTTCCTTCATGACACCCTTGTTCCTAGACAAAGATTACTAAACCAAATACAGAAAAATATATATCGCGATCCCACTCGCCATAACAAGAGACGACACACGGTCCCATTAAAGAGCAAGTGCGTGCAAAGAATTCATTATGGAAAAAAAATGGCATTGACGGGTAAATGACGGTTAGTATTGCTGGAAAGAAGAGTAGAAGCCATGAAAAAAGTGTACACTACATAGAAAGTGAGGGAGGAGTGAGTGTCCTTTGCTCTTTTGCGTGTCTGCTGTGTCCTTCAACCAGTATTCTCTTACTGTGGCAGAATGTGTTTGTACAAATCTACGGCAAGATTTAGGACGAACGCGAATCATAGCGATCGCAGTTGGTTAGCCCTTGTCGAGGTACAAAGGAGCGACCATACTCTTCTCGTAGACAACCACAAGTAGCAAGCTCAACGCTGGCAATGGACACTATAAGTATGATAGTACGAAACGATAAAAGTGGGAGGTGAATCCTGCGTGTCCACGACTAACAAACACCAAAAGGTAACTCCGCCGCTAGGGAAGGAAAGGCAAAAGATAATTCCCAGTCCGGGGATCGAACCCGGGCCTTGTCGGTGAGAGCGACAAATCCTGACCACTGGACCAACTAGGAACTTGCTGATAGAAACATGCCTTGCTTAGAGTAATTTGACCACAATACACCATTTCACATACCCCTTAATGTAATCACGTGAAAATGTCCAATTTGGTGGCAAAAAAAATCCCCTGGGGCGCAGGCCTCCTGATGTGGAACGTGTCGGATCTCCTCCGCGGCATCACTCCCATGCATGTTGACTGAATGGTCCGCGGTCTTTCGGACCCCAATGTCCATCGCCAAGGCGGTCCTTCATAAGTTTGTTGACTACCTGGAGGCGCAGGCCTCGAAGCGATCTGGGAACCTCGGTGCTCCGCGACGATCGCGTGGGAGCAGACCCAGGGTATCTCTGCCAAGAACAAGACATCCAAGTACACAGGCCCCTGAGGTGACTGGAGTCAAGGATACGGTTACATCACGCACGATGGTTCTGCCCGTGTGGCGCTTCGCTTGCCACACATGAAGAAAGAAGGTGCCCTGAAGCGACCAAGGACCCCACGCGCTGCTGACGGGCGGTTGTTGGAGAGTTTGTCAGAAAGGAGGAGGTTGTCAATGATAGAGAGAATGGGAAGAATCCCCTTCATTTGTATCTAGTTTTATTTTCTTCCGTTTAAGCTGTGAAGAGTAGCGATAATTGTTATGCAGAGCCAGGTTTCGGACCGGACTATAATTGATGGATGGGGCCGAAGATTTTGGTCTGTAGCCCCTTTGCTTCCAAATGCCTCTCTTGTGTTGTTTATCAGAGAAATATAATTGTATGCAAAAAAAAATGGGTCGAATGGGTAGGAGAAGGGGCGCCGGTTCATTGTGTCTGTGCCTCCATTTCCGCTCGTTCTTGACACAGTTGTATGGGGTTTCTAGGGACTAGGGGCGTCGCGTATTGTTCTTCGGTTACTCTTGTTCTCCTTCCGATGCATGAATGTGTTTTTTTCCGCCCAAAAAATTGTGCGGCTGCAAGTGATCGCACTTCATTTTCGTCTAGATGCCTCAGATTACCCTCGCCTCGCCTTCAAGACTTCATACCAATTAGCCAATTTCACTTTACCGATGCCTGAAACTATTTACGGAGTGACAAAGTCTCTACTCTCCAATGATATAAGTATACAGCAAGAGCATAAACCAATAAACCAGAGAGCATATACTACAAGATCCGGTGCCTCTGTTCTAATTTCCATCCACGTTGTTGTCAACGACCATGTCCAACACAAAAAAAAAAAATCAATCAAGTCTCTCACTTCTCTAGCCGCCTTCTGAGCGAGTCACGATGGTATTCATTGACTCTCCACAACCTCCCAGGAATAGCAACGCCGATTGTTTTCATTTTGTGGCCGAGACGAGAGATCGAGGCAAAAACAGACGGCCAATCTGTTTTTGATATCCGTGAAGGAGATTATCTTTGAGTGAGAGCACTCTGCATGACATCGCAGAGCGAGAAAGAGTGGACGCCAAAGGAGACTAAGCGACAATCGCAGGCTGTCTTGCATGTCTGTTGAGGACCGAAGGAAGGGAGGAGCATTAGGGTAGATGGAGTCATAGCCAATGAAAGTCCAGCGAAAACACAATCAAAAGCCTCGAGCCAAGACAAGAGCAACGCAAAGCGAGGAGCAGGTTAATCGAGAGTGAGCAAGGGGATGGATCAATGCACGTCCGAGTACTCGAGAGTAGTAGCAGCGGGCTTGGTGTAATTGATTGTCCAACCAAAACAAAAAAAAAAGTGAAGAAAAAAAAATGTCGCATTCCAAACACACGTTTAGACGAGACAAAGGTCAAAACAATGGTTTCCTTTCTTTCATTTTTAGTCCTACCGAAGAAGTGCGTTCGCATTTAGCAATGTTTGACCCCGCAGAATATGATTGGCAGACATGGCTAGTAGCGTGTTTAGGGTGTGTGCGTTTTCGGTGAGCTCCCAGGATGAAGGGCGATGGAGGGGTTAGAGGTGACAAAGAAAGAAAATGAGATACAAGATCAAGGGGTCATCGAGTTCAAAACCTCAGACAGATCGAGTATGATAGGGTTCGTGAAATAGGGAACTATGCATCGGACCTTCTATGTGCATCTTCGTATCTCTTCAACACGCTATCGTAGAGGTACCATGCAGTGAGCAAAAGTAAGAGTGCATACTGAGAAGGGAAGAAAAACCGGTAGTGCCAATGCCCGAGGAGCAAAGATCAAGAAACAACCCGACAGCCACAACGGGTTCGGCGGCTCTAATTAGTGATAAAACAGGAATTAGCCTCTGGAGAGAAGGAAAGTTAGAAGAGATTGAGTTTGAGAAGGGATGTCAAGAAAGAGTAGAGTGAAGGGGACGGAGGAGAGTGAGCAATATTGATGTTCCGGCTAAGCGTCATCGCTCGATAAAACAAAACAACAAAAAAGGAGATCGGCAACTTCGGATGGAGGGAAGGGGAGGGTCCGTCTTCCCTAGAAACACGAGGCGGATAAGTTTTATTTTCTACTGAACAAGTGAGCATCTACTCTGATACGAGCATTGAGTAACGAACAGGGAAAGCGAAAAAAAAGACAAAGTAAAAACACTAACACAGGCGCGGGCACAGACTTGCAGCAAGTTGTGCTAGAGCCCATTTTCCCCGGACTGCGTGGCCGAAAAAGGGTTTGAAGTCAAGAACACTCTGCTTTGGTTGTGTAATATATCCTTTTCGGAGAAAAACTCTTCACGCCAGTTGACGCTTGTATCTCTTTAGGCTTTGTTCAATTATTCCTCCCCATGTTCTTCTAGGTCTCGCCCTCATTTTTCCTCGCTCCTCTGTTCCTAAAGAAAAAGATTGAATAACAGGAGCGAGGGAAGTAGAGTTAGGGGTATGTAGAAGAGTCAAAAAGGAATGAAGCGAAGCTCACAAATGAGGGTTGTTACCAATGACATAAAAAAAAAGCGAGATCATAAATGTGGTTTTGTATGCACGCTTGCTTGCCACCAAAGGGGTGCAGTACAGTACTTTACCTGCAATTCTGTGCTCCAATGGTTGTTATCGCATTCAGGTGCTCTCTACGCGTGTTTAGGCTCGTTGTCACACGTTTAGCTCTTATCAAGAGAGTGTGACTGTTGGCGAAACATACCATTCATCCGCGTGTTTGAGGCGGTGCAGAATAAAAAAAGAACGAGGCGGAGCTGATAGGCATTTTCTTTCCCACCTTTCCCCTTCTCCTTTATTTGACTGGCATCTTTCAATCCTTTTTTCATTCTCCCTCACTTGGCCCATGCGAAGTAAGAAAAAAAAGAAGAGAACCCTGCCACTCTTATTATTACTGTGCCAATTACCGGTACCAAGCTGAAAACCTTGCGCCTTACTAGCTCAGGTTTCTCTCTCCTTCATCGAATTTTGTCGCTGCATACTCTTTATTGTCTATATTTGAACCCTTCTATTCCGTAGTAAAGGGCAAGTGGAGATGAGTGTAGAAAAATACGCATTGTGTAAAGCAGAGAAGGAGAGGTGCTGTAGGCTGTAGTAGGGTCATCTGCGTAAGACGTAAGCACTTGGATGCGGATCTTTCACTCTCTCATTGCACTTTTTTTTTGCTCGCCGAGCTGCAGACAGCATGCGCTGTTTGAACCCAAGCACTCTCCCTCTCCATCCATTTTACCAGCCTGAGTATCTACTCTCTCACATTTTTCCTTCTCTGCATATGTGCATTTTAGGCAAGTGTTCATCCTTGCCTCATTCTCGACTGCATTCGTGCAAGCGACTTGAATGGTCACCTCCAGAGAAAAGCAAGGCATTCATCGTTGTTCTTATCATTGCCTTTGTTTCCTATCACAATTGCATCCCTCTAGGATGGTCAGGGATGGCATTATCGTTATTGGTGTGTTTCTGGTTTGCTTGGGCGATAAGATGGACAGGTTGAAAATGATTTTGAGTTTTCGTTTGCCATGTGTCTGTGTATCCGACAACAACAGACGACTACAAAAAAAAGAGAGCTTTGTTCTTGTCCCGTGTTACGAATAGGACCTTATCTTCACCCACGGAGTAGGAGTACGATACCACCCCTACAAGACTCACCACATCACGAGGTAGGGGACAATAAGGAAAGAAGGGTCTCTTTGTCTGATCTTCTTACCCCGGACTGGTGAGGTTTTCCTTATTCATCAGTAAACTCAAGGTTTCCTTCTTTGGAGGAACAACAAGAGAAATATTATGAGTCCGGAGAGAAAGCGCTGTCGCCCTATGTCTTCCTATCTGTGGACACGCGGACCATCCTCCGTCCTTCATCTACAGAGCAGCTCTTAACCCTCTTACTCGTTCAATGGTTCATCGATCCCCTTCCCTTCGTCTGTTCATTGCTGTTCGTTTATTCATTCAATAGATTAAAGTAAGGAGTAAGGGAATGTTTATTTCACGGTTCATTGCTTGTTAATTTGCAGGTGGCGAGGTGCATTTGTATGTGTTCTTTAGGTGATTATCCGTGTGGAGGTTCAAGCTATGTCCGACTGTCTGTGTATGTGTGTGTGTGTGAAGTGTGGGATCAGGGGGTTGTGTCTCTCTTGCTTACATGTTGAAGTTGCACTGCTTTTGTTTTTGTTTACATGTCAATTATTTGTGTTCAGTTGTTCACTTTGGGTTCGCCGTGATGATGATGTTGATGGCGAATGCTCTCTTCCTCTTTTAACCCTTCCCTCGGGTTTCCGGGGTTCACTCGTCATCCTCCGATCTGACCTTCCTCTTCCACCATTATAAATACCTTGGCCATTGCCACATTCTTTTTCTTTTCTTTTCCTCTTCTTTGTCTTTCTCATCGCCAAGCGACCATCCCTCCTCTTCTATTCTCTTCTCTTCTTTACGCTCATATACCCCTCTTCTTTACGTATCTTTCATCCAAAAAAATATCAATTCTCATCCTGACTGTATTCCCATCCCCCTTCTGTTCACGACTTCTTCATCCAGATCGTCAACTCTGATAGCTCTCTATCCCTTTAAAAACCTCCTCCTCTTCCTCCCTCTTCCCTCTCTTTATACCCTTCCTTTTCTCTCTCACTACAACTCCTCCTAACCTCCATGAACGCAACGGACACCCCCGCGCTGATCGGCTCGCAGTACGAGGCCGGTGATATCGCCTGGACTCTGACCTCGACGGCCCTCGTCTGGCTCATGATCCCTGGTATCGGCTACTTTTACTCTGGAATGGCCCGGTCTAAGAACGCCCTCTCCCTCATCATGCTCTCCTGCTGCTCTATCGCCGTCGTCACCGTCCAGGTATGCACCTGCACCACACCCCTTTTTATCTCTCTGTCTAATCTTCGCTGCTAAATGAATTTTCTAACGGTTAATTCTTATCTCTTACCGTCTCACAAACAAATAGTGGTTCTTGTTCGGCTACTCGTTGGCATTCAGCAAATCCGCCAACTCCTTCATCGGCAACTTTGACAACGCTTTCCTCCGTGGAGTCCTGGATGCGCCCTCTGTAGGCTCATCGCGCATCCCTGATGTGGTCTTTATGCTCTACCAGGGCATGTTTGCTTGCTTGACTCCCGCCCTGGCCATTGGTGCTGCTGCCGAGCGTGGCCGCATCCTCCCCACCCTCGTCTTCATCTTCCTCTGGACAACCTTTGTCTATGATTTCATCGCCTGCTGGACATGGAACCCTGCCGGGTGGAGCTATGTGATGGGTGGTTTGGATTTCGCTGGTGGCACCCCCGTCCACATCTCGTCTGGTGGTGCTGCTCTTGCCTATGCTATTGTCCTCGGCCGTCGTTCCGGTGACCACCGCGACTTCCGCCCCCACTCCATGTCGAACGTTGTTATCGGTACCTGCTTCATCTGGTTCGGTTGGTTCGGCTTCAACGGTGGTTCTGCCCTCTCTGCCAACTTGCGTGCTGCTATGGCCTGTGTTGTAACCAACCTGGCAGCTTCTGTTGGCGGTATCACCTGGGTCTTGCTCGACTACCGCCACGAGCGCAAGTTGTCTGTCTTGGGCTTCTGCTCAGGTGCTGTGTCTGGTTTGGTCGCCATTACCCCTGGCTCCGGATTCGTTTCCCCCGCCTCATCTGTCGCCATTGGCTTCTTGGGTGCCTGTGCCTGCAACTTGGCTGTCCGTCTGAAGCACAGCCTCAAGTACGACGATGCCTTTGATGTCTTTGCTGTCCACGGTATTGGTGGAATCGTCGGTAACCTATTGACTGGTATCTTTGCCCAGAGCTGGGTTGCTGCCTTGGATGGTGTCACCGTCATTGATGGAGGTTGGTTGGACGGCAACTGGATGCAGATTGTTCACCAGCTTGCCGACTCTGCAGCTGGTCTCGGCTGGTCCTTCACCGTCACCTACTTGATCCTCGTCATCATGAACAAGATCCCCGGCCTCAACCTCCGCGCCAAGGCCATCAACGAGCACCGCGGTTTGGATCTTGCAGAGTTGGGCGAGATGGCCTATGGCTATGTAAACGAGAAGGCGGCCTCGGTCGAGGGTGTCGATCACTCGATGGAGATCGGCCAGGCTGGCGGCAGTGGCGTATCCCAGTCTTCGGACTCTGTCAACGAGATCAAGATCGGAAGCGTTTCGACTTTGGGTCGTCATCCCTCCGATGCTGCCCAGATCCAGGCCCAGGGCCACTAGTGTCTATCCTTACAAAAAAAACCCGGATCGTGCAGCTTTGCCTTTCTTAATAGACTTTTGATATCCCCCCTCTCTCTTGTATAACAAAAACAAAAAGCAAACCTCTTGCCTTCTTTCTAAAAAATAAAAAGCCTTGTACAGTACAGCATACCCCCCTTTTTTTTGTTTGTAAGTAATTTATTGGTGCGCGCAGAAGCTAATACCCCTCATTTACTGGAGTCACCAACCGTTCAAAAGATATTGCTTTCGAAAAAAGTACAAAGGTTACATCTAACTGGGAAAAAAACAGTTAACAGAGAAAAACAGGAAGGGCCAGGCAAAATAAGTACAGAAAGGTAAAGAATAAAAACAGGTTAGGTGGGGAAGTTGTTGTCGACTGGGGGGCGGGGGTTCACGCTCCTCGCTCTGGCGCTTCTTCTCAGCCAGCTGAGCGCGAACTTGGGTAATGGCCAAATCCACCGCGGCAAGTAGCGTGCGAGGTTCAAAGGCTTGATCCTCACGGACAAAGGCGTGATAGTACCTCCAGACGGAAGCCAGGATGGCACCGATCAAGATGAAGATGGGGATGTCATGAAGTGGTTTGACTGGGTCCGGGTCAGGACAAAAGAGGCTGCAGATGTAGTCCGCAGTCCAGGTTCGTTCCTCCACATATCTCAACAGTGCGGCTTGCCATACTTTCAACTTCTTGGGGCAGCTGAAAAGGAGGTGCTGAATTGTCTCTAGATCCGTTCCACAGACACGGCAGAGGGGCTCAACCATATCGGAAAAAACGGAGTGAAGGTGGAGGCCAGAGGAGAGTTTGTTGAACAGGAGCCGCCACCAGACATTGCGCGCATTGTGCGGGATCTTGTTCTTCCAGAAGGATGTCCAGAAGGCGGCAGTGAGTGGTGGGGGCGGTGCGACCATGGGTGGGTGATGTGGTACTGGGGTTGGAGGGCGGTAGGACTTGGAGAAAATTATCTGTCGAAACGCGCGGGTACTGACTAGTTCGAAGGTGCCATTCTCAGACTTGTTGATAGCGATCCGATCCTTTTTATGCGTTCCGCCAGGTCGCCAACCAGATCGAAAGGCTCGTCATTATCTAAGGCTCGTCTCAGGGCTGGGTGCGCTTTGAAGTGACCATTCCTGGTGTTCTCCTCCAACCTTGAGTGGGTGCGGTGGCCAACGGATCGCTCCTCCGTTGGAATAAGCTCCAATCTGCCTTCTGTTTTGGCCTCGCCCGTCCACACAGGTCTGAAGACACAATCCATGCGCCAGTTGGGAGGGTGAGGCTCTGAAACATTATCCGGCTTGAGCCATTGTGTGAGGAGTGCTGCCATCATGATCCCGACTTTCAACGATTCCGCTGCTTCCTGACCCCAAGACAGTCCAGAGGTACGCTCGACCGCCTGCGCCAAACCCTTGAGAATTGTGTGTGGACAAAAGTATTTTCTCCTCGCCGTGAGAAAGAAAGTGGGGCTCGCGAACGGGGCCAACGGAAGCTCAGATTGTACAGCATGCCCTATTGTCTATCTCAAGATTCAATTAGAAAAGGTTAGCATTTCCAACATAAACCCTATCTATTTCGAAAGTAAACAAATGCAATGAATCCTGGAGATCCAAGCCTCCCGAAGCTACTCCCTCTTGTCCCTTTCAGCAGTCCCTACTGGGTTCGCCCTGAAGACGAGGAAGCGGATCACCATTCAACAATTCAAAAGCCCGGACATTTCAGTAATCCTTCCTTTTCTTTTCTCTCCACTCAAACCTCAACCCATCATGCTTTCTTCGCGGACGCTTGGAAGGATCCTCACTGGGTCCATCAGCAGACCCCTCCGCTCTGTCGCTGCCGTCGCCCCAGTCGCAATTCGCTCCCTCTCACAATCCGCCACCACCAACAACTTCACAACCTCTCACACGACCACACAGGAACAGCAGGATGGCCCCACAGTGGCCGGATACAACTCCCTGAGAGGGTTCCAGCGCAAGCCCGAGTCTCCCTCATACTTCACCACAAACCCGGTTTACAACGAACTGATCGTTAACCTCGATTACGCCTACCGCCAGTTCCGCCCCTCCACCCGCCCCTCCAAGACCGCCGTCCGTCCCAACTGGCTCGGCAAGCCCGCCCTCACCATCGCCGTCGGCGTTGAAGCCTTGAAGACTTCGCAGTACCGTCTCATCGTCTCCAAGCTCAACCAACTCGCTACCTTGGACCCCCGCCCCGCCCCCGTCGAGGTCTTGTTCAGCCGGTTCGCAAAGACGGAGGAGCAGATGGGTCAGAAGGCAAAGCCTAGAGTTGTCGATACCATGGGTCGTGCTTTGGCGACAGGAAGGAGAAAGGAGGCTAGCGCGAGTGTTTATGTTGTCGAGGGCGAGGGCAAGGTTTTGATTAATGGTCAGGATGGTACTGAGTACTTTAAGAAGAGCCAGGATCTGGATTCGCTCTTGAAGCCCCTTGAGGTCACGTCTTTGCTTGGAAAGTATAACGTCTGGGCCCTCGTCCAGGGCGGTGGTACCACCGGTATGTTTCAATTGATCCATTTCTTGCGCGGAAAGAAGTGTGTTCTTCAAGGGTTAGAAAAGAAGGATCATCGGTACTGATTGCTGTTCCGATCCGCGTTTGATTATATGTTAGGTCAAGCGGAGGCCATCTCTCTCGGAATCGCCAAGGCTTTGATGACACACACCCCCGAGCTCAAGCCCACTCTCAGAAAGGGTAAGATGGAATTCATGTTCTACCGGCTCAGATTCGCTTGATACATGCTTGAACAACAGCCAGGACCAGATCAGAAACTAACAATCCCCTTTTCTCATTTTTTTTCTCGATTTATTAGCTGGTTGCATTACCCGTGATATGCGTGTTGTGGAACGTAAAAAGCCCGGTCAATACGGAGCAAGGAAAAAGTTCCAGTGGGTCAAGCGTTAAACTACCTTCTATTTTCAATGGTTGGTCGTTTCTGCGTTCCGGTAGGGACAGGACAGGAGCTTCAGGAAGCAGGAAGCAGGATGGGACAGGAGGCGCTTATTATTTTTTCAGGCATATTTTCTTTTTCTTTTTTTTTCCCCCAGTAACATGGCTAGACACACATTACATAAAACCCATTACTCATGAATATATACGTTTGAAAGGGGAAGGATGTGCATGATTATGATTGTGTATTGTACGCGTGGTTAAAGATCTACTGTTCATCCTGCTTTTCCTCAGTCTTCTCTTCCACCTTTTGCTCCTCCCCCTTCTCATCACTGCCAGGCTTGGAGGTCAAGAGGTACTTGATCAACTCACCCACAACCTTGACATTAATACTATTTCCCAACACCCTATACCGCTGCTTCAATGTAGTCGTCTTTGGGAACGAGAACTTGCCCTCGACGATTGGGAAGCCCATCAGACGAGCGACTTCGTTCTCGGTAAAGTAGCGTAATCCGAGGGTGCGGAGTAAATTCAGGGCTTGGGTGGTTTCTTGTTCTGCGAGTGTGGATTCGGTGGGGGGTCTGGACTTTGCGGTGGATTTGAGGGCTTCCGCTTCATCGAATGTTATTGCCGTCTAGAGGGGGTGGAAAGGGAGGAGGAGGAGAGAGGAGGGAGGGGGGTAAGAGGTGTTAGTGGTTTGAGTGTTGGTGCACGGTTGTCTGGACAAATGGGAGATAGTGGAGAATGAGACTTACGTCTTTGTCCTGGACCATTTGGAAGATCGATCCAGTCGATTCCACAAAGTGGTAGTATCCTATGTAAACGCATGATCACACACACCACTCATGTTAGTCCAATGGCCACATCAATTACACCATCCTTACACACCAACGTACATCCTGAAACTAAGCCATACCTTTGGTGAAGCAGCAAGATCGACGGGTAAACGATTTGACGATATCAAAAAGCCGTCCGTACTTGAGCAAGGTCTTATCCGGGATCATGTACCGCTCCATCCGTGCGTCCGACACATCCGTGAACTCGATGTATTGCTCCAATGTGTCGACCTTGAGTGCCAGCATAGGATCTGCAAGCAGGGCGTCTTCATCCGGTTTGGTCGAATCACCTTCCTTTGTGACAGTCGAGGTGGAGAGTCCGGTACGTTGCTTCTTGGCGGCCACAGGTGTTGACAGGCCCGACAAATCGCCCTGCCTCCGCCCATCCACAAAATCCTTATCCTGCGCACCACCCTTCATCTCATCCTCATTGTTACCATCAATGGAAGGGATATATCCGATCAAGGTCCCAGTAACCGGCTGCACAAACCCCCCAACAGCCGCAACTTTCCTGGCAAGACAATAATACCTCATCCTCGAATTCGGGATTCCAATCTGCAACGGCGTGATCAACAGCTCCTGGAACTCATACCCCGCAGTCGCCAAAGCCTCGACCAACATATCGCGCGAGTCGGATTCTTCAAAGCCCTTGACGTTTTCGAGGAGGATGTAATTAGGAGGGTGGTCCATCTTGGGGAGGATGTCCATGAGGTAGAGGAATGATTTCGCCCGGGTATCTTTACTCCCCTCCTGGTTTCCTGTCCTCGTGTACTATATTTTGGAGCGAGTGGCGAGAGAGGGAGATTGATGGTAGGATGTTAGTGCAGTTGATCTTCTGCATCGTGAGTTTTTTTTTGTTCTGCCAGTTATTGCTTTTGGCTTACGGGTTGGCAGGGAGGTGACATGAGCCAGACATCTGCCTGCTGCTTGTCATAAAACTCCATCGGCACCGCCTCAATGTTCCTCTATAACACAATTTTAAAAAAAAGTAACGCAACCAGGTCAGTTCAATTGGTCTTCCAATGTTGCGGCTAGCGACATGTTTTGGTTTTTGATATCAGGGATGCCTCCTTACCTGGGCCAATTGCTTCTTGCCGTGGTTGTGCGCATAGACTTCATTAGCGGTGGTGTTGATATCGAAGGCCTTGAGGACCTCGCCCTTGTGGCCTGACCTGTCAAAGGCATAGTGCTAACGGAGAGCGGGGGTTGCGGAAAAAATAGTGTGAGTGAGTTGTGCGCTCTTCTCGGAGGTCCTGGTGAAGTGTCTCCTGTTCCTGTTCCTGTTCCTTTGGGGTCGCAAAGCGAATAAATCTGTGTTTTACCATGCCTCCGATGCCAGAGTAGAATTCCAAGACTCGAAACTGATGCTCCTCCTCTGCCATGTCGAAAGTTGTGAAATGTATAAACGAAGTGTGTACCACCCTTTCGTCATTCAAGCAAACGAAGAAAAAAATGGTGAGCACAAGAGATACAAGCCACACTGTTGTGTTTGCCACCAATTTTTGAAACCGTCATCTACGTCCTTTGCACCCTTTGGAAAAAAGCCCAACACAGTCGTTCGTGGGAAGAGGTGAGAGAACAGAATGTGTTAAGAAAAAAGTTAAAGATATCGACTTAACGTCCTGGATGCGAGTGCACATATTAGAAGTCAAGAGTTAGGAGATCACGAATGAAAGTGAAAGTTGTGAAAAGGTCAAATCTACTTCCCTCTCAATCCGCCTTTTCTCTTACCACTCTTCTTTCCCCCTTCTTTTTGTTTTTACTTCATATGATTGGCCAGAGGAGAGGAATGTGTAGCCTTAAAACAAGTCTTGATAAAGATACGAGTGTCTTTTAAGGTAGTTGTTGTTACTCCTTCTGCATTGGAGAACAAAAATAAAGGTGTGTGTACTGCAGGAAGGAGAAGCGAGAAAAGGGCGAAGAGAGACAATGGCTATGTGATGTGTGTGTGTGTGGAATGGGGCTGTTTCTATGGTTTCTTGGGAAAGTGAGCTTCAAATTGACAATAATTGGCATGTAATGGCAAGGCAGAAGGTGTGAAGGAGTGACCCATTTTAGGATCTATTCTCCGCTCTCCTTTCGCATCCAGGTAAAAGTAGGTTGGTGCTATTTTCAATCGCAGGGTCCCATTGGATTGGGTTGTGTGGAATGGTGGGTTGTGGGTTGTGGAGGGCACAGGGGTGGGTGTTTGTGTGCCATGTTTGCACACCAAAAAGAGTGTTAGTCGAGAAACAAGGAAGTAACGAAAAAAAGGTAGAAGGAAGAGAAGGATCGGATATCATTTCTCTTTTCGTCCTGCTCCTGCTTTTATTCTTTTCTTTTCTTTTCTTTTCTTTTCACTCTCCTTCCCACTCGCCAGCGTCATCTACTTTCTTCCTCCTTTACTTCCTCATCAACTTCTTTCCGTCAACTAACAAAAGCACACCTCTCAAACTTTCTCCCTATTCATTTTCTTCTTTCCTTTCTCCTCTCTCTTCCCTTTCACTTTCTCGCCTCCTCCTTTTCGACTCAAGCTGGCAAGCTCACCGACAACAATAACAACTAATCCAACAGCAAACAATAACAACCTTAACCAATGTCGTCGCAGGACTACCGTGTGTCGACAATCGCCATCCTCTGCCGAGACTGTAGCAACGACGTCGGACTCTACCCGGGGAAACACAAGTGCCCTCCTCGTCCCGCCATGCCCGCCATGCCCGCCATCCCTGCACAATACCAAGACCAACAGCAATCATCCTACTCATCCCGGGGGATGAATGGTGGAGGTGCGAGTGAGGGTAGGAGACCTCCAGACTTGAACCCTGGGTCATTGCATTCCGGAGGTGGTGGGTATGGAAGCTCGCCATCATCTTCGAGCAGGACGCCGACTTCATCTAGTTTCCAGGAGCGGATGGGTGGAAGTGGAGGGAGTGGGTCGAATGCAAGGACGCCGACGGCAATGTCGTTCCAAGAGCGACTGAAGGAGCGGGACCGAGAGAAGCAGCAGCGAGACCGAGAGGAGCGTGAGGCTGCTGCTCGCAGTGTGCGTGAAGGTAACAAGCTACACCCTGTTGCCTTTTTTGCTTACTCAATTTATTCACTTGTTGTGTGTGTGTGTGTGATGTGTGGGTGTGTATGTCTTTCATTGTGATCATCAGTGTCTCGAACAGTCCAGACAAGATTGGGATATCAATCACCATTCATAATATCTTTTATACTTAACCAAATACCTTCCTTTTCTTTCCTCTCCAAAAATTAGACCTGAGGGGAGATTCGGGCAGCAACGTGGCAACACCTACTTCAGCATCAACAACAACCACAACTGGATCCCTCTGGAACAGGCTAAAGGCCGCCAAGGAAGTCGTCACCGCCACAATTACAGGAGAGGAGAAATGGCCTGGTAAGAAAGCGATCTCTTTCTTTTTGATTATTTGTTTGCATTGAAATTGATGTGCATCCACGGAGATTTTATTTCAAAGCCGACAAACAACAAAGCAATCAACCTACTGGCAGAAGAGGGCGGGCTTCTTTTACATATAGAACGAAGGACAGGCAGGACAGCGAGCTAAGGGATACATACAGAGTTGTTACTTTATTTGACATACTCAACAAAAGGATCGAGTTTCGCATGGAAGTAATCATGGTTGTTGCTTATTCGAAACAAAAAGGGCAAAGAGAAAGAAGGGACAGGGAGAGAAGAAGGGTTCGATTGGCCGCCCCCTTGTGGAGAAAAACAGGCTGTTTGTTCGCTGTGTGCAGCCTTCGTGCTTGCCTGTCCTTTGTGAGGAAGGGATGGACAGAAAAGGGTCACGAGAGCAATTTCGACAAAAAAGCGAAATGATAATAATAATAAGGAGGTTCAGAGCACACAAAGGGATGAACAATAGACGTATTGCTACTTCTGCTGCTCAACAATTGACCCAATCTTATTTTGCTTTATTACTTGTAGAATCGGACGACTCGGATCATGAAGGCGAGACACATGTGAGCAGGATCCTGCGCGAGTATGACGACAAACGGGAGGAGGCCGAGATGGCCAAGAAGATTGCAGAACTCGAGATGACACCCTACAACGACTCCAAGTCATCATCTCTTTCAAAGGCGACTGGAGCTGGAGCCAATTCTACCAGCAGTAGTAACAGTGGATCTGGAAGTAAGAGCCAGTACCTGCGTGATCGTGATGCTACCCGTCGTGACCCTTCATCGGGTGGTGGAGGTGCGGATCGAGAGGATTATTATGGACGGTCGCTTCGTGCACGAGGACTCGGTGCAGATGGGGCAACGTCGCCGTCCATCTCGTCGACGAATAGCGGTGTTAGCAATAACAGCTATGGATCTTCGTCAAGTGGTGGAAATCCACCAGCGAGCGCGAATCGGTACAGGACCACCAGTGATTTGAGCCGAGACGATGCATTGAGTCGGTTGGAGGGCAAGAGCGAAGGCGACAAACTGGCGGCGCAAGTCAGCCATCTCGGAAGTACAACCCCTCGAGGTGGACGCGCCCACTCGCCTAACCCGAGCTCAAGAAACCGGGATCATCAGGATAACAGTAACGGATATCACCAACAGGGGTATGGCGGACAGCTCTCACCGTCTTCTGCAGGTAATGGAAACCAGTACTCGTCCTCGGCACCCTCTCAACGATCCATCTCGCCAGCCTCGAACCGGAGGTACGATTCGCCTTCTCCAAGTGGCCCACCACCACAGCAGGGTAGATATGTAGCTGCTTCCCCACAGCCCTCTTCGCCTTCTTACCCTAATAACAACAACAGCTATGGATCTCCTTCAAGCCGTGGCGGCGGCGGCGATCCATACAGCAGCCGTGGTCAGCCACCACCACAGCAGTCTCGCCCGGGCCCTGGACAAGGAGTTCGTCCGGACTATGATCGTCGACCAACTTACCCACCAAATGGTAGTGGTGGTCCTCCTCCACAACAAGGAGGCACCCTTGGTGCGTACGGACAGCGACAGCAGTACCAGCAGTACCAGCAGCAGCAGAACCATCAACAGCAGCGCCAGCAGCAGTACTCTTCCAACAACTACTTTTAGACACCTTTTTCGTCTTTTGAACGAAAAGGGAAGGCGCCTTGACTTGCATACACATAATACAAAAAAGGTGCCTTTTTTTTATCTGAGCGTGTTTGTTGATAATTAAGTGGTTCGTTAAAGTATGTGAGACGTGCTGTGTCTTAATGGTTTTAGATCAACTAGTACTAGGAAGCGTGGTTGTTAGGGAGAGTAGAGACGCGGTGGGGCCTGGTTTGAGTGGAGGCGCGGTTTGTGAAGAGCGGAGGCGAAATTAAGAGAGCAGTCTACGATACTATCACAGTATCCCAGCGGAAGAATGGGAAGTGCGCCGCTGGGTGTGACTCAGGGGTGGCTACTGTTTAACGGAATACCATCGTTCATGGCTCTTGGATTTCTGTCGTGGGAGCCGGCCCCTGTTTGGATGACTTGCTAACTGATGCGAGCTGTGGGATGCAAACATTCGAAAGTTGACCGACTTCTTCAGGAGTGTATATGCAGGGTAGAGTGGAGTAGCTGAATTAGAATGATTAAATAAAGGCGTTGGTTATTATTTTTAATGAAGTGATCGTTAGGCATGGTCATTACTAAAATACGACGCCAATAATGGTCACAGTCGAGTTGGTCCTGAGTGCTTCAGACAGCGCCTGGGCTCCATTGTCTCCGATCGAGGTGCCTCCCAAGGACAAAGTGGTCAGAGTCGAGTTCACCATGAGTGCCTCAGAGAGTGCTTGAGCTCCGTCAGATTCGATAGGATTGCGCGACAAGTCCAAAGTGGTCAGGGTTGAGTTGGCCTTGAGTGCCTCGGACAGCGCCTGAGCTCCGTTGTCTCCGATCGAGTTGTCCTCCAAGTCCAAAGTGGTCAAGTCGAGTTGAACTTGAGTGCCTCAGACATTGCCTGAGCTCCGTCGTCTCCGATCGAGTTACCCCTCAAGTCTAAAGTGGTGAGAGTGGAGTAAGCCATGACACTAAAAAACTAATTTGTCTCTGGCAGATGTCAATGATAGTTTTCCATAGGCAGAGCTCTGAATCTTCAAGCTTTGTATAAGGTGCTTGTTTCTCTCAACAGATTTCATGCTGAGGCCATGTTTCGACAAGACGACAGAGTTGTAGAGTGGAGGCGTGAAAGAATCGTTCCAATCCTGACTCACACGCGCACAGGTCGCGAGGTCTTTGAGGCCAAGGCTGCTGGCAATTATTGAGCGAATCTCATGTAGATCGAGGGGATGTGTCCGGAACATCTTATTCATAAAGCTGAAGAACGTGATCGTGACGGGGATGGCGAGTAGAGTGATGATGGGTCACAAGAAGGTGGGATAACGAAGGAATGAGGAAAAGAAGAAGGTAAGGAAGAAAGAACAAAATGAAGAGGATAAGCAAGATGACAGTGATGTTGTTGAGTTGTCAATGACGTGGATTGTTAAAGCAACAGAGCAAGAGAGTGTGAATGAGGGAATGAGCAAGAGAAGGAAGGAGGAGGCTAGAAAGAGATCGCATGACATATAGTTCATGCAATTCATACGATTTGGCATCTTCCATGAGGTCTCCCTTTCTTCCAGAGCTACCACTCTTTCGAGACAACATGAGGAATGTCAGAAGGGGCAACAACGCAGGAGAATGATGTATCATGGTTGCGCAATGAAAATTTCAAGGGAGCCGAGGAAAAATTCAAGGGTGCTAGTCGACGGATCACTTACAAAGTGCTCTACCCTTGTCCCTATTTATGTGGAAATGTCGAACGAGAAAGAACACTCAATCTGCACACCACTTCTATGACGCTGGACAGTTCTTGACGATGCTGAGGGTAGGTCCGGTGATGCCCAGAATCTCCTCGAGTGGAGATGGCAATAGAGTGCCGGCAATACCGGTTGTCTGATCGACGATCAACTTCAGGAAGTCTGTCAGACCAGCATCATTACTAGCAATCAAGCCGTCAGCAGTCTTGCCAATGGTCGGCTGCAGGACAATGAACGCCGCGGCGGCAGCTAAGGGTTGAGAGAAAGACAGAAAAAAGGAGGATATGAATAAAGAGTACGCGTGAAAGGGAGAAGAAGAGAAGGATGAGAAAGTCACTTACGAGGGAACTTGAATGTGAGGTATGCTCGGAGAATAGGCACGCCAATCTTGATAACATATCCAGAAAGAACGACCAATCCAGTGCAGTCGGCCTTGGCGCCCGTGCAAGAAGCCAGTTCAGCTGATTCCTTGAAGATCTGATCCAAAATGCCATAAACGGCCTGGAATGACTGAATCCGTGATTTCGAAAGTGGGTCCCAAGGACTTCTGGACGCTCTTGATGACATCGGACGATCTGAGGAATAGTGTGCGCAAGCGTTGCAGCGATCGACCCGGCACTGTCGACACCGTTGTCAAAGTAAGCTGTCAGGTTGGTTCCGAGGGCGAGCTTGAGGAGCTTCGAAGCCTCAGGACCAAGGGGCAGCTCCTTGATGATTACAAGAGAGTTGCGGATCGAATCCTTGAGGGCACAATCAGAGGGACACAATCGGGCATGGTCGTAGTTGTTCCAACTGTCGATGTCGTCGCGGTGGTTGCCGCAGCGATGGTGACTCCATTGTGGCTGTGGTGATAGTCTTGACTCCATTCGTAGTTGTGACCACCGGCGTAATAATGCATTCACCGTCGCAAGCTTTGGTGAACTTAGGTGTTTTAATTCCACTCGAACCCTGACTTTCACCCCTTTTATTCTCTTCCATTAGCTTATGCTTCTGTCCTATCACTAGCCGATTCCTTTTTTTACGCAATCACACTCTTCGTCTTCACTTGCAAACCCTTCCTCGCATTTTTTCCCTTGTGCTTGTTTGATATTTTAGTCTCTCGTTCATAGACTCATCTTCGTCTCGTCGTCGCTCCCTATGTTGCTCCCTTTTTTGTTATTCTGTGGTTATCGCTCCCTAGTCGCTCCTTTTGTTATTTTCTTGTTGTTATTTAAAGCACAGCCAAAGGGCTATGACTGCACCTTCTCGAGGTGAATGGGTTGTACTAGAGTTGTGTGTGATATTCGCGTATGTGATCGTTTGTTAACGAGTGGATGTGTGTGTATCTGCGGGTGTGTGAGCACGATGTGCATTTGTGCACACACAGGCATCAATTCTGCCCTGATACTCACCCGAGAAGATCCTTGGCGCATTTTCTGGAGATTTTTTAACTACTCCACCGACACCCTGGCATCGATTGACGATCGCCCGCTGTCCCACAGGAGTCTTGCCACAGAGCCTTCAATTGTGCAGTTTTTGTCCGAGCGTGTCCGGATGAACCCTGATTTCAAGGACCACCTCCATCCCATCATCGAACTTTCCAAGGCCAACGAGGGCGCACCTATGGCCGCAGCGAACGCGATCACTAGAACACAGTCACTATCCTTATCTGGGCCGGGTTCGATTCAACGGTGCTGATTTTCGAGGCATCAGCATACCTGGGGCGTATCTATCAGGTGGGCAATTCGATTCTGCACACTTTCGTAGGGCCAATTTAACTGGGGGCAACCTCACCAAGATCTGAATTCGAGAGGCAGATTTCACACATGCTCGGATGGAGGGAGTTCAGTTTGGAGAGTTGCCTTATTTGGTGGAAGATGAAGAGGTGCATGCGTGTGCTATTTCGCCAGATGGGAGGTCATCCGCGGTAAGTCTCGCCAGATGCGACATATACCTATATGATATAACCACATGGACAAGAATTCACGGCCTGAAAGGACACCAGAGTGGGATCGCTAGCCTCGCCTATTCACCGTCCTGTCAGCAGCTCATCTCAGGCAGTAAGGGATTGGCGGCGCGGCTGTGGAGCTGCTCGACATGGACCATTGATTATATTCTTCAGAGGCATACCAAGGGAGTGACAGCAGTCGCATTTTCTCCTTGTGGCAGGCAAGTCGCATCGGCCAGCGGTGAAACGCACATGAGGTTGTGGGATACCGGAACAGGAGATATCCTTAAGGTCTTTCAGTATACCTTCGATGTCACCAGCATTGCCTACTCACCCGACGGGCGAACGATTGTATCTGGCGGTCAACATGACACAACAGGCACAGTTCGGAAAGTCAACACACGCACTGGGCATCTTGGGCTGGTTGTGAAGAGCGATACAGGCATTTGTTGCGTTGCATTTTCGACGGACGGCAGGTGGTTCGTGTCAGGGGATAGAGGTGGAAAGTTGTGGCGATGGGAGACGACTCAGGGGAGAAGGGGCAAGGCAGGACTCTGTTGGAGTGGCCATAGCAGCGGAGTCTCGCGCATCGCCTTTTCTCCAAACGGTTTGTTGTTGGCTTCGTCCTACGACAAAATGGTCAAGTTGTGGAACACAGAGTCAGGAAGCCATGTGTCCATCTTCAACGGCCACGCGGCACCGGTTGTCGATTTCACACTCTCAAGCGATGGCTCACAGCTGGCTTCTTGTGGATTGGATAAGACTGTGAGACTATGGGTGCTGAACTCCACTAATACAGGACCAAACCACTATGGCTCAATTGGTTCTACTTGTGGTGTGGCATACCCTCCAGATGGCAGGCATGTAATCTACTGGGGGGACGATGGATCCGTCGGACGGTACGGTGAAGTCACTAGTCAATCTAGTCTAGTTCCCCCCCCCCCCCCCCCCGGTTCATACCAAGACGGAGGCATCGTCTTTTCGACTGACGGCCTTCGAGTCGCGACGTTAGGGAGAAGAGGAAATGTGAGGATATGGAGTGTTGAGACGGAGCAGGGGAGTTTTGTCCTTCGAGACCCTGAGGGAGAAGTCCATACTGAGGCCTCCCAGCAACACGATGATTGAATTGCTGCCGCGAGCAATGGCAGGAGGACTGCGCGAATCTGGCATATCCATCCCAAACGCCATGAGCGACGCGCACCTGTCATGCTGATACGAACATGCCCTACCGGCCCTGTCTCAAGATTAATGTTCTCGCTGGATGGTCACCACGTCGTCTCTCGCAATCGTGATGGATCAGCTGGAAGTTGGGACGCGAATAGTCATGATCTTCCTCGACGACTGCCTCGGAAAAGCGTCTTTTTTCCTAGTTGCCAAATACATCGCTGATCGCCTTTACTGATGAAAACCCGGATATACAACTCTGTAATGTCCAGAATGGAGAACGCCACATCTTAATCCGTGATGGAAACATCCGTACCTTTGGGGTCTCATCATGTGGACTGTGGATCGCTGGGGGGTTGTGAGAATTATGTTCATCTTTGGCATTCCTCCTCGGACTGCAAATCACACATATGGAGACGTGTTGGGGCTGCTCCCAATTTCTTTGAGAGTGTCGAAGCAATTGTTTGGAGGCCTCAGGCATTTGGAATTTGTTGTCATCTGCGTGGATGGATCCGCCCGGGCGTGGAGGTTGCGGGAAGAGTTGGATGGAGCGGTAGTTCTGGCTTGGAGTATCGGATTTACGGGCTTGTTTTCTCCGGTGCGGTGATAGCCGGTACTGTCGGTCTCGGTGAGATTAATCGGAGGCTGCTCAAGCAATACGGTGCCAACGATAGGTCTTCGCCTTCGGGTTTGGAGGGTCAAGGAACGCCAGATGTACTGGTGCAGTTGGATCCCTTGGAGGAATCGAATGTCTCAGATATGGAGGAGTGGCAGCGAGAGAAAGGCGGTACGGACGATGAGGACGAGGGAGACCAAGAAGGCGAGGAGGAAGAGTAAAGTACCCTTTTCATGTCTCTCTCCATTCATCAGCCTTTTACTTTGACAACGTTCTGAATACAATAGCAGGTTAAACTGTAGTAACGAGAGCTGTTGTTCAAGAGGAGATATGCGATGGAATATCGTGTTGCGAGCAGAGCGTTAGTGTGTCCATTTTTTTGCACCTTGTTTTTGCTAATGGCTCGCGCAAAGAATCGTTGGTTAAACAAGGCGAGACGAACAAAGTTGGTGGCAAACGGACGTTCCTGATATTTTGTGTAGTTCCTGAGCTTAGGGGCGAAGCGATGTGATACTCACTTTGTCAAGGTGGCTAACGACAGAGAAAACGCCATGTGTAGGTAGCAATAAGCAGGGTTTTGTTTTTGTGTGCGTCTTTTTTGACTTTTGCATGCTCACTCTTTACCTGCATTTGTATTTCTTTCATTTTTCTTTCTCGCAATCCTTGTGCTTGGTGTAGCGAGTTCGGGCTATAGATCTAAAAAAAAGAAAGGAAAAAAATCCTGAACGACCAAAGGGGTCGGCAAAGGAATAACACTTTTTTTTTTGTTTGTTCATCCTACCACTGATACTCTACCCGAACCTTGAAAAGCCCGCCTAACCTAGTTCTACACTATTCCTTTCCCTTCTCATTCGTCCAAAGAATAGGGAATAAGAAGGCGTCGTTAACATCATCTCCGTCCCATACTCGCCTCTCTACGCCCACAAATGGGAGGCAGAAAAAAAAAGTCCAATAATAACAAACCATTGTCACTTCCTACACCACGCCCTTCATACAAAGAGTACAGTTCACCCAGGAACACAATAATTTGGTGGCGTCAAATGAGGGCAAGGCGTCTGTGCTCGAACTTTGATCAAAGATCTATGGTTTGCTCTCCACTCCAGTTCAAGTAAGTTATCCAATTGAATAGTATTGTTATTGTATTTAACAAACACAAACAGGGAGGGACGCTAGTTGAGGAAAAAAAGAGGTAGCGAATGAATATGCGGCGTGTGGGCGTGCAGTGTGGAGAAAGGAGAAATAGGGGACGAAGGGGAGGAGTGGAAAAAAGTATAAAAGGGTGGAGTGGATCGACAGGTTGTTGCGTCCTGCGCTTGCGTGCTTATTTGAACGGTCAATTAGAGAAACTGGTAATAATCGTCGGGCAATAATAAATAAATAACAAGATCCCACTCCTTCCTAAAATCACCAAAAAGGCTCAGGAACCTTGTTAAAAAATGCAAAGGAATGTTTTTAGTCGTTTTTGTTTTTTCTTTTTGGTTTTTGGTTTACTCGTCAACATAATCACCATCGTCTTCATCGTCTCCCTCCTCCTTCAGATCCGCTAACCCTTCCTCCTCCTCCTCCTCCTCCTCTTCACCACTTCCTCCGACAGGACCACGACGATGATCATACTCCTCCCCTCCATCGCCAGCCATCCTACCTCCAACAGCATTGAAATCCTTCAGATCATCAATGCTCTCATAACTCAACCCAACGTCTCCCGAGAAATGGCTTCCCCTATCATCCGATGACGAAGAACCAGATATTCCAGCCATCATCATCGACGACGCACCACCCCCACTACCTTCCATCTTCATTCCTCCTGAGCCACTGCCACCAATGTCCTCAGAATAAGGTACAGGGTTCCGGATCCGCTTCCTAGAGAGATCCAGCATATGAACCGTCTTCTCATGTGTCCGCAGGTTATGCAACTGTGTATACGACTTGTCACACCCCTGTTGCGAACACTTGAACGGCTTAAACTTGTACTCCTTGTGCGACGCCCGGATATGCAACGCCAGACTCTTGCGCTGCGAAAAGGCCTTGGTACACCCGGGGATGATACACAAAAAGGGGCGAGGTTTTTGAACAGGGGTATGGCCGGTCCGCTCGTGTGATTTGAGGTTGTGGAGTTGGGTGTAGGCCTTGTTACAACCGGGGAAGGAACATTCAAAGACTCGGGCGGCGACTGCAGTCCGGGGGTGTCCTCCTGGTCGGGGTTTGCCGGATGTGGGTGATGAAGCTGTTGGGGACGAACCTCCTGCTGTAGATGTAGATCCTGTAGCTATCGTCAAACCGTGGAGGCCGCCTCCTGAGTTGTTGTTATGGCTAGACTCATCCGAAAACTCCGCTCCGTTCAAGACCGATGACATCGACAAGTTGGGCAGACTGCTGCTGTAATGATGGTTATGGCTGTGGTTGTTATGGTGATGGTGCTGGTGATGTTGGTGCTGGTGCATGCCGGGGTGTGGTGACTCCGAGAACGAGATATTGGTTGCTCCCAAAGTCGAAGTAATAGAAGACATGATTCCGCTCGATGCAATCGACGACGAGGAAGTCATAGAGCTAGTCCTGGTTCGACGCTTTTTGAGTGACTTGCTCTGGCCACCAGTCGTCGTCGTGTAAGCAGACTGACTTCTCTGTGGTCCCGAGGGTGGGGTCGGTCTCGTGACAGTGCTCGCGACATTGACAGCAGCAGCAGCGGCGGTGCTGATGTTGGTCGCACTTGCGCCTTTACCGCCACCCATCGGAGTAGATGGCGCTGACATGTAAGAGGCGACCGAACCATAGTTTGGGTGAGACATCATCCCGCCGGGTGGACCTAACCCCATCGGGACTGAATCCAGCGACACCGACAGTGACTTGTGCGCCGCTGCGGCAGCAACCGCGCTTCCTGAATTGAGCAAAGAGAATTGTAATGGGTGAGAGGGTGACACCAAGGGCAGTCCATCCATCGATGCTGCTGCTGCTCCCGCCATTCCTCCGGTCTGCTGCTGTTGATGCTGAGAAGCTAATGACGAAGAAGAGTCCTGTCCACCGTGTTGCCCGTGATAGTTGCTGTCCGAGTACTCCATGAGCCCTCTTCCTAGTTGTTGACGGTTCGCCTGTCCACGCTAAGGAAAGTAAAAAGTAAGTTTAGCAAACCTATTTCTCTGTCTCCTTCAGGATTATTTCGGTGAGCAATAATGGAACCATCTACAAACTTACAGCTCTGTCATTGGTGGAGACGCCATGTCCGTCAAAGTATCCACCTCCGGAAGCATAGGCAGTATCATGTGGCGTATGAGCAGCACCGCTGTCTGCTGCCGTGAACAATCTCGTTTGCTTTTGTTGTTGTCGATCTGAATGGTCTAAAAGGGGTTGAACGAATCAAAAGAATGAAGAAAAGGTTAATGATCTGAAGAAAAAGATAAATAATGAAGGCCAAATGGTAGAAGGGAGGCGAGCGTTTGCTCTATGTCGCTTCTCGGACAATTTCTTTGGCAGAGGCGAACGTGTCAATTGGGGGAGTAAACAAGGTTGGAATGAAAACAAATCAGCAATTAAATGACAAGAACGTAACCCAATTCCTGTCATGCTCCCTCTTGGCAAACTGTAACTTTCTTTATCCTTTTCTCATTCAAAAGCAACGCCCACCTCGAGGCGCACTCTTCATTTCCTTCCTATTTTTACCATATCCAGGCAACTCTCTTATCTTTGCCCTTGGTGCAATTTCTTGCTTGATGCGAATTAACTGATCCGATCATGTCAAACCCCGGTACATGTCTCGTTTCAAAAACCCTGTTACATCCCTCTTCTGATACCGATAAAAAAAACGGCGAGAAACAAAAAATGGGGGTAATGATGGTGTTGGATGGTGATAACATGTCCAAGTTCCTTTCGTGGTTCGTTCCGATTTCTGGGAACTGGTGGGCGATGTATGATCACCTACACACTCAGGGACTCTGTTTCAATAACTAATCCGGTTACGGTGATAACGACGGAACAAATGTCCACACGACACTCAAACAAAAAAGCTTAATGACTTTGACGAAGCTGCCTCAACATAAACAGGAGCAACCATGCAGACCCATGCGTCTCGCTGTCTCTCCTAGACGTGCTGTCATTCAGCCTGAGACCAAAACACTATTCGAGGCCCTTTCGTCGTCTTCTTGCTTCACTCCAAAGAGATATTTCCAAACATCAAAAGAAAATAAAAAGGTGTGGAGATACGACATCATTATCGAGGCGTGCCTGCAATATGAGCACTTCGATACATATAATCGCGTACGCCCTTTGTGTGTCTGTCCTTCCTTCATGCAAGTAAATGTGATATCTTGGTTACGACCAAAAAAAGGAGAGGAGGTAATAGAAAAGGGAGTAATGAGATTCTAACAACCGATCGGCCGACTCGAGGCGCCGGCCGATAGACCGATAGCGGACGGATGAACGGACTAGCCGACAACTCGTCCAAATGACCAACCACCATCTCTCCAAAAAATAAAATAAAGATGAGAGCAATGATAAAGAGAGTCATCGTATACATTCATGCAACAAAATAACAGCCAGTGAAAGGACGAGACGACAGTAACAAAAAAGTGCTCTTGGAACATCACCCGCCACACACACACACACACACACACACAGACTCACACACACACGCTCATCCATGAACCCAACTCACTCATCCCCCCCCCCTCTTCCAACCCGTGGGACAATTCCTAGGAGAACATCTAACATCCCAAATTAAGCCTCGAACCTGCTTCCCAAGGTTCAGAGTTCTTGGACACAACAATGTCCGCTGTACCACCCAAAAATCAACCATACTCGCAATTAAAATAAGAGCAATGAAGGACAAGGGAAAGGCAGAGAAGGAAAAATGGACGGACAGGCCCAAAAAGAAGAACAAGATAGAAAAGCAGTTTTTGGCCAATAATAGATAGGTCCACGTAGCCCATCATCAAACGATGAATAATGTAGTAGGGGAAGAGGAGGACGAGGGTGGGCCAAGAGAGCAAGAAAGAGTCAGAGGACGGGGAAGGAAAGTAGTGAGCAAAAAGGGCGAGGGCAAAGCCAAGGTATGTGCACAAGCATACACATGTCAGAGCGAAGCGAGAATAAAGACGAGCATGAAAAAAAACATCCAACGAAAGAGAAAGGACCTTGTAATGGAGCGAGTGTGAATGTGATGATGACACTGAGACAGGCCCCCTATTCACTTCCGGGCTCCAATGGCCGCATGCAATGCAGACACACATCAAAGAGATAAGAAAAAAAAAGAAAAAAAAAGATGGAAGAGATGGCGTTGTCGTTTGGACCTTGAAGAGAAACGTACCTAGAAAGTCTGGTGGCGAGTGAAATGAGTCAGACGACATGTTTCCAACCCAAGCGGAGGTGTTATGCTGCTGTTCCTGCTGGGCTTGTTGCTGCTGGTGATGGTGATGTAGATCATGGCTCTGCTGGCTAGTTTTCGTAGTAGTATTGACCAGTACGAAAAGAAGAGAGATTGGACAATTGAACAATTGAACGATGAAAGAAACGAACCAGTCAGTGTCCTGAAGTACACAAACAAGCAAGAAAGAAAGAAAGAAAAAAAGAGAGCCCCACATGACGATCCACATGAAACCCTTTGAGGTGAGAGAGCTAGGTGCAGTAGCTGGCGCTGCCCGTCTCATGAGGCTCAGAAATAAAGCGCCAAGAAAAAAAAATCACACTCGTCCCACTTTCGCCTTCGAGAAGGGGTCGAATAAGCCCGTTTTTTCCGTATTTTTGTGTCCCAATCCGATCTTATTCAGACAATGCAAAAGTAGATGGGCTTACCTGTAGAGATGCGTTGGAACCTGACCCGGGGGAGGGGGAGGGGACTGATAATAGGATGCCCGATCGCCCGTTGCCTTGAGCGGGTACAATTGAGCGAGATCACGGGCGGGCTGCGGATAGCTCGGGTGCTGCTGCTGAGGATGAGGCGGTTGCGACTGTGGTTGCTGTTGAGGGGGCTGGGATTGCCTTGGCTGCATGTCCTGCTCACTCGGTGAAGCTATTGAGAGGGAGAGGCATGTTGGAAAAAGGGGGAAGGGGAAGGAGAGAGGTATGTGAAGTCATTGTAAGTCTCTAAATTAGGCGACACGTGTAATTGTACACTTTCCAACCGCCTTTTGGTTGGTTGCTGTTGTTGTCAACAGCTAGTTCCAAGGGGGAGTGACAACACGACAAAGATGCAGTGCAAAGGCAGGGGCGTGGCAGTGGAGGAATATGGATGTTCGTGCAAATGAGGAGGGAGGTCGATGTGCTGACAATATTATCTGATGAGGATGTCCATGGGAGTAAAAGTAATTCTGTAGGTGGGTGCACAGAGGATGGAAAGAGGACTGTTCTGTCAGTGCCCTCCCCTTGAGGCACATGCAATCAACAAACAAAAAACATAAACAAACAACAAACAAATACAACAAACACTGAAAAAATTAAAAGGAATGGAGAATGTTGAAAAACATCGACGAAGAAGTAAAAAAAAGTGTATGTGAGCAGATCGAAAGAGCGGCATGTGGGGATAAGCGATCCCTTACCATTTGTTGCTGTCGTCCAAGTCGGCATTGTCAACGGCAAGCCTGGTAAACGCCAATAGCCGATTGTCGCATAATAGTAGTAATCAGAAAAAATATCATCCGTCAGTTTAGCTGTTCTCATTCGCGGAATGGTTCGGCAAATGGTCATGTTTCCGAAATCAATTAACCCATTCAATTTTCACTCGCAAACGCATTATAATCCTTACCGAGATGTGGGTAGTCGCCGCTCTGGTAGGGCAAAGCCGAAGTGGATGGCGGCAATGAAGGGGTGGATGAGCTTGATCCCGTCGTCATTGTCGAAGTAGCTGTCGAGGCCGGAGTTGGGGGAGCAGTTGGATCCGAATGTGGATCAGAGTAAGCTTTCAGATGCTGCTGTTGCTGCTGCTGTTGCTGGTAGTGATAATGGGGTGTTTGGTAGTACTGTTGCTGCTGTGAGTGGTGGTGATGCTGGTAAGGATGTTGGGGGTGATGTGTCTGAAAGCTGTTGGCGTGGCCGCTCAACTGGCGGTTAAGAAGGGGAGTCAGCAGCGCCTGGTCTTGAGGTTGCGCCTGGTCTTGAGGTTGCGCCGGAGTTTGATAGATGTCCAACGTGTGCGAAATGGGCTTTGGTAGATCGGGGTGGTATCCGTGATAGTCGCCGCCATGGTCGTTGTGCTGTGACGAATAGATGTGGTGCTGCTGAGCATTAAAATGTTGTTGCTGTTGTTGCGGCGTTTGTTGTTGATGCTGTACTGGAGAAAGCAATCCCTGTGACAGCTCCTGGGGGTGATGATGGTGCTGTGTTGGCTGGTGGTAGATCAGTGATGCTGAAGGTACGGAATTGTGGTTGTTGTAGCCGTTGCCGCTGCTGTTGCCATTGTTGTTTGTGGTTGTTGTTGCGCCTCCTTGAAGATTAACGGGATAAAGGGGATCTTGATCCCGATCGTGATCCATAATGGTGCTTGTGCGGTGTTGCTGCTGCTGATGTTGCTGCTGGATATGGTGGTGTTGTTGTTGAGGAAGGTGGTATTGCTGAAAGGTTGTGGCTGCAATTGTTGCGTTGGTATTATTACTATTATTATTATTATTACTAGGGTGATAATGATGAGTGAGGACTGTCGTTGAGAGGGTTGAGGGCATCAAGGGAGGGAAGGGATAAGGATGTGATATGATATTATGAGTGGTAAATGAGGCAATTGAAGTTTTTTTGAGTTGTTGGTCGTGCTTGTTTGTTTGGTGGAAGGAGGATAATTAGTCCTTGTTTGAGGGAAATGGATGTGGGTGAAGAACGGTAGGTAGGATAAAGAAAAATAAAAAGAGTTGGGTGAAGGAAGGAAGGGAGGGGAAAGAGAGAGGGAAGGAGGAAAAAGAAGAGAGAGAAAGAGAGAGAGAGGGATAAAAGAGGACCTGGATCCTGGAGTTGGCAGGTAGCTGTACGGTAGTTATTATACGAAGTAAAGATGTTCAGGGAACTAGAATAATAAAGAAATTAGAGTACAATATTCAATTGAAAAATAAAAAAAGGTGGAGAAAAATATGTGAAAAAGGGGTGGTTGTGCGGAGGAGGTGCAGTAAGGAGGATGAATGACAAAAGGGAAGGAATCAATGAAGACGACGAGCAATGGTCATGGACATGAAATGGCGAATGAGGAGGAAGAAGGAATGGGGGTGAACTGAAGAAGGAACAAGGACTGTTGCGAGAAAACAGTGGTTACGAAGAGGAAGAAAGAAAGAGAAAGAGAAAGAGAGAGAGAGAGCGAGAGAGAGAGAGAGAGAGAGAAAGAGAGAGAGAGAGAGAAAGAGAGAGAGAGAGAAAGAGAGAGAGAGAAGGAGAGAGAGAGAGAAAGAGGGAAGAGAAAGAAGAACGAACAAACAAAAAAAAGGGCGGACGATTAAATAGGAAGAGCGAAGGGCGTGAATGAATGAAAACTAAAATGAAAAATAATGCGAATGAATCAAACTGGGAAATGAATGAATACCAACGAAGTAGTTTCGAGGGAGAGGAAGGAAGAAAGAAAGAAAGGAAGAGAATGAGAAAAGAGGGGGAAGTGAGGCAGGTACACGCCACTATATATACACAAACACAGAAGGGGACAAAGAATAAAGACTAGAGAGATTCAGAGTATGTACAAGTCCACAGAACTGAATGGTGAACACACACGCACACGCACACAAGCGCACACACAGACACACGATGAGTAGGTGATATGAGAGGGAGGGAGAATGAGGACGTTCAGAAGAAGAAGGCGAAATAAGCGACCAGGCGGATAAACGTCTTGAAGGGATCAAGTCAAAAAGTGTGGATGGATGGAGAAGGAGAGGTATTGGGAGAGAGGGGATATTTTATGATCACGAGTGGATGGCGTAAAACAGGGTATTGGAGCAAGGAAGTGAGTGATGGAGAGTGGCGTATATGAAGACACGAAAGAGAGAGAGAGGATCAGAAGTAAGAAGAGAGGAAGAACAGTGAAGAGAAATAAGAAGAGAAAAGATAAGAAAATAGGGACCGATGATGATGATGAAAGTGGGGTATGTGTGTTCAGTGGAAGAGAATATAAAAGGTTGAAGGGAAAAGAAGAAGAAGAGGGGAAGTGGGGAAAGAAGCGTTTATCTTGTTGCTCGACGCTGTTTGTACACGCTCATTCACGACAGACATGAACCCTGGCAGCAAGAATAAAATAAAAGCCAATGAAGAAACAGGAACAAATTTAATTATGTTGAATATTGAATGGGGTGAATGGATGTAGAGATGCATTGGATTGAACAAAGAGAAAAGAACATCCCAGCATGGTATTCCTTTCTCAATGGTAATGATGATCATCCAGTCAGCAATAAGTATATATTGCAACTACGCCAGCAGTAATGAAGCATACAAGGGGCAATGGGGGGGGGAGGGGAGAGATGAAGAATGCGAGACAATACATCGAGTACCGACGGGCTATGAGCAAAAGAAAAACATGGCATTTGCACAATGCTCACACACCCTTTTGAGTGCATTGCCAATTGAGTCTCTTACTCGTATTTTTCCTATATGCTGTCTCTTATTATTTATGGGTGTTTGCCCCTCCTCCACCTCCCCCGACAATGGTTAGGACATATTGTCTATTCAATATACAGTCATCAACATCAGTTACAACGAGCCAGCAAGCTACTCTCCAAGTAGCCAGCCATTCCATGACAATGGTTGACTTCCTACTTTCGGACAGCATCCTCCTTCTCTCCTTCCTCTCTCCTCATCCATTCCTGTCTCCACGCCATCCCTTTCACGACCAGACGAACCTCCTTTTTCAATTGAATTGAATCGTTTCTTTTTCAATAACAACCCTTCTCCCAATGTACCTTTTCTTACCTCTTTCTACACCCTTTTTTTCTATTACGGTGAGCGTCATGGGAGGGTTTGTACTTCTCTATTTTGGCTTTTTGGTCCCTGACATAACGACGGAAATGCCCAATCAGATGGGGCTTGTATCCCTTGTATCTATGCATATTCTCAGAAAAGTGGCACCAAACAACATCGCCGTTCAGGTTCAAGACACACGTTGAATGCTTTACGTCCTTGTCCTAGACATTCAAGGTCTTGTCTCTCTTGCGGATCGACGAAATAAAAAGCGAGGAGTCAACCCATCGTCCTGGTTGTAAGCGTGTATGTTTTGAAGTGAGAATGAGAAACAAGAGGCTGTGAGTGAAAGGAATGGTGTTTGTTGAAAAGAGAGACAAGGTGAACGAAAGGAGACATGGGAGAGAAAAAAAAAATAGGTCTGCGAGGACATGAAGTAGTAAGGATGTTGAAGGACGAGAATTTCATCGATGAGGGATGATGAGCAGCAATGTCGATCCGTGGGGATCATCCAGAGCACAAATTCGAGGGTGTTATCGTGAGGACACAACTCACACCACACCATACACACAAACAAAGGAAAAGGTTAACGGAGGAACGTAGGAAAAGGAGTGAGGGGACGATCCATTTGTCGAATGAGGACGTCCATTTTTTTCAAACAAAAAGTATTGGAAGAAGAGACAAAGCAATACACTGCTGTCCTTCGTTACCTACACCATTGACATTGTATTCACACCTTTCTCATTTTTATCATGTCATGTCTCTTCACCCCTTTTCTCTCTTTCTCTCTCCCACTCCTCTTCACCTTCACCCTCTCGTTCTTATGGAGCTGAATTTGAGGGAGAGAATAAGGGTGGAGGGGGGGGGGGAAACAAACAAATCGTCCAAGAAGTAAGCGTTTTCTCTATTCACTTTTTGACTTTTTTTTTTGCCAGGGCAAGCAAGCAGAATACGCCGAACAGAAACCTTTTTTTTTATGGGTGGTGATAGACCGCCACCCTTCTTTTTTCCTTCCTTCCCCCTCTTTCACAACAACAACAACAACTACAACAACAACTACAACATCGTCAACTTGACTCTCGGTCCTCTCACTCTTTGTCTGTCCGTCTACTCGTTCCTAGCCCAAACCCCTTTGGTTTATGCATGTGTTGTTATTGTTTGTTTGTTATCTTTGTTGTGGTCCGGACCTTCTTTTTATATCCTGTTTCCTGTTTTCTTCAGCGACCATCGCCCTCTGCCAACTGCTTTATTTGTACCCTTGCTACCGGCGATCACAGTTTTTTTCTTTCATTGGTTGTCATCTTTGCTTTCGTAATGGACATTTGTGTTTTCCGAAGTCTGCCATCTTTTAGCTTTTCTTAATTATTTTTCTTCGTTGAACACACATAGGGGGGAGAGAGGGGAAACCGATAAGAACAGAGCAGATACAACATACGGGCAGAACTTACACTCAGCATGGACACAAAGGATACACAAAGGACGAATAATGCAATCAATCTTATTCAAAAGAAAAATAACAGCAAGGCAATAGCAATGCACACATCTGTGTGAATGCAACTATGCATCCATGTGTGTTGAGTGCGTGCGTGTGTGTGTGTGTGTCTTAGGCAACCCAAAAAAATTCCAACCTATCCAAGAGTTGCAATATCCCCTGGAAACCCTTCTCCTTACCATCCCTCACCCCCTGGATACATTGGGTCTTCCTTCTTTTCATGTGTACGTGTTTGTGCGTGTTTGTCTCCTTTTTCTGTTTTGTGATGTAGTCCATAAGACCAACACAGGACACTGAACATAGGTCAGGCATGAACGAACGACGAACAGAACGGAACGGGACAAAACAGTTCAGCCAACGAACAGTTTGCATTGTGCATGGTTCCTCCCTCTCTGTCCCTCCCTCCTTCAATTGAGCATTTTTTTAAAATTCTTAATATTACACTCGCACAACATGAACTCCTTGTTACTGCAGGGCCAAGGAAGAGAACAAACGCAATTGACAGACAGTAATACAATTCCTTCCTTCCTTACTTGCTTGATGGGCGCGCGTTTTTTCTTTCTTGTAACCGCGATGTGATTGAATAGAAAACAGTTATTGTAAACAAGCAAGAGTCATGGCTACTCCTATCTCAGCTTATTTCTTGTTTGGTAGTTGGTACCTATCAAAACTACATGTTTATTTTTTTCTTTCACATATTCGCTTAATCGTTTCATTCGCTAAGAAAGCTAGAATAGGGCTGGCCACCTTTTTGCTTTTATGGTGGCTCAAAAACCAAAGCTGCAGCCCTATCTTCGAGCCTCGCATGGCGACAGAAGGTGATGGTTTTTTTTAAAGCTCAGGCTGTTGGCCGGAGAGAGAGAGGGAGACAGGGTAAAAACGAGAAACAAGGAAGAGATGGAGGAATGGAGCAAGAGGGTAAGGATTGACTGGGAGAATGAAGAGATGAGCGAAATGAGAAGAATCTCCGAGCCTTCCTTCCCTTCATCTTCCTCTCTCCATTTCTAACTCGCTCACTCTGCATTTTCCCTTTACTTCCTTTCGATCCTTCCTTCCATCCTTCTTTATTTCTGTCCTCCTCAGGAAGAAAAATGACGGATGACCGACCAAAGAGATAAAAACTGC